TATTAATAGGTTTTATTAATTTCTAAAAAGATTAATCTTTCTTCTTTTATTTTATTTATATATCCTATTTAATTAAATATATATTATAGAATATAAATTTAGTAGATTTAATTTTAAACTTAATAATATACTTTTAGAGTATAAGGTTTTTAATAATATTTATATTTAATAAGTTATATTAATAATAGTAAACATTATAAACTAAATTAAATAGATATTTAATCTTAATATTAGTTATAAGAATTATAAAAATATTATAAATAAGATTTATAAAAGCTAGGAATTTAATCTTATACTTCTTTTACTATTAGCAAATATTCTTTAATTTTATTAATCTTAATATATATTAGTAATATTAAATTTTAATAAAAAGAAGATATATATTAAACTAGATATATTATATAAATTTATTATTCTCTTTTTTAATTTAATATCTAAGGTTAATTATTAAATCAAAATTTATATTAATATCTTTAATAAGATTAGACTAAATAGATATCTTTTTTAATCTTTTTTATAGCTATTATTAATATAATATAAAAAGAGTTTAAAGATTTTTTTAATATTATTTAGAATAATTAATATTATTCTTTATTTAATTACTAAAAAACTAGAGTTTATATTATAAAATAAAAATAATTATAATTATAAATAGATTATTATAAATCTTTTTAATATTATAATAGTAATTTTTAAATTTCTATTTAGAAGCTTTTAAAACTTTAAGTATTATCTTTTTTTAAAAAACTTTCTTTTTTTAAAGTTAATTAATTGATTTCTTTAAATAATTAAAAAGTATATTGTAAATATTAAATATAAAATAAATAATAATATCTTTTAACTTTAAAAATATAATTATAAATTAAAAAAAAGATTATATAATTTATAATAGATAATTAATCTAGTATTAATATTTTTAATTAAATATAAGATTAATAAGATTCTTTTAAAAGTAATATTAGTTAAAAATTAGTTAAAGCTTTTTTATATAATATAATATTAGAAATATTAAATTCTATTAAATATATATATTTTAAATAGAAATAAGTTTTGATAAATTAGATTATAGCTTAACGAATTATTTTTAGTATTATAGATTACTATTTATATAAATAATAAGCTTTTAGATCTAAAAGATATATTAATATATAATTTAGAATTAGATTTTAGAATCTAAATCTTTTTAAATATATTAATAATATTATTTTTTTAATTTTAAAGATAAATAGTATTATTTTATTTTTAGGCTTTTTTAATTATATTATTATTAAAGATAATCCTTATCTTTTTAAAAAGATTTTTTAGATTTAGTTAGATTATATATATAAGATATAAAATATAAATAATTATAATATTATTATCTAATTTAAAAAGTTTAATATAGTTTTAGAGCTTTTCTAAAAGTATAATATTATTAGATATATTATTAGTTATTATTATAAGTATTTAATTTATTAACTTATATTTCTAAAGGATATCTATTATTATTATATTTAAATTTATATTAATATATAATCTAAAAATAAACTCAAAATTAAATAAGATCTTTTAATACTTCTAGTTTTAATTTAGAAAATAGATAATAATAGCTATAAATATATTTATAAATAAGAAAATCTAATAATTAAAAGTAAAAGATATTTTAATTTTTATTAAAAAAGATTTTAAAACCTTTTTTAATAAAAAATAATCTTTATAATTATTTAATATTAAATAGTTTATAAATAAAAAGATTTAATCTTAAGATTATATATTAAACTATTAAAATTAAATTATAAAAGCTAAGATATTTTAAAAACTTCTAAAAGAGATTAGAGTCTATAAGAAATCTAATTTAGATATCTTCTTAGCTTTTTTATATAATAACTATAATTATTTAAAATAAATTTTTATTTTAGATATAGATTAGTTTTATATAACTAAAAAAATATAAAACTAATATTATATTAATTAGATAAATTATTTAATATCTAGATTTTTAGATATCTATTAATATCTACTCTTTTAAATATATTTATTTATTATAGAAATACTATTATTTAAATCTAGATAAATAAATAAGATTTTATATTTTAAATATTTAACTTTTAAAATATTTATTTTTCTATCTATTACTTTAGAAAAGTGTTATTAAACTATTAATAAATAATATATATTCTAATAGATCCTTTTTTATCATCTAAATCTAGTTTATAATTATTACTAAATAAATTTTTTTTTTTTTTTTATTATATTAATTAGATAAATAATATAGAATCTTATTTAATTAGATATATATTATTTAATTAAAGATAAAAGCTCTAGAGAAGAAAGATAAAGTTATTAAAAGATATTTTTATTTAGACTAGATACTATTAATAATACTAGATAGTTTAGATTAAAAGGAATTAAGATATTATTTAAAAAGATAGTCTATAAAGAATTAACTTTATTAATATTAAATAATAATAAGATATATATATTAGATAATTAAAAGGCTTAGCTTTTTTATTATAATATTATAGATATAATTAAAAATAAATATAAAAATAAATAATATAAGATAAAAGATTATATTTATTTTAATAGAAAAAGAATTATATATTTATAATACTAGAGTATTACTATTTTATAAAAAAGGATTAATTTAATCTTAAATTAATTTTTATTTAAAATAATCTATTATTTCTAGATCTATAATAAATAAATATTATTATTATAATTAGCATATTAAATAGATAATTTAAAAAATCTATAAATAATCTATAAATAATCTAAAAGATCTATAAATAATCTATAAATTATCTATATAACTATTTTTAAATCTTGATTCTTCTAAATCTTTTAATCTAAATCTTTAAATATTAATTTAGATATAAAGACTATAAAAATCTTATTATCTATAATGATTTTTAATAAATCTAAATATTATTTACTTTATTAAAATAATAAAAATATCTAAATTTAAAGAATTAAAAACTAAAAGTTTAAAAAAAACTATGATTTATAATATATAAAAAAAGATTATAATATTTAGATATATATTTCTATTATAGATATAGCTAAAATATATAAATATAGGATTTTTATATTACTATTATCTAATTTTATAAATTTAATTAATAAAATAATAATAACTTTTTATATAAATCCTATAAATATAATTATTTTATAATATTTCAAATAATTAATTACTCTAAAAATAAGAATTTTTTAATTATAACTAAATATATATAAAGAATAATAATTAATTATAAATAGTTATTAAGTTATATACACTAAGATCTTCCTTTCTAGATAATTTATATTAGCTCTAAGCTAGTATAGGTTTAACTTTTGGACCTATAGGTTGGATCAGGTTCTAAAAGTTGGACCCAAGTCAGGTTTTGTGGAGGTCTATTTATTAGGTTAGAGGGGTGTTTTTTTGATAAAAAGGGTGTTTTTTTAGGAGGGGGGATGTTTTTATATCAATCCCTTAAAAGTGTCTATATTAATTAAGTTAATATTATTAATAGTCTATATAAAAATATTAATAGATAGACTATAGGTTATATTTTACATTTATAGATAATATAATCTATCTAGTTATAATAAAGATAGTTATTATTTTTATAATATTAGTTAATTTTATTTTATAAGATTTAGATAATATATTTTTTATTCTTAGATTTATGTAATTATTATTGTTTATTTTCTTCTTTAATAATATCTATTTATCATAATTATAAAAAAGATTTATTAGATAATATAATTAGTTATAAAAAATTAATTATTTAGAAACTAGTTATTATATTATTTTCTATTAAGATATTTCAAAAAATAGATATAAGATTAATATTAATATTATATATCTATAAAAAATCTATCTTTAATAATCTATATAAAGATTTCTTTTTATTAATTTAATATTATTAATATCTTATTTTTCTAGATATTATTAATATTTATTTATTTTATTTATTTTATTTATTTTGAAGTTTTATTTTTATTTAATTATAATTTATTATAATCTAATAGGATACCTCTTTTTATATTATTTTTTAAAATTGAATCTTGATATTAGAGATCTAACCTAGTTATATAACAATAGACAGGGTTCTTGAAGATCAAGAAAGATTCGATAAAAAGGAGAATCTCAGAGCGAACTAGGCTCAAAATAAATATAGGGGAATCATCGATAAGCGAGGATGACTAAGTATAGTGTAACAAGCAACCCCAGAGGGATCTCCTGTAGAAGAAGATCCCATAACACCTCTTGATACCTGATATCAAAGACCCTGTAACTAACAACCAATGCACTTCACCTTCCATGGATAGTAAAAGTAAGTAAGTAAATGTCATTAACATCCAGCGTGTGGCAAGCATAGCTTACCCCTGAGATCTCCCTTGGGGTATTGGGATGTGCAATGCTATGGACTTATTGTACAAAATTTGTTCCACCACAGGTCATAGTTTTGCATAAGAATGGGAGGGCTTTTCGCCAGTTGATGATGGTTATTCGACGTGCAAGATTCTCATCGTAGTGTTGTAGACCGCGCAGGACAGCGACAGTAGAAGATGACATAAAATGTTGTAAACCTCTCTTAGAATATCCTATACCAAAAAGCACTATCTTCTTTGAACATTGTCTTGTTACTGGGCTTGAGCTCATATTTCTCCAGTAATCTCCCAGGCCGGGGTTCAATTATGGCAGACTAGAATTTCCAGCCCTATTGTCGTTTGAAAGCATCTATTGTAAGAACTGACAGAATTGAGTGGAAGTAGTCAAGTACAACACGAAAGGAGAAAAGGTGGAGAACAAATAAGGTTAGTGGGCCCATTGTTGAACCCCCGCATTTTATGAAGTCATCAGTCACGAGACTCTTCTCCCTTCTCTTCAGCAGAGTTGCTTTCATTCCCTCTTCTTTATCAAATCTTTCACAAAAGTAAAATCCCTCCCATGGATACTGGCCCTTTCCTAATGTCATACAGTGACCCGTTCGCACAAATCAAATGATCGTGATCATCTAGTTGAAGGCATCATGGGCACTCGTGACCAGATACCTCGTTATTTCGCTAAGTCTGGACCAACTGATGCTGACCCCCGCAAGACAAAGAAGGATGGAGGTGGAAAAGGAAACTGGTAATGTCTACCTATTCCAAATATCGTCATTGTCACCAAGCTGACTGGAGTATACAGGGGCCGATCCGGCGAGGAGGTCCAGGATTATGACTACTCCTTTACCAATGCTCGTCGTCGATCAAACAGCAGTATCCAGGGCCTGGCCGATTTCAGCACCAAATTCGAGGCCTTGGACCCGGAACCTGTGTTCGAAGAACAACATGCCTCGGAATCGAGTGATGTGACTAAGGCAGAAGGTTCCAGCAGTGGGCATGACAGTGAAGTCGACCAGGACGGATCGAAGTACTAGGCCCGTTGCACACGACTTGTTCGCAGACCATTGACCTCGCCAAGTATATGCGAACATGGATCCTAATCGACGGTCGGATTGCCTGGTTTTATTTTCATCCAAATAAGTTTATTCCAAGTCAAATGCATCTTTAATTCGGATTGTTCCAATTACTAGTACGATCCTGATGGTCATTGTAAGATATGGCATTTCGAACTTCACAAGTACTTATTATGACACATTGCCCCCGGAGAAGCCAAACCGTTAGAAACGCCTGATCCATCGCAAACCATCGCAAGTGTTAATCAGGTCTCAGTGGACCCGTTGCCGGCGAGTTGTCCATTTGGAACCGATGACTGAGCCTCGGCAGTCTCGCGCAGGTTTTGGAACCAGAAGTCAAGCTTTCCGACCTCAATGTAACGGCGCAGGATATTATTCTCCACCTGAAGATCGACGGCCACTCGGGACTTCTGCTCGGAGTTGAACCGTGACAGAAGAATCTCCGAATCCGAATCTGCCATAAGAGACTCCACGGGAGAAAGTGGCATGTAGATAGATCGACCGCTAGCTCTTGGTTCTGTAGATACTTTGTTAGTCTCCTGGCTAATAATCATCGCGTGTATTTCCATGTCAAGAATGCTCACCTTCTAGGCATGTGAGAAGTGTTTGGTAGAGAGCGGTGCCACCGATGTAGCTGTCTGAGTTGCCGTTGGGCTTTTCGGCAGCTTTACCCCGAGCCACCCAATCATCCTTGATCAAACATCGTCGCCAGATCAATCGCTGCAAAGCCATCTGGTATGCAGGGTCTCGCTGGCCATAACGACCGTAGTCGAGCACTTGCAATGCAAGGTGCGACTCACTCTTGACCAGCTCATTTCCTCTGTCACCAGTGATTTCGGTAGGTCCCATCAATGTGAGAAGATCGACCAGACCGTCCGCACCAACAACTTGTCGGTTGACCAAAGTGGAAATTGCCTCACCCAGGAGTTCATGGAGCGATGGACGATCCTCGAAAATATGTTGGCCATAGAATTCGAGCGCTAGTTCGGCCTCGGCGTTTGTATCGATTGCACCCTGCCAAGTGTGTTGAAGGTGCGCGTAGAGGGCATCTTGAATCAAATCCACTTCAACGTAATCCTCGAGACGTTTCACATCCTCCTGCAGACTGGTAATTCGAGCAGGTGACTGCTTTTTTCCTGTGTCGCTAGTTTACCGAGTTTGGCCAGCGAGATCTCCACGCGGTGACTCCAAAGGTCCTTCTCGGCGTCCAGGGCCAGATTTTCCAACGAATTTGCGGCCGTGTCGCAGTCGTCTTCCCCGGTCACGTCATTAATCCAGCTAAGTCGAGAATATGCAGGGTTCCTCCGAAGGAATTGGGTCACGGCTGATTGGTACTTTCCATCCAACAACGATCCGGGGTAGCCCATGGCTATTTGCTGAGAGAAGTATGCATCCGCCCATATATCGCCGAATTTGTCGAAGTACTTTGAAACCAGCTGGGAGGCCTCGATCTCCGCCTGGGACGTAGGTGCATCCGAGGTGGGGCTCGCTTCTTGGTCGTTGAGCTCAACAATCAACTCGACGAGTGCGCCCATGTCTCGGAAGCCTTCGGCCAGACTAATGGCATCATGAAGATGGCCAATACCAGCCAACTTGAAGAGTTTCCATTTGCGGTCTACAACATGGGATTGTTCAATCGAGACACTCTCATCCATGAGCTTGGGATCCCCCTGTGCTGAAAGCCAGCGAGTGCGCTCACGATGCATGTGACCGAGTACACGAAGGTGCCGGTAGCTGTTCCGTGCGACCTGATTGAGTACTTGTGCGTCTGGAACATCGGCAGCGGATGCTGAGGCTTGCCATGAACGACAGCTGTCGAGTTCTAGATCAAGCAAATGTCCTGCTTCAGAATAACCAACACCTCGCGAGGTCCAGAACTCAGGAAGGTCTCCATATCCATCGGAAAGAACTCCATCCTCCAAGAAGTCTTCACTGAGGCCATACGGCACAACGTGCTCATCGCGATACCGGAAAGCAGTTTCCGTGACGGCAAGGAACAGCTCACTGGCTTCTAAAATTTGATCTGAAAAGGCGCGCGCATTGATTGAAGCACTGCCCCGACGGCGCTTGATCGCATTCTTGATCCATGGAATGACATGCTCCATGCGGTATGAATCTCGTAAAAACCACTGGCGTACAGGATCTGACTCCCCCTGGAGCGAGTTGACCGGAGTCTTGAACTTGTCATTCATGGCACCGATGACAAGATTCAGGAAAGGCTCTTCAGCGTCAGGTTTGACTTTGAATGTCTCCTGGACTTTCCACATATTCCTCTGGGCAGCAATTTTCTCGGCGGCCCAGAGTAGTTCCCATCTTGCTGGTCGACTGAGAGGGTTACCATGTTGTAACAATAGCGATGCGAGGTCATCCAGTGCTTTGGCTCTCAATCGAAGATTCTGATCCAAGGATATGGCAGTAGTTGGAATGAACCTAGACGAGGATCGGAGTAATTCGCTGCAGATTTCCAACGAGGCCTGCTCCATTTCAGATGGGGGGAAGTTCAAATCACTCGGACCAGAGAGATTCAATGGATTCCTCGCCATAGTACCAAAGAACACAGCTTGCTCGAGCTTATGCTTGGCCGTAACCTGAGGCTCATCGGCCTCGTCGCTTGCGTTTTCAGGGCGAGGGAGTACTGTGACACGGATGACCCCGAAGTTCCGGAGCATGAGCACACATGCTGGGTTCGTTGAATCGTTAGACTGATCCTCTGAGGTGGAACCCAGTATTTCGTGGTCTTTGCCAGATCGGAGGTGAATGGTATCCTGGAAAGGCAGAGGTAATTTGTTGGAATCTGAGAGCAATTGGGAAGACGGGGTTTCTTCAGTCGTCACTGCCAATGATAAGATGATAAGAGATTGACCGATGAGGATAAAAGCTGTTTCTTCTGGTTTTGGCACAAATATCTTGGGCTTCGAATCGTCGAGTACGCTGGCGGAGATGTGATGAAGGTCCACGGGATGAGTGGACACCACACGGCAACCGGATGTGCCTGACAAGTGGACCTGAATGACAAACAAAGCCCTGGATTCAGACCATTGGGGTGATCTTACTACCAAAAATAGGCGCCAAGACCCATCGGAGGGGTGAGAAAGATCGCCTGCAGACTGCATTGCAGAGAAAGCAAAGTCCACTACCTGAAGATCTTCAACGGCATTGGCGGGTTTCTTGTGGGCCTGAGGAAGAGCAGCCAGGATTTCCTCCTTCGCATCGAACCGTTTCTTGAGAGTGTTGCCGTGGTTCCAGTGTGTGTCCCAAATTTCCAAGAGGCCAGTCGAAGTTGCAATGACCACATCACGTTGACCGCGCTGGTGGGAACCTCCGGCTCGAACGGCAGTGACCTCTTTTCTCCAGTAACCACCACCCAGGACGTTCTTAAGGTTTCCGAACAACCCACCACCTCCGTTGCCCGCGTTGCTGCGAAGGAAGCTGACAAGCACCGTCGGCTTTCCCTGTGGATCCCTGAGAGTGATATGTGCCACTCGCCCGGAAGAGAATGTTGCGATGACACCAGAAGGCTCCCCGTTCAGGACCTCTGTGGCATATTCACCTGAGAGCATACCGGGCGTAGATCCTTGAATACCATTCTGCTTCTGTCGGGATAATCCAAGCGACGCCGCGCTAGAGACCGTTTCCCAGTAGATCACTTTGCCTGTCGATGGAATGATCACAAGGAGCCCGGGCTGTTCTCCCGTGGCTGTGGAAAGTAGAACTCCGAGGGGAATTGCACCTTTCGGGTCTCGGCATGACTCTGGGATTGAGACTGTGAAGGTCTGCGAAGGAGACGGAGACGAGGTGGGCGCAGAGTACGGCCACACGATGGCATGTGAGCGAGTTAGAGCGAGGGCGTGGTCATGACCAGACCCAAAGAAACACCTGAGGGGTTCTGTATCTCCAAATGTTAAATGATCCACAACCAAATGGGGGAAAACCTATATGGGTAGAACATACCTGATTGCGGTCCGCGAATTTGATCTGGCAATCCAGGTAGCTGGTCCACGGTGTAGAAATCGGTGCTTGACTATTCATTCCCCGCGCATTAGCACCCAGGGCCTGAGAAGGTTGAGCAGATCTACACGGATCTCGTGTCCACTTACCAGAACGACCGTGCCTTCGCTGTTTCCGAGCATATCCCCTTGCTTTGCGGTCCGGGATGCTGGATGAGCATCAGTGGTCGAGTCCTTAGGGGTTTCACCATTTGCTTGGGTGGGTGTCGTCAATTTTGCGATCTCGCGTCCTAGTTGTGTATCGGAAGGGGATTCGTCTGGACGGCGCAAGACAGAGCGCTGTCTCTTCGCCTTCGGGGGGTTGACGGAGTCATCTGAGCTTGTACGTGGGCGTCGTCGAGTGCTGCGACCACCGGCCTTGGGAACGAACATGGTTTGATGTCCGCGTGTCGCGAAGACGCGCTTTCTCGGAAACCGTAGTGTTGTTCACAAACTGAATCGCCGAGTGAGCGAGGACGAGAGGATTGAAGTTTGTTCGTGCTCAAAGAAAGGAAATCAATCGAAAGTCCAGAGCGATCAACAGAGTAGAATAACAATAGAGAGAGAGGTCCGAAGGCGGTGAAGGAACTTTTGGCAGAGGCTCTTTGATCTTCCCGAGAGCTCCCAACTTCCTTCACTCGACTTCACTCTACCTTCTTTCATTTGCTTCAATGTCATTTATACATCGTCTTGGAGGGCTATGGTATAATACAGATTGAAATCTGTCGGTATATGAACTACCTTTCACAATATACCATATCTATATATCCGTTCATCCGTACTTGGTCAAAATAACAATTGTTGTATACTTCCAGAGTCAAGTTCTCATACAACTGTTTCAGATCAGCTACTACGATGAAAACCTAGTTATACAAGAGAGGCAGCAATTACATGTAATCAAGCAAAGCTCAACTGTCTCTCGAGGGGGTTACCATACCAGGCGCAACCGGCTTATTTCGAATGGACACGGCCCGCGGAGGTCTTTTACCCCGTGCTCACGTGAATCCCGCATCTCACCCCCACAAATGCCTTGGAGCTAACTCTCCCTATACACATACGGCCGTTTAGAAACGTCTGCAGACATCATGCTTATGTGGTCTGCCAACTCCAAGACCCCAAAGGGCTGATTAGAGTTGCAGGAACAGAAAATGCTTTCAGGCCTGTCGGGGATCCGATGGAGGTCCATGGCTGGATCACGACCTCTAAACCCCATGCGCCTTACGATACTCTCTTCAAAAAGAGCCCTGCACACGGCTCTCTTCTTCCCAGGTACGTTCTGCTTCTTCCCCTCGAAGCCCGTGGACTCCAGCTGAGGGACACTAGGACATGGCGTCCAACGGGTCGGCATGGCCAATGCCTGGATTGAGAGTTTCCCCCACACCTCCGCCCAGGTATTGGATGAGATGGATAGTACCCTCGGACTCAAACTTTCTGCTATCATATCCGACGGGCCCAACTCGAAGCTCAATAAGACCGAAAACTCCCAGCCAGCCGTAATGGCGACCTCGGTCTTGATACTTCGCATTCTAGAACAGGAGTTTGGGTTTGATGTCAAGTCCAGAATCGACGTGACACTGGGACACAGTCTAGGGGAATTCTCTGCACTCGTCGCCGGTGGCTACCTTACATTTGGCGACGCGCTCCGGTTGGTTCGACGCCGGGCTGAAATTATGGCCCAGTGCACGCGCACACTGATCGAGCAATCTGGCGAAACATATGGCATGGTGGCACTGCTCTGTGAACCCGAACACCTAGACGGGTTACTTCGCACAGTCCAGGATTTCCTTGGCGTTGACCCCCGGGCACCGAGGGCGACACACTGCACCCGGCCCCGCCAATTCAGCAAGTGGTCGTCGCGAACATCAATTCCAGGAATCAAATTGTGCTCAGCGGTAGTCTTGACCGCATCAAAACGCTATTGGTTCAGCTGCGCCAGTTTGGGGGCATGATCCAAGGGCTGTCAAACTGAAAAGTGATAGCCCCTTCCACAGCCCTGCCATGGCGCGAGCTACGGACTACATGAGGGACGCAGTGGAACAGATCGACATTAAATTTCCGGCCTCATTGCCGTGTATCTCGAATGTTTCCGCCCTGCCCTTCCAGTCCAAAGAGGACCTCAAGGACCTTCTCTCAAGGCAATGTACTGATACGGTAAGATGGTGGGATAGCATTCGCTATCTCCATCAGGAAAGAGGCGTGAGGCGGTGGATTGGAATTGGACCCGGGAAGGTTGGACGCAACCTAGTGGGCAAAGAAGTTGGACGGGTTGATGCCAAGGGCGGAGGTGTTTGGGCTGTCTGTGATCCTCGTGAGATTCCAGAGATCATGATTGCCCTAGAAGAAACCGAGTCCGAGGGCCAGACACGAGAACCACAATAGTAACACGCTGAATGTACATTTCCATCCAAACCGTGAAAGATAAACATGACCCGAAAGAACAATAACGAACCAAGGTGGTTCATTCTGATACTGTTACTGCCCAAAATGGATTCAATAAACCGATTCCCAGTTCTTGCGTATGAAGCAAAGTTGTTTGGAATGCTTGCAATTGCGACGATTATTCTATAAAGCCGCGCCTGGTACCCACACATCGCCGATGCGCTTAACTTCTGCCACAAACTTTTTGTTTGAAATGGGCTGACTAGCTGAAATTGAAGCCGTTGAGTTTCCGGCAACCGGTATGTGGTCATCGGGGGAATAGAATGGATTTTGCAAAAGCTGAATATATGCACTTTGCAATGCTCGGAATGCCTATAGTGAACGGTTAGAGGCTGACTTCGACAGCTTGTTATTGATCATCGACATACCGGCTTCATATCCGAGTCCCTCAAGCCATTGATAGCTGCAGCTGCAGGCTTTCCAGGGCCTGCAGGTTCATCTTGACCAGAAACATCCACAATTATCAATAGTTTCACTCCCGTCGTCGTCAACCAGCCATAGGCTGCGAGCCGCTCGTCAATTGCATGCAAGAGGCCCAGATCCTGATCGATGGAGGTTTGCTTGCCACGGATGTCAAAGATGTCAAGGCACGAGTTCAGCAAGAAGGAGAATTCAATAGTAGAGTCCGAGTACGGGGGAAACAGTGAGATGTGAAGGGGGTTATCCTGGCGCATTGGGTCAGTACGGTTATCCAAGAGAAGGAGGGTTTGCGAGGATACACACTGCTTTCCCAATCACGCCAATGCAGGCAATTCTTGGACCTGCCATTTCTGATAGAGATCCCAGGGTGGGCAAGTTGTCCCAGGGCTGTGGTTTGTGTAAGAGATGGGTATTCCTCGGACGCCTGGAGAAGTGCGACACTAGAAATTAGCTCTCCATATCAAGTCAGATAACTCCTGTATTTGAGTAGCTCTTTTCAAAAGAGTTTGCCACAGTCAGGATAGTGGAACATCAAACAAACCACCGAGCCAGCCGTGAGGTGTTTGACCCCCGCAAGTAACTAGCTCCCGTGCGGACAAGACATCCAGGCATCCAGGCATCAAGGCACCAAGGCACCAAGGCAGAGATATCCTTGAACCAATGACGATACAGCCAAATTCCATTTACGAGCACCTTACCGCCTTTACCATACCTGGTTGAGAAGATTGAAAATTACGAGGGGGTAGCCAATCAGAAGAGACATAATTGATTACATCATCTCCTTCAAACCGTGGCTATACCACTCTCGAGGTCTTCCACTTCGGAACCTTTTTGGGGTCTCTCTCCTTGTCGTGCACCCGAAGCCCGCCACCTCTCGTGATTTCATATCACCTCCCCCTCTCCAGACCCAGGCTCCGATTTCACCCTTCGCATTCAATCGCAGAGCCCGCAACTCATTGATTCCCCTTAGTCTCATCCGAAGAGATTTGCAAGATGCTTCCCATGGCGAGGCCCGCCATCTCTGGCGCTCTGTGTGGTAAAGCACCCTCCCTCATATCAAACCTTGAAACGACAAGGTCAATTCGCTGATGGACAGTAGCCGCGCGCCCTCGCTTTGTGGCTTCTCTTCCCCGTGCTCAGCCCTTGGCTGCCCTCTCGACCTCATCCATCAAGTCCGCGACTGCGCTTGAGCGCCCAACATCGACCGGTCAATTGACTGCGTCAGGCAAGGCCCGCACCGAAGTGCCTCTGCCCAGCCAGGAAAAGAAAGAGGGTGCTATGCAATATGTCTTGTTCGTGGTTCCACTTCCAATGCATCCTCAACACTTCCGCTAACGCTTCCCAGGACCACTCTCGATCAAGTGGCCAACTGGGCTCGTCAGAGCTCCCTGTGGCCCATGACCTTCGGTCTTGCATGCTGCGCCGTCGAGATGATGCATCTTTCGACCCCCCGCTACGATCAGGATCGTCTTGGAATCATTTTCCGTGCCTCTCCGCGTCAATCCGATGTTATGATTGTGGCCGGTACCTTGACCAACAAGATGGCCCCCGCCCTGCGCCAGGTGTACGATCAGATGCCCGACCCTCGCTGGGTCATCAGTATGGGAAGTTGTGCCAATGGTGGCGGTTACTACCACTACAGCTACTCGGTTGTCCGAGGCTGTGATCGTGTTGTGCCGGTTGATGTCTACGTTCCTGGATGTAAGTTTAACCTCTTCTCAGGCTGCGGTACAAGAACTGACTAGATAACCCAGGCCCTCCTACCTCCGAGGCACTGATGTACGGTATCTTCCAGCTGCAGAAGAAGATGCGCCACACCAGAATTACACGCATGTGGTACCGCCGTTAATTGGAAAAATGTGATGAACGGGACTGTTTCTTTTATCAATCATGCTGCATGGTGAATTTAGATGCTATCACTGTGGAGTGGAGTACTTGTGTCTTTCTATCTTGTATATCAATATCAGGTCGACCTGATATTCTTCTATGTTTTGCGCTTTCATTTTCTTTCTTTCTTTTTTTGAGCCATGTCGGAATATCCAACATAACCACAGAATCCAAGGATCTATCCTTTGCTGGTCAAGTCACCACATCTTGTTTGTGTATACAGTAGTTTCGAGGTCATGAGGCTTCCCAAAAGCGGCGGGTATGATGTTGGATTTTGCCACCATATGTCATCCTGATTTCAATTTCACTTGAGTAATATAGGCAACATAGGTCATGGATAATTCAATTGTTCTGTCTTAAAGCCCAATGAGAATAACTTGTGCAAAAGTGAAGAGTGTAGAGAGTAGAGAAGACCAATGGCGACCAAGAATTACTAATGGAGACTCGGCGGAAGGATAATCCGTACCTGGTCGCACTTCCGAGTTACCCTGCCGTCTTTAACGATTGCTCAGGACGCTTGACGGCTTTCGGGAATTTATACCAGTAAGTCACAGTGATTTTCCACGGGGCGAAAGCCATTGGCAGCTGAGCCCACCTGCTGCTTGAACGCAACACTGACATTGGATCGGCTGCAGGTTAGAGTCTTCTCGCCATGGCTCGCACTCTCTTGAACGCCGCCAAGTCGGCGTCAAATGTCGTCTCTATTAACCAGGTAGGCTGGGCTTTTGCAAATGAGTGTTCTGATTGGATTGATCTAATCATGGAGGTAGAAATACTCCGTCCAATCTGTTGGTGTCTGGGAGCGCATCCGTCGCCTTTTCGCTATCGACCCCAACCGCTCGACCGGTATCCCCTTGAACTCCCAATACCGTCTCCCGACCCCGGGCTCTCTCCCCCCTCTGGCGTACGATGACCCAGTGACGGTTCCTGCCGGTGACATCGCCGACAACCCTTACTGGAAGCGCGACACTCGGAGAAGCTACCCGCAACTCAGCACCGTGCGCCAGGCCGATGCCGTGGGCCTCCTCACTGTTGGCAGCCACGCTGCCCCCAAGGACGAAGTTCTGAAGCTCGGAGAGGCCGGTGAGCAGCAATTGGTTGCCGTCAAGGAGCAGGGCGAGGAGCGTGGTCTGGCCGCTCTCTTCGAGCAAGACAAGAAGAGCATCCAGGGTGTGTTGGGTGCCAATGGCCTCCCTCCCAACCCTGCCAACATCAACCCTGTTTCGCAGCCTTCACAGTCCAAGTATGAACTTGGGACAGAGAACGGCTACCCCGAGAAGTACGTGCAATGTGCAATATCCCCAATTGATCTGTCGACCCGAGCTAACACTGCCCAGATACACCTGCCGCACTTTTGTTTGATTAGACCGATCCATGTAGCACGGAAAAATAACATATTCCATTTCAGTTCTCAATCTACCCGGATCGCTTCATATTCATGTTTGGGAGATGTAGCCCAGGCAATTGGTTTTGAGGTGGCATTCACCCGAGGCGTGTCTGTCTTTCTTTTCAGTTGTGCCTCTTTCTAGTGAGCGTTGGTGCAATACCTGATCACGAGGGGAATTATTGTACATAGATTCAGATCGAGTAGTCCACCTCCTGGTCAAGGGTCCGGAGATTGCCGCAACCCACTCCCCTCATCATCCCGGACAATTAACCCCACAAAGATCGACCTTGTCCAAGTATTGTAGGTAAGCCGTCAAACCAAGTTTCTGTGGGCCAAAACCGGCGGACTCTCTACGTTTTGGATGGTTCCCTGCTCCGATGGAAACCTTGGCTGTAGAATGCGAGTTGACGTCATGGCCCTCCGCATACTTCGGCCTCCTTTGAATCATGACGACGTCACCTCATTGACTTCTTTATAAGGAACGCCATCTCACTTTTCTCAACTATCATCATTCAACTATTCATCATGACTACTCTACACTGTGAGTTCCAACCCATGTTAGGTGATAGAGTGCATGTGTATTAACAATTCCCAGATCTTCCCCCCGTCAAGCCCTCCGCCATTGCCCTGGGCACCATCTTCACCCACACTGCCTCCCTGGGAATCCTAGCCCCCCGTCTTTGGTGACACCTACCACCGGGCTCAAGCTGCCAACTCCAAGGAGGAATTCCTCAAGTCCAAGGAAGCTGCCGGTGCCGCCGCGGCCTGGGGAAGCTCCCTCGCCGGCAGTGCGATCCAGACCTACGGTGTTGCTGCTCTGATCAATGCCACCGGTACTTTGAGCTACAAGGGTGCTGCCTACCTGGGAACACTTATCTTCTTCGCAACCTCCGCTCCAGGTGTATGTTCACCCTCACTCCTCTATTCCGTTGCAATGCTAATCTCCTCGCAGGTTGTGGCCCAAGTCTTCTCTGAGAAGAGGCCTCTTGACACCATTGCTGTTGGTGCGGTCTCACGTGTGTTTGAGACCGTGGGACTCAGCTTGTTCCTCACCTGGTGGGGAACCCGCACTCACCCCTTTGACTAAAGTGCATGGATGTGCCATGTCAGGGTCTAGCGGGATATAATCCGATATCTTTAGACTTGAAACAAGCTCAAGTCAGCTAATGCTTGTACATGTACACGAATATGAAACTGCCTGAATAATTCAATTGATGTCCCCTGCAAGTATAGGAGTGATCTATGAGAGCGACGGTGCCCGTTCAAGTACTCTACAAAACGAGCTGGTATGTATATGGGATGAAGCTGCCACTTGCTTAAAAGTCCTTGGACCTATCTTACTACTCAGCATTGTTCGATATCTTGTAGTGTGCATAAGAAGTGTGGAATGTAACTCGATACCCACATTACCCACATGGATCGACTACTCATAATGTTCAGACAGTCAATTGGGTTGACACTTGGCATTGTGGGTACATCATTCTCTGTTGACACATATTAATGCTAGTTTTGAAGTGATTGTATGCACAGAACTATAGAACTTGAGAACGACATTAGCAGTGCACACTGCATATGCATTGCACATTACGGTGTCGATCACATTCGCACGGGCCAAAGCTTGTGTTGGGCTGGATGCCAGAAGTATCTGCGCACTGGACCTTTGGACAACATTAGATCTGATATGTACCTATCCAGATGGTATATAGGAACAGTTCTAGTCAATTGCCAGCATATGGCCATTTCTGACTTATGCTTGCCACCGTATCATGTGATCTGTGTTTATTTAGCGATAACACTCCCCACCACCCAAAAAAAAACTTCCCCTTATGCAATCCCCCCACGATGATCGAAATTCCATTTGCAACCCCCCAGGATATCGAATTGAGCCCACCGTCAAGTCCTGATGGGTTCAGTATCAGTGAATCCCTGGCCCCACGTCGGGAAAACTATGCTGCGGTGACCACAGACGCTTCATTTGACGGCATCCTGAAGGAACCTTTGCAGTTCAAAGAAGATATTAAAAACGGATGTGGGGGTCAATTATGGCCTGCGGGCATGGCTCTGGCAAAATACCTCTTATGCCGTCATGCCACCGATCTATCCGATAAGACAATGTGGGTGAGGCCCTCAACTCGTGGTCTCCCGAGGTTCTAACGGTTGACTAGCGTGGAACTGGGGGCTGGAGCAGGCCTGGTTGGACTCGCCATGGCCCGTGGGTGTCACCTCGAAAACCCCATCTATCTCACAGACCAGGAACCCATGCTATCCTTAATGAATGATAACATCCAACTGAACAACCTCGGCCCAAATGCGACTGCTGCGATACTAAACTGGGGAGAACCAATCCCACACCAGATCCCGTCAAAACCGGACGTCATTATTGCCGCCGACTGCGTCTATTTCGAGCCGGCGTTTCCTCTGTTGATCACCACGCTCCAGGAGCTACTGGGACCCAACTCGGTCTGCTACTTCTGCTACAAGCGCCGCAGACGAGCGGATCAGCGATTCATGAAAATGGCTAAGAAGGCCTTTGACATGGAGTTAATCACCGATGACCCCGGTGCCGCAGAGTACAACAGAGAGAACATCTTCATGTACACGATACGTGCGAAACAGACCAAACCGGCCAGAAGTGCCACTTGAGATGATATGTGCAATGCTTGAAAATAGATTTGATGTAGAAAGAAATATGACTCCAGAATAATACAAGCCCTTCACAGTTTCAGATTATCTCCCCTGTTTTGACCACCCGCCTTGACGGCATCGCCATTGATATCGGTCACGCGACCTTCCTTGTCAATGACCTTGACTCCTCCCTTCTTCAGATCGGTCATCATCTGCTGCTTCTCGGCTGCCTTGCCTGTCTTTTGTTGAGAGGGCTCGGCATTGGCCTTCTTTTGAGTCTGCTTGTTCTGGCGTCTGTTCTTGGCCTTCTGTTCGCGAGACATCTCCTCCTTGGCAATCGATGCACCGTTCTTGAGGACCACTTCGCCCTTGACCTTGCCATCGTCACCGGGGGCGTAGATCTCCTGCGGCGCAAGTCCCACGGGTCCGCCAGCAGCACCGCCAGCGGTGGGGCGTGCCTCTTCCATCATGATGGTGGGAGCATCGGTGACGACATTAATACTGGCCTGGGCAATCTTCGGCTTGTAGTGCCAGTTGCAGAGCGTATCCAATTGAGCGCTCACATCGTTCCACAGGCTGTTGATCTCGGCGTGCTCCCGCATCAACTTGCGGTCCTTGGTATCCACATAGTTGGGATCATTGGCCTTGAGGTGATCCGCCTCATACATCTCAGCAAGACCTTGCTGGGCCTTGGTATCGTCCAGCTCGAAGCGAGGCTTCCTTCCAGCTTGCTGGGTCTCCGCGCCTGGCCGACGGCGGACGACCTCGTCAAACTCCATGGCGAGGATGCGGCGTTTGACCAACTCCTCAATGTCCTCGCTGGTCTCATTAGTGACGACGGGAACGGGTTTTCCAATGCGTTCAAAGTCCAAATCTTCTTCGATGAGCGAGTTGACAGGTCTCTGCGCAGCTTTGGCTTCACCGGCGACCATCCATTCCTTCTTGGCGACGTTGGCCGCCTCCAGTCGACGGATCTCATCTGCGATCCGCGCCCTTTGCTTTTCGTGTGAGGATTTGGGGCCAGCATCACCAGATTCGTCCATATCGTCGCCATCTTCCTCGGCCGAGGCGTCCTCGTCATCAAACAGGTCACGTCGAACGTCATCAATGGCACGGGTGACATCAGCCTCGTCGACTGGTGTGGCATCAGGTTGAGTTTTCGGAAGTGCGCGCAACTTCTTGTTCGAGGCCTTGCGGGGCGGAGGGGCGAAGAAATCGGCGTATTTGATATCACTCGTGTTGACCCAGCCCGCAGCTTCTTCCTCGCCAAAGTTCTCGGCATCTTCGTTTTCGGAGTCCGTGTCGGCGTTGAGATCGACATTGCCGAATGTCGGCCCTTCTTCCTCGCTGTCATCCATCTGTTCGTCTTCGGCCACCGCGCGGTTCTTCGATGCTTTGCTGTCGTTGACGGGGGCGGCACTTCCGGCCATCAGTGGGTTTGAGTGCCAGTCGAGTTCCTCTTCGTCGCTGTCTTCTCCTTCCTCGGGTCCTCCCTTGACGTCCTGTCGTTCCAGTGCTTCAGACTGCTTGTTGAAATCATCGATAGAGAAGAATCCATCATTGAGGCCAAATTTATCCTCGACAAAGGTCTCAGGCGCTTCTTCGGAGCCCATGGACTTGTCGTCGTCCCAGTCCTCCATTTCTTCGTCATCCATATCCTCGTCATCTTCCTCACCCAGGGGCTCGGCCTCCATATCAGATTCTGCCTCAGATTCTTCCTCCTCTTCAGCGCCTGAACCCCCAGAGAGCTCTTCCATACCCTCTTGGCTGTCGCTATCGGATTGCGCAAGCTCGGGGTCTGAGAGATCTCCGAGTTCAGATTCATCCTGGTCTAGGTAACCACTGTGCTGAGCGATCAAGCTGATATCCCGTTCGACTTCTTCACCCGTGGACTCGAGGATCCGAGTTGCCTGTTCCCATATCTGATTTGAGGTAAAGCCGTCCACGTAGAGGTTTTTCAACTGTAATTGGGTAATTTGGTCGGCATCGTCTGATCTCTTGCGCTTTTTGTTGATTTGGCGACGAGTGGTTTGGGCGTCCACGACGGATCCCGCGAGGGTGTCCAAGATGTGCTTTGCGGAGTCTACGACGGTGGTGTGTAGGTCGTTGGTGGGTCGGAGAAATCCCCATGGGGAGGATAAGGCGGATGAGAGGGCCATGTTGTGTGCAGGATCTCCTGTCGGGAATGCTTTCTCGCCAGGGTGTGCAGTGAAGTTCGAGGTCCAAGTTGGAAATGCAAAAAAAAAAATTATCGGAGGGTTGACCAATCAGCGCGATGGGCGATAAGATAACAACATCTCTACCTCCAGGACTACTTTGGTCTACTCTTCTTTTCTTTCTTATTCTTCTTTATTCTTCTTTTGTTTTTATTAAATGACTTGATGTGTCTTAATACACCCTGGAATACAGGAATCTTGAGTTCAAGTTTTCATTTGAAGATATATCTCCAACTGATCTTGAATGCTGGAACGGCGTTGGAGAACTAAATAACATTCATGGATTGTTTTACACTCTCCCATGTTCACTATACCAGCATCACTAGGTCTCAAATGCATGATGCCTACTGCTATTACTGATTGCTCACCACTACAAGCACTATAAATACAGTCAAGGGCATTGCCTCATGCCTTCTGGCCATCGCCACTAAAACATGACGCCAATCTTCCATCATGAGTATATAGCAGAATTACTGCAAAATATCTCGCAGGGACCCACGATCAATTGTGGCTACACGCAGAGCCGCCCCCACCACATTCAAAGGGTCTAGACTAAGGTTATCTTGAGCGGTTGCCCCCTTGGGCTGCGAATCGCCTCAAGTCGGGCGGTTCAGAATAGTAAATCGTCATAGTGACAGAAAGTCCAAGGCAGTTGTTTGGACTATGCATTATTGCCCAATAATCTACTTAAGCAGGAGTCCCCCTTGTTCCCATCTGTGTATGCTCACCTGTTTAACAATTGATATTCAATAACGACAGCACTACGTCTGTATATACTCATCAAAATGCCCGTTGCCCAGTATGTCGAGAGACCGGCCAGTGGGTCCAAGTCTCAGTTCGAGCCGGGTGAGTATACAAACCTCCCACTGGTCTAGCCTTGAAGCTCATCCGTACAGGCCACAAAATTCCCATTCAGCACCTGACCAAACCGGGTCTGCAGTCGGACATGGAAGATCCCAAGCCCGTGTCCGCTCATATCCCAACCGAAGATGGCGGCTACCAGATCTATAAAGCTGCAGGAAAGCTCGAGGGGAAGAAGGCCATCATCACTGGTGGTGACTCGGGAATTGGCAGAGCCATTGCAATCCTGTTTGCCATGGAGGGTGCGTCAAGTGTGATCGTATACCTCCCCGAAGAGGAATCCGATGCCCAAGAAACCAGGAAAAGAGTGGAGGAGCATGGACAGCAATGTCATACTCTTGCCATCGACCTTCGCAAGAAGGAAAATTGCCAGAAGATCATCGACGTCTCCTTGCAAAAGATGGGCGGCATCGATATTCTCGTGAATAACGCGGCGTACCAAGACATGCTGAGCGACATCAGTGAGATCGATGAGTGAGTATAGCTGCACCTGGAGACATCCAGTCTGATACTAAAACCTGTTATAGATCCCAGTGGGAACGGACATTCGATACCAACATTCACTCTTTCTTCTATTTGTCCAAGTATTCACTGCCTCATATGAAGAAAGGCTCCACCATCATCAATTGCGCATCGGTCAATCCTTATATTGGCCGAGGTGACTTGTTGGATTACACTGCAACCAAAGGCGCGATTGTCGCATTCACGCGTGCCCTGTCAAATCAACAAGTCAAGAAGGGCATCCGAGTGAATTGTGTCTGCCCCGGTCCAAGTGAGTCTCCCTCTTCCCATCCCTTCTCTGCCTGACACTAACAAGACAGTCTGGACACCACTGATTCCAGCGACAATGCAAAGCGCTGCCATGGAACAGTTCCATGCCGTGCCAATTGGTCGACCAGGCCAGCCAAGTGAGGTGGCAACGTGTTTTGTGTTCCTGGCCAGCCAGGATAGCAGCTACATTTCCGGACAATGTCTGCACCCCAACGGAGGAATCATGGTCAATGGTTAATGGTTAATGTCGAGACCGTACCAACCAGGTACAGACCGGGAACTGCAACCAAAACACAAAAAACAGATAGAATCAAAAGAAAATTGACGCTTCGCTTCGCTTCCAATCCTGACTACAGATGTCCGTAAACTAAAGGCTATAGACCGTTTCATGTTAATATGTGGTGTCTTTGATGGGTCGCTTGATGTGATTGTGGCTGTACACTACTCCCCTCGCCAGGGCTGAATCACTCGGATCCATCAGCCTCATCTTTCTCATCCTTATCATCGGGCTTAGTTTCTGGCTCGGCTTCCTTTTCCTCGAGCTTGGGCGCATTGGCAACAATCTTCTGAACAGCATCCACAGTTGCATCGGGGCCACCAGACTCGCGGAGCAAGACCTTACCCTTCTTATCAACGGCGAATACACCGCGTATGGTGCCCTTGGGCGATTTCTTAAGACCAATGGCTGCAATGAGGTTGGCCTGCGGGTCACACAGGAGTGGATATTGAAGGTTTTGCCGGGTCTTGAACGTGGTGTTGGCCTTGGGGGAGTCCCCGGAAAGACCGTAAATAGAAAGACCAGAGGAGGTCAGATGGGTGTGATTATCACGGAACAAGCAAGCTTGCTTGGTGCCTGAAGATGAGTCGCAGTCAGTCATCTTGTAATTTTTCCGAATGTTCCAAGCTTGCCAACGGCGACGGAGAGATACTTACAGCCAGGTGTTGAGGCCTTGGGGTATGTAAAGAATACCACGCCAGCTTTACTTTCATCCAGGAGCTTCTTGAGGGAGGTTGTCTCGCCATCATTGGTCTGCACTTCGCCCCCGAAGGATTCAATGTCGATTATATCATCCACTTCAGGGACCTTGGAGCTCTTCTTCACATCCACATCGACATCGGCCGCGACATCAGCATCCACATCCGGTTGAGGCTTGGGAGCTTTGGTCTTTTTCTCTGGGACCGGAGGGTTGGCCGGTGCCTTGCGCTTCCTGAGTTCCACCATCTTGTGAGTAAAAAAAGCCGGAGGATTTGAATACCAATGAAAGTATGTATGTGCAGTATATGCATAAGAGGGGGGAGCTGAAGATAGATGTTCTGGAAGCTGACATAAGCCGGGAAAACCCGTGCCCTGAACCGGAGAAAAAGGGAAAAACTTAGATTTGCTGATCGCCTCGCATAATCCACTTGACTCCAGTTTTTTTTTCTATCAGGTCCTTACTCAGATTCGCCTCCTTCTCTCCACACTTCTCCTCACTTCGATTTCAATCTTGACTCACTTGAGACTCGTTTTTCGCTCTTCTTCCTCCTCTTCCTCCTCTCACCTCTCTCTCCGTCAACTCCGTCATTTCCGTCAACTCCCGAGGTTCATTTGTCTTATCATCGCGTCGTTCTCGCCACAATGAAGGTCTTCTCTTCAGGCTGCACCTTCGACTACTCATGGGACGAGGTGTCCACTGCAAACTGGCGCAAGTACTGCCCATGGAATGATAAGTCGACACATGTTGTGGGCGTCGACACTCTCTCCCGCACTGTTGATCCGAGCACCGGCATCGTGAGTCACCGAAACCTCCTTTGGGAGACCTTGCAGTCTCACCGAGATTTCACTTTGTACTAACTTGTGCCTATCAGCTACGCACCGAGCGTCTTATCACATGCAATCAGTCCGTACCACAATGGGTTCTCTCCATCCTCGGGGGAACCAACACCTCCCACGTTTATGAAATCTCCTATGTCGACCCGGCATCCAAGAAAGTGACCATGTGCTCCACCAACCTCACATGGTCAAACGTCCTCAGCGTTCGCGAAACCGTCACCTACCAACAATGCCCGCTCAACCCGGCCACCACGACCGCATTCCACCAAGAGGCGAAAATCACCGCCCTTTGTGGTGGGTGGCAAAAGATCAAGAACAAGGTTGAAGACGCCAGTGTGGAGCGATTCCGCGAAAACGCCAAGATCGGCCGCGAAGGCTTCGAGACCGTCCTGGAGATGAGCCGCCGCGTCTTCGGCGAACAACGCGATCTCGAGAAGCAGCGCATGCAAGCATGAGCTCTCCGACCTTGATGCTATTTCCACACCTGATTCTTTCTCCACGAAGCGATTGCATTAATTGGGCGCCTTTTCTTCTTTGCATACAAAAGCACGCGGCGCCTCTCGGAGTTTTCATTTTTGCTCTTGGGTCTTTCTTTTCCACCGTCTCGACTCTGTTTCACTCTGCTCATGAATACCACCTCGCCATATTTTGTCCGCGATGCCAGTTGGCTCCAAAAAAAAGTTGTCTCACTACTTATACCAAGCGTATCCTGTTGTCGTTTAGAAGCTGTCAACGCATATTTGCAGCATGTGTATTATCATGGATATAGATCACGTTTAGAACTTGATAGAACTTGATACACCTTGTTTTATTATCACCAGATCTCCAGCCAATCTTCTGGTTCAGTAACCTCGGTCACCAGTCGTTCAGATACTTTGTACATTCCAACCTTATTATCGTACAGCATCTTGATTCATATATCGTGAAAACCCAAACCATATATATCCACAGAAAGAACGCCAGACCCGAAAATGTATACAACCATATACATGACCAGAACCAAATACCCTCAATTATCCCAAAAGTCCCCCAAGCACCACCCGACTCACACCGGCAACTTCGCTTTTGGCACTGTTCCGGCTCGCATCTTCAAACTCCCGCACTGCGCCAGCCACCATGATCTTCCGTAGTCTGGCGTCCGCCTTTGAGAACGTTTCACCCAAGGCTACCGTGCAGACCGAGGGTGAAGAGACGAGCGCAGTGAGACGGCTGTAGCAGTCAATCAAAACATCACATAGCGTCGCAAACGTCTCGAAGAAATCCGGCTCAAAAGGCAACGAAGGCGTCAGAAGATACGTATATTCTTCCCCGGGAAGGAGATCTGAGGATTCTGTAAGGGGGAAGGAAGTGACAGAGGCCCCAGAGGAGGCCGACCCAAGATTCCCAGCCATATTCTTCAAATCTGACGGATCACTGGATTGCATGGGAAGTCCAATATCTGTTGCCGAGCTGGCACGGCGAGTCTTTGTGCCTGCATGCGCCGCACGCTTGAACATCTGGGGGATACGGGCTCTCGCTAAACTTGACGATGAGCTCCCATCCGGGGGATGCACTTGCTGGAAGGCTTCAAACTCCAGCAGAAGAGCATTAAGAGCTCGCAGATATTCAAACGGCGTAGAATTCACATCGAGTATAGTGGGCAGAGACAATCCCAGGAGTAGATAGTTGATGGCTCGGCGAGATAGCTTCTTAGCTTCGAAATAAGGTAGGCGGGCGATATCAGCGCGCGAAAAATGCACGGTATTAAACCAATATACTCTTCCTTCGTGTCTGTAGCGTAGGTTCAGTTAGCGAACTGAGGTTCATTGTCTGACTGGGTGGTCCACACTTACGCTTTCCTCAGGTAGTCGAGGGTTGATATGCGTTTCGCGGCCATCTCGTGGATCTGTTGATAGATGGCGCCTGCACTCTGCGGCCCTAGCAGACCCCCTCCACTCGAGACCGGTGGCGGGAGGCCATGGGAAGGTTCATATCCAGCGCCCGATTTGGCCGTGTCCCTTCGAGTGAGGCTTGGGGTAAATGTAGAGGGGATCATTTAGGTAGTTTCGGGGGAGGTATTGAGGCGACACGGCGACAACAGGGGGTCCAAAGAGGGTAGGAGAGGGAAGAGGCGGAAGCCCAAAGTATTATGTATAATAGAACCCAAGAATAAAAGAATAGAATATGACACAGACGATATGAGCTCGACAAAGTGACGGGGACTCAGGAGAAAAGTCCCCCGCGAAGTTTGGGCGTATGCCTTTTACCCCCTTTGTAATTTATCTGTCGATCACCCCTCCTACTTCCTGTTCACCTACACTCCTCTCCTCTGCGATATTGGAAAGATGGACACAACACCCCCTGAAGAGCACATCCCCAAGCCTGGAGAATGGCCTGTTGATCCTCAGGAAGACCTCCCAATCTCAGAGGACCGACTCTGGGTGGACGGATGTTTCGACTTCAGTCACCACGGTAGGCCCGCCGATTTTGCATTCAATTGCTGTAACATGAGTGTTGATCTCTTGGTATAGGCCATGCTGGAGCTATGCTTCAAGCTCGTCAGCTTGGAAAAGCTCTTTACGTCGGAATACACTCCGATGAAGCGATCCTTGAGAACAAGGGTCCAACTGTGATGTCACTGGAAGAACGGTGAGTTCGCAACACGGATACTTGCAGCATAGTCCTCATGCTAATTTCAACCCTCTTCATAGTGTTGCTGCCGTTGACGCCTGTCGCTGGGCCACTCAGAGTGTCCCCCACGCCCCCTATGTGACCTACCTACCTTGGGTCTCCCACTACGGTTGTAAATACGTGGTGCACGGAGATGATATTACCTCAGACAGCGACGGCAACGACTGCTATCGATTCGTGAAAGCTGCTGGCCGCTTCCGCGTCGTCAAGCGAACCCCTGGAATCTCGACCACCGATCTGGTCGGCCGCATGTTGTTATGTACCAGGAACCACTTTGTCAAATCAGTCAAGGGAACCCTCTCTGGAAAGGAAGGATTTGGAAGTCCCGAAGAGCGTCAAGCTTCTGCCACAGACCTCCTGCGCCGAATCAAAGATTATGCCACAGATGAGAGCGGGCTGCAGCCCGGCCCGCAAGTGTGGACGTGGAGTGGCTCTGGTACCGCTAAGTTGGATCATGTGCTCGAAGAGGCTGGCCAGTTCGAGACCTTGGTCGATGGAAAGGGACCCCGGCCGGGACAGCGCATCGTTTATGTCGACGGAGGATTTGATCTCTTTTCGTCCGGTCACATTGCTTTCCTTCGCAAGGTGACTGAGCTCGAGGAAGCAGAGGCTCGTCAACGTGGCTGGTACGAACCAGAGCAAGCTGAGAAGAGACTCAAGGAGTTTAACGAAGACTATGCTCCGGCCTATATCGTCGCAGGTATTCATGATGACGACGTGATCAATCACTGGAAGGGACTGAACTACCCCATCATGAACATATTCGAGCGTGGTCTGTGTGTGCTCCAATGCCGAGTAAGTATTTAAATTCCGTTGCGCATCTTCTGGTTGCTGACATCTTTCAAAGTACATCCATGCCGTCGCATTCTCGGCACCCTTTACCCCCAGCGAGGCATACCTGAAAGCCATGCCATGGGGTACTCCCGATGCTGTCTACCATGGACCTACCACCTTCATTCCCCTGACCTACGATCCGTACACCGATCCCAAGAAGATGGGTATCTTCCGGGAAGCTGAGCAGCATGCGTTCCAGCACGTGAATGCCGGCGAGATCGTCGGCCGAATTTTGAAGAGTCGTGAAGCTTATGAAGCGCGGCAACGGGCCAAGCTGGACAAGGCCGTTGCCGAGGATTTAGTGAAATCACAGGAGGCCGCCGCCGCAGCTCAGTAAGCAAGCTTGAGGGAATACTAATGTAATGAAGATCAACTGTACATAAGCTATAGACCTCATCAACTGAGGTTCCTTTTCTTTTGTTCTCTTTTCTCTCGAGCGCCTGATTCATTCTTTCGCATGGCGACTTACAATCAAGCTACATAGCATGGCAGGAGAGAAGAAAGGCTACATGAACCTATATGGGTTATAGACCCCCAGCGTACAACCTCCAGGGCGACTACTCGACATTTTGACAAATGCATCTAGAAGGCCATGGAAGGACAACTGCCATTTGTAACAAGAACACTATCTGACCAGCAGGTATATTATGACCAGAGAAAACCGATATAAATAATTTTACAGACTGTCAAAAGGTGACATCATTCAGACCCAACTATTTATTCGTCGGCCGCAACGAGGACACCCTTGGTCTCAAGGAGCTTAGCAAGCTCACCATTCTGGTGCATGGACATCAGGATATCACAGCCACCAATGAACTCCTTCTCGAGGTAGAGCTGAGGAATGGTGGGCCATTCGGAGTACTCCTTCACACCTACAACACAATTAGTGATTTGAACCCGCCAGTCTCGGATAAAGAATTCCTACCTGAGCGCAGCTCTGCGTCCTCGAGAACGTTGAAAGCAACGAACTTCTTGGGGTCAACACCCTGCAGGCCGAGGATCTGAATGCTGGCGCGCGAGAATCCGCACTGCGGTGTCTCGGGGGTACCCTTCATGAACAGGACCACGGGGGCGGAAGAAACAGCCTTATCGATGGCGGTGCGAGTCTCGTCAGAGATCAGACGGGCATGGAGAGCAGAGGGGATGGAGGGGCCCGTAGGGAACTGAAGCGCGGAACGGACGGGGCGCAAGAAGGTTGGCCGCGCGACGGGGCGGAAAGCCTGGGAGTGTCAGTCAGATAAACAAGAACAGGAGATACCGTACTTACCGATGCAACTGCCCTGGAGAACATTATAAAGATTGTGTATTGGGGGAGAATATGAAAGAGAGAGGAACAAACAATAGCCGCGGGAAAGGGAACTTTTAATCAGCGGCTGGCGGTTGGTCTGCCGATCTCCACTTTGATATATAAGCTCGGACCTGCCTCAGGTTGCATACTCTCACACTTCTTCTTGACCTCTCTCTCTCTCTCTCTCTCTCTCAACTTCACTCGCTTTCTCATTCTACTAAACACATCATGGACAATTCCCAATTCGTGGCTCAACATTACAGGGATGATAACAAATTTCACATCCTGTTGGCAGCCTCGGGCTCTGTTGCCACCATCAAACTGCCCAATATAACGGCGGCGCTATGTCAGAATGAAAACGTTTCCGTCCGCATCATAGTCACAGAGGCCTCAGAGCAGTTCCTCATGAACCAGAGCTCAGAGCAACCAATTCTTGACTCTCTGCGCCAAATAGAGGGCGTGGATGGGATATATCGTGACCAAGATGAATGGTCCCCGCCATGGACGCGCGGGGGCCCGGTCTTGCACATTGAACTTCGTAAATGTCAGTAGAATTGACATGAATCACAAAATTTAGCTGGACTAATCATCCACTAGGGGCCCATCTTCTTCTGATCGCTCCAATGTCAGCAAACACCATGGCAAAGATGACCAACGGGTTTGCGGACAACCTGCTCCTATCAACCATCAGGGCCTGGGATACGACGGGGCTGGTAGACAAGGACTTCAAAAGTCGGACACCCAGGATCTTCGTAGCCCCAAGTATGAACACGGCAATGATGATCCACCCGGTGACCGAGAAACAGCTCAAAGTGCTACGCGATGAATGGGGCTGGAGTGAATCAAACCCACAGGGCTGGGTGACGGTGCTGCCGCCAATTGAGAAGAACCTAGCCTGTGGCGACGTGGGGAGCGGAGGCATGATGGAGTGGAAGGACATTGTCACCGCCATCGAAAGTTATATGAAGTCGGTGCAGAAGCCATAAGCACCCAAAGCAGGCTGTTTGTCACTGATATTATTACATTCATTATTGCGTCAAAGTGGCCTCTAGCGGCCTCTCCTCTGCGGTATCATACAATCCAAGGTACTGCGTCGCATACTCAGCGAGCAAACCCAAGGAGATTCCTCCTCCGGTCAGCAGGCATCCATTTTTGAACCACCACCAGCAGTTCTTGACGCTCTTCAATTGGACTTTCCAGATCATCAGACCAAGTGAAAGAACGGCACTGCCACAGCTACCGACGAAAAAGACAGGGCCCGCGCCGGCAGCAACGCCGGCAGCTGCGAGGAGGGAGACCTGGGTCACTGCCAGGCCACTCAAGACAGCCTTGGTGTTGTGTTCGTGGCGGAGGGCAATGGACTTGATTCCGGCTGCGACATCGTCTTTGATATCCATGTGTGCATAGATCATATCGTACAAAACTGTCCAGGCAATACAGCTGGTATACAAGGCCCCGGCCGCCATCAATGCATCGTGATTAGCCAGCAGGTCCACCCCTAAGGCTGGGAAGCCCATGATCGCTCCCCATGAAAAGGCAAGACCCAGAACAGCCTGGGGGTAGTTGGTCACGCGCTTGGCGAGAGGGTAGGCCAGCACAATTGGCACACTAGGAATTCCATACCAAAGGCATTGAGTTGGGAAGGACATTAGGACACCCAGTCCAGCCAAGAATTGTGAACCGGTGAAAACGAGTGCCTTGGGCGGCGAAAGTGCACCTCGCGCAATAGGGCGGAACTTAGTACGCTCAACGTGAGGGTCCAGATTCCGGTCCCACAGATCGTTGACGGCGCAGCCTGCACCCCGCATGATCAGCGCGCCCGAAAAAAATAGGGCTGATATCCCGAGGACCTGAAGGGGGGCGGCGCCAGCCATTGGCGCGGCAAGGAGGGTGGAGAAGAGAGTTGGGAAGAACAGGTAGTATGTGCCAGTAGGCTTATCCAAGCGTACTAGTTCCGCATATGGAATCCATGCTTTTGGCAAGGACGCGATCAAGCCGGTCTGTGGGGGGATGTAGTGTGTGGCCGGGTTCTTCTCCGCATTGTCCGTCTGGGATGGCCTCACGGGTGAATTGACAGAGTTGCGTCTGATTTGAATTGATGATGTGTGCGATTTGGGAATTGAAGGAAAGCGAGCGTGTTTTAATTGCGAGGAACAGGCATTGCGAGCGAGTGAAGATAGGCGTCGAGTGTATAGGCCGGTGACGGTGACCTTGGTCTGCGCAGACAACCGGCCGCGCAAGAGGTGGGCGCTAGACAGCATGGTGAATGTTAGTGAACCAGCTGGGTCAATGAATGCAATTCATGTCTGGGAATATTGCACCGAGGATCCAAGATTGCGGAGGTTGAGAGAGCTCCGGGAATTATGCAGGAAAACCGCCCTCCGACTAAGCCTATTTGGGGGAAGTATAGCATCCAACGTCTAGTTGAAAGAGTATACAGAGCAACCCCGTCTGTGGGCAGCTCCGAAGAACAATTTTAAAGTTACCGACAAGGTCAAAGATCTAATTTCAATATTACTAGAAGGGATGAAAGTGCGACAAAGACTGTATTCTTTGTTAGAATCCAACGAACGCAACTCCGCCCACTCCGAGAAAACGGTTGATGCCTCAGGTGTCATGGCGCGTATGGAAGTAAACCCGCGCTCCCCTCCGCTTCACAATCAAATCGACTTCTGTCCGTTTTATATCCTTGACGTTCTCTCCTTCTCCCCCTCTTCCCCTCTTACAATTCATCCTGACTACTCTCCAACTTCTTCTAGATGCTTTGACATCTTCCGTAACCGCCCTCGGCCATGAGCCCATCTTGTACTATCTGAACACCGAGTAGACAGCGCCCCCTCTGGTGCTCTCCTCTGCGCCATGCCTGCTCACAGGAGTCGCATGGCGTTTGAGCCTATGCCACCAGGCCTCGATATCAATGCGGTCGTCGATTCCACCCCCAACTTTGAGTTTGCGATGCGAATTACTTGCGACTCAGTCAACCAATTTCCGTTGGCAGACTTCGAGAAGTTGGTACTGTACCAAGTCGTTCTCTCCGGAAAACCGCTTGTTATTGAAGGGTTCCAAAGTCACTTAGACCAAGAGCTCTTCTCCGAGAAATGGCTTCGTGAACGTTACTCGTCCAAAGGTAAGCTCCATTCTGGGAATCGACAACTGCCAGCTCGATACTGATCACCTTGGCGCCTTCAGTTGAGGTCGTGCGCGACTTGACGAAGAAGAAAAATGCCTTTTTCAGCATAGGCCACTACCTCGAGAACCTACCGCTCCTCGCACGTCAGATGACCGCGGATCACTACGACCTCAAAGCACGCCAGCGTCTGTACATGAAAGACATCGACTGCCCGCCGGAATGGCATCAATACATTGAGGACATAATCCCACCATCTCTTTTCTATCTCAACGAGGCACCCAAGGATTTTAAGGGCCCTGCCTCGGGAAAATCAAATGTATCTGAGATTCCGCGAACTGCGGAACAGCAGCTGATCGCTCCGGCTGGGGATCTGATGAGCAGCCTGCCTCCAAATATGCGAGCCGAAAATTTGATGTGCTACATTGGCCACGAAGGGACTTATACTCCGGCACACCAAGAAATGTGTGCTAGTTTAGGTCACAATCTCATGGTCGATGCTTCCTGTCGAGGCCGAGAGAACGGGCAAGCGACCACGGAGGGCTCGTCAATATGGCTCATGACTGGCACCAAAGATCGGCACGTGGTTGCGGAGTATTGGCTGTCTGTCCTCGGTCATGACATTGACATCGAGGATTTCTTTGCTCCCTTGCATGCTTGGCAAATTGCACCGTTCACTACCTTTGTGGTTGACCAAAAGCCCGGTGATTTGATCCTGGTGCCACCACTGGCCGCTCATCAGGTGTGGAACCGCGGAACCCGCACCATGAAAGTTGCGTGGAATCGAACGACGGTTGATACCCTTGAAATGGCCTTGAATGAAGCTCTACCCCACGCAAGGATGGTGTGTCGTGATGAGCAATACAAGAACAAAGCCATTGTGTTCTTCACCCTGGAACGCTACTGGAAATTATTACAACGGGCAAAAAATGTCAAACATCCCGTCGTTGATCGAATGTGGGTGGACTTCAAACGACTGTTCAATTTGTACAAAAACATTCTGTTGTCCGAGAGCTTTCCCCTGAAGAAGCTGGAAAAAACCGTGGAATTCACCGAGTACCAGAGCAACGTGACTTGTTCTTTCTGTCGCTGCAACATCTTCAATCGATTCCTCACCTGCAACGGCTGTGCAGATGTGAAACACCATGGAGAAGAACTGGGTGCGTATGACGTATGTATGGACTGTTACGCGATGGGTCGAAGCTGTGCATGCATCTCAAAGCTTCAGTGGGTGGAACAGTTTCCCATCAAGCAGCTGACCGAGAAATATGATTCATGGCGTCGACTCATCGTTTCCTCAGACGAGGATGACAAGGAGATCAAGCACAAGTTTCCGACTTTCGTGGTCGCCCGAGGACAGGCGGGCAAAAAATCAATTGCTCAGATATGCCAGGAGCAGCTGGCCCGTCGTCCGTGGATTGATGCTAAGAATCCCCAACCGGTTACCAAACCGACACGGAGACAATCAAAGAAAGGAAGTGACCCGGATGACGATGACGACGAAGACGGTACGCCTCGGAAGAAGAGAAAGACTCGACCATCGATTACCAAAAAGCCCGAGGACACGAATCGTTGTCACGTCTGCCTCCATCAAGAAATGAACTGGAAACTAGCAACTTGCTCAAATTGCGACCAGCGGTACTGTTACGGCAGTCTGTACCGGGCTTTCGAGATCCTCCCCCACGAAGCAATGGAGAAGCACCACTGGCTGTGCCCCAAGTGCCGAAAGGTGTGCAGCTGCGGCGCTTGTCAACACGATCCCAACATGAAGCCCTACGAGCCAAACTGCACAGTACTGGGTCATGACACCAGCTCGGTCGCCGATCCGCGCAGTATTGAATCACTAGTCGACTTCCGCAAATCCAATCTCTGGTGGCTTAAGAAATTCCGGGGCGATGATGTACATGGGCGCATCGAAAAGCGTCAACGCGAGGCTCAGCAGGCTGAACTTGAACGACACATCAAACTGCAAGCTCAAGGGTTCAAATTCGAGACAAGCCCGTTTGATCAGCCCACTCAGCGCGGTCAGAACGGCCACCAAAATGGCTACGATGCAGACATGCCTGTCGATCCATCCCTGATGGAAGAAATGCACCCTGGCCATGACTTGGTTCTTGCGTGAAGGCACGGCTTTCTAACTCCGGTAATGGGACGGCGTTCCCTTGTGTGTTCTTGAGAACTTTTCTTGAGAACTTTGAATGACAGCGTTTCCAAGGTTGCTATCATGTTTTATCGATTTGTGATATCCCAAGAGCTCGACTCTTCCGCGACGTGTTTTTTTTCTCTTCTCTTTTTTTCTTTCTCTGTGCTTGATACTGGAAACATCATTTGAATGCATCATCCAACTGCCTTTTTCCCCCTGTATTGTTGTCCAGGCTACTTCCACTTTCTAAAACATTGATTGGCATTGTGGCCTTGATACTCTCCGCGGCCTCTTGAGATCCCGGCTCCGATTGTGACTATGAACTCTGAATAGATTTGATATCATTGAGACAGGAGATCAGCCAAATGCTATTTCTCGCTTGCTACCCAGCTAGATAATCCCTAAGCACCTTTATATTCATACTGGAGATTCTTGAGGGATGCAAGGTCAACTGAGCGCATCACCCTCTGAGCGAGTAGGACGGTTGCCAGGAGAGCTGTATAATCTGGTAAGCCCGGTGACCTGAGATGAATATGGAACACACATACCCCCAGGAATTAAATATAACACCGGTTGGATGCCATAAGCCCCAGCCGACAAATAGACCAGAGCCAGCAGCAAGGATATAGCACTAGCTCCCGGTACCAAAGCAGCGTGAATTTGAGCCATACGTTCGTTGTGGACGTTCATGGGTTTCTTGCCCTTGAGATCTGGCTGGAGAGGAGAGCATCTCATGATATAGGCCGTGGTCACCAGCGAAGTTAGGGCGAGAAAAGAGTACAGTCGTTCCAGCTGACTGAGCGGTGATAGCACCGAGGGAACAAAGACGAGGGTTGCCATTAAAGGAAGAGCCGTGAAGACCATCTAGCAAACTTAGCAGTGGAAACTCGATTGTATAGGAATTGATATGTACACTGTACTGGGCGTTGCGAGCATCATTCTGGCTCTGTAACTGTTCGATGACCCGTTCCTGCTCTTCTTCATCCAACTCCTCACGCTCATCCAGTTCCTCCGGATATCGAAATACCTTGCGTAACCTGACTGCCATCGTGAAATGTGTAGAAAGGTCGAAAAGTAGCTGATTGATCGGAGTGTGTTGTGACGTCCGATGTTTGTCTTGTTTGCCAACATCTTTTCTTCCGCAACTTGCGATCTTTCCCACCTCTCCCCATTCCACCACAAAACCCCTCAGCAATGGTTTTCTCACGAATCTTTACCCGGCGCGCCGCCCTCGCCCGCATGGGCCGTCCCACCATGCCCGCCCGACGCACCCTGATCGCAGCCCCCGGACCGAACGCCGGACCTCTGATGGAGCGACGCGCAGACCGAGAGCTGCCGAACCCGAACGGCAGCCGGACCTGGTTGCTCACACTGCCAATCTTCATTATTGCTAGTGGAGCTGGCTTGCTGGGTATCTTCAATTACCAGAAGCAATCGTCCAGCATTGTGAGCAGCACGCTGTATGCGCTGCGCACTTCCCCGCGGGCCCGCGAGATTCTGGGTGACGAGATCTACTTTGCGCAGCAGATTCCGTGGATTAGTGGAGAGATGAACCAATTGCATGGACGGATCAATATCTCGTTCTGGGTGAAGGGTACCAAGGCCCAGGGCAAGATGAAGTTCCGCAGTATTCGGCCGGATCGTATGAGCTACGTGAGTCCGAGTCCTACCCGTGCAAGCCTGGCTACTGGCTAGTCGTCTTGTGATATACGAAGCTAATTGTGCATTCTCTAGTTCCACACTGAAGAATGGAGCTTGGAGACCGAGGATGGAGAGGTGATCGAGTTGCTGGACAAGAGTGCTGACCCGTTCCGACGGGAGTGAAGTATAGCAGCGTGTACAGATAAAGTAGTGCATTGGCTTTGGCGTTTTTGGGAGATTATTTATGGGACAATTCTGTTATGTTGTCCACCTTGAAGCCCCTGAGGGGCGACTGCCATCGAGAGGAAAAGAAGGATATCATTTTTTGTATCATATACAAACGCCGCTCAAATAAAAACGATATCGCGCGTATGGTGTAATAGTACAGGTCAGAGCCAAAGACGATTCTCCAATTAAATTCAAGCAGCTGCGGGAGTGGCCTCCGCTTCAGCCACGGCCTTGACTGGCACTTCGGGCCAAGGCTTCTTGATGGCGTCTTGGATTCTCACAGTGCAACCCTTGGGACCACTGATGGCACCTATATTGGGGAAGAAATCTGTTAGTCCCGTGCCACAACCAAGGAAGACGATTCACCTACCGCTGACAACCACGATACCGTTGGCCGAGTCGACCTTGAGAATCTTCAAGTTCTGCACAGTGTTCTGGACGTTGCCCATGTTTCCAGCCATCTTCTTTCCGGGGTACACACGAGAACCACCACCCTGACCGGGGCCGGAGGAACCCATAGAACGATGCGTTAAACTGACACCGTGACTACGGTCCTGACCACCGAATCCGTGTCTCTTCATCACACCAGCAAAACCTTTACCCTTAGTGTTGGAGCGGGTATCGACGTATTGTCCCTCCTGGAACCAACCGGCCTCAATGCTCTCACCAACGGGCAAGAGACCCGCCTCATCCTTGACGCGGAATTCGTAAATGTGACGCTTGGGCGACAAGCCGTTGACGGAGAAGTGGCCCAAGAGCGCCTTGGTGACATTTCTAGGGTGCTTCCAGCCGGCACCAACCTGCACAGCCCAATATCCGTGCTTCGCAACGGTCTTGTGCGAGAGAACTTCGACACGATCCAACTGCAGAACGGTACAGGGGATACGCTTTCCGGTCTCAGGGTCGAAAATAGCGGTCATGCCCTTCTTAGTTGTAATGGCACCGGAGCGGAGGGGCAATGAATTGGCCTTGCGACGAAGAGCGGCTTCGGGAGTCGATTCAAGAACTGGCAGACCGGGGCCGGCATTGTAACGGCTGGGTTTTGGGGGTGTGAGTGATCGAATACCGAATGACCGGGTAGAGACTGGGGTGATCAAGGACCCCCATAGGGGCGACTGGAGTGCTAAACGCGGCGACATGGCGAATTATGGAGGTGTCGATGTTGTCGAAGGAGCGCGGGAAGTTTTTGGTGCATGGCGCTTAGTCATCACGAAGTATACAGATCTGCTTTGGATCTGCATCTTTTGGACAACATCAACTTCCAACTTCGACTTCTCTGGGGATATCTCACATCTCTACATCTTTCAAACAACCCCGGACTTGATATATATGACACCGATCATCCGTCTCTCGACCTACTAGCATCTTCCACATGAACCCGTCCTAACTCCGATCGGACCGGAACCCGAAAACGCCGAGAAACAAAAAAAGATCCCGATTCCCCAAGTCCTCTCCCAACCACAAACAACATGTCATTCCGTCCAACACTCATGTCAAAATGGATCTCGCGTCCAAGCGAGATCCTCTACCGTACCACCTTCAATAACATCCCATCCCGCGCATCGCGGCCCATCTTCGCGCAAGCACAAGCGCAAGCATTCCGACGAACCCTCACAACAACACCCTCAGCACGACTCAAGCGCCCAACCCCGAGCACGCTCTTCCCCAAACAGCGTCTGAACCGACGCTACAATTCCGGCTCTAGCAATGGCAGTGGTAGTGAGAATGCAAATGGACAAGCCGGACGCACGGAGAAGGCATCCCTATCTGAGCGACTGAAGAAGCTGTCGCGGGAATACGGATGGGCTGCGTTGGGAGTGTATCTTGCGCTATCGGCGCTTGATTTCCCATTCTGCTTTGCGGCTGTGCGTCTGCTGGGTGTTGAGAGGATTGGACATTATGAGCATGTAGTTGTTCAGTTTGTGAAGGATAAGTTCAAGGCTGTTTGGCCGACTAGTGATGAGTCGGATGGACAGGGGAAGTTGGTTGAGGCTGAGGAGAGGAATAAGGATGAAGCGAGTAAGTTTTGGCGCATGCGAGATGTGCTTTTGAATCTCGATATGAAATCGATACTGACTATTTTCGATGGCAGGCATTTGGACACAGTTGGTGTTTGCGTATGCGATTCACAAGAGCTTCATTTTCATTCGAGTGCCTTTGACGGCGGCTGTGTTGCCCAAGGTTGTGAAGACACTACGGGGATGGGGATGGAATATTGGCAAGAGGAAGCCTAAGAGTACTTGAAATTAAAGCATAGCGGGACCCATTGTACATTATCTTAGCCATTTAGCTCTCTAATATTGCTTTCTCCTCTCTACAATCCCAATGTCGGTAAGCCAAACCAAAACAGAAAACAATCCAAAGCACCCAAGCTCGTAAACTTCGTGGATATTAAGTGAACGCAACCCGGTTACATGTCAATCATGTCGTTAAACCGAAGGATGCCGTTGGCTTTCATGACGCCGTTGACACCATCCGGCATGCGGTAAGCCCATTCTGCAACGCCCATTGGGTCGGTAGGCAGTTCTTCGACTCGGTCGGACTGGCCAGTCTCATCGGATGTGTCGGCCACCAGGACGAGACCGAGCTCTTTGATGGTTTCCACAAGAGCCGGGACGACATTCTGGAAGCGGTTAGTATGGGCAGGTGAAAAAGAGTCAGAGGAAACGAACCAATAGACTAGATCTGCAGATCAATCCCATGAAGTTATTGCTTTGGGCGATACGTGCAGACTCCTTGATAGACATCGATGCGCGACCACTGCTGTCGACATGAGACATGGAGTCGACATTGCCAGCAAGGTCACGGATCTGGCCAAGGTCATTGCAGAGAAGAACGGGATCTGATGAAAGTCAGTGATGGGTCATTGTCAAGGGGGTTGGTAAGATGCTCACAGTTGGGTTGTTTCCAGTTGAGTGCACTACAAATGTTGGGGTTGTATGAAGTGAATGCAACAGAGCGCATGAAGTCGGGGTTCTGATCTCTGGCCGCGCGAGCGTGGTCAAAGACATCAGTCAGAATAGCATCCGCGAAAGTATTGACATCTGCCAAAGAAGTCATGACGAGTTTCTTTTCGTCTGAAGGGGTTGGGTAGAGAAGAGAGATGTTGACATTTAAGTCAATCGGGAGTTGGCGGAGGACGTCTCGTAATGACAGGAACGAAGCTGCGATGAGACGGTGAGTCTTGGGCATATCGTTGGCTGCATCTGTGGACAAGAACTCGAGGATCTGAGATTGGCTGATACCGCGCTCCGCCGCCATGGACTGGAACTCCGCATAGGTCAATTGGCACACCGGGATTTCGATTCCATGGTGATTAATCAAGAACTGCGGGTACAGAACGGCAACACGATCCCGAGTCAACTGCACAAAGAGCTGAACATAGTCGCCTGACAGACTGGATCCGGTGACGAAGCCGTTGTGCTCTGAATCTTGCGCACTGGTTGCCTTCCAATATGTGGCAAAGTGGGTGATTTCCAGGGGATCGCCGTGGTACGGCTTGATAACCTGGAAATTGAAGCGCAGCTGGCCGATACCACGGAGTCGAGGATCGAAGAGAGGGAGACAGGCTGAGCCGGTGCTGGAGGTCTCGGCGCGGAAGATATCTGGGAGGGCAACGCTCTTCGCGATGACCTTTGAGCCAAATGTAGGGAAGATCTCGAAATCCACAGCAAAGGTGTCCAGTTGATCTATGTGGAAAGAGATCGAGCGTGCATCTTCCTGCATGGGGAGCATGATAGTGCGTGGAATCACATCGGAGAGCTTGGAAGATATGGTCATACGAGCTGCCGGGTGGCGACCAGCCTGGTCGAAGGCAATAGAGCTGACATTGTTTTGGTCGAACAAAAGCTGGATAAAGACCTTCTTGTCGAGGAAGTTGTGGCCGTAGCGACGGAGCGGAATGATGGGAGGTGGCAGCTCGAGGTCTGGGATACCATCGATCATCTCCATCTCGGAGGCACTGGGGTCTGTAGACATCGGCTCACCCATGAGACCAGGTTCTGACATCCGAACACCGTTCAGGATATCAAGCGGTCCCATTGAGGCTTTACCCCGGGCTGGCTGGGCCCAAAGCAGAAGCATACATTCCAGATGCCCCTCCCAGGCAGCATAATACATGGCCGACAGACCCTTTTCATCTGCGACTTGTGAGTCCACGCCACACTCAAGAAGTGTGCGTAAGCAGGGAACACAGCCCTCGCTGGCGGCATGGAACAATGGAGTCCATTGGTAGAGCTTATCCTTCTGGTCAAGATCTGCGCCGTGGTGCTTCAGCAGTAACAGTATATCGGGCGATTGTGAGGCACGCGCAACCATATGTTGGGGGTAAAGCCCCTCGGCATCAGGCAGCAACTTGGCGTTGCGCTCAAGCAGCATCTTCACAATGGGAAGGGAGCCATGTTGACAAGCCAAATTTAAAGGAATATGATCTGGCTCCTGCATCGACACCGGATCAACACGGGCATTGCTCTGGAGCACATGTTGGGCGCATGCCAGCTGGCTCTTAACAATACTGTGGATCAAAGGTGTGAAATTGTCATGGTCCAGGAAATCGACCGTTTCGGGGCCTGCCTGGAGCAAGTCCCGCACCATATCAGCGCGGCCGTTCCTGCAGGCATAGTGGAGAGGAATGCGACCATAGACATCTGAGCGGGAGAAGTCCACAGACGCCTTGAGACCAGCTTTGAAGACGAAGTCCCGACCGGAGATGGCAGCTTCGTGCAGACAGTTGCGCTCGTTGATATCGTCTTCGGCGTGGATGTCCACCAGTCCGCTCTCCAACAGAAGCGCAAGCACATCGTCCGAAAAGCCGTTGATGGCAGTCAGGAAAGTGCGCGTTGCACGCTCGCGGGCATCAGGTAATGTCTGTAACCGCACCAGCCATTCTCGTAGCGTCTGTAGATTGCCTGTGGATGCAGACTGCAGCATCTGAGTGTCTAGCTCATCCTCTTCGCTGCCGGCAAAGGTGTTACGGTCTGCCGGACGGGAGGCATCGTATTGTATGTTCTCTCCCTCGGCCCAAGCCTCCAGCTCGAGTCGCGCAGTGGTCGCTCGGTCTGCAAGGTCGCGGAGAACCTCTCTGTTGAAACACGGTTGAACTTCCACAGCACGGTGGAGATATAGCTCTTTCATGCGAGATTTGGAGGTTTTATCCCATTTCTTGAGAATTTTCGAGACAGCCGTCTCGTTGATCTCGACGAATTGTTGGAGTTTGTTCAGGTCGCCGTCGAATTGCTGGAATCCTTCAAATAGCGCAACGAAATTCGAGGGCGCTTTCGAATTCGAGCCGGTGCGGGACTGTATCACCCGCTTCTTATCTACCAGTGTCTTCAAACGCAGAGTGAACTAGAGCAAGCCTGATGAGTCTCCGGACAAGTCATATATTGTGTTGGGTTGTATTGGGTGTGGCCATACCTCTTGTTCCTTTTGCAAGTAGAAAGCATTGACTTTCTCAATCTCTCGTTCCTACACAGACCGATCAGTTCCATCCCAGTCACGAGGGGAGTCAGCTCATGTCACATACCAATCTGAAGAAGAAGACCTCCTTGTTTGCGCGCAAGGCAGCCTGAGGATCCGCATTGTCTCGTGCGATTTCCTCGGCGGTTCTTTGTGCGGGGATGTTGGGGGTGGCACTCAATTGCTTGATAAGCTGTTGCGGGTGTTAACAGCCTGTCGATGCTTGTGTAACCCCGCCATTGACTCACCTTCTTCAAGGCCTTGTAGTTCACGAAGCTCGCGGCATATTCAGGGAGATCTAGCTGCCTGCGCTGGATCTGTTTGCCGAACTTCCTGGACACTGCGTCAGGACCAGTCACGCAGAGGAATGGTCAGGCGGGGCTTACATGATGGTCTCTCGGAGAGAGCTTCAGCTCTCCCGAGCTCTGGGAAGCGAGAGAGCGCAGGGGTACTCAGACGGCGCTGAGGGGTGAATTGCTCTGTGAATGTACTCCGAGTGAGGGGAAGACTCCGGGACAGGTCTCAAGTAAGAGGGTCAACTCGATATCGCGGGTAATCGGGTGTATCACAGGTGTGACGTTGCGTCGCAAGGTTCCCATATATGAGAAGAGGGGGAAAGCTCAAGAGAAGAAGCAAAAAGATAGGAGGGGCAATGAGCCCAAAAAAGTCAGGTACCAGGTACCTCGCCTAACTCCCCCAAAATCCGAAATGTACGTATAGTATATAAAAGCGCGAGAGTCGGGAAAGGATCGAAGGTGGCTAGTGGGGAGCTCTGGGGGGAATGCCCCAATCACCGCGAACAGCCGACGCACGTTGTCGGCTCACTGGCTGTAGGTCGGACAATTTGCTGGCCTCCGAACCTCGTGAACTCTGGCCTCTTGACTTCTTCAATTGCCTTGTGCTGTGATCAGCTGATATGTTAAACGGAATAAGCCGAATGGACTGGAATTGAGCTGAATCTGGCAGTTCCAGGCTGATTACCTCACTGATTACCTGATTACACCCGACTTATCATTCTGCCCGGAATGTCCGCCTGTTTGCATTTGGACTTCATGGGACTATAAGACGAACAGGAACAAGGATAAACTACACAACTACAATCTAATATATACTACGAGATGATCTTCTCATGGTAAAGGCTTTTTCTAGTAAGTTCTCAATTCCTATACCAGTACAGAACAAGTAACAGACACCCGTATGTCCGCATGGAAACTCCACGCTTAGCAGGAAATGTACAGCTCCTTACACAAAGACAAAACAAGCTATGCAGCTGGACCAGATGCGCGGGATATATCAAAAAAACAAAATGGCAAAATCGAAGCCAAGCGCGGCCAATTAAGGGCGGGAGAAGAAAAGAAAGGGGAAAAAAAGATGTAGGGGGGGATAATAGAGACATGACGAAGTGAAAGTCCATCGCGCCGGGAATTGGAACGTGAGAGACCCGAAGAAAAAACTAATGAATGTAGTCGGCGGTGGAGAGAGCGAGAAAGAGAGGGGGAGGGTGAAAGAAAAGGAGTGTCTGTGTGGGAAGATGCCAGGCCGAGCTTTTGGAAAACAAGAAAACGAAGTATTTGCAAACATCAGAAGTTCTGGGCGATACCAGCGTTTCCTTGTCGTGGGTAAACGCCGGGGTTTTCAATGCGAGTATTGCGGCGGGCCTGAACATCTCGAATCACGGGCTGGTAGTCTTCACCACCGTAAGCGCCGTGGTTGTTCATATCCCCGTAGTAGGGATTCTCGCCGTAGTAGCCCCCAGAGGGGTGTGCAGCAGACATGTGGCTTTCCTCCGAGGCTTCGGAGCGGTTGGCGGCAGAGTAAGCCGACGAAGCATTCGAAGGCCCACGGTGGATGTCACCAGTGCGGTTGTTAGCAGCCACGGGGGCCGCACCCAATACACCGATGGGCTCCATTTCACCGGAGTCCGGTCGAGCGCCATCGGAATATTGCACGGTGCCCTCGCTGGGGGTGGCACCGTGAGACATGGGGAGGCCACCCATTCCGCTGGAGAGGTTGGTGGAGGCCTTGCGGCCGGCGGAGGTAGTACCCCATCCACGATAACCGGAGGAGGTGTCGTCCTTGGTGGCTACGACACCTCCCATTCCGGGAAGGGTGGGATCGTTGTTCGGGTTGAAACCGTATTCTTCGACTTCCTTGCGGCGTTCTTCCTCATTGGCCTTGTTCGCCTTGCGCTTGCGCCAGAAGAAGAGCGCGGCCAAGATGATCAGGGCGACCGAGACGACCGGCACAACGACTGCGACGGCAATGGTGCCATTGGTGGAGAGACCGGAAGAGGATGCGGCGGCGGTGGAACTCGAATCTGCAGCCGAGCTACCGGTCGAGGATGCGGTCGAGGAGGCACTCGTGCCGGGTTCAACTGAAGCCGTCGAAGTCACATATACCACGGTTGTTCCACCATTGCTGTTGCTGGAGATTGAAGAGAGAATCGTCGTCTCGGGACTTGATGTGGTGGACGGCGCAGTTGTAGTCGAAGGCACCGAAGTAGTACTGGGTGCCTCGCTCGTGGTCGAGGGGATTGAGGTGGTCGGGTCAGCGGTGGATGAGCTGCTCGTCGTGGGCGCCGTGGTGCTGGTGGTCGGGGCTGCGGTGGTAGTGGAAGAGGTGGAAGAAGTGGACGAGGTCGATGAAGTTGTCGCAGCCGCCGCCGTAGTTGTCGGCTCTGCAGCAGAGGTCGAGGTCGCAGCAGCGGCGGTTTCACTGGCGCTTGCGGAGGCGGAGGTGGCAGCGGCGGCTGCGCTCTCTGCAGCGCCCGCGGCGTCGGCGGCAGTCGAAGCAGCCTTGGAGGACATGATGGATGATATCGGAGAGATGGGATCCAAGCGATCCTCGACACCCGGTATTTAGCAGACGATGGCTTCCGGATTCGGAAATGCCTGGAGGTGTTAAAAAGAACCGAATTGGATCAAATGTGAACGAGAGACTGGACGCTTTGGGACGCGTGTAAAGAGTGGCTTCAGGGGTGGAAAAGAAAACGGGGACTTTAGAACAGCATTTCTCCACCAAACATGAAAGAAATGAAACAAGACCCAAAAGAAGAAAAAAAAGAGCAATGAGAAAAAGAAGTCAAACCAACTCACTCAGAGGCTCCAGACAGCCATGGGAAGAGATGTGTGTGGAAGAGGAGGAAGAAGTGGGAAGTGGAGATTTCGTACGATCGCAGCGTATCCGCATTCTTAGTGTATTAATAGAACGTCGTATCTTACATCGGATTTGACTACTTTACTATTAGACTGGACTATATTATTCTTAATTCTGAGCAGATCACTGTGAAGGTAGTAGATCATATGTAGTACTCTGTTTACAATGCATAACAACATGCTGCTTTCGGCAATCCCTTGTGCGGTTTCACTCGGATACGACCATACTTCTGATACTTACGGAGTACAGAGCATTCATAGAGTACTAACAGAGTACCACTTGTACTCTCAAGGTATTGTCTCGATTCTACTCCTTATACTACACACTGTACTTCCGATTATCCCTCTATAATTTCTTGTATATTCTAGTCTGAAGATATTATATTCTATCTTTTAATACCTGGTACCATTACGGTAATAAAAATCTGCCCCGAATGAACCGTGGGCGCAAGGAGGCAACACTGCCATTTCCCTTAGAGTTGCCCTAATTTATACGAGAAGTATACATCTCATACACTCAACTATATCGAGTGCAGAGTACTCCGTACAGAGTAGACCCTATTTAGTACAAAATATTACTCCATACACAATTAAATACTCCATACAGAAGACTCCAAAAGTCGATGATGCAGGCTCCACTTAAACGGTCTTACCTCTTAGTGCGCTTAGTGCTGTTAGTGCTGTTGCGTACTCCTCTTAGTGCCGTCTATGATGCTCCGTCCTCCGGTGCTAATTAAAATGCGATCGACACTGTCCAATCTTGTTTTTCCGCGTCTAGGCCTCCCCTAATAACATGGATCGGATCGACATACATCTCTGTACTCGAAGACCGGACAGAATGATCGGTGTGATCTCGGATCATCTGGGGTTGCTCGTCTGGTACGAACTATAATGTAAGAAAGGCCCCCTAAAAAGGAACTGGCCTGGGGGCCTAGATCTAGATTCCACTGGGAGCCCTAAAGTCTACCGAGTTCTAGCCCTGAGCCTGGGATTGGAATGGAAACAAAACAATGTATATACTATATATATATACAGCCCAGAGGGCAAAACGAAATGAAAAGCTTGAAAAAGTCAAAGTCACGGAGGGGGAAAGATAAACAAAACAGATTCCAACCTCTATATACGCCGTCGGCAGAAATCCCTAAGTACAATAACACAATCATAGCCCTTATTTATTGTTAACCATATCCCAGCTGGGCTTCAGGCTAACCATCATATCATCCCGAGTGCCGACCGCCGCGGGCGGCAGACGACTCACGCGGTAGTTACCCATGCGGATGTTATTCTGATGCGCGGCCGACATCCCACTGCGACCACTGCGGATACTGCCCGCGTCACTGCCGCCACCTTCATTTCGGAAACGTGGCGGGGGGACGAAGTCTAGGTTCGTAAAGGTGCCCGACTTGCGCAGCGCGTGGGGGCTGGGCATCACGGCCAGTTCATCGAATGCGGACGCGAGCGGGGTGTGCGCACGAACCGCGGGGCTGTAGGGACGCATGCCTCCGGTGGGGGTCTCGGCGCGGCCATCGCGACGCTCCTTGAACCCGTTGGCCGGGGCGAAGTCCATGGCGGTCATGAGAGAATCGTCGGTCAACATGTGTGGGGTGGGGAGCACCTGGAGCGGCGAGGGAGGAGGCATAGGCTTGCGGGCGCGAGCTCCCGGCATGCGACCGGAGGCGGAGGAGAAGGCCCGGGGCCCGGAGGCAGAGGAGAAGGCTCGTGGGCTGGGCATCCCACCGAAGCCGGCCGAGTTGGTGGCCTGGTGCCGGGCGGCACCCTGGAAGCGAGGAGGAGCACGAGGAGGAGGGGTCATGGCCCGCCGAGTGTAAGGCTCCGCGTAAGGAGCAGGCACTGGGGGCGCGTTGGCATCGTAATATTCACCAGTGACAGGGTCGTAAACGAAACCACCACCGCCGAGGGCGCCGCCGCCCTCATAGAACTCCGGGCCGAAGTCCTCGTAGTAGGTGGTCTCGCGACCGGTCTTGCTCTCATCGAAGTACTCCTTGTAGAAGGAGCGGATTCGATTGGCACGCTGTTCGGGGTTGTCAGCGGGATCCTCTGGGGGCAGAGGGCGCACCCCGAGGGTCATCCGCTTGGTGTTACGGCGGTCATCATAGACCGGTTCCAGGTTGTGAGGCTCTTCAGGAAGCTCCGGGTGCTGGTAAGTATGTCCATCGGAGCCATGGACATCGCTGGGGAGAATGTAGTCCGACTTGCGGTCACCATAGTCACTCGTGGTCACTTCGCTGACCGGCAGGGAGATACGAGGAACGTGTGCAGAGTCCCCGTGGTCGGGGGAATGCGAGGGCTCCGGGAGAGGGAAATTGGGACGCTCCTCGTGGGGAGCGCTATGTGGCTCATCCAGACCGAAGTGGAGGGGAGTGTCATCCACATGGGGCAGAGATTCCGGGGAGTAGCTCCTGTCGACACTGGGGCTTCCAATTGCCATGCCAGGTTGTTGTGCGACAGGGGGCGGGGGAGTCAAGCCATGCATTGGCTGAGAATCACTTCGCTGAGCCAGAGGGCTGCGCGGATGAGACTCGGTGGGAGAAGTGTACAAGGGTGGTGATGATCGGGACATACGCTGGGCATTCTTGAGAAGACCCGAGTTGGGTTCTTCTGCGCCTCCGAAGCGAGAGCCTGCAAGGCTTGACGCATCGTCGCGGTGTCTGGGGAACGAACGAACGGAGCCATTGGCGGTGGCAGGGCGGTACTTGTCATCGTCGATGGACATGGAGTGAAGGGAATCGCGGGAGCCAACCAGGCCGGGCGGCATGAGATACGGGCTGACGTCAAGAGACAATCCCTTGGTGTGACCGGGTTCGGACATCGGGGGCATTCCTCCCTGTGGACCACCTTTCCTCCTCGTGGCCGGACCGACTGTGTCCATGCCGAAGTCGAGCGATTTGTGTTTATCCATGGCATCCTCCCGGAGGAGCTTCTTGACGTGTCTCCGGTGCAGCACGATGAGCACGACGATGGCACAGAGAATGGGCACACCCGCACCGAGCACGACGGGCAAGACCGTTGTGGTCATATTGCTGGTGGGCTTGGCACCATTGGTGGTGGATTCCGATGCCTCGGGAGCTCTCGCCACGATGGTCGGCATGCTTGTGGCTAGAGGGGTGCTCGGGACCAAGAATGGTAATCGATGGGCGGGAACCACATCCCGGCGAACATTTCGCAAACCGGAATGAGACATGACGGGTCTATATGGGTATAGACCCGCGAGATAGGCGTAGACCGGTCAATACACAAAGGCTAATAGATCATCGAAATCGGGTCATTAGACAGGCGTAGAAATCCAAATGAGTTCAGAGCGAGTGACTAGCGGGCAAAAGAATGAACGGAACTAAGTTCCCAAGCCAAACAGTCAACAACAGACCAAAAAGACCAAAAAGACCAAAAACAAGAGAATGTATAGGGTGAGGAAGTTGAAGAAGAGAAGAAAAGAGGAGAAGGAGAGAAGAGTTCTAGATTGGGGTCCTAGCGCCCTTTGCCTCTCTCCGCATCTGATCCTCTTTTTTTCTGTTTCCCCCTGAGTGTTGTGTCTTTCTTTATTTAGCACTTCTCTACGCTGGATCTTCCTCTCCTTTTTCACTACATCGCCTCGTCAATTGATTGGGGTTATTTGTTGTGTCCCCAGGAACAAGCAAGGTGCACTGAGACGTGCCTCTGGTCTCCAGCCACCGGTAGCCAATCGCCGTTCGGCTGCCCCTGAGTGGAGTGGGTGGCTGTTCGCCAATTTAGCAACCTGCAAGGGCCAAAGGGGGCCTCTTTTCTTGTTTCTGCTCTATTCTCGGAGTGCAAGACTTGCCAAGCTCGACCTCGTTGCTTGATCTGAGGGTATTCACAGAAAACGAACACCTGCCATACTCCCCAAATACTCCCCCAAGAGGACAATTTCTTCCATTGGGTAGAGGATACGAGCCCTCTGAATGGTCGAAGCTGAGACGCTGGTGTGATCCGCTCATCTCCACGCAGGGCGTAAGACCTTGGCGTCGAGCCAGCCCGCTCACGAAGTACGAGTTGACATTGCAATCTAATCCGATATGCTCATCTATTCTGTCTCTTTCTCTCCTATCTATGTCTCCATATCTCCACTAGCGGGCTTCACCGCTACATCATATCTCTAGTCTTCTTCCAGGCCCCGTAATCGTATTTAAGGCCAATCTAGCTGAATATTGGAACACCACACCCGCCTTGGGTGAGGATGCGAGTTCCACCATTCCTATATCTCAACACACAATGATCCATGGATATCGGATTGCCCAATATTGCCCTGAGCCTTGGAAGTTGTGATATGTAAATTCCGCCTAAATGTTGAAAACGGACATCGGATCAATGGCAGCTAGTCGGTTCTTCTAATATATATTTCCTGAAACCACCACTTTTCTCCCTTTACAAAATAACCTGGAAGGATTGACTTAAAAAGGTAGCCATATATCTGAACATATCACAAAGGTAGCAGCCTTGGAAATATCCAAACCTGGAAGACTCCACAAGTATCGAGATCAGAGATGGAGAGGTGACTATAAGCTCGGGAGTAAACCTGGGAACTGTTAGAACGTCCGATTGGACCCATGCCATGATAAAGTGACAGTTCCTTCAATATCGGATTCGTAGAACTGAGTATCACGCTGGGAGTACCTCAGGATACCTGGTTGCATTTAAAACAATTGATCACATACGAAGATTTTGGCTGACCTGTGTATTAGAATAGGAAACCCATGGCCAAGGAGGCAATTTATCTAGATCCCAACAGTCCTTATGACCACTTCCATGGACAGAAGTACATCGGAAATCTCTCTGCGACTCACTGTTTGGATTGTTGGACTATCTTTAAAATCCGTCAACGTCGAGAGGTCTACTCCATACCTGGAGACAGCTCGTTGGGACCTCATTGAGTTCGTAACCATGTTGATCATTGCATCCGACGCCGAGAGAGGCTGCTGTGTGACTTGGACTTCAAACCTGGGCGACCAGTCTGCCCATAAAAGCTCATCTCTGCACTGACTATCGGTACTTATGCGTTTTTGAGTGCTGGGCTTCTGCCATTGCTATGTAACTAGAGAATTACAATGTTAGTGCGGCAGTCAAAGTAGGCCCGGTCTTTGCAAGCTCTGCTATTGTGAAGTAACCAGACCAGAACATCATTGCACGTCGGTTGAGTTGACAACTCCAATTCCGCCTCATGGATGGAGCAGCGGGGCTAGGAAGAATGCGCGTCACCGGCGAGAGGGACTATGATGAAGTACTGAAACGGTTAAGGAACACACTCGGACTCAACCTGGTCTACAATTAAAAGCGCATCCAAAGGATTCCCACGATTAGATTGAACATTGTTTTGCATTAGACTTAGCTTGGGAGCTTGGATAGCAGATTCAGCGTATCGCAGATGTCAGGACTCAAACATAACTATTCGGATGCTTTTCCGCGGCTCGGCGAGACAGGTATTGCGTCCGGATCCTCAGATGGGCGCAATTAGAGAATATGAGCAGCGCAAATATGGGACATTGGAAGAAAAAAGAGAAAGAGACACAAGAATAAAAGAAAGGTCGTGGGCCCCGTAGGGAGTGTGAGATTCACGGGTAAGAAGAGTCACAGTAAGAGAAGAAGTATGGAAATGTACATGGGGGGGTTAGAGTTGTACATGAAGAGAAAAAAAGGAAAGAAGAAGCAATGGCTTTTGGGGTCACATCGCAGAACAGAGTCTCCAAGATCGAAGAAGATCCAGGTAGGGAGGGAGATATTAGGGTTAAGGGATGAAGGAGATGCTCATGCAAATGATCTTCAGGTTGTCGTTTCATCTCATGGGAATGGGGTGCGGAAAGAAGACGATGAGAGGGAGTGAGGATTTGATAGAGATAGGTGCATCATTGCACGATGGTACAGGAGTTGTACATTATGACATTTCCGCGAGAGCGGCGTCAAAGTCGAGGTCAGGTTTGTCGAAAATGCGTCGGAAGGGGGATCGTGAGGGAAATCGCGCGGGCTGCTAGCAACACCTTCTGCTTTGCGAATGACTTCCTTTAACGCGCGTGTGACCACTCCCGCGCGCACCACCAGGTTCTTCAACGACGAGGTATCAAACGGAAGTTTCTTAGTACGTGAGCCAAAGTCCAACTCTTGGAGAGCTGACTTGGGCTCGCGCGATTGCAGCAGATCCAGCACGGATTTCGATTTAGGTGAGTCTTTCGCGAGAGAAAGGGGCAAAACATGCTCAGTGTCGCCATGCACGTCCCAGGAGACCTCGCTGTCGCGCTTCGAAGAGGCAGTATGAAGGCCATCATCATCAGATTCATCAAAGCTAAAGGTGAGGGATGAAGGCGATCCTGGTGGTGAGCGACGCTCTTCTTCTTCGTCAATAGTAGCCAAGTTGACAATTTGCTCGGCTTCTTTCCACAATTCGCTGGACGGGCCGGTGACGATATCCAGCGTATTAGCCTGGTGACGAAGACGTTTCAACTCCTCCACCAACAGGGTCAGCTCTTGAACCTGTCCAAATTGACCGCGAAGACTAGCTTGACGTTCCAGAATAGCTTTCGGAACAGTCATACTCTGGCGGTTAGGGTCGGGCTCAGGGAATTGTTTGTTTTCTGCGACGGGCGTCTCCTCCGACTCGTCAAAGTCGAAATCGCTATCCCAGTCTTCACTGACACCCTTACTACCCAGACCCCATGTACCAAACTTGCCAGAAGTTTGCCGAGATTCATTCGTGGGGAGTTCGCTCGCGACTGGCACGCTTTGGCTACGGAGATGGACGGTAGATGGCGCTTTCCGACAAACAGCACGGCTGCTTCGATCGACACCTTCTTGTTTACCCTGCATAGTTCGGGGACGCGCTTCGAACTCTCCAGAGTCGCGATCCGGACGTGTCTGTTCCGACCAGTCGAAGATATTCGCCTTTTTGTTGACATGGAGATCCGACGCGCCACTAAACGGTCCGATCTGGCTAATAGGTGAGCCGAAGGGCGAATCGGCCTCGGCGTACTTTGACAGTGCATCGTTGGGCGGGGAAGCAAAAGCTGGGCGATCATCACCTGGTAGCGATCCAATCATACTAAGCGAGTCCTCATCCGCGCCGTCGGCCAAAGGCGGCTGATCGGCCATGGAAACATGGGTCAGAGGAGGCGAGACCAAATACGATTCCGGGAACAATCGAGGATCCCTCTCAGACCGAGCGGCGAAGGACCCCCGCGGAAGTAGGGCTTCCAAACTCGTGGCTTCTTCATTCACCAAGCTCGCACCTGCTTTGTCGAACATTGTCTCAATGCGCAGTCCCTTCAGTCCACTAGTGCTGGTCTCGCGTGTACGAATGGAATCCCAGTAATCCGACATCACGTCGGTCTCGTACTCATCACAGGAAGTGAACACGCGTGTATCATCTGACCCAATGACAGTGGAAGAAGGATCCGAACCAGAGATCGAGAAACCCTTGGGGCGACGACGCAGAGAGCCATAGGCTGCTGGACCACCTGGGCGCGATGCTTGCTGCCACGCGGATAGAGCGACATCGTCCGAGTTCAACGGGCGTGAACCACCCCGGGAGCCTAAGCCAACATCATAATCTTGCGACACGGACCGCGGACCAACCTGGGCGCGTCTCTCCAAAGCGGAAACGGCCCACCCAGGCTGGGAGATAGGGTGCGGCGGCTGAAAGACCGTTGGATCGGTAATGTTACGGCGCTCGGGTGCAGGTGAGCTCGGAATCATGACCTTTTTATCCCCCCTGGCCAGCTCGGAGCGAGGAATCGAGAACGTCCGGCCCTTGACACGCTTGAGTGAACCACCGCGCACAAGTCCCATAATCGGTTTCCCATGTGCGGTGACAGTGTTCGCCATCACAACTTTCGGCTCGACATCATTGCACGAATACGAGTGCTTGTGATTGCGCTGTTCCCCAGAGTCTTTTGAAACCGAGGATCTTTCCTGCACCGGTGGCTGGCTCGCCAGAGTAGGCTTCGGGGCCGCTGACTGGAAGGGATTGCGGAATTCAACCGGCGTCTCAGGTACAGACTTCTCCCCACGCGGTGTGGCCATGCCGGATGAGATCTCACTCGCCATGACCAGAGCAGGTAGCGACCCCTGGTCAGAAACAATCTGGCGCACACTTTGGGCCTTGGGTGCCGTAGAAATGGAAAATCTACGTGAGAGCATGTCGACCAGCTTGCCAGCCTTGGGAAGAAAGAATGGCGACCACTGCTTCTGCTTTTCAACATCAAAGTCCTCCACCGCAGGTGAGGCCGCAGGCGTCTTGGGGAAGTATGTCTCAAAGTCAGTGGTCACCGGAGTCTGCAGAATCATCGATTCCGACCGCTGGTGGCTGGTGGCCGGTCGGCGTAGCGCAGCGGGCGACGGACCGGAAATGGTGTTCATACCAAAGGCATGCATACTTGCCTGTTGAGAAGCCGGGCGCTTCACCAGCTTGTTTGGCAGTCTCCTCTGACCAGGTGACTGAGGGAACATGGGACTTGCCGAGCCACTGAACGACGGTGTAGTTGGGCTCTGCGCACTCGGACTCTCCGTGTTGAAAGATGCCATCGACAATCGGCGCAGCCAACCGGTCGATGGCCGCCGGGCATGAGTCTCGGTCGGCGAATCGGTGGACTCATTCTCTGGAATCTGCAACGGCGGGCTCATCAATGTCTGGCCCCGACGTCGACGCCGGGCTGCACTGAATGACATGGACGCCCGCCGCAAATCTGACCCTTCACATTGGGCTGGCGCGAGTTCCTCCTCCTTTGCGGCAAGCCATTCGGCGGCGGGACTTCGAGACGGTGCGGCTGTCTTCGGTCGAGGATCCACTGGCTTCGCCTCGACGGGCGTGGGTGGTTGGGTGGGCAAGTCTTGCGCGAGAGTCTTGCGCCGAAAGAGGCTGGGCCTCTGGGTTCGGTCTGCGCGTCCGAGGGCGAGACCCGCGGGCGCAATCCCGACGGTGCTCAAGGCACACAACTACCAAAAATCAGTGGGACATTCAGAACCGCCCAAACCGCTGGAGGTTTGGGTCCATTTGGGGCGGTTCCGCGAATTGAGTGCTAATTCGGGCGGGCTTACCGTGGATACGTGATCCATCCTCAGAGGGCGCCAGTAAGAGCGTGAAACACGCCGACGCTCAGCTCCAAGTCAAAGGACTTTGCGAAGGACATTCCAGGTGAATGCGCATGCACAAGAAGGCTGGGGATTTGTTGCTGGGAGAGGGAGAGGGGTCGGGAAGGTTGGCGCGGGAGGGAGGTTCACGATTGACGCTCAACTTCCACCGGAAAAGTTTAAGAAAAGAGCGGAAGGTGGTGTTGAAGCCAGAAACAAAGACCGCAACGCAAAAAAAGAAAGAAAACTGATCGCCTCACGCCCCTTGGAGGCCAAAGAAGATGAGTTGAGCCGTGGATGGGGAAACAATAACAAAAGCTGCCGGGGATATCACCGCCCTGCGTACGCTAGGAGCTTCAATAAGTCCTCCCCTCCGCAAAAAGCCCTTGATAGGGACCTTTGGACTCGACGTTATTGGAGGTGGATTATTGGGACTAATTGAACTAACAAGCACAGGGGGTTTGTTCGTGCAGAACAAGAAAAATAAGAAGGGGAAGGGGAGAAAAAAACACCCAGTCTACAACAGTTCACCACTATGGAGTTACTAACTGCAGCACTGAACAGTTGCAGAACCCAGAAAATCCAGAAATGTCCCGAATGCCAAACGGTGCTAGCGGTGCACGATCCTGCGGGTGTTATTGCAAATGCAGGCGAGAGATTAGGCGCCATGTTGGCAGGCCACTGGCACCTATCCCTTGCGGCTCACATTGCATTGGCGTCATCGGCCAGAACTCTTTTCAAGGAAGAACGGAGAAATCCGTCTTTGACTGGACACCAGTGGCTCTCAGTGGCTCCCCCCCAGACATTCAGCGAAGGAAACTGGCTAGGAAAAGCCATGCGATCCCACCGATTCCCCACATCTGGTTTCGGCTGGCTGGAATCTCGTCTACGGACCCCCTAGACTGCCACTAGCTGGGGTTAGTCTCGAGATTCTAGGCCGATCAGTGCCCACTGCTTTCCTGCGATGAACTGTTCTCCGAAGCAGAACCATGGCACGCTGATATTACACTGGATCCCAGGTGAAAAGAGCTTCCTACTCTGGAGCATACGCGCTGTATACTCTCCACTCGACGTTAGGTCCCATCTGTCAACCCGATATTCCAATTTTTCTCTTGCAGGCCCACTTTCAAATGGCCATTGTATACGGAGTACATAATCCTGATTTCCCCTTGGGTCTGGATTTCTCCGAGAGATTGAAGGCATGACATACTATTGTGCATTGTATGTAAGGTCCTCTTTATATACTATCTTAACATTGTACATATGGTACTTACATTGTGCATCAATTAATATATCCCATGTACGGAGTATTATCCTTGATATCCCTTGAGATTCCTTCCTATTCATATATCAATCTCGGGGCCTTGCAAGCTCATCGGAAATGGTCTGGAATATCGTGTTTTTTGACATCGTCATCTAGATCCACCCACCCACTCCATGTCCACTCTTCAAAGTAAAATGGCTCGCCTGGGGCATAAACAAACCTGAATCGGTTCTTACTGCCGGATCTGTCCCGCTTTGCCCTTTTTTTTCTCTCTTTTTTCCTCGATTTCCCCCTCTCCTTTTCCCGCTGATGTGGCATCTAACCGTCAATAGTACAGTAGCGCCAGAACGTCTCAAATGAAGCGGAGCACCTCGTGTTTCAAGCTGTTGTTCCCCGTTTATTTGCTTATTTGACTGATTTTGCTTATTTTTTTCTCTTTTCCCTTTCCCGCTAACAGCCAAGGCCGATCGTAAGGTTCCGAAGCCCTGAGATCCCTCGCGATCGGCAGATCCAATCATTCGGTTTGGAAGGTCGGATTCTGGAACAATAGGGGTTCCTACGGAGTTCCTTTGTCTTGACTTCCAGGGTACTTCCCGGCCCTGGGATGTGTAACCTGGGACCTCACTGCCGTCACCCGTTATATATCGCAGTCTCAACCTCGTCTATTCATCCCTGTTGATCGGCTCACGCTAAAACAATCACGAGCTCTGGGGCTCAATTCTGCCCGTGCGCAATTTCCGAGATTTGTGATGAATCCGAAATTTCTCCCGAGCTTCTTCCATGGGCTATTGATTCCGAGAGTACGAGTGAGCTCGCATCGCGTGTAAATCCCATTCACTTCCATGCTCATGAAACTGCATTCTCAAACTCTGCAACTCTGCGACTCTGAAACTTTGTAATCTGCAACCTGCGATCTGCAACCTGCAACCTGCTCCAAATTTAGGTCCCTTCAGCGGCAACTCAAGACCATCGATGCGACTTGCATCTGGCTGTAGCTAGAATACCTACTCCGTACTCCATACTCCGTACTCCGTATTTGAGTCGCAGATGCTCAAACATATCGGGGAGACTGAAACACTCCAGGTCGATCATCTGCGCCACTACAAGGACTGTTCCAAACTGTGTGACGGCCGGATGTGATGTTATGCCCTATATTACATGTGATTGCGAACTGAACTGGCAATCAACTGGGATCACAGTGAGGTTAATTCCCCGGGGCAACCGGTAGTAGCCGGATTGAAACAATCACATTGGCTTCTGTTTATAGTGTTTGGGCATTTTCAGTTTTGCTGGATGCATCGACAGCCAGAATGGAGGTCTCGTTTGAGGTAGCTACACCGCATCTTTGAGTGCTGATGCTGCCTGAAGTCAAAAGGCTTGAAGGTTTTGTCAATAAAAGAATTAATGATTGAGTTATTCTGTGCAGATTGCGCTAGTTCTCTTGGGTCTATCTTATCGAGTACGGAGTAGATGTTAGTGACCACAAATCCTTGGACTAGAGCTATAACTAGAACAGAGTATGGAGTACTCCGTACTGAAATTGATTCATCTTTGTACTAACTAATGTTTGGACACGCAATTTTATGAGGAAATTTGCTCATAAGTGCCGGACTAAACATATTGCACAGCAATTGAAAGAGGCAGGGCATGGTTGATTGTCTGCGGCATCAGGCAATTGCTTCATAGAATGAGAAAGCATACATCAATTGAACCCACTCTTCGTAGTGTTTAGAGACAATTGCTCGTGAGGGTAGAAAGAAGTAGGAAGAGCAGCAAAAACACATGTACAGCAAAGATAAAGTCCTTGAGAACGGTCTTGCGCTTCTAGCCCTCAAGTTCCGTAGAACATGCCAGTTCCCCCACAAAATAGCCTCAGAAGACAATATAGGTTCGCAGTCAGTTACTCTGTAATGGTAGGTGAATGGTGGAAGTGACCTCGGGAAGGGTCAACACTTCGAACATGAGACTCATCATGTGACCTTATCGATAACGCAAAAAAGCCCACTCTGGACAATGACCTCAATTCCAGCCCAGACTCTGTGGTCGAAGATACCTGCTCCGCTCTGGCTGCTTGATCTGCTGCTTGCATCTGGAAATATGGAGGCCCAACTACAAGCCCAGATTCCTGGTCTGGACCATATCATTTCAGAATACTCAGTGGTACGTCTCTCCGCAAAGAAACACGCGGGGTGGAAAGCTGACCCATTGATAGGGCTATTTGACCCATGCTGCCAACCTCTACGTCGACGATGCGGCCCAACAGTCGCCCCTGGTGGAAGCGGCCGAATCTGTCACCGAACTTCTCGTCTCCGCCTCGGGGGACTTCTCCCCGCAAAACTACGAGGCGATCGGCAATCTCGTTGAGAAGTTTATCACAACTCTCAGCTCCTCCAATGGTGACCCCGAACGCAGACAGATGCCTTTCAAGGCCAAGAAGCTGGAGCAAGCGATCAACGTGGGCTCGCAGCGCAACATGTCCTCCACCCTGGGCTTGACCGGAAACACTGTCGATTTGGAGTCTGCCAACCTTAGGAAGTTGGAGTCCAAGGTGGACAAGAAGAAGCTCGAGAAGGCGGAGCGCAAGATTCGTGCCAAGCAGGACAAGAAGCAGATGAAGAACGTCACCTACGAGTCCTCCCGCTTGCTTCAGCAACCCGATGAGACCATGTCCTACGAGGAGTTCTTCATGGCCGTCAACCCTCTCCAGCTGGGCTCCGACTCACAGGCCAAGAGTAAGGATATTAAGCTCGACAACATCGATATTTCCATCAGTGGCCTGCGCATTCTTACCGATGCCGCGTTCACCCTTGCTTATGGTCGCCGCTATGGTCTTGTGGGTCAGAACGGTATTGGTAAATCCACACTTCTGCGCGCTCTGAGTCGCAGAGAAATCGCCATTCCTACTCACGTCTCCATTCTGCACGTCGAACAGGAGGTGAGTTTGCAGCTCCTCCTTTTCCACGTCTATTTTTACTGACCTCTCTAGATCACTGGTGATGATACCCCCGCTCTGCAAGCAGTGTTGGATGCCGATGTGTGGCGCAAACATCTCCTCGGAGAGCAAGATGTGAGTCAACAGCCAATGTGTGTTTTGAACGCTCACTGACCCCAACAGAAAATCACGAAACAACTGGCCGCGCTTGAGGCAGAGAGATCCTCAATGGCTGATACCTCAACGGATGCTGCCAGACTCGATGAACAGAGAGAGGGTCTGGATATCACGTTGAGCGATATCTATGGCAAACTTTCCGAGATGGAGTCCGACAAGGCCGAATCCCGAGCTGCCAGTATCTTGGCTGGTCTCGGTTTCTCCCAAGAACGCCAGCAGTACGCCACCAAGACCTTCTCTGGTGGTTGGAGAATGCGTTTGTCCCTGGCCCGAGCCTTGTTCTGCGAGCCTGATTTGCTTCTTCTTGACGGTATGTTCGACGGTCACCCTCAACAGGAAACTTGCTAACATTGCATAGAACCGTCTAACATGTTGGACGTTCCGTCTATTACTTTCCTTTCCAACTACCTTCAGGGTTACCCCAGTACTGTACTGGTTGTTTCTCACGATCGTGCATTCTTGAACGAAGTCGCTACGGATATCATCCACCAGCACTCCGAGAGACTGGATTACTACAGAGGTGCTAACTTCGGTAAGCATAACAAAGATCCCGAAAATCCTGATTGATACTCACATCTTCTAGAATCCTTCTACGCAACCAAGGAGGAGCGTCGCAAGACTGCTAAGCGCGAATACGAGAAGCAGATGGGCGAGAGAGCTCACTTGCAAGGTTTGTGGCCCCCAACTCTTTTAACAGGATTGCAATTGATGTTTCGTCAGCCTTCATTGATAAATTCCGTTACAATGCCGCGAAATCGTCCGAGGCACAATCCAGAATCAAGAAGCTCGAGCGTATGCCTGTTCTCGAAGCCCCCGAGAGCGAATACACCGTGCATTTCGCATTCCCCGGTGTCGAGAAACTCTCACCCCCATTGTACAGATGTCCGAAGTTTGCTTCGGCTACACTCCAGAGAAGCCTCTTCTCAAGGATGTGGATCTGGATGTTCAGCTCGACTCGCGTATCGGTATTGTTGGACCTAACGGTGCTGGTAAGACTACAGTATTGAAGCTTCTCACGAAACAACTTGAGGCGACCAAGGGTCTCATTTCCACAAACTCGAGACTTCGCATTGGTTTCTTCGCCCAGCACCACGTCGATGCTCTGGACATGAACAACAGTGCAGTCGGTTTCATGACCGTGACCTACCCCGGAAAGACCGACGAAGAATACCGACGACACCTGGGAGCGTAAGTTTGACTAGTTTCCTTGAATATTCGCACCAACTAACTGGGTATAGATTCGGTATCACCGGTACAACCGGTCTTCAGCGCATGGGACTGCTTTCTGGAGGTCAAAAGTCTCGTGTCGCCTTTGCTTGCTTATCCCTTACCAACCCCCACATTCTTGTTCTTGACGAACCTTCTAACCACTTGGATATTGAGGGTATGGATGCTTTGGCTGAGGCTCTTCGGGTGTTCGAGGGTGGTGTTGTGATGGTTTCTCACGATGTGACTATGTTGCAAAGTGTTTGCACAAGTCTCTGGGTTTGCGATGGTGGTACTGTCCACAAGTTCGATGGTACGGTCAACGCCTACAAGAAGAAGATCAGCGAGCAGGCCAATGCTGCCGGTGTTGTTGCGCAGCACTAGATTCGAGATGTCTCCGGCTATGTACAGAGTCACGCCGTCAAAAAATACAAAGCATATTTCTAGTACCATCTCAGCTGCAGGCTTCTATCTGCAGATACCTCTTTGATATAGATTGACCCCTTCTTTGAGGTGGTTGTTTTATACAGCAAAGATATAGTTCGTTCACCCACGGATCGGCTCCCGGAACCCGATTTCCGTAAGCGGGTCTGCTTATCGCCTTATCGGCCTATCCTTATCGCATCCCCAGACATCACCTCAACACATAGCATATCTCGCATACTGTACTCCGTAGACGAGTTCCGGATGTTACAAGCAAAGTGGTGGTAAAATGGCCAATGTAGCAGAGCAGGACCCGTCAGGTCCCAGTGCCCCTCTCCTTGCTTCATCGCCAGACCATGACACCGAACAAGAAACCCTTGCCCCCGAGCTCCAGTACTCAGGAGGATGGTTTATTTGGGCGTTGACCTTCTCCGCGGGAATAAGTGGTCTACTTTTTGGCTACGAGTATGTTACTTCTCTTCGAATCAGTGTTTGGTATATGGCCCATTGTTACAGTCTGTTGACAATTGCTCGAACTCTAGCACCGGTGTCATCTCGTCGACTTTGGTGACCGTCGGATCAGATTTATCCCACCGAACATTGACTACACTTGACAAAAGCCTCATTACGTCTTGCACCAGTTTGTTTGCGTTGATCGCAAGCCCTTTCACCGGCGTACTGGCGGACAAGCTCGGTCGACGGAAGGTCATACTCGGTGCAGATGCGTTGTTCGCAATAGGAGCATTAGTGCAGGCCTTTACCAGTCAGGTCTGGGGTATGATACTGGGACGCAGCATTGTGGGTCTTGCAGTTGGAAGTGCGAGTGCTGTCACTCCACTGTACGTTGACCCTCGACCATCAATGGACTAACCCTTTGTCTTTCTTTCTTGCTAATTTATTCATTCGTCTACAGCTACATATCCGAGCTAGCACCCTCCCACGCAAGAGGAAGACTGGTGACTATCCTCAGTCTGTTCATAACCGGCGGCCAGGTCGTGGCATACATAGTTGGGTGGCTGTTTTCTCTCACGCCCGGAGGATGGCGATGGATCGTGGGCATCGGAGCATTCCCAGCCTTCTTCCAGCTTGCGATTCTTGCATTCCTACCCGAGACCCCTAGGTGGCTGGTCCAGGCTGGGTATAACGCACGAGCAAAGAAAGTCTTGACTAAAATTTACCAAGACTGTCCAGGATGTGACCGAGTGGTGGACCGCTTGGTCCATGACATCAGCAAGGAGATTGAGCAAGAGACCTCGGAGCTGGGACAGCCCAAGCCTCGGGGTTCAACACCTCTGTGGATCCATGATGCATTTGAACGAGGCCAGCAGTTGTTCCACGGGGGCAACCGGAGAGCGTTGATCATTGCGATGATGTTACAGGCTGTGCAGCAACTCTGCGGATTCAACAGTCTCATGTACTTCTCCGCAACCATTTTCGCCTCCCTCTCCTTCTCCTCTCCGACGCTGACCTCGCTCTCGGTGGCAATGACGAACTTCCTCTTCACACTCCTTGCGTTTGTACTGATTGACAAGATTGGACGCCGACGGATTCTTCTCTACTCGATACCAGTGATGGTCATTGCTCTGATACTCTGCGCACTTTCATTCTCATCTCTGGACGGTGCGTGGAATACACAAGCCCCAGCCAGTGGTGACACCCAAGATAGCCCCAGCTCCCTTGTGCCTCTGGCCATTCTTTTCTGTCTGACAACTTATACGGCGGCGTACGCTCTCGGACTCGGCAATGTGCCCTGGCAGCAGTCCGAACTATTATTCCCCCTGAATGTGCGGTCCCTGGGATCTGCCCTGGCAACAGCCACTAATTGGGGATCGAATTTCGTGATTGGTCTCACGTTTTTGCCCATGATGGAATTCTTCTCTCCGCCATGGACCTTTGCGCTTTATGCCGTTGTGTGTGTGGTGGGCTGGTTTGCTGTCTGGAAGATATACCCCGAGATGAGTGGACTTGGCCTGGAAGAAGTCAAGGGCCTATTGGCAGGCGGTTGGGGAGTAGAGGAAAGTTTACAACGACGGCGGCTATCTCGACATATATAGAAACATGCGAAGTATAGAAAATAGAAATGTTTTCTGGCGTGGTGTGTGGAAATAATAATTTCTATTCATCCAATTGAATCTCCCGTCTCCCATTGTTCTTGAATGCATTTGAATTGGGATAGCTTTTGTTGTTTTCAAGAGGAGCACCATGCCTATTGTCCCGAGCCCTAATCAATGACCCTCGCTATTGTTGGCCATTCTACACGCCAGCTCGTTTCGATTGTCTCTACCCCCGAGAATCTCTATTGTTTTAAACTTATTGATCGCCAGGCTCATTCTTCTCAACTTTGGATCACTTGCGTGCTACTTCAACATCACTTTCTTCCTCCTCTCTCACCACCATCATCGCGAGACCTCATACAGTGTGAACTTCATTCTCACTCAGAATTGAGCCCCCACTGATATAGAAAAGTCTCCCAAGATACCCTGTCATCATCAGAAGAATATGGCCATGGCCGCCAACAAAATGCGAGGCCAGCAGATCAGCGCAGGTGGCCACTCCATTCTGGAGCTTCCCAACGAGGTATGTTTACAATGCCTTTTCCCTACAAACAAATGCTCATATTCTACAACAGGTCCTCCACGAAGTTGCAATTGCCCTTCCCACTGATAAGGACCTTATTCAACTGTCTCTCTCATGCAAAGAACTGATGGCGAGAATCCTTGCGCCTGAGTCTGGTGTCTGGCGAGGTCGATTCCAAGGACGTTACAATGTCCCGGCGAAGAAGGCAAACAACGAGCTCATGTTTGAATATATCACTCGAGCCATTGTCCTGAAGGCCAAGATTGATTTCAAAGAAGAAGAAGATGATCGCCAACGCCTTTGGATGAGAGTTCTTCGAACCATGCTGCAAGAATCATTGACCCTTCCCTTTCACTCCCTTCTCCCCAAGACACTCAAATGCATTGGCGACGTAATTCAAAAGACCAACTTCCTCGCAGAGCCACTGAAGCCTGGAAAGCGCTCAGAGTTGTTCTATGCCCTCCAGCTGGTAAGTGCACACAACAACAGGGATGAAACACAAAATAACTGACACACGGTTGACAGTGCTTGTCCGCCTTGTCCCTCGACTCGGCCATCACCCAGCCCTGCCGACGTACCGACTATGACATGGAACACATTTATTCTATCGAAAAAGGCACTCTGGGGGACGGCTTCATGGAAGACGAATCCGAGGACTTCAATGCATCGGAAACCTCGAGCCAGTCATCCGGTGCTGAAACCGATGAGTCCGAAGAAACCCCCGAAGACGATTTCGGTAGCCCAGACAGCTCAGACAGCTCGCTCGAATCGACCGACATCATCACAAACCAACCCACCAGCGAGCCCCAGCCATTCATCGATCACAAGGCACTTGATCTTGCCCTGTTGCTGGAATTCCACAGCTTCTGGCAGCGGCATCTCCTGAGTTACAGCGAGCACACATTTTACGAATCCTTCCAAGCTCTGCCCGACGAGCTCAAGCCCCAGGTTCGCAAAGAGGATCCTAGCAAGGCCTCCTTGCTGAGCACCTTCTGGATGGGATACTACTGTGAGTTATCAAATTGAATATTGATTCGCAGAAGACATGAACTGAATGGAACCTTCTGATAGCATGCATCCACCCCTTCCCATTCTCCCTTGACGACTTGGAGCACCGTCAGACCTGTGGAACGCACGAGGACGAGGTGGAGGCCATGGTAAGCTATCTACAACCACACCTTGCTGTCCAGACTAACGATTTCCAGACCCTCGAACTCACTCCCCATCCCGAATTGTTCTGGCCCTCGGCCTGCAACAAGGCCGTCCCTCTGGCCAAAAGTGTGAAGACCGTTCGTGTCGCTTTCGAGGGAAAGCAGGGCATGCATGGCCCATGCCCCGACGAGAACGACGTCTTCGGCTTCACTGAGGAGATTGAGGTTGCTTATGGGGGGATCCAGGGCTGGAAGCGGATCTGCTTCGCCATCTGCGAGCGCGTCGACAATGAGCCCGCTGATTTGAGCGAAGGCACTGATGGCTGGGTGCATGTCTATGAGGCCGTGATCATCCCTGGTGGACGGACCATGCTTGGGCGTTGGATGGACCTCAAGGAGCCCTCGGCCAAGGGCCCGTTCATTTTCTGGGATGTTTAGCTTGGCCTTTGAATTTGATATTAGTTTTTCTTGGCCTCTGGTTACATTGGTCTTTGGAGTTTCTGGGAGAACTCAAGCAATTCGCGAAAAATGAAAAACCAAAAAAAGGGGAATCAAAACCCCAAAAGGAGACGACAGTAGCATAGTAATAGTTGGCAATCGAATCATTTCCGCCAAGCAGATGTTTATGAGCGTAGTACTTTGTAAAAAAGAAAAAACGTATTATGCGTTAAGAGGGAATAGATGATTGCTGGAAATCACAACCGGAGCTAAGTAGTAAGACATTCGACTTCTCCAGTTGTAACGGCGACGTGTCGGTGAGCTCTGGCTGCTCTCAAGGTGTAGAATTCTGGCCCTATTCTTCGATGTCCTTCACTTTTTCCCACTCACCCTTGAGGTTCTCCTTCCATAAGTTGACCTTGTTATCGCCACCACTGACAGCCAGAATGTTACCGCTGAGACTCCAGCTAACACGCCACAGCACAGAGTCAAACTCCAATGTTTTGCTAGACCACTCGCCCGGCTTTGAAGGGTCGGAAGTCCAGATGCGAACGGTCTTGTCTTGCGAGGCGGAGGCGATATAGGACTTGGAGAGAATGCTCGGGGACCAGGCGACATCACGGACCCAGTCTGAGTGGCCCTCGAGGGTCTGTGTGAGGTTGTAGGACTTGGATTCCGCGCTAAAATCGAGTCAGTTTCATGTGCGCATTACTCTCAAAAGTTCAGAAGACCTACTTGTAATCCCAAATCTTGACCAGGTTGTCACTTCCACCGGTCACGAAGCGGCGCTGTTGACCGGGTCCAGGGTTGGAGCTGATCAAGCTACCAGCGAAGGCAGCGGGGGCCCAGCTGATAGAGTTGACACCCATTCCGTGGGCGTGGAAGGTCTGGTGAGTCCAGTTGTTGTCGCGGAACTCGAGAACGCTGACATGGCCATCGGAGGAGGCACAGGCAAGAAGGCATCCGCTCTCATGAGGAGCCCAAGAGACCATGTTCACGGAGGCAGTGTGCAGGGAGAAATCGAAGACCTTAGTCCAAGTGCTACCACTGGATGGGGAGGTCGCATTTTGAGGCTGTTCACGCCAGATGAGAACCTTGCCATCGTACGAGGACGAGGCCAGGATGGTGCCAAACTTGGGGTGAGCCTGGGGAACAATTGCATGGTTAGCCAAGTTGCGCACACGACGGAATTAGGTCACTCACCCATGCGACACACCACACGGCACCCTCGTGGCTGTTCCAAGACCCGTCAGTAAATAGAATATCCCCGCTTTGCTGCATCACTCTGCTCACCCCTTCAGTGTCTCGACCAGTCGGTGTGATTCCCCCTCAATTTCGAAGATCTTTATCGTTTTGTCGGATGAGCATGTCGCGAGACGGCGGCCATAGTAGTCGAGACCAGCATCATGCTGTATTCCAGGTACCTCAATTAGCTCGAACACAGTGGGAGAAAGAAGCGACTGCCAATTCGGGTTCGCATAGCACATACAATCATCTCTTCGTGCCCAGAATTCGAGATCACCTGAGGGGTCGCCTAAAAAGTGAAGCTATCAGCGAGTGAATTGAGAAGCGCAGGTTCTTCTGGCAGCCTACCATCTTGAAATATAGAAGCAAACAATTGCAGTTAGTGAGGCGGGCTCCGGATCAGCTCTCCTTTGGAGCCAAACAACTGGCCCTTTGGCCTATCGCTCTTATCGCCACTGACTAAGCGCACGTGACTCATCACACGTGATTGGGCCTCGGTCCATCGGTTACCCCACGGAGCTCGTGGCGGGTGTCTTACATCTTGTCCTCGCATCATACATCTTGTTCTCATTCAGTTGGAGAAAAGAGCTTGATTATTTCCGAAACTACTTGTTACACCATCCCGCCAGTCGGTATAAGGTCACCATGGGCGATGCGCTATGTGGGCCATCCAATGCCCTCCAGAACTTCCAGAAGCATACTTCCGTTGATCGGACACTACAGCAAGACCGGTTAACTTCACGGCAATCACCGGGCCAGGTTGGTTGCAATTCTTGTATTCCAGTGTCTGTTTGGTACTGACATCCCCAGGGGTTTCGATCTCAGAACCCTCAAGAGGGCATACTTGACCCGGAGTTCGCCGCATTCGAAGCCAACCTTGCTGGCCCCGCATTACCAGACTTACAACACCCTGCTCACTTTGCACAATCACACCATGCAGCCACTCACCATCCGGCCGCCCATCATATGGGGAACGCCAGTTGGGCTTCCGACTTCCAGAACTTACAAATATCGGGACCGTCGCACCCCGCGCAGCTACAACGGCCTAACATCGCACCCGCAACAGCAAATGGCGGGTGGCATGCTGAGTTCATGAAGCAACAACAAAGACCGATGCAACAGGCCCATCAGACACCGCAAATGCACGGGGCTTACCAACCGTCTTTCGCACCGAGCTATCCTATGTATGGGTCGATGAATCAGATGCAGCCATCCCAAGCTATGCAAAGCCAGCAGAAGCCTGTGGAGCAATTTGATGAATCTGCCTTTGAAGCCGCCTTTGACCAAGCCCGGGCAGATATGGAACTGCAGGGAGCCGATCAAAAAGAGACTCAGCAGAATTTAGAGGACACCCATGAATATGAGCCAGTCACCGAAGACGTTCGACTAGGATCCGATCTCATCCCACAGAGCGAGAAGCAAGACCCACAGACCCGAGGACGCGATGCCGATGAACTCGCACGAACCGCCGGACAACTCCTAGATAGCGTGCGCAATGAGCAAAGTGAGAAGTTCGCGCAAAGCAACTTCCTGGCATTGATGCGTCGGATTCGAGATCGTGAGGTGGAAGTGGAAGGGGACGAGTTTCGTGAAGTCAGTACCAACCCGTAACGGTTTGGATGTCCGACGCGACAGAAACACCGGTATCACTCGGTCCGTCTACGAGGACCTTTGTCCTTGCTAATTTTGGTGTAGACGGCGCATTCCCTTCACCCAGGTGGGCGTTACTACCCGGGCCAACATCCCCCCCAGTAAGGAACCCCTATCGGGTCCACCGTGAGAGCGAAACCTGACGCAATGTCCAGGTGAGGATACCAGGGACTTTCCATCGGCCTCGGAAGGAATATCCCATTCGCCCAGTCCTGGACCTGACAGCACGTATGAGCCCCTGGAAGGGTTTATCAATAGTCAGGGGCTTGTGGATCGACGCAGCGTTCCGTTTTGCTTTTTGAACCGAGAGTTGGAGGCACATTTCCTGCATTAGCGGGCATGACCAGGCCACATTGATTTGAGTCATTGAAGGATCTGCATTCAATGGAGTTTGACTATTGAAGAAGTGTACAGATACTTACTACACTATGATGGCACCTGCCTTAGCGCAGGTACCGGTACATATCTTATTGATACCCCCAATGAACAATATGAACAATAGTAAGCACGTGACTTTATTGAGAACAATAGCGGCGTTCATTGAGATTTCCCAATTCGGCAATTGAATGCCCCACGGTGGCCTCTGATTGGCTGCTTATTGAGCTCGCCTTGCTATTGTATTCATCCGTTTGACAGTCGGGCCTTATAGTCCTTCTTCGCGCTGTTTCTATTTCTTCCCCTCTCTCACCTTCTCACCTTCTCATTCTTCCATTCTCCCATTCTCTCATTCCATCCTTCTCATCTACCGGTGGTCATTGATTTCAATCTGAGTCCATCAACAATGAAGCCTCCATCGGATACTGTGAAACACAGCCTTCAGAAGCTTGCTGAGGCACGTGCCAATCGCAGCTCTGGCACTACTTCTACCCCTGCTCCTCCACCTTACACACTCTCGGTGACCAGACCAAGCGGCACCAGCGTGATGACCTTTGACCAACTCGATCAAGCCGACTATTACTATCAAGAGGAGCCCACGCCGATCACAATCCACATCGACAACTCGGTCAATGTGACCGGCAATGGAAACTCTATTACTCTGCCAGCATCGGGCCTTAACTCCTCCACCCCGACTGGTGAAACCAAAAGCTCACCTCCCATGGGATCGCTCACTGCCGTGATCATTGGCGCTTTAAGCCACGCCAACGCTCTCCGCGACGACGCCGGAGTCTTGCGACCCATCAATATCAATGTCAACTCTGGGGTCCGCGTTGACGGCGAGAATAATGTGATCTCGCATGGGGCGGGACCCAAGCCTGAACTGGGGCCTGTCAACAAGTCTGGCGACAATATCAACCTGAAGCGCCGTGCAAGCTCGGTTAGTATATCAGCCCATGAGTGAAACTTAGTCCTCCTTACTAACCGATGACCAGGAGCCTACCGAGACACCTAATACGCAACGTCGCCGTACTTTCTGAAATCATTTTACCTTGGAGGGTGAGATAGATGGCTTTCACATCTCTCGTTTCTCTCTCATGCTCTCTGAGCATCGACTATTGCTTTCACGTTTGATTGGTTATCTTGGGGGCTACATTCATCTTACGAAGAGGAGTTATTCATAGATTGGTGGCAGGCTTTTCTTATTTCAGTCCGTTTGTTTGTCTTGTGCGCTTCACGTAAGTGATCCGTAATATCTATCATGATTGATGACTCTGTTAGTTTGCTTTAGTTATTCAAGCGATGTGATGTATTTGTTATTCAAAATCGCGTGTTTACTTTCAAGGTTGACTCGAAACATGAGTTATTTCGGACTGCCAGTTGAATTCAAGTCCTCTCAAAGAGGGTTATCAGCAATCATTTTGTGGTAATTGTCTCCATAAGTATATGGGTTGTGATGTAGGGTAAACATTAATCCATTTCGCATGTGCGCCCTTGCAGGACCACTCTGCTTATCGTTTATCCCCTGGATTACCATGTTTGTCCACATAGGTCCAGGCGAGACTGACGAAGAGTACTCAAGGTCGAGCACCCGCCTCGAAGTTCTTTATTCTTATTTCCAGTACGAAGTATGTGCCCAGTTGCTTATTCCACATTCGCAGACTTTAGAAGCGGGGTGGAATCCAAACGAATCAAACCCACTGATAGCCATGTGGGTATACAATTCCCTAAAGAGCTTGATTGGCTTGGATCAGTGAGCTGTTTTAGCCCTCATGTACTTGCATGTATGAGCATAACGAATCAACTAGCGGTGAGGGGTGAATCTAATGTCGATCGATGCATCTCTAGGCGGGGGATTGCAAAGGAGCAAGAAACATATGTGGAAAACAGTCTGTTCACATGTTCTATAGTGGGTACTGACGGGAAACTATTTGATTAAAAAAGTGGAACGAGGCCACTGGCACTCTGGGGAAAGCTAAGTGGCGACTCTGAGCTTGAGCTTTCCCCAGAGCAAGGCAGGATGTTCTCGATTCTTCTACAAGTACCCTGATCAAAGTGATGTCTTTCGCTATAGATCCTTTGAGAGATCAAGAGCCTCTACCAGAATACGAGCATCCATCTGAGACGCGATGTCCACGTCAGTACAGACCATGATGTATGATATACGTTCAACAAACTGACAATCGTGGTAGTGAAATTTGCAGATATCGCGACCATCGATCTTGCAGAGTACGATCGCCCAGGAGGTAGGGAAAGACTAGCGCAGCAACTAAAGCAGCATGTGCATAACGTTGGTATGCTTGATCAATCTCAACGCATGGAAGAATATTAACAGGAGAAGGCTTCTTTTACATTACCAACATTGGCCTCTCTCAAGCCGAGATCGACCTACAATTTGCCATCGCCAAAAGGTTTTTTGAACTTCCCAAAGAAGAGCGTCTCAAACACCGTGCTCCTTTAGAGAGAGGCAGCTATAATGGTTATCGGCCCCTAGGAGCACTCAGCCTCTTCCCTGGAATGCAGGACACCTTGGAATTCTACAGCATCTTCAAATTCATTCCCTCGAGTGAACGATCGCACCCTCATATCGTTCGCCGATACTTCAAACAAATTGAAAGCTTCTCCAGGCACATGCACGAGAATGTTTCTTTCAAAGTTCTGCGTGTACTTGCACTCATGCTTGAATTACCCGAAGACCAATTTGTCAACGGAAACCGCTACGAGGATGAATGCGACAGCTCTATACGATACATGCTTTACCATCCACGGTCACAGAAGGAGAACAAGACCTTTGATGACGTGTATTTTCGGGGACATACCGACAAAGGAACCATGACGTTTATGTTCCAGCAGCCAATATCAGGATTGCAGACTCAGCATTCGAAAGAATCAGACTGGGAGTATCTGCATATTCCTGCAGGATCAGTTGCAGTCAATATTGGCGATACACTTCAATTTCTTACGAATGGGTATTTGAAAAGTGGATTCCATCGGGTGATAGCGCCACCCAGTGATCAAGTACATCTCAGTCGACTCGGGTTGCTGTACTTTGTACGACCCACTGATAAGTTGCCATGGAGGACACTTGACAGTCCTTTCCTGCAGAGGGCTGGGTATGGGAAGACTACAACGGAGAGAGATCAGGATATCTCTGGACTGGATTGGTGGAGAGCTGGGGTTAGGACAAGGAAAGGTGCGAACTACATGAGTTCTGCGGCTAGTACGGTATAAGGGGAAGTTTTAGTAAAGAAGTCATCCACAGAGGAGCTTGAACTTTGTGACGAGCCTGGTGACTACTACAGCGTCCTCAAGCTGAGATAGACTAGCGAAAAGAAGATCAGAGCCAGGAACAGCCGATTGCTCTTCCCAAGAAGGCATTTCCCGTTACCCGAGGAAAGATAATAAATGTGATAAACTTTCATATATCAGTAGGTTGGCTTCCAATATTCCAAACGAACGCTCTATGAACTCTAAGATTCTATATAGATCATTCATAAGACGCTCATTCCGATCATAACCTCGCCCGACGATCTGAGCCAATCACTTCTTCCATAGCGGCAACCATATTTTGAATCTCTTCCAACTTTTTTGGAAGACCATGAGCAACACTATGCTCAAATGTTCTTCGCAGCGTAGGGACACAAAAAGATTCCACCGCCAACGATGATTCTTTGAAAGCCGGCGGCTCTCTCGTTGCCCGAGTATGCAAGGTGGGGATGTTGAGACGCGCCGTATACAAATCCGGGTTCAAAGGACATGGGATCTCCAATGGCGATCGATCCAAAAAGAACAAGCGAGAATTGCGGAGCACGGGCTTCAGCATATCGGTCACGTTCCCTATGACCGTCACTGCAGATTGAATGGGTTCTGGGAGCTTCAGGTATTGATCATACTGAGCCGAGCGAATGATTCGTTCCTCTTCCTGGGAAAGCGAACCGTAGATCGCCTGGTAGTAGGTAGGGTCTGACGCAATGATAGGCACTGCCGAGCAGAAAATAGCGAATTGAACAGGAAGGGGTTTGTCTGGTTGTGCGACACGCTGCCCAAGGAGATAGGCAGCCAAAATTGATGCGCCCGTGCTAAAGCCGAAAACACCGTCGAATGGTCCTTCTTTCTCAAATTCTGCATGGACTAGAGCTTCTGCTGCTCTCATGCTGGCAGGATCAAAGGTCGATGTGTAGCAGAGATACGGGCCGGGCATGGCTTCAGCGCCTGTGGTTGTATGAGTAACACACTGATAAGACACTCAAGTCGCATGAACTGACCAGGTGCGGGTGAACATTCAATATTTCCAGCGAGAAAGTGAAACTCCCAGCTTGGATCACAGATCTTTCTTATCGTTGACATTTGGCGCTTCATAATGTCGGGATTCATGCCGAAGCCATGAAGGCAAAGTATCCTCATTTTGGTTGATTGAGACTGGAAATTGTATGTCAATATGATATGAGCAATAACAGTGGTCCTTTCGTATGAGGTGACTTGGAATGAGAATTCAAAGAGTTGAAAATATCGCTGTTTACTTGGAAAGCCGTTTCTTGTTTTGTAGAGGAGACTTGACGGGCACGCCGATGCAAAGCAGTAAATCGAGCAATATGAAGCGAGCTTCGGTTCACGCAGCCGGCACTAGTATCGATGCTATCCACGCCCACTCGGCAAATAAGCGGTGATATGATCTTCATGAGATAACGAGGCCCAATGAGACCAACGCAACGTGTGCGGGCCCAATGCTAGGGGCGACCCGATTGAAATCGCATATGAGCTGAAAAATAGGGCTGGCTACGGTGTGCGCATAAGCCGACGCCAATTTCAAGCATCGGTGGACATACACGTAACGTGTATGGCCTTTCAGAGCCAAAGAAAATTTGCGGTGAAAGTGTAAGCATCAAACACGATCCCACAACCTGTGGTCCAGGCTGATGCCGGCCCTGTTGGATGCCAATAAGCTTCCAATTGATTTGCTGTGGAGTGCTGATTTGGACGCAGTCTTCAGCTCCGTTCCACCAACTAGCGGCTCTATGGAGTGCTGTGCTTTGCACTTGTCATTTAGGCCGGAATGCGGCCGAATAGCCGGGTAATCTCTTTTTCCCCCGGTTTCCAGTCACAGAGATCTGCGGCCCAAGATGCTCTGATAAGCATGAAATGGCCCAAAAGATCCTCACAAAGAGGTGTGTGCTGTGAAGGGAGATCTCAAAGGGGTAGAGCAAGATTTGTTTTGAGTCAAGAGAAAGGGCTTGAAAATTGAAAGCTTCAGTTCAAAGATTATTGGAAAAATGAGATGCTGATAACTCAAGCCTAATAGATGTCATCTCACCTCAGAGAAAGAATTGAAAGCAGACGTCTAGAGGGTAAGCCCAATGCTGCAAGAACACATGGAGAATCGAGAGTGGTTGATGCCTCATGACTCAGGCATCCAATTTGGAGACTTCGGAGATCTTTCGGCTTTGACTCTTTCTACTCCTCATCTCCCTAACGTCGACCAGCTATCACCTCGTACCCTGTTGCTTTCCGGCAATGTCTGAGCTGTGCACCAGAACAAGAGAGGAATCATGTTGAGAGCTCCGTTGTGCGTCAGCCTTGGCAATATAGCCCAGATGAGAGTCATGTCTCAGATCCGAAATCGGGGCCGAGCATCGCCCTGACTCGGCTCCTAAGGTTATCCTTCGTCTCACCTATATCTTGCACCGAGGTGTCTACATCAACAAATTACCGCTGTTGGGCTTACCGGTGAGCTGATGGACCAAGTCATGGAAGAACTTCCCATGGAAGTCCCGTTGCCAAGTTCCGAGCAGCTTTACATGAAAAGTGCCCACGACGATCTTTATCTCGTTCAGATTTCCTGGCCCCTGAGTTGGCAAAATGGCCGTTTCTTCGAGGGCTCAGCTCCCATCATGTAGCTATTCCCAGCTCTGACGATTGGAGCATTGTGCCTGACAACCAGGGATAGATACATCGTCGATGGAAACGCCTTGTTTTTAACCGCAACCGAAGCAGCTTGGCGGCGCGCGGCGGAGTCACGCTTTGTCGGAGGCGTCGTCGTCGCCGTCGGTTACCCTCTCACCGGCAAATTGTACGATTCAAAGCGACGCAGCTTCGATTTGACGCCGCCAACGGCAACTCCGATCCCTGGATTCGGAGGCGCGCATCAGTTTCTTGATTTTATCGAAGGAGTCGTCAAACCCCATGTCAAGACTCGATTTCCGCACGTGTCCATCTCGAGAGAAGCTCTCTATGGACACTCTTATGGGGGGGCTTCTAGCTTTGCATACACTGTTTACGCGCACGACCTCTTTTGATTGCTACATTGCTAGCAGTCCCTCTGTCTGGTGGAATGATCATTCCATCTTGGAGACAGCAAAGACTTTTCTAGCAAAGGAGCGACGCGACGAAACCCCGCCGTCTCTTATGGTATTCTGGGGTTCCCTCGAGGAGAACCCCATCCGGTGGGATGATGAATCATCTGACCAATTTGAGTCTAGAAAGCACATTGCGTCGATATTCAGGACAAGTGAGAACTCTGTCAAGATCTGCGAGTTGTTGCAAGGGTCTCACCACCTGCGGACAACCTTGATGCACGAGTTCACCGGCGAAGAACACACGAGTGTGATGGCATGCTCAATGAATCGGGGTTTGACACAGTTTTTCGAAGACTGGCCTTTACTAAGATAGAGAGCTCGTGACAATATTCTGCCGCATTGTGTTTTTATTGTTTTTTTTTTGTGCCGGAGTTCCTGATGGGGATGTCAATGGCCCCCAATACTTGTGACGGGGACCATCATACACCGAGCCGATCAGAATTAGTGCTAATTTTGCACTCTTCGGTTCCTAGTGAGCCAGATGAATGCCAAGGATCGCACGATTCAAGGTCTGACAATGTTCATGTCAACCCAGTGACCTAAAGCCAAAGCAGAATGTATTCAGAAGCGGCAAACACCTGTTCAACCGCAGAAAAGGAGATTGTACTGATCCTCAGGAATGAGCTACGGGAGTGTTCGGGCTTGGGAGAAACCCAGAGTGGTTAGCGCAAAGATAATTGGGGGCCATTTGCGATCTAATCTGATCCGATTTGTGAACCGCCCACCACTCGCCTCTGCAAGGTTGCATGGAACATTCGCCTGCATCTAGATTCTGGCCTACGGAGACATTTCAGCCACTTCATTCTAGGAAAAGACTGTGAATAGCCCATCAGCGAGGCACACAGTAGATTGTTCACGCCACCCGCTATCGGAGCATAACCCGCTTAATCTCGAGTTTGGAGGGCCAAGATGACATGGAAGACGCCAAGGACCCATGCCTCTTGTGGGTTGATTGCCGATTTAATTTTCTTATGGCATGAGAAACTGGATTTTTCCTCACGTCGCTTGTTCGTGCCCAAGCCCGAAAGTTTAAAATGCCCTGGTGATATTTAACAATCGGACTTCGCCCACAAAAAACCGAGTTCAGGTTGCTTGCAGGTAAAAATGACTATCCTGAGCAGGTTTCACAGGATTGTTGGCAACTCCGCCGACACCGCCAACACGACCCCTGTTGACGATCCAATCGTTATACAGCTGCAGGCGGGTGACAAAGAAGCAGCACATGCTCTCGACACTGAGGTTAACAAAGATGATGATAAGCCGACCGAAAATGCCCAGGCCGGTGTGCAGAAGATCGAGGCAGTGACTTTGACCTGGGGGAGGAGTTCTATGTTCATGGTTTTGATATTGTACGGCTACTATTGTCATTTCACAATTTGCGATTGAGGACTCCGTCTAACCTTTCTCGCAGTATCTGGCTTCTGACACTGGTCAACAACATGAGATCCTCCGTGGTGTACAGCTTGACCGCATACGCAACAAGCTCTTTCGCCGGTCACTCGCTCTTGACTGTCATCAACATTGTGTCGTCTGCCATGGCAGGGGCAGTTTATATTCCTATGGCTAAGGCATTGGACCTATGGGGTCGTGCAGAAGGATTTCTTCTGATGGTCGCCATGTGCATACTGGGAATAGTACTGCTGGCTTCTTCACACAACCTTCCTACGTACTGCGCGGGAGAAGTGAGTCATCGCACTTCAACTCTGACCTCAAGAGGCTAACCTTATCACAGGTCTTCTACTCTGTCGGTTTTGGAGGCCTCGCATACAGCTGGGACGTACTTGCAGCAGACGTGACGAACCTGAGAAATCGAGGTCTTGCCTTTGCTTTCACATCGTCCCCAGCCTTGATCTCGGCATTCGCTGGATCGAAGGCTGCTGCCGAGTTCCTTCTTCATGTTAATTGGCGATGGGGTTATGGAATGTGGGCAATTGTCTTGCCGGCGTTCGCATTGCCTCTGTATGCCCTCTTGGCCTACAATCTGCGGCGAGCAGAAAGACAGGGGACGATCAACAGAGAAAGAACCAAGTTTAGGTTCAGCCTGGAATCAGTCTGGTGGGTTGTCAAGGAATTCGATTGTGAGTAGCTAACATGAAATCGCCTTCAAGGCTTGTTGTCGATTGCTAACCTCGGATAATTCTTGATAGTGATGGGTGTTATCCTCTTCGCTGGCGGTATGGTCGTGTTCCTGCTGCCGTTTACGCTGGCTAGTACTGCGCCCAGCGGCTGGCAAACAGGGTACATCATCGCGATGCTCGTTGTCGGTCTCGTCCTCCTGATTTCCTTCGGCTTTTACGAAACTTATCTCGCCCCGGTCCCATTCTTGGATTACAAATTCCTCACGGACCGAACCATCTTGGGTGCATGTCTCTTGAACATGACATACCAGATCTCTTATTACTGCTATGGGAGTTACCTATCGTCATTTTTGCAAGTAGTGTACCACTTGGACGTTGCCACTGCTGGATACGTGGGAAACACATTCAGCGTGGTTTCATTTGTCTTCTTGTTCGTCACTGGCTGGCTGATTCGAGTGACCGGACGATTCAAGTGGATCCTCTGGATTTGCGTGCCGCTCTACATATTTGGGCTGGGCCTCATGATTCACTTCCGTACCCCCGGTGGATACATCGGCTACATTGTCATGTGCGAGATCTTCTTCTCTGTCCCAGGTGGCATCTTCATTCTTTGTGTGCAGCTGGCCGTTCTTGCATCCGTTGATCACCAGCACGTTGCTGCGGCACTTGCTTTGCTTTTCGTGATGGGTAGTATCGGTGGATCCATTGGCAGTGCCATTTGCGGCGCTATCTGGACAAATACCTTCCTGTCAAAGCTCCAGCAGACTCTCCCAGAAGAGGCCTTATCCGATTTGTCACTTATCTATGCAAGCCTACCGGTGCAACTCAGCTACCCCGTCGGTAGCCCAATCCGCGATGCAATCATCGAAGCATATGGCTATGCTCAGCCAATCATGCTTGCTTCTGGCACTGGATTCATGGTGCTGGGATTCATTTGGGTTGGCATGATGAAGAACTTGAATGTGAAGACGATGACCCAGACGAAGGGCAACGTCTTCTGATGGCATTGGATATTTGGGTAAACACACAAAGATCAACAATATCAAACGAAACAGTAGCAAAGCAAACCCAAACAAAAACTATAATTGAAACACGAGATATCACGAAGTCAATCAATTTAAGACCTACGCCCCCAGAATTCTTGCACAGCAACCGATAGTTAGTTGTCAAAGCAGCGGCGCTTGTGTGGTCTTTCGATGGAGCTATCGTCCGAAATTGGAGAAGTTGAACGCTTTCGTTTCTGACCAGAAACTGGCTGGGCCGCTTGAGCCGACTCGCCCTTTGTGTCCTTGGGAATTTCCTCAATCATCAATCGCATATGCAGATCGCCCCAGCAGAAAAAGGTTCTAATCTTAGATATGCGACGCGTTCCACGCTCGAGTGCGCCCAATATCAAGTTAACCACCAACCCTCCAAGTCTTGTCCCCAACAACGCTTCAAACTCAGGGCTTCCAGGATACCAATCTAGCTCTGTCTCATCGTACCACTCCAGACCATTTTCTGCGGTATAAAGATAGTCCTGCATGAAACCACGAGTATCCTCATTCAGAACATTGAAAAGGTAGACACATTTAAGCGTGTCAATCGGATAAATGGTTGCATACGCGGCTGCGCTGATTTCCGAAGCGTAAGGACCGAACGTTCGCTTGATTTCCTCGATCATTAGTACACCAGGCGCAACTTGACCTTTCCAAACATTCAGCCTGGGCTGTTTGCCGCTCCATTGGTTGACATATAGACCCAGTTGCTGAATACTCATTCTTGCCCACCCACCTTCGTCTGGTTCTTGGATTTGGAGCTCGTCAAGGTGATCTTCCATCGCGTCGTATGAAACAGGTATGAGGTCTGGCTCGGTTGGGTCATTGTGGAAACCGGTCAAGTCTTGCCACGATAGCTTTGATGGCTCAATTGGACAGCCTGGTGCTGTTGAGTCTTCTATCCATCTTTGCCGTATCTGACCGGCTAGTTGATAGGCACCGTACTTGAAACTATCGAGGAGCCTCATTGTGAAGAGGGTTGCTATTCCTTTCGCGAGGGGGCTGTGTGATCGAAAAATGAACTGAAAATAATATGGGATATCTTATTGACTCTATGGGAAAGACGAAGTATATAAATCTCAACAAAATATTGGTAGACAAAGAGGTGAACTCGAAGTATGGGACTGGATCGAGATTCTTTGAAGACAAAATCCAACTATGGCATTGTTGGGTAACCAAAAATAGCCAATATCAAAGAGCCCTTGAATATTGCAAAGTCTCGAGGACGAGAACAAAGAAAAGTATCCGAGTACCTGAGAATTTTCCTCGCTTGACTTGTGGATCGCAAACAAAGGAACAATAAACCGATAACATTTGAAGACTCTGACACAAGGTATTTTGCCTTGCACATGAGCCAAACAATAAGAATGGAAGTCCAAGGAAGAGAAAACAAAGACATGATACGAAAGGACAAAGGGCTGGAGGATTGCGTGCCTTGAACTACCACTAATCTCCGACAACTACCAGTGCGGTATGTACTTGGACCATGAAACCGTCTCAAACGCACTTTTTGGCAAACTTCTCAATCCGATGAGATCCTCCGTCAATATGAATACTCGACCCACGGCATAGAGAACACAGACCAGGGAAATCGGAATCAAAGCACGAAGTGGAATTTCCAATGCAGGATCCTGCTCAGGGTCGATATTCTTCAATTTTGACAGGAAACGATAAATCCAAGAGGAACCCTCTTTGTTTTGTATAGCATGTGTCTTCTGCTGCGCTATATCCGCTTTGAATATAGTTTTGTGGAAATATAACGCAGCGAGACCCCCGAACAAGGTAAAAGCTACCATGCTTGCACTCGAAAATCGCCAGAGGATTTGCTCAGCTGTAGTAGGAAAATCTGTGTTCCAAGCGATGAGAAAGACAGAGCTAAAAAGCAGAACTGTCGGGGCGCAGACAATCTCGGCTCGGAAGTCCACGTTCGGCCCATAGTGACTGGGAATGCGGTCGTATGGTCTTCGCTCAGGTCGTATGAAGAGAGGTATGTGCAAGTAGTGGAGAATTTGAATGTAGTATTTCCAAAATCGCGAGATGAACCACTCGTCCCGAGAGAGGAACTCGAAGGGTGTTTCATACCACTGAGGTCCCGGGTTTTGATGGTATTTCCCTCGAATTGCGGCAACGGAAGCAGTAAGCTCCAGAGTGATGGGCCTGTTCACATCCATGGGTTTGTGATACCAACAAAAAGACGTTACCAGAAAAACCAGAATGAAAGAAAGGGTGGTTATTTCGAGGGTGGTGACGACAAGACCTTGAGCAAAGCGAAATATCGTGTTAAAAGTAAACCAACACGCCTGCGCTATTGTAAACAATCTACTTGAGTCAGTATGTCATGAAGCTTTGAAAATGGGTGTTTCAGGGCCAATAATCCGTGCACTTACTTGGCTAAACCACTTGATTTGCTCTTGTCCTCAATCTCATCCTCATCCAGCTCTGGATACGGGAGATAGCCATCCTTGACCAAAGAACAGAGCTGCTTCGCGTCTACCGGAAATGAGGGCATATCCTCACCCGGGTAGGTTATCAAAAATCCACCCATGTCAGCGAACCAGGCATGCTTGATAGACCACTCCTTGTATCCGGCGTCATGAAAGTCCTGATCTGTCAGGAGACTAATCAACTTGTGAGCATAGCATCACCCACCTTCAAAGATCGACGGGCGGAAGACCATTGCCCCAAGGCTACCATCAGAATAAATTCCGATCCGAGCAAGGCAACACAGGCAAGATCGAACTTGTATCTCCATTTTCTGAATTCCCCATCCGATTTGGCAGGCAGGTTTGGAGCCACCGAGGTCCAACAACAGAGAATGATTGTGAGAACGCAAGTGCAGAGAATGCTCCACGTGCCTCGCCCGTCAGGTTCTTGAACCCACCCCTCAGAGGCTAACGTATTGCTAATCATAATATAAGTTGCTCAGCCCACTCTAATAGACCTAAATCAATGCCATCGGGGTATAGAAGAGATTGTTATAAGTGAGGTGGAGTTGGTGTCTGCCACGAGCCCTGAAATGGTGTACGCCTCCTCATGTTTGACTACGCGCCTGAAATAGCCATGCAGGAATCCTCAAAAACAGTCTTGACAAATTCGTCACCCGGGCGTTAACATGCAGGTCACCCACGCAAGTAACGGGCTTTAGGCGCTGGCGCTAGTGCTAGCGTGCATCGCCCCCAGCCTCGATTTCAACCAGCATGCCTCACAGCCTCACTCCATTGAGAGACATTGCCGGTATGAGCGCGGAAATATTGACTGTTGGTCCGGCAGGCTCCAGGAATAAATGGCCCGGGTCTTGTGCGTCTGGGCCGGTATGCTCATCAACATCTGATCAGCCTATCAAGACACCAGTCTGGTCTCGAGAACCAAAATTCTTAGCCAGTACATGGCTCTTGGTAATAATAATGATCTTCTGTGATGCGAATTCTCGATATAGAATACCATCGCGGTAGGGCAAGGTCGTGACAGTCGGCGCCAGACACGACTTGAGTCTTGCAGTACTTATCGCTATGTGCTGCAACTAGCCGAAGGAATGACAGCCATCTTCCCCTTATGCAAGAGTGATAGAGAAACAGGTGATGAGCTTCACAAAATAGGAAGAAAGTTGGAGAAGAGGGAATGGAGAGAGGAGAGGAGAGTTGGGAAGGGAGAGATGCTGACTGGACACCTCAAACCACCTCATCTCTCATCTCCGCTCTGTCAGCTCCCCCAGGGCTCTTTTCCACAAAGTACAGACTCTTCCATTCGGCTTATTTATTTCGATATCTTCCACGATTTAGCTTAAATTTTTAAGTTTCGGCTATAGATAACCTTGGAATGCTTACCGAGCTCATCTCGCGTTTGATTGATCCGGAGGGTTTTCCAATGGCATCATTTTAGCCCCAAAGGCCTACGGTGGTGTTAGCGACAACCCAAATTGCAACATTTACAACTTCAGAGATAGACAAGTAGTTCGATAAGCTTGTATTTATATAACAAAATGATTTACCAGAAAAAGACAGGTTTTCGTGAAATTCTGCAACTTTACTGTGAACCATGGCTGTACTAGAGGCAGAGGCAGCCCCTGTGCCCCGAAAGTGGTACCATTGGTATTCTCCGGATGATACTCCAGAGGAAAGGAAGCTGATATTGAAATTGGATCTCTTGATTGTTCCGTATGCATTCGTTGTTTACTGGATCAAATACATTGACCAAGGGAACATTAGTAGGTCAACTTCCTACAGGCAAATGTCCGCAAAAGAATAGTAGGAATGCTCATTAACGGCGCTACTAGACAATGCATATGTATCAGGAATGTCTGAGGAGCTCGGCTTCAATGGGAATGAGCTAGTGCATTTCCAGACCATCTTCACAGTGGGCAATGTCGTTGCACTTCTGCCCTTTGTATATCTCTTCCCTCGGGTGCCGATGCACTACCTGGTGCCCACTCTGGATCTTCTTTGGGGAATTTTCACTCTGCTGCAGTACCGAGCTACCAGCTATTCAGAAATTATGGCTTATAGATTCATGGTTGCAATATTCGAGGTAGCACTCCCTGCTCAAAGGCTTTTGTCTGTTTTACTCACTCTGATAGGCATCTTACTTCCCCGGTGTGCACTTCGTCCTAGGATCCTGGTATAAAAGCAACGAGATTGGACGACGAGGGGGCGCCTTCTACGTCGGTCTCACTCTCGGCCTTCTCACCGCGAGTCTCCTCCAAAGTGCAACACTCGAATACCTCGATGGGGTGAATGGACTAGCGGGATGGCGATGGCTGTTCATCATCAACGCCATCATCACAATTCCCATGGCGATTATCGGCTACTTTATCTACCCTGGCACAATTGATAAGCCTAACCGTCTGGTGGTTTCACAACGAGATCTAGATATTGCACGCGCCCGGCTAGAAAGACAGGGATCCCAAGTGAAAAGCTCACCATTCTCACTGGAGCTAGCCAAAAGGATCTTCACGACAAAGCGATTCTGGCTGATACTCATCTGGGATGGATTCTTCTTCAATTCCAGCGCCAACGCAGCGTCCTTCTTGCTTTGGTTGAAGAGTCTACATCGCTATACGGCAGCCAAGCAAAACGAACTCAACTCAATCAGTCCGGCACTGGGTATCTTCTTTGTACTTTTTATCAACGTGAGCACCGACTTGTGGTTAAACCGCGCCTGGGCTATCACTCTTGCCTCGTGCATCAACTTTACAGGACTGGTCATTTTGGCTATCTGGAATGTGCCCGAAGGGGCCAAATGGTTTGCTTACAGCGTGCAATACTCGGCAGTCGCGGTATCTTCGGTACTTTATGGGTGGATCAACGTGCTTTACCGAGACAATGTCGAGGAGCGCGCAGTCGTGCTTGTTTTGGCTACTGCCATATCTACCATGTGGACATGTTGGATTCCACTTTTCACATACCCCACTGTGGAGGGCCCTCGATTTGCAAAGGGATATGTCTTTTCGGCCGTCATGACTGTCTGTTTAGTGGCTATGAGTTTTGTCATTCGCTATATCTATGGCCCAAACGGGTGAGTATCCATTTCAGATGGCTCTTCTCGTGCTAACCTGAAGTAGTGAAAAAAATCGCAAATATCCCAACGCTGGAAATGAGGCTATCGATCACTCGACAGAAGATATTTCAACATCGACAACTGGAAAGGGAAAGAAAGATCAAGTTTCTGTCACACCTTTGTGATTTAGCATAATTTGAGGCAGATACAATTGGTCCTTTGTAATATGATATAGTATAAGGGTCATGAAATTGGATGTTCTTTGTTAAATGCTCAGCTCTATGTGCAAAATCAGTCACGCTGATCTCAAACTGTAGGGTCTCACCACAAGCGGCTACATTCGGTGCCACTAAAGTACCGCATTGCGATTAAGTCTGCACACGAAGGTCAAGGTGCCAATTAGTCATTTCTTGCGGGCCCTGCTCGCAGGTTGCAGTCATATAGTGGTTATTTCGGGGTCTGGTCGTCATCACAGTCAGAGGTACGTGCAGCGTGCTTATAAGACTTTTGGGCATAAGCAGGTCCGAATCTGATATCGTGTCATGTAGTAATCCTTATGGTCAGCGCAACCAGAAGTAAGTATCCATGGATAACGCACTTCAGGTCTTCCAAAGCTAGACAGGGATTTTTCAAGACCGAACAATGTCTCTGATATACCATATATGGACACTCACGCACTTATTTCGGTTTATTTGGGGCAGAATCTTGGAATGTGAATTTTCCTACCGTAGGCTGCGCTGATGTAGTTAGGGCTGCCCGAGTGTGGATAGTGTAGGCCAAATTGGTCAGCCCCAAGAGCAATTCTAAGAACAGTTTCATCTGGACCTAATCATTCAGCCATGTAGAGATTGGCTCTTCAGTAGTGGCATTACTAAAACAGAATTAAAGACACTTTGTTTGTAATCCACCACAAGGTGTATGAAAACCTTCGGAGAATACACGACCTTTTGAAATCAACAGGCAGCACTTTTGACTATTATTAAGAAATACGAGAGAAAGCGGTTATAAGAGAGCACAGAGAAGAGCTGGTCGGGTTTCACCGCGCACGATCCTTTCCTTATTATCGTCATGACATCTCCTGACATCCATAAAAAGGCCACGAGAGACACGAGAACATCTTGAATACTTGATGAGGCAAATGCGCGATCAAAAGTAACCATCTCTGGGTGTCATCTTTACGATCGGGACTCAGATTTGTGTAAACTGTACGGCTTCTGCCGGGGTCTGGGGGTTTTCATATTGGCTGAGAGGGGCCATGCAGTGTTTCACACACGTGGAGCAACCTCGCATATGGGACTATGTGATTTCGAGGCCGCAGTGCCGCGTACATTGAGGGAGAACGATCCATAGGTTCTCTCAATGTAAGTATCAGGCCTTCTGTTGACTACCGATGCATCCACTGCCTTGGCCAAAGTTGGACAAGAGGTCCCACTAGATCGTATAAGGGAGGTTATAAGTCCAGCCACCTCTGCTCGTGAAGTTCAGAGATGTCACATAGCAGTGATTGAGAACTGGGGAACCGGACTCTCCCGTCAACATCAGCGAAAGAAAACCCCCAAATTAGAATATCAGTTCATCCATCATGCATCAGCCCATTTCGAACATGACGTTCAGAAATCTTCAGCACCTGCTCCAAGAGGTTTCGGATCAGGAAGATGGTGGCAACCTGATATGCTACTCCTTAGGAAACACCGATGATCCGATAACCTGTTCCTATAAGCAACTTTTTCAACATGCGCAGCGTGCCTCCTGGTCGCTTCGTGCAAGCCCCATTGCCTCTGATCTGAATCCCGGGTGTGCGGTTCTTCTGCACTTCGAATCCCACTGGGACACTATTATATGGTTCTGGGCGGTTATGCTGGCAGGGTGCGTGCCTGTCATTTCGACAACACTTCCCAACGACCCTTCACTCCGCATGGCGCATTTGGACCACTTGTCGAAACTACTGAAGGAGCCATTGTGCTTGACTCGCAACACTCTTGTATCCGAGTTCAGCCAACAGCCATCCATCAAGATAATGGCGGTTGATTCACTTGATCAAAAGGCCGCCCTCCCCTTGCTCGACTTCACTAGATCTGAACTGGGTGACACAGCAGTTATGATGCTCACCTCGGGCAGCACGGGGAAATCCAAGGCTGTGTGTCTCACTCATGGACAGATTCTAGCTGTTCTGGTCGGGAAACTATCCGTTGTGGCTCTCCGTGGAAATAGCTTCATGAACTGTATTCGTCTCGATCATGCCGCCTCTCTCGTCGAAATCCATCTGCAAGCTATGTTGGCGCTCAAAGATCAGGTTCATGTCCACAGCACGGATGTACTTTCCGACCCAATCAAATTTATAGACCTGATCGATAGGCACAGAGTCACCAGAACCTTTGCTCCAAACTCCTTCCTGGCAAAGCTTCGTACCACCTTGTCCGGGGTAGCAGCTCCATCTGGCGCAACGAATGGCGTTTCGCACAACTGGGATCTCAGTTGCCTGGATTATGTGGCTTCAGGGGGCGAAGCAAATGTAACCAGAACATGCGATGAGGTCTCAAAACTCCTTGTCCGCTATGGAGCCCCGAGAAACGTCATCGTTCCTGGCTTCGGCATGACAGAAACATGCGCTGGTGCGATTTTCAATACCAACTGCCCGCAGTACGATATTGACCACAAGCTGGAATTTGCCTCTGTCGGAACTTGTATGCCAGGTATTGAATTGAGGATCACAGATGATTCGAGCAACAACGTTTGTCTATCCCCAGGAGAGATCGGTAACCTGGAGCTCAGGGGGAAAGCGGTCTTCAAAGAATATTTCAATGACGCCCAATCGACCGCAGAATCATTCAGCAGTGATGGATGGTTCAAGACAGGCGACCGAGCCTTCATCGACCGGAACACCGGGTATTTGAACTTGACAGGCCGACTGAAGGAGACAATGATCATCAACGGAATCCACTATAGCCCTTATGAGATTGACAGCTTGCTTGATCGGGCCGACATCCCAGGCCTCACTCCTAGCTTCAACTGCTGTTTTTCTTCGTTCCCGGCCGGCGCAGACACAGAAATGGTCTGCCTGGCGTACCTACCGACCTACCGACCGGAGGATATGGCGACGCGTGTGCGAACCACCGAAGCAATTTCCAAGATTGTCATTATGGCTACTGGTTCACGCCCGGAGATCATTCCATTGAATGAATCCATTCTTCAAAAGTCCGCGCTTGGCAAGGTATCTCGTCAAAAGATCAAGACGTGTTATGAAAAAGGCGAGTACAGATCTTTTCAAGAGATCAATAGTGAAATGGTGAGGCTTTATTATAAGGCAGTCCGCACCCCACCGCAGAATGAACTTGAGCGTCAGATCCTCGCGATCTATATTGAATCTCTGGGGCTTGGCGAGGAAGGGTTTGGTGTGGAAACTCCCATTTTCGATGTTGGAATCACTTCCATGGAGCTTATCAAGCTGAAGAAAGACCTGGAAAGCAAAATCGATCTGGGTCAGGAACTACCACTGACGGCTGTCATGACAAGCTCAACGGTACGCGAATTGCACAATGTGTTGCAGGAGCTGCAAGCGCTTCGGGAGTATAGCCCCTTGGTTACTCTGCAGGACAAAGGCACCAAAGCACCTCTTTGGCTTGTTCACCCGGGGGGCAGGTGAGGTGCTGGTTTTCCTCAACCTTGCGAAATACATGAAGGATCGGCCGATTCATGCTTTGCGGGCGAGGGGATTCAACGAAGGCGAAATACCTTTCTCCACTATCGAGGAAACTGTGGACAGTTACTATGCCACTGTCAAAAGAACACAGCCCCACGGGCCATATGCGTTGGCAGGATACTGCTATGGGGCCATGATTGCGTTTGAGGTGGGAAAACTTCTTGAAAAGAACGGTGACGAAGTCAAGTTCGTGGGAGCATTCAATCTTCCACCGCATATCAAGTTGCGTATGCGTGATCTCGACTATCGAGAATGCCTGCTCCATCTTGCTTATTTCCTCGGACTTATGACTGAGGAACGATCGAGAGTATTGGCGGTTGCGCTGAAGGGGCTTTCGAGAGAGGAGGTGTTTGACGGAGTGATGAGAGAGTCTGATCCAGATCGCCTGGCAGAACTCTCATTCTCCAAGCCAAGCCTGATAAGATGGGCTTCCCTGGCATATGTCCTGCATAGCATGGCAGTCGACTACGACCCCGAGGGATCTGTGGCCAGCATCGATGTCTTTTGGTGCACCCCGTTGGCAATCGCGGCGTCATCCAAAGAGGAATGGCTGAATGAACATCTCAGTAAGTGGCAGGACTTTTCTCGAGCCACCACTGGATTCCATGAAGTTCCTGGTAGGCATTACACGATGCTGTTGCCGGAGCATGTCTTTGACTTCCAGAAGATCTTGCGGGGTGTGCTAGAGGCTCGAGGAATTTAGATTGGGCGGTGGCGGAGCCCTGAAACCTGGGATGCAATGGCCATCGCCCCGAGGAAATTTTGAAAAGGAACCAGATATGGGAATTGATTCTTATTGGAGCTCAAGAGGGTGCAAATTCGCTGGGTAGCAGAATCTCTGTCGTTTCAATCCAACTGCTATACTTTATGTGTGCACACACGTATCTGATGAGAAACACGTAGACCTGAAGTATCTCAGCTGTCTAAGCATGGAGGATGAAAGACCTCGAGATGTGAAAATAGGAGAAGATCAAAGGCTTGTAAACGACGGGGATGAAATTCGGATTGAGCCTCAACAATCAGGTGTCAACGCCAAGATGTGGACATTGCTCTTCACTTCCAACCTTCAACATCCTCATCTTTCTCCACCTTGAGGGAACTACTCCAGATCCAGAGGAAGAACACATGCATGTCTTTGAACCTGGAAATGGCTGCCATTGGGTCGGTGGAATTATCAATCAGCATAAATGCAGTCATGCGTGCATCGTACCACATAAGCATGGTACGTTTGTGAACTACACGTCATTGACTTGTCAGGCAAGCAAGTCAACCAGTATGGAATTCGTTTCCACTATGTGCAGGTTTTGGTACTTATTGCATGACTTGATTCTGGATCTCCCTCCAATTTTCTTTTTACTCCCAGTATCTGCCAACGCGCTCATCGTGACGGAATCACCGGAACAACCTAATCGAAACAGAGCTACTGGCATACTGTGAAACACCTCAAAACCACACCAGGTCACACAAAATGGCGTCAAAAGCCGAAGGTCAGAGCATCTCTGCATATGGAGAGGCTCGTTCTACCCTAGAGGGTAAGCCTCTCGATGCCGAGACAATACGGAAGATGAACGCCTACTTCCGGGCAAGCATGTACCTTTGTCTAGGCATGCTTTATCTTCGTGACAATCCACTACTCGAAGAGCCTCTTAAGTTAGAGCACCTCAAAGCCCGCCTCCTGGGTCATTGGGGGTCTGATGCTGGACAATCCTTCACCTGGATGCACATGAATCGACTTATCAAGAAGCACGATCTCGATGTACTCTTTGTTTCGGGTCCGGGCCATGGCGCTCCTGGAATTATCTCTCAATCCTATCTTGAAGGCGTCTACTCGGAAGTTTATCCGGACAAAGCTGAGGATAAGGAGGGCATGAAGAAGTTCTTCAAGCAATTCTCGTTCCCCGGTGGAATTGGAAGCCATGCTACCCCGGAGACGCCGGGAAGTATTCATGAGGGTGGAGAGCTCGGATACTCGATCTCACACGCCTTTGGCTCGGTTTTTGATAACCCGAATCTGATCACCTTGACCATGGTCGGTGATGGCGAGTCTGAGACCGGGCCTTTGGCAACCAGCTGGCATAGCACGAAGTTCTTGAACCCTATCGTCGACGGAGCTGTGCTTCCTGTTCTGCATCTGAATGGATACAAAATCAACAACCCAACCGTGCTTGCACGAGTGAGCCATGAGGAGTTGACATCTTTGTTTGTCGGCTACGGATGGAAGCCATACTTTGTGGAGGGAAGTGATTTTGACAGCATGCATCAGGCCATGGCTGTGACACTTGAGCAATGTGTCAAGGAAATCAAGGAGCATCAAAAGAAAGCTCGGGATTCCAACAAGCCCTTTAGGCCTCGCTGGCCCATGATCGTTCTTCGCACGCCCAAGGGATGGTCGGCTCCCCGAGAACTCGATGGCCATCATCTCGAGGGCTTTTGGCGTGCACACCAGATTCCAATCACAGATGTCCGCACCAATCCTCCGCATCTCAAACTTCTGGAGCAGTGGATGAAAGGATACAAGCCGGAGGAGCTCTTTGACAAGAACGGCAAATTGATCCCAGAACTCAAAGAGCTTGCCCCGTCGGGCAACTCGAGAATGAGTGCCAACCCCGTTGGCAACGGCGGTCTTCTACGCCGGCCGCTCAGCATGCCGGACTTCCGAAAGTATGGGTTCACGGATATCGAACCAGGCAAGTCAATCAAGGGAGGCATGGCCAACATGGCCATATTCCTCCGGGATCTGGTCGCCCAGAACATGCATAACTTCCGACTTTTCGGACCCGATGAAACCGAATCCAACAAGCTGGCCGAGGTGTACAAAGCAGGCAAGAAAGTGTGGATGGGAGACTACTTCGAGGAAGACAAAGATGGAGGCAACCTGGCACCTGATGGCCGTGTGATGGAGATCCTAAGCGAACATACCTGTGAAGGATGGCTGGAAGGCTATGTTCTCTCCGGACGTCATGGGTTGCTGAACAGCTACGAGCCTTTCATTCACGTCATCGACTCGATGGTCAACCAGCACTGCAAATGGATCGAAAAGTGTCTTGAGGTCGAATGGAGAGCTCGGATCGCCTCTCTGAACATCCTTATCACAGCGACAGTGTGGAGACAAGACCATAACGGTTTCACACACCAAGATCCAGGCTTCCTCGACGTGGTCGCAAATAAAAGCCCAGAAGTCGTCCGCATCTACCTTCCACCGGATGGCAACACTCTTCTCTCGGTCATGGACCACTGCCTACGCAGTGTGAACTACGTAAATGTCGTCGTCGCCGACAAGCAAGATCACATCCAGTTCCTCAACATGGAAGAAGCCATCGCGCACTGTACCAAAGGTCTCGGAATCTGGGACTGGGCCAGTAACGACCAAGGCGAGGAGCCGGACATTGTAATTGCATCCTGCGGTGACGTGTCGACACACGAAGCTCTCGCAGCAACAGCTCTACTGCGGAAGAATCTACCGGATCTGAAAATCCGATTCGTCAACGTGGTTGATCTCTTCCGACTAATCTCGACCCTCCATCATCCCCATGGCATGTCGGACAAGAAATGGAAGGCCATCTTCACAGATGACAAACCTATCATCTTCAACTTCCACTCTTATCCCTGGCTCATCCACCGGCTCACCTACAAGCGACCCGGTCAGCATAACCTGCATGTACGGGGATACAGGGAGAAGGGAAATATCGATACTCCATTCGAACTTGCTATGCGCAATCAGACTGATCGATACAGTCTTGCTGTCGACGCGATTGACCTCGTCAAGTCTCTTGGAAACACTGCCTCTGGTGTGCGAGAGAAGCTGATCAATGAACAGCTCGCTGCTAAAGCGGTGGCGTTTGATAATGGTCTTGACCCCGAGCATATTCGGAATTGGAGTTGGCCTTGGCCTAAGAAATAGCACGTTTCTTGAAGGCGCTGGGGATGGTGTTCGATGGTAAATGATGGTTCGATACACGTGAATCTTCATAATAATACATGCTCATTTTTGACTTATCGTTGTTTTCATGAACACATTACCACGGACTGTGTCCACGGCCACGGAGAGTCTGATGGTGCTGCTCAACCCCTACTAGTACAAATGAGTAAAACCTAATCATGGACAATCTTGGAAGCTCAACACTATCAGATCTACTGAAGCTCTCAACTCCAAGGCTGTGGCGTAGGGATGGTGGTATACTGAAAGCTAGTAGAAGCTAGATCGCTCCAGGGGCCGGTCTCCCAAGGCTACCAACACAAGAAAGGCTACAAAAGACACACAGATCCAGAACCAATGGACAGTAGATTAGATACTAACAAGGGTAACATCCTCAATATTTGCTAAGCGGATTGAGATTGCAAAGCAGACTCTGCGCCGTAGCGCCGATGATAAACGTACAAGCAAGATGCAACAGCGAATTAAGGAATTTTGAAGGGGAAATAGATGGCGTGAAGTAGGTCATTGAAGCTTAATAGTACATTAAGGTGCAAACGGCGAAATATGGCGGAATTAGCCGAATCGGCCAACGGGGATATCGTGTCGATGGAGGTCCTTGGACCATTCCGGTGCGACCTTATCACGCTCGTAGAGTAAGCCACAGTTGTGGCAGAGGGTCTAGATACGAATGTTAGCTTGATGTCGAGGAATTGAATTGAATTGAATTGAAAACTCACCCGTGGACCGTCCGGACCGTCTCGCACTGCCCAAACTGCTGTGCCCCATACTGCACAGTTCTTGCATCGCCAGCTTTGGCGCTCCCTGAAAACGAGCTTGTTAGATATGATTCAATGATTTGGAAATAGATGTCAACGTACCATTCAGAGAGTGTACCGCCACCACCTCCATATCCAGCACCCGACCCTGTATCCGGGGTGCCACGACCACCTGGAGTACCGCCTCTGCCACTGGGGCTTAAGCTACGGAATCTGCGCTTACGCTTGTTCCGCTCACCGCGTCCCAACGGAGTGTCACCGTCAACTTCAAAGTGACTACTGCTTTGTCTTTGAAGATCGGGCGTGATTCCTGTAGTCGATGAGAACCTGGCGGTCTCTCGTCGCAAGCGACGAATCTGGCGCTCCCGGTCACCTTCACGACGCTCAATCTCCTCCTTGGACAGTGCCTCAACCGAAGGTTGCCACTCTTCGCAGACAGTCTCCGGGTCATAGCGCCACCCAGCCTCCACGCCATTGGCAGCCAGGTTGTCGATATCGTTGCCGTAGCCGTTGATACCGCTGACGAGGGCACCACTTTCGCAAACTTCCTTTTTGAACTTCAATACGGCTTCGTATATAGCGTGCGCAAGGGCGCTGACCCATTCGCCGCCGAGACTGAGATCTGCACAAGTGATACGCGCGAATTCTTCGGCCAACCCGGGTGGGTGGAGTAGAGACCATTCGAATTTGTCCGTGTAAAGCTTGTTCTGCAGATTGATATTGAGTGTAATCAAACAACGGTAGGCGTCATCGGGGTTGAGGAGGCTATCGTTCACTAGCGCTTCTTTGGTAGGTGTGACGGTTGTGGTGATGATGGGCCGGCTGTCAGGTGTAGCAACATTCGTGGCCGCTGGTGTCATTGAGGCATCTCGCGATGGCTCCGTCTGTGGTGGGAGACTCGGCGCGGCGCCTGATTCTGTGCTCTGGAATAGAGGGTGGAGAGCTACACCGGCATATTCCTCCAGCTGCTGTCGAATCTGATTGCTAATCGTCATTGTCGTGGCTTGGGGGTTTGGTAGATCGAGATCGCGCACGAATCCAACAGCGAATTCTTCTGGCGTTGAGAGCGATTCGTGAAGATTCCATAAGAAGGTATCCTTGATTCGGAATGGGGGTAACGGATCAGGCCTGCGGTAGGCAGGAAGGGTCTGGTTGATTGCAGGGTCTGCAGACATGCGCGGGAGAGGGAAGGGTTCGAGAGGCTGGTGGGCGATAACCTCCACATCAATTCGAATGGGGACCAAAGTTAAGGGAAGCTGCGCCTGAATCTGTAGCTGATCGGCGCATCTGGAATCACCACGCTATATGTTAGCCAAGTTGAGGGAGGGGGGAAGAGACAAGCCATGTCAGAAAGAACATACGCCGGTCGCAACATTCGCTTGATCATCCATTCACGGAAAAGACCTTGCACTTCCACTGGTTCATGTATCTCTTTTCCCAGTTTCTCTGAGTATGGGATCAACTTGTCGGCGGCTGATTCTTCGCGCCGAAGGCTCCTTAGGCCTGTTGGCCGACGGGGACCGTCAGTCTCATCGAAATCCTCATCTTCATATCCATCTTCGGCGTAGTTGATGGCTGTGGTACCACGTTTGGTAGTGCGCGGTGTGGGACCGGCCTGCGACGGAGGGTTGACGGGTGTGAGCAACGCGTTTCCATACTGGCGCATGCGCGGGGGGTAAGAAGTGATGTAGCCGCGGAGAGGGGACATGTTTGCGATTCAATTGCACAATGACATGCCCCTTCGAGGGTTGGATTGAAGCGGCGGAGAGCTTGCGATTTGTTGATTGACTCGATGTTCGAAGGGCTGATCACTGGATGGAGGCACGTAGAAAATTGGCCCAAGCGCAAGCAAAGATAGCGACAAAAATTCGAGAGATGTCCACAGCAGGTGAAAGGAAAATGGATAGGAAATCACGTCGAAGGCCTAATCGAAAGCAACTGGAAGGATTGACTTTGGAATTGATCTTCTGCGCAATGTCCAGTCGCGCTTTGCCCATTTCGACGCTAGTCCCATTCCAGTCGGTCACGTGTTTTATGGCCGCCATGATTTTCAGGCGGAAATAAGATGTGACTTGATCTGCGTAAACAGCAGTTAGTTGCATAACTTGAATCAACTTTAGTCCCATGGATGAATTACACGCTGATTTCTGGGCGGTTGTTTGTACAAGACTGAAAGAATCGAAGCCACTGAAATGAAGAGCAGGTGCCAACAGAATATGACAAACCACACACCATATATTCATGAATCCACAGCCCAGATACCAACTAATGACTAGTACTTTATTCAAATTTTAGACCAATCTGACTGGGAAAATCAATATACTGAAATGAATGACATCCAAACTGCAGAGTACGCCAGCCCTGCTGTCGCGATGAGGAGTTGGATATTGAAGATGTGGGACATTGTAAATGCAACCCGGGGAAGAGAACAGACGAAACATCGAGGCAAAAAGCCGGGGGAATGGTAGTCGCAGTACAAGATGCAAGGAAATAGATGTTAGAAAGAAAAGAAGATATTAACTTCACCGGAGACCAATAACGCTCTATGCAAGGTTAGTTCTTGTGGTTCCAGGGTCGGGGTCAGTAAAAGGAATGATAACTTACCATCTCCAATGTCCATACGCGCCGAATCCAGACCTTGACCTGACCATCAACGCCCTCCACATCATCAAGCTCAATACCCTCCCACCAGCAGCGGCGGGCAGGCTTGCGCCAGAACAGAAGAAGCTTCTGGGCCATGCCCACAGCATTGTTGTTGGACAAGTCGCCTCGGATATCAGTGCGGAGTTTAGCCAAGGCAAGACTGCAAATAACTGCCTTGTTGGGCTCAGCGGCACGGTGGCCCCATTGGTCTTCGCGGTCAAACCCACTGCATCACACATTAGTAGATATTCACTTTGGTGGATCCACGGCTACTTACCCAGCGGTCAACATCTCAATCAGATGCTGCTCAGTTGATCCGATTTCCTCACTCTTTCTCAATCCAGAGAAGATCCCATCTTGTTTCAGAAGGGACCGGCCAGCTGCGCGCTTGACTTCAAGCATCTCTTCGTGGCCGATGTCAGCACGCGGGGGGATCACGTAGAAGTCAAGGTCTTCCCTGAGGACAATGATTCCAGCACGGTCCTGCAGCATGTCGCGGGCGGAGCCCTGCATCGCGTCTGCAAGTTCCGCATCGGGTGAAGTAGAGCCAGATGGCAGAGATGAGGGGATCGTCTGGGCGACGTTGCGGAAGAAATCCAGCATGTACTGGAGAGCAGCGGGGTCATACTAAATGACTTGCGTTAGTAGCACATTCGCCGGAGTTTTGAGACATGACTTCACTTACATCAACAGGGTAGACCTCGCCGTCGTGGAAGCCATTTGTGGTTGCGTGGCCGTCCGGCAGCAGACCGTTGGGGAATAGAGACAGGAGAACAAACTCCGGCAGAGTCAGAAGCTCATCCCGAGAAAGGGTGAAACGAACATTCCTGTAGGTAGGTGAGTCAATGTGCTCAGCATATCAGAGGTTGTCATCGGTTGCTCAATCTTACCGAAGTTCGAGACAGATGTTTTCATCGCCACCAATGTCTGTCAGGGGTAATCAATTAGCGCGCAATCACTGAGCGGATATTGTTACAGCACTTACCACCGAGAGTGTTGATTGGCGGTCCCCCAGTCTGGGAGACCTGGGTGATGATACTCGAAGCACCTCCTGCGGCAGCCATAACGTAGGTGAATGATTCAAGCGGACTGTATCCTTCGGTGTAAGGTGGAGGGGGTTCACTGTCGTCAGCGGAACCCTCGTTTTTAGGTTCAGAGAAAGAAGCCTTTGTATCAGCAACGACCGCTGAAGAAGGGGCCGGCTCGAGGGACTCCTCGACAGGAGTCGGGGGCGCTAAAGCTGGTGGGCAAGCGGGACCGGGCTCAGTAACTTTGTATGCGCGATTGGAGTCGGACGAAGGCGAAACAAAGAGAGACGAGAAGGGTGGAGGGTGTGCGGAGGAGCTTGAAGCGGAGGCAGGGGAAAGCGGAGTCGCGGCGTAACAGTGGTCCTCCTCTAACGAGTCGGTGGAATGGGACGGGCACGCCGTGATTGATGGGTCTGACGGCGGCGTTTCTCGCGACACCGTGTTATAGGTTGCCTGACTGGTCTCAGGCTGGTCAATCTGCACGACCCAAAATGATCGGTGTTTGTGGCCTGGAGGTGCGGGCCCACGTCGGAAGTGAATTTACCCTCGGAAGTGCGTTCCAAGCAGCTGTGGTATATCAAGAGATGATTTCCCGTGTTCACTGGCACATTTATATAGGTGAGAGTCCGATCGAGTAGACAAAGAGACAAAGACGCAGTGGCAACGTTGTGAGCGCTTAGGTTGGGGAAAGCGTAGATCGACTACGGCGGTAAGTCCGAGCGCCATATCAGCCTTGGCACGTGCCGTGTGTGTTAGATTGCAGTTATTCGATATTAATTTACAATTTGAAGCATTCTACTTGACTGTATATTCGAGTGTTGAGCTGTGTGGTTCAGTCTGGATATATTTCAGGGGTTGTGCTAGGCAAGGTTCCTTTGATACACTACACCCTTGCTCCACATGGATATACAAGCAGATATCTGACCACCTCCAGGGCTAGACACTCATTGCATTCTTTGTGATGAAGTCTCAAATTGATTCGAAATGTTTACATACGTTTTATGACAGATAGGCCGTCAAAATAGGACATGGATGGTGCGAGTCTTCTTTGTCCTGGATATAAAGGGGCACTGTAGTTGTATATGTAGACAGGGCCCCATGTGTATTTTATGTACTATTCATATATATCGCTAAAGCAGGCTCGTTCAAACCTTGCGCTCAGCAAAGCTTTGAATCAAACCCTCCAGAGTCGGCTCATACTCCTTCAGACTGACTTGATCACCCTCAAGGATAGTGTTGGCCTGCACAAACACCTTGCGAGGAACCTTGTTCTTCAGAACGACGTCACGGACAGTAGTTCCCCACCAGCTGTCAACAGAGGTGATGTCATCATAAAGCCCCTTACCGGCCTCAATATCGGCGGTACTCTTGTAGACATGCAGCTTCTGGAGGTACTTCTCCACGGCCGGGCGTCCATGAGTCAGAATCTTCGAGCGATCAAGATGAATTTCAAGATCAGAGAGATCTTCCTTCTCGTGTGAAAGTTTCACAAAGTCATCGCCGGCATCAAGGAAAGTACGCAGGATACTGTAGCGAGCTTGCATGTGAGCCTGTCCCCACTTTTGAGTCTTGGGGTCCCAGAACTCGAGAGCGACCAGACCGGCACGAGCCATGGACAGGTATGCGGCGAAGAGAACGTCGCCAGCCTCACCGGCCAGGTCTTCCTTGCCATCGCCGAAGCCGAAGATCTTCAAGATGCCAAAGTCACAGCCGAGGACCATGGCAACACACTCCGCACGACACTCTTCATATGATGAGGCAATCGAACCGAAGACGGAGCTCCATGTTTGTCCTGGCTTGTACCAGGTAGACACAGGCTTGTTGGTGACAGGGCTGATGGGCGGGTTCTTGATATCGAAGTTATACTGTCCCGGTGCTGTCTCCTGCAACAGCTTGCCTGTGCCGTGTCCCAGAAGTTCGTGGATACCGACCTGAACCTCGAAAGCTGGGTCACGGAATTGACGGTAAATCTCCTGGTCGCGCTCCGCAATGAAAGGAATGGCCTCGTTAGGAGCCTTGGCACTCAGCACATTGCCAAGAGACACATTCTTGAAGCCCAGGTTTTGACGAATATCATCATAGTTGGGAAGGTTGATACCGGCCGGGAGGCCCGAGCACGCGAAGCTCAAGACCTCCAATGAAGTGAAGTCGGGGCTCAGGAACTTGTCTTTTTCAAAGTCCGTTCCCCAAGGGAGCTTAGGGATCATACTCTCGGCACTGTCTACCAGTGTTCCAAAAGCACGAGTGCGCTCGAGATTCACCTGTGGAAAGTTAGCAAGATACTCTGCTTTGACTCAGAAATATACATACCAAAGCGACAAAGCCTTCCCACTCTCCTCGCACACCATGGGGATCTCTGTAAGTTTCGACGAAACCAATGTTCGTCTCGAGAGCAGGCTTCTGGTCCTGAACCCAGATACGTTGGCTCTCCTTGAAGGCCTCGATAGAACCAGCACCGAATGAGAGCGCATACGAGTCGAGCATGCTCTTCTGCTTCTCATTCGCGGAAACAAGTCCAGCTTGCTTGATTGAATGAGCAATCTTAGCCATTTCCTCTTGGTGATCACCAAAGACCAGACGCAGGGTCTTCCCCCTCAGGTCACCGTCGAGCTGGAAGGTATCAACATCGCCGAGGTCGCGGTCCTTGGCAGGCGGAGAAGAAACACCTGACGCGATCAAAAGCTCAAAGTCACCGGAGGTTGTCTTTCGGATTCTGGTGTTCTCCAGGGCGAGTCCCTTCTTCTCCATCAAGTCACCGATGGCCGTAATTTCCTCCTGTGTAATTGTCGGCGAGTCGGGGTAATAAGTGGTCATGTGGCCACCCGTGGGGTATCCCAGGTGCATCATGGATTGCTCGGTTGTTTCGTAGATACCACCTCCGGTAGTGTTGGCCTTCTGGAAGGCAGTCTTGGTCTCGGCACTCGCAGAAGCCAGAGCTTCAAAGGCCGATGGCGAGAGTCGGGGGATGAACTTTGAGTCACCAAAGCCTTTGTAGTTTCCGCAGTTACCCAAGAATTGACCCGCATATTCGAGGAAGAAGCGGAGGTCATCGGCGCTGACTTGTGTCTTTTGGGCCAGGCTGTTCCAGTCGCCATTGGACGCGTGGTAAAGGGAGATGATCAGGTCATAGATGGGTTCGGATTCGGGGGAGACTTGACGCAGAGTGACACGGGTGCCTTCAAATGCAGCTCTATAGAATCCAGAAGTTAGCTTCCCGATAGGCTGAAGGGCAGATTGAGTTGCCAGAGATTGGGCGAAGGAAAACGGAATTCACCGTACCTGCTCATGAAGTGTGCATATTTTCGGAGGTTCTGATCTTTGAGAGTGTCAAAGTGGCTCTTGACTTCCAGTCTGACCACCGTGGGAGGAGAGTCAGCCAGGTAGTGTTTCTTGACAGTGTCATCCATGTTGAGACGTGAATATGAAGAGAATGCGTGTGCAAGTCGAGGAGCGGAGAGACGAGAGTAGAGGGGTAAGGGAGGTAGTACGGAGCGGACCAAGTGCGGCGCAATGCCACGCATGAGGTACATGAGGGGCTCGCAGTGGTAGCTATGACATCGCGCGTACCAATCAGGTAGGCCTTCCTCTTCCGCGCTCGGATCACCGATGGAGGTCCGATCGACGTTGCTTGGCATTGTTGTATACTCCGGACTCCGTACTTATCATCTTCATCTTTTTTCTTATGTACTTGGCGCTATTTACTTGATACTTTTTATGTACGAGATATTCAAAAGCAGACAAAGCCAGAAGCCAGAAGCAAAAAAAAGTAAGAAGTAAACTGGGGGTATCGACCATAACAAATATTCTCTCCCTAAATCAAACTTTCATATTTGTCCAGTCCTTGCTTTGGACTCGCCATTGGCGGGGGTGGAGCTGCGGATTGGAAGGATGTTGACCTTGTACTAGGACTCAATGGAGACCTCATGGTGCTGCTAGAGCCCATGCCCCCACCAGGGGGAGGGGGAATTGAGAACGAGGAGTAGTTAGGTGCTGCCGTGGTAGATCCGGACATATAATTCGACGGGGTCATAGTCGACATGGAGGTCAAAGACGGACTAGGTGCGCCCATCTGTGGTCGTGTAGTGGAATTGGCTGGCGCTCCCCATATAGATGAAGATGAAGGTTGTGGTTGCAGAGGAGGGAAGGGCTGGGCAGCCGGCTGGGTAATGGGCGAAGCCTGCCGAGGGGGAGCAGGTGCCAGAGAGGGGAATGAGCTCAGTTTCTGATCCGGAGTAATCGAACGGAAACCAAGGTTAGATTGAGAGCTCAGGGTGCTGGCCTGGTTGGTCATGCCGGCATTATTGGAAGACCAGGAGATGGAAGGCGACATGCTTGGGGGAGTAGCTTTGGCTGGAGCAGAATCCATCCCGCCCCACATGTCTATAGCCTCACCATTGGCAGACGAGGCTTTCTTTCCAAGGACAAGGCGCTCAAAACTGCCGGCAGCATCTGCATCTGGCGAGCTGAGGCCTGTAGCGGACTGGGTCAGCTCATTGGCCCCGTTTTGGAAACCAGCCGCCCCAGTGCCGGTGGACAACTCTTGGAGCTTCTTGCACTGCTCTTGCTCAATCCGGTTTGAGAGTGTCTTGATCAGGGCCATGTAGTCATTAAATTGACCCAGGCTCAACAAAGGCCCGAGACTGAAGCTCCAAAGGACAGGAAGCACTTCCAAAGCCAAAAACTCAGTGTCTGCAACAATTCCCACCTGACGGAACACCTTGAGTGCTGCCATCATCACCGAAGGCTCCTTTGTTTTGATCGCTTTAAGTGAAGGGACCAGCTTCTCTTGGATGGTATACTTATCCAGGATCGAAGATTTCGATGTTGTGGCTTTGTTCGCCACAACCCCAGAGAGATCATCATCTAAACCATCGGAATCATCCGACGAGGCTCCACAAAGCACACTGAATGCCTCAAGACTGCGAACCTTGATGGCAAGGCTACTGGTACGGCTGAAAGTGGCAGCAATGGGAGGGAACACCTCATTCTTGACGGTGCTGAAATCAAGAACTGGCAGCATCACCGGGAGGCATTTGATGGAAGCGTCCACCAAAGAATGTTGCGGTGAGTCTAGCCCAAGCCGAATCAGTGGAAGGATTTCTATAAGAACCAAGGTTAGATGTGTATTCATTACATGCCACGTTGGAAAGCTTACCATCTTTGAATTCCATTCCTGAACAATTGCTGGCAATGAGTTTCATGTTCTCGAACACGACCATAAGACCGGCGTCCTTCTTGGAGTCTCGCTCGGCTGGCGTTTTGCTTGACGTAGTCCCGAAAACTGCCTTGAGGCCGGGGATGATCTTTTCGGGAAAGACGCGACGCCCATTAGGAATACGTTTCAAAATCCCAAAGACGTTTTGGAGAATCAAGGGGAGAAGTTCACGGTCTTTCAGCTCATCCATCAAAACGCCCAAAAGTTTCCTCTCTAGCACAGAAACAGGGAATTCGGGAAGCACGCGCTGTAGTCCTCGAAGAAATTGGGTCTTTTCACTTGGGCTTTTCGTGGGCAAAGATTCCAGAAATCGGATAGTAGAAACCAGCACATTGTCGAAATATTGGGATTGCTGGAACTCGCGGGCATTCATTCGCTGGGCAGGTCGTCGAGTGATGAGTCTCGGTAAGACATGCGTGAGAACACCATTGGGGATCGGATTCGAACAAAGGAAGTTGTTTCCTTGGGACGGTGTGGTGGAAGGTGAGCTGAGGAGCTTCTTATATGTAGTTAGATTGGCGTGTGTTTGCAGAGGCGAGGTGTGCGGAGAGTTGTATAGCGAGATGATGATGAGACCCAAAGAGAACAAGTCGGCGGCTGAAGATACATTAGAGTCGAGAGCAAAGTCAGGCGAGGTGTAGTCCAAGTTCAGTTGCACGGATGCTGGCACTCTCGGATCTTGGTAAAGAACCTCAGACACAGCCAATGGCGGAAGTGAAGATTTGGTTTCGGAGGAGTCGGGAGGCCCTGCAAATCCCAGACCAGAGATCTTCCAATCTGATTTGGCATTGATGTAGATAGCCTCCGGGTTTAGGTTTCCATGGACCAAGCCAGCGGATTCGTGCAGGAATTCGAGACCCTTGGCAACTTGCAAGAGGCCCTTTTGAATCTCCAACTCATCAATCTCAACATCTCTTCTCCTCCTTGTCCCATCGGCTTCCTCGACCATGTACCGGCTTGCCCGCGAACCAGCACGTGTAGTGTTCCCTTGGTCGTCTTTCTCGAGAAGGAGCCCAGAAAGCGAAGCAGTCAGATGTTCTGTCGCGAACATGAGACCGCCATTTCTCGTATCTTCAACAGGCTCCAGGACCTGAAGGATAGACGGGTGTCTTAAACGAGCGAGATTGCTCGCTTCGCGTTTGAGGCGTTCAATCACATCTTCCTGCAGCTTCTTATTGGATGACCCGGAGCTTCTTCCAAATCCACCAGAGCGGCTCTCCAGTGACTTGCGATCAAAGATGAACACCGAAGCCGCGGTTCCCGTCGACTTCTTCTTTGCATCGTGGATCTTCCAGGGGCCTGAGTAAATGGTGGGGTTGGGCGATATTTGATAATTGGCGGATATGTTCGAATTGAACGACTTGAGCGCGGAGGTGAACATGACGGGCCCTCAATCGTTCTTTGGTCTGCCGAGGATATTTGGTGGAGGGAGATGTTTGTTTCACAGTGTCGTCAGAGCGCTAGCACAAGACATGGCTATTTGCAGGGGATGGTCGCGACGAAGATTTAGTAGATCGGCGAGGCAGTGGGTGGAACTTCACCGACAGAGCCTGAGGAGACAGCGAGAGAAAAACGAGGGAAACGAGCCAGTCACTCCAATGGTGCAACGAATTGTCGACCATCCACTTGGCCATCTATCGCGACCGCAGTCACGTGGATCAACAGCTCCCCGGATCTGGGCGCCTCAGGCCTCCAATTCAGCTATCGCCGACACCAGCCGAAGTCGGCGGGTCGATCAAAGATTGACGTCTCTGATTGGTCAGTCTGCCTGCACGACAGCTGAGTCACGCCCTATCTGTGGGGCGGTGAGCTCCAATTGCCCGCTGGAGGCCGAGTGACCGGAGTTGATGTCGACCTCCGCAGAGCCATTCATTGCAGTCCAGGCGAGGAGTCATCTTGTTCCCTCGGATACATAAGGCTCGTTGGATTCCGCGCTATAGGTTTGTGTACTCTGCGCTCTGTGACTCAATTGACAGACAATTCTCCACTCTGCGCCCTCTGGCTCCCAATTTGTTTCTGACATTGTCGCAGCTATGAAGTCTATTCACCAATTGGCCCGCCGGCAGGCATTGACCGGCCTGGCAATGCCCCGCGTCTTGTCTAAACAGAGCCTCGCAGCCAGCCGGACATGGCAGCGAGCATTCAGCGCCTCTGCGCCGGCTGCGTCACAACTCCCTGGTCTCGACCCTTCAAAGTTGACCATCACAAAGACCACTACTCCCAAGGAACCTATGGACTCCAAGGATCTTGTCTTTGGAAAATATTTCACTGGTATGGCAGAACCAATGCATCTCATCTAGCCGAGAGCTCACCCGTTGGAACTATAGACCACATGCTCTCCGTGGAGTGGACTGCCACCGAGGGATGGCACGCGCCTCAGATCGTTCCTTACCAGAACCTCAGCCTCGATCCCTCCACCTGTGTCTTCCACTACGCATTTGAATGCTTTGAGGGAATGAAGGCATACAAGGACAGCAACGGCGGCATCCGTCTCTTCCGCCCTAATAAGAACATGGAGCGTCTCAACAAGTCCTCCGCCCGTATCGCCTTGCCCACCGTGGACGGTGACGCTCTGATCAAGATCATTGGTGAATTTGTCAAGACTGACAGCCGATTCATCCCCGAGTAAGTTCATCAAGCAGTGCTGATGAGTCCAATGCTAACACTCGCAGCGCTCGCGGTTACTCTTTGTACCTGCGTCCCACCATGATTGGCACACAGAAGACTCTCGGAGTCGGCCCACCCGGCTCTGCTCTTTTGTTCGTGATTGCCAGCCCTGTTGGTCCTTACTACCCCACTGGTTTCAAGGCCATCTCATTGGAGGCCACCGATTACGCCGTCCGTGCCTGGCCCGGTGGTGTGGGAGACAAGAAGCTCGGAGCTAACTACGCTCCCTGCATCTTGCCCCAGCTCGAGGCCGCCTCTCGTGGATTCCAGCAGAACCTGTGGCTCTTCGGCGAAGAAGAGTATGTCACCGAGGTGGGCACAATGAACTTGTTCATTGCCCTGAAGAACAAGGAGACCGGACAGAAGGAGCTTATCACTGCTCCTCTCGACGGTACTATCCTGGAAGGTGTCACTCGTGATTCTGTCTTGACCCTTGCTCGCGAGAGACTTGAGCCTCTCGGCTGGGCCATTAAAGAGCAGAAGATCCGCATGTCCGAGGTTGCCGAGGCTTCTGAGGAGGGTCGTATGATTGAAGTCTTCGGTGCAGGCACTGCTGCCATTGTCAGCCCTGTCCGTAACATCAGCTACCGCGGCAAGATGGTTGAGTGTGGTTTGAAGGAGGATGAGGAGGCTGGTGAGATTGCTCTCCAGATGAAGAACTGGATTGAGGGTATCCAGTACGGTGACGAGCAGAACCCTTGGAGGTAAGTGGGCCCTTCCACTATTATTTTGAACGACCATATACTGACTGAGTGATAGTGTTGTGATCTAAGGATTCGTCTCATGAAAGGGCTTCTGAACCCAAGCTTTGATCCACTGCTGCGGAAGCTTTCAAAAGTCCAGATCTCATTCTTTTTGTGTCATCTAATTTTGCATTTCGTTGGCGGTTTACTGAGACTACCTTGATACTGTGCTATTGTATCTCCCTGATATATTCCCTGGAGCCTGGTTCTTTACATAGAAAGCTCATTCGATATTTTTGAAACTTTCATCTTGATCCCTTCAACCTTGGAACTGAGTACATGTTCCCGCATACGCTAATTGAGGTTACAAAACACCAGACGCCTCAAGGCAATCCCTCCAAGATGACCATGTTCCAAGGCGAGTTAGGCTCACACGGTTGCCTGGTGATGTTTGTGCACTATTCAATTCTCACATTGAGCGAATGACCAAGTTCCAAGGCTCTCCATTCGCCGAGCAGAGTGGTGAGAATTATGAAAAGAGCTCATCGAACAAAGACCATTGCCCAGGTGATTCCAAGGCTTGCTTAAGCTGTTGAAGGACCTTGGAAGCTCTACCATAACTAACTTAGTCTAGCTTTTCTGTCAACCTTGGAACTGATCATGTTCTAGTTCTCACTGATAGCAGAAGCGGCCTACGATGAAGCGTATCGCAAAGCAAAAGATCAATTCTGATAGATCCAAAACGAACAGAGGGGAAAAGGAAAGAGAGGAGAGAAAGAGAGCGAAGCTCTCAAGATTGACCATGCACCTGCGGTAGCTCTTGCCTTGACAGAATCAGCCGGGGCAAATATCTGCCGCTTCAGCACACGAATGCGCTGCCTGCTTGGTGAAGCTATCCTCAACAACCGTTAGTCAAAATTTTCTCTTACTCTGCAGTGGTCTAGCTCCTACCTTAGACGTTGCCGGACATCCACCAAGGCATATCAGCCGTGGTAACTTCAAATTCGTGGGCGGGAATGGCTTCGTGGAGCTGTAACCATTCCTCGCGGCGCTCCTCCGAGCCGTGCGTGAGGTGAAAATATTGGAGAATGCACAGACACCGATGCACTGGCATCATCCAATCTTCATTATAGGACCCCACTGGGCGCAATAATGGAGATAGTGCCATCTCAACCTGCTCGTCGAAGTCTGGAACCCAGACTTCGGGCGGCATGAGGCGGACTGCTTCAGAGTTCCGCTGTCGGTTGTAGGTGAGGGAGCTGTTAATGAACAGCTGGACCCCTTCTCTCATGCGAATGAGGACATTCATGATGGGACCTGGTTGAGTTGACTCTTCGGAGCCCTGAAAGTCCGATTCGCGGAAAGGTGGGAATAGTCCCCCATTTGTAGGAGGGAGGACGAGAAGGATCGCTCGGTATGCCTCAAGGCATGGCCACATGACCGAGAATCGATGTACTTCGGCGATGCTGTCAAATCCCAAATATCCGGCGAGTGTCCGCTCGGCTGCCTAGAGTCGGGAAATCATCAAAGTCAGCTAAATGCATTGAACCTGTACATGTAGATATCTCACCAATATGGCTGGGCTGACGGTGTCGAAAGACATTTCGAGCAGTGACTCCCCTTTCTTGTTTATGAAGTCGGATGTTTGAAATGACTGCTTATGATGTTAAGTGAGATGAAAATGATATGAGATGGATGATACACACTGAGTAAAAGTTGAGATGAGTGAGAAGTGAGAAGAGTGAAGTTGATCTCGAAAGGGAAGTGACTGCCAACGTTGTCTCCAAGGCTGGTCAACTCGATCAGGAAGCAGCTGACAATCGACTGCAATATGTAGATAATCAAGACTCTTGATTTCGACCAAATTTCTGTGTGAAGTTGTCAAATATAGGTGCGTTACCCGCAACAAGATCTGATTGAGTGTATAGTGAGGTCACTAGAAGATGATAGCTAGATGAGCATGAAGGGGTTAGTCAAAGGAGCAAAGAGACCATAGATTAGAATGGGAAAGAGGCCATACCGTCTGAAGATTGTGATGAGGCTTGCTTCTAGCTGACAATGATCCCAATTTCTACAAAACTATTTTAAGCGATATACCTCATCCAGTGTCGGGGACTTCATTGACTTCTTAGCCACGCTATTGGCGCACCATCCATTTCCTACAACAGTTCCCATGGCATGCTTGGCGGCTATATCTCGGGTATGCCTGGTCAACCTTGGCTGGACCATCGATGGTCGGCAACAGACCAAGATTGATGTGCCAAAATTAAGCACCTAATGATGCTGCCCAGAGTCTGGCTTCCAGACTTTGATGAGCAGACCAAGCTAGCACTTTCCCTCCACGAAGAGAGCTCTTTCCTCCTTTCCGCGCATCAAATTTTCGAGTCTCGAAACCACCGCGCCAGGAATAATCGTACAAGTCATCATCAAGATGTGAGATGGGGTTGAGCTGTATGTCAACAGCTCCCCCGGATACAACCGACACCGCAACGCGGAGGCAGTTCGACAGATGCCCCGGGAAGTCTGGCTTCCAGACTTCGACCAGGAGGCCCCCCCTGGCACCCCTCCCCATCATGCGGCCTGTACAGTCGTACAGCGAGGGGGACCTGGTCCCAGTTCACCGTTGCCTTTGCATCTTACAGTATTTCAACTTGACGCATGGAACGGAAGACAGCCGGGTCAAATGGCTTGAGCTTCATGAAGCTCTCATGCAGGAAGAGTTCGAAGTTACCTCGTTGGACATCCCATGATCAACAGAATCTGAGGTATGAACTAGATCTACACTACAACCATGACACGGTGCGGAATATCTTGGCTAACGATTGCTGAGTGTAGCTTCACGAAGTTCTAATGGTAGTCAGAGAAGCATGGAGAATGAGGTCATTCAAGGGAAGGAGCCCTGGTGACAAAGAGACCAGATGCAGGCTAGCATGGAACAGAGGACATGATGTCACTGAAATTTATGAAGGTGTTTTCCAAGAAGCGTGTTGGCAATGGACCCAATTTCTATGCCAGGACCCTTTCTACCAACTATGTAAACGATGTACCTTAATCAGTCCTGTGGATTTTAATCACCTGTTAACCACATCATTGGTGCACTATCCACTCCCCTAGACAATATCCATGGCACTTTTGGCGGCTGTAGCTTGGATAGGCCAGGTCAATCTTGGTTGTGCCATCGATGGTCGGCAGCAGACCAAGATTGATGAGCCAAGATCTAGCGTCTATGCCAAGGTAATCTTTTAAACCTCCTTATGCTCAGCATGACTGGCACCAGAATGCCCCTTCAACTCGGATTCGAACTCGTTGTCCTCAAATTCCGCGTCTGTTTCCAATCGAGCCTTGTGCCTTGCTTTAGCTTCATTGACAGCAATCCGTGCCTTTGAAACAACGCTCCATTGCAGGGTCTTTTGGAGAAAGGTTTGCTCCAACGCAATTTGTTGATCTTGTTGCTCGTCGGGTAGGAAAATTAAATCGACCGATTCCAAGCTGAGGTACGATGTCTCGGGGTAAAAGCAATACACGATAAAGGCTGTCACAATGTTGAAGACTGCAAAGATAATGTAAGTTTTGTAACCGATATTCGCGAGGGCAGGTGGTGTAATCTCGACGACCTGCACAGGGTTAGTCAGAACAAATGGCAGCCCAGTTCACTCCTTCGTGCTCACAAGAAAGTTACCCAAGAAGTCTGCTGCAGCTGCAAGTGCAGCGCCCTTTGATCGAATCTTCAGTGGGAGAATCTCAGCGGGGTAGATCCAGACTGTAGCCATCCAGCCTAGTTCAAGTTAGGTCACTGGAATGAGAATGAAAAGGGGAAATAGAAGATGGGCTCACCCCATGTAAAGCAAGCCTCAAAGGCAAAGATGAAGAAAACAGCAGCAATCGCAGACTGTTGGTTATCGATTGCCACGGTGATGGCTTCACAAATCAGAACAACTCCCATGCCAATAGACATGCTGATGTACAGTCGTCGCCTGCCAACCGCATCTATCATGTACCACTGTCAAGGTTAGCACAAGATCGTCAACGGGTAGTAGGATGCTGGAAGTACTGTAAGAAATGACGCCACAATGTACCAAACCTGCAAAAAGCAGCTGATAAAAAGAGCTCGCTCCTGCGTCATACCCAGTGAGCTCTTCAATAGGGTGGGAGCGTAGTAGGTCACGATATTGATACCTGGACTGGTCAGCAAAAGATAAAGACCACCAGATAAAGCATAGACATACCCGAGGTCTGCTGCATGAACTGAATACCAAGGGCTAGGAAAAACCGCTTGTTCGCAGCGCACCCGCCATCAGAAAAGAGCGACTTCCAAGACCCCTCCTGTTCAGCTTCGACATTGATCGCAGCTAAGATCTCATCCCGCTCTTTTTGCACGTTAACATGGTCAATGGGCTTGTTCCGCAGCTTGGAAAGCACAACCTCTCCCCGTTCGGGCGTGGATTCATGGAGCATGAGCCAGCGAGGTGTATCCGGTAAGAACGGCGCGATGACAAGAATGTATATTGCAAACACGGCCTGGAACAGAATGGGAAATCGCCACTGCACTGCGCCGGGATGGAAGTAAAATGCATAATTCATCCAGTACGCCAGCATCAACCCGAATAGCATCATAGTCAATTGGCACGATAGATGCCATCCTCGCTGGCTTGGCAGACAAACTTCACTTTGGTAAACAGGAGCGACGGATGTCAAAAATCCGATTCCTAACGTGTCCCAGCACATCAGGGTCAGCCTTTGGAATTCAGATGAAGTTGGCAGTCTGACACACCGAGCCCAGTGACAATTCTCCCGACAATGAATTGGATTCTCTCAACACAGCATCCCATTAATATTGCCCCAATGACAATCAAAGCTGCTCCGACCAATAATCCTCGTTTTCGGCCAAGTCGTTCGACACACAATGCGGCACCGATAGCGCCGAAGACTCCACCAATATCATAGATCGCATTGATCGTGCCAGTCATAACGGTGCTAGGGTGGCCCATTGCATCGAGCCAATAATCGGAGATGACCACCCCAGACATGACTCCTTGGTCATATCCAAACAGCAAGAAAGAAGAGGCACACACTGAGGTGATGGCCCCAATCAGTGGGGCACCTTTGAGGGCTTTCAACCCCGTCCTGTGAGACATATTTGCATAGAAATAAAATGCTCAAAAGATGAGCGAACCACCGAGGAAACGCATATCTTTTTATCCTCAAGGGGATCAGCCGAGGGAATCACATTCAGGTTATGCAAGTATGAGGCATTTCGCTCCGAAACCAATATGCGTGGGGGTTAACCTGGGGAATGTGGGGGGTTCCACGCAAGATTTGGTCTTGGGGATTCGGTTAAATGTCGGTTGAGGTATGGTTACAGGATCAAGCATTTACTAAGCTTTTTCCAGGCTAGTCAAATGAGAAATCCGGGAAGATGCTTGCTGATCATCCCTTTCCCCGCTTTGAGGGAGTCATCCTTGCGATTGAGACGCATGCCTGACCAAGCCCATGACTGCTTGGGGTATTTCACGTCCGATTATATTGAGTTGTGGAGTTGTGGAGTCAAAATACCATCAATTTGTACCATTTTGACACTGTTTTGAGTTCTCGAGAGCCTCTGCACGTAAGACCCGACATGGTGAGCTTAGCCCGACTCCCAGGCGTACTTCTGATAGCAGAGTAGCAATTTACGATCGTGGAGCAGTTTGCTGAGCCAGTAGATTCTCTCTCTCTGATAAAACAAAAGCGGACGGGGAAAAGGGGGAGAGAGGAAGAGAAAGCGAGGGTAACGAGCTATCTATTCTGCCCTGCACCAAGCAAGGTCGGCTAATCACCACACTACCTCGAACAACTTCCCACGCCATCAGATCAATCCTGCTTCCTATTACACGAGTATATTAAGAAAGTAATACATACTAAAAAAAAAGAGAAAGGTTTAAACAGTGAGCATTAGCTGGGGATCACTCAGTTGCTAGTATTATAGAACGCAAGACTGCTTCGTGAGAGCCAGTAGAATTTGGCATTTGGACATTAAGCAGGATCAACGTTCCATCAAGTCTCACATGAGCCTCCTTGACAAAACCTAAAATTGCCCAGCCAGGAAAGCGTTCGCCACAGCCTCCGCGCTGTCAGTTTTGTACCGATCATCCATAGAAGCCAAAGCTTTACGATAATCTGTCATTGCGGAAGGCCCTCCCCCAGCAGCTTCGACGCCCTTCTTTTGCCCAAGTCCTTCTTTGATATAGGCGCGGTGTTCTTGACCTCTGATAGCAATCACATGAAAGCCTCTTTCCGCATCATAACCGTAACGCATCTCGATCTTGACGTTTCCGGCGAGGGTGCAGGCGATACCGCAAGCCCTTTCGTGAGTCTCAAAAGTAGTCTTCTGATACGGAGTATTAGCTATTTTTGGACTCTTTTTACGATCAATGCTTCATATTTCGAATCATACCTTGATAGTGAGACCATCGTAGTCTCTCCCGAGGCCGCCGATCCATCTAGCGGCTTCTGGGAGAGGAGACTGAACAAAGAACGGGATTTGTTTACTCATATCTGCTCCCGGGGGTGGATGTGGTTGAAGAGGCGAGGCAAAGGTAGCAAGAGTATTGAAAGTGGTGACAGGCCAGGGATGGGGTAGAATGGGGATGAGCGGTGTTTCTTGGTCTCGAGCGAGGGTAGAGTTTCGAAGCAAAAGGGAGTGAGATCAGGTCCCTTTTATCTCCTTTCAAGCAACGAGATCGGATGCCTGACTTGATAGCACGTAATACTCTTGCAGGACAGTCAAACATAAGAGCCTCGATCATATCATACCCTTGCTCTCATTCCAAGGTTTCGGTCCACAAGTTGCTCATCTCGGAACGCCAGTGGCCTTTGGACATGCATGTTTTACTCATGGGCTGTTGGAGCTAGCCAATCTGTATGCTACACATTTCTACCCAAGAAGTAGCTTGTCACTTGGCACTGTCAGCTACGGAGTAGAAGGCTGCCTACTTTGAGGGTCAGGTCTCTTATCCTATTCCAAGCGGATTCAACGTTAGTTGCATGGAATATTTGTCCAGATTTTCGTCTGGGTCTCTCTCTTGGAGAAGAGCAGATTGCTTTCCTACCATCATAACAGATGATCCAAAGGTAGTCCAAGGTGGTGTAGAAATTATATCTGCCAAGGAGTAGTGTTGTGTTGGCTATGAGGCGCATTTTGCTCGCTACGAAAGCACACCCTGGGTTGCTTCTTGGCAAGGCAAATGGGCTGTAGATAGACTAGTAATGAGGCTGAGTTCTTATACGAGAGTGCGCGGTATGTCTTTCCCTGGAACCCGATAGTTAGCCAGATCTCGAGAGCTTCTCTTTCTCTATCCTTTCTCTTTTAAACAGTCTAAGATACATGATTCTACAGTCAATCTTTGACGCTTTTATGAGATAGAATACGAATCTTTCATCAGAGTGGTTGCGCAAGAGTGACTGACGGTTGAAAGCCAGTGCATGTTTGCTCCAGTAGGCCCCTGTCGAACCGGCATGTGTAGATGTCCACTTTCATCGATTGAACGAGGGGTTTGCCACGTCACATCCATATATTGTCTTATCTTTTCTTTTTCTCTCACCCGGGTGCAGCATCAGGCACCAGCAACTCTCAATAGTCGTTGGAAAAAAATCATTCTCGACACACTTTATCCTCAGTTTCCTTCAACTACACTAGGCGGTGCGAAACGTTGGAAAAGGATTCGGCCAAAAAAAAAGATGGGCCCGAGCCCGGGATTGACGGGGACCTCGCGCATTCATGCTTTGGGTGAACCCTAAGCGCGAATCATACTGAAGAATTGTTAGATCACGTTGTGTTTGAGTGGAGATGTGACAATCTCTTACCCACTAGACCACCCGGGCGAGTGATGGAATCCGGAAAAAATGAATGCATTCTCAGCCAGGACAGTACTCCATGTGTTCGGATAGGTAACTTGTGATCTCCAACTCTTCCCAAAGTTTAGTTGCTAACCTTGGAAGTTGACCTATGTTGGACTAGCTTGGTTTCCTCCAATACATATAGTATCTATAGGATAAATTTGTCGATTAATTTTAGTTCTTTCCTTTTATTTCTTGTCAGAACAATGTGTTTATTAAAGGACACAGGGTAGACGTTTCTGGAGGTAGAAATCAAACTGTCCCATTTCCAGGTTGGTCCTCGGGGGATATATATGGTCCCGGGCGCACCCTCTTGCAGTTCCACGGTTCTGACTACCCAAATCCCGACATGGACAGTACCCATTTACACTCTCATCGACAAAATGAATTTAAATTCGGAGGTGATAAACATATTGGAAGTGATCCCCAACGGGCGTTTCCTGTGTACGTCACATAAAAAGCCAACCGTGATCCATGCTCGCGTGTCTCATGCCCAAATATTTGGGTGGCTTTGACCAATTGGCTTGATTTCGACTCTGACAATCATTTATTGGAGAGGTTATCGACGGGAATAGTCAGCGTACCCCCCGGGCTCGGGCCCAACTTTTTGGGACCTACAGGCATGTGAGTGAAATCGCTGGCATCTATGCGTTAATGACACAAGAATCATCCATGGAGAGACATTCAGAAGTATTGAGCAGAGATTTTCCACTAAAATAATATTGGTGGGTGTCTTGACTCCTTCCTTTCAGAGGTTTCGTCCCAAGATGCCTGCCCCCGAGGGCTCCTCTATGACCGTGATCAATCTTGCCCGAGAATTAGGTGACACCGCAAGAAAGTGGACAGGTCTAGGAGGCAGAGCAACAAAAAACAGTAGCAGTGAAAACATTAGCAGTGACGTGGGGACTTCGATGTCTGAGGTTCCCACCTGGCATTTACCCGTGGTGTGTGTCAATTAGCCAGCCCTCTAAGATCAAGATGCACACGATTTCCCAGGATTTCTGCAATGCGCTTGCCGCTTATGGAAAGTGACGGAGAAGCAGTAGGGTGGAGTAATGTATGTAATACTCGAGACGAGGCGAGAAGAAGAAGGGAGAAAGGGAAACTCTCTCATCTACGTCTATCTACCTGCGGGCAGCTTGACAAACCAGGCAAACACCCACACCAACAGAAAGACATCACAGCGTGCCTTCCTCTCACTCGGTAGATCCAGACGAGGACATATGGCTTTCATGGTCTACTTGAGTTGATCAGGCCAGGAAACATCTCGATGGACAAGATCATGACTTCTAAGCACCGTACAGATGAGATCAACCAAAAATTATTCTTCTGAAGTGAGGCTCTCTTAAGAGTCACTTGTCCGATCTAAGTGATTAGTTGACTTGATCTTCACTTCAAAGCCTTGCAATTAATGACTTGTGTGGCATCAAGTATTAGTGACAGGAAATGACTGCATGCACCTCAGATTTGGTTAGTTTGATCTTCCCATAGAGCGCCAATAAGTCAGGTCGAGCTTTCCCCGGATGCTCAGTAGGTCTCACCTGCCTTTTAAAAAGCACCAGTCACTCCCAAGACCACCTGAAGCAACCAGATCTTCTCACTTCTCACTTCTCACTCATCTCAACTATCACGCATCTCAACTTTTACATCCACAAACCTCTCTCTTTGAAAGAGATCGCAAGCCACTACTAATTTACTTACTCCTTCATCAACACAACTCATCCAGAAGATGTCCTCGGGTCAAGAGATCGACCCAAGGGTCTTAATAAGACGATGTCTATTACTTCTACTGAATCCGCTAACCTTCTCCCTCTCTGAAAAAGGCCGCCGAGAGAACCCCCGCGGCGTATCTGGGGTTTGATAACATCCTTCAGCTACAAAGGCTCATAATCACTTGGCCTTGTTTGGAGGCATTCCGATACTACACCGATTCTTCCCTGAATAGGACGAAGGAATGTTCCCGCCCCTCAACGAAGCGGATTTCGTGAACATCGAGCACCGAAACAAATCCGGCCTTATCCATATCTTGCGAGCGATTGCCCGGGACATCCGGGTTTACATCAATAGCCCGGACGCATACAACAAAGATCGTACGTCCCGGGCCATCGCTAGAATGCCATACGGAATGTGGATCCCAGATCTTGCTGCGGAAGACGTTCCACTCTTCCCTATCATAGAGCCGACCCAGTCATATTTCGAGGGGTCTATGGTACCCATTCACCGCTGCCTGGTGATACTACAATACCTGAGTATCATTCACGGAACCGAGCACCAGCACATGGACCATCTCGATTCCAGAGAGAGACTTCCAACTGAAAGTTTCACAGTTACCGCAGCAGACGTCCCCTGGTTGATGACCCCCAGGGTTTAGGATTGAACCCAATTTTGATCAATGCGGCGTACAAAGCCCAAGATGGCGAAAAGGGACAAGAAAAGGATGAAGATTCCAAAGAACCGGCCTACAACCAACATTACCGCTGCCGCTCAGAGACCTCATTCCGACGAGATATGGCTGCAATACGCTACTAGCATCGAGGACTGGGAGCCCTCTATGACCTCCGACAACGTTGAGAAAACCATGAAGCAGATCGAGGCAGCACTCAAGGCAGCTGCTGAGCCAGAAGGAAAGAGTGGTGACGAATATCGGATGAATAAATCAGTTTGGGAATACAGCGGAAAAGTGTTCGCTCACAAGGACGTCAGTCCCCTAACACTCGAAATTCCTGTTAGGACCTACAGACCATATGATCGAGTGGCAGGTCTTCCTGAGGAAAGCCGAATAACGGGTCGTCAATGTCTATATTAACAATTCAAATGAGTGCAACAGGGCTCACACGATACTGGCTATTGGTCGGATATCGCAGTGTATCTAGGTCCCAGATTTTGCCTTAGAACAAGTTCCTCAATACCTGAGCTTCGAGAATTTTGTTGTTACTAAGACATGCTGGAATCGCATCTTGAAATTGGAATTGACAGAAATGGAACAATAAAATGGATTGAGTGAACAAACAATTGATGCCTCTAGCACTTTTAGAATGTTTGATCCCAGGGGTTTTTTCTCTCTTCCTCCTCCTCTCTGCATGTTTGGTTTTATTAGTTGAATGTTCCATGAACATTGAATTTCTGTTTTTCTTTTTGAGCGCTGGACTTTTGTGACAAACATATTGAATCATTCCAAGGTTTGACCTAGGTTTTTTGTGCTTTCTCATTGGTGTGTTTGCCAGCGTGGATTGCCTTTCTCTCTGCAGCTTGTAAAGCCTCATTGGGATCTCACATTGGTGGCACAATCAGTCGTGTCTGAGACACTTGTTCATTCTTTATATACTGTCTCACTTTTTCAGAAGTATGGCCCTAACAATCAGCTCCCAGGCACAGAGACCTTTGTTTGCTTTCTCCGACCTTTCTGACTCCCACCAATCCACATCCTTCCTGTTGCTTCCCCCTCTTTGTGGCAAAATGATATATCATCTCCATCACCCTGGGCTCAAAGTTTATTTTTGACTATTTACCAAAACCTCTCCCGCCTCCATACTCCCTGACTTCACATCATCCGGAAGTCATCGCCACGTCTTACCTGGGCCTCCCCTGACCTGAGAGATAAAGTTTACATCAAAATCTCAGCTTTCCATAGCGCAGGTGCTGCCTGCAGTGCCCGGAAAATATGCCATGCCTCAACATGCATGGAGTCTCACTCAACACTACTTCAGATCTTGATGAACGTCTGAAAGGCAACCCAACTTCCAGAACCTTGTGATATGACAAGAGCTCAGCGACGACTTCACTTGGAGCAGCGGCGCAGGAGCTGAACACAGAACCAAAGGCCCTTTTGATCAGACCTCAAAGAGTGGGGTGACCTGGCTGATACCAGGATATATGCCGTGCCGTATCGACTTTCGGCCGCAAAGTCCTCAGATCGTTTTAACCTTCCAACCTCATCACCGCTCTTTTGACATTGTCAAGGTGCATGGCTATTTATGGCAACGAATTTGGCCGATACAAGAATGCCTGGCTGTGTTGGCTACAACAAGACAACACAGAGCCAGGTACAAAAAAGAGTATAGCAACGCCATAATCCAGTGGCCAACTGAAGTGGATACAACGCAGAAAAAGCCCAGGCACCAAGCAAGACCACCAACAAGCTCATTGTGCGGGAGGTGAAGATGAGTAAAAGGTAAGTTCCACAGTGCTCTGTCTCATTTATTAGCTTCAGGTCTGATCACTTTACAACTCTGCAGATGGACAGCCATTAGCCCACAGACGTCGTTGAAGGAGATTGTCATTCTATCTTCCCTATTCAGCCTCGCCCTCAATCATCCCTTGCCTCAAAGGCCCCAGAGCCGCTACAAATTTTCATAGGGGAGATGGTCTTTCGTCACCGCTGCCCCAGCATACTACTACTTTGGAATTTCCCACTGCTCAGAAGCCTCAAGGATCGAGTTCCGTGGGCTCTGAGAGAGTGCGGGTTTTTATAATTTTATTTTCACCGCACATGATATTCTGCGGTATTTATATACGGGGCTTTGAGCACGAACAATATGTTAACGCCCACACCGAGCGAATGCCTACTATCACGGAGGACACCAAATGTCCCGCCGAGCGCATTCTGACGATTTGCATCTATAGGCTGAATATATACACCAACACCACCATCCAGGACGCCTTGACCGTGGACTATGAGGCGCGCCTTCTCTAGCCCAATATTCTCTTCACATTGGTCAATTTTCAGCTCTTTTGACTGACTCCGGCAAGCGATGAACAGAGCTACCTGGAAATGACTACTGTCAAGGTGGAGCGATGGCACGACACGGAGAACATGACTGTATGTGAACCTGATCATGAAAAACTTGCAAGCTCATCGTTGATGATATCATCTAGCTGAATATGGATTCCCATCGTTTCATCACTCAGGTCACCCTATACCCACTACCTCACGATTACATTGATCATGATGGCAATACCATATTAGAGGAGCCTGCCTCTATACAATTGTCCCGGAACACCTATATTTAAATCAACAGCACGAACGAGTACAACAAAACTCGTACGTCCCGGGCCATCACTCGAATGTCACCAGGATCTGTACATAATGTCGATCAGTTATTTATTCACACCACCATTAACATTTGGGGGGGGTTCCCAATGTTGTCTCGCCCCTCAGTCAGCATATTCCGGGCAAAGGCTGCAAGGACGGGGTCCCGAGAGAGGCAGATGCCTCAGGTGGTCTAGACGAGAATTGGCCCCTCAACGAGACCGAGGGATGCACTTTCAACGAACTTCATACAAATGCGGAAGTTGAAGATACTAAGGACATGGGTGATATCAATGACACCGCGCTGACCAGTGTCAAGTGCGTCGCCATGTTAATCAGAAGGCACCCGATGTTGACAGCGACATGCAGGCTTGCAAAGAATCTGGGAGCCGTACACGAGCTCAATGGCAGATCTGACACTGGAGCTTTCAGAATCGATGCCTATGATATGTTTCACGCAGACAAAACGTTGGCCTTATTTAGGCAAAGACTGTCGATATCACACTGAACAGGCTACATCGAGTCCACAGCAGATCTGGAAAGACATGGAAACTCCTAAATCGATACTTGGGGCCTATTAAAAGCGAACAAAGCTATTTCAGTTTGAGGATACAGACTGTTGACATCACATCTCTTGCAACACATATATTCCACGGCGAATTGGATATTGAATCTCAAGATCAACGCCTATGGATTCCTTGAGTCTAACAAAATCCTGTCACAATTTGGGCAGGAAATATCGATATCACATCCTATATGATGTGTCTACAGCCCACATCATCATCGGAATTACCGTCAGACCTGGTATATTCCGGCGCGGTTTGACTTGATCCAAACCCTAGCGGTGATGAAAAATCATGGGGCCGAAAGCCCTGAGGCAGAGGCCCACGCGCCCTGAATCAAGATTGATATCAACCACGGTGATCTACTGTAAGTCCATCTTCTCCGGTTCCAGACCTTTCCCACTTACGCATCCACAGCATCATGCCACCTGGGTGTCCACATGCGGTGTACACCCCCATACATGGGCGGCTCTCCTATTCCGCCCTGTTTTGCGCAAGCAATCATTTTGCATGACTTGAATTATACATGTGTCTGGACCACCTACATCGAAGCAACCAAGGTCCCTTCTTTCTCGCGATATAAGCAGACCTGGGATCAGCAAGAAGACCAAACAAGCAAGAGCAGATGCACACATTGTTTCACGCGGATTGAGTCAAAGTCACCAAGACGACACCATCAATTCGCCGTGAAATTCAGAAAACATCGACGAACAGACTACCGTGACCACTTCGTCGCACCTGTCTCTTGGAGATGAGGTGTGTCCACACAGGACAGTTGGAGATGAATCTCAAATCCACTTCGCCATGCCTGCTGGTTCTCCATCTAAAGGGACGGCTTCATTTTCTCAGCCCGCACCAATGACCCGACGTACTCGTTCACGCGAGAACAAATGCCGGATTATTTACTTTGATGACGCTGCGTTCGCTCCCAACAATGTTGAGGATCAAAAACGGGAGATCGCAGATCGAATCGACCAAGATTCCTACGTTACGCAACATACTATCAACCCTTGTCGCTGTTATCTCACTGGAAAGAAAACTTGTCTCGAGTGAGCCCCTCTTTCCGTGGTTAAATTGTGGTTTCTCTACTGATATGGTGTTTCCTTTTCTTTGAGCTTCCCAGTGCGATTGTCGCACATCGCTTTAAGTTCCTTCGGATAATCGAATGAGCGAAATACTTCTAAATTGACGACTTTTCTGATTCGGTTCTCACAAGTGAAAAGGTTCAGTGATGAATCAGCCACAAATTTTTGAGCATGAACAACAAGCCCACAGGACGAACACTCCCGGGAGAAGAGGTTTTCCGACTTACACACCTTTCACTCTTCAGCAAGGGTTATCACAGCCAACAGTGTGTGGATCCAAACTTTGACCGGAAGACGGAAGAGTCAAGCGACGTGTTCCTTTCCCCATCCATGCATTTAATTCAGTGTTCTCGGAAGCTGCCTGTCTGCTCTCAGGGACCTAACATCTACGGGTCTTTGGGCTAGCAATTGCACACACCTTTCAATACTCCCCTTTCCATTCCTTCCAAGGTTCTAGACAACTCATAACAAAGTTCCCCGGGCTACTTTTAAACCATGAAAGTAATTGAAGATATAGGCAGGAAGGCCGAGTATAGAATGAAACGAATATTTAAAATGAACCGTGGAGCCATGAAACAAACATGATAGACAAGCACTCCCACCTGGCAGACGGTGTTTTGCTAACAGCCAACTGAACTATGTCGATCGATTTCTGAAAGTTCTCACCTTTCCTACTTCGAATCTAAAAATGGATCGCATCGAACGAAAGGTGCCAGTCCGGTTCCTTGTCATCCATGGATGCAGAGACCCATACGACCCACCTCATCCCCTGATTCCACTTTTTTTTAATTTATTCAAAGTTCATAGATCGACGGATCCATCAGTTTAGTTTGACGCTATCTTCAATCTGATAGGTGCTTCTGCCGTATTGTGGACAGAGGGAGAGAGTCTACTTGCACCACAATAGGCAATTCTACGGAACTCGCATGTCGGCTTCTTTTTGAGCATTCTGATCGATCGATAGCATCGGAATTAGACCGATCGAAAAAGACGACTGAAACTTGTAGATCAGACGCTATGTCTTCAATAGACCCTTGCAAGCTTCAAATGGAGATAAAACAGCAACTTTCATTGGGTGAGGCGCAGACCGAGTCTCCAATCAAAGCCCGAGTTCATATAGAAACCTATACTTCGTACACAGAACACGAATCCCTTGTTATTATCCCGACTGTTTAACAAGATCGCCCGATGCTGAAACCTGAAACAAGCGATAGCACAGAAGTACGCGGATTACCTCTTCTGGGTCAAAAATCTAACACGACGACCTTGCACAAACACAGTGCTGACAACTCTCAGCCACCCGGAGCCAGATGGCACCAGGTCGAGTACAACGGAATCCGAATAGGAAATTGCGCCAGAAATAGCAGCAAGCCATGGTAGCTCCAAGTGACCCAAGACCATCTGCATCACCCGGACGGCGAATAACAGAACAGAACCAGCGGGTGTAGAGGACGATTCTCTCCGGGGGGAGCTGCAACTAAAGCGAAATAAGGTAAGATACGCGATGCGCTGCACGTGGACCACGTGGAATGAGGCTAAACTCGGACTTGACCAAAGCGACTGTGTACACGGCATTTTCTGGTTCTGGTGTGGTTGTGTAGTTCTGGTGCTTTTGTCTTTTCTATGCTTCGTTTCAGGCTGGGTCTGTACACCCCCATCGGCTGCATATTGAAGGAGCACCTTGAGTGAACGGGGAATAACCGTGTTGGGAATGTGGCTTCGGGCAGCCGGATTCTCTTATCTTGGGAATAACACCGACATCCGTCTACTCCGTACATACCGGACTATTTGATTATTCAACGCTTCCAGGGCATCTAGTCCTAAGGTTGCCGAAGCGCCGACGTTGCACCCAAAAAACAATAACAAAACCAAAACCAAAAACCAAAAACCATACTTACGAAGTACATCCCATGTTCGGTTTGCAGCGCAAAGTCGGAGATTATGATTGATTGCAGCGCTGGGCGCCTTGTCCGACATCTGAACCAATCTATTTATGACGCAGTTGGGCCCAGTAGGTGTACGTGGATGCCGCACTCGGTCCATTTCACGTTTAGTGTAACGGGGGCAAGGCGACTCCGCGAGAACGAAACGTGCCAGCAAAGAGGCTCGGAGATTGCCGTCATCGACTGGGACGTGACACCGGACAGACCAGTTCTGCATACACGCGATACGCAAGACTGCATCTGCGGTCTCCGAGAAACAAGGTCGGGGCTGCAGGAGAAGTCCACCGCCAGGAACATTCTTCTAGATGGTTACTAGAAGGCTGGAAATGCAACCGATCCAAGCATCCGGGGACAGGCGTGGACGGTGAGTGGTCATCATCCCTGCAGGAGACCGACTTTACACGACACAGGCTGTGCAAGTGTTGTCATTCCAGCTGGAGGCTTGAACAGCATGAGCGGTGAAGCGAGATTCAATGTACCGGGTACCTGAGCTGTTGTGTTCAACTATATCGGCCCTGGATGGATGGGTATCATGCGATGGGTCTCTGTTACGGAAACCAAAAGGCAGCCTGGTCAAGCTCAGCCCTACACGAGCGAACAATGGCCATTTCCCGCACTGACGGAAATAGGTGTTAATGCGTGCGGCGCGTCATGTCCCTCACTCCGACGGGGATTGGTTGAATCAACCCCCTGCAAGGCCACCTATTCATAGCCCGCGCTGTCTGACTTGCGACAGAGCCTCTTTGGCGTCGCTGATCTGGAGTTGATTGGATCTATTTAAACTTCCCGTGTGGTTCTAGCCTCTCGGACCCGACTCACTTGCCAATACGGAGTACGGAGTACACAAATCACGTTCAAAGGTCCAAGTATCCAAGTATCCAAGTATACTCCGTGGCCAAGTCCAAGTGCCTGAGCGTATCTCCGGGACTAGGCAGTCGAGACATGTGGAGACAGCGCGCTATATGCCTCCTTTGGTATGCTAGATGCAGCGCCAATCAGACCTGCAAGAGAAGCGCGTCCGAAAATCCCTCCAAAGTGGGAAGAAATAAAAAGGAGAAAATGAAAAGTCAAATAAAACAAAATAGCAAAAAGGGCCCCCAAAAAAGGCCCCCAAAAAGCAAATAATTATAGAACAGAGAACTAAGAAACCAGAGAGGACATTGACGGCAATGGGACTCTATTCCATGACAGGCCTAGGGTTAGATCAGTATACGACCCATCCAATGAACGGCCACAGGAAATTGTAGGCGATACAGGCCCGACATTCCAGGGCGCCTAGACTCTCTCCATTTCTCTTTCTCTCTCTTTTATTTTAATTATTCTCTTTTCGAATCCCGCCTTTTCCTACTTTTTTAGTTTCTCTCCGTAATTTACCTTGCAATATTACCCTAACGGATCCGGTCAGATCTTTATCCCCTTAGTCCGTTGCCAAGGTCCAGAATAATTCTCAATAAAACGTGGGCTCATGCATCCTTTTTATTTTATTAATCTTTTTTGGGGAAAACAGAATTCCCACGTGAGAAAAAAGAAACAGAAAAGAGGTGTAACCCTCATAAATCCTATCCCGTTTCATCCCTGGACATATCGTGTCTCGGGCCAGTCAGGTCGAATGAGGATCGCCTCCAAGCGAACGTCTGGTTAGCGTCTCCGGCCCAACTTCAATAACCCATCCTACCGTCTGGAATGCGATCATACGCCGTACCACGCTGGTACTACCTGGTAGATCTGAGATTTCTTCGGTCTGAACTGAATAGTTTATGTTATAGAAAGAGAGAGAGAGAGAGAGAGAGAGAGAGAGAGAGAGAGAGAGAGAGGAGGGGAGGGGGTAAAGGAGAGTAGAGAAAAGGATATAGATCAGTAGCCACCTTGGAATCGTCCGTAGTCCACCGAGGGGAAATAGAGTAGTCGAGTACTCCTCTGTACCCGAGTCCAGCTGGAGGCTGAAAAGGAAAGAATAAAAGAATCAAGTATTAAAAAGTAATTGGAATAGGAATATCCTCAAATTAATTAAAAAAAGGAAAATGCCACGGATTCGGGTTATCGCGACGGGGCTTAGCAATCTGCAAGGCCCGAAACCACAGCTGATCAATTAGTATATAACGACCTCTCTCCACTGGCGTGTCTTGGCCTATCTTTATTGTTGTCTCTCTTTCCCCTCACTGTACTCTATCTTCTCTTGCTATTAGCTTTTGACCATTTTCACCATGCATCGCGCATACGATGGCCGCTCCGGCTCTCGAGGCAGTCACAGCAACAGCAGCGCCTTTAGTCCCAACGCCAACGCAAATGAAGACTGGACCAAGATCTCCGACCTGGCAGAGCGGAGGCGCATTCAAAATCGCATCGCTCAACGCAACTACCGTAAGATAGATCCTACCCCTCCACGATCTATGGAAACAAAAACACACACAAAACTACAAAATAGAGAGTCTAACCAAGACAACCCAACAGGCAAGAAACTAAAGCGTCGCCTGGAAGATCTGGAAAGACGAGCTGGCACATCCGCTTCCCCAGAACAATCCCATGAAGAGCCAGTCTCGCCCAAGGCCTCTCCCAGCAAGACTCGATCAAAGCAGCGAGCACCAAAGCCAGAAGTGAAGCCTCACATGCAAGATCGTCCAGCCTACGACTACTACACCCCAGAGGATCGTTCTACCATGTTTGCTCAGCAATGTACTCGCCAGCTCTCCGCTTCCCCACCACCAGTCTTCTCCTACCCATCCATGTCGCCCTACGACACCTACCGACCAACCTACCAATCCCCCATCTACCACAACACCCCCAACACCTACAGCGACATCAACTACCAAACAGAATACAGCGAGCCCGTCCCCTCACTAGTCCCACTGCCCTCAATGCAGCGCAAACTCGCCTACGACGAAGACCTCATCAGCCCATTCAGCATGAGCTACGCAACAATGGCCGGCATCGATCTGTGCCAGCAGCAGGCGCAGGCGCAAGCACAGGCTCAAGCGCAGGCACACGCACACGCCCAGTCACAAGCCCATTCACAGCCTCATCCAGAGGGTCTTCCGGTACATATTCCTCGCTGATATGAAAGAAAAATTCTCCGACTCGCAGCTAATGTCCTGCAGGTGCCGTCGCTTGGATACAGTTACGCGGACCAGCGAGCGCCTTCGACATCCCCGGAGGCTTCGATCTTTACTTTTCCGCTGACCCCGGAATCAGTCCCCTGTTCGCCTCATACGCTGGCCTATGACTACGATCTACGCTGAGGCGGGATCAGGCAATAAAAGTGCGTGCGGGTATTTCCGCTTCTGTGCGGACCCCCCAATTCAACCGTCGATCGGATTTCCCGATTTACTTTGGGTTTTTTTTCTCTTTTTTTTCTGAAATTCCATTCTCCACTCTGGCTATATATGGATGTGTGTGAGAAGGGAAGAAATGGTGAGAGGAAGAAAGAGAGTGCATGATTGGAGTTCTCTATTTGTTTTTGTTATTTTCTTTTTGGTAGCGTGGTGTTTTGAAGGAACAGGGATGATCTCCCCAACCTATGAGTGTATGTCTTTTTTTATTATTATCTAACTTATGATTATTATTATCATGTTTGATCATGTTTTCATGATTATCATTTTCTCAACTCTGTCAATTAAATTCAGATCTACAGGCAAATTTACGAATAGCCCAGAGCCCACAGCCCACAGCTAACGGGAATTCAATCCCAACCTTGAAAGTTGGCCCCCAAAACACCCGTGCGAGAATTTCGTTTAGCCCCCATACTTCGTACGGAGCACGGGAGCACGGAGTACGGAGTACGGAGGAATGAAACCAGGTTTATCCCGAGCGCGAGCGTTGGCCAAGGTGTGCAGGATAACCCTAAAGGGTTTCCAAGGAGGCGCAGCTGGGCCAACACAGACCAGAGAGACAGACCATCTGGGCAGAGACCCGACAGAGCAGACAACACAGACCAATTCCTGGATGTGGATAAGTTCACACATGACTCGTGTTTTCTGTCGGTTCTGTCCACTAGTCGAGCCTCGATCCCTGCAGAATGGAAAACGAGTCCACCCCGCAGGACACTCGGCCTTTATCCGCCCGGTGGTTTTTAGGCCGTTAGTCCGTGGTCCGTAGTCCGTAGTCCATACTCCATAGTCCGTAACTAGTCATTGGTACGGAGTACGGAGGACGGAGTTAAGAGTATACAAGTATTATCTGTTCTATAGTATTGTTATTGTTAAGCAAGGCTAATATGCCGGAAATTCAGTGAACGCCGGGCTCAATTCGCCGAATGATGCAATCGAGTAATCTGCACTTCTCGCCCCATCAACCCACTCTACCGGGCCGCGGAGGTGCTCCGAAGGCATTTTATTGGACTTTCCTTGGCACATCACTCCATAACTTAACTATTAACTATCAACTATCAAGTGTACTCGGCACGAAGTCACTACCCAGTACACTGGCCTACGGAGTACAGGTACATGACTCATTATGACCGGTCTATGGAGATTCACCACTTATCTCCGTTGATTTCTCGATTTCTCGATCTATACTTTATTTACATATAATTCGGTTTTAATTCGGTGTTTGGCCTCTGAACAGAAACGCGCCAATAGAAGGCAAGACATGCGATATGCAATAAAGAGGATATGGGATATGCAAAGACCGAAAAAAAAGTAACCAAAAAGGCACGGTCCTTGGCCAAGATATCCCGCCTGTAGCAGCGCAGAGGAGAGCAGAGGAGACTTGGGGCTGAGAAAATCCAAGAGGCTATTTAGCACAACCTTAGTTCCCCCGTTGAACCCACAGTTCTCATGGTAAAGGGCTAAAGGGCAGTATGTGCGCCGGGATTTCTTCATTTCCCTGAACGGGTTTAGTTCCTCCTTATCGTTGGCGGCTCTTGCAGCCTTTGGCTAATGCGGAAGGTCAATCATCTCCTATATTGCATTACTCTACATTGTACATTGTACTCTACAGCTTTGAAAGTACTGATGTACTGATTTACTGACTTATTGACTCATCTCCCGTGCAATTCACCCGCATTCTAACCTTATCGACTCCGTATGCCGAAAGTCAGGAGAATCCGGACACTGTGGCCGAGACGTGCAAGCGCAGGTAATGCATGAGCAAATTAAAAACAGGGTCTCAGCCTTAGTCTTGGCCGTGCCAGTGCCAACTCACGGGGCGTGGCTAGGACCGGAGGGTATTTCAGTACAAGTAGACAAGTAGACAAGTACATAAGTATCGTGTACTTCATACTCTGTATACCAAGTCCCAGTCCAAGTCCAGCGAAAGTACTGCCTGACCACCGTGACAAATAAAAGGCATACGCGTAACTAGATGTCAATATCGAGAACAAAGTTCCCAGATGCAAATAATAATATTTAAATGATTAACCCAACAAATACTGAAAGTACTAAAAAATAAAAACCAAAACCCAGCAAAATCCCCAAAAGCCGGACAAAACCCGGTGGGAAAAAGGACGATAACCGCCTATCATCAGACCCTTCGCATCAAACTCCACATTCTGCAGCGGGGCTGTCCGCAGTCAGCACGGGAGACCAGCACGGTGGGATTTAGACGTTGATACGCGTTACCCAGGTAAAGAGGTCGCGGGGCTATTTTTGGGGGGCAATTGTGGTTGGCGATACGGAGTTAAAGTGTTCTTTAGTCTGTTAGTCTCTGTCGTTAGGGTTAGCGTTGGGAGTGCGTGGAAACTAGTCAAGTTGGTGCATCATATTTTCTGTCCTTATTCTCCCTGTTTTTTCCCATGTGCCAGATGGGCCCATCTTTTTTATTTTTATTTTTATTTTTATTTTTTTCTCTTGAGCTTTTCTGAAACAATGGGGTAATGATTGACTTGGCCATTGGGATCATGGAGTCGAGTGTTGACCATTGAGGGGGGCTCTCGGCATTTTACCGAAAGGTGAACGTGCTTCACTTTGGGCTTGACGCTTTATCTGCTCTCCCCGACAAGGTTTGATTGGGTCTTTGTTGGATTTGGATTATTTGGATCAGGGGGAGGTTCTCCCCCTATTTCTTGCGGACTGCTGTCGTGGCGACGGAGTATGGAGTTTCTGTATGCTTGCACCTTTATACAACAGGGTCCCCGTGCTCTGTGCGCTGTGCTCCGGAGTAACAGATTCAGATCAGATCCGGGACGTATTGTAGGCTACTTTTGTATAGTTGAAAGTAGATGCCTGTGTATGGAGCATATAGTATACGTAGTAGCAACCTTGGAATAAAAGGATGTAACAATCCAAACACTGCAACTTCAACTGTTTTTGCTGTTGTAACCGCCCTTCCGGCGCATCTCAACATCTTGGCAATTGTTTCCAAGGTTGCTTCGACCATATACTAGTACATCTATCCCAACACCTTCCCTGTGGCTACCTGACTTGGCTTTCTGTCAAAGCCCAATGATTACATGGGTCGCAAGCTAACCGTTCCAAGGACATTGGATATAAACAATCAAGGTTCGAGTGTTGGAAGGCGAGACGCGGGCTTGTTTCAAGGTTGGAATATCTACCAAGTTCGAATCACCTAAAGCCGTGCCCTTTCAAGGTTTGATCTGTCCCGAGCGGCATTAGTCTATAATAAACATCGCGCTGCCTTGTACGGAGTAGTCATCTGTAGATCAAACCTTCTAATTGCGCAGGTGCATAAGCGACTTGCTCTGGTCACCATCCTTGAGAGTTGTGGGCTCTACATCAAATGCATTCGCGGCAACGCACCTTTTTTTACCAACCAAAGGAAAATCTACTACATATGGATACTGTACTTGCAGTGTACATGGGCATGTGGAGATTTGCAATGTCACTACCGAAGTCCCCACCTCTGCGAAGTATACACCGGACCACAACGACCAGACATCAAACAGTAGCCCCAAAAGCCCAAACAAACACAATCACCACTATAAATCAAGCTATACACACTGACCTAGTCCACCCCAAGCCCAGAATTAGACATAGAGCCCTCATTGCCAAGACGTAAGATCATGCAGGGACAATAGGGTTTTAAGATCTGACAGTTTTCAGAAGATCTATATTTCTCTACTTCGCACTCCATACTCCGTATTTCCATCCACCTACACCGCAGCATACACCGTCTTTTAACCGAGAAAAAAAGAAAAGAAAAAGAAACCACCCCAACAGAAACAAACCCCCCTCTCGGGGGCCGGGGGCGCGCGCGGGGGCCGAATCACCGAAATCAGAAAATCCACGCAAGCTCGTCCAGGGTTCGTGGCAATATAACTTTGAACAACTCATAGAAATTCAATCAAACAAAGAAACATGTGACATGAAGACGTAAGTATGTGGAGCAACGTGTGGGAAAATACGCGCCCGGGATATGGGGGGGGCGGGCACTGGGGGTAACTGGGGATGAGCGATGCATGTACATTACGCACGTACATATGCTGGGAAAGAGAGAGAGACGGTGGACCGCACATCCGCCGATCCGCCATTCCGCCGGACGATGATTGGATTCCGGCGTGGTGGAATTTGAGTCCGGATATGTCGAGAGGGCGTCAAAGAAAAACCTTGAGAGGAATGTTGAGGCTTGAGGCTTGAGGCTTGAGGCTTGAGTCTTGAGGGAGTTTCAGGGATGCTGCAGGCACGGCCCAATACGAGGTGCTTGTTGGCAACCGGGGACGCCGAATGGAGATTAGGGAGGCTATGAGAAGTGGGATTTTCTAGGAGCCAATGGGTTTATTGGATTTGTGTTTTGTGGACAGGGCTGGGATGGGGTCGGACCTCGGGGAGCCCGACATACGAGGCTGCGAGGGTCGCGAGGCTGCGAGGCTAGGAGGCTCTTGCAGATCATACGTGGCCATGAGGCTGCGAATGTTGCTCGCGTATCCAGGCCCGGGAGATGATTGGATGATTGGATGATTGGATGGGGCCGGAGTTGCGGACTAACGGCGTATCGACTTGGACCTTTTTCCGGTCTTGGGATTTGTTGGATTAGGAAATGATCTCATTCAAGGCACTTAAGAGAAAAGAAAAGAAAAGAGAAAAGAGAAAAAGGAAAACAAAGCATAACATCTGTCATCATCGTCATCAAACTACCCGTTCCACTAGATATCAACTCCCCGGCTCATCGCCCGTGCACCCCCATCGGGTCGGCGGACTGCAGATTCCTCCGCCGGCGCATGGGCGCTTTCTTACGGTTGGCAATAGCCGCATCTTGCACTTGCTCCGGGTTCATTTCTGTGTCTCCGTCTTTGTCATCCTGTGGGGAAAGCTGCTGCTCATGGTTCCAAGCCTCATCCAGCTCGATGACGTTCTTAGGTTTCGACCGGAGCCATTTCATGCGCGGGCCGACCCGTGACACCTCCGAGACCTTGAATCCGTAGATACGGGGATCGTAGATCTTGCCCTTGCCCAACCCCGGGCAGAGGTTGGGGGTGCGGACGCCGTTGATCTCTAGCGGTTGGTTTTCGAGGGGAGGCGAGGTGGGACGGGTGGCCGGGCTGCGGGTGAGGGAGCCGGCGCGGGAAGATTGCGCGTGGGGGGACAGGATGGAGGGGGCATTGTCACGGGTGCCAATGTCAAGGTCTGGGAAGGTCATGAAGAACAGGCAGCCAAAGGTGGTGCCGAAGAAGGCACCGTCGACGGAGTGGAACCGGCTGTTGGGAGGGGTATAGATGTCCTGACAGCCGGGGCAGAAGAGCTTGACAGTTTCCTGGCCCGGGGTATCGGAGCGCCCAACGGGCAGAACCTTGCAGCCATTGCAGTTGACTCGAGGACAGGTTCCGAAGTGCTGCATGTCATACTTTTCGAGCATCTGCTGAATCCCCGGGCGGGAGGTGATGTAGCGCTGGTGAATGAGGCCGTATAAGAGCTCTGCGGAGCTCTCGATGACGCTGAGATCGCTGGCCACGCGAGCGTGCCTCCGATCGCCCGCTCTTCGGTATACCGGTCCGTCGCCGAGCGCATCGTCTTCATCTTCCTCCTCCTCTTCCTCCTCTTCCTCTTCGTCATCCTCCGGCTCCACGTCGAGAATCATCTCCAGTGCTTCCTTGTACATCGGAACCTGCGACTGTAGGCCAGTCAGGTTGAAATCATCCTCGATAAAGTCCTCCGACACCTCGGCGAAAAACTCATGCCCCATCAACGAGCAGAATGAGGAGATCCATGATTCCGGTGCACCTTCCGAAGACGACATGTCGAACGAAGCGGACACGGATGACGACAAGGTTGATTCAGACAGTTGACTTAAATCCAGCCTGTCGAGGCCGTCGGCCAACGCCGAACCTGTCTCTCTCGACACGTTGCCGAGCTGATGGGTGAATGGGTTCAAGGAGGTTTGGACGAAGCGATCTCGTCACAGATGCCGAGTTGCTGTGTTATATTTTTTTTCTTTCACGAGGGCGGGGGTGTGGCGTAGGATTGAGAAACGACCGTTCAAATGGCAGGAAGAAGTCGGAAACGAAGAATGTGCGCTCAACGGTGATCCCCCACCAGAATCTTATCAGTTGGTGATTTTCTCAGGTGTACTGAAGGGGAGGAATTCGAGAGCGCCCATTCGAGGGGGGTTGTGGAGGTCGAATCGGGGTTAGCGCTGTCAGGCGGTGGGCCTGTAGAGGAGAACAGCTTCACCTTCGGACGACTTCACTTTCGGGGGATCACGTGCGGCCTCTCAATGCGGAAGTCTTATAGCTTCACGCTTCATCTTTGGTGACTGGCCTGGAAAGTGACGATATTTATATGGTATATATGAGATGTGGGTTATGCTGAAATCACAGCCTGGCGAATGTACAAGATCAACAAAACCACAACCATGGGTATCATGAGGACAATCTCAAAACAAATCCCGGATCACCCTAGCAAACTCCCCCTCGTCCCCTAAAACACCAGATAATCCCTCCCCAGTATTCTGAATCTCTCCATCCGGTCCCACAAACCCACTAATCCCATCCGCAGCAGGCATAAAATTCCCAAAGGCGCCCACGGCCTCGAACAAGTTAGTCAGCTCATGGCTCATCTGCAAGCCATTCAAAGGACTATTCCCAAGTTCATGGCCATTGACAGGTCCATACATGGACAGATCTTCAATAGAATGGCCCGCCAAACCAGCCATCGCGACCGCTGCGTTCGAATGTGGATCCGCCGCATCCGACCCAAAAGGACGAGCCAGAACGCCGAGCTTCTCTCCGATCTTTCGGAGACCTTTGATAGTCTTCCACAAACGCTTGGAGACATATGACTTTGTGCTGAACCCATTGATTAGGTCGAGCGCCATGTAGAACTCGTCGCGAACTTGGCGGTTGAAGTCTGCGGGAGCATGCGAGACCGCGAGGAAGAGTACCGCCAGCGCCGCCACGAGGAAGTAGTTGAAGGTGATTTGCTGGGTGCGGTAGATATCGGACATTTGGTTCAGACGGGTCAGAACACGGACTGTGTCTTTGGCTATGTCGACCACAGTCTGCGCGTGGCCGCGGTCCTCGGCGATGCTGGAGGATGAATGGAGCACCGGGCGGTAGATGAGGATTCGCAGCTGGTTCATTCGGAGGTAAAGAAGCACTCGAAGTCTCCTCATACCCCTGCTGGCGGTGTCTCCATTTTTGGGTGATTCCACCGGGTAGAATTTCAGTTCGTCGGGAACTTGCTTGTACCACTGTAGGATCTGGTAATCGAGGTAGCCGATCTCGTCGCGGCGAATATCCGTTGTTCCTTCTGAACCCAAGCCAGAGTACCAGATTTTAGAGCTGATTCGGTTGTATAGGATCATACAACGCAGGTATGGCAGGGAGGCATCCTACATAGATTAGTCGATTGTGGTGATCATATGACGAAGAAGACTTACAGGCTCTGGCAAATTGGGGTCAATGTCCTCGTCTTGAATCACAAACGGTAACCCTGTCCCCAAGCTCCATCGTCTATCTAGACTGTAGACAGACCAGAACAAACGTGTGATCTCGTCCCAATGTTCTTCATTCGGGAAGGATTTGATCATCGCATCCCGGCGGTGCAGTCCCATCTCTAGACACATCCGAGCAGCCAGCCCAATGACCCGATAAGCCATCGCATCATCATCAGTATGGAAATGATACGTAGCCTGGCAGTGGGGTTAGTATTTGCTGGTGTTCGCAAAAAGCAAAACGAGGTACTACTCACCACGATAGCAAACAATTGAATGGTCTTGATGCTATGAGGCTCCCACAGCTTGGATTCAACAAAAGGTTTCACACTCAGGAACAGCCTCTGCCCAAGCTCACTTTGGCCTCCTCCCTCCACGACCAGCGTGGTGGCCAGTATCAATTTCAACAGGATTGACGCTTCGTCGTGAAGGCCATCAGATCCCGGAAGCCCTCGTTGCGCAAACCCCGTCCTAGTAGCTGCTTCTATAAACGTGTAGAGCAAGGTGGCCTGGCGACTGATCTTCGTGATATCCACCACGGGGTACATGATCCCAATCTCCTCCTCGTACACTTTGCATAGCCGCAACGCCTCCTCGCGGCGAATAGTCCATATAGGATCTTTCGTCGGATGTACAGTAGTAAGAATCTGACCGAAGTGAGAGGGTGGTGAGGTCGCTGGCGTAACATGCGCAGTCGTCAAGTCATCAGGGATCCCATCCTCTGCAGGTGTAATGCCCATATTCTGCAGGCTAGACTTGGCCACATCAAAGTTGAAAGCTGAGCTAGTTGGCCCATGGAAGCGAGGATGGCGGGCTCGAGGCTTGCCTACCCCGGGCAGGGGTGTGAAAGTCTGGGAGCCATCACGAGACAGCGGGTCGAATGGCGGCGACTCAAAAGAGGGCCGCTGCGTACGAAGATCATTGAGATTGGTGAACAAGTTATTCACTTGATCTTGCAAAGCAGTGATCTGCTCGGTCATGGACCGGAATTCACTAGCTCGAGTATCAGTATTGAGCATTGAGACTGCGCATCGGGCGCGGCAACTTACTCCGAGTCCTTGAAATTATTATTGCAACAATTGGGGGCATAGCGACCTGCGTGCGTTAGAGACACCTCACATCAAACCCAACAAGGCCCCTTGGCGATCTCATCAACAACATACATTCCAAATTCAAATGGCCACAGCGTTGGCAAGGGACCTGCCCATTACACTTAATCTTGCGACGTTTGCATTCATTACTGAAACCCGTTAGCTCGAACTCGACATCGTATGACAGCCGCGTCGGCCACGGCTTGGAACGGGTGTGCGGAAAGAACAATGCCGAATCAGGCCATATCATACCATGCAATGGAGATGTAACGATTCCGCTTTGTGCGCGTCTGCGTTCCGTTGCCTTGTTCCGCTTTCCGTTTGTTGGAGTCGGACGCCCCAATGGACTGATCACGAAGGTCTCCCTGGGGCGGCGACCTGTCCATTTGAGGAGACTCTGAAGCCATCACGAGATAGATCTGGGGTGGGCAGCCGGGAAGAAACACCGACGAAGTGCGGAGAAATTCCTCTCTCGCGGGGCTTGCCGTCTTTTCCCCGGATTGCTTAGCTCATCGATTTGTCGCAGATGTGATTGGCCGAGGGATCTATAAAGACTGGCCTCGTTGATCTTGAAGGCATTTACGAATTGCACTATTGAGTAAATGGATGAATGAATTATTTAGAAATTTGGAATGTTCTGGAATTATGAGGAAAATATTACGAGTTATGTATGAGATGTCAAGCGCTAGCTGGAAGTGTACATATCAAAACCGCGACCATAATTCGCCGTGAGAGCAATCGCTGTTCATTACACATCCATACCATCCATGGATAGATATCCAAATATTGTTCAAGGCCAGTGTAGTTGCAGCGCAGTTGAGAACAGCCAGTCATTGAGAGCACTCAACGACTGTACCAGCCGTCCCTTCTGCTGGGGATACTTAAAAAGCCAGCCAGCTCCCACAGCAAGAATCAAAATCGCCGAAGCACGAAGTGTCTTCCTGACTCTCCGCAAAACTCGTCCCTTCCGAGTAAGCTTCGCACTCCAATCTCCCCAGTATGGGAACAAGCATCGGTACCAGTAATGGACTTGAGTATACCTACGAACTCGTTAGCAGCCTCCACACCATCAGACAAAATAGCACTCACGGGTACGTCGAAGAATTCCAACCATCATCAGTAGCATACCAACTCGAGCAGACACCACGACGGAACACCGTCTTCTGAAGATCATTTTGGACCTGGGTAGTCCATTTGCGTTCCGCGCTCTCCGTGACTTCATAAGAGCTGACTTCGCCTCTGAGAATAGGCTCGATGAACTTCAGCGAGTAGTTGACTGCATTCTCCGTTGCGAAGATCACACTCGTGTGTCCAGTCGCTGTATTCGGTCCGAAAATCATAAAGAAGTTTGGGAATGAGTCCATTGCGATCCCTTGGTATGCCTGTGCTCCTCCACGCTCACGCCAAATCTCCTCTAGATCTTTGCCTGCGCGGCCGATCACCTTGAGAGGGTGTAGCCACTGGTTTGTTTCGAATCCATTGGCCATGATGATCACGTCGGCAGGGAGATCTCTTGCTCCGGACTCCTCGTCTTTTCCGGGCGGATAGTGACTGCCCGGTCCGATTGTGACGCTGTTCGCGTGGACGCGTGTCAAAGGTTGAGTGGTTAGTTCCACATTCGGGGCATTGAGAGCGCGATACCAGGTCCCGTCAATGATACGTCTCTTGCAGCCGAGACTGTAGTTGGGTGTCAGGATCTCGTGATATTTCTTTGGTGCGAGTGCGCGCATATGGTCAAGGAACGCCTTTTCGCTTCTCGGTCGCGCCCGTCGGCTCCACGCAGACTCTGCGAATAACTGGAAGTATGTCTTCTCCATCATCCAGAAAAGACCCGTGCGCATGACGCTGGATAAACCCGGTACACGGGTCATGAGTATGGGAGACCATTTCTCATACGCCGGGAGGTACTTGGGGGGAATGACATCGGGCTGAACCCATGGCGGAGTTCGCATGAGCTGGGTAATTGAGCGAACGCCGGCTTCCGGTTTGGCGATTTCGGGGAGGACCTGTGCGGCACTGCACCCAGATCCCAACATGATGACATCTCTATCACGGAGATCGATTTGGTCGTTCCAACGAGCCGTGTGCATGATATCGCCTTGGAAATCGTCAAAGCCGGGAATATCTTTCGGGTTTGTTTTCGGTTCTACCAGACCGCCGACACCGCTGACGACGACCTTTGCCCGAACCATCTCCGTCTCCACGTAGACCGCGTGGTGGCCGTCTTGGCTGGCAATCCGGTCGCGCTCGGCTTGTGCCAAATCCCCGGCCCCAGGTACGAGGTGAGAGAGAGTTACCTCCCACTCTTCGTCCTCTTCGATCCATCGTAGTTCCTTGACGTCGGTGTTGAACTGGATCTTGTCCACGATTTGATACTTCGCACACACATCGGCCAGGTACTGTGCCAGCTCTGGGCCAGATGGATGGAGCGTGGACCAGTCTTTCTTTTGGCAGAAGGAGAATGAGTACAAAGTTGCCGGTCTAGAACTAGATCAGCATCGTAGCGAGGCAGTTCAGTGAACAGTGAATCCCATACATATCACAGGCGGCTCCCGGATAGCGGTTGATCCACCACGTTCCCCCGATGCCAGACTGGCGTTCGAAGATGCGGAATTGGTCACTTCCTAGGACTTCCTTCAGGCGGCAGCCCATGGCCACTCCCGACTCTCCGGCGCCGACGATGAGCACCGGGTAATAGGTGTGGCCTTCTCGGTTGTAAGCATGACGCTTATGGATTCTCGCAATAGAAGCCATGTTTCGGACTTTCAGTTTCCCAGTGAGACAAAGTCAAGTGAGAACGAGAGGGGAAGTTTCACCTGCGCACGTTGCACGGCATCAATCAAGCAACATCGGCATCGGTTGAAATACCCCATCTTGTCAGACTTCTCCAGAGGGACCTCGGCAGGGGTGTGCGTGATTAGCGCCCGGCGACCCCGACTTAGTGAACATCGATGCCAAGCAGTGACAGTTCCACGTTGTGATTGGAGCGGGCAATAATCAACCATATCTTCTCTCCGACTCCGACCACCTGACGTCTTACACGCCAGCCTCGCATCGAAGCCACCGTCAAAGCCACATGAAGCTCCAATGGTCAACTCTCCGCCCACTGCGTGATGTACGCATTCGCGCATTCTCCACCTCTCCACGCAACCAATACACACCACTACGCGCCCTCGACACAACCCTCACAACCTTTCAACAACAATGCTTCTACCCCGAACAACCCGCGATCCTCCCCGCAGCATTCACCGACCTCCCCGCAATCCAGCAATGGTTCCCACCAAACACCAGAACCCTTAATACCACCTACCTACGCTCCCACGGAGGCGACGCCTTCGTCCCCCTCGAGCTAACCCAATCAACACCCTCAGGACCGAGCTTCCGCTCCTTTCACGCGCCTCTATCTCTATTCCTCGACTGGATCGACTCACCAACCCCATCCTCAACCCTCTACCTAGCCCAATGCCAGCTCCTCGATCTCCCTCCGATTCTACGCGCCGACTTCCCCACGCCTGCGCTCGTCGCGCAGGCCGGTCGAGGAGACGTCTATGATACGAATGTGTGGATTGGATGTCCGCCTACGTATACACCGCTTCACCGAGACCCGAATCCGAATTTGTTTGTGCAGCTTGCTGGGGAGAAGATTGTGCGGTTGCTGGCGCCGGATGAGGGTCAGGCTGTCTTTGCGGCTGTTCGGGCGCGGCTGGGGAAGAGTGGGGATCGGGCGGCGGCGGCTTTTAGGGGGGAGGAGATGATGCAAGGGGGTGAGAGGGCTTTGTTGGATGAGGTGGTTTGGGGGGATGATGATCGGGGGTTTGAGGCTAGGCTTGGGGCTGGTGATGGGTTGTTTATTCCTAAGGGGTGGTGGCATAGTATTAAGGGTGTTGGAGAGGGAGTGACTGGATCGGTGAGTTGTTTTCTTTTGCATTTGGGGGTGAGTTGGAGGGTTGCGTGCTGATGATTTCTAGGTCAATTGGTGGTTTAGATAAGTCGTAGTGTATGTCGGGGAATATGGGACTGTATTTGTACTCGCCAATTTCTAATGATACCCATTGAGAACCAGATACTGTAAGATCTCTGGCAAAAGGCAGTGTTGGTCTGGGTTGACCCAACAGTCCAAGTCCAGCGGCGAAGCGGATCTGAACTGATCTGCGGCATCTCCGCAATCTTTATTTTGCCTCACATTTCCACTTCCCACCCCTCTCCCTCCTCAGCTTCCACCTCCCACCGCAGAAAGGATGCAAGTATCCCGCACAATCTACCGCGCAGCCCTCCTAAACCTCACCATCAACCCATTTCTCACCCGCGCCTCAACCTCTCTAACCGCCAACCCACGCCTCCACAACCTCCTCTTCCCCCAGTGCATCAAACTCGACCAAACCCGCACAATGAGCGACTCCTCCAACCACCCAGACAACACCAAACCCCTCGCTCTCCCCGAAAGCGACGGCACAGCAGCACACCAAGCGCAAGGCGCAGGCGGGATCAAGCTGGACATGAGCGGCGGCAGCACAGAAGTCAAGCTCGACCATTTGGGGCCGATGGTTGTGAATGTGGATGGAACATTGTCGCAAATTGGCAATTGGGCGCAGATGACGGATTCAGAGAAGGAGAGCACGATGCGGATTATTGGGAAGAGGAATCAGAAGAGGTTGGATGCTTTGAAGGCGAAGGAGAGTGGGCAGTGAATATGAATATGGAACATGAACTGTGAATACGAGAATGGTCCTGGGAGAGGTTCATTGGATGTAATTATAAGCGTTTGGGGGATATTGTTACAATGGATATAATGAGGATGTGGACTTGGGTTGCGAGGACTGGGTTCTGCTAATGCTGTCCACGGGTTCAAGAGCCATCGAATCATGGGTATCATTGATGCTTAGAGTATATATAGACATGGTATTCGCCACACATCGTTGAACTTATTGAGTGGTGATGTCGATCGAGTCGAGTTGAAACCCCAACACTCACAAGGTTACTCGAAGATCATGTTGAAAAACTTATGCAACACGGTCCTGTTCCTGTCAGCACATCTCACACAAGTTCAAAACAAACTGAAGACTCACTTGGGCGGCGGGGTCACGAAATCCCTCGTGTACTCTTCGATCTCCACAACACCAGAGACAAGATCAACCTCCTCAGGCTTGAGGAATTTCGTCTTGTGGAAGAATTTCCAACCGAAATACAAAATCGGGAAAACGCCGATCATGGTGTACGAGAAGAGGAATGTCGGGATGGACCAATTTCCCGGCAAAAAGACGGTGTAGCCACCGACAAACGCCATGATGGTAGTGCAAGTGCAAGCGACGTAAGCGATATACGGCTGGAACCAGCTTCGATACGGCAGGGATTCTCTGGGGATTCCTTGCGCATCGAGGGCTTTCTTGAAGCGGATGAAGGTGAATGTCACGACGGAGAAGTTGATTAGTTGAGAAGCGGTGACCTGGATTCATTAGATGGACGGGGTTTGTATGTTGGAGGTTCGGGGAACGGTACCAAGTTGACAAACCAATTCAGCACGACTGCCGCGCTGTTGGAGACTTGTAGGAAGCTGAGGAGGGCGATGACGAGCACGATGCAGACACAGTAGATTGGGACGCCGCGGCTGGTACATTTCGTCAAGATCTTCGGTGCTTTGCCTTCGAGTGCGAGGCCATAGAGACTGCGGCTGGCGCAGTACATGTAACTATTTCCCGCGCTGAAGGAAGCTGTCAGGACGACTGCGTTGACGATATCTGGTAGGATGGGGATCTTCAAGCGATCCATTGAGATGACATAGGGCGAGGCCGCGGCACCGGGCTTGTCATTGTCGAAAGCATCGGCCATAGTCTGATCGTTGTAGGGGACCAGAATACCCACGCACAACACACCCAGCACGAAAAAGGCGGTTAAACGGTAGAAAACACCGTTGAAAGCCCTGGGAAGCACCCTGCGTGGGTTGATGGTTTCACCGGCTGCCATGGAGACATAGTCTGGGCCGGCAATGGTGAAACTTGCCGTGATGACGGCGGCCAGAACGCCGAGCCAGCGGCCTGTATCTCCTGTTTTGTAGTATTCGTTGAACGCACCGGGCTCGTTCCAGTATCTGAAGCCGAAACGGTCTCCGAGTGGGTTTCCGCCGAGCATGACGATGAACGTGTAGAAGATCAAACCAATACTGAGCAAGACTTTTCCTAGAGAAAGCCAGAACTCTGCTTCGCCGTACCATTTGACGGCAAATAAATTGAGTGCTCTGGAGTGGAAATTAGTGCTAGTACAATATCATTGCGAAGAAACACTTACCCATAGAGGACCAGGACAATCACGTTCATAGCAGCCACGGGGATCACGTTCGTCCAATATCTGACGATCAGACTGACGGCGACGACTTCAAAGGGCACCAAGGCTGCCTCGAAGATGAAGAAGTTGTATCCGGCGGCGACACCTAGGGCTTCATCGACATAGCGGCCGGCGAAGCGAATAAACGGCGACGAGATGGGGAGATAGGTTACCATTTCGGCCAGACCTAATGAATGGTAAGTTTCCTTTTTGGGGACAGGGGCAATCTACACAATCCGGGGAATTGCAATGGGCAAAAGACGCAAGGGCAAGGAACTGTTGGCGCATTGGAGTTCGAGGACGCAAAGGGCTGGGAAGGGTGAATCGTACAGACGGTGATGATCAAAATCACACAACTCCTAGAAAGAAAGTATAAGAGGACCGCCTTTCACGAATAAAGAAACAAAAGGCACTGTAAGCTCAATGGGTGTCTGGAAGCTAGTAGCGCTACATAAGAGATAGGACGAGCTGGTTCTTCTTTTTGCATATACTTGTGCTCCGTACAAGAAGCTTTTTCTCTGCGATGCATATACTCTTCCGACAGAACCCAAGAGAGTCAACCAGGCGGATTTCCAGGGGGCAGTCACTCACCAAAGACTAAAACCGATGAACAAACTGGCAGGCCCGCTGGTGCGCAGACCCGAACCGATCTGGACGTACAGGGCCGTGCCGATGGTACCTCCGATGCCGATCAATTGAACGTGACGGGGTTTGAGCTTGCGATGGGTGTGGTCGTAGGTGGACTGCATGGACCCGCTATCCACCGAGTCGCGCTTCGCACTTGAGGCATCTTCGTCTTTCTCAGAGACTTGCATTTTGTGCTTGGTGGGCTTTTCCGGGTCAGTGTGGTTATGCTCCGCGCTCTGAATGGCGGCGGACATTGAGGTATGAGAGATTGGAGGGGAAGACATGGGAAGGCGCAACCATGAATAAGGACTAAATACTAGATGCGCGTGTATAGAGAACGAGTCTTGAAAGAAAAGATAGAGAAGGTGCCCAAAGAGTAAGAAGGGAAATTTTTTATCCCAGCTAGGTAGTATTTTCCAAGGTTGTTTAGCTTGAAAATTGAAAAATCTATGGCCTCGAGCGGCATAGTCCGAAGTGACAAGGACGCAAGGAGCAAATCAGAGTGCGCCGCCCCAATGTGAATCCCCACATCCCCCAGGAGGGGGGAATTTTGGCTTTGCGATCCCTGTCGTTCAGTGCTGATTGGATTGGCTTTGGAGGTTGGCATAATCATGGCGAAGCTTGGATGTACACTTTCAACGTGCGATCATACAGATCTTGATTTTTTTGATATTTGGGCACACAATAGAGACGAGATGGTCAGGACAAGGACGAGAGGGCGGTTTAACTGTGGAGCTTTGTTATTGCCGAGGTTCACGGAGAATGGAGCCCACCGATGTCCACGAGTGTTAGTAGCACTCATCCTCAACCATATAGCATCAACTTTCCCCCAGCCCTACTCAATCCTGCATTTCAGGAGGGAACTTGCCAAGGCCCTCTCTGCCCCATCTGAATGGCTTATCCATGATTTAGCCTAACCCTCCGACCTTTGTTATCTCGTCGGTACTTATCATCTCTTACTTGTCGGCTTTGCCCTAACTATAAGCCTTCCAACGTTTACTATGTAGCAAGGATACTGTTCAGTGGCATTGTTAGGAACAGCCATAATTATTTAATCTCAATGCTCTTCCAGGTTTATTATTTGAGCTCATTCCAAGGTTATAGACACAAAATGCCTTTGAATGTTCAACCGAACTTGCTGGTAATATCCCGGATACAACTTTCCCGCAGACTGGCGCATGTCCATACTTGATACAAACGGTTAGAAGATCCCTTCCGCTAATTTCAACCAAAGACACGGCGAGTCAAACTCACAAAGTACCAGATCACTACCAGCTCTGTTCGGATCTCCCACTATCTCTCTCCGTGGAGTCCACGCCCTGGGAAGTATCTGTGTCTGTGCTCTCGGTGGAGGGTCTGCGGGGCCCATCTTTCCCCAGCCAACTGGGAGGGAAGAAGCTATCGTTGTCTTCGAAGTAAAGGTGGTGGATCTCGGTGGAGTGTCGATCCGGATCACCTTTCGACTGGGGATTGGAAGGTTGATGTGCATCTGCCATAGTGGACTATCTGTGAATTCATACACCTAATGTCCAAGTTGAAGTGGAAGTTGAGGACGAGATGAAGTCCGATGTCACCTGGCCAGTTGACGTCATGGAATGTATACTTCCACTTTGCGCACACTCCTTGCCTCTTTGCTCTGGCCTATGAACTGCTCTGCTGAATATCATACAAAAGATACAGGAGATATGTATCTTAGTTGCGATTCGTTCGGATATGCCCAGCTGTAAACTCTCCCTCTTCCTTTAGCTGCATTGGGGCAAAAAGTGAGGTGATGGCGATTGGCTCTGTTACTATTCTCCCTTCTCAGAGCGATGATGTAGACCTCAGGGCTTTTCTATGGACCATGGATTGGCCGAGTCGAAGATACAGATGTCTCTTTGTATACAAGTTGAAACCTTGGAAGTCTATGCAGAGGCCTTGAGATGCATTGTCTACTGAGAAGTGAGTATTAGACCATACCTCTCCCAAGGTGGATTCGACCACAGAAATATACATAAATTTATACTTGACCATTCCCAGAGTTCTACTTCATATCATTCAAGTCAACAAACAAAAAAGAGTCAAGAAACAGCCGACATGCGAACCGATCAATGAACAGCCGAGGATAGTAATCCGACCCCGCCAAACTCCAACTTCCCCTCAACATCCCCAAAAACACACACACGCAAAATGACTGAAGAGAAGCGCTTTGCTCCCAAAGTGGCCGTCCAACTGGATCCTCCCAAGGACGACCCCATCTCCCCCGAGGAGCTGGCCAAATGTGACGGTATACCTTCACCTAATACCCACTGCCCACCGCGCCCGCGCTTCGCAGTCTAACACCTCCCAGGCACCGACCCCAGCCGTCCGACTCTCGTCGCCATCAAGGGCGTTGTCTTCGACGTGACCCGCAACGCAGCATATGGAGCCCAGGGCCAATACCGAGGTATGTGTGGTGTGGTGATCGCATAACGGCCTCGACTAACATATTCAGTCTTTGCCGGCAAGGACCCCTCGCGTGCCCTCGCGTGCTCCTCTCTCAAGCCTGAAAACTGCGTGCCGGAATGGCACGATCTCGACGACAAGGAGAAGAAGGTGCTGGATGAGTGGTTTACATTCTTCAGCAAGCGGTATAATATCGTCGGTAAGGTGGAGGGCGCTACGAACACTTAATCGTGTGTATGAATATAGAAGATAGAGACATTGGAATCCAAGAACTTTTCTTTCCCTTCAGTGGTATTCGCATTTACATAAAAAACTATACATATGAACAAGCTCATTTGCCCTTACGGCCCTTACGCTTCATGCGCTTCTGTCCGATAATGCGATTGCGTTTCGCGGCCTTGTCCTCTTCTTCCGTCTTCTCCTTCTCCTCCTTCTGAGGCTTATCAGTCTTGCCGCGCTTCGCATCACGCCTGGAGTCATCGCGATCACGACCATCCCTCTTACGAGAATCACGAGAATCGCCCCGCTTCCGCTTGAGATCCTTCTTATCGTCATCGTCGCGGTCGCGCTTCGGCTTCGGCTCACGCTGCTTGGCCTGCAACTCGTTACGACGCTTCACAACCTGCGCGTTCTCAATCGCAAATTCAACGACAAGACTCTTCTTCTTGTCTTTGTCGTCGGCGTCTTGCACGTTGGCGGGGACAACCATTGAGTGGCAGTTCAGCCAGCGCAGACCCATCAGCGCGTGTCGGTGTGTGAAGTACTCGATGAATCCGTAGCCGCGGGATCGTCCTCCGCCGGTCTTCTCGGAGACCTTGGTTCCTTCGCGCGTTTCGAAGACGACCTTCGCTTGGCGGACGATACCCATCTTCTTCTGCTTGCGCAGCTGCTCGAGCTCTTTCATGGTATCGCGGGACCGCTGCTGCTCTTCTCTGGATAGGGGTTGGCGAACGCCCTTCTTGACATCCTTGGCGAAGTTGACGACGGACTCTCGAGCAAGCTGCTTGAGATCCTTGGAGCCGATGTGACGGGGGAGGTTACGGATAGCGAGACGGGTGAGGGACAGGTGGAGGGCGGGGTTCTTCTTGATGAAGGTTTCACGCTGCTTGTAGGATTCTTCGCGCATCTTGACTTCCGAGGGCGAGAGCTTCTTGTACAAGGGGGAGTTGGAGGGGATGGTTCCTTCGTTCAGGAGGTAGAGGCGACGCTTGTCGGTGTCGCGGACCATGCGACGAGAGACACCTTCTTCTTCCAGCTTCGCGGCTTGGCCCTTGCTGACGGCGCGGGCGACTTGCAGGACGCGGCCTTCGAGCGTGTAGCGGCCGCTGGGGTCGGAGTTCTCGTCTTGGAGGACGGAGTGTTTCATGGCGGTGTTGGCTTTGGGCTTGTCTTTGCTGGGCGCCATCATTTCGGTGCCGCGGGGCGCTTCGCGGATACAGGTGTTGGCGTCGTCGATCTTCCAGAAGCAGACGAAACCGGTACCGCGGGGGCGCTCGGTTTCGTGGTCGAGGACGACTCGGGCATAGCGTAGAGGTCCGAATTGGGTGAAGTGTTCGTAGAGAGAGTCGTCGGTGGCGGTGAAGGGGAGGTTGCGAAGGAAGATTGTTGTGTTGTTGCGGTCATCCTCTTTGTTCTCATCGTCATCATCGAGGTCGTCCAACTCCTCGTCGTCAAGATCTTCGTCGTCATCCTCCTCGTCATCCTCATCGGAAGAGGTCTCGTCTTCTGAGGGCTCTTCCAGGTGGCCATTAGGATCCTCCATTTTGACATCGTCGGATTCCTTCTCTTCCTGCTTCTCTTCTTCCTCCTCATCCTCCTGCTTTGTAGTTTGCCAGACCTCCTTCTCAACAGCCCAATCAACCGCGATCTGACGACCGTCAATCTCCTTGCCGTTGATTGCCTGAAGAGCCTTCTCGGCGTTTTTCCGACCGCGCAACGTAACGAAACCGAAACCAGAAAGCTTGCCGTTCTTGTTAGGCAGAGTGGCAAACTTGACCTTTCCAAAACTGCGGAACAAGTCGGAAAGGTCCTTGGGCTCCTTGATGCTCCACGGTAAGTTGCGAACAATCAGCTTGGGCGGCGCGCCTTGGCCTCTTTCCTCTTCCTTCTTTTTCTTTGACTCGAGAGATGCAGCAGTGGGCACACTGCGTCCAATCTTCTCGTCAATCTCACGCTTACGCTGCTCGGCATAGTCGACACGAATGATCTTTCCATCAAACTTGGAGCCATTGAGTTCCTTCAATGCGCTCTCAGCATCCTCGACATCGGCGAATGTGACGAAACCGAATTGCTTCGACTTCTTGGTTTCTTTATCGAAAACGACGACAGCGTGCTTAATGATGTAGGATTGGGAGAAGTATTCAGCCAGGCTCTCTGTGGTGGCAGACTCGGGGAGTGAGCGGACGAAAAGAGTTCGGTTATTTTGGGGCGCAGAGGCTGCGGGGGTTGTAGAGGATTCGACCTTGACTTCGGGGCTCTCAGCATCTGAGAACCGCCGTCTCTTGCCCAATTCAACTCTGTTGGCCATGTTGCGACTGAAATTGGCTGTCGATGGAAGAACAAAAAAATTAGCGGCAGAAAATTGAGCCAGATTGGAATTAGGCGGTGTGGGCCGCATCGATAAGCTTTATCAACTTATCAACTCTCCGACTCTCCCCTCAGCACTTCTTCATTAATAAACAAGGATTTCAGGCACAATGGACCCCCAGAGACCTGGGAATAGCTTGCCAACTCGGACGGTGGACTCCCCAGCTTCAGACACCCCCGAAAGACCCAAGGTCCAGCAGCCGAAACCCCAAGCTCTCGCCAATCGCTCCGGCCCTTCCTCGATTCTCGTATCTACGCGACAGAAGGGCAACCCGATCCTGAGTCATATCAAACTCATACCCTGGGAATATGCAGACATCCCCGCTGACTACGTAGTGGGAGCCACAACGTGCGCCATGTTCCTTTCCTTAAAGTACCACCGTCTACACCCCGAGTACATCTACGCCCGAGTCAAGCAGCTAGCCGGAAAATACAACCTGCGTCTGGTATTGGTTATGGTAGACATACAGAACCACGAGGATAGTCTGCGGGAATTGTCAAAAACATCCATCATCAACAACCTAACCTTGATCCTGTGCTGGTCCGCACCCGAGGCAGCGCACTACCTCGAGTTATACAAGTCTTCGGAAAACGCACAACCAACAGCAATCCGTGCCCAACAGCCACAGACATATAAAGAGTCCCTTGTGGAATTCGTTACGGTCCCACGAAGCATCAACAAGTCCGATGCCGCCAGTCTGATATCAACGTTCGGTAGCCTGCAAAATGCCATCAATGCACAGCCCGAGCAGATCAGTGCTGTGCCAGGTTGGGGTGAGAAGAAGGTTCAGCAGTGGTGTAATGCCGTACGGGAAGACTTCAGGGTTGAGGGCGCGAAGAAGTCTTCGGCTGTTCCCCGTCCGCCCCCTGTGGCACGTGCTGATGATAGACCTCCGCAGGATGTGGAGGAGGAGGACGAGGAAGAGGCCATTCTCCGAGCGGTGCTTGAAGAAAGTCGTAAAACAGCTGCCTCGGAGGCTGCGAAATCTAGTGCGCCGAGGGCTGGCCAAGAGCCTGAAGAGATGAGCGATGGCATTACGGCAGCGCTTGCACGATTGCGAGAAAATGGTGGCTGAGAAATGTTTCTTGTGTCGCTGCATATCCTACCACTGGCACTTTCATACCCATTCTGCTACATCCGGCTTGCACCCGACCACATTGTGCAGGAAAACTACCTGGAATAAGATCCGGCCGCCTGTGGGCTGCATCAAATCCTGCCTCCAGAGATGGCATGTTTTCAAGGTCTATCCCGCTAAACCACGGAGTTTACATATCGGCAAAACTACCAAAAGAATATTACGCCTATGTCTGCCAGTTGTCATGTCCGGCTTGAACTCCATCAGGCTAATACTCGGCACCCTCCAACACCATCGGAGTATCAGATCTCCCGGAGAGAAGTGCTCGAACGGTCTTCATATCGACACGACTCGGAAGCCTATCCGTAGCCTATTGGGAAACCACCAGCATGAATCAAGTTCAACCCAGTTTGCAGTTGCGAACCAAAGGAGCGTCATCATCTATTTCATCTCTCTATGACCCTATTTCAAAGTCTAGTTCGATTCTTGTTTATACTATCATAGCTTGTGGTTTGTCCGCCAAGTCCACGCAAGACACCACATAATATAAACTTGGCAACGCATGTTCAAAGGGCACATACTTATACCTCATCCGCCATGAATTGTCAGTCGCGTTGCGCTCATTCCGGGTGAATCGCAGGTATGTCTGATCCGAACCCCGATTCCACTCAGCAAAATCCTCCATCTCCGTCCCCTTGGGGAGACCGTCCCGCGGCCTGAAGATAGTGATTGGTCCAATCCGTGCCTCTTCCGGAATGAATGCTGCTGCACCGCGGTAGGAAGCAATATCCGCAACACCATTCGAGTTTTTCACAATGCCCAGACCTGGAGATTCTTCGTCCGCATAGTCAAGCGTTTTGATGTTTGAGTTCGCCGCTTTCATTTCCATACTGCGTGCTTCTTCGAGGCCCATGACGCTCTCGCCAATGGCTGACCCTATAGAGCATTGGTTGAATCCTTGGACCGGTGGCGCCCGGCGAAGAAGTGTTAAGGCCAGGCGACGAGTGTGCGGATCGCGGCATCGGAGACTCGTGAACCAGAGGGGTAGACCGACGCTGATCTCGAAGGTGAAGGGTGGTTGGGTCCCGTCGGGACGCAGTGATGCCCTGAGTGCAATGGCGGACTGTTCCACGATCATTTGAAAGTTTGGCATAAAGGCGTCGAAATTCGTAAGGGCCAAGGACGTGCAAGTCCCCAGCATTATGTATAGCATTTCATGATATGATGAGAGGAGAGCGGATGTGCCGATTTCTTCTGGGGATGCGATCTTGCACGAGCCATATGTCATGGCGACAAATGCAGTATGCCAACTCCTGAGTTTAGATTCCAGAACATGCCCCTGGACAATGAACTCCTGGGGTAAAGCCGAGCCATCAGTTTCTCGTAGATGATCAATGCATTTAGACTCGAACATTGGGATCTCTACAGCTAGCAACACAATGGCCTTCCGAGCAGATTTGAGTGATTCAAACACCGGCTCTGACGTCCCATTGTCTTCCAACAGAACATGTAGTGGGAGGCCATCAATAGCCAGAGCCCCGGCTGCGAGACGGAGGAAGATTGGGATGATCGTGTCTTCCAACAGCTCGGCTTTACCGGCCGGTATAGCCCCAGCGGCAATCTGTGGACGCAAAGCGAGGATTAATCGCACGCCTTGGGCAAAGAGCTGCATGGCTCCGCCTGCATCTCCCTGAAGAGCCTCGACGCAGATGAACAGCATGCAGCTAATGAGGCCGACAAAAGCATCTACGCCACCGGACTCAATACGTCGCCGAATCGCCGACACAGAGCGTGAGTACCAGGCCAGCACATCCTGATGATTCTGATCCAAATGTTTAGAGTCCGTCTGTTGTAGAAACAGATTCGGACCCTTTTGAGAACATTCAAACAAACCACCGATGGAAATAAGAGCGTCCCACACCGCAGGTTCATGACGACAAACCTGCGGAACGACAGTACGCCAGAAGTCGAGATCCAACCCGCCGCCTATCGACGAGGCAGCAAAGTCAAAGTAATAAGCGAAAGCACGACGCTCTCGTGACACCGTATTTGGCGATAGTGACGGGTTAACAAACACGACGGTGGGAGCCTGCGCCTGTAATTCGAAGTCACACTTGCGACCAGTGCTGGTGCATCGGAGACAACTCGGCTTTTCTTCTCCACATTTCACTCGTCGGATCCTACCGTTTGTTTTAATTACCACAACCCACTCTTTGACGCGGAAAGACACCTACTTGCAAGTTTTGCATCCTAGTTTCGACCTCGGACTCACCCTGAGACGACGCCTTGAAGGATCCTCAGGCATGCTGAAAGCATACTAGATCTGGTGCAAGCCAGAATGACTAGAGATGGCATGAAGATGAAGTTTGAAGATCGCCTTTGATGGTTTAGGGGCTAATGACTAAGCTTATATTGTGGGCCGGGGGGCTTTGCCTATTTGGGTTAATGGGAATCTTATACTTCAGCCCTCGAAGAGCGGAATTCTCACTCATTCACCAACCTCGCGATCGGGCTTCCATCGGATGAATCTTGTGAGACTGAGCTGTGTGTACCATGTTCGAATCTTCTTGCCCCAGATATAAAGGGGAACCCACATGATCAGTACCGCTGCATTGATACCAGCCAGTATTCCAAAGCAGGTGGTATATCCTGCAGAATCTATCCAAGGGTTTGTATAGAAGGAGAGCAAGAATCCAAATACTCCTGCGGAATATACTGGAATTAGCGGGACATGTATTTTCGAAACAAAATTTGAAAAATAGAATTCACCTTGATAGCTCAGCTGTGAAACAACCACTTCTCCAGCGATGGGCCGGTGGGATTCAACTGCATACAGAATCGATATACTGGCCACCTGGGGGATGGAGAAACCCACTGGAGATATGAGATTCTGCTTGAATCATTTCCAACGCAAGCAGATGTGAGACTTACAAAATCCCAAACCGAGAACAGGCACAATCCAGGGCAAGCGATGGCCGATTCCAATACCATATAACGATATGCCCAGTGGGCAAAGTATCAGAGGTAGAGTCAAAATCGGCAATCTCATCTCAGGCTCCCGCATGCCGTTATTGCGTCGCGTGAGCCAATCTGCAACCTTGTCTGAGAGCCAACCACCTCCAAATATTGAGATGATAGCTCCTATTATGGTGGCAAGATAGACTAACCCGTACTGCCAGGTCGACCATCCATACACGAGGGAAAAGGCTCTTGCTGAACTGGTAGTCACGGCTACGAGCGCACTCACACAGACTGACTGGGCGAGCGTTCCCCAAAAGACGGAGGGAAGAAATAGCAGTGGAATAGGTCGCCAAAACAGCTGCAACAGGGACTCTTCGGTGAAAGGAGCGTTGGAAATTTCACGAAACTGGAGGCGAAATTGATAGGATGGGCGAGATGGAGGGGGGTTGTTGTTGGTGGATGCACATCTACGAGCTCCACTTGTATCAGAGACAATAGCCAAAAAGATCCCAGTGAGGAAACACACCTTTTATATGCAGTTTCAGGCATAGCCAACACGATGATGGCAAGCAAAGCCCATGCAATGGCCGATGCAACAAAATAAATAGTCCGCCAGCTGGAATGAATAGATATCAAACCACACAGCACTACTCCACCTCCAACCCCACAGAAAACTGCAGTTGTATAGAGACTGTATAAGATCAGCCATAAGATTGATCAAGTTCCATCCTCCGGATCGGAAGGAATACCTCATTATGAGTCCTCTCTCGTGGAGAAAAAAGACATCCGTAATTGTAAGAGGAGCTAGGCAATCAGCTGCACCCCCTGCAAACCCTAAAAGCAGCCGCGCGACCAGCTCACTAGAATAACTTTTCGCTAGGCCTGCCCACAGCAAGCAAGACCCATAAATCAATGTTGAAACGATGTATACCGGTCGACGGCCGTATTTGATAATCAGCGGCATATAGAATAGATTCGACATGCCGTGCAAGAATGCTACCCCACTGAAGAAGTATGAGGTCTTTGCCACTGCAGAAGACCACATTGGGATAGCTGGTGTCGTGCCGAATAGGTCGTGGATCATCGCAATCATGCTGACGCTTGGACCGGCAGCTATGAGCTGAGCAAGGAAAACTGCGGTATTTGCGATGAATGCAATGAAAAGTCGAAACTTTCTGGGCCTATTCCTCCTCGTTAGGTAGATGGATCACTCGGAGAAAAGTTGACGCTACCAGTTAAGAGGATCTTTAGGGTCCTCTGATGGACGAGGAATAAGGATCAAATGATTCGTGACGGGATCTCGTAGTTGGACATTGCCTTGACCACTTTTGAGGGTCTTTATCTGTCCATTTCCTGTCGCTCTCTGAAGCTCAATATCAGACATCGATATTAGAGTTAATATTGTGGATTGTTGAAAGATGTGAGCAGGAAATTACAATTTTCGAGATATAAAATCTCTACGAAAAATTCATCCTCGTATGACGGAAGTCTCGATCGTGCGACCCAAGTGAGGTCTAATCCAGAGGTGCTGGGAATCCTAGTTATTTAAGAAACAGGGATATCCAAGCTCGCTTCTCGTGGAGACAATACCATGGAATCTTAAGTTTGACCAGTAGACTTTCATGGTTATAACCAAAATGCGAGTGTCGACCTCGATCAGCACCTGGGAAACAACAACGGTATATTATACTATTATCCTAAAGCTATAGCTATAGCTTTCGCTTGCTTTGAGCTCAGCTCTGTCTAATACTTGTGTATGATTATATAGGTCGATTTTACTGGGGTGGTTCCGGGTTCAATGCAACTGCCTGGCAGCCCAGACTTCAGCAGGATGAGAATGGGAATTATTATATAATTGCTGAGTTGAATGGTTCCGAGGGAGATCGCATATGGTCTCATATCATGTTGGGCGAGCACTTGCAGAATCACTATGGCAAAGTTGTGTTTCAGAAATAGAAGGGAATGGGTGTTGTTACCGGGATAATTGCATAGGAAGAAGGTTCCAAGCCCTGGAGGTTCTTAAATTTTATACAAACTTGAAAATACTAGTTTTGACTGCTTTACGATATGTAATCTCAGTGGTAGGTACGGTACAAATCCAGGTGATAATACAGCGTTCACCAAGCTCTACATGGTTTTGCTTTATTCAATACTGAGTGGACTCCGAGAGATTAGGGTGCTTACAAGGATAGCCGGATGAATCCGATAGAGAAGAAATCTATTCATGATATAGTAAGTGGATGGCCTTTCCGAGTTTGGTTTGTTAAGGGTGGAAAGCGCGTTTTGAATGAATACGGAATCTCTGAGGGCCTGGAATGAGATGGATCATTCATTCACTTCTTCATCTCTCACTTCTTCCTTGAATTCCTCCTTCAAATCTTTCATTCTCTTTCACTGCAGACATTTCCATCTGAAGTCCAGAGAAGTTCTCCACCAGTCGATTTGACCTACCCCGAACTAGTCACTCCGTGGAATGCAAGAGGTCAGGGTAAACATATGTGTTCATCTAACCCACAGTGGCACAAAATGATTCCAACAAACTTCGGTGAGTGATTTGTGATCCCAATATCCTTCCCCACGTCAAGACTTTGTTCTCCATGTCTCGAAGAGCGGGCATGTGCTCAAGAGCTTAGGTCCCGAGGCCCGTACCTCGAGTGACAGGCACTCTCTCGAGGAGGAGTATAGCACAACGAAGCAAACTTCTGGGCAAGATGCTACTCTGAGTCACCAGAAAGTGAGATTTGAGCCTCGTCTCTTTCTCGTAAGATCCTCGTAACTCTCCTTACGAAGCCACATCTGACAACCAACGCAGCCGTCTACACGCCAATTCCTTTTTTTCTTCTTTTTCTTCCTTTTTCTTCTTTTCTTCCCCCTTTCTTTTTGAAATGGCGTCACCAGAGAATCATCGTATCAAATGTGGAGCTCCCTGGCAAGCAACCTGCTCTCAACCCGCTGACCAGAAAGATATCTAAATCCGCAATACAAGATGACCCAAGTGAGGTCCTCAGTCTTATCAATATGGAAAGACCTCCGAGGTCAGATAACGGATTGTTAAATCTTTTTCCAACTTTGCCTTCGCGACTTTCGCAAAAGCTTGACATTCAGGTTGCCGTTAGGGACCTGTATTAGCAGATTTCAGCAGTGCTCAAGACCTGCCACCTCCGACGCCGAACTCAAACTACCCATCTCCCAGCTCCCACCGCGCAAGAGGCAACCAACGAAGTGGCCACCGAATTCTACTCCACCCTGTCACAGTAGGCTTATGCCTGAAACTTCGCAAAACTCGCTCATGACAAGAGAATCGACATTCGGCACATAAAAGTATTTCCAGCAAATCAAACATTCTAGTCGATTCACATCTTATCGAGCGGCAAGTGGCGTGCTGGCATCTATTCATTCGAAATGGCGTCCTCAATCTCCCCAAGTGCTTTCAGACGACGATATCCATATGCGCCACTTTCCACTTCAAGGTGTCGATCAAGATTGAGAGTGTCAAGTAAGATAAGAGCTCCATCGATCACATATCCTGGGGCCCTGAAAAAAAATTCAAATATCATGAACAAGCTCTGCCAAGCACCGCTGACATGGAGAAAACGGCTGAAATATTCCATCAAGGGAGCTCACTCTTTGCAGTATGTTCCAAATCTCATATGTTGCAACGTCAGAAGGGGCTAACATATCTGCTGACAGCCACAACCCCAAACGCATGGCCTAAACCTGTCAACAAATAGTCGACATCATGACCTCAGTTGATGCGCACTTTGCTCGAGTACGTACGACAGTCAAGTCGTGAGTGGTGAGATAGTACGAATTTCTTCTCTGACGCTTCACAGGATCAAGCAAATCTTCGACGATTGCAAAGAACAAGCAAAGCTCAACGGCATATTGAGCATACCACAACACGCACAAATGAACGTGCTGCATCTGTTCCGGGCTTCGGATTGATGCAAGTTCCATAATTGACATCGGTAGCCAAGGTTCGCATCTGAGACCAATGACATGTGTCGTATCATTGCCTGACTGTTGATCTAGGAGCAAAACTGATCTGCGGGTAGTGCGCAGAATTGCTCCGATCAATAAGCAGGCTATAGTCATGAGTGTATACCCGCACTAACAACCACACCTGTGCTGTTGATGAAAATGTCACAGCTGCAGCGCAAACACCACCAAGTAAGTCCAGTCCTATCAAGTACACTTCCGTGGACTAATGGACGGGTATCTTAGGATGTCTTCTTGATGACGAGCCCTCGGGAAAGTGAACTGCATGCTAATTCTCGGTAAACGTTTCTCACAATCTGCACTCGCCCTGGCCACACAGTGGCGAAATGCTACCTTGTGACACATCAAGCCCCATTTATGGCTGAGCTCGTTGATACCACCCTCAAGGAGATACTCTCTACAAGGAGCAGGTATGATGTACTGAAGATTGGCATGTCAATCCGGAGAGAAAATGACAGCAGAGGGCCAAGGCGATTGGGTCACAGTCCAAATAATTCTGACGCCAGTTGAGGTCCAAGAAACAGATTTGTGATCCTGAATCAACATGGCCAACATCTTAAGCCTTCCTAATCAGAAGCCCTTTGATGTCACAGCTGCTTCAAGTCAAGCCACAGAAGAAAGAAGGGCAGAGTACCTCTGCGGCATTTCGTCAGAGCTATTTTACAAAATGCACACTTAGTGGATTCTCTGGTCATGCTGATTGCTGTCACCCCGACATTGCCACACGACAAGAACACTCATCAATGCCACAACCCGAGGAAAGTCCTGGGCTAGTAAGGCTCTTGAACTTGCAGCGTCTGGTTTCTCTCGTCAAACTCGACTGCTGTCACGCAGCTCTCCCCCACGCGTCCTTCCCTGACGAGGCCCCCTGCCAGTGTATCTGGCAAGCCCTGTTCAATCTTGCGCAGGTGAGCCAACAGGCTACCATCCGCGCTAGCCACGCTGTTCAGCTCACTGCCGCACGCACGGAACCTCGTTTCATCCGTCGTCCACTTCGGGGTACAACATATGGTACGCCAAAGCAGACGAAGCATCCACATTATCGCGGCAATCGATGTTTGTGAATTTCGCCCGAACGCTCAACTCAGCCTTCTTTCATCCCAAGAAATATCTACATTACGTCGGGCAAATTTTCAGAGGCCAGGAGAATCTCACTACGGCTGAGTGGTACCAACGAACAAACCGATCAGCCCGAAAATGCCGATAGTGCCGATAGTGCCGTCAATGCCGCGTTCGAAACATTCAGAGGCACTGGAGCAACCAGCCTTGTGTTAAGTGATGCTAGTTCATCCTGTTTTTTTTCAGACGCACATGCAAAATCCAACTTCATCCATAATTATCTCCAGACACGCACGCTCCGGCTCATGGAAGGTCCTATTTCAGCCCTGACCCTGCGTGTGGCCCGTTGTGGGTAGTTCTGCGGGATGCCGCAAGTTGCCCACATCATCCCAAGTTGTCTAATTGACACACCAAATGCATCAAAGCTATCTTGGTGCCTCTCGGAAGAAAACGAGACCACAATCGCAAAACTTGGGGAGGCGGTGCGATCGTCAAGCGCATTTCTCCCGTGTCAGCAAAGATGAAATTCCCGGAAACGGCCGATAGTACTGGAAAAGAGAGAATATTGCCCTAAGAATGGATATGGGCTTTACCAATCCCGTGCTGTGAGACCTCATCCTTTGGCTCAGAGACGTTTGGGCTACAAACAATGGGAAAGAACCCAGCAATCATGGAGCATCCACAGATGACTAAAGCAGAAGAGTCTGCGAGTTCTTCACTTTCGAAGACTTTACTGAGGGTGCCGGCCCTATTTCCAGATCACTAGAGGTACTGAGTCCACGCATGTGTGAACGGCTGGTGGCTAGTCTGGAACGGCTCTGTACACCTATTTATCAGTTCTTCGTCTAAAAGGAGTGCTGAGTTGACAGAGCACAGTGCATCGCTGAGAGTCTGAACTGGCCACCCGCGAAGGGAATAGCAATATCTGAGATAACTCAACGTCTGACCAGTGTGTTGGAATGTTAGGTGTTGCCTCCAGATACAGGACTCGCCTGAGTGACTTGGGCCAAGACCATTAACACACCCATATTGATGTGCAAAGTATTTACACACGACAGAGACGAAATAGGACGACCAGAAGCAGGATGTGTGACAAATTCACCCTCTGCCAATCTAGTTGTGAGAACTGCCATCAGGTGATTCTTTTCACTTCGACCTCCGAGCAACCGTCGTTGATCCAGCATGTGGATAAGCACCGTTTCATGATACGCGGCAGCCACAGCCATGCCGAACCTATCCTCGACATGCGCACCTGCGGGTTCTTTTTTACACCAACACTACCACCACCGAGCGCCAGATCGTGTGGAAGGGCCAGAGTTACTTCCTCTATCGTGGCATCCACTTCGGACATCTCTTCACCATTCTTTAGTTTCAGCAATTCACTATGACCCAGCTCCGCAAGTACGAACGGGAGGCAGCATGGCAACTCTTTACCCATTTGCTGGTTTACCTACAGCCAATATTGCCACCATCCCGTGAGGAAGCCGCTATGACGACCCGCACCGATGTGACGCGGACCGGTCCTTCCTCGATGATACCCGAACTCCATAATCGTGAAGGGAAGTACCTGGATACTGCAACGGCTGGAGTACGACTCCCTATCACCGCGAGCCTTATTGGCCCCTCAGACGTTGGCCCGGGCACGGCCTGTCTCACTGCTAGAATCGACAACGCCACCCGATTTCAAGAGCTACTTGTAATCGTGATGCACGTCTGTGGCGGGCAGCCAGGAGGTGGGTCCGAGATCTTAAGCCTCCGCTAGTACAATACCGACAGCGGTAGTCTGTGGAACGTGTTCCTCGAGGATAACACGGTGGTCTTTGTAAACCGATACCACAAACGAGTCCTTCAATTTGATACCAATACCTCCCATGAACTCCGATTGAATTCATCTACGATTGCTCCCCGGCAAGTTTTATGGACCCGGAACCTCTCACTTTCTTTGACATCTACCTATTACTGTTGCGTCGCCTTCTACCGGAGTACTCTCTTGAGGGAACGAGATGGCGAGACTTGACTGGTGTGTTCACACTGTCCCATTAACCTTCCCAGTGCATCCAGTCGGAGACCCCAAACAACGGAGTCTACCAACCTTCGATAAAGAGGAAAATACCTTTCCTGGAACGGGTTGAAGTTCAAATCTTGTCGAATATCGTTATCAGCAGCTGCGGAGACAGCCAGAAGGATAGCTGTGGAGAATGGGTCTTTAAGTATCAGGGACGGCTCGCTGAAAACATCCATATTTTTCTGATCACATTGCTGGCAAGAGAAATGGCCGTGAAATGGAGCACCTCCTCGCACAACCAATTCTGTATATGCAAGTTCCCCTGATTCTCAACCTTCTCCGCGGAATCGTGGAGTGCCATCAGTCAAGCCCAAAGTGACAAACGGCTTGACATCCACACGGTGTGAGACGATTGCTAGCATCGACAGCAGAGGGATTTTCTGAGCCATCTGTGAACGAGAAGAGATTCGAATCCTCCTTCACTACGAGGCGACTCTCGATCAACCGGACATCAAAAAGATCACCGATCAGCTCGTTTGACCAGCTTATTTAACAATGCAAAACGGTGGTGAAGCTAGCATGTTAGCGTGCAGACGTCAACCTACTTTGACCAGGAGTTGAATGAGCGTATCGAATGCATCGAAGGCGTGCTGATCTACCTTACTGGTGTTGAAGTTGACGATGCTCCTTGTCGCTTTTGCCAAGCTGACCACAGCCCATTCCCCCTCTGTGTGATGCCAGTCGCCAACGGGATTCCCCAGGTCTGTGCAAACTGTCGTTGGTCGAAGCGCCCGTGTACTTTCACCAACCATAACCGCCAAGACTAGAGCGACATGTACCATGAGAGGGTCATTGATATTGAGGCCTGGAACGACTTCGAGCAGGCAATGGATGCACTAGGTGCTGTACTTGCAATACGCGGTGGTGGTGACGCCCCCAGTCAGGCCGTCGTGCTAGTTTCGCAGACTCTACCCCCTACCGTTCATGATGCTAGATTGCCGCTTATCGTGACAGCACGCGCTATTCGTCACTATGTTCAAACCCAACAGCTAATGCTATACACATTGCTCTCCCACGCTTACTCTTTCATATCCAGAGCTGCCAGATCATTCCGCTACCAATTGATTACATGTAGAAATAGTGTCAATCAAGCAGCTCAAGTCATGTCTTGGAATCTTTGGACATTCATACACGTACACAGCCTTGTGGCAGTGCGATCGGCAGTCAATGCTTAGTGGTCGCCCTGATCCAGGGCGCAGGAAATGCGGGCCCTTGACTTGTTGGGGGCCACGGGCGCCGATCCGAATATCTTCCCGCCTGCAGGGATGTTTCGGGAGGCTTTCTTTAATAACTTCTCGGGGTTAAGATTGTGAATCTTGTAATGCCACTACTATAAATAAACCAATGTATCCGCTCCAAGGCTCCCCTCATATATGGACCTCCCCTCATATCTGTCAATTCCCAAATTCTTACATTCATCAACTCCATAATGTTTTTATTAGGATCTCCATATCATGCTGCCCAGTCCCGACGACGAAAGTCCACCAAGCCGCAAAGGAGGCAGCGAGAAACAGATGATACCACCGGAGTATCTTCTGGGGCAGGAAACCGGTCCGCTTCTTCAACTGCAAACACTTCCAGCAGTGACAAACCACGCTCATGTTTATCGCCTAATTCTCAAGCAAGGACAGGACCGAACTGTAAGATATCTTTCACAGCAGAATATAGACAACCAACTCACCTCAACAGCAAACGAGATACCGCTCCAGCCACCCTTTGATCACGATGATCCGCCACCTCCATACACTGAATCCACCCCCGAAGGGAGTACAGCGCAACCGCAACGCAACAATGTGTAATTTTGGATACATGTGGAAACTGGAATCGGGCTCTATGATGCGAAGTACCCATTTGAGGTTTTATAATAGATTCAAATGGATACTAAGAAAGTTACTCTGATTGATCAGGAGGATGCTCCCAATTGAAACTTAGGAACGAATTTAAGACCCATGAGACGCTGGCAACAACCTTGGGATAAGATGTGGAGTGAGCTGTTGGCTGAGCCTTGAAACTATTCAGCTCAAGGTCGTACTTTGTCCTCCAAAGATGCTTGTGGTGGGCAGCGATCTGGGTGATTGGAGTTTCCATCCTGATCGGGCATTTGTATCACTCTGATCAACGTCACAGTTTCTTTGTGGGATCTTCCTGATGATCCTAGTTGTGAGCATCCTGAGTTGTGGTCTCGGCTATCAAAGGTTCTGATGGCCAATCTTGCACAATATCATTGACGAAGTTTTGATTATATTGCAAAATAGCTTGAGTTTGGGGGTGGGAACTCGGGGTACACGAGTGTAGACGATGTGCCGGGATTCGGATGATATCACGACGATGTAGCTGGCATGCTCAAGAGGTTCAACTGTCTCTGGCTTAACCCGTCCTATGTGTAAGGATCTGATCACAGAGGAGAATTAATTTACAGATTGGTTTGAATATCTCTAATGACTGTTTCTTGGTGATATGCATGCCATGATGTAAACCGGAGTCACATTCTAAGTCTGGGAGTATTAGCAGCCCGCCTGGGCAAATGATAAAGTTGATGAATCTAAACTCAGAATCAGAATAACAGACATATGAAAGAGCGCCATTGATAATTGAGTTCCTGTAGACTTTGAAGGCTTCAGTATAAATGGGTCATGGGCTTCCAAACCATATTCGATGAACGGGTGAAAGATAGCCCTAACTCGGAACGGGACCACCATGCGCTGTCTATACTTCCTTCTATCCACTGCACTCTGCAGTCCCATCTACAGAAGTGAAGTGAAGAACATACCAGAAATACTAGCTCAACTCCTCGACACCACCACCTCCTACACAAACACGATCCAACCCCGAGAAATATTCCAGCTCTCAGCCCGAATCTCCGACATAACCACCGGCAAAATCACACCAATCCAAACAATCAACCAAGGCCTTTCCATTCTTTCAACACTCCAAAATAAAACATCCCTCCAAAAAGCAATCGCAGTCGTATCCGCCGGCCTCGTCCCCCAAAACATCCTCACCCTCCTCAACCCCTCAAACCCAATAAACTCATACACAAACACAAACCCACCCCCAAACACCCCCCTCTACCCAAAATCCCCCCAAGACGCACCATACGACATCCCAGAACCCAACCTCCTCGCCGCCCTCTACATCCCCCCTCATTCACCTGCACCAAGACCCCCATCCTCCTCGTCCCCGGCACCGCGGATCCAGCAGGAACAACCTTCTCCTTCAGCTACAGCAAACTCCTACAAACCAACACCACGACCCCAGTCTGGATCAACGTCCCCAACGTCTCCTTATCCGATATCCAAGATAACGCACAGTACATCGCATACGCCATAAACTACCTAAGCACACAGTGCAAACGCACCATCGGCGTCCTGGGCTGGTCACAGGGTGCGCTTGACACGCAATGGGCACTAAAATACTGGCCGTCGACGAGGGAATCCGTTTCGGAGTTCTTAGCTGTGAGTGGTGATTTCCACGGGACGGTGGTTGAATCTCTATGTATGCTTGATGAGAGCGTATGCACGCCTGCGGTCCGGCAGCAGGGGTATCATAGTAGACTTGTAAGGGCTTTGAGGGGTGGGGGTGGTGATTCGGCGTTTGTGGCGACGACGAGTGTGTTTAGTAGTGTTGATGCGGTGGTGCAGCCGCAGAGGGGACCGGGGGCGTCTGGGGTTTTGGGGGATGGGCGGGGCGTTGGGGTTTCGAGTACGATTGTTCAGGATGTTTGTGCGGGGGGTGCTGGGGGTGGGTTTTATACGCATAGTGCTATGTTGGTGAATCCGTTGGTTTATGCTCTTTTCATCGATGCTTTGGGGCATGAGGGGCCTGGGAGGGTGGAGAGGGTTGATTTGGGGGTTTGTAAGGAGTCATTGGCGCCTGGGTTGGAGGTTGGGGATTTTTTGGGGATGGAGGCTGTTTCGGATGTTTTGGGGCCTATTGAGGTGTTGTTATATCGAGGGGAGAAGGAGCCTTGGGGGAGGGAGCCGGTGTTAAGGGAGTATGTGCATGACGTAGAGAGGTGGATGTAGAGGCGGGAGAGAGACTAGGTATATTTTCAATCGGGGGCCTATATGATACATGTACAAAGTCAAATGCTTCGGGTATTATTTGGATATGGAATCACAAGAGCACCTCCCAGGGCCAAGAAGAATGCATCAAAAGCAGAAAACGGATTGGATATAAGACCCGGCAAGCAGCACTGCAGTAAAAACGATATGCCGGAAAACAAACTTGGAAAATCGCAGTTCTTCGTAATTCGATCACTCCGTTGCATACTGGGGATATCATCTGCAGAAACACCATCACTGCAGACATGTGGACACCGGGACCAGGGGGAACAACGGAGTCAAAAATGGGATTCGTCAATTTTTGGGGTCAAAAGAGGAAAGAGGAAAGGGAAAGGAAAGAAAGCGTGTCAGGTTACGTGGGCTTTTCGCATCCAATGCGGCCGAGAAGGGCCTTGCGATCACTCTGATCGAAAGGAACACGCCCACGACCCCGAGCACGAACCGAAGCCGTGCCGTTGGACCGCCGGCGGTCAAGGCCAGGGGCATTTTCACCTTCGACGGTCTCCACGGTCACACCGTCTTTGGCGGCCAGGTGCACTGGGACGTGAGCCGTGTGACTCTCGACCTCGGCCTCGTCTTCTTCGTCACTGCGGGAATCTTCGGCATTGCCGCCGCAGACCACGCCGTACGCGACGCGGACGATCATGCTGAACCACAGAACGGACAAGCCCTCGATGACCAGGAGGAGACCGAGGAACATCCACTTGAGGGTTGGGTTGAAACAGATGGGATTGTCCAGACTGAAGTATGGGCCGAGCATGTACGCGAAGGAGTTTGGCGGGTCGGTCGAGATGAACTCGCTTGTAGAGCCCGTGTAGCAGCCGTAGGTGAGGTTGAGGGGGAGCTGGTGGTAGACGGACCAGCAGACGACCGGGTAGATGATATGGCGGGTGAGGAACCAGGTACTCATGAACAGACCGAAGCCGATGTTGCAGGCAGTCTCGTATTTGAGGTACTTGAGGATTTTGGCAGTCTATCAAACGTCAGTCAGTGGTCGATTGTCAGCCACCTGAGTATATGAACATACCGGCAACAGAACGTCCACAATGTCCATCAGACACAGCACCACGTTGGACACATTGTACATGGCGTAGATGTAAGCCGAGCCGAGTAGCGCGCTGGTGATAACATGGTGCGACAGCATCTGAACGTGGTCCTTCCTCCGCTCCTCGACGTGGATCACAAAGATCTGCTGCATCAAAAATGCCAGCTCAACCAGAAGATACCACTTCATCAAACCGGATAGCGGACGCGCAGGCCACTGAGACCACATCGCGGCAAAATCCCCCCCAGTAGTAGGAAGTCTTCCACAGGTACTGTCAAAACAACCCGTCAGCCATGATCTACGTGCCACCATAGTACCAAATCCACGGGCCAAACTCACCAATCCAACCACCCAGATAAAACCATAGTACATTGCCATCCAACCCTGCTCGGCGATGCGAGTGGCATTCTTGCGCTTCAAACCCGCGGCCTTCGCAATGGGCTGCATCACCCATTCAATCGCAATAGCACGGATTCCGGTGAGAGCGACAGTGGCACTGAAGACGAAGTAAACATCGTCCCAGCCTTGCACGTAGGAACCCGTCGATTCGTTGTAGTAGGACAGCTGGAAGAAGGGCGCGGTATAGGGACGGAGAGAGGGGTAGAGGTTATGCAGAGCCAGCAACATAGCCAGGGTGGTCATGGAGATTCCTGTTTCCGAGGGAGGTTAGCAATACCCGCCGTGGTTGGTCTTTCTGTTGAGCTGGGGGAACCTAGAACCTACCGATCTGGTTGGCCACGACCCATTCGCGAAAGGTGGTTTCTTTGACTCGAGGGGAAGAGAGGTAGGCATTGCGCTCCTTGCGCTCGACGGGATGAGGTTGTACGTCTGCCATGGTGAAATGTGTGGAAATGCAGGTCGAGGATAATTAATATGCCTGAACCATTGGAAACCCCTGAAATCTGGTAAACCTGTGAGACTCGTTCGACCAGCAACGAGTTCAAAAAGACAGTGACAGGAAAGAAATTCGCCTCTTGGGAAAAGAGGAGGGGGGAACGTGGTTGGAGTGGTTTCATCTGTTCAACAAGGACGATCACTCTCCACTTCACCGCCTCGTTAAATGACGATGTCGATGATTGGACGTCTGACCTGCATGAACTGTGAAATACTTTAAATACTAGCTATAATTAATTGTTTAGCTATACAATTGTTCTAGACGTCGAATTGACAACAAAGTGCCATTTCCGGGGATGTTGCAGAGTGTCTTGGCGGGGAATTGGCCAGTCTCCAGTTATTTTGGGGACTTGATGGGCCTTGAATTGGTCTTTAATTGGACTCAATTGGACTGAATAATTGGTTATGCTTGATTCTCATTAGTTGGGGTTAATTAGTGCTCTCGTTTCAGCTAAGACGTTGACGGCTCATTTTGTATTAAAGCCAGAAAGTACTCTATTCTCAACATATACGGTGCAGGCATATACTACATACCCTCCGTCACTCCTCGAACAAACTCATTCGCATTCACCCCCAATTGAGCCAGATCAATTCCTCCCTGTCCAGCCATCGCCCGCGACATAGCCCGCGCAACTTCCTCCTCCTCCCAAATATTGTTGAGAATCTCCCCGTCCCCACCAGGGCCACCAGGGCTCTCCGAAGCCACCATCGTCTGCCAATACAAATCATCCCGATTTTTCAGCGTCTTGTCGCGTACCACCGCATTACGCGTCACGCTACTCGCATGCAGCTTCGTATTAGCCCCCGTCAATGCCTGCACGGCCAGAGTAACCGCGCCATCAATCTGCTCTTCCGACGAAGGAGGCTTGAAGAAAAAAGCGATTCGTCGCGGATAGCCAGATGACTCCCGCGCAGATAACATCGCAGACCACGATCGCCAGCGGCCGCAGTAGCGTGATTTGATTGTAGAGGCTGGTGGGCGGTTTCTGGCCCGCGCGGACGGCGGGCGGGGCGCCGTTGATCGCGTCGTAGCTGGCGAGGATGTAGATGTCGATGGCGGCGAGGGCGAGGCCGGCGAGTGTGAACTTCATGCGCCAGCGGGCGGCATCGCGGCCGGCGATCGGGGCGGAGGTCGCGATGCCTAGGAGTAGGAGGTGGCCTAGGTGCGGGAGGAGGATGTGGAAGGGTAGGTAGTAGAGGAGATAGGTGGTGAGGTCATCGTAGGAGCAGAATTGGCAGGAGACCAGAGCGTCTGGGCCGAAGGTTAGGTAGACTCTTCGGGCGCCGAGAGAGGTCAGCTTGGATTGGAGGAGGGTGTCGGCGTCGGTGAGGAGGCTGGATGGCCGAAGACGGGAGAGACGGTGGAAGATGACATCGGTGGGTGTGTTGAGGCGAGATCGGGTGAGAGAGAAGATGTTGGGCTCTGGGGCGTGGGGGTTGAAGGGGAGACTGAGCAGGAGGAAGAAGACGATGCCGCCGAAGAGGATGTTCAGGGCCCGGCCGGCGGCGGCGGGGAGGGGTCGGGCGGGGGGTCGACTGGCGATAGAGACGCGCAGACTCCGATAGGCGGTGATCAGGCGTGGGAGGAGGACTGGACCGAAGAAGATGAGGAGGGACTTGACGCTATTCGCGGATTAGATATGGGGGAAACTATGCGGAGCTGGTGTACTTACGTCCCCCAGGAGATCGCTATAGCCATATTTGCAGCGAGATTCTCAATCTCTACCTCATTTGGGAGAGGTATAAGTGCAACTCAATGTCGGATGTTGAGTTGGCGAGTGGGAAGTGTGAAGGTGTCCTCGAGCGCTTGATATTCGCGGTGGGTCTTTGTTTGCCGCACTTCGACTCTCCCAGAACTCGTTTGATAATGCAATTGCAGAAAGATGAATTATACTAAATACACTATACTCTATAAATCAGATTGCTCACGAAGGCCTTTTTTCTGATGTCAATATTGTTGATCATATGCAGAGCTTGATACTTTGTCCAGCATCGCGCAATGTATACCTCTTGAGCTCTATCGAGGGCCATATGTCTGCCCAGGGCAGATCCAGAAATTGGTACATCCCGAGGTCTGGAACAAGTGGCTGTCTTGTGGAATGTATATGGATTTCATGCTTGAATACTAATACGGACTCACAGCATGTCCTGCTCTGTTCAGTGGTACCTGTTCCACACTGTTTGTAATGAAGCTCGATTGATTAGAACAAAACATGACTCTCCGTTTTTGATAATAATAAGCTGTCTTAAACACACATCACGAAACCAAATGGATTTTAAATCAGAAAAAAGTAAATGGGAATAACCAGCCCAGCGCCATCGCAAGAACGAAAACCATCCATCCCCCCAAAGACCAGCTCAAACGAGACCAGCTCAAACATACTGGCCAGCGTACACAGGGTGATGCGCCAGGTCAGGAGGACGCACATCACACGAGTCACGAGAATACTTCGAAGAAGCCGCATCATTCTCCGCAATGAGAGTCGGGTCCATGGGTCTAGAGATCTTCAACGGGAACCGGCCCGTGAGACGTCTGGTAGCCCGCTTGACCGGGTTGGGGCGCTCGTACATAGGGAGAGTTTCCTCGCGCTTGACGCTGAGGTGCAGAGTGCGGTGACTGCTCGTGCGACTCATTGCCTTTTGAGGAGCAACAGCGCCATCGATGCGAACTTGGCGGGCACTTACACCGGATGCAGGGTTGGTGAAGATGAAGCTCTGGAAGGATATTAGCACGAAATCAGATTAGAGGAGGTCTCTTGAGGGATGACACTTACAGCTACCGCGTTGAGATTGCTGAGGACCATTGCGAGATAACCGGCTGAGGCGATGATTCGCCAGAAGACCATTCCGATCTTCTCTTGGGTCATGGCGGGGTTGTTCAGATTGGCGAGCGTGGAAATACCCAGGATGGACATGATCGCGGAGAGGGTGTAGAAGCCTGATTTTTGGCCGAACATGGGCCAGTGGCCGTCAAAGTAGCTTTGCAGAATTGGAAGTTCGGAGACGATCAGAAAGACTAGGGCTGTTAGTTTCGGCCATGACACGGCACCTGGAGGGATCTACTTACTACTGATGAGCGCTACCACGGCATGAGTCACAGCTTCAAAGAAGAAGAAACTGTTCAGCATATTGATCTTGACCAGCATGACGACGCACGCTGCAATAAGATCGAGAAAGGCCACAATGTTGAGAACGCGGATGACGTTGAGAATCACGTACCCTGGACCAGCCAGGGACTCGCGCAAACGGGAAATCATGTCGAAAAGAGCAAACGAGAGATGTATGGACGAGAAAAGTGGTCCAGGGGGTTGAAGGGTATTAAAAAGAAGAGAAGAAAGCCTACTGTCCAGCAGAAAAGCTTGTTCTTCTGATGCTAAAGGAACGAGATCAACTCGAGGAAAGAATATAACAAAGGAAATAATGGGATTGACTGAATATAGAAGAGGAAGAAAGGAAGAATGAAGAATGAAGAATGCGCAAAGAATGGCTGTAGCGCTATGTATAGACTTGAAACTCAAAGGGCGAGAGAGCCCTGGAGTTTCAGGACAATGGTCCTAAGCGCATAGATCGTAAATGTGCCGAACTAAGCATAGTTCTCATGCAGCTGGCATTGTTATCTCAACTGGCATTCGATCTGTCCAAAGGATTGGATATCAATAGCTCTGGCCGGTCAACCCTGAAACGAGTCGGGACCCTGGCGGCTAACGCTGTCTTCTCACTGTCTGCGCAACTTTCCCTGCATTCATCTCTCGCTAGCCTGAAGCTTTGGGCTGCAATCATTGATGAGACGAGATCAGACTATCTCGTATAGACTTGGGTCCAAGTTGAAGCAGTGAAGAATGATTCATTGTTCTCTGAGGCGAACAAAAGGAAAGCGAGAGAAGGTATCAAACACAACCAATCATGATTAAATGATAGCCGCTGTAGAAATCCAAGCTGAATTTCATATTGGCACTGGACACACGGAGTATGCAATGAGGTAAAAAAGCCGACGTGTTGCAAGGCGAAAAAGTAGTGTAGTGCAAAGAAAAGCGGATGTGGTTTTGCCCCCCGCGCCGACGACCCCCTCCAACTTTTTTCCCCCTCAACATCTTCTCACCCCCAAAGCACAACATGGCTCGAGGCAACCAGCGCGATAAGGCTAGGGAGAAGAACCTGAAGAAGCAGGGCAATGTGGTATGTGTTTCTTTTCTCCAACCTCCAATCTCCGCCGTTCCCTTGACTGACCCCTATACCCTATACAGAAAAACAAGAACACCCAGACCGGAACCCAATTCGCCAAGTCTCAAGAAGACGCCGCGGCTATCATGCGCGAGAAGCAGAAGAAAGGTGCGTCTCAGTGACACCCTCACTCGATCGCATTATTCTAACAGACTCCCACAGCCGATGAAAAACGAGCCGCCGAGGCAGCAGCGGGTGGGAAGAAATAATACCCTCATCCTCGATACCCCCTTCGATATCGCCATCGCTACATCCCATTATGCAAAGCGCGAGACAAAGGACGATATCAAGGAATTTTGGACCCCCGAGAGACATTTTATCCATGCCCTGTACAGGCCAAGCGAGGCGTTTTGACACTTGGCGTTCATGTTTAGCCGCAGCATGTAGATCGCTAATCGCGAGATACTAAATATCACGGAGGTGTTATTTTGGTTGTAATCATAAATTCGTATACTATACACAACTAACGGCCGTCGTGCGTCCAACATGCCCGCGCCAACCCTAGCCACGTCGACCACTTCGAGTCCGACTGGACCAGGGAGATGTCGCTTGTCTGCCCCGGCGGAATTAAAATGCTCAGTACCGAGTCTCCAAGGCTGAACTGAGTGGCGGCTTGCGCGATGAATGTCCAGAGACTCTCGCCTTCCCATCCGACTCCAAGTGCAAATTGAGTGACCTTCTCAAGCGCAGACAGCTGGGATTGCCGGGTTGAGGAATCCAATATATACACAGCAAAGCTCCATCCGGAGATATCCCGCGGGTGAGCCAGACACCAGTCAATCACACGGTCGATCATCGACGGATCCCAGTATGCGCCCATCTCGACTAGAAGAACAGACACTTGGCGGATGTGACTGAAAGCGTAGTAATTTCTCGGATGTAATTCTCCTGCTCGATGAACGACTTCCAGCTCTGTGCGCAGGATACTCAACAGCTCGCTCGGGGTCCGAGGCACTCGTAGTATATGGCCTAGCAGCCATAGTCGGTGGTGCCATAGTGTTGGCGACTTGGTGTGGCGATGGAGCGGGGAGCACTGGTAGCTGGTCATCAGCGTGAGCTCGGCTTGGAGCAGCTCCTCGGATTCTGTGACCGTTGCTGCGGTGAGTCGACGCTTGCGCCAGTTGCAGGCTGTCAAGTGCTCACAGTCGAAGAGGAGCATGATCTCCGTGATGGCGGGTTGGGAGAAATCATTGGGCGGAAGGTCTCTGAAGAGCTGTCGCGCGACTGTGTATGCGGCGACGAGTGTCTTCTTGCTTATTCCGAGAGCGTTTCCATCATGCAGGAATGAGCCTAGGCTTGATGGAATGATTTCGATCTCGAGGACTTGATTGCCTCTCAATGTGAAGACTTGGGCAAGTTCTTGGTACGCATGTTCTGGATTGGACATTTGATTAAGAGAGTCGATAGTTCTTCAAAGACCAGATCATTTTTCGCTACCATTTGGTGCAGAAGAAGTCGCGATGTGTACTTGTCGATTGTTGTGTGAAGGCGGAAAGGCCAAGTCCGCTGTTATTTCCGTCATTTGACCTTCGACTTTCACGAACTTCACTCTTTATCGCAAATACCATTTCAATCTCAACCGGCTGACCGAGCCAATCTCCTGGCTCCTCTCGAGCTGTCGCTTCCCTTCTCACCCTCCCCAGCACCATGTTATCCCTCGTCCTCACGGTGTTCTTCGTGAACGTCGCAATCTACCTGGTCAACACGATCGGCGCAACCACCATCGACAACCTAGTCCGTATCCCAAACCCGTCCAGCGCATTGCGCGCTCATACCAAACCCTACCGTGATTACACAGACTAACACTTACACAGTTATGGCTCCTATACCTCCGCCTACCGACGCCGACCTCCCGCACAGCCCGCAAGCAACAGCAGCTGAAGCGGGCAGTGCTAGAACAAAAGCGCGAAATGAACAATACCAGCTCGCAAGATGAATTCGCCAAGTGGGCGAAAGCGCGGAGACGCCACGACAAGACCATGGAAGAATACGATGCCCTGAGTACGTCTCATCTTCTACTCGTTCTTCACGGGCAGAGCACCAACGGAACAACCAACTAACATCTGCACAGACAAGGAGCTTACAAGCCAGAAGTCCTCTTTCGACTGGGCTGCCAAAATTCTCCGCTGGCTCAGCACCAACGGACTGAAAATCTTCATCCAGTTCTGGTACTCCAAGACACCAGTGTTCCCACTGCCGATCGGCTGGTTCCCCTACTACGCGGAATGGATTGTCTCGTTCCCTCGTGCGCCACTGGGCTCTGTCAGCGTTCAGGTCTGGAGCAATGTGTGCGCTGCGGCGATTGCGCTTGTGGCGGAGGTTGTGGGCGCTTTGCTTGTGCGGGTCTTGGGGGAGACCAAGAAGCCTGTTAAAGCGGAGGGCAAGGCTCAGTAGATTACAGGGCGTGAGGGATTGATCCTGTATTATATGAGAAATGCTACGATACTGTTATGAATATTGCATTTTAATCATATTGAAAAAGCATTGGCATCGGCATTGGCATTGGGATAAGACAGAAATAAAATTCAAGCAAAGCTATATCAAAGCTATATAATGTTGTGTTCATCAGATAATTTTAAATCGTTTATCGTCAACGCCCCTTGGGACTCTGTGCTTGACTCTATGATTGGTATATCATCACGCGAACAAATGAAAAAAAAGTCCGACCCTTTCGACGGGGCATCTGTCGAGCGAACCCGTACCGCTTTCCATAAGCTACAGACTTTGTAAAAAAGAAAACTGAACTCCTCGCATCAAGAATGAGCCCCATTGAGTTACCCGCAAGACGGGCAATCGCATGACTATCGAACTTGACGAAAGGCAACCCGATCGAACCGAAGTTCTCCCCCTTCCGCAGCACCGCAGTCACCCCATTGTTTCCACGAGTGTCGGGTGGTGCGATGTACGGTTGGGATTGGGCGTGGCCGCTATCGAATTGCTTCTATGGCGGCGCGTTTCCGCAGTGCCTGGCATCTTTTTGCAAAGTGCAGGGTGTCCGGGGACTTTCTCCCAAAGCGAAGGAGAGGCCGAGGCCTCTGTGTGTAAGCTTTGAATGCGATTCTTTGAACGAGGAGTTGAAGAAGGAGGAAGTTGCAGGTGCTGGGTTTTATTTTTTATGTGGAGCTGGTCGGGTCAGGTGATGACTAACCTTGTTGGGAATAGTGCGGTTTGGGGTGGATGTGCATTTTGATGGAGCATTTCAGGTTCTCAGTGGATATTCATTCTGTCCGTCAGTGTTCGTTGTATTTCTCTAGAGCTATACTTGTTGTCTCGGTGTCTTGTGTTTGTTTATTATTCTTCTTCTATAATACGGCAGTTCTTATGTTGTGTCAGTTTGATCTCCGTCAAAGATGATCGTCAAATAAGAATGCATTCAATAAGAGGCTAGATGAAATTACAAACAATTTTTACATGATCCCTAGGCCTTGACCTTCTTAGCAGCCTTCTTGGTAGCCTTGCCCTTCTTAGCAGCAGGCGACTTGGCAGCCGGTGACTCTACCACCTCCTTCTCTTCAGTGTTCTTGCCCTTCTTGGTCTTCTTGGGGGTATCATCGGTAGGGGCAGCCTCAACAGCCTTGGGCTCCTCAACAGCAGGCTCGATGGCCTTGACAAGCTCGGTCTCGCCCTCAATAGCCTTGGTGACGTCCTGAACAGGGACATCGTCGACACTCCTCAGCTGAGGAAGAGGGAGCTCGTAGCCCAGAGCCTTGAGCTTCTTGGCCTTGGCCAGACGCTTCTTCTGCTCGGCCTCGTTGCTCTTGGTCCATTGCTCACGGGTCTTGCCCTTCTCAAGACGCTTCTTCTCAATGCGGTTCCAGGGAGTGACCTTGAAGCGGCGGTTGGCGCCCTTGAAGACCTCGGCGTGGAGCTGCTCCTTGGGAACGAACTTGCACTTGACGATGTGGCCGTACATGAGGTAGTTGTCCATGGTCTCGGCGACAATCTTGGCGACAGTGGTGGAGGAGAACTCAATGAAGGCGTAGTGCTTGGAGCGACCGGTGTGGCGGTTGCGAGAGAGACGGAGACGGGTGATATCACCGAATTGAGAGAAGTAAGCCTTCATCTGGTGCTCGTAGAAACCGTGAGGAATGCGACTGAGGATTGAATGTTAGATATGCACAAACAGCGCTGCAGAATGAAAACTTACCCAATGTAGACGGTACCGGGCTCCTCGGGGGTCCGTTCTTCTTCAGCTCCTTCGCGAGGGCCTTTGCAAGCTTGCGCTCAGCCTTCTTGGTATCGGGGGCCTTGGGGATGGGCTCGCCCTCCTTGTAGCCTTCACCGGAATCGTCCTCGTCATCGCTGCTCTCGAAGCCCTTGATCAGGTTGGCAGTCTGGTCATCCTCGCCCTCGGAACCAGACTCTTCGTCAATGGTCACGGCAGGGACCTCGGCCTCCTCCTCATCTTCAGATTCGACGGGCTCGGTCTTCTTCTCGGTCTTCTTAGCGGCAGCCTTCTTGGGTGCGGCCTTCTTAGCAGCGGGAGAGGCCTTAGTCTCCTCCTTCTTAGACTTCTTAGCAGCAGGCTTCTCGGCAGCCTTCTTCTCGGTCTTCTTGTCAGCCTTCACGGCAGGCGCAGGCTTTTCGGTCTCCTCATCGGTGAGGAAGTCGGCAGCACGCTTGCGAGGCCTCATCTGACGAGTAGACTCAGGCTTGTCCGCCTTGGACTTGGGAGCATCCGCCTTGGGTGCTTCGGTCTTGGCCTCGGCCTTCTTAGTTTTTTTGGCGGGAGAGTCGGCGGCGACAGGCGCAGCTGCAACGGCGTTAGTCACATCAAATCAAATTCCACCAGTCAATTGGTGCATCGCATACCCTTGCGCTTTGAAATTTTCTTATCGGGAGCCATTTCGACGTTCTGTTGTGTAGAAATGGAGTCTGAACGCTGCTCGAGATTATCGGGAAACTTTTTTTTCTCTGATTTGCTTGGAAGGCGGTGAACACCCACTTTATGGATCGCGCCCAGATCTTTATTTACTCCAACCTTCTGTTGCATGTAACGTCTACGGACATGGGGAAGAAAAAGAATGTGTCTATGACACACGAGGAGATTTGGGATGACTCTGCTCTGATGCAGTCCTGGGATGATGCTGTCGAAGAATACCAGGTCAGTTCGGTCTTGCCTCACGTGATCACTATCTAACTTGATGGCAGCAATATCACAGCATTCACGCCAAAGGCGAGAATGTGGAGGAGGTCTTGAAAGCGGCAGAAGAGTCTGGTTCTGTCATCGAGGGCGAAAGCCTTGAACAATCTGTGGACGATCCAGCAGAGGACGATGCCACAAATGTTGAAAGTGAGGATGTCGCCATGGTCATAGACGAAACGACATCTGAGACTGCTGCCCAGGTATGTCATTCGCCTTTTTAATGAGCTACTCGCTAACGCCGGGTAGACGTCTCAGCCTGTATCTACTCCCTCTGCTGAGGTTCCAACCGCCACTCTTCCGATGCCTCTTCCTCTGGTGGCCAATGGTATGTCCTTCATTCAAGTCGTTGAGATTATACACTAACTCTCCCAGTCAAAGATGAAGCCATGAAGAACCTCATGATGTCTTGGTACTACGCGGGGTACTATACCGGACTGCATGAAGGTCAGCAACAGGCGAGCCAGGGCAAGAACCAATGAGCTGCCTATCGCGGTGGCCCAGCACACAGGGCACATGAGGGTTTACAGTTTGCAATATGTTTTTCAGCGAGTTTCCCTTGTTCTTCTACACTTTAATAACGGAGTTTATGAGCTTTCAGATAAATAATAACAACAAATCCTCATGGGTTCGGACCAAGTCTGCTGTCGATCTCAACCGAGAATCGAACAAACGCCAAAGCGTTATGCACGAGCTATAAAGAACCGTGATATCGGTACCTCTTCTCAATCCACAGCCTCATTGGACATTACGCAAAGTTCACCATTCTGGTAACTTAGATACCAGCACCGGCACCACCAAGGAGACCACCGACGATGGGGATCTTGCTCAGCTCATTGGGCTTGGACTGGGGCTTGTGTGTAGGAGTAGCGGTGGGGGTGACAAAGTTTCCAGAGGACAGCTTCGACTTGGTCGAGGCAGTAGGGGTAGGCTTGACGTCGCCATTGGACTCGGCGATCTTGTGGTTGGCCTTGGCGATCGCCGCGTTATCATCCTTCTTCTGTTGCTCCTCCTGCTCTTCCTCCTGCTTCTTCTTCTCTTCCGCGGAGAGCTTTGGCTTTCCGTCGTCCTGGGAAAGGCCAGGAACAAGCTTGGTAGCACCCTGGTTAAACATGTTAGTTTGGCTCAACATAGGCCTGGGGCATTATGTGAAACGCTTACACTCAGAGGGCCGAGGGCACTGTCAAGACCGAGACCGGGAGCTGCATCTTCTCCACGCTTGACGGGCATGGACAGAGCCAGTGCGGCCAAGACGAGGAAGACGGAGAGGAACGAGATGCTGAGACGGGCCATTTTGTATATTGAGCAAGTTATAGATCAAAAGAAGGAATGTATGTTCAAAGAGTGTGTTAACGAGTGAATTTGGTGAGAGAGTGTGAGTAGATGGAAGAACAAGAAGTCGCAAAGGGATCAAAACATCGCGCTACAGGGAGTTATGCGAGGTTTATATCAGCCCCTTCGTTGATGTCAGTCACAAGCGGGAATGGAAACCAAAGGGGGCTGAGGCAAATGACTGATACCATTCAGCTTACACCGGGTGTTGACTCCAGGGGAAAAAACACACAAAACCATGCTTCTATGTAATCTATCTAATGCCGCTGAATGGCTACTTGAGGCGGCGGAATATGGGTTTCTTGTGACATGGTTGGTATGGGCATGACTTTGGTGCAAATCGCATCAAATCATCAGGTCCGTACCAATCAAGGGATAGGCTTTCAGTAAGAAGGATAGATACCTGTTGGCTCAAACTGTGTGCTAGGGACACCGAGCACAGGACATACCAAGCCACCACGTTCTTCATCATGTCCATAGCATGTGGATGCACAAGCCTCAACGCGTGGACTTTGCTATTCAAACGTGTGGGCGTAAACCTGCTTCAACTACTCCGTATGCTGACTGGAAACACATACAACATGCTTTTATTTAGCAGTTGCTCCTTAGGTGGATGCAGGAACAGTAGGTAGTCCGCAGGGATACCAAGCAGACAGGCCCTGACTGGTTGACATGTATTCCGTGGGTAGGAAGGGGTTTGCAGATCTCCAGTCAACATTCCAAACGGAAATTTCGGCAGTGCTTGTCTTGATTTAGGCGTGTCTACTCCGTACATCGTGCAGAGTTCAACCCGACCAACTTGGTCAATCAAAAGCAGGCGTTACATGTACGAGGAATGTATCTCCCTACTTTGACACGCACATCTCCATGGAGGGAGTGGACGCAACACGTGGGAGTCTTCAGAAGGACTTGTCCAACTGTAAGGCTTTAGTTTGGGCAACTTTTTGACCTCGAGCATCATCAATATGACAAACAAGACTTCGAAGTTGCCAAGATCTACGTCTAGCTAGGTTAGCATGACAAAAGTCCATCCTGTCTAGAGGATATGATCATATCCAGATGGCACGCGACGCCTGGATGAAACCCAACATTAAAGGTTCAGTAGCCATGACTGCTGCAAGTGCCATCTGATCCAATCAGAAAATGTCTTTGAAAAACAAAAGCTGAAAAGCAAAGGGATGTTGGCTCAAAAGCGAACCCGTTCCCCTCTGGCTGAATGTCAGGGGGCGGGATTAGAACGAGCATTCTTCGGTCTGGGTCCCAAAGCTAAAATATGTAGATGGAGTGAGAATTTTCCATCGACAAGAGTGTGTTGGGGACCGTGAATATGTTTTGAAGTGAAGAAGAAAAGGAAAGGAGAAAGTGTCGCGCAAACTTTTATTCACCCGCCTAGCGCTGGTTATGTCAGCAGATCACGTGTTGTCTCAACTCGTTCGATGGGCCTCTTCCTTTCCCACCATCCTACTCTCTAATAAACCAGTTTTTGTGAATTTGTGATATTACTGGACATATTTCGAGGGTTTTGCTTGTATACTGGTTTCGTTAAGCTAGGTGGTTGTCATTGCCGATGCCGGGGCTCCAAGGAGCCTCGAACTCCAGGCGTCGTCTGTTGATCCACATCTGCCCAGGTGGATCTTCAGAATGGGCAGACGACAATACTTGGCTCAATATACTACAGGCAGGCACTCGAAACCTGACCAGTACAAGAACCCATTGATTTTGATGATAGACAGTTCAACCTCTTCAGACTTGCCGCTGTGTCTTTCATGTCGGGGCGGAGTGTAACCAAAAATATGATGATAGCATCCTCAATCTTCCTGTTTGGCAGGTATCGCTCGATTTTCCAAGGTTGGAGGCCGTCGGTAAATTTTGGAAAGGGTCAGCAACCTTGGAAGTTACAAAGCTATTACCCTGATGCCCAAGTGGAACAAAGTTGTACGGTCTAAGAGAAAGATTCTCATTCTTCCAACATACAGATCAGGATATATATGTTGTGAACTTCGCCTCATGACCTCGAGAATTTCCATTTTTCTCAAAAGATATGGAGCTCAGGTGCTCTAATTGAGTTCATGGAGCTCTGGAGGTATCTGAACTCCGTTTGGGACTAACTATGTTCATTCTCACAAACTGCAAGCTATTCATTCGAGCCGGAATGACGCAAGATTATGCCACTCACGCTACGGGTGGTGTTATCATGAAAAAGCGCTTGAGCCTATATTTGTCTATAATCCAAAGATATGGCAGCAGCTGCATGTTTTATTTTTGCTCGCGTTGCAAGGTTATGTTATTCTATAACCCTCACTCCATAAGCATCGACCGTTGTGTTGACTAGGTAATTTTGATCGCATTTTATGCTTACGATGGCTTGGCTTGTTTACGGTAGCATCACCTTGCTGACAAGTATTATATGGGTGAGTTAAAGATCATGCCCAAGTAGCTGAGCAGCTTTTGACCTCCTACTAATGACACTCCAAGCTCGTCTATGTATATTTTTTCTCTCCACTGTCTCATATTCCCAATGCTGGTCTATTTGCGCCAATTTCCCGGCTGCTGTGGGAATTTCCAATGGACTATCGTGGAAAATTAACACTCGAGCTACCAAAACTACACAAGAAACTTGGTAAGTGTTGTGTCAATCTTGGTTCATCGAGTGATGAGCCATGGTTTCTACTCGTTCGAACCACGCGAGGTCTGACGACATCCAAGGACCTTTGATCCGAATTGGGCCCAATGAACTTTCATTTTACTCTCTTGATATTTACAAGAAAGTGCATGCACCCGGGAGCACATTTGTGAAGGACCCCCGAGTCTACAGCCAATTTGTACAAGATGGGCACCCGGCGCTCTTTTCAATTACGTGAGTATTCTTAAATTCTTCTTTTGAAACACTAAAGTACTAAAATGAATGGAAAGGGATTCCAAAAGTCATGCACAACGCCGCCGCCACATGGGCGTTCTTTTCAACCGCAGTAGAGTACCGCTACTCACCAAAATGATGTTGGAAGAGATATCCAATTTTGAAAAGCTACTTGCCAAGTTGAGTAAGGGTGCAGTTAACTTGGTACCTACTTGCCGCGCTCTTGAAGCAGACATTGTGTGTGAGTTGCAAACCATTCGATCGAGTTTCTTGTTCTGATGACCTGAGAAGCAAGATTCGCTTTTGGGAATTCAATCGGGGCAATTGACTCGTTGATCAATGGAGAGGAGTTGAGGGTTGTCAAGGAAAATGATCTGAAATCATCCGAAATGCCACTGGTGCGCCTAATGCCCGATGATCTAGATTGATGTTCCTTACTTACAGGAATTCTAGCACGCGCACCTCCCTTCCATGATGGCGGCATATGGCCGTATCACCACCTTTGTCTCTTCACTTATTGGCTGGCGATCTTCCTCATCGCTCAGCACTCAACAATTTGAGAGGGTGCGTATTAAACGATTTGATTTAGATTGTTTTGTTTTGCTCTTTGTTCTTAACATTTCAATAGTGGGCAAATGAGCAGCTCCTAGTTGCCAGTGATTCCGAAAAAGGTCCAGAGCTCAGTTTCCTCAAAGTCATGACCGGTAGAATCTCGCCCCAGTCTGCCTTGTCAGAGGCCAAGGAGATGCTGGGTCCCGGGACTGACACCACATCCGCTACCCTTGCTCATATACTTTGGGCACTTTCCTTCGATCAAACCCTACAAGAGAGTCTTGTTTCGGACTTGCGGGCATCTGGTTGGACAACGGATATGACGGAACTCGATACAATCCCCAGGCTGGTCGCTTGTGTGAAAGAAGGTATCAGATGGACGGGAGCAGCGTCGGCTATGCTTCCCAGAATTGTACCGGCTGAAGGTGCTTTGTTGTCCGAGAAGCTTATTCCTGGTGGTGTAGGTCTCTCGTCTACCCGCTCTAATATTGACTAGGCTCACATATCATAGACCATGGTCTCCAGCTCACCAATCTGGTATCTCCACGAAGAGAGCGCTTTCCCGGAACCTGAAAAGTACCGACCAGGCCGATGGCTTGAATGCAGCAAAATGGAAGCTGTTGCCTTGCGCAATGACTATTATATTCCTTTTTCAAAAGGTGCAAGCACCTGCATCGGCAATCAGTAAGTGGGAATCGATGTTGTCAATTCGGGTTCCAAGGTTCTTGATTGCTTACCATTAGTTCCCCAGCTTTGCATATTTGGAACTATATCTTTCCCTTTCCCAAACACTGAAACGATATATTATCAGGCCAGCACACCAATCTACTGTTGGCCACGACACCGAGGCAACTTTACCACCCCGTCGGGAATGGGTAGCCGCTGTTCCGATCGAGAGTCTGGAGGTTCATCTATCACAACGAGGTTCATGAACAAATTTATGCACACATTGAGCAAATCTTTCATCGGAATTTACTCAGAATCAAGCATGGACGGAGGACCCGAGATAAAGATCACCAAGATCAAAAGTACCAAGGATTCCGACCAATGTCCTTGCTCAGTTTCTCAAAGTCACAACCGGTACGGAGTAGAATCTCGCCTGAATCTGCATTAGCGCTCGTATTATCGCAGTTGAATAAAATGATCGATCAAACACGCTACGGCACGGAAGAATTGTGTTTCTCAGGGTATGTACATATATGTACGTGATGACCCTGTCCAGAACACCAACCCCCTTTTCCCAAATTACCAAAATGGCTTCAGTGTCGCCTCCGGCCACGCCTGCATCTCCACCTAGACCACAATTGGAAGATTATACCTTTGTATGCCACGGATGCAACATCATGCTGCGAGGTTTTACTCAAGAGCTTGAGAAAATCGAATACGTTGGACCGGGCCATTGTTCGGGGTGTGAATTCCGCACCGAAGATGGATATCTTGTACGTGGACTCCGGACCTTGTGAGTTTGACGGGGTAAGCTCATAAAAGATGACTATAGATGAATGCAGAAATAAAGAAGGACTGGCGGAGTACCGCCAGTGGATGAAGAAGGAAATGTTCTGGGATTTTAGCCAGAGAGCAGCGGCATCGCGACGGCGGCAGCGAGAAATTGATTATTTGCGTTGAGAGGAATGTGATATTGAATGTTCATGAAATGATTTGGGGCTGGTGGTTAAGAAATACGGAGTACGGAGTACTTACGGAGGACTTGGGGTAGAAACCTTGGAATCATCAACTGCAAAAGAATTTAGAAGTTCGAACATCATTCGGAGTATAACTAAAGTTAGTACGAATCCACAGATGCAGCATCACCTACTATTCTCTTTTACGTCTGAACTTGTCTCTCACCTACTTATCCTCCCACTGACGAATGAAGACCACCGCATGCAGCTTAGCTACTTGCCCCCGTCCAGTGTCTACCAATCCCAAGCTAATGTACTGCATCTCCGAACCTCTTCAGACAGGGCCAGCACCGTTTCATACAACTTCTCTGCCTCAGCATGTTTCCCAGCGATACGCAAGCACAAGTACTGGACGAGAGACTCCTTATGCTTGAGACGTGCTTCGTACATTGCCAGATGTCTTTCGGGGTAAGATCCGACAATGCGAGTCATGTCATACTCATGATTTTCAAGGAGTTTTCTCTCCAGCCACGCTGTTTAGTTAGTGTTAGCATTGGGTTTTTGAAAGGGGAGGGGGATCTTCCAAGGTTACTTACATGCACATCTTCGAAGTGCGAACTCATGCTCGACTGCTCGCCTGATATCGTCAACTAGAATCTCTTTTTCTTTTGGGCGCTGGTACATTTCCATCTGTGATCTAGACCACCCATTATATGTATCTTGTTCCAGGCCAATCAGGAACAGCCATTCTTGCTTTGGGTCGGAAATTGTGAATATCGAGGTTCTGCTTGTTGCTCTTGGTTGGTAGAGTGGTGGTTGTATGAGACCTGATTCTGGATTGCCATGGGGCTTATATATTGTATTTTGGCTCTGAGGTTCTATTCTGGTCCTATCAATGCTATTGTTTGCTTTCTTCATGGAGAGGGGGGTTCTTTGAAGAAGCTCGAGAAACATCTGAGTCTTGTCACAATCCTCTTATCCTATTTCCGTGTTCTTTGGACGTTGCCGAATTTGCCGAGGTTTTCTTTATTAGCGGCAGCCACAGATCAAAGAGCAAAAAGAAAAGAGACCAGAGAAACATTGAGACAACTTCAGTGAGTTATTTTTTTTTTCTTGCAAACAGCGAAAAAAAAGGGGATGTGCACACCTCAGGCAACCACGCCGATCCCGCGTGCTCCGGAAATGTGAAATCGACGAACCTCATCCGAGAAGTGACGCGAGGGGGAATAAACCAAAATGCCCCGCAAAGTACAAAGATCCCTCATTCAAGTCATAGCATTCCTCACCATTCTATGCATCATCATCTATCTCAACCGGCCCCAGGAAACCACCAAAACTTTCTCCTGGGCCCGCATCCGCTACAAGACATCTTCAACCATCATCCCTGAAGCCCGCGGCGTTTGTCCAGGCCTAGCAGGATCAACTAAGCCCGCGCTAATCGTCTCCCGCGTCGCCGCGGATGGCGATGCATCCTGGATCGAGCCCCTAGCGGCTCACTACCATCTCTGCGTCTATAATGTCGACGCCCCAGCAGACAAGTCCTCCAAGGTCCTCCAAGTCCCTGCAAACAGAGGCCACGAGGCAATGGCATATCTAACCTTCATCATCGATAACTATGCCGATATCCCAGCGTCAGGTGCGGTCTTTGTCCACGGCACGCGTTTCGCCTGGCATAACGATAGCCCCGATTATGATAATGCCAGGCTATTGCGCGCGCTCGATGTCAAACGCGCCCTCCAGCCGAAGGGCTATCATAACCTGCGCTGTGACTGGAGTGCCGGTACGTGTCCTGCCTCTGTTCCTGCGCAGGGTAGTCTTGAAATGAGACTATCGTCGACGGTTTCGCCGTGGAGTGCGCGTGCAGCTTCTGATTTGGCGCTTCCGGTTGCGCTGCGTCATATTTTCGGTGACGGGGTTGGTGACGAGGTCGTTCGGCTTGGTAGGAATGATGCCGTGCGCGCGCAGTGCTGTGCTCAGTTTGTTGTTGCGCAGGATCGCGTTTGGCAGCATTCGAGGGAGGAGTGGATTGCACTGCGGCAGTGGTTGCTTGATGGGAGTGATGATGGGGTTGCGAGGAATCCGCAGAGTGGTTCGAAGGCTGCGCCTGGTGATGATTTGGTGGCTGGGCGGATCTTGTCTTATGTTTGGCATATTTTGTTTGCGCGGCGGGAAGGGGATGGGATTGATCTTCAGGAGTTGAATCGGGAATCTTGTCCGAGTGCGGAGGAGTGCTACTGTCGGCTGTATGGGAGGTGTACTTTGACTTGCAAGACACCGGGCAGTTGTAAAGGACAGTATGCGATTCCGAAGTATTACAAGCTTCCTGCGGATTGGGAGAAGACGCATCCATGATTGAAAATGGTCATTTGAAATACATAATTAATATTGGGCATATAGACTGGACGGCATAGATCAAAAAAAAGAAAGGAAAATTTACAGACATGGGATACTGTCATTCGCCATATGTACAAATCTATGAAGCAGTTACTGCCCTCTAGAATCTGGCGAGGACCCGCTCCTCCGTGTCGGCCAGCGCATACGCAACGCTGTGGCTCTTGCTGACCACAGACTTGGCCTGTTCGGCTGTGAAGCCCTTGGCTTCCACGGCAGGGTTGTAGCCCAAACCATTGATCTTCGCAACGACGTCAGAAGGCACAGCAGCAGAAACCTTTCCATCAGCACGCTTGTAGACAGTGACCACAACAGCGCCGCCGAGACCAAGGTTGTGCTGCAACGCCGAGGAAGTACCATCGATCAGACGGTTGTTAGCCCAACCACGCAGGTGCCAGACCAGCTCGGCACACTGGGCAATACCCGTCGCACCCAGGGGGTGGCCCTTGGAAATCAGACCACCAGACGGGTTAATAACCATCTTACCACCGTAGGTAATATCCCCCCGACGAACCATTTCATGAGCCTTACCAGGCTCACTCAGCTCCAGTGCATCGATCGTGATCATCTCGTTAGCTGAGAAGCAGTCATGCAGCTCGCAGACCTTGATATCCTTAACATTGACACCGGCCTCTGCGATCGCGGTCCGGCATGCCTTGCGCGTCATACCGAAGCCCATCAGATCAATTGAGCTTTGGCTGTAGACCGTGTCAATGTCGCTGGCAATAGTTTGACCTGCGATGAGAATGGCATTTTCTTTCAAGTGAGGTCGGGCATCTAGGAACTCCTGCGACACTACCACGGCCGCGGCACCGCCGTCTGAGGTCGGGCAGCATTGGAGCTTGGTCAGGGGCTCATGGATCATGGGTGCTTTCATGATTTGCTCGTGGGTGTATTCGGTCTGGAACTGCGAGTAGGGGTTGCGCTTTGAGTGCTCGTGGTTCACGCGCGCGATTTCCGCGAAGTCTTCGTTCTTGGCTCCGTACCTGATAGGTGAATGTTAGGTGGGATTCTTCCATTGAATAAAACCTCTTTTTTTTAATGACCGGATGTCACTCACTTCTCCTTGTATTCCACACCAGCGTTGCCAAACATCTGTGCAGCTCCAGGGGCATTGGTCACACCACGGGTTTCGGCCATCATCGTGCTGAACAGTCTGATAGGGCCCTCGCGGTCGTTGTACACAGATTGCAAGCTACCAGGGCTCATCTTTTCAAAACCGACAACCAGGACACAGTCCGCAGCACCGTGTGAGACCATCTGGCGGGCCATGGCGAGGCCCGTCGAGCCCGTCGAGCAGTTGTTGTTGACATTGTAGATAGGGATACCGGTTTGACCGAATTGATAAAAGACACGCTGGCCACAGGTACTGTCACCATAGACGTAGCATGCGACACCCTGATCAACGTCGTCGTAGTTGATCTTGGCGTCGAGCATGGCTTTGATACCAGCTTCATAGCCTAGCTCGGTGTAGTCGACCTTACCGCGTGGCTTGATGAACTTGGTCATGCCTACGCCTAGGACGTAGGCGGGACTCGCTTGTCTTTTGCCCATGGTGAATTTGTGAAATTTTTGTGTGTTTGTGGGAGAATTAAAGAAGAGAACAAGTAAGCGACTTGTGAGATTGGGGGCGAATATATGGACTTGAGGGGAGTTGTGAAACTGCGGAGAACGGCCGAGGTCCCGAGGGATCCCCGCTTGCATAACTTCATAACTTCCCACTTCTGCCGATCTTCGAAGGAACTCACGGCTTGAATATTTCTTGTGGAATTTTGAACCTTGGAACCTTTTAGTACTTGATCATTACCCGAGGTGCTGGCTGCTTGTCAGTAGGCATCGAGACCTTTGCCATCTTATGCATATTAGCGCGTGCCGATCATGCATTATTCGAGCAAAGTCTCAAAAGTGGTCTGCTTTACTAAAGTCCCAACTCTCCCAGGCGTGTCTTCTTGTATTCCTTAAGAGGAGACTGAGAAGCAGCTGCAGTCTCCCGCTTGGAATAATGTAGCATGTGAACCAGAGCCTTGCCTGGTCTGGTGGCTGTATGGCTGCATGGCTGCAGCGGCTGCAGCGGATACATGCGTGCTCTTCGTACTCCGACCAGCGGTTTTGATGTTTGCATGTCGAGTTCCTCAGTTATTTTACCTTGATTTGGACCGTTGGTCACACATCGTCATCCCTGTCCTTACCCGGAGCAGTGTCTTCCAAGGTTATGGCTTTCCAAGGTTCGAATTGTGGTATGATCTGCTCGGTAGGCTTCATGTGCTCATGGGCTTCATAGTATGTATTACAAGGCTGTGAATATGATGCGATACTTCGAGACTGCTCAATTAAACTACAGTTTAGCCCCATAGTGATCTTGGAAGATTATTGTCGAAAGGTTAGGGATTTAGATATAGATTCAATACCTCCCAAGTACAGTCGCTGGTCCTTATATTGTTCTTTTATAGTTTTCCTCTAATTCTGAGGATATTTAAGTATACTGCTATGCTATTCCAGTATTTATTCAGTGTGGAATAGGTATGAGTGATGTACTCCGTACGGAGTAATGGATGTGGATTCTGCTTCAAGTCCCACCTGTAAGTGTATATAGGAAGAATATACCATTCAGCTGATAACATGCTAGAATATCAAATAAACCAGAGAATAGACATATTCTGTTAGCCTTGTAAGTCAAATAGCGAAGTAGTCAAGTAGTCAAGTAGTCCAAAGTGAAGAAGAGCTCTGTTCGGTTCACGACGTCACCTATTTTCACACTAACCGCATTAAGCCGAAGCCCGGTCCACATGCCATTTGGAAGTTGCTACTTCTCTCCTTCCAACTTCACTTGTGACTATGCTTGGCTTGGTCTTCTGCGTGAGTTTCTTGATCCTCATCTCTTCCTTCATGGCTCGGCCAGAAAAGAGTTGGGAGAGTACCCCTGCCAGTACGGAGTACCGAGCTAACAGACGTCTCACAGCTCCATCGCTACCAGTGAACCATTGCTGCGGAAGACAGCCTTGGGACAAGAAAATACATCATTCGACCGTGCAGAATAGACGGCATTGGCCACATATTGCTGGAATCGCTAGAATCGCTCGACTCCCCGCTGAGATACAAGGTCCCGCTTGGAAAACGCGGGGTTAACCTATTACCGGGGCTCACTTGCTTCGGCCACTAGGATCGACCTGATTTCACGAACGCCAATACGGATCTCAACGCCAATCTCGATCTCGTGAGGGTCAACCGGGGCTATCTAAAACACACTGGAGAGAACACTGGGTTGGTCGGGCCCATTTAATGGACAATTGTGGGACGCCGAACGATCTACTCGGGTTCTGAGAGATCGCTTTGCGTTCCATCGGGTTCCCCAGCCTGCCAGTACACACGTCTAACCAGATAACAGTCTGGGAGGACTTGAACATCCAACCCTAGCGTCTCTCCCATCGCAGATGGGGAACGTTCAGGTATGACTATTGATAAACATTCTGAACATGCCCCATTTCCCTCGTCGACTTCAACAAGATCCAATAGTATGCCGGAACGAGCTTGGAATATGGATGAGTCCACGCGCAACCGACTCCTCAAAAAGTACAAAACGCAGGTGGCTTCGGCGACGTCGACCGTTTGCGCAACCCTCTCGGTGGTGAGTGCGCAATTTCACAAGCTGGAAAATGTCTTGTTGGAATGCAGCAAGCTGATGTCTTTAAACCTGCTCACTAGACCCCTTTGGAGAACGTGAAAACTCGAATGCAGACGTAAGCATTCCCCTTGGCTCAAGCAACGGGAGGAGTGCGCTGATTGATATCAAAGACACAACTTCAAAAATGTTTGGCAATGTGTTCGCTACCTCTGGCGTACTGAAGGCCCCCGCGGCTATGTAGCCGGTGAGTGGATCTCCCCACTGGTCTCCCCAGTGGGAGTGTCGGGCTATGAACTGATCAGTTAGGCGCACTTCCACCTTTGGCAAGTGTCACGGCGGTCCGAGTCGTCAACTTTACCACCTACAATGCCTTCAAGGAACTCATCTCAGATAACGTTGAGCGTGCCACAGGGTTTAACCCCCTGGCAGATTATCAACGGACTGGGAGCATGCCTACCATGTCAGGAGTACTGACTTTCACTGCCGCAGGCATGATCGCTGGCTTGGTCTCCTCGCCTCTTGCCTGTGAGTTGGAGAGCCTGGCACAAGGAAAATCTCGACGGTGCTAACAGGAGCACAGGCCCCTTTGAATTGGCAAAGAACGTCGTGCAGACTTCCGTCTTGGTATCAAACCGTGCAATGGCTGCTCCAGATGCCGCGCGGGACCCTTCTCTGCGACACAAACCACGCTTGGGCACTATAGAGGCAATTAGGCAAATCGTGAAGCGACACGGAGTCCGAGGCTTATACACCGGGTTCCGCTTACATGCGATGCGTGACACACTGGGGACCGGTGTGTATTTCAGTGTTTACGAGACCGCCAAACAGGTGGCAGCGAAAGAGCTGGGTGGAGATACGACCCCCTTTGGAGCTCCCATGATTGCTGGCGCGATTTGCAGCACTGTCCCCTGGTTCTGCGTATGTGATCCCCACTCCACGCCCTTCATTTTACATAACCAGTGGCTCACCTCGACCGCAGACCTATCCCCTTGACACTCGCAAGACTCGGGCCCAGAGCGTGCTGCTTGGCAAGACGAGTGAGATCGGCCAGGCCTCGAAAGCCGTCGCCAAATCCAGCACGTACAAGGGTCTCTCCATCATTCTACTCCGAACGGGCGTCAACAACATGATCCTGCTCAGCATATTTGAATATATTAAGATGCGTATTGACGAGCTGCCGAATTAGCGCCGTGAGATGGCGTCTGAACATCTTGTCGCATCTGTCTCCTTCTAGGTAATTTCACATTTATCATCCCGTACATACAGGTGTGAGCCCAAAGCTCAGCAAATATCAGAATGGAGTTCACTTTCTCTGTACTCGTGTAGTGTTCGTGTATAGTTCATAAAGAGCAAAAACGTAGACGTTGCTGCCTGAGGCTTGTCTGGACGTCATGCCGTTGCCCAGCGGAGTGGGGGGAGCAACTTCTCGTCAAAACAAACGAAAGTCTTCCGCATCCCCGCCTCAAGCGACAATGGCGTCGTGAGTGTTCCCTGGAAAAAAGAGCCCGCCCGAGTGTTCATCAGGCTTATATGCTAACTGGTCCATGACAGCAATATCCTCCAGCTCCCGTTCCGGCGCTCCCACGCTGTCTCGCTGTCCGATGCCATTACCCAGTATATCTCCTCGAAATATGACCAGCGCCCGGATATGTTCGCCGATGATCTGATGATCATTGATCGTCTGAGGTCCGAGGCTGTAAATGTCCAAGAACCGCATTACAGCGGTATCACGCGCCTCGTTACCTATGCAGCACAGTTGAAATGGCTGGGTGGAAAGTTCCCGATCGATGTGCGCAATCCCTCGTTCCTGACTTGAGGTTTCCTGTAATTCGCTGCTGATTGGTGTGTTCAGGTTGGTGTGGACTTTTCATGGTATCCTGCCTTTGGATTCAACGCTTCGCGACCCAGTAAGTCGTTCCTCGGAGCGAGACTTTCTTGCTTGAGCTTTTGCGATGCTCATGAACAAGCGACTAACACGCATGAATTTCGTCTCTAGTCTCCCAAAACAACCTACGATTTGAATTGGCGAATGTCATATTCAACCTCGCCGCTCTATACTCCCAGCTTGCGTACGCGGCCAACCTGACGACCGCCGACGGACTGAAGCAGGCCTGCAACCATCTCTGCTCGGCTGCTGGAGTATTGAACCACCTTCGAACCGATATTATTCCGGATTTGCGCGCTTCACCACCAGAGGACATGGACGAAATGACACTGCAGAGCTTGGAGCTGCTGCTGCTTGCGCAGGGTCAGGAATGTTTCTGGCAGAAGGCCGTCAAGGACGGATTGAAGGACGTGTCCATCGCAAAGCTGGCAGCCAAGGTATCTGATTTCTACGGGGATGCGGGTGACTTGGCTGTCAAGTCGAATGCGATCAGCACAGATTGGATCCATCATATGACTGCAAAGCATCACCACTTCGCAGCAGCCGCGCAGTTCCGACAATCGCTCGATTGTTTGGAGAAGCGCAAGTACGGCGAGGAAGTCGCGCGACTGCGTGATAGCTTGCTCTGTGTCAGCGAAGGTTTGAAAGAGCAGCGATGGATCAACCGGACTGTCCTCGGCGACTTGAACGGACTGAAGACTCGGGTCGCGGAGGATTTGAAGCGCGCCGAGAAGGACAACGATGTGATCTATCTGAGTCCTGTGCCGCCAAAGTCCGAGCTCAAGACGATCGAGCGTGCGAGCATGGTGCTTGCAAAAGCGCCTTCGCAGGTCACTGATGCTGTTTCTATGCTCGGAGATAATGGCCCATTGGGACAGCCGTTGTTTTCGAAGTTGGTGCCGTATGCTGTTCACATTGCTGCCAGCATTTACACGGACCGCCGCGACCGAATGGTCAATGAAAGTTTGATTGGAGAATTGGAATCGATGTCCGACAAGCTACGAGAGTATGTCTTTGAAAACTTTTGTTCCCACATGAAACCCAGCTAATACCGCGCAGTTTACTTTCCTCGTTGAACTTGCCTGGATCGCTGCAAGCACTCGAGAAGCCACTGGGTCTTCCGCCAACGCTTGTCTCACATGCCGAAGAAATGCGACAGCAAGATGGCCTCAACAGGTTACACCGGTCTATTGAAGACACCGCCAAGGTCAAATCCAATGACCTGGCAGTCTATAACGAGGGCGTTGAGCTCCTCGCCGCCGAAAAGGCCGAGGACATTGCCGCCCGCAATAAGTACGGCACCGATCGCTGGACCCGCGGGACCTCGGAATCAGCTGCGCCCAAGATCTACAAGACCTTGAATGAGATCAGCGGCTATTTCACCTCTGCCCAGAGTAGTGATGATCTTGTGCAGCGCAAGCTGCGGGATTCACGCTCAGTCTTCCTCGTCCTTACGGGTACGAATCGGGACTTGGAATCCTATGTGCCTAGTAGCCGCAGGGCTGCTATTCCCGTCGAGTTGGAACGGGAGTCAAATAGACTGCGTGGCTGTTTGAGTGAAGTCACGCGGATGGAGAATCGCCGCCGCCGACGCATTCAGACCTTGAAGGATAAGGCTCGTGGGGATGATATTCGTATGTCTGCTTCTTCAAATCACTGACTACGTGCTGACACATTTTACAGACCCTGCGCTTCTCAGAGAGACGGCTCGACTGGAACGGGAGTTCCCGATGCAGCCTATTCAGGCGAGCCAGTTCGAGGATTTGTTTCAAGAGGAGCTCAAACTCTATGATACTGACCGTGAAATGCTGGCACAAGAACGAAGGGACCAAGATCATCTCTCAGAGCAGGTTCGCGAGGCGAACCGCGCCTTTACTGGTGCACACAAGGGTGATGCTTCTACGAAGGAACGGGAAACCGCTTTACAGGATCTTGAAAATGGATACTTGAAGTACAAAGAGATCATCTCCAACATCGATGTTGGACGGAAGTTCTACAACGATCTTGCAAAAATAGTCGGTCGCTTCCGCGATGATGGGAAGGCATTCGTCCACCAACGTCGGATGGAAGCAAGCCAGCTGGAAACGTATGTTCCGAAAAGACCAATCAAGAAGTTTACAACCGTTCTAACACCATCTCGCAGAGACATCTCCAATGCCACGGCCATGTCCTCACTGCACATCACCCAACCTCACCTCCGCCCACAACCCCAGCAACCAGCGCCGCGCGCACACCCCTCCCCTTACTCGTCCACTCCCTCTCAGCCACCCACACAACCGCCTCCCCCTCTCACGGCACCGCAGCCAGTCCGCGCACCCGTAGTCCCGCCCCCGGTGTCTCCCCCGGGCGGAATGCCTGGAATGTGGTCCCCCGAAATGGGCATCCGCTTCGGCTCCGCTGGGATTCCCCCCGGTGCTGCACCCGCACCCGCTCCCGCACCCGCGCCAGCGCCAGCTCCGAGCCATCCCACCCGGCCTACTCAACAGACCTGGGATCCTAGCCAGGGACTGCGTTTCTCCTAATTCCAGGTTCTAGCGCAACATTTGATTTTTCTCGTAAATACTTAGGAGTTTGGATGTTGTACTTATGTGCATGATATACGAAGCGCAATAGATATTCTGAGCATTGCGACAAACGCCCGGGCATACTTGCTCGAAGGTGAACCTTCGTTGTTTGAAGTGGTCAACCTGTACTCCGTACCTAAACCTGGGCACATGTAACAAGAAAAAGGGCTCTAAATGAGGAACAAATCAACCAGGGGGTCCATTAAAAAACGTAACCATGTCCAGCTGTCTGGTGAAGTCCACGGGTGGACCTTCCGAGGTTTTTCTAAGCCCTGGAGGTTGGATGACGGTTTGGGCCAAGGGGGAGGCACTCCTGCGAAAATGCACAAAGTTCCGAGGTCTCAATCAATCCATTGATCGCCCGATCTACATCTGATGAAAACATACTTTCAATCAAGGTATATTCAAGAAATATGCATATCTGCCAATGCTCTCGATATCGTCTCGCGCACATATTTACGCTGTAACAGCCTTTCGCTGGCAGACCCTTGATTTTCTACTTCGGATCGAAGCAATTTCCATGGCGCCATACAATGGTAACCATTATCAACAGTGCCATTGACCATTTTCTCGAAGATCGCCGACATGCCCTCGACAGTGTGGAGCCTATAAACTTGTCGAATTCTTTTGCCAATCTCCTTCTGTCTTGCAAAGTCCAAGATGCGAGCAGCGAGCGCGCCACCAATCATTGTTGCAAACGAAGTTCCTGACAGTGACTGGTTTATATCTTGCGCGAGCCGAATTCCTTCACCAAGAATAGCAAAACTGTGTCTTGCTCTTGAAGATGGCGTTGGATTGAAATGGGGAAGGGCGCGGACGTTTGGATCCGTGGAGAACATGCAAAATAGCCTCAGGTGAGCATAAAGACGGCCCGGGAACGCGATATGCTCAATGTTGCCAAAGTTCGAGGCTGCTGCAAAGACCAGGACATGGGCATTCCGGGCTTCGTCAACAGCTCGCTCCAACTCGATATTTTCCGAGCTAAATCCCGATGGCATGATTATGATGTCGGCTTTCCACATTTGAATCGCGTGGTGGATTGCTTCTGCCATGAGGACAGGGGTTCTGCTCGTTGCTTGTGAGTTGTTGAACACCCTGGCAACAAATATTCTAGCCTGTTTGTATACCCTTTTGGTTAAGAATACGGCATTTGTTCCGTGGTTTGTGTTGTCGGCACATTCCAGGTTACTTGGGTCCTCAAAGTCTTTGAAATCCTCGACAAAGCTTCTACAATCATAACGAACACCGGTATCAAGAATAGCGATTCGTACAGGCGTATATGTGTCGTCCACATCCGTCTGCTTCGGTCGAAGGAAGAAGCTCAGATCATCTAACTTTGCGAACCAATCATCGGAGGTCACAGGTGAACTGGTTTTTTGTTCAGACGGAGATTATGATTGAGAATTTGGTAGCTTACCTAGCCGACATTGTACCATCAAGCAATATGCGGGTTGGAGATGTGGTATCGAATCTAGCATTGTTAACTTCGTAGTTCGGTTCGCTGCGCCACCGTCTGGTCCCAGTCCTGCCAGCTCAACGAAACATACCCAAGATAATCATGCGGCTTGGATGAACACTCAAGGAAACGATGCTCTGGTGATTCAGGCTTTAACTGCGGAGATACGGACAGAACTGGCGATGACACCGGGCGAGGCTGACTTTCATCGGTCCTGAGAAGAGAGATGGCAGAATGATTGAATCGTGCTGGGCGAATTAGAGAAGTCTCTGGATCACCCCAGGTAGGCATATAAAGCGCATGAAGTGAATTCACAATATTCTTCTTCAGGGCATCTCGGAGGCCTTTTTCGTCATTGAGTAATGGATTGAACCGGTCTGGTACCAAACACATTTCAATAACATCCTTGACAACTTGGAATGTCTCTTGTTCCTCCCATAGGTGTTCTCTTCGAAAAAGATTCATAGCCGCGAAATGTTCATCATTAACAGTAGGTTGAGAATTGGAGTTGAGATCTGGCATCCTGTAATCCTCGATTCTGACATTGAGCTCGATCTCCATGAGCATGATGCCAAGTGCAAGTAATTTCGGAAATCCATGTGATCTGAAAGCGTTGTTATTGGGCCGTGATGGCTCATTCGTTTCACCAAAGCGAGCAGAGAGAAATGGCTGGTTAACGAAGATACCCTTTGAAATGTCTGACCTTCGCTCGAACATAAACTGGACATTGTGTTTGGTCCATTCACTTTGCATCCAGTCAGAGTCGTAGAATTGACAAAAGCTTGTAGCGATATAGTAAGATAGCAATAGCCTCATCTTCGGAGTGAGTTGCGTTTTTTCGAGGAGATCAGCGAGGGAAATACTCGACGAGTTTAGGTGAAAATCGTCTGAGAGACGGCCAGGACCCTGTAGGAGAAGACTGTCATCCACGATTGCTAGCTCCAATCGTGTCCGGCTTCGGCTTGATATTAATTCACAGAAAGATTTGATGGAAATTTCTTGCATGTGGCGATTGGTATTTAGCCTAGTGTCTCTGGCGACCGTTCTAGAACAACAAAATTCATTAGTTGAAAAAGCATCCAGTACGGGTGATTCACGAACCGCTTTCGTTCGACGCATACTTGTGAGTCTTGCCACTGACAAGCGCTGTGATCACTCTCCAAATGAGGGTGATCTAGAAAGAATAGTCTGAAGCTGACGCCATCTTCACAGTTCCCAGAGGTACTAAGACCCCTCAAACGAAGATTTGCTGTGATTCCTCTGTGAACATCTGCACGAGCACATAGACAGTTGCAGGCTAGGCTAGTATACAGAGCTCGCAAGTGTGGTCCATAATCATTCCCTTCGAGTGAGTCGGATGGCCTGAGCTCAGACAGATCGACGGCTCTAGCACTTCTATTGGGCTTCACAAATGTGTTCAGAGCCCGGAGGAGAGACCTACGATCCTTTCTTGCACAACGATCAGACGCAAGTCGTTTCAAGCTAGCTTGTGTGCTGCGGTCGTCGTGCAAAATTCTGGTTAGAGTAAGGTATCGATTTCGGCTGAATGTACTATTCCTCGTAGCATTCTTGCGAGTAGGTCGCTGGAACGTGTCACGCCACTAGATTTTGCCATCAACTAAAGTTGCTGTTTGAAGTTTTCCTTGCATCGCAGCTTACCTGGTATACGTTTTGGAGAGTGTCTAAGAGCTTCATGATCCGAGACTCGGACAACGCCTTACCGAGTCCATCCAAATATTTTTCCAGATGAGAATCGACATTGGCAAGCTCTCCTTCGAATGCTACACAAAATGACTTGCTTCCGGGCTCCTTTGCAGCTTCCTGGACCGCCTTGAGCAGATTTTGAACGACTTTGCGCGCGAACTCAGTGTGGGAGTGTTTTGCTGAGTCGCTCATCTTAGGCGTCAGGGAGTATGTAGCGACCAATACTTTTTAATTGGCCGTAAACAATCTATTGGCCTGAATAGGGGGATTGTTTTATATGTCTTTCTCTTCCTCCAGGTCGTCGAGTCGAAGTCGACCGCGGTATGGGGCATTGCGGGGCTATTGATTACATCACGTGACTACCTTGGAAGTTCCTCGAAGTGGAGCACATTCGTGGTGAACAACTTCATTGCGACAAATGCCAGCAAGTAATATGTCAGGATCGCCCATTTGGGACAAGAAACACTGTCAATTGCGAGACTGAGATTGAGAAGAGTGGAAATTAAAAGAAGAAAAACTAGGGCAGAGAGAGAGAGAGAGAAACGAAGCTGACTGCACTGCGGACCTGAGATCTTGGACCAACTGTCTCCACAACTCAGTACGCTGGCTCTTCTTATATAGAAAGGTCAGTTAGTGAATAGCATGTCTCTCAGCCCTCCGTTCCAACAACGAATACATCATCATTCTTCCGCCCGTAAGGGTCTTCAAATCCTTCGAACCCTTCAAACCCTTCGACCTTGAGATTATTTACGATTTGATGGGCCTCCTCTTTGCTGCCATCATCATCCAAGCCGAAAGTCGCTCCGCTAGAGTACGTTACATGCGACCAGGTTCTGTCAAGAATCCCCTTGGAAATCTTCGCAAGGCGGATGGCCCACACAAAGTCAGATGTCATCTTCGTGGTCGACGATATCCCCCTTTCTCTTTGAAGTTCTAGCTTTATCCCCGCTTCGGCAAGTATGGGGACATCACTATGGGAGTTAGCAACTGATGACACTCGGACAGGGGTCTTGACTAGTCTGTGGGCCTCAAATCTCTTGATGAGGTAGGGTCAGGGGACATAAGAAACAACACCAAGACTGACACTCCTGGATTCCCACGAACACTCCTTTCTCGGGATGTTGTATTTTTACTCTTGGCACCTCGAGCGATAATTACTCCAGTGACCATGAACAGAGAGGATGATCCAAAGGGACTTCGACTCTTGAGGTATGCAGCAACCTCGGTGTCTTCAAGACTGTCCTCAATGTATTCTCTCGTCGGTTGAATAACAAACGTATCAAGCGAATCAAACTCCCAGAAGTTATTCTTCGTTTTCTTGAAAGCCACCCCAGCATCAAGGTTGATGTTAACTCCCACGGCGGCGGCTATCGGGACATCAGCTATGGCAGAAAGGTCGATTCCATTGTCCCTCTTCGAGTCAAATGTCAGATCCCATGCTTTAGTATGATAGATAGGCATATCGGATGGAATATCAAGAGGACCATGTCGATTTATGACGTTGTCGAGGTGTTTGAGATCGGGGATAAGATGTCCGGGGCAGATCGGCCCGCCGCTAACTTTCCCAATTCCATGCCGAGGAAAGATCGGTGGAGGGTAATGGTTTTGTTTAAGAGTAAACCAACACTTCGATGTCATAACGTGAAGATGTATTTGGATAGTTCAACCCGTTGGACGTTGACACGACAACACCACCCAATCACGTGAGACAACCCCTCACCTGATGCTGCAGCTCACGTCCTTCCTCAAGGACCCATGGCCCTTCATCTTTTTTTTTTTGTTTGTCATCGACCAGAAAATGTGAAAGGACGACGCTTTGTATCTTCTTTCGAAAGATTCCTTGAAAATGGGGTCAGAACATGTCGGGATCGTTAGGCTGAGAGATCAATCGCGGTTCATTACGAAGACAAGAGCGCCTCGGGGAGAGAGAGCAATGTCTAGTCTATCTACAGACCCGAGCATTCCGAGACCGATAACCCAAATCCAAACGGGGATCAGTGATAGAACCGAGACATGCCAAAGTCTCTTCTCACGCTGTGTATCAAACACTGCTTTCTCGGACGAGAACTTGGATTGGTACGAAAGCCGTCAAGGAGAATTCAATTTATGGGCATCTATTTTGAAGGCCACAGACATTGGAAGATCGTCTCTGGACTATCGCTTGCAAGATGATGACGAACTACGCGGGCGTATCTGTGGGCTGCTAGAAGGTCTATCCGAGTCTCTCAAGACACTCCTCCAACCAGGTATGAGACAACATGAGGGTACTTCAGGGGACATGACTGACCATGGACCAAAGATAGTAAGCAGATCGCCGAATCTGACTCGTCGGGGCCGGTGAATGTTGCTGATTCCATTTTCTCGGATTTCTCTTCTGATAATGAAGAATCCAGCTCATCGCCGAAGTTGAAGTCATATGAGGTACATCTTCCCGAAGACATGTTTCTCGTGAAGCTCATAATTGGTCACCTCTGGAGACTCTCAACAAACATTCGGCGACCAGGCACCAGCTATCGACACAGAAGGGCTGATATTGCGTTGGAAAGAGATAAAGAGAGCTTCGCAGACTTCAAGTCCTATTTGGCAGGCATTATTCGCAGCTCTTCATTCAATGCATTCTTGAACATCCATGGAGATCCCATTCAATTGACACAGGTGCAGGAACGATTGATAGATGCGAACATTGTCAGAAGAAACAGGATCATTTTCGCGACTGCGTCAACAAACCACCCTGAACAGCCGCCCATCAGGCGTTATCCCGCGAAACCCTTCGATTTCAATGCCACTTCCGTCGCTGCCGCCCAATTTCCCGAAGACTCACCTGAAGACTTGCTACAGCAATATGCTCCGCTATCTGTAGAGGGTTCAACTGCTCGTGGACTTACACGGCGGCTGAAAACGAGTGAGATATCTCAAGCAGCTGGAGATTTGAGCTCACAATTCACCTCTGGACATGATCCACAATATCCGGAGCCCAAAAAGAATGATACTTTGGCTTTTGTAGGAAATAGCGAGATCGATGGTGATCAGGACTACCCTGCTTGCCCTGAACCCGTGTCAGACGAGGCACTGCAGTGCCCATATTGTGGTGATATGCTGCCAGTGGAGTATTCAAGGGACTCTTCGGTTTGGAGGTATGGAAACCAAACTTGGTTCTGGCTTCATGATAAGACCTCGAGAGCTGACTGGTAAAGTATAGAGAGCATCTTGCTCATGACATACTGCCGTACTCTTGCTTTTACAAGGATTGTGTGGAGTTCGAAATGTATTTGACGTCTGATGATCTCTTCAAGCACATGCTCAACCGTCATGGAATTGTACAGTGGGTGTGCCAACATTGCTCCTTGGGCCAGAAAAGAGAACGGTCTGTTGTTTTCGCTAGTCAACAGCTCTGGCAAAGACACATGGAGAAAGAGCATCCAGAATTTCCCGTATCTCAAATTGCATCTCTGGCTAGTGTGAGCAAGCGTACTATGCTCGAGCCTCTAGCCTGTCCTCTATGCGACTACGTCAGCGAGAACGCCATGACCACTTTTGATGACCATATCGCAAGTCATTTACATAAATTCGCTCTTTTGTGTTTACCCTGGGGTCCGACGGGCTGCTCAGAAGCCCGGAGAAACTCGAAAGCCCCGAAACTCGCATTTTCGAGCTTGTCCACGGAAGATCACAAAGGCAAAAATGCAGAACACTATACACGATCTTTTCAGCAGAGTCTTGTCACCACCAAGCCCTTGTTTACTCCTGACAATATAGGGACAACCTCTCCTGCGCCCCGGGGCCCTATCCCAGCCACGACGCCACTAGTCGTCAGACAAGACGCCAGCGGCGTTGAATGGATAGCCTTTGAATACTCCCGAAACCGCGTGAAAATGGAGTACACAATCCGCTGTGACGTAGAGTCCGTGGATGTCGACACCTTACCCGAACCCTTCAAGACAGAAAACTGCATCTACCCGCGTGCATTTTGCAGCAAGGATCAATACCGCGGCAACAGACTGGTTCATGAAACAGAATACAACGCCCTCGGCTGGGCACTGGCCGAATTGAATCCCGCGCTGAGAGGAAAACGAGGCCTTCTTCAGCGTGCCGTGGATAGTTGGCGTAATAGCAATCAGGACCCGAGGCTGCGTTCGAGACGTGTTCGGAGGCAGGCAAAGATGACTCGTAGACAATCGGTTCCCGTTTCGCCATTACCGGAGGCTGAGCCTAGATCTGGACCTGGGCCAATTTCCCCCTGTCGGTGTTTGCACCCCGTCCGCCGCCGGCAAGATCGACTTTGGGGTCTTTACCAGATGGTCCACCGCAGACACAGCACCATCATCAGCATCGGCCTGATAGTACTTCGGCTCCTTAGAAGCAAAAATCCCATTGACTTTGATCGAGGAATGTGGTCGGCTCATACCACGAAGCCTCCAAGTGATTTCGACCCTGTCCTGGTAAATGGAATCTAGACTGGGAAACAGCTTTAAATGGTCGCAGAAAACATGCATGTCTAGTTAGCAATGTAAGACCAAATCACAAGGCGAATTCACAGAAAAGATGTTCACCCTCAGCCCTGGAGCCCTGGAGCTGTTTTCTGATAACCAAGCGGCGGAGCCCGTAGACGCCCGATTTCTCAGGCTTCAACTGATGTCGTGGGTGTGGGTCAAGTGATCTAGACAGGCCTCGCTCTCTCTTGCTCTCTCTCTGCTCTTCTTTTCCCGTCCATTTTTCTTCACAGTATGAATCCATAACGATTTCTGCTTCGTTTTCGTAGGATAGCCTGTCATCGGATATTGATGCAAAAAAGAGTGGAGTGCGGAGAGCGACTAAGCCGCTAACACCGAACACGATGCTCTAACCCAAGAAGGAAAGCCAAGACGACCACGAGTCATGACTTTTTTGATTGGCAAACGAACGCGCGATGATCTCGTGAGATCAGCTCCAATTCCCTCGGAGCTCAATTTTCCACCACCGCAACCATGGCTTCACAGACAATGACCAAAGAAGGTCTCCGGCGCAGACTCAACGTGTCCACATCCAACGCCGTAATCCGACCCCAACAACCTCGCAAGCAGCGCTCTGTCTTCCGCCGCTGTAAACGTTTCGCGTTTAAGCACACGTGGACAATCCCTCTACTTTCCATTCTCGCCATTCTCGCCCTCTACGCCCGCAATCCCTCAGAATCAAACATCCTCCACCACTTCATCTTCCTCTCCTACAAACAAGATGACGGGCAGTACGGCAAGGGCCTGTGGGATATCGCATTCGTGTCATTCTATGTCATTGTGCTTTCTTTCACGCGGGAATTCGTGATGCAAGAGATATTACGCCCGCTGGCGCGATTACGCATCAAGTCCCGTGGCAAACAATCGCGATTCATGGAACAAGCCTATACGGCGATCTACTTCGCCGTCCTCGGTCCAGCGGGGTTGTATGTTATGCGCCAGACACCGGTGTGGTACTTTAATACCCGTGGCATGTATGAGGGATTCCCGCATCGGAAGCATGCCGCGGAATTCAAATTCTATTACCTCTTCGAAGCGGCGTATTGGGCACAGCAGGCTGTCGTGATGCTTTTGGGGATGGAGAAGCCTAGGAAGGATTTCAAGGAGCTGGTTACGCATCATATTGTCACTTTGGCACTGATTGCTTTGAGTTATCGGTTTCACTTTGCGTATATGGGTATTGCGGTTTACATCACGCATGATATTAGTGATTTCTTCCTTGCTGTGAGCTGCCTTTGCTTTCCCCCACTTTCGCGTTGGTCTGCGTCGATTCAGTGCTAATTATTCAACAGGTCTCGAAATCGCTTCACTACTATGCTCCGGATATCATGATTCCTTTCTATGTGGCCTCGATTGGTTCGTGGGTGTATCTGCGCCATGTGCTGAACCTGCGCATTCTGTATTCGATTCTCACGGAGTTCCGCACCGTCGGCCCCTACGAGCTCAACTGGGAGACGCAGCAGTATAAATGCTGGATCTCGAACGTCATTACCTTTTCATTGCTGGCCGTACTCCAGGCTTTGAACTTGTTCTGGCTGTACTGCTTGCTGCGCAGTGCGGTCAAGTTCCTGGTCACCGGTGAAAAGAAGGACGATCGATCTGAGCCTGATGAATCAGAACTTGAAAATGAAAAGCCCGATCTCAAGACGAGTGGTGCCAACGGTCATGCCAACGGCAATCGGCCGCTGAATGGGAATGCGAAGGGTTTCAACAGAGTTGTATCCTAAATGAATGGCTCGCGCAGAGTCTTGATCCTGGGCTTTGTCACGATCAGAGATCTCAGGGCGCATTCCGAGAATCAAAACTCTGACCGCTGCGCCAGGAGCAAAAGACTAGGATTTCAACGCGCTTCTTGGACCTGCGCTTGCTATACTAAGGGACATAGCTTGTCGCGGACTTCTAACGACGGTGTTGGACCGGATGCTTTAGCATTCACTGACCCAATTCACTTTTATGGTTGTGGATTAGCACGACGTCGTGCAATATTCAAGAACTGACCCATCCATCCCTTTTTGATCTGGTCTAGGCAGCCTAGACCTCTGGACGTGATTTAACGAGCGGTGTCTGACTTTACACCGACATGTACCATACTACGATGCATATTGAACATAATGATAATAATAATCGGTGGACTTAGAGGCGACACTTTACGAGTTTGGTAAATTTACTTGGTTCTGCATCCAATGAGGAAGTGAAGCAGACATAAATAACAAGGAAAGTCTTGGAGATATGTGCCATTGGTGGGCGAAGAAGAAATACTGCGTTTTTTCAGCTCCTCAGCCCCGTTCATGCACCTCGAATCACTTCCGACCTCGGAACCCTGATTGGTTCAAACGTTTCCTTTTGGGGATGATTTTCAGCGCGCCTCTTCCACCTCGGCAGGCTGATGCATACGACAATGCAGATAACCCACTAGGGTCAAAAATGACCAAGGAAGTCTGTGATTTGTCACTCACGTGAGTTCTTGGAGTTTTGAACGAATGGATCCCGACGGGGTTTAGCATTGTGCGACATCTAGCCCTGCAGCCACTTGAAAGGATATTTAAGAGCCATTACAGACCTCAAGTCTTGAATATCTTTTCTGTGGACTTCATCAGAATTATTCTCCGGGGACACAGACATTGAATTCCACAGCCTGTGACCATCTGGATCCAGATCTACATCATGGGTTCGATAGGAGCTTCCGGCCCCGTTCTAACCCAGCTGCTCGACGATCAAGCATACCAAACACCAGATCAGATATATTGTATTCATCCCGTTTCACAAGACTCTGATCATGGATGGCATCGCATCTCTATCAAGCAGATGAGCGAGGCAGTTGACCGCTTGTCTTGGTGGATCCAAGAAAAGATTCCTGCAGGAGAGCCGCAGCTGCTTGCCTACATCGGCACCAATGATTTGCGATATGGTGCTTTCATCTTGGCTTGTATGAAGACTGGCCACGCGGTGAGTTGTCAATGATACAATTTTTGAGAAAGTCTCACCTGGAATCGATGCCTAACGATCTGGTTCAGGCCTTGTTGCTTTCCACGCGAAACTCTCTACTCGCCAATCAGCATTTACTGCGCAGCACCAACTGTTCTGTGCTCGTCGATGGATCTGAGAGAAAGACTCTTCGTAACCTCGTCAATGAATTAGAAGGCTCTTGTCCTGAGGTGGAGAGATGGCACATCGGCCCAATTTGGGATGTGTTCTCCTCCGAGTCAGTGAAGCCATATGTTCAGAATGAGAGCTATGAGATACTCGAAAACAGAACGGCTGTGGTCATTCACAGCTCGGGCACCACCGGACTTCCCAAACCAGTCCGGCTTACTCATGGATATCTAGCGACATTGTTCTACATGCAGACACTACCTCTTCCCGAGGCGCGTGAGACCACACAGCTCTTCATCCGTCAAAAAGGGCAGCTGCGAATAATGACTGGACCCCTTTTCCATTTTATCGGTCTCGTATGCATATCAGAATGCATTTTCTATCGCACCCCGTTCTTGCTAGCACCGGATCGGCCTTTGACCGTGGACCTCTTCTCTCAAATCATGTCCCTCGACACACCACCTAAATGGGGACTGATTTCACCCTTTGTTTTGGAAGAACTATCTGCTTCGGAGAAAGGCAGAAAGGCATTGTCAAAATTAACTGCACTGAACTTCGGAGGAGCTCCGCTTTCACAAACTGCTGGTGATACTATTTCCAAATTGGTCCCACTCCAACCTTTATATGGAAGTAGTGAGGCAGCCTATACTGCGAACTTGCAATGTCAAGACCCAGCAGACTGGAATTATCTCGAGTGGAATCCCGCAGTTGGAACGCGAATGGATGATGTAGGCGATGGGCTGTGCGAGCTGGTTCTCCCCCGAGGGGAAACGCGCCGCTTCAAGGGCATATTCCACACAGAGCCTCACTTGACGGAGTTCCGCACGGGTGACCTTTTCCGAGAGCATCCAACTAAACCCGGACTATGGAAGTACCAGGGTCGCGGAGATGATATCATTGTGCTGAATAATGGGGAGAAGTTCAATCCTACCGATGCTGAGAAGTCGATTGAGTCTCACCCTCTCGTGAATCATGCGGCAATCCTCGGCCAGGATCGCTTTCAGGCAGCCTTGCTGATTGAGCCTCATTGGCATGATTTGCCTAAAGATTGGAATCTCGAATGGTTGCATCGAACTTTGCGGCCGATGGTTGACCAAGCGAATGCTATTCTACCTGGTCACGGGAAGCTGTTCTACAGCCATGTTACCTTTGCAACAGAGGATAAGCCGTTTGCGCTATCACCCAAGGGAACTATGCGTCGTCGAGAGATTGTGAAGATGTATCAATCTCTTATCGACGCTTTGTATACAGCTCATTCTGGAGCACCGCCGTCTGGAGCACCGCAGCCTGTGGCACAACTACCAACACCTCAAGGATTTGGTCTGGGGGGAATAGAGCAATGGATCCGGGATATCATTGCACACATTCTCTCGTTGGAGAACGTTGATCTTGACGACGGGATCGTCGCCTTGGGAATGGATTCCCTTCAGCTGGTTCGTTTGGTACAAGTCCTCCAAGACACGACGAACGGAATGGAAGGGTTGATGCACCGCCGAATATGGACAAGTGCATTCATCTATCAGCTTGAAACATCGCGTAAAATCGCACAATCGTTCTGTGACCAAGTCAACAAGACCACATCCGATGAAGAGTCCAATAAAAACGCCTTGACACGAGAGGATGTGCTCAAGAAGTACACATGGGAGCAAGCACGGTATCTAGACAGCGGAGGCGCGCAAGTCATCTTAACCGGGTCGACCGGCGAGCTTGGAAGCTTCATGTTAAATAAGCTGCTGCAGGACCCTTCAATTACACGAATTGTTTGTCTCAACCGCTCAGCCGATGCCGCCGAACGCCAAATCCAGACATTCCGACAGAAGAAGCTATCCAGCTTCTGGCTCACGGAGACTCCGCGTGTGGAATTCAAACAAAGCCATCTCCATGATCCGTATCTTGGACTTGACCCAGATGAATACAAGGCCTTGCAACAGGACATCTCAATCATTATTCACAATGCATGGCCGGTGAACTTTAATCAGAGCCTCGCAAGCTTTGAACCGCATCTTGCTGGAGTTCGAAGGCTTCTAAATTTTGCAGCGCAGTCGGCTCGCGAACCCGAGTTCCATTTTATATCCTCGGTCTCAACGGTCACAGGTCAATCACTCAGTTTGGGCGATCGGATGCTCGAGAAACGCCAGGATGTCTCTTGTGTGCTCCCACAGGGGTATGGCGAGTCCAAGTACATTGCGGAGCGTCTTTGTGAGATTTCGAGTAAGCGGATAGGAGCCAAGATTGCTATACATCGAGTTGGACAACTTGGGGGCCCGTCTAATTCCGCTGCTGGAATGTGGAATACGCGAGACTGGTTCCCGTCCTTGGTCAAGTCTTCGTTGACTATGCAGATGTTGCCGGATAACCTTGGACCGATGCCGGTAGACTGGCTTGCCATTGTGAGTAATTCAGAGATCGACCGTGGGATCTCACAGAAAAGACAGAAGATAAGCTGACCGTATTTCAGGATACTGCTGCCAACATTATTTCAGAAATAATCGACACTCGAAGAGCGCATCAACCTCCACCACTGACCGTGTACCATATCACCAATCCAAATGCCGTGGCTTGGAAGGAGATTGCTCCTTTATTCGCCAAAGCGTGCAAGACTGAAATGGTGACTTTGGATGTATGGGTGAATAAGGTCAAAGAGCGTGCATTTGGGTCTGAGCCCAATGGAAACGATGTGCAGGATCTACCTGCGACACAGCTGCTGGATTTCTTCGCCATGTTGCTTGATGGAGCTGGCCAGGCTCAGCCTTGCATCGACACCAGTAATGCGAGAAAAGACTCAGCAACACTGAGCGAGCTGGGACCAGTTGATTCAAGGATGGTGAACATTTGGTTGAATCAGTGGAAAGATTGGCTGCCGGGGCTGGATGCTGGGGCGTTGGATGGGTCGACGTAATGGGTAGTGTGGCCACTACTCCGTACTTGGCCTGCATATAACAATCTATGAGAGTTTCCCAGTGGTCTTGCAGTAGCATGGAGCACAAAGGGTAGTAAGAAAGCGAGGTTAACGAGCCGATAAGGGTATAGATATATTGTCAAGAACAGGTGGGCTGGCCTAGCGGTGCAGCCACTGGGCAGCCCGGACTGGAGAGCCCACCTCTTGTCTCGTAGTATAACAAAATATATGCCTGTCTGGTAGGGACCAGATGGGGGAATATTTTTGTCGTCGCCTGTTCGACTCCCCCTTCGAGCCTTTTCATCTTTCTCATCTCGGTGTACTAATGGCCACATTTTTGATTCTTTGCAACTCGAATGATCGTGCCCGCTAGAAAAGGTCACGAGAATGCAGCCAAAGCACGCGAATAGGGTTACTGACCAGGGCCACACAGCTACCTGAACTTGTTCCCCACAAGTCACAAATCAAATGAGCTTTGATTACAAAAGAAAACCTACCTTGATTTGCGGTGCTTATTTTGGATTAAAGGCAACGTCTTGATTGGACCGCCCACGACAGGAGGACAAGAAAGGAGGCACGATGTCCGGGATATCCGGCATCTATCACCTACGACGCCTCTGTGAAGCAGGCTGCCACGTGGAAGGTACACAGGTTGAGCTGCACCGAGAGCAACCCGGCGATTGGACCGCAACCCCCGGTCTGATATTCGGGATATCCGACCTGTCAATGCGCCTTTGTGGGGTAAGCTGTCGACCCCGGACCTTCCCCAGATTTGAAGTGCCGAATATCTCGATGCATTTAAGACACTCTATCGTCCGTTTGTCAAAAGTATCCACCTGCTCTGACTATAAGCACTCTGATACATCATGGCGGACATCAAATCGTCGTCGTCTCACCTCGAATGGCAAGATGAACAACCACGATTTCTTCAAGCAGACCAGGAGCGAGGTCTCATAGACACACTCAAGACCCACTGGAGAGCTTTGTTAATATGTACGAGTCGTCGAAGCCTTCAATCTGTGGAATAATCACTAATTCTGAGAATAGGTAGTCTTTCCTTTAGCTCGGGCGCCATGTTCGGCTGCGACACAATCATCAACAGCGCCTCGATGGCCATGCCAGCTTTCATGATGTACTTCGGTGATACCAACGCATCGGGCCTATATCTACCATCCTCGTGGACTGCATTATGGACATCAATGTCGGCACTCGCACAAGCCCTGTCCGCAGCCGGGACAGGCGTGTTAGCCGATCGCATTGGACGGAAATGGGCCAGCATTGTCGCCGGCTTGATTGCTATTGCTGGTGCCTCGGTCCAGTATACTGCTGAGACCAGAGGTGCATTGCTAGGAGGAAAGATCGTCGGAGGGTTGGGTATCGGTATGGCGATGGCGTCTGGCATGACCTATGCGTCCGAGATCGTTCCTCCAAGCCTGGTTCCTGCGGTGCAGCAGGCGATGGTTGTGTTTATTTTGATTATGCAGGCTGTGGCAATGGGTGTGATTCGTATATTCGTCCCTGATATGACGGAGAAGGCCTTTCGTACGGTTTTCGCGATCCAGTGGGCTGTCGGGGGTCTTGTCACTATTGCATATGCGATAGCACCAGAGTATGTTCCTTGATAAAATGACTCGACGATCGCTACTGACTGGGTATACAGATCCCCTGTTCACTGCATAATTAAAAAGCGGGAGGAAAGTGCCAAGAATCTGTTCAGCTGGCTCTATCGCGATGAAGCCGATCGCGAGGAACGGTACAATCATCTCGTCAAGACCATCGAAGAAGAGAATTCCCAACGTGAGGCGAACCAGGCCAATTATATCGAATGCTTCCAGGGTGTCAACCTGAAGAGAACTCTCACAATGATGTTCTTGTTTGGTCTTGTCAACCTGGGCGGTGCGCCTTTCCTTTCACAATCGATTTACTTCCTCATATCAGTGGGCTTGCCGAGCGTTCATGTATTCGACATCTCAATTGGAGGATTTGGACTTGCGATAGTCCTCATTATTGCAAGTGGATTTGCACTCAAGAAGGTTCGCCGACGAACCACACTCTTCTGGGGCTGTGTGGTCAATCTCACTTTCAACCTGATCGTGGGAGCCTTGTACTACGCACACGGCACAGGGCCAAAATGGGGCATTGCTATCTTGATGTATGAGATTTACCCATCGTTGCTATTGAACATATACTGATCATTCATAGGAACGTTCTCATATCTTTGCAAGCAAGTTTGATGCAAGCACCCGGCTGGTCAATTGCAGCAGAGATCTCAAGCTACCGATTACGAGCAAAGTCCATGTCCCTCGGTATGATGGCGCAGACGTTCACAACATGGCTGGTCACTTTCATTGTGCCGTACATGTACAACGTCGACTCGGGCAACTTGGGTGCTCGGACTGGGCTGGTGTTTGCGGGTGTCTCGGTGCTGCTTATCTGGGGTGCTTGGTCTATTGTTCCTGATACCACCGGGCTGTCCACCGAAGACATCGACGAACTGTATGAAGCAAGAGTACCGGCGAGACAATTTGCCAAGCATAAGCGGGCACTTCACTTTGAGGGTGGGGAAATTCCTCGGGCCGTCTGATGTTTTCAATGACACTGCCGATCCCAGTTCCCGGTCATGGGCTATTTAACGTTTACTACTCGGTATTCAAAGCGATTTTCACTCCAATTTATATGGTGCCATGGAAGCCTGCAACTAAAAGGCCAAGCATTTCCGAGCGAGTTAATTGTAAGCGACATCAAATTAACCCGCAAGGTCCTCCAAGTCTCCACTCCACGGCCTCCTCCGCCGTAACCGCACGCCAAGCCTCTTGGCATTTAGATATCATCCCGACTTTTTTCTTCTTCTCTCAACATGCCACCATATATGAGTCTTCAGTTTGAGGGAGACAATGGTATCGGTGAAGCGCGCTACTGTGGTCGAGGCTATTCCAGCTGAGGCCACCGAGGAGGCGGAGCTGTCCTTCCAGTTCACGAAGCAGGAACATGCGCTCGGCTGGTGGGATGCCATGCGTCTGCATTACCCCGCCATTGGCTGGGGACTTTTCATGAATATAGTCAGTGAGCCATCGCAAAGAACAGAACTCATTCTGATAGTCCCAGGCAACCATTTTGAAAGGCATTGACGGGGGCATCGTCCGCAGTCTAGTTGGCCTCCCGGTCTTCAAGGAAACCTTCGGCTACTACCGCGACGGCAAATACATTATCGCGGCGCAGTGGCTATCCGCATTTGGATACGCGAACTTGCTCGGTGCAATTGTAGGTGCCCTTTGCTCAGGCATCGTATACGAGCGTCTAGGCCCACGGCGAATGACCGCCGGCTGCTGTGTCTTATCCATCGCATTCATTTTCATCCAATTCTTCAGCCATACGCCGGCACAGCTCTTCGTCGGCGAACTCGTTAATGGATGCATTATTGCATTTTACCCGATTTGCGCCTCGGCGTACGTCGGCGAAGTCACGCCTTTGGTCCTCCGTGGGTTCGCGGCCACCATGACAAATCTTGCTTTTTCAATTGGTTCCTTGATTGCCTCTGGAATTCTTAAAGGGACTGAAACCATGGACAACAAATGGTCTTATAAGATTCCTATCGCGACGCAATGGGCTTTGCCATGCATTATGTTGATCCTGGTGGCCTTTTGTCCTGAGCCGCCCTATTGGCTGTGTCGCAAGGGCCGATATGAAGAAGCTACGAAATCACTGCGTCGTCTTGCTACCTCTGCGGTAGACATTTCTCCGAAACTGGCACACATTAAGGAGACGCTACGCTTGGAGAAGAGCTACCACGGCGAACGGCCGACGTATCTGGATTGTTTCCGGGGGACGAACTTTCGTCGTCTGGTGGTCTGCGTGATGGCGTATGATATGCAGGCATTTGCGGGTAATGTGTTTTTCCTCACTTATGCCGTGCATTTCATGGAACTAGCTGGGTTGAACGCATCCGATGCGTTCTCAATGAACATTGGCTTGACGGCACTTGGTCTGTTGGGCACATGCATTTCTTGGTTCCTTCTTTCTTACGTCGGACGACGAACGATGTATCTTTTCGGATGCTCGGCTTTGGCCATCTTACAGCTCATCATTGGTGCCGTGGACCTGGCTCCGCGACAGACATCTACCACATGGGCGCAATGTGGGTTGATGCTGGCGTGTACTTTTGTATATGACCTCAGTCTTGGTCCATTCTGCTATGTGCTCCTTGCCGAAGTATCATCGGCTAAACTACGCGGGTTGACCATTGCTCTGTCAACGGTCACTTGCTTTGTCTGGTCGGTAATTTTTGCTGTCGTTATTCCTTACGCCATGAATGAGGATCAAGGCAACTGGCGCGGGAAAATTGGCTTCTTGTTCTCGGGGCTGGCTGGTCTCTGCGCGATCTATTGCTTTTTCTGCATGCCAGAGACGAAGGGTCGTACTTTTGAAGAGCTGGATATTCTGTTTGAGCGCAAAGTGCCGAGTCGCAAGTTCAAGTATTATAAGGTCGATATTGATATTGGTGGAAGGCGATTAGAGTGATTGCCAAATAACTGCGACTGTATATTCATAGATTCAAACTGCACATATATCAACCAACTGGACATAGAACTCCCCACATCCACCAGTTCTCAAGTCAGCTTGTAGGATGCCTCAGGCCAGTACTGATTAGAATTGCATTCGTTCAAAAATAATGTTGAATCAAGAAACAGTTTCGTGCAACCTCCACACTCGGCACATCCTCACATCTTCACTCCCCGTGGGGTCGGGCGTCGGGACAAAGTCCCCCGCTCGGGTTATCCGAGTGTCTTCGGCCGCGAATCAGCTATATGAGCATTACTCCGCGACAAGCCATGAGGAATATGAAAATACACTGCCAACCATGCCTTCTCCAGACTGGACAAGATCAGCGCCCTGGATCTGGTTGCCAACCCACCAAGAGGACGAAAGCCAACCAGGTCGATATTTTCTCTTCCGCAAAAGTTTCCAATGGAACCAGCCTCACGGACTTGCCGAATTCCCAGTTCATGTTTCAGCCGATAGCCGATATCGACTCTTTGTCAACGGCCATCGTGTGAGCTTCGGTCCTTGCAAGAGCTACCCTGAGCGATGGTACTATGAGACTGTGGACATTTTGCCTTTCCTCGTGGAAGGCGAAAATGTTATCAGCGCGCGTGTACTCAGATACTCTTGCGTACATGCTGGGTCTTCGTCTATAATCAGTACTGAGCTTCCTGGATTCCTTGTGCATGGTGAAATTGAGGTATGTGGTGCCACACTTTTGCAAATATATATTGCAGGTCGATGGCTGATGTTCCCAAGGGCTTTTCGCTTTCCACCGATTCATCTTGGAAATGTCTAGGAGAAACTAGCCGGCGAATCATTCCACACTCCGAATGGAACTACATTCTTGGACCACCGTTTATGTCCAACAACGAGAGGGTCACAGAAGCCAAATATATCTCCGGTTGGGAGTTGACAGCCTTCGATGACTCTACATGGGAGCATGCTGTGCCTGCATTCCGGCCCGCGAAGATGTTACCAATGCAAAGTCCTTGGAAACTGACACAACGCCCTATTCCCATGCTTCCCGAGATTGAGGGGAATTTCGACGGAGTTGTGAAATGTGATGGACCCATCAGCCATGACCAATGGACTGCGTTCATTCAAGGCAGCAACCCCGTTGTTATCCCTGCTGGCGAGAGTGCGATTGTGGACATTGAATGTGAATCATTGACGACAGCCTTCGTGAACCTACAACTCGAAGGAGGAAAAGGCTCAATCATCACCATTCAGTATGCCGAGTGCTATGAGAAAGATCTTGGGGTTGAAATTGCCCCTTTTCCGATGCCGAGAACCAAATCAATTCGAGCAGACAGCAGTGGTCGACTTTACGGCGTGAAAGATGTATATAATGTGGTCGATGGTGAGCCCGATCAATCATTCGAACCATTCTGGTTTCGTGCATTCCGATATGTGCAGCTGCATATTCAAACATCCCCCCAGCCTCTCACGCTCAACGCAGTTACACTTAGAGAAACATCCTACCCACTCGAAATATCTACCCAAATCCAAGCCGAACCCGAGCTTGACAAGATATGGAACGTCAGTCTCCGCACGCTGCAAAATTGCCGACACGAAACATACGAGGACTGTCCATTCTACGAACAAAATCAATTCGCCTCTGATTCACGACTTCAAATGCTTTTCACTTATCAAATTTCCCCCGATGACCGTCTAGCGCGAAAAACGCTAGAAGAATTCCACGCAAGTCGATGCTCAGATGGTCTCATCAAGGCGCAATTCCCCTCCGGCTTCCGCAGTAAACAGATTCCTCAATTCTCGCTATATTACGTAGCCATGGTGTGGGATCACATGCGGTATTTTGGCGACGCAAAGCTCGTGCGAACATACCTGAGCACGATTGACGGCATTCTGAACCATTTTGACGACCTCCTCAATGAGATCGGGCTAGTTGGTCAATTCGATGACGACACTTGGCCGTTCATCGATTGGGTGCCCGAGTGGTCTGTTCCCGGAAAAATCTTCCAATCCTGCATGCCCCAGGCATACCACACTACAGGGGCAGCCACGTTCAATAGCCTGATCTACATTATTGCGCTGATGCAAGCGGGGGACTTGTGCGACTTTGTCGAGCGGAAGGACACCGCGGCTGAGTACCGACGTCGGGCGCAAGAGCTCCGAGACGCGGTCAACACACACTGTTACGACGACGGGTTGTACCTCGACGGTCCATCCTCGAAAGAGTATAGTCAGCACAGTCAGGTCTTTGCCGTTCTCTCCGAGACAGCGACGGGCAGTCAGGCACGGGAAGTGATTACACGGATGTCGGAGGCGTCATTGGTTCAGTGCTCTAGTGCGCTGCAATTTTACGTCTTTCGGGCAGTGGAGAAGGTGGGTCTTTACGATAGAATGTTTTCGACGTTATTGGATCCTTGGAGAAGGATGCTCGCGGATGACCTGACCACATGGGCGGAATTTGAGCAGAATCCCCGGAGCGATTGTCATGGGTGGAGCGCCTGTCCAATCAACGAGATCGTCACGCAGATTTATGGCGTCAAGTCTGCTCGACCCGGTCAACGGCTTCGGATCGAGCCACGAGTGGAACTTTTGTCGAAGGCGGAGGGGACTTTTGTTACTTCTGTTGGCACGGTCCGATTGAAATGGGCAGAGGAGTTGGAGGTGGAGGTTAATTCCGATGTTGAGGCAGAGATTGTCTTTGGGGGGTCTGTGTACACCGTCCAATTTGTGGGTGGCCAGCCATTGACATTCACGAAATAATATTTGTCAAGGGTATGAAGGATCACAATTACGCTGTAGAATGCACGAGGTGCGTTGAGATCTCTCTAATAAGCAGTGAGGAGTTGGAGGTTTGCATTAACAAATCCGACTCCACTTTTTACGAGATTAGCTTTGTGGTTAACTTTGCCTGGAAAATCCCGAAAAAGCCCTAATTCATGCGTCAGTGGTCAAAGGAGACGGAAGCACCGAAGAAAATGTAAATCAAAGCCCGATCAGGTTCCGGTTTATTATCGCACTGCTATGGATTTTATTACCCCGGTTCTTCCGGACGAAAAGATCTAAAGAGCCCTCGGTGTGCGTCTGCCCGTGTGGATCTGCAAATAAGCTCAACGAGTGCAGAAGAAGCATTTACCTAATGAGCTCCACGCGGTTGGAGTCGATTGGAGTATCCTCCTCGTTCCTGAGACAATATTTCATTATTAATGAAATTCCTTTCGCAAAGCTACGCTCTCGTTTTACATAAATTTTTTTCTCTGTCAGAATCCTGCTTCCAAGGTTGGGAGTATGGGGAAATTTATCTTATTTAGCAGCTGGTCCAGTTTCTTTCTTCCTCCCTAACACACACTTAACACACATTAATATAAAAAAATAATTTTCTACACCATGGTGCACCACATCCACATTGCCGTCCTGGACGTCGACATTCCAGCCCGCCAACTCTATGAAGCCCGAGGACTATGCAGCGCACACTTCCGCGCCGTGCTCCGCGAGACTGCCTCGCGCCTGAATGAGACTTTCTTCTCCGAGAAAGAGAAGCTCGACGTCAAGATCACACCCTACGATATCCGCGGCGGCCACTACCCAGACCTATATAAGCTTCGCGGACACACCGGCGAGGACCAGATCCCCGTCGCCTTCCCCGTGGATGCCGTCCTGATCACCGGCGGCTCGCCCGGCGTATACGAAATGGACCGCTCGCCCTGGATGCAGGAACTCAAGGCTTTCGTGCGCACCGTTTACACTCAATACCCGCAAGTGCGCATTCTCGGCACCTGCTTTGGCCACCAGCTTATTTCGCACGCCATCGTGCGCAACAAGGAGGACACCGCCCGCGACGTCTGGGTTGAGAAGTGCCCACTCGGCCGCGAGGTCGGTATTCATAATGTTCAATTAAATAAGGGATTCCTGGACGCGTTCCCGGCTGCGCTGGGCCATTTGCCGGATGGGAAGTTGCGCATTCAGATGTTCCACGGGGACCGCGTGATGGCTGTTGAGAAGGGGACTCCTGTCACTGTTACTGAGTCGCCGCCTGTTTCTCTCCCGGCTCCTTGGATTAATATTGGAAGTACCGAGATTTGCCCCATCCAGGGCTTGTACCACCCCGGTCGTGTCTTGACTGTGCAGGGTCATTATGAGATGGATGCTTTCGGATTGACCAAGATGTGTTTGGAGGCTGCGCCGGTCATGGGCTGGAAGGAGTCCAAGCTTGCTTTGTTCTTGGAGCAGGTTGGTGATGACCTCAAGGAAGACCAGTGCGACCGCAAGGCCTTTGCTTCGGCGGTTGTGTCTTTCCTGGCTGGCTTCGAACAATGACATCTCGAAGGCGGGATCAATAAATAAAAAGTTGGTTTTCACGTTTTCTGTCGTGCATTTTTTGTTTCCAAGGTTGTTAAGCGAAGCAGTATGGAGTTCCTGAATATACATGTCTTATGATAAAGTGAAAATTCGCTAGAGAAGGGTAACATGCTAAAGTAAATTCAGCCTTTGGAACATTTGAAGGCTCTGTCAGTTTGTCATTCCCTTGAGGATTTCCTCGTTTAGGACTTGAGGCTGAAGGAGGCGCATGAATACGCCCGCCAAGACCGAATACGCTCTTCCGCGCCGATCCCTCGCGCCAAATGTCTTGGCACCCACCGCTCCACCAATTGGAGGCACACTTGGCTCAGATTGCCTACTGTTCCACTGTGCGTAGGGCGTTGACAGCTATACGCTTCAATGCGTACCTCGTGTTTATACCTAGGTATCCCTTGGTATCACTGCGGATCATGGCTGAGCCTCCATCTTCGGGCACTAAACGCTACCTGCCAAGGGATTGAGGCGCAGGAGGGCAACATAGCTGAAGAAGATTTGGAATTCACCACAGTTTTGAAGGTTGCTCCTGCTTGGGTCTTCCAATATGTGGTCAGGTCGACTATATAAGGGTACTGGCTTCCTGCCTTCTTCATGGCTCATCATCAAGCCATTGTGAATAACTCAGCAACACATCTATTACACTCCTCTTTTTACATAACACCCATTACCACGGTCGATATATTCAACATCATGCTCACTGGAACTACCCTGACCTCTGGTATTGCGGCCATCCTCGCTTTGGCTCATTCGGCAAACGCGGCACCCCAGGCCATGAGACGTGCCACACCCGAGCTCAGCCTGACTGCTCAACTTCAACTCGCAGACACGTGAGTTTTGCAATCTGAGCTGAAAACAGAGTGATACTGATCCCGATAGTAGTGCCGTTGATCGTTACAAACTTCTCCCAAAGGATGAAGATTTCGTCTTCGACTTTACCAAAAGCGAAGCCCCCTTTGCAAACCGCAAGAATTTCCCTGCTCTCGTTGGATCTGGAACCTCCTTCAGTATGACATCGCTACCAGGTATGCCAGCACTCAAAACCTATACCTTGATCTTACTAACACCACACAGCATGCAGCATGGCCTACCTCCACCTCCACCCTCGTGCCACAGAGCTCTTCGTCGTCAACTCCGGCCGGGTACTTAGCCAGATGGTACCTGAAGTCGGCGTCGTTGACTCTGAGGGCAAGCAGCGAGTCATCCATGCCGAGCTTGGTCCAGGTATGATGACCATCTTCCCCGCTGGCTCGTTCCATACGCAAGTCAACCCGGATTGTGAGCCCGCCAATTTCACGGCGGCACTCACATCTGAGGACTTTGGTATTGGTTTGGTTGCGGCGGAGACATTTGCGCTTAGTGATGATGTGATTGCTGCGACTTTTGGACAGAGTATTGCGGGTGAGGATATTGAGAAAGTGAGAAGTGCTATTCCTGGGGATGTGGTTATTAAGGTTGAGGAGTGTTTGGCCAAATGTGGTAAGAAGAAGCGTGAGGCTTGATTGAGTCGACTTTCTGGAGTCCTGTTTCATCGCTTTGGTCCGAGGTCACTTTCAAGCTTCTTGTTAGAGATCATAGTCTGTGATGTTGTCTGACTCCCACAAGCCTCAGTGCCGCTCTCATGCGGGGCCAAAAAGACGATAGGGGTTGCTTATAAACGGGAGTATTTATGTATTGCCTTTATCTCATGTTTCAATTGGTAATGAAAAAGAGTTATTTCAAAGTTGGTGATATCTTTTTGGCTGTCTTTCCAGCTGGATAGACAGCTGTCTTTTCAGTTATCTTTTCAAATGATTATAAAGTCATCCTGATTATTCAAGTGAGGGTAGTCTCGATAAAGACATAAACAGAGAATTAGAGATTGGGGATTTCTCTGTACCTTGATCTACGAAGTAGTACAGAGTAGACGTGAGAATAGATTGATGACGGAAGAAAGCCATCATGAAGCATTTATAGATTGTCCATAAAAGTCCTGGCTAAGCCATGGAAGACGAAATACAGATTGTAGATTTCCATAGTTATTTCTCTTCATCTTCTTCTCTTCTTCACGTATCACACATTTTATTTCTTCGTTCACCTTGCTCCTCAGTAAAGTAAATTCCGCATAGTTTTGCTAAAACTTCTGAGCTGAGGTCCGGAGGTCACGCTGGCTGTATTTGCTCTCTCCCGAGGTCTTCCCAAGTGGTTCATACCAGGGCAGGAGTCCATCCACCCCATCCACCGCATCCATAAGTTCCGGAATTTTAGTCCTCTTCTTCAAACAGTTCGGCAAAACCTTCAGTCTGTTCTATATCATTCAGCCCCAGGGCTGACTGTAACTTCTGACGTTGCTCAGGTTGCTGAACACAAACTCTCCATGAGCGCTCAGGTAGAACCACGTGAAGATATTGTCCCTGAATCGAACATGTGATAGTTGAACGCTCACAGCTTTCTGTCAAAAAATGCTGGAAAAGTTTTTCCCAAAGTACCGCATCTAAACGAGGAAGAATCTGTTCAAAGTTTGCGTGTTTCCGCAGAAGTTCTCTGGCGCTGTAAACGACACCAAACTTGGTGGAAAGAAGCAATGGCGCCAAACGCTCCGAGGCCCATGAAGGTAATATGGGTTGAGCAATCAATGCTTCGAGAAGAGCCTCGGCCCCATTGGTTTGATCCTCATCACCTTGATCCGAATGATGGAGAAGTGCCAAAATTGCTGACTCGGCTATCGTGTCGAATTCCACTCGAGGCACCAAAATACATAGAACCAGAAAGCGAATTTCCATGTCCTGCTGTTCTTCTAGATTGCATTCCATTTCACTCAGAACATCATCTGAGAGAGAGATCTGGTGTCGTAGAAGTTCAGATGCTGGCTTGACAGCTTTTCCTTGTTTGAAAAGATGCCATACCACACGGACGACATAGCATGACAATGAAGGACAATCCTCCAAGGCATTAATAACTTCTTTAAGGAGCTCCCGTTCGCCTGATGATAGCTCACCAGGTATGTATCTTTCCAGAATGCTGACGCAATGAGATAAAAAAACATCAGGGAGAATTGAGTTCCTGTCAAAAGCGTAGCTCGTCACGACAATTGCGAATTCGTCCTTATGAAGAGAATTCTCAAACCTCGTGGTAAGTTCATCGGCATGCCAAAGACCTGAGTCTCTTAGAATGTCACATGCTGACCATATCGTATGGAATTCAAAACCAGAATTTGGCATTTCGAAAGTTTGCCACAAACACTCCAAAACTCCCTTTGGTTGGATAGTCTGGCTTTGTAGTAATGTGACGATGTGGTTTAGGTTGAACAACTCAGGTTCCAATGGTAGCCTCGAAAGAAGTTTATGACAGTCAGAGGGTGACAGATCAGAGGGGTTTTTGACAAAGGCCAGTAATGCGGTTCTCCTAATGAACTTTTGTGGATCATCAAAAGCTTGGACCAAAATGTCTTTTATGTCCGGAACATCCAAAAATTCTTGAACGCTCAAGATATGCAGGGTGCGATGCCTGTCAAACAATGTTGTCTGCTGGTGGTATTGAGCAATCAACTTGGTGACGACTGATTGTGGAAGCTTTGTTCGTTCAAAATATCTACTTTCGAATCCCTCATGCCTTCCCTCAAAAAGGGGCAGCACATCGACGGCAGCGTGCAGTATAGTCTCCGATACATTGCGCTCGTCCAACGATGGAACGATTCGGCGTTTGACAAGGTCATCCGGGTCAGACAAAGTAGAGAGCAACTCGTTTGAGGTGAAATTTGGGAAACGACCAATGACACCCGCAGCCATCGCTCTGGTCGGGCTGAATACGTCAGACTTGAAGATCCCCCATACTTGTCTTGATAGCTTGTCGCTAATATGAGAACGACTCTCGATTGCACCCAAAGCCTTGATCTGCTGGCTTGAATCACCCTCTTCAAGCGCACGAGAGAAAAATCCCTCGGGAAGCTCCATTTCATGAAAAAAAGGGGGACATCACTGCGCCGCAGGAGTCGCAAAAGATGGGTTTCCATACTTTCTCGTAAACCAATCAATTTGGATGCTCCTTTCGTCTCATCAACCTCACTGAAGCAATGTACAAGAAATCGAAGGTGGACAGGCCCGAGCAGATCGCGTGGCTTCATTTCAATTTGTGCAAATAGTCTCATCAAGTCCGGATCCTTGTTGGACATCGATCCGCAAACAAATCGCCACATGATGTTATATCGCCCGTTGTATTTTTCACGGCCGATGAAATCTTCTGTAGAGATTGAGATGAAGTTGCCTGAACTCAAGTCAAAAGTAAGAACTTCTGTACCTTCTTTCCAGCTCTGCAGAAAATACTGAGCTGCGAAATATTCCTGGAAAGTCAGGTGAAGAAAGTAGTAGTCTTGATCTCGTGGACTGGATGATGCATCCGAGCTTCGCATGAAGGAAACTTCGTCCAAAATCCGATCGGTCATGTTTGGGAACTTCTGGTAAATCTCCTCTCTGACGCTGAAAGTGAACTCCGTGATGTTGCTGTAGAGTCCCATAAAGGCAATGTATTGAATGAACTCAATCACACCGGGAATTTGCAAGGCAATTTGCGGCCGATTGTGACATTTCACCACTTTGTGCCCGACGCTGGGATCTAGCCGTGGAATGTCCTTTTTCCAGAGCTTGATCTCGATCGCTTGATACAGCGCCGTCATTGTCGTCAGAGGCCTCACTCGCTGTATTCCCTCTTCCCAGGCAAAACAGAGGGCGTCTAGCTGGATAGGAATGCGCATCAATCCTTGCATCATCCAATGCCCTCCGATGAAATCCTTGATCTGGAGACCGTCGGCTTTACTGCAGACCCTATCCACATAATGCCCGATCTGGTCATCGAGAAATCCAACGGTCTCAATTTCCAAGTCATAGCCCTTCAGTCTAGATGGGAACACAGCATGCGGTCGCGAGGTGATAATCACATCTTGTCGATTTAAAAGATATTGGAACAAGTCGATCTTTTCTGGAAGTCCAGCTATCTCATCAAGGCCATCAAGGATGAAAAGAGAGCGACAGTCCTGAAAATCACACAGTTCATTTTGTAATCGCTCCCACAGAGGCTTGCTGTAGGGGATCTTGCCGAAAACCTCTTGTTCGATGAAGAGCTCGAATGTTTGGTAGTTCTTCAAGTTGCGGAGTGGAATCCAAATGATCCGATCGTATTTGGATCGCCACAATCCATGATGAAGGAACGCATGAATGATCTTTTTGCAAAGCGTCGTCTTCCCAACGCCTGCGCGACCCCGAATCAGGATTCGGGTGGGCTGCCCTGAAGATCCGTCTCGCAGCTTCCTCTGCATAAACAAATCTTTCAAATCAATCTGCTTTTCAGGCTGAGGTGTCTCTGCCTTCAATCGTTCCTTGAGTGACATTCCGACCTGGTTTATCTTGGTGTCTCGCTCAGCCAGGTCTTCGATCAGAGAAAGATTGATATAGCAGTTCTCTATCGGCACATCATCACCCGATATCCGCCTAACGTGAAGAAGCTTCCCCTCTGTGTAATACTGAGCGATTATAGCATCCGCATAAAATAGCTGCGCATCACCGCATGTTTGCATAGCATTTTGGAGAAGTGGCGAGTCTCCATGGGATTCCTGTCGACTGTCTCTCGTTTGGGTTGCCCCAAAAATCGATTTGAGCTGAGGCTGGGCTTCTTTGGAGCGGCGAAGTCGAGAGAGCATTCCTTTCCTTTTCGGGGGAAGTGCAGCCTTCCAGTTCGGCCTTTGGGCAGATTCAGCGACCAGAGTCACCCAAGCGCGAGTGAAGTCGCACTCCTTGCAAAACTTCTTCATGACTGGGAGCTCTAAAGTCCAGTCGAGGAACCTCTCAATCCGATCTCTCGAAGGCACATGCGCGAACCACTGCTGTTCAAGCTGAGAGTAAAGGCCGCACCAGAATTCACGTTTTGCGAAACATCTCAAGGGTTTCCCTTTGAACGGACTTATGAACTCTTTGAGTCCATCATAGGCCTCGAGACGGATGAAGAGATCCGTCATGCGCAGTGTATCGTACCAGCCTCTTTTCTCCGAAACACCCCGCATGCCGTTGAGCAAATCCTGAAAATTCTGACGCGTATCCCATATTTCTTTCCCGCCTTTCAAGGCCTCTCCAAAGCGACTGATCAACTTCAGCAAGTCTGGGCCTGCGTCAATGAGCTGCCCCAAGTCAAGCTTTGCCACGGCACCACTAAGTTGAATCACGATGTTGATGGTGATACCGCCGTAGCGCAAAGCTTCCTCCCATGGGCCCTCATTGTCTGGAACTCTATGCAATGCTTGGAGCGCATATTGAGCCGCCTGGGCCAAGCGGGGCTCGTCGTGATCCTCCAATCCACGAAGCTTTTCTTCCAGTGGCCCATGGAGCTGGACCCGGTCGAGACCCTCTACTTTGCAATCAACCATGGCGTCAAGAATTGTGCCAATAGCTCTGGTGAGCAGGTAGCTGTCTCTCAGTCGGCTTTCGTTGTTGCTGCTGGTCAAGTATTTGCTGAGAGCATTCAAAAAAGCTCCAAATATTTGCTCACTCGGAGGAATGGCATGTTGACCCCAACGGAGAAAGCCCGCGAAATAATGGAGTAAATCGCGATCAAGTGGTTTTTCGTCTGCTGTGCCGGTAGTGATAGCGCTTGCAAAACCGGCAATGAGGTCGTTGAATTCTTGGTTGTCTGCAACCGCGGATAGTAGCATGGCTTCCTTGCAATACATTAGAGCTGGCTGGTTCTTGAAATGAGAGATCATGTTTGATTTGATTGCCAGGTGAGCTTTTGTCTCCTCATCGGGCGGATTTTCTAGAGATTTAATCACATCAATAGTCCGCTCCGGCCGTCTGGCGTGAAGCAGATCGCCGGCCATGATGATGCGAAGCCCAGTACTCTCTATCAGAAGCTGAGACTGGGATTGAGGAAATGAAGATAGAAAAAACAAGAAAAGAAAAGAAAACGAGGTGAGCCCCTCCCCCCTGTAGTTGCGTGAGTTGTCAACATGAATGCCCCACCAATAGGCTCAGATTGCGCAGGCGAGACGCCGCGAGAGCCCAGATGAAAGCTGAGCCTCGAAGGCTGGGGGCATAAAAAGCAAAGAAATCCCGTCTCTGATTTGCCAGTGCGGAGTACTTAGCCCACTTTTAGCGCCGCCCCAAGATCACTCACTGCCCAGGTGGAAACCCGCTGCTCAGGCATGAAAGATTTAGAACCCCGCATCCTTGATTGCTTCATGCTTAACGGAGTTGACATAGAATTTTCTCTTCTTTCAGACATTATCTCACCAAGACAAAGATTTTCCACCATCTAGCTGTCCTTCTAGCTGTCTTTCTAGATGTCCTTTTCACTATCCTTCCAACTGCTCTAGTAAAGCATGACCATTGGCTATGGTAGATTTCGAAAGATACTGATCTTTCGGGGGGGACTTTTACTCTCGTTGCCATTTTTGCCGCAAAGGCGGCCATACTGCAGAAATTTGCCATCTCATGGCGGCGGTTGGCACCGCGCTTGCGGCAGAACTTCAAGGCATGTGATGACTATCTATCATGATTTTGTGCAGCAGGCTAACATACTTCTAGAAATGGAGGAGGCCAAGGCCGACGCTGTCGGTATGTGTTTATTGCCAGTGAGGCAGACTCCCATGCGAAACCAATAGCTAATCGGTTTCTCGCAGTCAAAGTCAGCTCTTCCAGTGAAGACAGCACCCTGTTGATGCGGCCAAAGGAAAGGGAGGCTTCGACCTCCAGTCAACGTGGTCAGTTTCCCCTGGCACAAGTGAAATGGGATTTCGTGACAAGGATGATGCTAATCGGTGTCTGAAGAGGTCTCCCGCGACCTCGATACCGAGATGACTTCGGGGCCCGGCCCCTCCAACACTTTTAAGTTGACATGGCTTTCTTTGCTTCCCTATCATACGGTTCATACCCTTTACTACAGAGTAAACAGGAAGAGAGTTGAAGGATGCGTAAGGTCTAAGGCAGAATGTGCCCCACCTGCCCCACTCCTGATGTATACAAGCCTTGGGAAGCTGCCTTCCTCTCACTCTTCTTCTCTTCCTTTAACTCTTCTACCTCATCCTGGCGTCTGTCTATCTGATCGCTTTCAATCCACTCATTTATCTACTGTACCAGCCATGACTCAGGTCGGGCTTTTCCCAAAGAGCCGATTTGGCGTGGGGACCAAGTTCACTTTTCAGACGCCAACTTCGAACACATGGACAATCCGACAAAAAGTCTCCCAAAACAACCACCAAGTTGAGGAGCTTGATCCGGATGATGTCGACTTTCACGTCTCAGAAGCTCAGGCAATATTCTTCGTCTCAAATGACTCTGACCCGAACGGGCCATTGGCATACATGCGTGTGTACCTGTGTACCTGCAAGTGCCTTTTCTATCGACTGAATTCAAACCTCGTGAGGTCCGAAGCCTCCAAGCCACTCCATGTCTCCACCAGGAAGTCCACGCCCTCAAATTCTTCCATCAAGAACACGCCACTGTGACTCCTCCCCTCCTGGGGATCAGGGAAGAGCTCCAAGGGGAAGATGATTTTGTTCCGGGAGGTTACATTGTCTATATGGTGCTCCAACGTGTACCTGGAATGCGACTTGCAGATGAAAAAGTCGGATTTAATCCTGGACTTCCCTTGCCCAAGTTTTTCCGGACGTTTGACCGTGCGGAACGAGATAAGATCCGCAAAAGTTCGACAAGGGCTTTATCGAGATGGCGAGACTTGACTATTTGTCCTGGGATGCCTGGGCTGACGACCTTGTGTGGGATCCTGTCGCCTCGAAATTGTATGTCTCTTCTTCTATACTGGCGCGGAGTCTTGTGCTAATCGTTTGAACAGCTGGTTTATAGACTTCAGAACTGCGATGGAGTTAGGTGGCGAGTGCCAAAACACCCGAGTCTGCACCAAAAGAATTATGCAACAGACGCAGACCTCCGCCCCATGTTTCCCACCTGGAAACGTTGAGGCCTTGGCAACCCTCCCGACATCCGAAAGCATTGGGATGAGCTTACAGAGTGGCTACTCTGATTCAACGTGGCTAGAAGGACGGCTCGAAAGACAGCTAGAAAGACAGCCAGAAAGACAGCCAAGTTATCCATAAATACCCCCCAGAGCAATAATAGCCCTAGAGCTTTCTTCTGTCCCCGAATAACCTAGTTAAGTAATCGTGCTCCAGGATTTTGATATAATCAGTACAATTAATGGCGTCTACTCTACTAAATCTTGATCAATTTTGATGTTACCTACGAGAGGGGATAGCAATAAGAGTTGATGTGTTAGGAATTATACACCCAGGCTTGGCGTTCGCGCTGCTACCCACTAGGTCAAAAGGTACATATGACCTCGGGACTGGCCTCGGGAGCACACTGCTCAGTCATGCCTGGACCGCTATATCGACCTTAACATGCCACGTCGTAACACGATGTCTGTCCGTTGAAGTAAGAGTTAGGTGAATGGCTGACCGTTTCTCTCGATTTCGACGCGATACCACGCCTGGGGACAACTGTGTAAATACATTGGATCATATAACGCGCAAAGCTCTTCTCGGATAGCTCACTTCACTCGTCACTTCAGCCCTAGTTAGTACCATAGTTAACATCTTACGTCATTTTATGCCTCGTCCCCGATTTGACTCCACTTTATACCATTTTAGGTATAATTGATCCACGTGATCTCGCGTTTGTCACCACGCAGCCAGATTCTTCTGAACGACCAAACAAACGCCTAGGACAATGGAGCTTCGAGATGGCAGATTCACCATCGAATTTAGCTCCAGCTCCATTGCTCAAGCGAAAACGAAGTGATGGGCCCAGTAATTGCACTTCCAACTCCGCAGATTCACCCAACGCGTCCTCCCTAGACCGTGCCACACCTACAACCGACCCCAAATCCCAACAAGACGCGCCGATCAAGCAGACGAAAGGCAAAGGAAAAGGAAAGAAGGCTGCTACGAAACCTCCAAAGCGTACTCCAGCAGCGCCATTACCAGATGCCTTCAAAAGCCTCTCCCAAACGCACCGTGCCTTGAATCTCATATATACATTCTGCTGTACGCGCAAACACTTTGCCACGACATTCGACAATATCAAAAAGGCTGTCCAATCTCAGCTTGGTCAAGGTCGTGAACTCACAATCGAAGATGTCGCACGAGTCAAGGTTCTGGTCCCAGGGGCCGTCCGCTTCGAGTATGTGGACGAAGCCAAGTTGGAAGTCATGACCATGGGCGACCAGGAGATGGCCCCGTACGGTATGCAAGCACGACAAAATATCGCAGACATGGCAGACACGGATGCGACCGAAGAAGGTGGCGGTCTTGATTGCTTAGACGGCACGAAGCACGTCCTGCTATTCGAATTCGTAGACGGCGATCTCAAACGCGAAGTGCTGCACCCGAAAACTGGGCAGCCTACCAAACCAGTGCGCCGTATGAAAGATGAAGATCTGAAAATGCCCGTCTACAGTCAGAAGCAGATGCTAGGTCTGATTGAGAAGCGGAATACCAAATTCTCAGACGCTATGAACGCGTTCCTGGTGCAATGCGAGGATAACCAGACAGATCCGGTCGAGTGCCTCGAGCAGGCCAAAAACGCTTTCATACCCACTCCTCCGAGTAGTGGAGAAAACACCCCGGCTCTGGCCGCGAGGCCGCCGGCAACGATTCCCAAAGAACGAAAGTCCATTGAGGAAATTCTTGCAGAGATTCGGGAGATGGAGTGGTACCATGCCCAAATCGTACCTGAGGGCCACCGCGTGTTTGAGGCTCAATCTCCTGCGTTTGGTGATTTGACATTTCAATTATCGCAGGACCTTGTCAATGCACTATATAACACAAAAGGCATCACCCAGCTATATGCTCATCAAGCCGAGGCAATCAACCATTTATACGACGGTCACAACGTGATAGTCTCGACATCTACAAGCTCTGGAAAATCACTCATTTATCAAGTTCCCATGCTTCACGAGCTTGAAAAAGACTCGGAAAGCAGAGGAATGTATATTTTCCCAACCAAAGCTCTCGCGCAAGATCAACGACGCAGCATGATGGATCTTTTACAGTATATGGAGGGACTTCAGCACACTATGGTTGAGACATTTGACGGAGACACACCGATGAGCAGTCGCAACTTGATTCGCGATGAGGCACGAATCATCTTCACCAATCCTGACATGTTGCACATAACAATCCTCCCACAGGAAGGTTCCTGGCGAACCTTTCTAAAAAACCTGAAGTTTGTCGTCGTCGATGAATTACATGTCTACAACGGTCTCTTCGGATCTCACGTCGCTTTCATCATGCGGCGACTTCGCAGAATTTGTGCCGCGGTGGGCAATCGCCACGTCAAATTTATATCTTGCTCTGCGACCGTCGCAAACCCAGAAGATCATATGAAATCTATCTTCGGGATTGATGACGTGAAGCTCATTGATTTCGATGGCTCTCCCTCAGGACGCAAAGAGTTCGTTTGCTGGAATCCTCCATTCAAGGACCCAAAAGATCCTACCTCTGGACGAAGTGACACTGTGGCTGAGACTGCCCGGCTGTTTAGCCAGCTGATCCTGAGGGGTGTGAGAGTCATAGCCTTTTGTCGGATCAGACAGCTTTGCGAGGTCCTTCTACAGGCCGTGCGAAATGAATTCGACAGACTTGAGCGCAAAGAGGTCGGTAAGATGGTGATGGGCTATCGAGGCGGATACAGTCCCCAAGACCGACGTCAGATCGAGAAGGAAATGTTCGAGGGACGGTTGATGGGCATAGTCGCAACCAGTGCCCTAGAACTAGGTGTTGACATCGGCTCTCTCGACGCAGTCGTAACCATGGGATTCCCCTACTCGATCTCCAACTTGCGGCAACAGAGCGGACGTGCAGGACGGCGCAACAAGGATTCCCTCTCGGTGCTCATCGGAGATCGATATCCAACCGATCAACACTACATGCAGAACCCAGATGAGATCTTCACGAGACCAAACTGCGAGCTACAGATCGATCTCACAAACGAGCTCATCCTCGAAGGCCACGTCCAATGCGCTGCATTTGAAATGCCTATCCGCCCCGATGAAGACAGCGTCTACTTCGGCAATCAACTACTAGCCCTGGCCCCAACCCGTCTAACAAAAGATACCCTCGGCTTCTACCACTGCCACCCCCGATTCCGGCCCCAGCCATCTCGCTGCGTCTCAATCCGCGACACAGAAGACCAGCACTTCGCCGTGATAGACACAACCAACAACCGCAACATCGTCCTCGAAGAAGTCGAAGCCTCGCGCGCCTTCTTCACAATCTACGAAGGAGGCATCTTCCTCCACCAAGGCGCAACATACCTCGTAAAAGAACTAAACCCAGAGAAATTCCTCGCTCGCGTCGTCCGCGTCCATGTAGACTGGAGTACCATGCAACGCGACTATACGGACATCGACCCGCTGGAAACCGAAACCATGCGCTCAGTCGGAAACGGCGAAACCGCATCCCGCGCATTCTTCGGTACTATCCAGATCCACGCCGTCGTCTACGGTTTCTTCAAAGTCGATAAACGAGGCCGCGTCCTCGACGCAGTCGCAGTCGATAATCCCCCCATCGACCGACTGACCCGAGGAATGTGGCTCGATGTCCCTACTATCGCCATCGATATCCTCCAATCACACAGATTGAACGTCGCGGCCGCCATCCACGCCGCCGAACATGCCGTCCTATCCCTCCTACCTTCATTCGTAGTCTCGTCGCCCGGAGACGTGAGAACAGAATGCAAAGTCGCAAAGAAAGAACTCGGACGACCGCTCCGTCGCGCAAACGCAAACGTCCCCGCCGAATTCGAAGATAAGCTCAAGCCGCCTTCGCGACAGCGTCCTGCTCGACTTACATTCTATGATGCGAAGGGCGGGGCGTGTGGATCCGGTATTGCGAGTAAGGCGTTTGAATTCATTGGGCTGCTTTTGAGTCGTGCGGTCGCGCGTATAGAGGCTTGTTCTTGTCTTTCGCCGCAGGGGTGTGTGGAGTGTGTTTGTGATGAGCGGTGTAAGGAGATGAATGTTGTTATGAGTAAGGCTGGGGCTGGGGTTGTGTTGAGGTGTTTGCTGGGGTGGGATGTTGATGTTGATGCTTTGCCTTTGGGGGAGGATTTGGATGGGGGGACGTTTGGGGTTGGTGGGGAATTGGCGGGCGGGTTGGAGACTGTGGTTAGGGCTGAGGATGTTCCGTGGAAGGCTGGGGTTCGAGCGGATGTCACGGCGTGATCAGGGGATTGTGTTTGTGAATTCACACTGGGTTGAGCTCTTCGCTTTCCCTGTATATTAGAATCGTCGTCCACATAGGCGAACATAAAGCATAACAACCGAAACGATGTGTAATGGGACTCAGTGTATAGATAATAGGACTCAGTGTATAGAGACGAAAAGTGTAGTCGATGATCTGATAGAAAGTTGGGTATAATAAATGTACATCAAGTCATGACCAAAGAAACTTCTTTTGGGTCGAAGGGAGAAGATGAGGAGAATGGTAGGAAGAGAGGAGGGTATATAGGCACGTAGGTCGGATGAGACGACCCAACGCAGGAAAGGGTATTCACAAGAATGTGAAAGAGGAAGGCTGAACAATCCAGACGACACGTATAGGGCAAAGAGGTGGAGCGACGCCCTGGAGAGGACCGAGGGCTGGTAATAGGTGTTGTAGATGGGGAGATATTAGGGATGATGACTGCTGTTCGTGCTGGTAGGGCTGCTTCCATCTTCAAAATCGTTCATGTTGAGTCTCCCGAAGAGAGTCTTCATATCGCGAACGTTCTCACGGAGCTCGTCTCGCGGCTGCGCCGAGCGCTCGGCTGTCAATTCGCGGATTTCGCGGACGATGTTCGTGTATCCCTCTTCATTAGGGAGCCACCAGTGGTTGACCTCTGGTGCATGCCAGATCGCAGAAAGAGCCATGCGGAACGAAGGGGGAATAATGTATCTATTTGGAAAATCGATGTCAGCACTGCTTCTCGGTATCGCGTCGTGATCTCGACGCTTCGAATTCCAGTCTTACCCATTTTGTTCCATCATGGCCATCTTCCGCCGTGACCACATCTGATGTTTGTGGTCTTTCGGAAGGAACATGCTCGCCATTCCAATGCTGTTTTTGAACATAATGCAAAATCCATTCTCTTTGTACGGCCAACGAACCATCGTCTCAATCAATCGGCACTGCTCCTGAGCCAATTCCTGCAATTCCTGGAGGAGAGGTTGTTGGAGGACCTGCATGGTTTGGAATTTGTACATTGTCTCCGTGGAGAGGATGTCGATCCAGGCGTAGTTGAAATCCCACAGGGCGCCCCGGTGTAACCCACCTGGCGTATAGGGATCTGTGATATCGTCTTCCGTCAAAGGCTGGTTGTGTGGGTATTCCTGCACCTTGTACTCATAGTCGTCGAATCCCCTTAGGATGATCTTCGCTTGCTCTAACCATTGGCCCAGCAGGTCGTTCTGGATCGCGAATTGCTCCATGGATATCATGCCACGGGACAATTTCGCGTAGAGGGAAGCCATGTCCAATCCGAAGCGACGGTTGATCGATCCCACGAGCTCGAGTTGTTTGGATGGGTCGTCTGGGTACAGGGCGGCTTGTTCGGCATCGTGCTGTTCCTTCGCTAGGTACCAATCTCGACTGAGGACCGTCTCGGTGCCGGCTAGAATCCCTACGACGACGTCGAATCGTGCGTACCATAGGAAGATGTTCGTATGTAAATCGTTCAAGTTCGATGACTCCGGTGTCAGCAGCTCTCGCACCAGTGCGTGGGCCGCTCGATGGTGGTCGATCAGATTCATCCAATCGCCGATGTATTCCTAGACTAGTCAGAATATTTCCAGTGCAGTTTCGAAAGGGTAATACATACCTCGGTGGTGGTCAACACGAGTACGGTGCAGAGCGTAGCCTCGGTGTGTGGTTCCCCAGAGCCCAGGGATTTCCGCAGGAGAATCAATGCCTTGTTGTAATATTTGAGGAATGTAGAGAGCTTGCCCTCATTGTGCAAGCTGTGATGATAGGCCGAAAAGCCCACCAAAGCGTATAGAAGAGGTTCATACTGTAAAGCGAGCTCGATCAGACTGTGATGGACAAAGTGGAAACAGCTCTGTCGCAGGAAGAAGTGTGGAGTGGTCATGAATTCCTGATGGAAATTTAAATAGAAGCGCAGATCATCCGACAAACGCGCATTGTTGATCAGTTCCGCCGTGGAATGTCCGATGCTGCCTGAGCGCACGCTCATCGACTCCATCCGCGACGACTCCGCGGACGGTGAACTACTCTGTTCTTTCACAAAGGGCGCCTCCGTGGTCTGTCGGGATGGTTTCCGCAGAGACTGTGTGCTCCGAGATTTATGCAAGGGTCGTGTGCTGGGGATGATGGGCGACGGTCGGGAATCCGATGTGGCATCGGGTTCCTCCTCGTCGAGGATGGGTTCCAACGGACTGACAGGGTCGACTTCCACCTTTCCAGAGGAATCACTACCTTGCGAGGGAGGACGATTGGCGCGCGACTTGACCGATCTGGCGCCGGATTTGGAAGCGGATGGCGAGGGGGAGGGATAGACACAGTCCCGACTGCCCTTCCTACAGCGTTCACAGACGGGGCGATTCTCGTCGCATTTGATCCGGCGTGAACGACAGGTGAAGCATCCACTGCGGGTGCGCTTGTGTTTTTTGTGATCTGCGAGCGGGAGGGCTGCCTGATATGAGGGCGCTACTCTCATCGTCGGGGCGGAGGGGTCGTGCCAGAATGCCACGCTTTCGGGGTACTCTGTCGGACCCAATAAAGAGTATGCAGAGGCATTTGGATCCTGCATGGAGTCTAAGAAGCCCGCCAGGGCCTGGGACGACTGTGAATTCGCCATGTCGCCCCTCATTGGAGATTAATTCAGTGTCATGGTCCGGAGTAGATGAAGTGTAGAAGTCAAGTGAGGCAAAGTATTGGATCTCGGGGACGTGCGGAGATTAGAGAAATCGACTTTCGACTTTCGATGGCTTCTTTTTTTTTTTAATTTGCATTTAGTTTAGTCTACTGGGTCTTGGGTTATTTTTTTCTTTATTCGAGTTCTATTTAAATTGATTCCACTTATTTCCGATCTGAGACCATGACTCTCTCTTCTCTTTGTACTGGTATTATCGAGTTGATCGTATCCGAATACGAACAATAGAAATCCACAAAGAATACCTCTCACAGTGTAAAATTGCTATATCAAACAGATGTCATTTACGGAGGCCAATCCATTTAGTCTGGTTCCAAGGTTAGTCCAATTGGCCCAAGTTCATAGCACTTAAGTGGCTGAGGGTCTACAGCGGAGCCTATAACGGGCCCTACAGTGCGAGCCTCGGCTTAGAATTTACCCCTAACTCGAACAGGATGGAACTATAGAACTATAAAACTGAATGTCAAACACACTACAGAACACTTCCAAGATTCTATCCCGCTATTACTCATGAAGATCAGGAACGTGAACATGACCATCACCATGAGCACCTATTTTAAGCTGATCTTCGCGGATGAACCTCGGGTCTCGGCGTGAAAAAAGGGGGACAGGTCCAAACGGCGATCCCCATGGAAAGCAATTCCGTTTAGGGCTTGGCCGGGTCGATGCAGGATGATCATAGCGCTGTCAATCCCGGGCTCCCCGGGCTCATGAATTGTGGTCTCCGTATCCGTGTTCTGGTTGACTCCATCAGGTTCACCTCAGCAATCCCCAGTTTTTTGCCCTATTATGCCTTTTATCAATCTCTGAATGGGGAATCAGATCTTGGTATGGTATGATCGTAATGTCTGTCTTGTCTGTCTTCTGTCTTTTTCCTAAAAATTATTATAATAATAAAACTTACATATTATTACCCTTTTTCAGTGCTTGCATTTCCGAGTTTTCCTATTCCAGTGCTCATTGGTCTCATTGGCTGTCAGTGGACCCCCTCTAGAGCAGGGAAAGACGGAATTATTCCAGTTGGGTCCAATCCTGGATCGAAATTGGACTACAGTAACATACATACATGTACGAAGTCCAGGTGCATGCACACGGAGACGGAATAACAAGATGACAACTTCCCATTGATCGGCAATCTCAGTCATTTCTGAATAATCATGCTCAAGTAGTCCCGCAGTAATCGACCACTCGGCAAATCTGAAACTTTCCAAGACGCCAGGCAGATGAAAAATGCCGAAAACGTTCGGTGGACGGAGATCGGTCCTAAGTGGAGGCGGCTAATGAGAGTGGGAACGTCCTCATTTGAGGGAACGATAGTCTGCAATGATGATTCATTGGGATTGGCCTTTTTTCTTTTTATTTTTCTTTTCCCTTTTTCGTTTCTTTTTTTGGTCTCCGTTTGCCTGAGCTCACTGGTCCTCTGCTCGGACCGTCGGTGTGCTATTGAGGAATATTGAAGATAGGGGCAAAAAAGGCTTGTGGCCACACGGCCCCCCCATTTCCCACGTTCTATTTTCCGCTATGTCTGACCGTTCAGCTGGTATCGTGCCTGATCGACGCTGGTTTGACAGAGTAGAGTGGGCCTGATAGATCGAGGCACTAGCACACTTTCAAGCCTTGGACCTTGGTCGGCTCAATATTCTCAATTCAGTGGGAAGCTCCGTGATCAAAGACACATGTCAAAATAGTATGACACGGGGACCAGGGAAGATTGATTTCAACATATCAATTGAGGAGAAAAGGGGGCGAACCCATGCATCTAGGTGGCAACCTTTACTCCGTAGCCATGAGTGATTCCACAGCCACAAGACAAGGTTCCAAGGCGCTCCCAGGCGCTGGACACATACTCCGTACTCCGTTCATGCATATAGAAATTAATGACTGGGCCGTGCACGAGCAAGGTAAGTTGAACTTGTCTCCATCAGAAAGTTAACCCGGGCCAAGCAGACGCTAGAAACCAGCTCCTGGTCTGTGGGCCCATGTGAGTCCTGTCCTGGCGTTTACGGTAGTGAGGCTCCTGAGAATAATCTCCTTTCCCAGTCATTTCCGCTGAAACTTCCCAAGGACCTCCGTGGACAGGGTAGACAGGATACTCCGGACTCCGGACATGTAGACCTTTAACTCCCTGCCTGGCGCGTTAAGCTGGTAAAGGAAATATCTCCGCATTATTATAGATCCAGCGCTTGTGGAAGCTAACGTTCCCCACTGGCACATGCGCCACTATACCTCATTCGGTATTCCTTGAGAGCATGATTCCAGGGGCAATCTGCGAGATCAGCACGGCAGTGTGGTTCTTGGTCGAAGATCATACAGTTTCTGGCGTGGTGCGGTGTGTGCACTGGTGAAACTTGGGTTTGAGTCAATGATCGTCGTTGTTTGGGATCCTCAGCCCTGTTGGCGTGGGATACAATATGGAGTACTCGGTACTAGTGCTGTAACTCATTATTACTCCGTACACTTGTACTTCGTACTTGTCGAGCAAATCATATAGAGTTTTGACTAGATCCGTCCAAGGTTTGCTTCAGAAAGCCCACAGCTCAGTGTGACTGCTGGGGCTAAGAATTATCTCGGCCCGCAATCTCTCGAGTTCTTCATTGGCCGCGAAAGCAGGGTAGGATCATGTTTCGTACTTCATCGGACAAGTACCTTGGAATTCGTGATACTCACGCTAGTCTTCAGCAATAGTCACCACTAGCATGTTCAAGTGGATATAAGAAAAGACAATTGGTACTTGTATAGAGTGCTTTTGTGCACTATTCCCCGTATAAAGTCCTAGCAATCCCGTTCTCCGTCATCGCGGCACTCGGAACTTATTAGCCCGACTGGAGAACCCTCGAGAGAAACTAGTAATGATCTTCACTCCACTCCATTACTGGCAGAGATTGAACACGATATCATTCAGCCTATATGATGAGCCAACGAAAGCACATCCCAGCCCCACCGGAAGAGATCCCAGTCCATTCCTAAAGAAGTCACCACATCGGCCGATCCCCAGTGACGGAAGTCCATTTAATTGAGTTGACGCCAGTGCAGTCGGGGGGCCAAAACCAGCCCACCTAGTCCACCGGCATGGACCATCTGCACCAGTGCCTGTGCTCCGTAGCTCATGCTTAGAAGGGGGAGCTGGTGGAGCTGAATTTGCCCAGTGGGCAATTGGGTTTGATCTGTCATGTTTGGTGCCATCATAGGTCCAACGGTCAATTCAGCGTTGCAGCGCTTCTGGTTGCCCACTTTCTGTGTCGCATTGCATGGACCATGTTGTTCCCGTTCTAGTTGCTTTTTTCTTTTCTTTTTTCTTCCAAGATTGTCATTTTGGTTTTAGCCTACTTCCTAACTTCGGAAGCTATCCTGATCAAGGGGTTGAGGCGCGTACGGAGAGTACTTCCGTACTTGTGCATAGTACTATATCCATCACGTGATGGATATGACTGTGGACATCGCAGTGCTCGACTGTCGAGGCTCAGGAGATTCCAACTAAACAATCAAACTATGTTCTGATCTATTTGTAGATCGACATCTGGGCATGTGATCAAGTCTTGGCCAGTAAACTGGTAGCAATTGCTCAATGACTCAGTGCTCTTGCTATTCCGTACGAAGTAATCCGTACTCCGTACTCCGTACATCTGACCCATCTACGAAGTAGTCCCCGGTGCCATCATCGTATACCTCCTTTTCACGTCTTTGGTCGCCGGTGATCTGCCAGGTCTGTGCCCAGGCAAGCCGTCCCGCCAAAGCTGAGATTTGCGTTCATGCTTGGCCTCGGCTTGTGTCGGTCTTGGTACTCCATAGTTGCGTAGCCAACAGACCCAATCTCTCCGAAGAAGATAGAAAAAAAAAAAACCAGAGTATATACAACTCATCCCTTTTTATTCATTTTTGCACTTCATACGGAGCACTCCGTATTTCGTACATGAGATCTATTTATAGTCATAACTCGTCAACAGACCAGACGACAGCATCGTTGAAAATGCGTATCCATCGCCCGGTCTTCAGCATCGAACGCAGATCGCGAGTTCCCTTCGTCCGGAACTCGGCATTCTTGCGTCATCAAGATAGCGTTCATGCGCTCGTGCCGTTCTTCTGAGCTTGCAGCTCCTTGAGAACAAGATCCACTCCCTCAATAACAACTCCCCACTCCGTCTCGTGGACCCGAGTTTCGAACGCCTCGAGATTCTCATCTTGGCCCTTCCGGAAGGGAATCTCTCGGACGAGAATCGGTGTACCCATATCAACCTCGGAAATGACATCGTGCATCATGACGCCTGTCTTGTCGATCTGACCTTCCAACCACGCAGCGTGGGCGCGATCAATCGCATTCTAAGAAACGGGATTGTTAGCTGTGTTCGTGTCCGTGTTCGAGATATCTCATGAGATAACCAATAACTCACAACACCATTGAAAGCTCCAGGCAGCGCGGGATGCAAGTTGATAATCCGTGTCTTGGCAGCCTCGAGAGGTTCCAGGAATTGCGGCGAGAGAATGTGCATGAAGCCAAGACAGACGACGAGTTCCGGCGCGTCGGCGAGAATCAGTCTCGCGAGTTCGGCATCGTATTCTTCGCGCGCAAGCTGGATTCCCTCTGGTGTCGCGGGGTGCTGCTTCTTGTATTTGACGAGGTTGTGGTATTGAGTGGGGATGTTGGCTTTGCTTGCGCGCTCGAGACCGAATGCGGTCTTGCGGTTGGAGATCACGCGGACGATCGAGGCGTTGAGCTGTCCGGCGGCAATTTTGTCAATCACGGCTTGCAGGTTTGACCCATTGCCGGAGATGAGAACGGTGACGCGAATCGGAGTGGTCATGGCGGAGGTAGGTGGTGAGTAAAGGTGAGGCGGGGCTTGGAGATTTGGCGGGTTGCTGTGGAATGTGTAGGTTTGAGGGTTGGCCGCCGAGTCAATTGAACCAGTAGTCCTTGAGAGTATACAGTACACCGTTCTCAAATCAAGTGCGACTGATGTTCGAAAGTACAACGATTGAGTTTCCAAAATTCTGCTGCTGGATTTCTCGATGCTTAGTCATCTCACTTTTTCGCGGGGCAGAGGGGTTGAATATCTACTGCGCTGGGCTCATTAGGCGCATGGTAAAAATAGTACTATCTCCAGTCCTGGAGACTGAATTTGAGACTGGACTTGAATCACTTGATGCCACATAAAGTTCATACAAAAGTAGAAAACAGGCTATAAACAATACATACACATGTGGTTGTAAATGACTCTTGGGTCAAACCAAAAAGACCCAAAGACCAAAAGACCACCTGAGAAGACCGTAACAGACCAATATTCTAGGCTAAAATAGTAACCTTCCAATGGCTCGGACGTAAGAACACCCAGACGATGCGCAAAACTAAAATGCAGAGGGGATATCCATGAAAGAAAAACAAGAATCGTTACAGGGCTTGAAGCAGACGCTTGATGCTAAAACAGGACAGGGATTCGAACGTCAGATTGAGGCGCACGGCTATAGTTAAACAACCGCTGGACCTGGATCTGGGGTTGGCACTGCGGCGCCTGGGGCACCTGGAGCAGAAGCAGCCGGGGTTTCGTGGACCCCTTCGCCCCGACACAGGGGACACGAGTTTCGCCCCGTGGTTAACCACTAAACGATAGTTAGTATACAGGGTAAGTGGAAGTGGAACAGTGCAACCAACCTGATCTATACACTCCTTGTGGAAGACATGCTTGCATTTGCCAAGCTCTCTGACTTCCTCGGCCACTTCGTAGTCACTCAGACAGATGAGACAGCGCTCTCCGTCTTGGATCTGAAGAGCTCCGATGCCTTCCGTGGCCTCTGCGACAAGCGAGCCACCATATTCCACCAGACGGAACAGCCCACCGGCGGAATTGATGTCGGTTTGAGATGCCACGGGGGGTTTGGCTGGGCCCAGCAACGAGGACAAAAGAATCATGTCTTCATAGGTCGGGTTCTGGGTCAAGTTAGCAAGTTGTCGGGGAAACTCGGTTGGGAGACTTACGTCGGTGAAGAGGGATGGAGTTGTGAGTGCAGGGTGATTCTCGGAAAGATTGGTGCCAACCACGTATATCAACCAACTGCGACCTCCACTGGGTGGGGGCTGGTCAGGCTCAACCATGCCATTGCGCCGAACAGAGCCAGAGCCAAGTGCCCTATGCCGAGCAAATTCAGAATCGCTTCGGCGTCGCTGGTGGGCTGGATTGAATGCAGGAGGCTCGCGCGTGGATTCCACTGTCGGCTGCATTGTGTGGCCTGGAAGATCTGGGCCCGCCGCAGAAGCAGACGACGGTCTGTGACTCGGAGTGGAGGTGCCCGAAGACCCGGTAGATACTGCATGTTCCGCTGGCGTGGACGGGGGTGGGTGAGGTCCTGGTGGGCTTTCAAATTGAGGGAAATGGGGCTCTGACATGCGTCTAGAGGCGGGTGGGGCTGAGGGACGCAGGAATTCTGATGGTGTATTTGCAGCAACACGGAGTCCACCTGGAGGGCGGGGACCGGCCTGTTCCGGACGGCGAGGGATGTGCGACACGGAAGCGGTGTCGCCTGGAGGAGGTTGAGGTCGGTGAAGTCTGTTCACTGGCAAGCCGCTTGGTGGTAAAAATGGAAGCCCAAGCAATGCGTCCAGGCCAGGTGCAGGGCCTGCAGGCTGTTCGCCATTTCCTCCGCCCCCAGCAGGGACCGATCGAACTCCAACAACCACAAGTGTTACAGTTCGTCCCTCGCTTTCTCCAGGCTCGTCAACGTCCATTGGGTCATTGGACGTGGTGTGATTGTGAGCGCCCTGTGTGCCCTGTGCACCCTGTGGATTCTGCCCAGGGGTGTCAGAATCCGGGGGCGTATCTGAGTTGGCAAATCTGAATACGCGCAAGAAGTTAACCGGTTGCGAAGGTGCTTCGGTGGTATCATCGCCTGAACCCTCGCCGTTGGCTGCTGGCTGACCCTGTCCGGAGGTAACATGCTGTAGACTCTGAATGAAGTTCTCTAATGAGCCATCGATTCCATCGTTTCCTAATGCTTGGATGTTGGGCAGCGCAGGACCAGGCGTTCCAGAAAGCTGAGCAGCAATCGCAGCCGCCGCGAGCTGCAGGACTCTCGAGAGAGGAGTTTGTTCCTCCCGCCGCAAAACTCGAGATGATCTTGCTCTGATAATACCGGGAAGACGACGCATCAAAGTGGGGCTTGGTGGTCCGGGGCCTAGACTTGGCAAGGAATCCCTAGAATGGACAGCTGGCTCCACAGAGTCAAGCTCATGGGGCGGTGCTGTGTAGTCCATTCGAGTGTCCATGGTTCTCTCATCAAAGGGCAGGTCTGGTGCAGTTGCATTATCATCTGAGTGCAAACCCGTATGAGGCTGGCCAAATATATGCGAGATGGGCGACGAGATCGAATGACGCATACGATTGAGTCTGACACTGCGGCGCCAGGAAGCTCGTGTGGGCTCGGGAATGGGTAATTGATCTGCAGGGTCGCGATACGTAGGTGTCGGTCCATCTGAAAGACCGACAGGCTCCCCCGTGAGGGGACGAAGTACGGTGACTGGGTAGATCGCCGTCTAGTGATACCTCTAGAGCCAAATGGACTAAAACGACCGGTGGTGTGAGCAATCTCCGTCCTTGGGATAGGTCTATTGACTCCCCCATGCCGATGTGCATGACCTTCAGCCGGTGTCTCTTCTTGGCTGTTGAGGAGGCCCCGGATCACCGAATTGGGGAGAAGCCTGGAGCCCAGCCTTGACATTGTCGATTGTCTTCGCGCTGTCATCCGAGCGAATGCGGCATTGCGCATTTCCCGCGAGGGCATTTCGTACTCCTCGCGGTCCTCATCGATGCTCCGCATGGGGCGCGACGATCGTATGTATTGTCTCCAGGAGTCTGATCGTTCGTTTGGCTGATCCGACGTAGTGCCTTGTCCATCACCGTGTGCGCCCATGCCCCCCGCTGGATGGCCATCCTCGCCGCTGTGATCAACCGTCTGTCTATGATTCATATCTTCATCCCTCGGGTTCGAGCCACGTTCTATGGGAGTTGCAGAGTGTGTCGGGTATCGGGTATTAGGTAGGTCACGTTGCGTAGAAGAGGACTGTCCCATAATAATTGTGGCAATTGTAATCGATGCGGAGTATCACAGTGCGTTCACTGCCATAGGAGCAGATAGGCTGGTAGCGGCGACCGTAGGAAAGTGGGTGATGAGTTGTCAAATCAAATTACCGAAGACTCTCAACCAGGACCGAAGATCTCGTTGTTATTAGATTCGGTTGGGTCTCGGCAGTTGGTATTCGGTGTGAGGTTCTAAAGTCCGTGCCGGGCCGTTGAAACAAAGGAGAAGATCAGGAAGGAGGATAAGCGGACTTTTCGTAGGATGGAACACGTCGAGCAGCTACTCTCATGCTAGCTGCAGCAGCCAAGAGTTTCAAAAGTCTCGAGCTGTCTGATAAGTCCAGACACAGCCCACTCCTGGTATAACCGCCGAGATGGTTGAATCCCGGGGGGAGCTGAGGGTGTCCCGCGCTCACGAGAAGACAGGGTCGGCAAGTGTGAGCGGAAGACAGCAAGGTAAGGGGGAATTAAAAGGGGGTGGAGAAGAAGAGAGATGAAAGAGAAAGGAAGATGTGATATGGACTCTTGATGTGTCTACCTGATAGAAGATAAGTGATGTGCTCCGATCAAATGAGGCCTGAGGCATCCACGCCTTCCGCCATCTTCCAGAATCGCAAATTTGAGACCGATCATTCCTCCCATGGACGCTCCTGATGGCGCCTACGCCTTCAGCCTCGGTCTTTACTCTCCCATTACCGCCCTGGCTTCAACCACCTGACTCTCGTGCATCTAAGTACGATCGCAAGCGCAAGAATGTGGAACACGATCACCCAGATGACGAAACGACTGATGTCGCATCGGGGGTAGAATCTGAGCCCGCGGGCCCTTCCTTGGTACTGACACCAAATGAGTCTCATCAATACCGCGTGGCCGGCCACTCTTTTCAACAAGAACTGCCCCGGGGCCAATTCCCCCATGGACCGCCCCGGGACGAGGCGAGGAAGCAGACTTCTTCAAGCCAACTGGAAGCCTTGGCAGATCTATCAACCCCAATTTACCCCCACAGGGCGACGAACAAGGCAACATCCGCTTCCAGCATCTCGGTGTAATGACTGCAATCTTACATCGATGCATGCTCCAAGGGGATTATGTTCGAGCCGGAAGGGCTTGGGGCTTGATTCTACGTGAAAACTACCGAGGCTCCCCGATGGATGTCCGTAATGAATCAAGATGGGGTATTGGTGCCGAGATTTTGCTTCGACGAGGTCAACGGGCACCTTCAAACAGTGTCCCCGGCAGCACCACCTTCCCGAGCTTTAGCTCGGCAGGTTTTGCCCAAGCCAAGGAATACTATGAACGTCTCATTCTCAATCATCCGTTCATGAAATCTTCACCACATGCCATATCCTCGCTGCATTTTTACCCTGCAATGTTTGGCTTGTGGGTATATGTGACCCAAGAAAACAGCAACCAGGCTAGGGAGGAAATCACTACTCGTCTCGATGAAGATTCTGATGAATTTTCAGACGATGGGTCGGATTACGATCCTGAGCGGCAGCGACGGCAGCGGGGCAGAAAGGCCATCGCCGCTGTCAGAGCTGAGGAGTTACAGCAAGCGCAACAAATTTCTATCCGCATGGACCAGAGTCTAGCATCCCCTCCGTTCTCTGACTCGGCTGAGTTGCTCGAGCTAAGAGGAATGATTTCGCTGTGGATCGGCGATCTGCTGGTCTCCTCAATACCGTTGCCAGTGGAAGTTGACGACGAGTATGACAATGACAATGACAACATGCTTCTTGACGAAGCCCCGGGCTCTTTGGAAACCAGGCGTGCAATCAGACTTGCCAATGATAAAAAGTCGCTTGAAGTCCGCAAATCTGCGGACTTCTTTGAGAAGGCTCAAAAACGCGGAAGGAATCTCGCTCACAATTTGGACGACGTCCATCTTCGGGACTTTTCCTAGATTGGTGCCCAGGTGAAGACTTTGTACTATTCAATTTGATACCCAATTATAAATACACGAGTCTTGGAAAGTTACACCTCGGAAGATCGTAGAATCCCCCTCTGAGACCATGATTTGAAAAGGTTTTTCTATTCATCGAGCTACTGGTTGGAATTCCCCTACAATGAAGCGACATGCCTTCGGAGCCCGTGGTGGCCTGTTCTGCCAGGCTCCCCGAGAAAATGGTACATCGACCTCGGGAGTTCTTTCTCTGTCTCTGTCTCTCGTCCTCTCCCCCTTATCTCCTCAGCTGTCCCATAATACATTGCATGATCCTACATGTCTGCTCTCATGGTCTCGACATGTCAACGTGGTCTCCCAATACAGCATCGCTCATCAACTGATGCGTCAGATCCTCAAAAGATGGCTTTCCTTCGAGCTCTGTCTGACGAAATAACTCCTCTCTAAGCTGCTCATCCGCCTTTGCGCTAGTCAACAAACGTTGTACTATTGGCACACACCCTTCACTTGCAGCCAAGAATAAGAGTTCTTTCCCCCAGTGTCCCTCGATCATTTTACTTGAGACATTGTCCACGAGGTCAAATACAAGATTCCAGTCCTGCCGCCCTTTGTACCACCGATTAGTGAGGGAACGATATCTTCTCCATCGTTTGATGACAAGCCGAAAAAAACTCGAGGCTCTGTACCTGAGCACTAGTCCGATCATTCAAGAAGAAGAGCTTGACTCTTGCCACGTTTCCCCATGGAAGAGTCTGATCAACCGCTCTCATAGCTGTCTCTGGAAGAAACATGCGTTCGTCAAAGTTTGACTTTTGGAGCATCTCACAAAGCGCCAATTCTGAGCCGTATATCGAAGTTATGCTGAGTGGATCGTATAGACTGCTTTCGAATTCAAATCGGGGTAACATCGTACAAGTCGGACGAGAATTCTGTAGAATCCAATTTCGAAGTCTAGTGGATCCAGCTTGGCATAAATTCTCAGTGCTCGACAAGCTTGGAAGATACTCAGCAGGCACGCAACCGAAATGATCTACCCAGTGGCATGAGGCGTAGACAAACAGCTCGCCAAGGCCTCGATCAACCGGGTCAAATCGAGCCATATCTTCTTCGAAATACTCCCACGTGCAGTTTGGGTCATATTCTCGCGGCAAATCATCATCGCTAGCTGTGCTTTGAAGTCGAGGCAATTCCACAAATGCTGCTTGCTCTTCTGAAAACAGCTCAATCTGACCAATTTTATCCAAAAGCAGATACTTGACACAGATGTCAAGCATGAATGACTCTATATGTTTTGGGGCATAGTTTGTTTGGTGAATCACTTTCGAGCCTGATTCCTTTGAATCAGGTTGTTCAGATAGCCACTCTTTCACAGAATGGTGTGTGAGTCGGAGCTGGTGCTTCCTTAGCTGATCATAATCGGGAGAGGCAATGAATGGGTGAATAAGTCTCATGACTCGTTCGTGCTGAACTTTCTTTGCAAGGGCCTCCAGAGTGTTGACTCCCGGCGCAAGTCCCAGTGCAACAGCCCAAGCTAGTTCTAATATGCTCAAAGCCCTGCGGCTAGCGTCGACAATGTTGAGAGCTGTGATGGCAAGTTGCCAATTTTGTTGATTGCCACCGGTGGTTTGCAGAAGGATTGATGTATAGACGTCCGAGAGCTGTCCGGGAAGAGGCAGTTCCTCCAAGAAACTTTCTATCGAAGACTTGGTCGAGTAAGAAAGAAGTTGGATAAGTTCTGTTGTCATCTTCGTCCATATAGCGCTCCCTTGCGCTCGTTGAGAAAGATTTTCTTTCAAGAGTTCCAGGATCTCCGGGGATAAATAGTCAAGCGCCTCAAGGGCTTTCTCAACAATTATACGGTCTCGCTTCGGGCCAGAATTCAGCTGGATCTTGGTCACACTGTCCAACCGTTTCATGATATCTTCATGTGGACGACAAGATAGAATAATCTTAAGTCTCGAAGTTTTTTCCGACACAAGCTTCAGAAATTTGAGAAGTCGTTGCCGCGAGTCACGATCGCATTCATCCAAGCCGTCGATGACGAAAATGACCGGTCGATCAATCGTTTCAAGCATGTTTTGCAACATGTCTTCCATCGTGATAATGTCCAATGACGGTTCGAGACCTAAATCTTGAGCCTGCTGCTTATAACGCTCATGGAAGGGCTTTTGGAGACCTTTGAGCTTCGTTAGAAGCAAATAGGTCAAAGCAGAGAGCACAGAGGTAGGCTTCCCTGTCTCGTGATCTCGACAGTAGTACTGGCATAGTACAGGGCTGGGTAGACGATGATTGTTCTTGTGACTCAGCATCTCTGCAAGAAACGCCATTGCAACGGATTTTCCGTGGCCCACATCGCCAAAGATTACTAGCTGCCGAGACTCTGTAGCATCATACCAGCTTTTAAAGCGGGGGTCCTGAAGCAAGAATTCGCAGGCCTGATCAGCTCGAGTTACTCGCCAATTGCTGCGAAGTTCAGTTTGCAAAGCGAGCTTGTCGGCTCTGAGCCACCGAGAGACTAAACATGGTTAATAAATATGTCTCGAAAGCCCAGCACGCACTCACAATCCTGGTCATACAACATCATTTTGATATCGTCTATAATTTCCAAAGTCGCTTTATTTATGATTTTTTCGAGTTTATCAGCGCTTGTCAGGAATTCCTGGATGATGGTGGCAAGGTGATCGTTCTCCCACGCCATTCTCAATGCCAGGCTTGCGCCCTTCCTGGTTATCAATTTCAAAGCGGCGTCATAAAACTCTAGCACCTTTTGATACACGACAACAAGTGCCTGGAAATAACTAGATCCGTTGAAGTATGGAACAAAGGAAGAAGAGACAAAAGAAAGTGTAGATTACCTTGTGAATATCACTTCGGTCAATTCTCTGCCCCATCGTATCGCACTCGTCAATGTAAGAGATTCGTTCTAACATATCTGCAATTTGTTTGGAAAATTCCATATCAGCGTTTGCAAGCAGAATAGCAATCTGTGTATAAAATTTGGAGAAAGTAAGCGATATTCACCAGGTGGGCGAGTACATCATCCAGGTTAACTTACCGCCGTCACGCTTCTGAGTACTCCGAAGACCACCGATGCAGTTGGTTCGATGTTTGTCAGTGGGCTCGCTAAATCCAATGCCACTTTGAAGTTGTCAAGGCTAGGCTTCAAGAAACGCAGGTGCTGTACACCTTTTAAGAACGCAGATTCGTGAACAGCCTCCTTTTCAAGATCTTCCAGCACTTTGAATAGCATTTCAGCATTTTTCCCCATTGTAGCGGCCGTCATTCTATCCCCAAGACTCTCAACTGCTTCTCGATATGCCGCGCTCCAGATATCAGTCGATGGATCAACTGCCACATGTTGTGCATTCCTCACGATAGTGCGAGAGCCCGCAGCATCTTTGTCCCCCGTCTCTTTGGGGTGTTCGGCGAATTGTCTCGATTCATTCGGTGGCGGTGAAGTATTGTTTGTTGAAACCAAGACTGAAATTGAAATCAGCACCCGTACAGCACCCTTCGAAACTTAGGGTTGATCAGATACTTCGTTCTACTGACTGTTCAGGCGGGGCAGAAGTCGAAAAATTCGGAGTTTTGCTTCTCAGTTGATTGTAGCGCCGACGAATTCTCTGGCGAATACTTTCTTTTGCTGTTGCTGTGGGCATCATGGGGGCTGAAAGAAAAAGGGGGGGGATTCTCATTGCCAGAGTACAATTTGGAACCCTGGAACAAGCAAACCACATACAGCTATGCATGGCTCGCACTACTATATACCAACCGACAACTATCATACGAGCCGCGAGCCGTGTTCTATAATGTCAATCATTTTACAATTGAAGAAGTGGAACTACCAGATTACCCAAACAATCTTCTCGGGTCGTTTATAAAATGCATCGGACCAATTAACGCTGGGTTTCTATCCCACTTACGTACGCATCGCCTTTCCAGCCACAGAACGAGTGAATGGCCAAGCGAGGCAAATTGAAGAAAACAGTATGAAAAACCTGAGGTCTGATACTCCAAAGTCAATGTATCAAGTTGAATACACTGGAAACCCTCATCTACAACAAAAGTGCCAGGTGTTTGATCGCGGAGGATCAGGAAGAAATCAACTCTGCTCGTAATATATTTTCGAGAATCAATGCGGAGTTCAGAGGGATTCCTTCTCTGAATAAAATCATTGTTAGGGTCTGCAGTGGATCTTTAACCTCTTCAACGAAAGATTTCCTGGAAGGCCTTGGTTGGGTTGTTTTGATCGGCAATGAATAGATCGCCCTGGGGCAATTGGAGCGGGGATAGATGGTGGTTTCTGCTGCTAGTGTAAATTGGAAAGCACTGGTCTGCTACATGATCCATGCATGTCTTTTGAATCCGGGTTCCTATCCATGCCCAGGTGGTCAACTGCTATGTATGTGTGTAGTTCCAAGCCTGCAGCGGATACCTACTCCGTATGGACCTCGTAGTTATGATTGGATGTGTTTAGTGTTAAAAGACCGAGTCGGCCCGCCAATAAGCCAACAGTGATCAGCAAGGCGCAGCCCGTCTCATTGAACTTTTCTATCTGGCTGAGGCTGGAACCTTGGAAGTGAGAAAAACAAACCTGGAATTGGACAGTGGGCTTCTTGGATCAACTTTGGCTGTACGGAGTAATCATTAGTTCTTTCCCACTCGACATAGCTGGTTGCTCTCGCTTGCAGCCAGCCGAATTATAGCACGACTGTTACGACGTAGCATGTTGTATGGTGGATATATCGACCCAGGGATAATGGAACACGACGTTTCGTTATTATGCCTTTTGGCCTAGTGGTTAGCGTTTTCTAAGCCCCTCACAATTATTCCGTACTATCAATTCATCGCTTATGGCTTTTTAACATCCTATCTCCCCTATCCATTATAGTCATTAGAAGCATGTTACTAGCCTGATCTAGTTTGAGAATCGAGTGTATCCAGTCTGGGAGCCAAATACGGAGTAAGAGAAGCAATAGTCTATCTACTCCCTATATCGGCTGGCTGGAGCTAACGTTGGAACCAGGGTGAGATGTGGGAACATATAGCCCAGAAGTAATGTTATGCCATCGCCCGGGTGGTCTAGTGGGTAAGAGATTGTCACATCTCCACTCAAACACAACGTGATCTAACAATTCTTCAGTATGATTCGCGCTTAGGGTTCACCCAAAGCATGAATGCGCGAGGTCCCCGTCAATCCCGGGCTCGGGCCGATTTCTTTTTCTTTTTTCTTTTTCCTTCTTCAGAGAACACATCCCACGTTTACGTATTGAAGCTCGCAGGTGGCTGCAGCAATTGTCTGACATCAACCTTTTATCAATATCTCTGGATTTACGGAGGATTCTTCCATGGTTCTAAGATTGTATTGACTGCTGATGCTGGTATATACACTTGACTATCACCACGTGACCACGCGTAACCTCGCGCGGCGGTGACTGAAATCCACCGATCACCGCCCAACACCATCCGGGTCAAGACATGTATCCTCCAACCGTATGAGAGACATCAGCAACAATGGGGGTTGGTGATTATATCCATTCCAAAGAGGGTGGACTGCCGCGCGGAGCCGACAAAAATGTGCGTTCACGACACCAGCGTGCTGAATCGGCCAGACCAGAAGTGGCCCCGGCGCAATTGACCGGTCTAGGCGCCGCGGCTGCCAATGGCGCTGGAGGTCCAGCTTTTCAAATGTCCCAATTCCCAAGTCAACCCCGTAGCCTTTCTACGCAACCTGTGCAAGGGCCGCAGCCTACACATGGCCAGTGGGACAGGGGTGTTTTTGATACCGACGTGGAAGAGATTGATGATTCCACTGTGGCAGGAACCAGTGTTTACGGGGTGGATGAAAACAAGTCCCAGGCAGCATTGAATACAAATGCAGCTTACTCGAATGCTGATCCGCAGCCCTTGTACCAGCCGCGACCCGCACGGCAGACTTGGGGAGCCAACTGGAATGATCATCTGGGTAACCAAGCCACGAAAAAGACGGGGTTCGATTCTGATGAGCTCGAGGACTTCGGAAGCCAAATCACCTCGTCGATTGAAGGGGCTGGCGGTGATGATGAAAAGACCGACGAGGCAGCGGGTTGGTCACACAAGCCGCGTGCGGCAGAGGAGCCACTAAGCAAACGCCTGGAGAAGTTCTGGAATAACACCAGGAAACGAACATCTTCTCCCCAGCCCGTCAATATAAGCCCTGATCCGGAGTCTCAAGGCGAGACCCAACCCAAGGCGAAGCCACGGAAGCTGGGCCAGATGCTCACTGCCGGGCCCAGGAAGGTCATGCTACCCCAAAACCCATCATCAACGCCTAGGACACGTTTCAGTCCCCCCAAACCCTCACTTCTCGAGCAACTCGACAAGAGACTTGAGACATCGCCCACACGCCAGAACTCCCAACCTCCACCAGACCTCGCTCCGTCACCCAGTATCTCGTACTTCCAGGACCACATCGGTAGCGACGGTGGCAGTGACGACGGCATGGAACCTACTATTCGCGCAAGTGACAGACGAGTAGTCAGTCACTCGACCAATGCCTTCGACATGACCAGTCTAACCGACTTGGACGTCGACGAAACAATCAATGATCCTTTCTTCGCGCATAATTTACACGAGTCCCACGAAATTTCTGAACAACATGAACAACATGAACAACATGAACAACATGAACAACATGAACAACATGAAACATCAGAACTACAAGAACCCCACGAGCCACACGAGCCTCCAACCCGAACTCGCCGCAACACTATTATACACAACAAAAAGCGACCGCTGGAGGCAGACTACCCCCCAGAGATTCTCTATCAAAAATCATTCTCAGACCTCCAAGCCGAGCCCTTTGATAAGGCACCTACTCCTCCCCCGATCAAATCACCTCCTCTGCCACCCAAACCAGCGTTCATTCCAGAGGACCACGAGCCCAAAAACGCCGTCTCGGACCTCTTGGCTCTCACTGATCCAGAACGCCGAAATTATCTTTCCCACATGACCATGGATGAATGGGAGGACTGCGGGGACCAAATGATCGATCGATTCACTCACCTACTCTCAGAAATGAAGAATCTGAGACGTGCCCGCCGCCACACAGCCGCTGTATTCGAAGGCGAAGTCAGACGTCGCCATGACCAAGTCGAAGCTCAGGATTCGGAACTGACGAACAAATTGACCGAGATGAGAAGTGGTGGTGCGGAGGTTCTGCGCGGTCGTTATCCTTGATTTCTGATCCTTCGCTTGAACTGTTATTCACAACCTACTTTATCGTCGACTGCGAGTTGATTATTCTTGCCAAATACCCCTCTTAAGCTTGTTCGGATTCCTGGGTTCTATTTAACCCTCTTAATCAGGTTCGATGTTTTGTTTTCTTTCATTTGGTGATAATATATTGCTAGAAATGTATGGTATGGACAATGCATCGATAGACCGAACGAGGAGATCCAGCCCTTCGCAAAAATGAAATGCAGTCAGATATCTATAACGCCAATAGTGCAATTTAAACGCCCCGTTTCAATGTTTACCGAGACTCGGGCTTGTAGAGTGCCGCAGCGAGTCTCTTGTAGTCTTCAAGCAGGACAGCCACATCCCCAATGCGGAGATCGCGCGCATCTTGAGTATCAAGGAGACGCTGGATAGGAGGGTCAATTTTGACCGAAGCAGGCAGTGGGCTGTTTCCGCTATTGTTACTCTCAACCGAGGCAGGCGATGGCTTGAACCGGTCAAGTCCAGAGGGAGAAACAGAGCGGCCAGTGGGAGTCTCTGGAGCGTTGCGGCCGAAGCCCCTCATCATGCCGGGAATGTGGTTGAGTGGGTTGAGAGTGTTGCCGAAGTTCCGCATTGATTCTAGCGGAGTTGGGCTCGTTGCCGTGTTTGATGTGAATTCTTCCCGCAGGGATGTGGTGATGGACTTTTTACTGCTGCCCTGGGTGCGGGTGCTATCCACGCTACGGTCGCGGGGGGTGGGTCCCCCGCTGGATGGATCTGCGAGTCTTGAGCTGCTGCGTGGCGGCGTGTTGTCGCCCACAGAGACAGAGTTGATCGCTGCCAATTCTTCTTGGGTCAGACTCTGATTAGTGGAAGAGGTCGATGGCAGTGTCACTAAACGCCGAGCCTCGGCCAATGTCTTTGGGAGCACTGGCCCGCTTCCCTCTGTGTTGGGTCCTTGGCTGATTTGCATTTCTTTCAGACGACCAAACAAGAAATTGAAACTACTGTCCAGGGTGGCACCGATATTTTTGAGACCTTGGTCTGCGGTGGTACGGACGGCGTCATTTGCAGCACCGAGGACTTTGGCAGGGGGCTGGAAAAGGTTGCTCAGGCGCCGTTGCTGGGGAGTTGTAGCGAGGCGTGGTCTGGGCAATGTAGCGGCAGGTTCTTTGGGTTCCGGTTTCGCCATTTCGGGGGATGCTGAGATGGCTGAGATAGACGAAGTGGTGGTCTCCTTTGACGGACGGAACGGATCGACAGGCTCCGCGGACGGCGTGGTTGCTTCCGGGGTTTTGAGAGGACCATCCTGCAGCTCATCGGCACGCAAGGTTGAGAGATCGACATTTTCCAAGAAACTGATCGCAGCTTCAAGATTGGTCAAACAATAAGCTGATTCACCGTCAAATTTGCTCGAGGATCTGAACCGTTGGATGAAAAGCAAATTGCTGACAATGTTAATGCCCTCCGGAGGGCAGGTCACCAGTGAGTAGATCAAGGTTGGGAGAATTTCATCTGCCGAGGAAGACGACGGCAAAATTTTGGTAAGAGCATCAACGATGGCCTTGTGGGCCGCTGCAAGCTGCTGAAGCTTCCCAAGAGGGTACTTGTAATTATCCATCTTTGCGAGATATTCTCGAGCTTGGGCAAGGAACTCGTTCGCTTCTTCTTGCTTCTGCTCATCGATGGATTCAAGATCTATATCAATACCGAGGTCCTTCAGATTAATGCCAACTAACAGCAAAGCTGCAGTCTTCGATCGCAACTTTTCATCACGCACATCATCCAGTGTGCTTTTGTGTCGCCAGATCTTATCGTATACCAGCTCGCAAACCCTGCGTTCTGCGGCTTCTTCCAATGCGCTTTGCTTGCTTTCCAGAGCTTTGCGGGCCTTGCGCTTCTCGGCCACTTCTCCCGCGGTCAGCATTTGACGGCCCGGGGCCGTTTGTCGGACATTATCCTGTGAGCGTTTGCTCGTCAATTTCGATAGCGCACTTCCCCGTGGAGGGTTGACGGGGACCTGGGGCGAGAGATCACGGTTGATGCGAGATATGAGAGCCGAGATATGGGTGGCTATGTGGGATTCGGCGCGGCTGTAGAAGACCTGGAAGAGCTCGGAAATTTTGTCGATCGTCGGAGGCGAATTATGCACTTTGGCACTCAGAGAATTCACGAATCTGAAGGCCGTTAGATAAGGAAAAGAAGGTTTTCGGTGGGACAGTGCGATGATTACCGATCTGCGAGACTGATTAATTCAATGGGAAGCTCCTCTGAAGGGTCCTGTAAGCTGCGGGACAGCACAAAGCCTTCCTCTGCCTGTCCATCGCCGGTAGTGCTCGAATCTGCGGAGCCGCGTCTTTCGAACACGTCAGGCCCATCTGCTTGCCCCTCCTTGACTGAGGGCACAGGAGTCGAGGGTCCCCCTGAATTCTGATCTGGGCTCTCCATTCTGGTGTATGGTTGTGAGGAAGTTATTGGAGACCGAGAGGCATTTTCAAAGCCAGACATTTCAAAGACCAGGGGCGATGGGGGTCTATCAGGCACTAATTGCGTGTCTCCGCTTCCAGATGCAGCTGATAGGCCTATGCCGATCACTACCCGGAGCTCCGCCGTTTTGGCTGTCCTAGTCGTTTGAGGGTCAGGAGCATGAACAGCAGCTGATCAAGGTCACAGCATTGAATATTGAGGACTCCAGGGCAAAGAATGATGCAAATGTCCAAATATCCAAGGAACGAAAAGATCAGGAGGAAAGATTACCACATCGCGTCACGGTACTCAATCACGTGCAGATCCCGATCTCCGCACTGCGTCACTTGATAAGTCACTCGATAACCGCGATAGTCCTCCTTCTTTGACCTCACATCATCATGTCCCGCAAACGCTTACGGTATGGGCTCAGTGTGAGCCTTTTGTTATTGTCTACCTTATCATTTGGGGTGGCCTCTGCCGCTGCTCAACAGTATCCACTTATCCCGCCACAAGTGCCCTTGAACGGGCCCGAACCTCCATCGGAGGCCCATGAGTTTGTAAGATGATCAGCCTCAATTTTGTCTACTCACCATTTACTAATGATCTATTTCAGTCCCTCCGTCATATATTCCACCGGGTCGACTACGAAGATGTCGAGTTGCATGCGAGGCTCGATATCAAGCCGGACACTCGCCTCCGAGCCGTGTCCGAGGATGGTGATGAAACGGAGTATATAGCATCGGAGTCACCTCTTCTTGCTTCGTCGAGCCCTCTGAAAATACAACGACTAGCCGATCGACGAGTGCCTGTGGTTGAAGGACATTTAGCAGCCGCTCGATCTTCCAGCTCCGCAGTCGCTCTATCCCCACTCGACTGGGTCACGGACACTGTGTCGGGCCCAAATATTACCGACAAGCAAACAGTATTGACGTTTGCTCAGATGACCGCAAATGACTACATTGAAGAGCCTGGGACGGGTGCCTGGCATACCATTCACGGCCAGTTCAATTATTCGGGAAGTTTTGGATGGCAAAAGGACGGACTCAGAGGACATATTTACTCGGATAAGACAAATAGCACAGTTGTCATCTCGTTGAAAGGTACTTCGCCTGCTCTTTTCGATGGCGCTGGTACCACTACCAACGACAAAGTGAACGACAACCTATTCTTCAGTTGTTGCTGCGGCCAGGGAGGCTCGTATCTATGGAGACAGTCATGCGACTGTCAAACGAAGACATTCACCGCGAACCTGACTTGTATTGTGGAATCTATGAACGACGAGAACCGCTACTACAGACAAGCCATGGATCTATATTCCAACGTTACCGAGATCTACCCTGATTCGAATGTCTGGATGACTGGTCATTCCCTTGGAGGTGCGATGACCAGTCTGGTTGGGTTGACGTTTGGATTGCCCGTTGTGACGTTTGAGGCCGTGCCGGAAGCCCTACCTGCAGCTCGACTTGGGATTCCGAGTCCGCCCGGCTTTGACTCGCGACTTCCACAGGCGCGACAATTTACCGGAGCCTACCACTTTGGACATACGGCAGATCCGATCTATATGGGAACGTGCAACGGAATCAACTCAATCTGCACTTGGGGCGGCTATGCGATGGAGTCGGCGTGCCACACTGGTCAGGTGTGCACTTATGATACTGTGGCAGACAAGGGTTGGCGTGTCGGTCTTGGTACTCACAAGATTGAAAACGTGATATCCGACGTGATACTGAAATATGACACGGTTCCGACGTGCATCAAAGAGGAAGAGTGTTACGACTGCGAGCTGTGGAAATTCTTCAAAAGCAATGGGTCTGAGATTACCACTACTACCTCTACGACAACCACGACGTCTCTCACTCGAACTTCTACATGCAAGACACCCGGGTGGTGGGGCTGCCTGGATGGGAGTACCACAGACACAGCCACTACTACCACCACCACGTCTCCGACAAGTACAGCCACTACCACGACATGCAAGACTCCGGGTTGGTTTGGGTGCAATGATCCCACCACCACAACAGCAGCCCCCGCATCCACAGTAACAACCACTTTACCCACAGTGACCGCAACCGCAACTACAACTGCAAGCACCAGTTGCCATGACCCCGGGTGGTTTGGCTGTCGTGATTCGACCAGCGAAGTAGCCACCACCACAGCCGGCCCTGTCGTCACGCCCACCTCCACGACTTAACAGACACCCGATGCTGTGCGGGGATGCTGGGACAAGTCGACTCACACCCATCATTACCTCGGCACCTTCATTGAATACTCTCATCGTTTGATCGCGTTCATACATCCACTGGACCATACAGCATGGTCTCATTGTTCTGATCAAATTGGCCCCCTGCGGCTGTACTAACTATACCCATTTACATCACATGATTTGTTTGACTTTTGCTTTGTTTTTAGCTTCCCCTGCACCATATACAAGATACGATTTGCACGAGAGCGAGCAATTTGTTGCCATCATTCGGTTTTGACAGTCTCTGAATTTACAATTCCAAAGGAAATACGTTCCACACGCCTGCTCAGCTCAGGGCCTGCGCTGATATACACAAGCGGTCACAAGTGAGCTCCAGTAGATCCACAAAAGAGGACCCTAAAGCTTCATGGTAGCTAAGATAGATATTCTATTAGAGTTTTTGGGGACTCTCTTTGACAGAGACAACAATCTCTTGACCCATCACCGCGATAAAAGTGACGGTAACATCCTTCTCTTCATCCGTGAACATTCGCTTGATTTTATCACCAACTTCATTTGTTGGAAGAGGAACCTCGTACTTTTCATCCCCGTCATCCAACTGCACCGTGATGACACCATTTTCGCAATCCAACTACAGACAACAAGAAACCCGCATTAGATATCCAGTTCATACACAGGGACCTAGGGCAACCATACCAGTTGACGATCAAATCGCGTGACGTCCGGTACATCCACGTTTTCGTCGTCTGCCACGCTAGTTTTCAACTTAGCGCCGGTGGCTACATATTAAAGATAGGAAGAATTAAATCGAAGAGTATGATGTATTTAAACAGCTTCACATGAAGTTGACTCTCTCTCTCTCTCTCTCTCTCTCTCTCTCTCTCTCTCTCTCTCTCTCTCTCTCTCTCTCTCTCTCTCTCTCTCTCTCCCTGCGCTCATCTACTACATCCAGGACTCTGTTGTTGTGTGTCCAGACAGAAGAGTAGTTCGTTGCCATTCTTTAGCAGTTCATATCTTCTGCATCTGAATCAACTTTGCGCCTGTAGAACTTTCACATGGGCGCCTGTAGACTTATATGTTAATGATACCTATATGGCCAATCGATTTTGGGTTGAAATGTGCTAGGTTTACTCCGTAATTGCCCACAAGGAAGTTGATTGACAGCAGTGAGATTCTTTGATTTTCTTTTTTTTCTAAATTTTTTTTTATTGATATATCACAGCCATATCGCCATGTAGATATCTACACCGTACGCTCTTGGAACCTTGTAATTGGTATGGTTAGAACCATCCTGAAACACCCATCTGATTGTTTCAGTCTCGATAAGAGAGTTATCGCCCTGGAGGATGTGGATATCAAAGTCTTCGCAGCCAATGAATAGTGGATGATTTGCTATTACCGGTGGATCCGTTAGATCTTATTTTTTCTTTTCTTTTTCTTTTGTTGAGATTAAGTTTCTATTCTTGAATACTCCAAGATCTAAACATACAAACATGGGTAACGACAACGAGCCCAGTGAGTATACATCTACAAGACCAAGACTCGTGGACATTGGCTAACCCTGCGCAGAGACCTACCGCTATAACGAGACGCCGGTCTACACTGCCTCCAATGGCTGCCCGGTACGACCAATGGCCTCTTTCTTATACAGCAACCTCTGATATCGTGTTAGGTCATGGATCCCCAAGCCGCTCAGCGCATTGGGCCTAATGGCCCTCTGCTCCTGCAGGATTTCCATCTGATCGATCTCCTGGCACACTTCGATCGCGAGCGCATTCCCGAGCGCGTGGTTCATGCAAAGGGCGCCGGCGCCTACGGTGAATTCGAAGTCACCGACGACATCAGTGACATTGTATGAGAATTTCTTGCTTGGATTGGAACTGCGATACTCACACTTCGCAGACTACCATCGACATGCTCAAGACCGTAGGCAAGAAGACCAAGATGCTCACTCGGTTCTCAACCGTTGGAGGTGAAAAGGGCTCCCCCGACAGTGCGCGTGATCCTCGTGGATTCGCCATGAAGTTCTATACAGAAGAGGGCAACTGGGACTGGGTCTTCAACAACACCCCGGTCTTCTTCCTGCGTGACCCGGCCAAGTTCCCCATCTTCATTCACACTCAGAAGCGTAATCCCCAAACCAACTTGAAGGATGCCACCATGTTCTGGGATTACCTGTCCACCCACCACGAGGCGGTCCACCAGTTGATGCATCTGTTCAGTGACCGTGGCACTCCCTTCTCCTACCGCCACATGAACGGTTATTCGGGCCACACCTACAAGTGGATCAAGCCGGACGGCACCTTCAACTACGTCCAGATCCACTGCAAGACCGACCAGGGCAACAAAACCCTCAACAACGACGAGGCCACCAAGTTATCCGCCGAGAACCCAGACTGGCACACCCAGGACCTCTTCGACGCCATCCAACGCGGCGAGAACCCCTCCTGGACCTGCTACGTGCAAACCCTCAGCCCCGAACAAGCCGAGAAATTCCGCTGGAACGTCTTCGACCTCACCAAAGTCTGGCCTCAAAAGGATGTCCCCCTCCGCCGCTTCGGCCGCTTCACCCTGAACCAGAACCCGCAAAACTACTTCGCCGAAATCGAACAAGCTGCCTTCTCCCCGTCCCATATGGTCCCCGGCGCTGAACCCTCCGCCGACCCCGTCCTCCAAAGCCGCCTCTTCTCCTACCCCGATACCCAACGCCACCGCCTCGGCGGCAACTACGACCAAATCCCCGTCAACTGCCCCCTCAAAGCCTTCAACCCCACCCACCGCGACGGCCCCATGAACGTCCACGGCAACTACGGCGCGAACCCTAACTACCCCTCCACTTTCCGACCCCTCGCTTACCAACCCGTCAAGGCAAGCCAGGAGCACGAGAAGTGGACCGGTGCCGTCCTCGCCGAACAATACCCCGTGACCTCGGAGGATTACGTCCAGGCTAATGACCTCTGGCAGGTCCTCGGTCGTACTCCGGGCCAACAGGAGAATTTCGTCGGTAATATCTCCGGTCATCTTTGCGGTGCGGATGCGCGCGTCCGTAAGGCTACTTATGAGATGTTCCGTCGTGTCAATGCGGATCTCGGGGCTCGGATTCAGTCCGCCACCGAGGCCAATGTTTCTGGTGCACCGCCGGCGCGTCTGTAGGCCAGCGTATACTATACCCTATGATCAAGATTTATATTGGAGTTATTTTCTGCGTCTGCCACGTTTCGTTCTCTGTTGATGATTTCCTATCCGGGTTTAGGCTTTGGATTAGTAGACTTAGCGGGGATTATAGTTCGAGGATATCCGGGGAGAAGTAGAGAGTCAGGAGTGGACTAGTCCAATGGGACGGGGCACGTTGGAGTGGAAGCAAGGGGGAATTATTCCACGTGGACGGAGTATAGATGGAACAGGAGACTCCCGCTAATTATTACTCCGTATGACAGAAATAATATCGAGAGGTAGTAGAAGAATAGAATAAAAGAAGAATAAAAAAAAGAAATACGACGGCGACCCATCATTTGCCCCATGCGGCCTCGCCAAGCTTCTCATCCCGCGAAAATTTGCGCCGAAGACCCTCGGAGACCTTCAATTCCCCATCCCCCGCTAATTCACTGGACCTCTTGGACCTCTACGCTTCGCTTTGATCGATTTCCTTGCCAGTGGGAGTTATTCGCTGGTGCTCGCGTGCAATGTTGGCACTGTGGGTACTTTGATTTTTCACTCCCCTGACTTCCGAACCCACCGAACCCCCTCGACCCTCTCCGTTCGAGACTCGAGTCTCTAGCATTGAACCTTGAGACCTTACTCTCAATCTCTCTTACAATGGATCCAAAGGCGCCAGATACTATCTCGCCGGTGGGCGAACCGGAAGAATACTCCGGGCGAGCCTCGGATTCCACCACGAAAATCATTCAGAATGCAAAGGCCGCGACGGATAAGGAACGCTCCATGACATTACTGCAGGGCATTCGATTATATCCCAAGGCCGTCATGTGGAGCGTGCTCATCTCCACCTGTATTGTGATGGAGGGGTACGATATCAGTCTGGTGAACAACTTTTATGCATTCCCTCAGTTCAATCGGAAATATGGTGAGCAGATGGCCAATGGCAAATATCAGGTTTCTGCGGCGGTAAGTGCACCCAATTGGAAAGAAGAGGAAAACCGGAAACTAATGACTTCTTCCTACAGTGGCAAGCAGGGTTAAGTAACGGTGCCTATTGCGGCGAAATCATCGGTCTCTTCATCAACGGCTGGGCGTCAGAACGGTTCGGATACCGGTACACCATCATGGCCTGTCTCATTCTCGTCAGCGCTTGGACATCGATCTTCTTCACAGCGCAGAACGTGCAGTCCCTCCTGGCGGCGGAGATCCTGTGCGGTATTCCCTGGGGTGTCTTCCAGACCTTGACCATCACCTACGCTTCCGAAGTCTGCCCCGTCGCTCTCCGCGGATACCTCACGACCTACGTCAATTTCTGCTGGGGTCTAGGCCAATTGATCGGAATCGGTGTCATCAAGGGAATGTTGAAACGAAATGACGAATGGGCATACCGTATCCCCTACGGTCTGCAATGGATGTGGCCACTGCCATTGTTTATCGGAATCTGGCTTGCGCCCGAATCGCCCTGGTGGCTGGTTCGAAAGGGTCGTACTGAAGATGCGAAACGCGCCCTCGTGCGCTTGACTAGTAAAAGCAAGGGCCAGGGCGAGGAAGAGGAGGAATTCGATCCGGATGAGACGGTCGCTATGATGGTGCATACTACCGCTCTCGAGGCCAAAATCACCAATGGCGCTAGTTACCTCGATTGCTTCCGCGGGACCGATCTGCGTCGCACCGAGATCGTCTGCATGGTCTGGGCGATTCAGAATCTCAGTGGAAATTCCTTCTCCAATTACTCCACCTATTTCCTCGAACAGGCCGGGTTGAGCTCGGACAATTCCTACGCTTTCGCCATGGGTCAGTATGGCATTAACATGGTCGGCGTCTTCGGAGCCTGGTTCCTCATGACCCTAGGCATCGGTCGGCGCACGCTCTGCCTATACGGCCTCTGCGGTCTCTGCGCCATGCTCCTCATCATGGGCTTCCTGGGTCTCGTCCCAGAGGCCCACAAAGACCAAGCATCCCTTGCGACCGGCGCAATGATGCTGATATGGGCCCTCTTCTACCAGCTCACGGTGGGTACCGTCTGCTACTCCTTGGTGGCTGAACTTTCCACCCGACGCCTACAAATCAAAACGGTCGTCCTCGGCCGAAACCTGTACAACATTGTCGCAATCGTCTGTGGTGTCCTCACCCCTTACATGCTGAACCCGAGTGCGTGGAACTGGGGCAACTACGCCGGATTCTTCTGGGGTGGGATCTGCTTCCTCTGCATCATTTACACGTACTTCCGTGTCCCTGAACCGCGCGGTCGGACTTTCGCCGAGCTGGATTTGCTCTTTGAGCGTGGTGTCAGTGCTCGCAAGTTCGCGGAGACGGAAGTTGATGTGTTCGATGAGACGATCGAGCGTCATGTCATCGATAATTATCGTGAGACAAAGGGTGATCCTAGTGATCCTGGCCAATTGGAGAAAAACCGTATATGAAAATGTGATGTGTGACGACCGGGCTCCTGTATATATATATAATCCAAGCATATTGTACTTACCTCTATTTACTGCATATTCCTATACTTCGTATTGACGCTTAATTTCCTTTCTGACGTAGTCCGCTCAGCCGTGGGTTTTGACTTTCGACTGCCAAAAGTGGGCTCCTCCCGAGGTCCCGCCTGTCAACTTCCCCCTCCGTGCTTTTTTTCTTTCTCCACTTCAATTCAGGTCTGGAGGTCATTACTCCGTACTTTCGAGCTTTAAGAGTCCTCGCCTGCCCAGGTGGCTCTTGCTTAGGTTCCACTCTCCTGCAGCGCAATGGACACCACCTTCATCACGATCCATGGCAAGTCTCCCCGCTTCTGACTGGTGCGATCGCACCGATCGATGCCTCGATCGTCCCCGATCCATCCTTAGTCTGGAGTATTCTGACATGGGTTCAATGGCACTAATGACCACTAGATCTGACCCGTGATGCCGCCATTCGATATGCTTCAGATAGTATAAGCGTCGTGCTGGGTTACAAACCGGTCGAGGTCCTCGATCGTTCATGTTGGGATTATTTCCACCCTCAGGAATTGCCCTTTGCCCGATCAATTCATGGTCGCGGCGTGCGTCTGGATAAAGCGGCGGTGTTGAATTATTGTTCCATTCGCCATAAGAATGGTTCCTGGGTGGGTTGTGAATGCGTCTTTACCGTTGTTTATGACGTCTTGATCGCCAGTACGACGGTGTATGGTGGAGGAAAGGGTAGTCAAAGTGAGTTCGGCAATAGCTGGTTCTGGATATATTGATGCGCTGGACGATTGGCTGACTCGATTTCATTGCAGAGCGCGCGGTCGACGCACCCATCGTGCGCCAGCTCTTCACCTCTTCCCCCAATGATCCCCGCTACCATATGCTTACATGGATCTCGAATAAATTCTCCCAACGGTTGGTCGAGCCACTGCATGAGCCGCGTGCGGCGATGTTCGTCAATCGCTTCACACGCACAGCCACGATCATGTATGCGACCAACGGAGTCGCCGAGATCCTCGGCATGCACCCCAGCCAACTCATTTCTCAGAGTTTCTACTATTGTATACAAGAGGAATGCCTCCGAGACGCAATTCAGTGTCTTGAGGGCGCCAAGGCCAACGATTCAATCGCATATCTACGATTCTGGTTCCGCAACCCCTTGCAAGACGAGCAGAATGAACGGTCCATCGAGCTGGAAGCGGTCGTTTCATGTACCTCCGACGGACTCGTCGTCATTCTGCGCCGCGCCCGTGCTCCAATTCCGACTGCTACTCCTTCAGTTACCCCTGCGCCCTCTCATAGCAGTGGTATCTTTGCCGCGCCCTGGGCCCCCTCGCCGGTCTTCTCGTACGGAGCAACACCCCGTCTTCCAGCTCAAGCACCTGTTCCCGTGGCCAACCAGCCGGAAATTCGGGGCACGTTCTGTCGAGATGTTGTGGCATCTGGCTCAGCGGGTCCTCACGCTGCTCACCCGGAAGTGAAAACGACTTTGTGTCGCGAAGGCATGGAATCCAGCTCTGGAAGCTCATCGGATTCTGTGTATGGCTCTAACGGGACGTCTCGGGCACCTGGTGGACCGGGAGAGACTGGACCGCACTCTTATCGCCTCATGGACACCATTCGCGAGGTTGCTGTCTTTGCATGGGGAATTGTGGGGATCAATCGTGGCCTGGAACAATATAAATGCGGCACGCCTACTGGTAATGCTCATCCGGGAGATGAGATGGAAGTGGACGTGCAAGATTATATAAAAAAGGAACCGGAAGACGCGTGATCATGCCTCGGATGGACTATATATAGTGGCTAGGGTTGGATGCCTCGTTGTCACCTGTCTGTCTACTCCAAGGTTGGCATGGTCGTTCCGCGGTTATACCACTATATACATTGCCTATATAGTGCATTGTAAACTGAGGCTTCAGACCTATTGGAGCTCATCCATTGTCCTAGGGGCTTGCGAGAGATGATTCCCAGCCTGGAAGCCCTGCGGCTGTATGCCTATTCCGGTGCTATCGCATATCCCTCTTCACAGAGAATTCTGACGCTTCCCGGTCTTTCTTCCAAGGTCCTGGATGAAAATCTCCTTGGAATTGACTGAGGGGAGTTGGACGATACTGGGAGCCACAGTGAGGCGTGTCCGAAGAGGATCGCTCTAACAAAGCTGTACATGTAATGGAATTTGTCCTAGGACTAGAAGATATATCCAGACCGTCATCGTCTTTCTACTCGTGAGACCACTCAGGCTTCTTCTTCTCAGCGAAGGCAGTCATACCTAAAATGAAACGTCAGCAATGCCCCAAAAATCAATCACCCCAACCAAAAAGAATCAAAACCTACCAATCTTCTGATCCTTGCTTCCAAAAAGCGCATGGAACAACCTCCTCTCATACTCAATCCCCTCCTTAAGAGACAACTCCTGACTCTTATTAACAACCTCCTTACCCGCAAGCACCGAAACCCGACTATAAGAAGCAATAGTCTCCGCCGTCTTGAAAGCAGTCTCAAGCAACTCATCCAACCCCCCATCAACAACCCTCGCCGCAACACCCCACTCCCCAGCCTCCTTACCAGAAAAGTTCTTCCCAGTAAGAATCAATTCCATAGCCTTACTCTTGCCAATCGCACGAGTCAGACGCTGAGATCCTCCGGCACCGGGAATAGTTCCTAGCTTGATCTCCGGCTGTCCGAAGACGGCTTTCTCGTTGCAGTAGAGGATGTCGCACATCAAGGCAAGTTCACAGCCTCCGCCTAGGGCGTAGCCGGAGACGGCTGCGATGACGGGTTTCCGGATTGAGTTTGCGAGGTCGGACCAGGGGGCGATGAAGTTTTCGCTGTATGCTGCTGAGAAGCTGAGGGGGGCCATTTCTTTGATATCCGCGCCGGCTGCGTTGGGTAATGGTTAGAATTGACTCATTGCTTGTTGCTTGTATGTGGATGGTGGTAAGAGTCAAATGTAAACGTACCTGCAAAGGCCTTTTCACTTCCGGTGATGACGATCGCTCCGATGCTCTTGTCGTTGTCGTAGGTGCTTAGGGCTTCGTTGAGCTCCTTCATGAGCGGCGAGCATAGTGCATTGAGGGCCTTAGGTCGGTTCAGGGTGACTGCACGCTTAGCAAAGGTGATTTGAGTATTGCGGAGGTGGTATTGACTTACTGAGTCCTACGCCGGGCTTCGGGGTTGAGGTCAGGATATGCTCGTAGCTACCGGCGGCTGAAGAGTATCCCCGGACTCGCGCGAGATATGATGTCAAGGGGACAGCTGTCCGGGAGTTGGCAAGACGAGAGCATTGACGTGCAAACATTGTGGTATATGTAAGACAATTGCTTGGGAGAGAGTTGGGGGACTATAGAATTAAGAAGAAAGGAGTTGATATCACAAGTAGCTTCATAACATCATAGGATATACCGCTTCCCCGCGACCGACGGACCGCCGAAGTTAACCGTTCCGAGGTTAATGTCACGTGATAATATACATGCAGCCCCGTGACGACGCTAACCAAAGACGGACAAGCGCCATGTCATTCAGCCCCTGCACAGCCACAGTAGCCACACGTCACATGTCCAGTGGCTGGTCAGTCATCCCGCGTCTGATTGGTCGATGTGCAGTGGACACTTTTCGCTCCTGAAGTGCCTGTCCTGGAATGTCAACGTCTGGTTTCAGCTTCTTATCTTAATCGCCGCTTTTCCCTTCTTCCCTGCTTCTTTTCTTCCTTTCCTTTGGTGGTTCAGCCCTCTGCGCTCCTCCAATTCTAATTCCCTCGCCATGGATGTCCCCGAGCCCGAACAGTCGCCCTTCACGGCCGTGTCTGTCCACACGTCCAAGATCACCCGGGTAAGTGCTCCTCAGGCGGAGAACTCATTGCGCATTGCATTGGGAACCCTTGGGACCTATAGCGAGCCCCCCGCTAACACGGCGATATAGCAATATCAAGCCTACCTCGACGCCTCAACCCCGTACGCAACCTACCGCTGGGTCGGATCCGGCGCACTCCTCTTCCTGTTCTTCCTGCGCATTATCTTCGCACAGGGCTGGTATATCGGTATGGGCCCAGAATCAGATATCTCGTGAAATGGATGCGAAGCACGCGGCATCGTGAACCGGAACCATGCGCCATGCAAACGCTATCTGCACGACCAACGTAAACAAACCGCTAACATCGTTCTTCTACATCGCAGTGGCCTATACTCTCGGCATCTACCTCCTGAACCTCTTCCTTGCCTTCCTTACTCCCAAGTTCGACCCCTCTCTCACTCAAGATGAAGGTCTCGAGGACGGTGATGCGGGGTCCCCCAGCCTCCCCACCAAGAAGGACGAGGAATTCCGTCCCTTCATCCGTCGCCTGCCTGAATTCAAGTTCTGGCACTCCGCCACTCGCGCTATCGCCATCGGATTCGTCTGCGCCTGGTTGCCCATGTTCGACATTCCCGTCTTCTGGCCCGTCCTAGTCGTCTACTGGATCATCCTTTTCGTGTTGACGAGTAAGTTCCACCCTATACTGCGCATAGCGCTCTAGTACCTATACTACATACTAACCAACTTCTCAGTGCGACGACAAATCCAACACATGATCAAGTACCGCTATGTACCATTCTCTTTCGGAAAGACGCGCTATGGCCGCTCATAGTGTATTCGAAATTATTTTCTCCGTCTCCTTTTTATAATGATTTCGCGTGCGCTTCGCGTGTGTGACCTGACATGACACGATAGGAGGTGAAAGCGTTTGGGACCCATGGCGACCATTTTATGAATTTTCTGACCGAATCTTTTAATCACTGCTTAGAGGGCTGCTTGTTGTGGCCCGGTCTTTCCCCTGTGAAATATGATTAGACCTGAAGTCGATGAAATGACTTGCAATATATTATGTTGAAAAGCTTGGATTGTGCTTGAGTAGGATTGAGAAGTGTTCTGCTTTGTGTAGATGTTGCTATGGCATGGCAGTGCTAAGCCTTTGAGGGTGCTACAGAGGAGCCCTTGAGATTTCCCTCGAGTTGGACTACAATGCACTCCAGGGCTACATCGCTACCTAGGTACTGTACTGCCAGGTCAGTATTCATTCTTACCTGGACCTTTGGAAGTGGCTAAATTTAGAAGTGCAGTAACACGTGGAGCCTACACGCTGCTCATGTCCTTAGGCAAGGTACCTTGTGACCCGGGGTTTGCCTCCTCAACCATCTCCAGGGCTACATCACAGTTGATACAGTATGTAAAAATGGCGTATGTTATTAGGGACTCCCGATCCCCGACACTAATGGTAAAATGATGAAATTTGCATACGCAATCCTCGACACCAAGGCCCGGATCCAAACCATTCTCAAAACTCCAAATCATAGGTATCATCACCAGACTGTACAGCGTCTAAAGTGCAGAAAAAAAAAAGAAGCAGAAACAACGCAGCCTAAAGTTGCAAGTCCTCCACACTACTTGATCGTTTCGTAGAGGGGATGGCACTATCCGGAAGCGAAAGAGTCGACATCTTGCGATCGGTGCTCTGGAAAAGATCTTTCGTCTTTGTGCAGATCCACGTGGATGCGTACATATTGACACTGGTTTCGTTAGTTTTAATCGAAGTTTAATTAGCATACCAGAACTCACCGATCAATGCATGTTCCTGGGAATCGGGCTCCGACTCGACTAGCAGTGAAGCCGTTTTGTTCAAAGTGCTTGATGTACCAGGGATCGATGCTGGCTGAGCGGAGGAGGACCCGGCCGCCCTTTTTCAGAGCGTGGTTGAAGGTTCGGGCTTGTGCGGGTGCTGAGTCTTCGGCGGGGTCGAACCAGTCCATTGAGTCCATGACCTGGTCATATTAGTATTGCGTAACAATTGGTTGGTGGGATTGAACTTACCACGGCGATTGTCAGGGTACCCGGTGTGATGCGGTTGATAACCTCGTTGATCTCATCGGTGTGAATGCGGAGACCGTCGAAAGCACCAGGGGTGGATAGCTTGACGTGTGCTTGCGGTGAGAGGTAGGATGGGTGGCATCTGTAGCTTGTTAGTATGGCGTGGGCTGATTTGGAGAAGACTTGACATACCTCCTCGAGAATTTCCCTTGCACACAAAGGTAGTAGAAGTAGTTATCGTTGCTGATGAGGGTATCGTTGACAACGGGGTCAAGTGTGTTGACAACGTATTCCCAGATCGACTGGCCGCTAACATCCTTGCCCTTCTTCATGTCCTCAGTGAGACCATTGCGGCGGAAAAAGTCATCAAGAATCATGTTGCGCTGGTTGCGTGGCACACCGGCCGCCTTCCAGGCAAACCATTCGGTGCTCACAATAGCCCAGTTAAGGGGACGACTCATCAGAACGCGACGGATACGGGGCCAGATCTCACGCTGCTCGGCTAGGCTTTGCGCCTCGCACATCTTGCGGACCTCGCCCTGAAGTCCGAAGATATTGAAAAGCCAGCGGACCATACGAATAGCGTGGCGAGAGCCACCGGTCTCGTACAGTCCATGGCCAGATGTAGAGGTGAAGACGTGGGTGTGTTCCAACCAGTACTGGAATGCTTGGCTAGACAGGTGAGGGCTGAGCTTGGAGATGAGCAGCTCGCGGAATTGAGTGTGCTTTCCATCTCCGAAGATCTTCCACATATCGCGGTGACCGAGGGCTGAGTAACAGGCGACCTTGAGTTCGAGGAGATGGTTCTGGTTAGGGTTGAGATCCACGGCATGGACGCGACGAGGGTTCTTTTGTAAGTAGTCGAGGATGTTATCGCCGGCACTGGTGATTGCGAGGATCACGTCGTCTTTGCCGATGTTCAGGAGCTGGTGATCCACCCTAGGGTCTTCCCATGTGAATGCGTAAATGTACTCGTTCTGGAACTGGGTGTGTTTGGGGAGCATGTCGTTATAATGAATGCGGTAGTGGTGATTCTGGTAGAAAGATGAGGGGAGGGGAAGATTGGCGCTCAGATTGACGACGGCGGACTCGTAAGCCTTGGATCGGATTTCCTGCGTGCTTTTCACAACTGCGCTATCCATCTCTTGCTTGTGGTTGGCGGGTAGCAGGTATGGAGACTCGGTGAAGGACGCATCCAACTTCTCGATAGATGGGCTTGAAGACGTAGAACCGACTTCCTTGGGGCATCCGACGAAGATATAATAGGGAATACCACCAAGCAGATAGTTGCGCTCACTGGCAGTGATGACGGTTCCGAACTTGTATTCCAGGTAGTCTCGACGAGCAGCTTCCAGACTGACTCGATCAAAGTCGAACCAGGCGCGCCAGAACATGCGTCCGAGCCAGTTAACGTGTCGGTTGAAGGCACCACCGGTATAGTTCCGGCATGATACGTCGACGATGCTTTGAACTGCGCGCGTGTAAGCCTCCGTCAAGGGCATGGGAAATATATATTGGGCCTACCGTAAAAATCACACACACCCAGAAGTCCAGTTGACTTCAGACGCGAGGTCAGAGAGTCCACCACGCTGTAGTAGTCTGGAAAGGTTAGCATCGCCCTTCAAGCTTGATCTTCGAGTTGTGCTCACCAGGAATCATGGATAAACTGTAGCTCATGGTAACCAAGTCCACGCCATCAGTAGCCACACTTGTAGACCGAGGGTCTGTCTTCTCCGGAAGAGTGAATGATCGTGCATCTTGGCAGAGAACTGTGACATTCTTCCACCCGAGGCGCTCGAAGCGATCTCGAGCCACTTCACAGAGAGAAGGAGAAAGATCAACCAAGTACACATGCTTGAAGAACTTGTCCACCGGGAGGAAGGCGGCCATTGCCTCAATGTTGTATCTTCGCCGAGTCAGTCATTTTTTTCAGAAGTATCCGAGACTCGATAATGCGCCTACCCTGTACCGCCGCCGACCTTGAGATTATTAGCATTCAAACGGGGGAAACAACCTCAGATCAACACTTACATCCACCCAGACGGCTTTTCCAGCCTTGATTTGTCTGTTCTCAACTTTGTGCTTCAACTGCGCCCCCACCAGACCGAGCATGTCCTCTCGGCCACAGAGTAACCGACGACGTGTGGCATCGTAAATGGCAGCCTGTTCAGTCAGCCACACCTCCCTCGCTTTTCAGCATCGCATCATCCCACCTGTGTCTTGTAGAAACTCTCCAGCGCATCCTGCTGCCCGCCAGCCTTCTTATCATGCGGCTTGATGAAATTGGCCCAAATGAACTTCAAGTAAGGACCGGCACGAGTCTTGGCGATGCTGAGCTTCTGAGATGCAAGTAGTAAGACCAGGCCCACGAGGGCAAACACCAGCATGCCAGCCGCCGCAATGTAGATATGCATCCAATCCATGTCCAAATGTTCGAATGTTGAAGGTCGAAAAAAGGGAGATGCAACAAGCAAGGAGAGCAACGAGCGAAGTGCAATACTAATATGCAATCACGACCCCGTGTGCCTCTGCACGAGGGCGAGTGAAGAGCAGCGTTCTCGTCCTATCAGCACACCACATGCCGATAGACGATAAGAGAACCCCCGCCGAGGGAAGGTACCATAGACATGATCGACATGCGGTCTCAACGTGCACGGGGAAGGTCACTAGGACTTGATTCAGTCGATCATGCACTTCCGACACACACTCTGATACCCGCAAAAGACCAACTTTAAGCGCAATTGGGTTCGTGTGCAGCGATAGTTCCGTCTCTTCGGCCACTCACGGCCTGTTCCGGCCCCTCGTGGCCCGCTGCCGGGGTCCGTGGGGGTCATGCTGGGCTCTCATTGGGCGGGGGCTGTCCACTCCCGGGCACCAATCAGTGGTCGCTTTACCCGCACGAGATGAAGTATAGCTTCGTGGTGTTGCTAAAATCGTATTTCCGTCTTCCTCGTGCCTCATTCTGCATGCAGCTATATTGTCCCCGGAGTACTGTTTCAAAGCCATATGGTAGTATTAGGGCTGTTTGCATACTGAGTGTGCTTTTGCCTGTTTGCCCTTCTTTTCGCGATTCAATAGTGGACATTAGTTATTTATGTAACTTACAATTGCTAGGCATTTGTGCACAAACTACTGGCTTATCTTCATAGCCACTATGAGCGCGGAGCTGGCTCAGATCAAATGTAACAATCGACATACTCCGTCTTATTTTCGGCCCTTAAGTGCTAAACAACCGCCTTTGTAACAATATGCTAAGACGGCACCCGATATTGTGCCCACTGCTGGGTGCCCGGGCTAATGTGGTCGGCTTGAATATACGAGTATAGGCCAAAGCGAAAGACTCTTGTGTATGTGTGCTTGGCCCTGGCGCTGCGAAGGCGGTTCCGGGATACCAGGTTAGTCCCTCTCGGGCCGCTTTTACCGCCCGTCGACGGCCATCCATCTATAAAGGACCGCTCGTCCTCCTATCAACTCGTCGATGCACTTCATCCTCTCCCATACTCTACTTGGCTTCCTGAATCCCTTTCTTCCCCCGTCCCACCGCTACCTGTGCATGGGCCCTCTGCCTGATACACTGCCCCTTCCATTTCGTCGCAGATGCCGCGCTGTCCGGCCGCCCCAGGGAAGAAACACCGACGTGATTCCTGATTCAGTCTTACGCCATGTTGTGTGTGCTTAAATGTCACGAAATCATGACTGCAACCCCGAAACCCCACAAAGTGCCCGGAAAAGCGCAGATTCGGGAACATGAGACAACATGAATTTCCTTCTTAACAACGGTTTACTTAGAGCTTGCCATTTGGCACCTGCAAGCGGACGAAACCTTCCCTATCGGAACTTGCTTGAACAGGCGCAACATTACGCAGGTTATCTCCCAAAGGAAACATGTATCTCCCAGTATCGATGTTAGTGGGCCATGATGCTGCTTGGAAGGCCGCTCTCGCCAATTTGATGAGCATCAAGTCACTTCCCTTTGCGCCCAGGATAGTGCTCCCAATTGGTCGATGCTCAAGCCTCCCGGAGATCTTTGATTGATATGGCATTTGTCCAACTAGTAAGCCCGTGTTAGTGCGTGATCTAGATCCAATGGAGATGAGGAGTAGAATAAAAGGGTAAGACCACTGACAGAGCAATACAAGCTGTGGAATCCCGAGGACAGGTGAAATGAACTTTTCGCCAATGGTACCAGCACTTGATGGAGCCCTACATAGATCTCGTCAGCTTTCACAAATATTACAAAATATGGAATCGATAGACCGACTCATTAGCAACGTCCCGATATTTTGGATTGGCAGACCCATATGGCATAATCATGATTGCTTCGGACATGGTGTCGGGATCTTGAGAGAACATGGTGTCAGAGAACCATGCCCGAAAGACTTTCAGTTCTTCACGGTATGCGTTGTACTCTTCGAGAGTAACCTCTTTGCCAACTCCCCTGTCAACAATTAGAGTCAGAATTCAAGATGGAAACTTCAACTCCTGCGATATTACCATCTGTAGTTCAAGACTGATCCTTCGAATGGGCGTTTCCCGTATTTAACTTCATATTCTGCTCGGAAATCGTCAAATCCGTGATAATAATCGTGACACATGGACCAGAATGCACTCTTTTTGGTGTTAATTTAATCTTCAGACTTCGAGGATGGAGAAAATGCCTTGGCCAAGTATTGCTTGAGTGGTTTTCCATTTGCTTCCGGTGGGGGGCACTGGTCCCATCTCTCAGTCAGACTTATTTTAACTCGTTTAGTGCCTAAGAAGTTCTCAAGAACTCCAAAAAACTCGTCCACCATAGCCTGATGGGTTGGGTTGCTGTGCGGGAAGAAATCTAGGGGATAAATGATTTTCGAGGGGAATGCGGTCGAGTTGTCGCTAAGGTCCAGAGTATTCGAGGCTAGAAGGTGTAGATCTGTCAAACTGCGACCAAAGATTCCCACAACGTCAAAATGCCTGGATTTCAAGTCAGTATACTGGAAGGCTTGTATGGATGATGGGATTATAATGGCATACGGAGAATTGACAACAATACCATCCATAGAAGTTGACTCCGTGGATGGCCTGATTGAGAACAGACCATTGCAAGTGGCAGGCGCTCGAATGCTCCCGGCAGCTATATTCATAAAGGAAAAAAATCCAGATGTCAGTCTTTGCTCAGGCATTTACCACATATGCATAATTGAAGAAGAAGAGCCTTACAGTCTCCACCAATAGAAGAGTCTAGCCAAGAGTATCCTGCTAGCGCAGCAGCTGCGCCAGAAGAACTGCCCGACGGGCTTTGATACTCATCACCTCTGGGGTTGGTTGGACAATGAAAATCAATCCACTGGTCGGTCGACTCGTCAGAAGATGCGAAGTTTGTCATCTTCGTTTTTCCAAGGATGATGGCACCTTGGCCAAGAAGCCTTTCCACGTAGTCAGCATTTCGCTCTTGGGCGGGATACATTTCTGTGTATGGACGGCTCATCATAGTCGTCTTTGTTCCCTTTAGGTGAAATATGTCCTTCACACACAACCGAACACCCGCGAGAGGTCTTTCTGGAGAAGGCTGTGAGTAAAGGCGACTTGGAACTGGGATTTCTTTCCATATTCCATCATCGCTCATAGCACTCAGTGGATTGAACCTAATAAGAATTTAGTTCAGCCATCATATGATTGATTATACTTTCTTTGCAAACCATTGAGGACGAACCTTTCAGGCTGGAGTGCATTCTCTGGCACGACCCCAAAGATGAAGGCATCAAGATAATCCCGATACAGTCGCCAGGCCTGGTGGATATTTGAGCCATGTAGAAAATAAGGCCCGGGAGGTAGCTGAATAGCGGTTGAAGTATAGACTGCTGTGAAATTGAAAGATTTCAGAGTAGACATCCCAATATCAAGGTCTTCCGGTGTGCCAGTGAGCACAGTAGACTTCGAGAATTCTTCATTATAGACATCGTCTACTTCATGGAAGTGACTGAATTGCTGGAGAATATTCTCAGAGTTCGCAGAACTTTTCCGGACCACCTCCGCCGCGAGGAGAACAACTGGTCTTATTCCTTGAAGTTGGATGCCCTCGATTACCGTGCCCTAATTTGCAAAGCCGATTAGAATGTTAAACAGTTCATTTTCAATGATCATGTCTATGTTTACCAAGGCGTGTGGGTGCACCAGGTATTTGGTACCCGCAACAATCTGCGTTATGACTTGCTGGAATCCCATGATATCAGCCGTAGGATGGGGAATGATCAAGGTAAGGGCTTGAGAGAGGAAAGAACAAGATGTTTGCGTGGAATTGTCTAAGTCGAGTATGTCACATCGAGAAGAAATCTCTATAGAGATCTAAATGGCGGATGCACAAAGGGAAAAGAGGGGTAGAGTCTGCCTTAGGAGGCAGACACGTGTGATACAGGGATCACAATATGTGAAACCCAAAAGAAAATGTGATGATACCCATTCGTATCTGCGAATGTTATTCCAGACTAGTAAGGTCCATTGAGGGCTGAAGACGGCGATGCCTGAAGACCTATTCCCTCATTGGGAAATTATGGCCACGAACTACATGTACCTCGACTCTTCCATAATTGTTCAAGAAAGGCTAAGGGCCCATAAGCAAAAAGGTCACCCCACCTATTATACCAGCCACAAAAAGCAACGCCAGGATTCCAGCTCCTGCTTTATCTGCCGTTGTCACTGGGGGCAATTGTGAAGACTTGGAGGCTTCCTCGGTACCAGCATTGGGATCACTTGAGCTGTTTCCTCCAGTTGCCGTCGAGACTGGCTTTGAAGATGAGTCGAGGAATTTCACCATGATAGCACTCATCATCTGACTGCCACTCATTGCATTCTCCATTGAATTTTGTCCATCGTATTTGCCGCCCCACCAGCGGTTACCACAGAGATTCTGGCCATTGCCAGTGCATGCCTTCGCGGCGCCCTCGGCAGAGACCTGGAGCTTGGGTAGAATCTTCTCCTTGAGCGAAGGGATGATCAATGCAATATCTGCAAGCCATGATACTGTAAGGCCTTTGAAAATCGGTCGATTCGCATCTTCGTCGCATTGACCCGAAGGTTCGCATCGGTCTGAGATCACACCTCCGTATTGAGGTAGGAAGAATGTAGCGAACAATGCATCCATCAGGTTATTTGTGATGTCAAGCCACTTATGATCGTTTGTCTTCATCCCGGAATGCTGTTAGTGTCAACGAATCGCGAGAGAAAAGAAAAAATACTCACATAGGCATACATGTAGGCAGCGCCCGACAGAAAAGTACCATAATTGTAAGTCCACCGGGTGTGATCAGGAAGGGTGCAGCCATTGGGTCCCCCCGTGCCTTGACTGACACTATCCGCCACCTCCCAAGTCTTGTTATTAACCAAGTTCACGGAGGTGGACCAGTCCCAGACTTTTTCGGCCCACTTCGCGTACTCATCCTCTTGGGTATACCAAGCGAGACGCGCTGCGAGCATGAAAAAGCCACCGTTTGACACTGAGTTTTTCATGGTATAGCCACCTTGCCACACATCCTTCTGCCAGCGTAGGCCACCTCCGCAAATCGTGGTGTCCCATCCCCCTCCATTGGGACTTTTCTGATTGTAGAAAACACGTTCAGCGAGGGTGAGCCAGGTATCACCACTAGGCCGATTGGGAAATTTGTATTCCGCTGCAGTGATCGCCGCAAGGCCCCAGAACATTTGATCATCATTTCCCCATATGGTGGTTAGCATGGGTTACCAGATGTATAGCAGTTGACACTTACTACACCTACTGCCCACGATGGCAGGTAGTCTCCATTCGAACCTCCTTGATGTTGCAACGCGACGCTGACTTCTTCGTTATATGTTGTGTCGTTAGTGGCATGCCAATAGTTGAGGCACGCCAGAAACAGTGCAGCGCCCTCCCACCAGGACCTTGAGATGAAACCTGGGTTGTCCGTCCCATTTCCCGTGTACCATTTCATCATGTTGTATGTAGCGGTGCTCCCAGCATTTTGGATCGATTCTGATAGAGAAAAACAATTCAATCAGCAATCCGCCATTGATGGGACAGGGACAGGGTATATCTCCAAAAATTTCAATCTCTCACCTTGACTGTCCACGTCCAAGTCAAGCGCGTAAACATGGTTGGTAAATGGTATAATTTGCAAGGCTACTATAGCCATATGCCTGGCACCGCGAAGTATCATGGCGCTCTGTATGATATAAAATGCCAAGGAAAGCCGAGAGATCAACCTTAGCCGGTGCGCGAGATGCGTAAAAATCAAGAGTTTTGTGATATGGATGGGGAGGCTGCTTACCCTGAAAGCGAGACAGGCGCAGTCGCCAAGCGTCCAGGCAATCTCATTGGAGTAACAGGGAAGCCCAACGAGCAGGGGGAAGCTTACCCCACTTAAGGGTTTCTTTGAGAGCAAATGATTCGGGCCGCGCAGCCTTGTGTCATCTTTTTATGCACAACGGTCATTCTGAATCCACTTTGACGGGATCTCTTAATACACAGCCCACTTTGTGAGGCTCTGTCCCGTGTGGACCCCTGTACAACGAGATTCGAAGCTCAGTTGATTCTTTTAGGCACTCATGACCTTTTTCCTTGTTTGTACCTGAATTTGTGTAGCTAGTATTAGACATAGCTAGTTGACCCAGTACGGAGTACTGTCATCATTTTCTCCTGCCTCTGCTTTTACGTAACAACAATGGACCCTACTTAACCCACGTCAGGCTAGTGCTAGAATGTAGATGGGGCTACCTAGTGGACCTGAGAAGCGTACGGGTCCCACCGATACCTTTGGAGGTCTTACTTGTACTGACAGTCAACTCATTGAATATTAAAGCTGTCGGTGGGACCGCTGTTGTAATTTTGCTTGAATATTACGATACCTGTTTTGTCTTTACACCGTCCTTGAAATACACTCACTTCCATAGAGACTGTATTTTATCTGACAGTGACCTTCCCCACAGCTCCTGTTGACAGTGGAGATGAATTCTTAATTGGGATCGACCCACTGTCGACGGTATCTGTCCCCTCGATCATCCTGTGTACAACTATGACATTTTCAAGTGCCATCGCCCTGGAGTATGAAACCTCCACCGCGCCCGGACTCCTCAGTCAATTCAAGACGTAGACTCTCTGACTCCTTCCGTATAGCCTCCCGACTGGCATTTTCCTGCAAACATTCAAAGTCGAGTAGCTTTACCCCTTCTTCCGTCACCAGAAAGTTATAACGGTTCGTATCCCCATGTAAAAGCCCTAAGTCGTGAAGTTTTCCCAAAGCTCTTTCGCAGATATCCAGATCCTCAATCAAAGCATGGCGTCCCTCTATCTTCTCCAATAGAAATCCCATGATGCGTCCGTTCTCATGAATATGGCCGAGAAAGCGCGGTACCAGCCCGGAACGCTCAAGTAGCTGATATGCTCGTGTTTCCCGCTCGATGCGAGGAATTTCCCACTCAAACCGAGCTATCTTAGCGATAACCGTCGCTGGTGCTTGGGAGATGCTTGGAAGGGCCGAATGCGAGACTGCCTCGAACGCCGATGCCGTGAGAGCTTTCGTTCTCTCTAGCTCCAGGCAATCGACTAAGGTGTGATGCCATCGACAGTTGACGCTGGCAAGTGCTCGGTTTGAGATGGAAGTTCTCAAGTCACCGCTGGTTTCGTCTCGTGAAATATGGGCCACTGTCCATTCGTCCTCCCTAGGAAGACTTGGCAGGGACTGTAGAGGGAATGAAAGCGTATCTCTGTCGAATGTTTTTGGAGATATGATGATATATTTGACTTGATTGCCAATTCGTACTCGATATTCACTTTCAAAAGAATCTTCATCGTCTACTTCCATGGACAGGACAGACGGAAGCGCAGGCTGCGCTAAAGATTGATAAGCAGTCATGTTCGTCAATTCCACTCCCTAGCTATGATTGAAAGCTGCCCAGGTAGGTCAACAAAACACGTTTGGGATTACCCGAGGACAGTTGAAGACACCAAAAGCGACTAACCAGCGACCAGCGCGGCGAGTCACGTGTTAGATTTCCTTTTCGCAGTGAGCTCTTGTCTTTTCCCTATAGTTCCGAATCATTTTGTATGACATGCAGGACTAGATCTCGTTATTTTTAATTTTGCCCCACCCTTCATGCCAGCATAATTTATCTAATGTTCTCATATTTGATGGCCCGTCATTACTCGAAATATATAACAACAGCGGCCCGGGGGCTCACAACACCGCTCAATATTCCTGGCAAGATGAAACAATTGGAGCTACCCATGGACCTGAGACCCCCGAGGTCAGGACCTGCGCAGGTGGTAGTTAGAAACCTTGGAAACAACTTCCAAGGTTGAGTTGAAGATCTTCCTAGCTGACGATCTGCGTAATCCAGGTGTGGCTTTGCTCTCTCACACAAGTATTCGTTCTTACATTCCAAGGCTATAGGTAGTTATGTGCTAAATTTATTACGCGGACGGGCGAGCAATAACTGTTCTTATGAGGGTTGAATCAAATATCCCCTGGGAATCCAACTATATTAACAAAGAAAGCTATTTAATGCACAAGATCTCAGAAGTTTCCCAACAATTGAACCGTGGATATGACCTCGGGAGCTCAAGTTCAAAATTGAAAATCACAACGCTTGCCTTGAGCAAGAGTCCGTAGAATGGGATTCCAGAATACACGAAAATTGATAAAAGTGTTGAAAGACGATTTGATTTCCACCGCACCGATGTGTCAAGCTGAAATAGAGATCAAATCACGATCGAGCCTTGGATGAATAGAAAAAATGTGAGGATCCCCGGGGTTCTCCTGCATTGCCTTGTTCGCAGCGGAGGACACTGTTTTAATTTTCAGTCAGGGTGAGATCCCCTAGCTGCAGTCCACGGCAATATGATCGTACATGTTCAGTGGCACTGCGGATGGTCCATCTGTATAGATGCATCAGACTCTACCAATTGTGCAGGACCTGTCCATCGGGGCCGATGCAGTCCTGGCGCCAGATTGGCTTCGTGTCGCACAGAGGGATGTCAGCCGGAGATGAGACTGGGGAAGCGTGAACTGCCGTGGCAGCAAGAAGGCTGAAGAGCGCCAGAATACCGCTGAATTGGAAGGACTTCATGTTTGCTTGAGGACTTGTGATTGTGGTGTGTGCTGAGCTTCAAACAGGCAGCGGATGATGAATCTACTTATATTGCAAGACCAGCAAGGATTGATCATACTCGAGTCAGAGTTATCATGTATCCTATTGAGACACGGAAATTACCTTATTGAGTCCAATATACGGCATCAGATCTGCACTCTGTGAGGCTCGGTAAATGCTCCGGTCGCCGCTAGAGAACGCATTCCGCCGATTCGATGGACGCCAACCTTGGATAATTTCCATTCCCTGCTTCACAGATAAAGAATTCATCTCCTGAGATGTCACATTATCAAGAAAAGTCCGCCTAGGGCCCCTGATCCGCCATGTGGCATCTGTTGCCCGAAATGGGGCTCAATAAGCTCGGAAATTTGCCCAATAGCTGACATCCGACATGACAGCCAGTATTAAGGCGCGCCAAATTTGAACCCATGAAGTTATGGAAATTAGCGCGCTTCATCGCATTCTTTGTCCGATTTCCTGCGGCGCCCTATTACGGTGCTGATCGTCGACCGGCTCGGATCTAGCCGATGGCTGAGATAAGTTTCCTATTTCGGTAAGATGGCAGTCCGTAAGATGGTGGCTCAAAGCCGCTCTCACGGATTTCAAGGGCATTTGATTCAAATTTCAGAAAATAGTTCGAACTCTAGTATTACATGCATGAGATTATCAACGCCAACGCCACTTCGCCTCCTAATCCAATCCTTTTTCACAGACCGAGGACTCTCCGCATACCGACATTCTCAATGACAAAGCCGCCACCCAACTTAAACACTCCCGGTCCTTGGAGCTTCATCTCGTGACGACCCATCGCCATATCCGTCAAAAATGGCCCAAGATGCTCAGTCGGAGAGTGCATTGATTTGTAGAAGCATCGAACTCCCGGTGCAAGCAAAGAGATTCCGACCTTCGTTGCTGCCTCAACCCATCCACCTGTCGGGAGATACGGCTTGATGGCATGATGATTGACTGGGTCAACAAACGCAGGACGCACGCTGTCAACGCGGAAGTTGGGGTTCTCTTCCGATAACTTGCCGAGCAGTTCTTCCGTCTCGCCCTTTACCCGGGAGAAAATTGGAGCAAATCGGCCGGGATCTTGAGTGGCTCCCTCGCCCGAGACATGGATGAATCGGAAGGGCGGGTTGGAGGGCTTGATGGTGGAAAAGGCGTTGGCAGCTGCCAGTGTGAAGTCTTTGGTAATCTTGACATATTGCCTGGGCATGGTTAGTAGGAGCCATGAAGTTGAACTCGTTCTTAGTTACTTACTCCTTGTTAACATTGTTTTGGCTCGTGCCCAGTGCCCAGACGCATCCATCGGCGTCTTTGAGTTGGTCCAGTAGCTCTGGCTTATAAGATTCGAAGTCTTTGTGTGTGATGACATGAACTCGTGGATCTTTGGCATCTTCTGCCATTCGGACGGGGTTGCGACTCAGGATCGAGATCTTTGAAATGGCTGCATTGTTGAGCATGGCGTCCAGGACGGAAGAACCGACCAAGCCGGTGGCGCCTGTGAGAATGAGATGCATGGCGAGACAAATTTGATCGTTGGAAAATTGGGAGAGCTTGACTTGGATCAAAATCCTAAATTCAGGTCATAAAGATCATTTAATAGTCGACTCGTTCGAACTGCTTAACTCCGTGATCCGCCAGGGCTGATGCTGACAAGAATCTAGCCTAATCCGGCTAGATTATAACAGACAGCAAGCTCCTCATTGGTCGATAGCTGTGATCGCCCCACTATGGTGTCGGCGTTTAAGTACGGAGTAGACGGGTGGACTTAGGAGCAATCTTACTCCTTACCTGCATAGAACATAAGCATCATTGATTTTGGGACCAAAAGTTGGTGTAGTCTGAAGATAGTTCCAGCTGGATGCATGTTGAACAGTTCTTCATGCGGATCCGTGCAAGGTGCATCGTTGACATGCCCGACATGGTGAGGTAAAACGTCAGCTGCGAGGGAGACCTCTCAGCTCTGCCGAATCGAGCCAAAAGGTACGGAGTAAAGAAGAAATACTCATTCACCAATTTGCTTTTTAACCTTTCATGTTGGAAAGACTTTGCTCACACTCGACCACCTGGGCTTTTTGTTCACTTCTTTTCATATCTTTTACCACTTCTACGACCGTCGAAGTGTGCAAAAATGTTCCAAATCCGGCTGGGTTGGCCCAGCTTCATATGATCTATGAAAGCTAGTATCGAAATGCCAAACAGTAATTCCGAGGCGATGATATGGTCTTTCGGACTCTTCCTGGCACCCCCAAGGCCAAAGCTTGGGCATCCGAGCCTAGCCGCGACGCACCTTCGGGAATGCTCAGGGCGGTGAACGCCGCAACGCTCTCCGGACCACCGAGAATCATCAACTTGCTCTTGGACAACTCAACTGACGGCAACGTGCTGGACGACTTAGGCGGCAATGATCTGCAACTCGAGTGAGTGAGAGACCTTGAGTGACCTCTCGATATCACTACAATTCCGGCATCGCCCCATATTGTCATCACTCGCACACGGCACCGACATCAAGTCCACTCATACGAAGACCACCAGGTCAGGTGTAATAGGGCTAGAAGGTTGCTCCACCGGGCAATTATCACCATCGATGAGGGGTCAATCTGGGTTTTTTGATGCTTCATACTCCACATCAATCATCACCTCTCGCTCTACGCATTGACCATGGACTTCTACGACCCTTTCCCTCGGCCTTTTCGGTCGACGATAGCCCAAAGCTCAGAGGAAAGCGACATAAAAAAAGAGCAGTATGCATCAATAATTGGTTTCAGTACGCAAAAAAATCAAAATCGCTAATCGGTTCGTAGTGTTCGTGTTGAAAGTGCACCATGGCCCGAGTATGATAGCGTCCTCCCAGGGAATGAAACCGCAGGACATGTAAATGCATCGCCTCCAAATAAACATGCTACGACGTGGCCAAATTTTATGAATCTTCCAAGAGAGTCGGCATCAAATGAAGGTCAGTTACACTCTAGCAAGCCCGCCTTGAAGCACGAGCGCGTCATTTTGCGGAAAGGATCAAGGGTCAACTGACAAAAATTCCAGATCTCTCTAATATTTCTTTGAGTGCTCGCATCGGTGGACATGAAGATATACCCATGCCGGTACCAGCATTTGGTTCGCTCTCACAGACACCAGGGCTCTATCTGGAAAGCTCGCGCGGAACTCAAAGTGACCTCGGCCACGGCCAGCAGAGTTCTGTTCCAGCTGATAACAGTTCCCTTGATGCCACTGTCATGCAGGACAAACCAAAGTCATCAACTCAGAGTACTGAAGGTCAAGCAGATTCAGCAAATTATTCCAACCATGCTTTTGCGCAGATACCAAGTGAGAAAAGCGCCGACGACAAAGAACGAAAATTCTCCTGCACTTTCTGCCGCCACAGATTTAAGACCAAGTATGACTGGTCCCGTCATGAGAAATCACGCCATCTCGACCTGGAAGTCTGGATATGTGCTCCTGAAAGTGGCCTCACGAGAAACCCTTCGACGGGACAAGATGTGTGCGCATATTGTACCAAACCCCAACCATCGCCGGAACATATTGCGGAGCACAATCACAGCAACTGTGTTGTAATGAAGCCTACATTCAATCGCAAAGACCATCTGGTACAACATCTCCGGCTGGTTCACCGTTTGACCAAGCTTCCACCCCTTGATGGCTGGCGAGTCCATGCCCCTCCCTTTGTGTGCCGTTGTGGGTTCTGCGGCCAGAGTCTGACCGGCTGGGGAGAACGGACTGATCACTTGGCAGGGCACTTTCGTAAAGGTGCCACAATGCGTGACTGGCAGGGTGAGCACGGGTTCACACCCGATGTCGCGGCGCAGGTGGAAAACTCTATTCCGCCTTACTTGATTGCCGATCAATATTGAGAGCCATCTTAGCTTTCATGGGATCCGGGGAACAGAGAAACAGGTAACTAAATGAGGAGACAGGGAGAAGACATGGACGGACGTGTGTATTGTGGAGACGAGCATTGCAGGAAGAGAGAAAGAGAGACAGAGACTCTTGTAACCTGCTCGAAGCCTGACAAACCAGGCTTCCACAGGCGCCAACACGAAGCCAACGATTCAGCGGCTCTTTTTCCCAGGAGTGGAATTACTATATAAAGTGAATTTTGGAAACCCCCCGAGATGATTCCCATATCCTCTACGTTCCCTATCAGGATCGGATGAGTTTGAGTCGGCTGTTGACCCATTTTTGGAGGACACCGACAAACTTGGAATCCCCCGAGTTTTCTTCCAGGTCTTTAAAGGTCACCGATCCAAGGACAGGAGACTGTCCCGCGATCCATATTGATTAAAAATTACAAGGTATCGAGCAAGCTCCGGTAAGCAACCTAAACATCGGACGTAGTGCTAGCCTTGGGCATTTGTGAACCGACTGCTTTTTTGAATACGTGCTCCATATCGAAAGAATATGTATCTATGGAGAATGTCAGCATCCGAAACCCGTGGACCTGGGCATCACCTGAGAGTTCAAAAGAACTGCCCACATGATTAGGGCCTGCAGCACTGGAGTACTTACGGAAAGGGGAGCATGGTGAGAGTCAGGAAGGCCAGTAGACTCGTTACCCAGTGATACCCCCATCGATTATACACTACGTGTTGCGGGTCAGAGCCATAACGAGAAAGCCGGGAGAAGGATGCAATACGGACTTTGTACACCGAGAGGTGGGAAAACCCCCCCAAAAGCCGACCGAGCGAAACTGTTCGCGGCAAGTGCACTGGCAGCATAGGATGGGTATGCGTCGACCAAAAATGTGAAGATACCCGAGTAAACCAGGATTGTTCTGACATGAATTAGTCTAGAGCTCAAACTTCCATGCCACTTACCCTGCTCCAAATACGCCACTGCCAATTATCGGGCCAATCCAGTGCACACCAGGATAAATTGTCCATGCAAAGATGAACAGTCCGATCGTCACCAATGGAGCGCCCATGATAGCTATCAATGTCAGTCTCATTGCAAGATTGAGCAATTCGAGCTTCGTGGAAGACTTACCAGGTGGCAAGCGCCATTCGGGCTGGGGTGGTGACTCGGGAGATTCCTTGGCTTGCTTTTGTTCCAACCGAGCATAATTCCAACCCCAGAACCTATCCGAAAGAATAGCAAGGACCATGCCGACTAGCAGGCCAAGAAAGCTGCATCCTCGTTGCCAAAGGCTGAATTCGTAAATGTTGCCGAAGACGAGTTGAGAAGCACCAAAGAATAGATACAGAACACCAAGCAATATAGCCGAGAATATGCAGAGGTTCAGACACATCGGCTCAAATACCAACAGCTGAATTGGTCGGTAAATTGATTGGCCCACAGTGGCGAGGATGCTTTTCTCTCCACCGTCTAATGAGCTTCTCCATCGTTCGTCGCCCGTCTCGATACGCATTTTTTGGGCTTTTCTTTTCAGAAGGCTAGACAAGTCAGCGTGGTTTGTAATTCCGGGGAGAAATTTATCTTACATGGGCTGGAATGTCTCGGGCGTGCAGAAAACAATAATTGCAAGGAGCACGCCGGTCCATATCATCAGGACATAAAAGGACCACCGCCTGTGGAGTCAGCGCATTTTCTATGACTATAAGAGCAGAGGTGAGATTGATTTACTCACCAGGTTGTATATTGATTGATAAAGCCTCCAACCCTACAAATTGTGTTAGTTCCATGCTCTTCTTACAAGAGGTAACCGCTAAAAGCGTACAAGGGACCTATCTCTGGTCCAATAAATGGACTCGCCGTATATACCATCATAGGGGCTGCGAGCTCATGACGTGGAAAGAGGTCCGCAACTGTTCCACCTGCAACGCTCAAAAATGCGCTGCCCGCAAGTCCGCTGAATAGCCTTCCGATCAATAGTGTTTCGATGTTTCTTGCCACAGCACATGGAATCAGCCAAACCAAAAACATCGCCAAGGAGCATATGTAAATCGGTCGACGGCCGTAGAACTAGAACAAATCAGAAGCGTTCGTTGGGCCATGAGAACAACCTTACCTCTGAAAGAGGAGCGAGAAGCAGAGGACCGAAGCCTATAGTGTGTGGAGGTTAGCCACAGAAATATGAGGAAAGCGCCGAGCCCACACATACCAAGTCCCCAAATAAAGAAGGATAGCCCCAGTGTAGCCACGATATTCGAAACTTGGAATTCTTTGGTGATTTGGGCATATGTCATGGTATACATGGAGGAGGTACAGGTACTTCTATCATTAGCGCCTATAAGCAATGTTGAAGTTGGTATACCTACACACAAAGTGAACCCATGGAACCAGTGATAACGATCAGCCACTTTCGCATGCGGCTAGAATTGCGAGGGTTCGCTGTGTCGTGGTCATCCAAGGTGACGAGAAATCTTTCTTCTTCCACGGTTGCTAATCTGGTGGGGGTTCGCTCCGTTGTACAAGGGTCGTAGCCATCGTTCAGGGAGCAGCAGCGACTGAGAGGCCTTGTTGAACGATCTTCGCATGTTTCCAGTCCCCCTGAAGGGCTCTCTTCTGCTGCAATCTTTTCATCCATGGCCGGGTTGCAGTGGAGAGCTGTAACAATCATACAATAAAGATATTGGCAAAGAACAGAAGGAATGGGCATGAACTCAATATAAACGCTGAGTGAAGGCCCGAGACTTCCAAGGTTTGGAATCCATGGGTGGAAATCTGTTAAGCAAGTGCCCAGGTGTTAGAAATACATAGTGGCGGCCGGGGTTGTTCCAGTAGGAGGGCGCATAGGCAATGTGGGTCTCAAGTCCCGAGCCCGCGCGCCCTACATGCTTACAATTGCCCCGACTCCGAGATGTCCACGGAAGCTCAGTTCCAAGGTTGTCACTTCTCTAAGCCTGTCCGACCCAAAATTTAATTTTTTTTATATCTGTTTGATCTACTGAAGCCCCATATTCTAAGACCCTCCTGTATTCACTCTTGGAGTTACGAATCACGCATCATACTATGTTGCATTCATTTGTCAAAACATATATTTAAACAACGCAATTCCAACCTTGGAAAGTTTAACACTGGTACTTTACCATTTGGACAATTCCAAGGTTGAATTGAGCAATATTGAGGTTTCAAAACCCCAACGCCACAGAATTTCAAGGTTATAAGACACGGGAATCAATCATGGATTGGACAGCATCGACCACGCTAGATTTCAAGTCGATGTATTCCCATTTCCCTCCTTTGCGGCCCTTGCTCAAAATTTCCAGACTGAGCTTCATATCCCAGCCGGTGGGATGAATTCCCGGAGGAAGAAGCTGCGAGGGATTTCCCTCTGGCACTCGATCCTTGAGGCTGGGGAAATTTTCACGTATGGTGTTAGCCACTAGCTGCGGGGAAATGAGCCCAGATATCAAAAGAACCCGCTGATTTGCGGCTGCTGGGTTGGTGAGAGCATCGACATGGCTCTGCGCCACATCCCGAACATCAACCTAGCAGTCAATTAGCTCTATTCGCTTAGGGGAAGTCCCAGGATATCTCCTACAAAGTGATAGAAAGGGAACTCGACTCCCTCGATGGTTTTGTGGGTTCCATCAATGAAGCTGGCGATAGCAAAATGGTTGGTTTCATTAATGGAGCCTGCCCCTTCGATAGGATGGATCATCGGCCCAGTAATGATATCCGGGTTGATGACAGTCAAGTCAAAGGGAACCTTGTTCTGCTTGAAGAATTCCCATGCCGCGGCTTCGGCTCTGGTTTTTGACACGTTGTACCCGAGAACGGGGTCATTTCGTTCAACAGCCTGCTCAGCTGTGACCTATGAATGTGTCAAAATTTGGACATGTGGTATGTACAGCAACTTGCAGAATAGGTTGCTTACTGGGTTCCAGTCTTTCTCGGTGTACGGCTTGCCTTCTTTGGTCATGTCCTCGAATGAGCTCAGCACGGACACCGCACTGCCAAGAAGCACGAATCGTTTCAGAGTGGAGCCACCGTACTTTTGACTAGCTTTCAGTATCTCCCTCGTGCTGGTGAAGTTAGCGCTACCCAGATTTCAGCTATGCGGATGGAAGTTCACCCTTTTTCAGCGGGCTCAATCATCTCCTTTCGGATATCGGAGACTTTGAACTTCAAAGGCGATGCGGTATGGATCACATAGTCAAATGGAGATTTCGCCTTTGAAAAAATGTCATCAAACGGCGCCTCCGACGTAAAGTCCGATACGATGGCAAATTCAATGTTGTTCTTCCACGTAGGATGGGCTACGATGATGGCGTCCCCCTTGGACGGAGAGCGAACAGTCGCTGTCACGAAGTAGCCTTCCTGCTGGGGAATTAGCAGTCTATTGACATCAAGACATGCTGCATCTGATAATATGAGTCCTTACATCAATCAAAATGGATAAGATATGGGAGGCAACAAATCCGTTAGCTCCCGTCAACAGAATGTGCTTTCCTTTGCCTGGCTGTGACATCGAAAGTTGAATTGAGATACTGAGTACTTGAAGTGGTGATAGAAGATAGTAGATAATTGAGATCTTACGAGATAGGTCGACCGTGAACCTTATATAATTTTTGGGGGCTCAAGACCGAGCATGCGTCCATAGTTGACGTCAGAGCCACCCTTGAACGGCGTCAGAGCAAATCCCGGAAATTGAGCTTTTTTTTAAGATCATTACAAGTATGTGATGATGCTATCGTTTCCTCAATCTTCGAATACGAGTTGGCATGTGGCAAATGCCACTTCAGTCCCCAACCCGGCAGGTTTTCAAGACAGACCTATTGAGTTAGTTTTTAACCACCGGGCTTCGCTCTTCAGCGGAATACTCAAAAGTGTCAAAAAGCAGTATTATGGGAATACGATCTAGTAATGGAGCAGTATGCACGTAAACAAGTCGTAAAATGCGTGAGAAAGATAAGGGAGAGAGAGAGAGAAACAGAGATCTATCTACTAGGGCACCGTATCACATGACCTAACCCCATGATCTCCAACAAGTATGATATGGTAAATGTAACTTTTATTCAGACGAGAAGAAGAATTCAAGAGGGAGAAGCTCTCCCGCTCTCATGAGTTGCAGCGGTCTCTCAGTGTCGATGAAGAAGACAGATTCTGTAATCTCCTGCGCCGGACTGGTGCTAAGTGGTGGGCGAGTAGGGAGGATAGGCTGGAAGTGCGGTTAGGCGCGAGAGAGATGGCAGAGGAAGAAAAAAGGTGCTGGTGTTTGGTTGGCCGACGAATGGAGTAGGTATGTGAGTGTTGAGATATGAGAGTAGCAGGCAACTTCCAAAAGATTTTGGGAGAATGAGTTTCGCGATGAATGTGGAGGAGAAGATACAGATGATGAGAGAGTATGGCGCTATGTTTGTTGAAGATGTTACGCAGGTGGAGGAACTTCGTGATGGCTGAATACGCTTTGAGGCTCCCTAGTCTTGGGATGGATACTATCAGCGACAAGAAGCAGTAAAAGCTTGAGACCATGAAAGATAAATAATTCAAAAAGCCCCTGCAGCAATGATCACGTATCGTGACTTAGCCGACTAGAAATCCTTCCTCAGCTGATTCAGAGGCGGAAGGACGCCCTCGGATTCGAGGATTTCGAATGTCTCCTCCAACTCATCCCACGTATCGGCATACCCAGTCCAACCCAGCTTCCTAGCCTTACTCATACTTCCCACACAACTCCAGTCCCGACCAAGAGTCATCGTCAAAAAGTTCCATGTGGCCTTATCCCATGCGTGTTGATCAAGGTTGTATCGCTCACGAAGTGTAGCCCAGGCCTTGTTGACATCCTCTCGTTTCGCCCACTTCTCAGGGTCAACCTGGAGGAACAGGGTGGGGGAGTCGTTAGAAACCGAGTCCGTAGAGAGACCCAGCGCGGAGGCAGATGCCTTCAGAGGCGGCTTATTCTTGAAATGGATCGTCGACGACTCGTAGCTTTTGAAGCCTTTGGTATCTGGAGTACCTCCGTTCGGGAACATGGGATCAGGGATACGGCAGCCGAAACGGGCGGCCATACGCGGCCACAGGTTCTGGAACGATTCCGTATCTCCATTCATTACGTTGAAGATCTGATTCCCTGCGCCCTGTGCGGTGGCTGCCCATAGACAGAATTTGGCATGGAGATTGGCTGATGTCCAGCAATTGAAGGTAAAGTAGTTGGCCTTGCTGCCGATGAAAGGGAGCTCCGATCCCGGAAGAGCTTTACTGACAGCGCAGTAGAGGCCGAGGGCTGTGGCTTCGTTCATGAAGTTACCACGAGCATATCCTAGCACGTCTTCTGGTAGTGTGGCCACCCACTCCCAGCCGCCTTTCTTAGCTGCGTTGGCTAGGACACGTTGTTGTGGGTAATAGAAAATCGGCGGCCAAGATACACCACCTGCATCGTTTTCCAAAAGGGGATCGTCCTCGAGTAGAGGCTGCTTTCCAGGTCCGATGTGTACACCGTACTGCTTGAACCCGCAAGTGAGAATGAAACGTTTGATCTTCCGCGCCGAGCCGTTGAGCTCCAGTGCTTCCAGGAAATTGTAAAGTAAAGCTTCATTGACCCGGGACAACTCATCCTGGTCCTCGGAAGCTAAATAGGCACAAAAGAAAATATACTCGGCGGACACGCCCTCGAAAGACTTGGCCATGTCTTGTGCCGAGCTTTGCAGGTCCAGGGTGACATGTTGGACTTTCGGATCTTTGTGACCCGGATTTCCACGCGAGAAAGAATAGATTTTGTCGTAAGATCCATCTTTCAACAGGTGATGCACAATTGCACTCCCCGTGATCCCTGCGAGATGTTAACTGAGCAGGTGGTGGCAAACTTCACAACAGAACCACTTACCAGTAGCACCGGTAACAATAGCTGAAGGCATGATGAAGTCTGTTTGATTGTACTGGAACAATATCAGAAGAGATATTGATTAAAATTTGTGGTCTTTTCGATAGTGTATACAAGTTGGTTGAATGTTCGGGATCTGGGGTTCGGGATCTAATGTCTTTATCGACGTCATTATACTACATGCGGAAGGCAAGGGTCACCTCGTAATGCCACTGAAATCATTACAAGGTTCCAAGTGACCAATTTGTGACTATGTGATCAAGCATTTAAATTCACACAACTGGAGAAATTAACAATTCCACGCGCTCAAGAGTTTGATTGAGGTTGGCTGGGAATAGTAGGGCGTAGGGCGTGAGGCGTGAGGTCTAAGTCCCACCCGATTCGGTGGAATATTCAATGACAAGCCCCTCGGAGACTTTCTGCTTGTTGCTTGTTATTCAGCAGAGGCGTTGGATCCAGCCCCGGACGTCATTTCTGTCAAAGTTTAAAGTATACTTACCAATATAGACATTCCAAGTATTTATATATGACATAACATTGGGAGAAGGATTCTTGTCCCACAATAAACGCATATCTTTTGATTGAATCATAGTAACCGATTTCACAATGTCCTCGTGAGTAACATTTACAGGTTTGACAGGTGCGAGAGATTACTGACTGTCAAAGTCCCCAAGAAAGATACATCGCTGCAATTGAGGCCAACCGGAAAGTCAACCCGGATACTATCGAAGACCTCTTCAGACAACTTCCATCTATCAAGCCAGATCAATTGCTTGGTGAGTGGAATGGAGGGTACTTTGACACCGGACACCCGGTCGCCGCCCAGCTGGAGGAGATCAAATGGGTCGGAAAGTCGTTCAAAACTCTGGAAGATGTCGATCCTGTGATCGTTGAGCGGGATGGCAAGCGAGTGAGTTGGGGACAATGGGGGTTTGCTAGCGTAAGTTTACCCAGGCCTCCGCTCTGCGATTGAGTCACAGGCTAATTTAAGTTTCAAGGTGCGAGAGATGGTGTACGGAGGAGCAGTGTCTACTACCATGATCTACGATGATCGACCTATCTTGGATCACTTCCTTTACGTGAACGATGGACTCCTGGCTGGTGTTATGGAAGGGAAAGCACTTGGGCATGACGGGCCATTTTACTTCTACTTGAAGCGATAGACTTGCGACCAAATTCCAACAATAAGGCATTCTCTTGAAATTTTCCTTGGTAAAACGTACCATCTCTAGATTTCTTGAAGTAGACTCGTTTTATTGCCTTGGAGTAAAACCCTGCAGTAGAAATTACAAATGCTCATCTATGGCATTGATCAGAAGAAAATTGCGTGAAGATAGATTGTGAAAATTAACTCAGGTACTCATAGAATGCATTTTAGCCAACGGAAGGTATGAGAGCAACTCAAAAAAAGATTATAATATCGTCTACAGACGTCTGATCTTCTCAGATTCCGTAATGTACCTGGCGCTGCCTTTCCGAGGATGTCGCCGCTGTGGGGCACGCCCTACGAGTGCGGCCAAACATCGTCCCGGAATCACTTCGGACACTTTTGGATATACAGCGGTAACTTTCAAAGCCCATGTGGCAGCTATGCTTGAAGGGGCAATGTGAAACAAATTTTATTCATGATCTTCTATGGAATTCATTACAAACCATGGCCATTTGTCAGTTTCGGAATCAAAGCTTACGAAATACAGAACCCAGTGTCCAGGTAGATGAACTATATAAGAGGCTCGAGACAGCTACCATCCAGCCTGGCATATTCTTCAGTCATTGCATCAACTCATACCGGAGTCCTTCTTACAGCAGTCCAAACATCCCATAGACCTCCAACGAAATGACCAACTGGCCCGACGTTCACATCAAGGCCGCCTCCGGCGTGCCCTTCTACACTCCAGCCCAGAGCCCACCAGCTGGGACTGCCCGAAACCCCCAGACCAGCGGCAAGCCCATTCCGAAACTCTTCCAACCCTTGAAGATCCGCAACCTCAGCTTTCAAAACCGCCTGGGCCTTTCCCCCATGTGTCAATATAGCGCCGACGACGGACACATCACACCCTGGCACCAGACACACTATGGTGGAATCGCCCAACGCGGTCCCGGCCTCATGATCATCGAAGCGACTGGCGTGCTACCCGAAGGCCGTATCACTCCTGGCTGCCTCGGCCTCTGGAAAGATTCCCAGATCGCGCCCCTCAAGGAAGTTGTCGACTTTGCACATAGCCAAGGTCAGAAAATCGGTATTCAACTCGGTCACGCTGGCCGCAAAGCCTCTACCCTTCCCCCTTGGGTAGGCGGCGCCACTGCTACCAATGCTGTCGGCGGATGGACCGATAACGTCAAGGGCCCCAGTGCTATCCCATTCTCTCCCAACGATGTTGTACCAAAGGCTATGACCGAGGAAGATATCGTGGAATTGAAGGAAGCTTGGGAATCCGCTACCAAGCGTGCCCTGATTGCTGGCGTGGACTTTATTGAAATCCACGCTGCGCATGGCTATTTGCTTTCCTCCTTCTTAAGTGCGTCTTCCAATCAACGTACCGATCAGTACGGCGGTAGCTTCGAGAACCGAACCCGTCTACCACTCGAGGTCGCCCAGTTGACCCGTGATCTCGTCGGTCCCGATATGCCCGTGTTCCTCCGTGTTTCCGGTACAGACTGGCTGGAAAACAGCCTTCCGGACGAGAAGGGCTGGAAGCTTGAAGACACTGTGGAATTCGCACGCCTGCTCGCTGAGCAAGGTGCGGTGGACTTGATCGATATTAGCTCTGGTGGTGTCCATGTGGCACAGAAAATCACTAGCGGTCCCGCCTTCCAGGCTCCTTTGGCTGCGGTCGTCAAGAAGGCTGTTGGAGATCGCCTGAAGGTTGCCGCTGTGGGTATGATTAACCACGGTGACCTTGCTGAGAAGATCTTGCAAGAAGACAACCTTGATGTTATCCTGGTCGGACGAGCATTCCAGCGTGATACAGGTCTCGCATGGCACTTTGCTAAGGACTTGGATGTGGAAATTGCCATGGCTGCGCAGATCCGCTGGGGCTTCACAAGCTTCCGAAATGCTTCCGAGTATATCCAGCCGAACTCGATGAAGGCGACCATCTTCGATTAGATGCCAAGCGCCATTTACTGTTAGACTTTTCCCATAGACTTTGCCATAGGCTGTTTGTTACATTTTGTTATCATAGAACCTTGTTGATTCGATTAGATGTCTGCACTTGAGTTCGAAACTCGGAACCAGACGCCCTATCTTCTCCTTTGTTGTGCTTTCTGAAGTAGGTCTCGCAATGTGTGAAATTTTCACCATGATTTAGGTCGGTGCGGAGTTAAGAACTTGGCACAAACCGGATATCAATCTTTGGAAACTTTGAATGTGACCACGGGTTGGGGTCTGGTATAATATGTGGGAACTGCTTCGGCGGATTCTTGAAGTCCACTTGAGGCTAGAGAGGGAAGTTAGCTACAAAGAAAGAAAGCAAGATAGCGAGAAATAGAAATTGCGAACGGTAACAACGTCCAGGGTCAGATTCCCTTCATCTCCGCCTCGATCTTTAGCCTTTCGGACAATATGAGGAACTTCTCTCTCGTAAGCTCATCGGCTGGAATTTCCTTAAGCTCATCTCGTATGAGTGCAACCGAGGGCAGGTCGTCTTCGAGGGGATCTAGGACTTTTGCAAGAGCAATTATCCAAGGAAGAGGGGCTTTCAAGTCGTGAAAAGCTTGCATCTCGTTGTAGACTTCGCGGATAAACTCTTCAACGGAGTCGCATTCCTCGTAGTCAATGCCCCAGAATGGTATCAATCTCTCGAGAATACTTTGGGCAGAGCTATCTCCCAGAACGATTTTCTCAATCTTGTCCATGAGGTCATCGGCAAACATGCCTTTTCCCTCCCCAACCCCTCTATTTTCCAAACGACGTTTGACGCTGGTGGACACCTGGTTGCAGATCCAGTTGCCAATGACAATCGAGCAGTACCCCCAATCTGCATAACCTTTATCTTCTGGTTTAGGGCGGGCCAGATCTCCACGAATGAGGTCCTGGCAATCGAGGGACTGGAGCCTGAAAGAAATTAGGGATTTCCACAGCTTGAGGTCAGCAGCATTCTCAAGGGTAATCACCCTCTCGGTCCTCAATCCTTCGATGTTCGCCGTTAGACAATATCGCTGCGTCTTGGGAGCCGAATTCTCTGCGGGTTGTTGGGAAGACATCTTGAAAGCTGAAAGTATGTAGCATCGTCTTCGTGGCAAGGGGGGAACGTTGATTGGTCACTGAGTCAGATTGGGGACAATGGAGTCCACCCGATTGGTCGGTGCTCAGTAGAAAACGTCCACGGGTAGTGAAAAGGGTCCACGGGTGCTAGTGGTCCGAACTAGCGAAAGCAAACGCTCATGATCCGATGAGAGGCTGAGGCACGAAGTGAAGTAGGTTCATAGGCTGAAAGCAAAGAAAGACGGGAAAGAAGAGAAGAGAGAAAGAAAGAGGGAGAGAGGGAGAGAGAGAGGAAGAGTACGAGAGCAGGAGCAGGAGCGAGAGCGAGAGCGAGCCAGGCCTGTCAACCAGATGACCTGACCACCACCGTACAGATATGGGACTTTCACCTTTCATTTGCCTTGATGTCTGAATTTGTCCAGGGATCAAAGTCCTGTGAATTACCATTACGGCTCAGGCGGTAAACTGAAGGGTGAAATACCGGATACCCGATGAAATTCCGGTACGGAGTAATCTATGAAACATGGTAAGGGAAGTGTAACGAACGTGTGGAGGATCAGGCCAAAAGCAGGCCAAATTGGACGATTCATGCCTGGCCGCTATCATCCCTCGTAGCAAGACGCTGATCTATCCCGGATCAATCGTCAACAAAACTTCATCACTTCATCATCTCGATGACATCTACTCTAAACAAATACCGGATGCACTGACATAAGCCTCACTCTAACCTAACCCTCTAGGCAAGTCTAGTGATCCTACTGCTGACGTTGGCGGGGATCCCGGAAATACATCGCCGAACCCAAGCCCGATGTTGATGCTGGAGAAATGCACCTGTGTTGGCACTCCCCCACAATTCAAAGGTCCAGATCGGACACCAAAGACTACCATATTCCCAATTGAGAATATGCAAGCCGCTAGTCCGCATGCACCTTCGCTTCAAGCCTCAACTATCATCCAGTCAGGCGCGACCTAGCGATGCTTGGCATCAGCCATCATCGCAATACGAGTTCCTTCCGCGGAAAATTGGATCCTACATAGATTGCATCCAACCCTACACAGCCTTTTTTCGCCTAACAGCTAAGCCTCTTGCCAAGGCTGGTCTCTATTGCAGCAAGGCAGCCAGATTCTCCGTGCGAATTGGAAATGTGAGGATTCAGAGCGGTCTGACCTGTAGTATGCGATGAACGAGACGTGATTTGACCATTGCAAGTGCTTTTGTCAAGGTATCTGTACGGAGTACTCTGCGGACCTATCTCCCTGCAACCGTGCCCTGGCTCATGGGTATAAAGGTCGACGGCTTCTTGTTGAATATATTGACCAAGACTCAACACTCCAAATTGAATAACCATTACATTAGCTTCACCCAACGGTGAATGACCTCGATGGAAATGGCATTTCGCATAGCAACTACGTTGCTCTTACTGTCTGTCCTTTTAACCGGGACATTTGCAAGCAAGAACCCACGCACGCCGACCTGCTCTTCAAAGACTTTCAAGTCTCTGAGACTGGAAGGTATTGAGATACAAAAGCTCGATGTTACTGCCAAGCACAACTTCTCAACTAGTGGACGCAATGCCACTGGAGGTGTCGGTATTATTCCCGACATTCCAGGTGTTACGACTCCCACCGTGGATCTCTGTTTGATCACATTGACATACACACACCCCGGCCAACACGATCTTATCAACACTTACATTGGGCTTCCACTAAACTCGAAGGATTGGAACTCCCGATTTTTGATGCATGGAGGGGGAGCATGGTATTCCGGCGGCCCAAGCAGTGTTCTGACGCCAGTCCTACTCGGGTATGCATCATCATCCACGGATGGGGGACATGGAGCTAGCGCTTCCACTGCGGACTGGGGCTTGACCAGTCGAGGGAAAACAAATTGGCCTGCCCTTCGCGACTTCTCCAGCGTTGCCCTTTCCGAAGCTGCAGTTCTCGGAAAGCTCGCGACCAAATTGTATTTCGGTACTAAGGCCGAGTATTCATACTGGCATGGCTGCTCTACTGGTGGTCGTCAAGGACATGCGCTAGCACAAGAACACCCGGAACTATTTGATGGGATTGTCGCCGGGGCTCCTGCTATTTCTTGGGATAAATTTGCGACTGCTGGACTCTGGGGGCCATTTGTTGCGCAACTGTTAGGTACGTCTGACTTGGCAGCGATTGCTACTTCTTCGTCCAACTGACGTTTTGATAATACACAGACACACAGCCTCCTGTGTGCGTTGTTGATGCCTTCACACAAGCTGCGATTGCGGAATGTGATGGACTAGATGGAGTCTCAGACGGCATCATAGCGTACCCAGGGCAATGTCACTTCGAGGCATTCTCCCTTGTCGGCCAAGAAGTGAACTGTACCGACCCTTCGGGAACTATCACCATCACTGAAAACATGGCTGAGCTGATTTCTGCCTTATGGGATGGACCACACTCAACAAACGGGCAATCCTTGTGGCACGGGTTCCATTATGACTCCAGTCTTGCCTACATGATTGGAACAAGTTGCACTTCCATTGACAATTGCACCATAGTACCTTTCTCGGTCTCTGAAGACTGGGTAAGCGTTTTCCTCGCTCGGAACCCATCCTTCAATATCGATGGTGTCACTCGTCAAGAGTACGACAATTTCTTTCAACAGTCCATCGATGAGTATGCCTCTGTCATTGGCACTTCAAATTCCGACCTCTCAAAAATGAAAAAGACAGGAACGAAAATGCTGGCCTGGCACGGCATGGCCGACCAGTTGGTTCCGACAAATGGTACAATCGAGTACTATGAACAGACAAGAGACATCGATGCGGATGTCGCCGACTACTACCGTTTGTTCCTCGCGCCAGGTGTGACTCATTGTGGATTCGGAAGCGGTTTCGATCCCGCTGAGAAAGTTTTTGACACTATGAGGGCGTGGGTTGAGAATGGCACAGTTCCAGATCGTTTGGAGGGCGTGGCCGTGGCTGTGGGGAACACTTCTGCTACTCGTACGGGGTGGTTGTGTCCCTATCCCCAGGTTTTCACGTACATCGGTGGGGATTTCAATAGTGCCTCGTCATTCGCTTGTCATTGATTAAGGGATTGGATTGGAATTACTTTTGATTCTCCCCGCGATGGATTCCAAGGTTTGATCTTGTCAGCGTGGCTTTAGTTTGACCAATGTGTGATTATTGAAATGTCAATCAAGTATAAATTTGGGGTATCATTAGCTTAGAATAGATGAATGCTGGGCCATGCGTCTGTATAAATGCAGCCAGTCGAGAAACGCCAGAAAGGACTTGTTGAGTTGAACCTTGGAACCATAGACGACGCTCACAGATCATAGAAATGAGTGATTCAGAAGGGGGATGTATATGATCTTGAGCCAAAATATCAATAATTAGCGTCGGGGAAATATCGCGATATGGTGATATAGTTAGAAAAACCGCGAGATGATAGAGGAAAAGGAATGCACTAAAATCAGATGCTTGACTGCACTCAAGGTGCACCAACCTAGAAAAAGAAAAGATAGGCCAATCGCAATCTTGACGTTTTGCACCGCGATGATCACCAAGAGGACAGCACATAGAGACCACGCGGATAGTCCCCCGCTGCTCAGTGCTGGGAGGTACCTGAAAGTACTTGCAGCGTTGTCAATAGCCGATTGTAGGTTGGCGGCTGAGGCGCTAGTTTTGCTCAGTAGGGCTTCGGAGACCTGAGCATGAAATTGGATAGCTTCGTGCGCGAGAGACTGTGCCGACAGGGCTTCGGTTTGTAGGTCCTGGGCTCTCTGTAGCTCGCTTGCTTTTGACTCAGATTGTTTTATAAATTGTTCCATGTGATGCAAGTGCTGTACAGGTCAGAATGCGACTGGTGAACGTTTGGAAGATTCTTACCTGGGTCAGTCGAGTCTCCTGCTCGAGAATTATGTTCATTCGACTTGTCAACCATTCCTAAGATCAGTAGTGGTCAGCAAGTCTCAAAGCATAAATGGGATGAGGGGATTTGCTTCGACATACCATGGTAGCATCAAATCTTTGCATTCCCCTGTAGACTTTCTCCATTTCGGGGCCCACAAGGGCTTCAAGCGACTGATGCAATGAGCCTGCCAGGTCTTTGTTGACGACGGCACTGGACTGTTGTTCTAGGAGAGCCTCCTGGCTTCTGATCATTGCGTCTCGATGCACATTCTGTAACGAGTGTTGAAGGGCTCCCACTTGATTTGAAACGTTCTGAATGTCCTGTTCAACCGTCAGTGCTTTTGTCCAGAAGCGATGTGTTTGATCTCACCTTTTCAAGGAACACCGTCTCTGCCTGTGTCTTCTTCAGCACTGAATACACGGCAGATTGGAAAGCAGTGGTTCCAGCTTCGATTTCCTGAAGAAATTGGCTGAATGTCCGCTTGAGCATAGAGTCTGTCACGCTAATTTCCGCAGCAACCTTCTTCTGCAGAGCTTGTACAGCCTGTGCGAAGTCTCGTTGTCGCTCATACTGCAAAGCTGCATCTTTTAAGGCATCCTGCAGCCCATCATTGAGCTTGATGCTGCTCCTCGCAATGGCTCGGTGCAAGTCGAGAAGCTCCTCTTTTTCCGTCTCCATTCGTGAAGCTTGGCAAATGATGAGGGCATTCTGTCGACTATTGCTGTATGATGTCCACCATTGAGGTCGCGATTCAAGTGTCTTGAGACATCCCTCCAGTATCTCTCGCGAAACTTCATCCGATGTAGTGTCAGGGCTTCTGTGCCGATTCACGAACCCGAATCGATGTTTCTGCGGTGGCGGTGACACAGTGACCGCAAGGCATGAAGGTGGAATCGTAGTCCCCGCCCCATCAATCTCGCACAGGGCCAGCCTGGCTGCATATGCCGATCGGAGCACATCGAGGCTCTCAGGGTCACTTAACTGTGTGCCTTTCCCGTCTCTAAATGTTTGACACGATGCGACCAGTCTGGTCGCAGCAACCCTGTTGCACGATGGTGATGTTTTCATTGAGTCCAGAAGCTGCACTGCCTCATTGAAGATGTTGTCTTGGTGTTGCTTTTGGGATCTGAGGATTGAGACCGTGTCAATGTCAGGAGCCTTGGGCGGTAGGGCTGGAAGATCGTCTGGGACCGGGTCAGTAGCAGCACACAGAGTTGAGCGGGGAATCTTACGTTTGTGTGAAGCAGTCGCTCTCCCCAAGTGAGCGAGTGTGAGGAGCGAGTAGCAGACCAATTGGCAGGCCCCAGTCACCTTCATTGTGGGCTTGATCTGTTGGATGGTTGGTGTAAATCCTTGGGCCTGGTCAGGCTGTGACTGAGGTATTAAAAGAGTGTTTGAAACGATGCCTCAATCGAACGAGGCATGCGAATATATGAGGATACGAGAGAGGAGTGTCGTGGGATGAGATGGTGGTTGAAGAGCGAGGAGAAGTTCAGGATCAAATGTACTTGAAATTTGAACCTTGGAGCCTGTACCCGCCTTCTCTCACTTGGATAGTCCCTTGAGTTACATACAGAATATTTGCAAAACCCTCGATATAAATTAGTTGTTTAGTCTGGCTGATCCGATCTGCGGCCGAAATACTTCAAAACGGGTGCCGAGTGCGCAGCAAAAAGACCGTTATCGAAGGAAATGACTGCATTGCTGCACTTTAAGGTAGCAAATGAGATGTATAAACCATTGATCTACGAAATTCCTCATAAATCGTCAAGAAATGCAGTTCTGACGGAATGAATTGAAAGGAAAAGGCCAAATCGAACGGAATATAGATGGTCACGTGGACGCTAAACTCATTCAGGATCATCGGCGACAAAATCCAAAGTCCGCCGAGCAAAAGACAACCAAAGACGCGCGCCATCATGTCGTTACCCCAACGTTGCGCCCGCCAGCTCTTCAGAGAGTCCTTCCAGCGCGGCTCACTACCCATCTTCCTCGCCCCGGCTTTCTCTCCCTCCCGCACACAATGCTTCTCGACTACATCCCCGGCGCAGTCCCGAGTCGGAGGTGCTCCAATCTCAATTCCTCCGGAGGTGTCATTCAAGCTCATTGATCTCCCCGAAACCCTGATTCGCACTCGCGGAAAGGATGTTCCCAAGTTCGCTGCTGAGATCAAGGGTCCCAGGGGTGCGTGTTGCGGAATTGTCTTCGGAGGATACCATGCTAACAACTCCCAGGTGAAATGACCGTCAACATTCCCTCTTTCCTCACTATCGCCCGCGACGAGTCCGGCCAAAAGGCTACCCTGTCGGTCCAGGATACCGAGATCCCTCATCAGCGTGCTATGTGGGGTATGTCAATATCCTGATCCCCAATTTCGGTCTATGCGGACAGCAACTAACAGACCGCTCCTCAGGAACCATCCGCGCTCTCATCCAGAACAACATCCTCGGTGTCTCCGAAGGTCACGTTTGTATATTGAGTATGGTCGGTGTCGGATACAGAGCTACAGTGGAGGACAAGGCGACCACCGTCGAACCCACTTACCCGGGCCAGAAGTTCGTCTCCTTGAAGGTCGGCTATTCCCACCCAATTGAATTGGGAATTCCCAAGGGTGTGGAAGCCAGCACACCGCAGCCCACCAGAATCCTGCTCGAGGGTGTCGACAAGCGAGTTGTGACTCAATTCGCCGCCGAGATCAGAGATTGGAGACGTCCTGAGCCCTATAAGGGCAAGGGTATCTTCGTCAACGGAGAGACGATCAAGCTCAAGGCCAAGAAGATCAAATAAACGGGTGTACTTCTTTTTACGCGGGACGTTGCTTGGTCCCGCGTCTGTATTCTTATCGTTATATATATGTACTACTTTTTTCAGTCGCAGCGATGGTATCACAAATCTATTTCAGTGCATCTAGCGTGAATTTTTGTGCTCCCCAGGAGCCCTCGGGAAATAAAGTGACATAAGGCTTAATCCATCAATCCATTACAGCTTCAGCACGCTCTTGACTGCGCCGACGACGGCATCCTGGTGAGCCTTGGGAGAAGCGACAACACCCTTGTTGGCAGCGAGAGTCCGGCCCTTGCTGAAGTCCAATCGGTTGCCGTAGATGTCAGTGACCTGACCACCGGCCTCGCGGACGAGAAGGTCACCAGCAGCGTGGTCCCAGATCTTCTCCTGGTAGTCCTTCTTGACGGGGAGACGAAGGTAGATGTCACCGGCACCGCGGGCGATGGAGCAGTACTTAGCCTGCGAGTCCAGTCGCACGCTAGGGGCAGTGATGCCAAGGAGCTGAGCGACGGCAGCATTGTCGCCCTGGGCGGAGTGCGCGGCCTCAACACCCTCGCAGAAGACAGCGTCGGAGATGTTGGAGACGGGGCGCATGGAGATAGGCTTGCTGGCAGCAAGAGTGCTGCTGGTCAGGGGACGGCTGGTAGCGCCCTCGCCGAGGACAGCGGAGAACAGGACACCGTTGGCGGTGGTGGCGGCCTGCTGAGCACCAGTGCTGGCGTCCAGGCTGGCGGCATCGTCCACAGGGAGGTTGGGGGTACCAATGGCACCGACCTTGACGTCGCCGTCAACCATCAGGCCGAGACAGACGGCGTACTGGCCGCCACGGAGGAAGCCCTTGGTGCCGTCGATGGGGTCGAGGGCCCAGATGCGGCCCGAGGCGCCACCGGCGCTGTTGCCGTTGTCAATGATATCGAGCATGCTCTGCTCGCTGGCAAGAGGACCACCGAGGATGTTGTCGCTCTCCTCATCATCCAACTTGATGTCCTTGACCAGGCGCCAGATCTCAGCACTCAGGTCCTTGTCCTCACGCAGGGAGCTGGCCTCCTCCTCGGCAACAATCTCGTCGTTGGGGAAGTTCTTGCGGATGGCGGAGATGATGAGAGCTTGGGCGCCGAAATCGCCGATAGTGACGGGGGACTTGTCATCCTTGGAGACGGTACCCTTAGCCTTCTCGAAGAAGACCTTCTGAGTGAGAAGGCAGGCCCGCTGGACGGCCAATTCGGCAATGAAACGTTCTTGTTGGTAGGCCATGGTTTCGACTTTGGTAGAGAAGTGGGGGAGGAGGAGGGAGAGACGAGAGCGGGATTTCAGAGCCACGCTGAGGGCCAGAATGAGGGTGGAGCAGATGAGCAAGCGGGACACGAAGCGGAACAAATAGGATCGCGGGGATGGATCCGTTCGGTGAGCAGTCGTATGCTTCATCCGACTATGGTACGATGGATAGACGTAGCTTGAATTTGGGACTTTAGCTGTCTCATCTAGATAGTTCCCAATGGAAATTGTTGTCAATTGCAACATCATTTGGACACCTTAGGCCTCCCACCCCCGCTCTAACCCCTTTGGGCCGGAGCAGTCACGAGCCGATAAGCTTAAACGGTCTCAACGCTGTTTCGTCTCTTCCTTCCCCTGAAGCTCACTCTTTGTATATTTGACACCCCTTTCGACCGCGATTTCGCGATATTGCACATTATATCTCCAGCTGTGGAGGGGTCGAGGGTTCAAAACCGACTCGGGCCAAAGGATCAACATTGGCCGCCCACATTGAACACGTAAAGGTATAGCTCCCTAATGGCCCTAGCGCTGCGATTTGAGCTGATCCTATTTTCCAGCCTTATCAACTCGAATCAGCTTTGAGAACAACATCGCCAGTACCCATCCTCCCTACTTTTTGCAAAATCCTGGTGTAAACTGTGCTGTGCGGGGTTGGTTATCTCTATACCGATATCGCAACGCGGGGCGATCGTGGGCTCTTGAATACAAGTGTCATTTTGACTCTACATACCTTGTCGCTGTTCAATCCGGTCTCTGTGCTAGGACGGAAGGACGCTACATCCTTTGCCCACCATGTTTCAATCTTCCGTAAGTCAATTCGGCGAAGAGAACACGCTATCTTGCACCGACTGACATGGCCGTGCATAGAAACCATACTCGGCGGTGACAGTCCAAATCGAAGTCCTCACAAGTGAACAATATGAAGTCGAGGACTCCAGCGGTATCGTCGATTTGGTCGAAGTAGTCCGCATCCAGGCGAGCGGTCCAACAGAAGCGAGTCGGGCTCTGCGCAAGAAGCTGTGAGTTTGTAGCGTGCAAGGTGAAGTACCAGTCTAACCCGAGTAGAAAATATGGCAACCTCCACCGACAACTTCGTTCCCTCGTGATCCTCGACTTCCTAGTTCAGAATGCCGGAGAACGCTTCCTGCGCGAGTTCGCTGATGAAGCACTCCTCGAACGACTTCGAATCGCGGCTACGGATTCCGTCTCCGATCCTCTCGTCAAACAGAAATGCAAACAGATATTCGGACAATGGGCCGCGACCTTCAAGGATACTCCTGGCATGGCGAAGGTCACGGCGCTATACAAGCAGGTTCCCAAGCGGAAACAGCCTGCCACACAGGCGAAGGCCAAGGTCTTACGTGAGGGCTCAAATTCCAACCAAAATGAGCCTCCGATGGGTCATGTCGTTTCAGTATCAGGAGGTAGTGGGCCATCAACATTGTTGAGCGGTCCCAAGCCAAAGTCCAAGTCAAAGAAAGACAAGAAAGACAAGAAGCTTGGACTGAGCAGCAGCAGCAGCAGGAAATTCGACTTGGAAAAGGAACGTCCCGAGATCTTGCAGGCGCTCGCAGCTTCCTCGGTGGCTAGTACTAACCTTTTAAACGCGTTGAAACTGGTCAACCGTGAGACGCACCGAGTGAGCGAGGACGCAGAATGTATTCACGGATTTGATACTTGCAAGGACCTTCGCCACGGTATTCTGCGATACATTCAATATATCGAAAGTGAAGAATTCCTCGGTGGCCTGATTCATGCGAACGAAGAGCTCGTAACTGCATTGATGGCCTTCGAGGTTCTGGACAAGAGTCTAGACTATGATAGTGACAGTGAAGACGAAATTATGGACGCCAGTTGGAAGCAGAGACATGGTCTTGGTCTTGACGATGATGTGAATGACGGTCTCGCTGGGCTTAACATCAATCCACCCAAGCCACAGCGTCCACATCTGCCTCTTGCATCTTCGACTCAACATTCCCGTCAGATCTTTGAGAGTGAAAGCGAGACCGAATCTGAAGAGGAAGATGATGATAATCCTTTTGGCGACCGCAATGCTATCAAGACACCTGGTATCGAGAAGTCAGAACACACTTGGTACGTTTATCTTGCTCTATAATTTTGTTCGCTACTAACATAGCTATAGGAAAGAGGTTTGATGTGATATTGTTCTTTGGAATTGGCTGGTGATTTTGTCCTTGCATTGTTCAATCCTTTCATTGTTATGTACTTGGTTCCTGCGCTTGATCGGTATACCCAAGGCCATTAGCTATCGTGTTGCTGAAATAAATATTCTTATTGTCGCATGTGTTTCAAATGTGCATCTATTGTAGATTTTGGCAAATAGTCACTTCAGCCTTTTGCGGGTATGGCGTCAAAGCGAGCAAGGGGAATGGTCCCTCTGCTACTCCTGAAGCCAGCGAGTCTGACTTGGGACGCAAAAAGGACGCCCTTTTCTCATTTTGGTCGATCACGAAGCTAGCGATGAGGAGTTCCAAAGTTTGTGCTCCTTGGAGGGTGGAACGAAAGTTCCGGTTGGGTTGGAAGATGAGACAGTCTGCCACGGGCGCGGATCAAGCACATTCGTCTTAAGAAGTTGTGATGTTAGAGCAGATAAGTCATATCAGGGCTATCATCGTGGTGTCTTCTGGACAACAGACGGTCCATCTAATATAAACCCAACCAAAGCCTTTCTGCCATCCAGCTTCAGTGGGGCCTCGGTGTGCATCGCACCCGGGACGCTTTTGGTTTCAAGGACCAAACCTAGAGCTTTGGCTTGCTCTTGTATCTGGCCTGGGACATAAGATGGAATGACCTCATCCTTTTCAGCGGATAGAAGGAATATTGGCGGAATCATGTCTGATCTTGGTGCTGTTTTGTATTGGTCCGCATCCTGATCTCGCCATGTAGCCAGTTTTCGAAGACTCCCCTTGATGTCCCAATTGTTCCAGGAAAAGGGCCAGAGATACCGATATGGAAGCCACTTCTGGGGATAGAGGCTGATGAGCATGTCCTTGATGCTCGAGGTAGGCGCCTCCAGAATCACTCTGGTGATAGGAGCCAGGGACCGCTCATTGCGCGTTCCATCCCATTTTTCTTGGTGCGCAATATACGTGGGAACTGCTGCCGTTGCGACTGCGGCACCTAAGCTGTGTCCCCAAATGACAAGTTCGAGATCTGTCTGCGGGCCTCCGTATGTTTCTGATACCCACTGTAAGCAAGCGTGGGCATCTTTTTCAAGGCCTGATTGCGTGGCTCGGCCGGACGATTTCCAATAGCCACGATAAGACAGTGCGACAATTGTGTGTTCGGTATCTCTGGACTTGTGAGGCGAGTTTGAAGATTTTGACGCATCAGAAATTGATCGCAGGACCTGAGAGAGCAGAGGTAGTCGCATCGGCGTTGACCCGCCGTTTCCCTGAAAATAGCAGATAACGACAGACTTCTTGCGGTTCCGGTCGGATCCCTGATATTCATGGACGGCATTGCGGCTTGTCGGGGACTTGCCCTCGTTGCGCGGCACTGAGATACGCCCCTGACAAATCGCCAACTTAGTCCCGTCCAAGCTGCGAATTTGCTTCTCCTCCCATCGCACAGGCTTGCACTCGGCCTCGTAGTCCGATATAACCTCTGACCTTGTAAACGGCGGTAGCCAGGTGAGGTAGAGCAGCTTATTTTGCATGGCGATAATCCAGAAGCATTTCCAGGTCCAGAGACCGACCAAGAGCCCGACGAACATCATTGGTGGCACGAGAAAGCTGGGGATCGCTGCTGTCGCGAGGCCTCTGGTCCGCGCATATTGAACGGCTGGTGTTCTTCTTTGCTCGCGTATACCGATTAGACATCGGCCGCTCCGCGCTACGCGGACGGGATCGCGCATGACGCGTCGAAAGGTCTGGCTGCGTAGCATCACATGTGGAAGAAGATTGTCAACGGGGATGTCGTCGGGAACGGGGCCATTGCGACGGAGCCTCAAGTGTTAGTAAGCTGCCTTCGGTGCCCAGGTGCCGGGCGTCGGGCTGGGCCCGCAGTTTCAAGCTTAAGGCTCGGCCCGCCTTGGCGCAGGTGCTACTTGCTTCATCCTTTTTCCTCGCGCCTTACAATATGTATGAACTACTTTATACTTGTCAAGAGTAATGATGAGGTCGAGCCCTGGAGGGCAGATCAAACGAGCTTTGTTTTTGGTGAATGTATCCAGTTCCTAGTTGCAGCATCCCGAGCATCCAGTCTTCTTGTCACCGTCCATTCCGCAAGAAGTGGGAGCCGAGGATTCCGCCGCCTTTTCCTCAGCATCTTTGGCTTCGGCGCTAGCAAAGCGAGCATCCAGCTCCGTGCAAAGCTCATCGCCGGCAATGCCAACAACTCCGTCATCTTTGTCCTTCAGGTAGTATCCTCCATTCTCGGGGAAAAGAGCGCCGTACGGGTGATCTTTGGCCATGGCATGCAGGGCCTCTCGGTCGACGAGGATAGTGGCGTTGCTTGGGGGCATGGCCTTGTAGCGGGTGATTGCTTCAGCCATGGCGATAGAAAGGTAAATGGAGTTCACGATGGAGGGTATTGAGATGATCTCTATCAAAAATCATGTGTCAGTCATCTCTCTTCATGGTCTAGTATATGAACATACCGTATGGTTAATTCAAAGGAACCGTGAGATGCAGTGAGAAAGATGGAGAGGTGATGGAGAGAAGTGATGTGGTATGCCTTTTTTATAATGGCCGGCTGTGACTAGGTTGGTCAGATGACCCCCTTTGGCTAGATAGCTCTCTCTCTCTCCCTCCCTCCCTCTCTCTCTCTCTCTCTCTTCCTTTCTTTTCCCCGTCAGTCTTTTTGCTTCACAGTCAGGATTCACTATTTGGAAGCAATTTTCGCTTCTCCTCCGGAGATCAGCCTGTTATTAACTCTTCACAAACCCCACTATACATCTAACGACTAACAATTCTTTTGCATCTCTTAAGAAAAGGGCCCATTTTCAAGTCAAATCAAGGATTCATGGGGCCGCCCCATGACGGAGCGGCGTCGTAAATTTGCGAGAAATTCCACTCGGTATTATGAGTTCAGAGGATTGGAAGGATCTAAGACATACCAGTATCTTTTTGGAACAGGATTTTATTGGATCGTTGCTGTCTTTGTGGCTTTTGTGATGGACTCTGGGATTTGACGGGACAGGCATACATGTTTTCAACGTTCCATGGAGCACACTTGGATCTGAAGATCTGTAAAGATGATATTATAACCTTAGAAGAAGATGGATGTAACTATAACAGGAGCACAAATGTAGACAATGAGTAGATATGACAGAACTGGTTAGAATATCTCCCCAAAAGAGTAGATATTGATTGGACGAGAGCCTCATAGGTAGATGGACATATTGGACATCCATAGATATCGCTGAGTTCTTCTGCCGGTTTATAGCTACAGCAACCCTCAGCTTCAAACCTCCTCCCAAGGTCGTTACCGCCTGTGACAGTGCATCGATCAATCCTTTGAACTGCTCAACCTAGCCCTATCGCCCGACTTCAAGGATGAATCTTCCCCATCACCGCACTCCTCTCTGATAATGCAATATCCGACCTCAAAGGCCTCCAGATTCAAAGACAATGTTTTCTCGCGCCGCAGACCTGACAGTGTGAGTAAGTAAGACAAATAGCCGTATTGAAGCAACGAGGGTGGCTGCAGGAATTGCGTAGACAGTTGGGATAGCAAGTGAGATCCGTGCCTTTCTTCGCAGCATCCGTTGCACTGGAAGTGGGAGCTGGGGAAGCTGCGGCCTCTTGCTCGGCCTCTTCCTGGGCATATTTGGCTACCCTCCATTCTCGGGGAACAAAGCGCCGTACGGGTGATCTTTAGCCATGTCATTCAGAGCCTGTCTGTCAATGAGGACAGTGGCATCGCTTGGAGGCGTGGTCTCGTATCGGGTGAGGGCTTCGACCATGGCGGTAAAAAGGCACAAGATGTACGCGATGGAAGTGAAAGTGAACTTCATATCAGTGGAGGGGTATTTAATGGACCCTGTCACGAGTTATGCGTGTTAGTCATCTCTCTTCGAGGCCTTGTATTCGAAAAAGCTTAAAGTACATGTGGCTTCCAAGGTTATGAACATACCTTATGATTGATTCCGAGGAACTATGAGATATAATAACAATGAGAGAGACGTGATGCCCTCTTTATAGGCATTGGACCTGACTAGCTAGAGATGTTGATCACAGTCACCCTACAAATAACCATATCGTCAATGATAAGCGGTTGCATTATTTCAAATACTCTTTTCTAATGTGGGCGTGCCTAGACTAAATCAAGGATTAATGTAACCTCCGCCCCTGGACGGAGGCGCGACGTGCATTCACGAGAGGTTCTGCCTGGGTTGAGTACATGAGAGCTATGTAACGATCTAAGACATAGGGTTTGCTGAGCAAAATAACTCCATTGGGTCGTTGCTGTTTTGTGGCTCTTGTGGTTGGATCTATAGTTAATGAGAACCTTGGAAATCTTCCGAGACACGCATATACTATCCATGGATGTTTTGATATCACAGTACAACCTTGCAATATATTCCCTCCCGAGGCCTGCCCAGGTCTACGGGTGCTTTAGTGTCTACTTTGAGCAAGATTTACTCCACGGGGGAGCTTATTGCGAGTACGATATTCAACTTGAATCTGAGGTATCTGTAGTGCAGTCTTCGGGATCTTGGCTGGAGACCAGCAATTGCCCAGGAGAGATAAGCAAGCTCATTTTCATTCCCAGCAAGATCCATTGGAATGAAGCTACCAAAGCAGATATTCTTTGCAGGCGATCTAGATTTCAGCCACGCAGCAAAAGAGTCCCGAAGGCCATAATGCATGGCCTCTGAAACGGTGTTTGATGATAGCATCCAGTCTTGCTTTTCAATGTTGGATTTGAATTAGAGAGGTCGGTCGTGCAAGTCAGGGAACCACGACGCTATTCTCCGGGTGAGGAGGATATTCGCGAGGTACACGTTGATCTCTGACGGAGAGGGTTTAACTGCAGGGGCTTCCATGGGAATAAGCCAGTCTGCATGGGATTTGAATGTTTTAAAATACACTCCTGGGTCATGAACCATATTGATGCAGTTGGGGCAACGGATGTAGGTGGGATGTTCCAGCCCTGGAGGGTTGGTGCCAGAAGTGATGATGCTTGAGCGAATAAGTTCATGTTGAAACAATATGTAAATAATATAAAAATGTATATTGGCAAATGGAATACAACTGAGAAGATATATGCTCCTGCGAAACATCCAACACAAACAAAAAGCCCCAACGCGCGATGTAAATGACAGCGTGAATTCAAATGGGTATTGTAGTCGTCATCATCCTGGGTCGTGATATGAAAGAAAGAGGTATAAACAGAAAAAAGAGAGGAGGAAGAAAAAAAGAACAAAAACAAAAACCTGCAAGAGCGCATAAATCTTATCAGCTCATGCCTAAGTCCCATAACCAGTCGTACAAGTCTACAGGATTTTGGGTCTCATCCACTCGCTCGTGCCAACTCCCAGATTCAGCCCATTGCGTTCCCACCATCGCCGAACACGACCCTCCGCACCAGAAGAAGGATCCGCATCTTCGAGCGCCTCCTCTATGTCACAGGTCTTGAACTCAACGCGCATTCCGCAGGTTTTCCACCACTGCAGAACATGATCGTGACCATTCTTCGTCGGGCCAACCAAAACCTGGTTATCGAATATCATCTTGGGGCCCTTGAGTCGGTACCAGAATTCAAGAACATGCACGTGGCCATGGGTACTCGCGATGCGAGCCACATTTTCAGCATGGCTGTATGGGATCCCCGAGGCATCCCACCAAGCGAGCGATGCGGTGCGGCCCATCTGAGCAGCTAGGAGAACAGACTTGCCTACTTTGAGAGGCATGGGATTTTGAGATGGGGCATTGGCGCAGGCTCGTTTCCACCATTCCAGAACCTCTACTCGACCCTCTGCACTGGCGGCTTCGAGAGCTCGCTCGCTGTATCGAAGTGGAAGGTCGGAGTGGAGCCACCAGTCGAGCACGTGGGTGAAGCCTGCTCGGGAAGCACCGTCCATGGCGTCTGCTTTGTATTCTTTATTTGGGAGAGCGGGGGCATCGCGCCACCACGTGAGCACGTTGGGGTTTCCGTAAATCGCAGAGGCCCGGTAGGGAATGCTTGTGAGTCGAGAGGTTGTCCAAAGGAGATCAAGGTGGTTTTCGGTGAGGTATGAGAGAATGTCCGTTCGAGAGAACTTGACGATGAGGTGGCAAGCAAGATCGGATAGGGGTTTCCAGCGCGGAAGGCCGTCGATGCGCTTTTTGATCGCGGCAAACGACCCTCGGAGGATAGTGTATTCGAGTGTAGCGGGTGTAGACATTTTGGGGAGATGGCTCTGCCATTCTTGAGGCACTGGAAGGTTGACCGGAATTCCCACCGCTTTGGCTGTTTCCCAGTCCCCGAGGTGGTCTTCGAAGACACTGAGCCAGATCTCAAGGGGTAAAAAATCGGCACTACCGTCGGATTTTGAATGAATAGGGCGATGAGCACCACCAGATGATGGGGCCGCATACAAACCACTTGAGGTGGCTTGATTTGGCGTCGCAGATGTATGAGGGCCAGCCCCAGTCGCCCGAGAAGTCTGCCATGGCGGTATATGCAATGTCGTTTCCAGTGTCGTGTGCAGCTCGCTCAGTCCATCCCATGGCAAGATCGTCAGCTCCTCGGGCCCATTGGACTTCCATAGCACGGGTTTGACGATTCGAATCCAAGGCCAAAAACGACCAATTTCACCGAGCTGCCGTGTGCTCAACGGATGATCCCACTCAGACACTGTCATGCCTGGGATGAGGATCACCGGCTTTTTTGAGACCCATCCGCGAAGAAGTGCCAGTGTTAAAGTATTCGTCAATCCCGCCAACATCGCCCCGAGGGCTCCTGCGTCGATGGGTGCGACCAACAGCATATCAGCCCATTCGCACAACTCCGCCGTCTTGGCCTTGAGCCATTTCCGTGCCCCGGTCTTCTTATCGAACGTTTGGCTGTCCACCGTGTCCATGTAATGAGGGATCTTGTTCGTGCCTGTGAGCAGGGCGGAAGGTTCGTCGGTAATCAGTCGAAGTTCGATGAGAGGGTTTTGCACGAGAGAGGGAAGGACTGTGTCGGCAAAAGCGCTATCCGTCGAGAGAAGCAAACGCCGGCGCCGGTGTTGAGATTGCGTTCCATCGCGGGCCGAGTCGTCGGACGATGTCCGATAGCCTTTATTTCCAATCACCGTTTCTTGAAGGTCGTCATCCACTTCCATCTCACTGAACCAGGTCTTTTTTGGAATGTTGTCGCTGGCTGCCGCTGTCGATGTATAAGTTCGCGAACCAACTGCTATGCGTTATGACTATAGAGCTCAACCCCGACTAGTCACAGATGATATGATAGGATTCGGGGACAAGTGTTCACGGTTCGAATTTCAGAGAGGCGAGGATCAATTGGGGAGGGCGCTGTACAAAAGGGCCGGGGGTACGAGGATGCGTGTCTGTGGTCTGATCGGAGGAAAATCATGCAACCCCCAAAAGTGTACTCCGTACTCCGTCGAGAATGCGCAGTCGCTTGGAGCGGTGAAGTTGGACCCGTCGCCACGTCGCCACGGCGTGAGCTCTGCAGTTGGCACGCCGAGATTCCTTGAAGGGTCAGATCTGCCCAATGAGAGCAGGTTGAAATCTTAGTTCAAAGTTGTCTTGCAGGCGGTTACAGGCGGGCCATGCAGGAAGTTCAGTTTGATTGGCAGAGGCGAGGTACTTTTTGCGATGATCTCAGGCTTTGACCGCCCTGGCGACTCCACCTTGGCGATGCACTCTGAACTTCCTCCGTACAACTACCGACTACGCTGTACGATGTACTTCATCTTCGTGAACTGTACAATACCTATCTGTTTACAACTTGGCTGCAGCTATAAGTGAAAGGGCTAACTTCTTATTGTTTTTTTATTGACCCAACTTCGGCCCAAATCCCTTAGTTCGAGATCTCAAGCTGGCCCGTTTAGGCTCAACATCGGATGCCCAATACGGAGTATAGAGATCTCCATCCTAGCTATCGGGATTAGCCAAGTCCAGGATCCACACTGAGAGAAGTGTACATTTTTGAGATCCAGCAAAGCTGATTGGGCACTACTTGTTTGGGTCCAAGTCACCTACATCTGCCCTGATGGACTATCTCTCCAAGATACAGATTCTGGGGAATATGTCACCAACAGCTCTCCCCAAGAGATAATTAATATACCCCAAGTACAACAATCAGACCAACGAGACTTTGTGTGGGACCTTCGCACACCAACTGGTGGGTAAACCTCCATGAAGGATGAAAGTATCTACTCTATACTCTGTACTCCGTACTCCCAGATAAAAATAGATAACCGCTGAACAGGCTGAAACAGCATTTGTAGCAGGGAGATTGAACAAGACAGCATAAAAGTCATTCACCCTCAAAAGCAGCCAAGGGTGCAGTATAACGAGTCGAGGTCCTGTTGAATTTTGGTTTAGGTGTCGGCCAAGAAGTGCCCCCAGATGAAGCCCTGAACCTCTTCCGTCTTGACTGCTCAGTTGGGAGTGTTGGGCGGTCCTCGCCAAAAGGTGGGGGCTCGGATTTGGCACGGCCCGCGCGGGCGGTGGCCACTTCACCGCAAGGCTTAAACCTCATACTTCCACTTGTTACCTTCCTCTTTCCTATCATCCTTAGCTGAACTCGAATTCCATTGTGCTTCACACACAGTACACGCATCTACCATCCCTCCTCGATCCACACATACCTCTCCTTCCACAATGGCCTCCTACAAGACCGGCGCACCTTCTGAAGCCCAGACCCAGACTGCCAATCTCCAACCAGACCTTCAAACCGAGAACCAGACCCAAGACCCATCAGTGCCCCGGAGTGAGGTCACTGAGCAATTGGAATCCTCCAACCAAGCCCTTCAGCTGAAACTACAAGCTTTACAGAAGGAGCTCGAGCAAACCCAAGCTGAACTCTCAGCTGTGGATCATGTACTAGAGGTGGCCAACAACGGAAAGCCTTGATCTGTGTCTCTACGAGCTTCGCAAGGAGCTTCAATCTTTTTCGGAGCGCTTCAGTCTCCCCATGACGTCATTGTTTTGCTGCGGTTTTCGATATGCCTGGCCTGCTGTATCCAAGAGAAATACATCAGATGACCGAGTAAAGTCATCTTGAAGAAGAAAGCTTATATTTGTTGGAGTTGGTAGGCTTTTTGGACCATATCCCATCAATTCATCCGTAGATCTGTGAATGCCCGGAGTCATCGGCTACCACACCCTCTGGCCCCCTTGCAGATGATCGACTGGAAGGAGAAGGAATGCCGAGATGTGCCCCACACCTGGCTACAAGTATGACGAGGAGCAGTGTCCCAAGGTTGAAAATGAGTGCAATTCTTCCAAATGTGCCTCCACATGACTGCATATTGGTGAGCATTGGCCATTCAGTGCTTGGGATTCGGCAGGGCAACCGTCAACCTTGAACTGAGACATCAGCAGAGACAGTTCTGGAGACCCCAACAGTGGACGAGATCGAGATGAATAAATTGACATGTTCGGTGTATCGTGCATCGCTCTTTTCTATTTACAGAATGTTTCTCTTATCTAGGTGGATCCACTTACCATTCTAGCGTCTCGCTAGGTTGTTGTGCAGCTTGTGCTCCCTCATGGCAAGACTAGACAACGCACCTAGAACAGTAAGGCCCAGCAGAGTGATGAACACTGCACGCAGGGAGTCCATATACGCATCAAGTACACCCGGTGTCCAATCAGCAGGGACCTTCCAGATCTCATCCAAGCTATCGCGGAGACGCCCAATCACCTCCTTGGCGGTCTCACCGTCACCAAAGCGACCATATAGGCCTAGCTTGAGTGTATTTTGGAAGACCGCAGAGGCAATGGTGATACCAATAGTGCTTCCGGTGCTGCGGAAAGCATAAGAGGCAGATGTCACCACTGCGTGGTGTTGGTGGTCCACGGCAGAGATCAATGCCACCAGTGTGATGGTCAGCATGCTGCCGTAGGAGGCACCGCCAAGGAAGAAGTAGAGGAAGGGAAGCTCGACGGGGGTGGTCAGGTTCAGCGTGCAGATAAGTGAGGCTGATAAAACCTGCAGGCCCATGGCAACATAGTTGAGCAGTTTGTACCGGCCACTAGCACGCATGATCATACCCGAGCCCAAAGACCCGACCGAGGTGCCGATGGCCTGTGGGATCAACCGCGCTCCAGCAGCGGTGGCCGACAGACCTTGCACCTGGAAGTAGACGGGCAGGTAGAACAAAAGACCAAAGACAGCCATGGTGGTGAACCAATTGGTAAGACAGGCAGCAGCAACAGTGCGGTCCAGCAGAAGGCGCACGGGAATGACGGGCTCCGACGCGACCTTCGCCTCCACGTAGATGAAAACACCCAGGAAAACGGCAGACATGACCAACGATGCCAGGACCAAGGGATGAGACCAGGGAACTTGGTTTCCGCCAGTATTAAGACCAAGCAGCAGAGTAACCAGTGTGAGAACTAAAGTGATAGCACCAAGGAAATCCACACGCTTGATACGCGCCGTATCCGATTCTTTCACTGGAATCTTGACCTTGACAGCAACCAGCACGCATGAGACCATAAGGAACGGAACCTGGAGCAAAAATGCCCATCTCCAACCCAAAGTGTCATTGATCCACCCACCAAAGACACCCCCAAGGCCCATGCCGGCACCATAGCAAATGTTTCCAATGCCTTGCCAGATACCGCGCTTGCGCAGAGGGACCAGGTCTGAGGTGACAAAGGTCGAGATCGCGGTCAGACCTCCTCCGCCGATACCTGCCACAACGCGACCCAGGATGATGACCCATTGAGCCCTTGCAAGACCACAGATCAAATTTCCAATTGCGAAGAAGACGTTGGAGAAGACCAATCCCCAGCGACGGGAGTAGATATCTGTGAGTCGGCCGCTGAGGGGTTGGCAGGCGGCATTGGAGATGAGGTAGGAGGTTGCGAGCCAGGAGAGCAGCGAGAAGGAATTGAAGGAGGAGGAGATGGGTGCGGAGAGGGTGGCGACGATAGTCGTGTCTGTGACAATGCGTTAGTCGCTTATAGAGGGAGAGAAGCTGGTTGATCATACCAAGGGCAGCTAGGAAGACACCCAGCCAGATGCTTCCCAGAATCCAAATCAGCTCTTTGGTGCTGGCTTCTTCTGGGAGCGGGGCGTCCCCATCGGACCGCAACAGAGGTGTTTCCTCCGATGCAGGTTCTCTCACAGTATCATCCGTCATGGCGCAAAGGATTGAGCGTCAGTCAGGGACGAAGTGCGGTTTAAAAGAGGTTCGGGGGAAATCCGATCTCGGGGAAGTCGGCGGGGAAGGCGGCGAACGGCGGAGATGCGGAGATGCGCCAAGATTGTTTTCGGAGAATAAACAAACATCTCACAATATCTCCAAGGTCATACTGTTGAACACTTGAGGTCATTTCAACCCTGCTTTTGCCAGCACAGGTCCACCGAGTTGAGATATGCCACAAATATGGAAGTGATCCAGACAAATGATGCATTTAGAAACATCGATGGCAAAATGACACTTTCCTATATCCAGGTCTTTGTTCGGCAAGATGGCATATTATATTCCGGAAAATGGACGGATCAGTTGAATTCGCCAAAGGCGCTAGATGATCTCCAGGAGCTCAAACAAATTCCAACTGAAGACAAGGGTTCGGAAGTGAAAAGCACTCGGTCAGCGATCTATATAAAAACACCCAGTCTCCTCGCGTATACCGAGAGAAATCTTGAAAAGCAGATCGCTCGCGAAATTGATATATACGAGGTTCTTCGCAAGAACCCCCATCCGAATCTTGCGGTCAACTATGGCTATCAGGATACCCACGGTCGAGTTTCTGGACTATGTTTCAAACGATATACGTCAACGCCAAGTGGATCAGCTGGGGCGATTGTTGTTATGTTCACCCAGAATCCACTTCATCTTCTCTAATTACAATAGCCAACTTGAAATGGGCATGGCCCCCGAGGTCCCAAAAGACAGTCGTACTAGTTCGCATTTATGGAGGCCCTTGGATCAATAATATTTAGTATATGGAGGAAGACCCTGTGCCTGGTCCTCTTGCTGGAAGAAAGTATTAGTCTGATAGTAATAGTCCAAGGATAGGAGATAGACAAACCAGAAGCTCTCCAAAACTTTTAACAAGCTCGGTTTCATATTCGCAATATGCCCTCTCGCGGGTACCCATGCTGGGAAAAGTGGTCGCGACATCGAAATCAATCCACACAATTCTACCACCAGACACGACTAGCATATTCTTCGGATAAATATCATGGTGATGAACAAAGGCCTGGTGGATCTCTTGTATGCCGCGGATCGCATCTCGAAAGAGGTCTTCAGAGTAATTTACACAATTCAGTTTCTCTGCGTCCGCCAAGTACTCAAGGAAGATCGCCCTTGGTTGAAAATCATCGTTGACGAAACGTTCAAGTGGAGGCTGGAAAGCGGCTGGGTCATTTCGATCAATGTAGCCATCCAATGCCGGCACGAACCCACGATCGCATACGCCAGATTTGCGGAGGTTCTGATAGGCATTCAATTCACAGCGGAACCGGTTTAGATCTCGGCCTTTCTTGGAATACCCTGGGTTGCCGTTGTCATGGAACTGAAGAGTTAATCCCGTCCTTGGAAGCAGACGCTGGGCTCACCAGCTTCATCGCATAGGTCTCTTCCGCGAGCTGTATCTCATATATTGTCGCGGAGGGCGAAGAGCTGATCTCCCTTCTGATCACAATATCCGAAGGTTCTATATCCAAACGGAATATGCTTGATGAATGCGTGGCTAGCGATTGGGCTATATTGAGATGAGAGGGACTAAAGTACGGTATAGCAGGAGATAACACAGAGACATGAGGTACTTCATTTCGTAGAAGTCATGCGAGGGGAGATTCAATCGCCCCGCAATCTTTGGACGCCGTCCATCGTATATGTTCAAGACTTGTGATCAACAAGCAGGGATATTTTGTGCGATTTCTTGATTTGAAAGCGTCGAGGTATTCGAGACAGTCATCTCATGTAACAATACACGTTCACGGGTATTGTGAAATGCCGACCTCAACAGCCCGACGCAAGAAGAATCCACATTTGTGGGGATCCCCGGATTTCCCCTCATTTTCTCCCTTCACAGCATCTCCGGTGTTTGGGAATTACGATTGCCAAGATTTACCGTTGTTTTAATGAGTCCCTGGGTTAGGGCACTATGTTGACAGGCTGAATGTGAGGATTTTTGTTCCCAATTGTAGGCAATTCGAATATAATGCTCATCCACTGATGATCTATACAGATCTTCGCCTCTCTATTGTATACTGTACAGCATAATTGTCCTTGCATGTGAGTCGGTTGCGCGTCGAATTAATAAGAACCAGTCACCAGCCAGCAAAGGATTCCAATCTGGTGGAGCCGGCACAACTTCGGAAATTGAGGCATTTAAGGATCGTCAACGCCGATCCCGGGAGTCGTCCAAGGTTGAATCGCAGTCGGATTTGCCGGTACACGCCCATGTTTCTCTCTGTTCGGTACGGTATGATGTCGACAATGGGACCGCGGTATCCACCGAGGATGTTATTTAGTGTCGTCAATCTGCAACTCGTCATTCATCCATCTCTTTTTCCGCGATGACTCGCCTTGCTCTATTTCCCCTGTTGGCCTTGGCTTCCCTGACCTTGGCTGACCAGGATGCGTTTCAAACAAAATGCGCAAACTTCGGCGACCAGATTGATATCCCCAATGTCAAGGTAAACTTTGCCGAGTATATCGCTGGAAATACCAATGTGTCTTTGGCAGACAACCCGCCTAGCTGTGGGTACTCGACCCAGGCAGTCTCCGCGGATTTATGCCGAGTAGCCATGGCCGTGGCAACCTCCAACAGTAGCGAGATCACCTTAGAAGCTTGGTTCCCCCGAGAATACAAGGGTCGTTTCCTGAGCACAGGAAATGGTGGCGTCTCTGGCTGTAAGTGCCCTTCTTAAAGCTTCCATGTAGCCAATCGGTGACTGTTGAGCAGGCATTCAGTATTACGACCTCGCCTATACGGCGCAATTGGGCTTCGCAGCGGTCGGAGCTAACAATGGACACAACGGGACTTCAGGAAAGCCCTTTTACCGTCACCCTGAAGTTGTCAAGGATTATGCATACCGATCTGTTCACACCGGAGTGGTCGTGGGCAAGGAGCTCACTAAGCAATTCTACGACGAGGGCTTCGACAAGAGCTACTATCTTGGATGCTCAACCGGTGGCCGTCAAGGATGGAAGTCTATCCAGAAATACCCCAATGACTTTGACGGTGTCGTTGCAGGCGCACCTGCCATCAACCTGATCGGCCTATTCTCATGGAGCGCACACTTCTACCCCATCACCGGTCCTCCATCTTCCGAGACATTCCTGTCGACCGATGAATGGAAGATCGTACACGATGAGATTCTCCGTCAATGCGACTCGATCGATGGTGCAAAGGACGGGATCATTGAGGATCCAGATCTCTGCCGCCCCGTCTTGGAGACCCTGACCTGCGATCCCAGCGCCTCAAACAAGACGAGATGTCTCAGCAGCGCACAAGTCAACACTGCCCAACAAGTCCTTTCTCCCTTCTATGGAATCAATGGCACATTGCTGTACCCGCGCATGCAACCTGGCTCCGAGATCCTCGCCGCGCCAATCATGTACAGCGGTACCCCATTCCAGTACAGCCAGGACTGGTTCCGCTACGTGGTCTACAACGATCCATCCTGGAGCGGTGCAAACTTCACTGTCAAAGATGCTGCCGTCGCCTTCGCTCAGAACCCTTACAACATCCAGACTTGGGATGGTGATATCTCCCCCTTCAAGAAGGCTGGCGGTAAGGTTTTGCATTACCATGGACTTCAGGATCAGCTCATCAGCTCCGAGGATTCCAAGTGGTACTATTCCCACGTTTCCAAGACTATGAAGCTGCCTCCTTCCAAATTGGACGAGTTCTATCGCTTCTTCCAGATTAGCGGTATGGGCCACTGTGGTGGTGGTGACGGCGCCTATGGAATTGGACAAGGCTTGAAAACGTACGGCGGTGATGACCCAGAGGATAACGTGCTTATGGCGATGGTCCAGTGGGTTGAGGAGGGCAAGGCTCCCGAGACGGTTCGCGGGGCCAAATTCTCCAATGGCCCTGGCTCCAAGGTTGAATACAAGCGCAAGCACTGCCGCTGGCCTCGACGCAATGTTTTCAAGGGTCCTGGCAACTATACCGATGAGAACGCCTGGCAGTGCATTTAACCTAGGCCCGAGTGTCGGTCTTCATGTGTATATAGAAATTTGCTAGAAATATCCATGCAACGTCTGATCCCATGAGATATCATAATAGCAATGTGTTAAAGAACATGCAGAACCAGTACGGCACGTATGCCATATTCAATAGGAGAAACAACACTCCACGACGAAAGAGTGAGGGATAACTGGCAGAAAACAAGCGGTAATAGACCGCCTAGACAAGAGGTCTCGCCTCGAGACGCGGATGTCGACTTGTGCGACTGTGTATTCATCATTTACATTGTATCTCATATAAACCCCGTGAACCTCATCATCTCTCAACGGGCATCCCACGTTCCACTCATTCGCGCACGGTTCACCCTCCGTCGCCCTCGAAGCTGCCCCTCCGTCCGCGTACACACCGCGTCCATCCCGCGCCCACACCCTTTGTTCACCGGTCAGCAGTAAATATATAGTACCCAATTTGAGAATGGCGGACCCGGAGATGGATCAATTCGCGCAGACTCGCGGTGGCGACGACCTATTCGACGACGAGATCATTCCTGTCTCTGCGGAGGACCAGCGGACGCAAACCGAGGTCATTGCCCATGAGCCGGAGCCCGAGACTCCGGATGTACATATCCCAGAAACTGTGACTGCCCCTGCGACTTCGACTTCGACCGCCACCGCGACCGCGACTGCCGAAAAGTCTACTTCACGTGGAGACGCTCCGCAGCGGGGCCGTGGCGGAGAAAGAGGCCGGGGTCGGCGAAACCGGGGCAAAGGACGTGGAGGACGGGAGGCAGATCAGGGGCGATCGGAGAGCTCTTCTCGCAAGAAGAAGCCATCTAATTCCCCCGCGGTCAATGCGCGCGATGCCAGCCCCATGCCTGACAAGACCGATGAGTCTACCGAACAGCCTGCCGCAGAGGAAGGGAACGGCGAAGAAGGGGCAGTTGGCGCCGATGCTCAACGTGTGCCTGCCGTTCGTGGGGATCGAAGTGCGACTGGAGGTTTGAGAAAGGTATGAAAAGAAGTCTTCTAAGAACACCACAAGACCTTCATGCTAACTGTTGCATAGCCAAAACTCACGGAAGAGGAACTATCTAAGCGCATTGCCGCCGCTAAAGAGAACGCTATTAAGAAGGCAGCTGCTCATGCGCGCGCTGAAGCCGACCAGGCGTCCTTCGTGGAGCGCGAGCAGGAAGCGGCGAAGAAACGCCGTGAGGAGCTCGCGCATCGCCGTGTAATGGATACCGAGCGCGAGAAGAACAGACAGCGGAAGCTGAAAGCCCAAACTGGACGTGAATGGGACTCGCAGAAACGAGAGGAAGATTATAATCCCCGGGGCGGTGGCAGCCAGTTCCGGCGCGGTATGCATGGTGGTGTCTCTGGCGTTGCGCGACACGACGTTGAAGAAAACCGTACCGATGGTGCTGCCGATCAGGCTGGTGGCCAGCGGGGCCGTGGTCGAGGTGGACGAGGAGGTCGTGGTCGGGGGTCTCCGCGCGCTGCACCGGTGGAACGATCGGGGAATAAGGGACTTTCTGGAAGTATGTGGGCGGATAGTCCTGCTCAACCGGTTGTTGACGACAAGGACGAGTTCCCGGCTCTTCCGGAGGGCCCCAAGAAGACTGAGAATAAGCCTGAGACCAAGGTCGAGACCAAGACTGAGCCCAAAGCCGAACCCAAAGCTGAGTCGCAGCCTGCCCCGGCACCGACCAAGCCAGTGCCATCTCTGGACACTCTGGATTCGACCTTTTCCCCCATCACGGGCAGCTGGGCGGATCAATTTGACGATGAATGATGATGGATGGTTGAACTTGGAGACAGATGTACTATTCTGTTGGCCCTTTTCAGCTCGTTACGATTTTCTTTTCTTTTTGCACTGCTCATATATGACACGAAACCCCGGCCTACCTTTTTGAATTTTGACACAATCGGCTTCAGTCGCTGATACCAGAGCCTTTTCCGTACTGCATATCAAAATACATAAAGATGATGCAGCTCACGTACCTTTCCCTGGTCAGCGTTGAATGTTGGGGATCGTGAGATGTTGCCATGTAAAACGTTTGAAATGTGCCCCCATCGCATTCGGATTGCGGTCCCTCACGCAACGACAAGCACCCTAAAGCACCAGCAAACAAATGGCATGCGGACTTGAATAGCTCCCTTGTGTAATTCTTTCTGCTATCGCCCAACTTCACATCCTCTTCAAAGGTCATCACACATTAGCCACCCCGGCACAAACCATCAAAAGTAAGTCCCCTGCCAGTCAAGCCAGGACATCATTCGACAAGACTAAGACACACCTGCATAGAATCCACCGCTTCAGACTCTCAAGTGACCCACCATGGCATCACGCAACGACCTCGCACCTACCGGACGTCCTGCCAAGGACGACCCTCCATCCAACAAGCCCTCCGCTACCGAGGAGGCCAAGACCGAGAGGCATGTAACATTCAGTCCTCCCCCACGTCGTCCTCATGATGCGACACGCAAGGACACCGAGGCTCCAACAATCTTGCCCAAGTCTCCCGCCGTCACCAAGCGTACCCTTGGCCACACTGCTGGCTCTGGTCCGGAATTCGAACGGGTTAAGGCTGAGTGGCGTAACTATCTGGCTGAGGAACAAGCCTTCATGGACCAGAAGACTCGCGAGGCGTTGATGACGGCTATCGCTCGGAACAATGCTCGACACTAAGCACCTGTGAATGGGAGGTCGGCATACACATGCTGTTTCGTTTTTCTTTTTGGTTCATCATACATTGGGTTGGTGTGGTTGCTTTCTGAGGCTATGGTGTTTTTTTGGTGGGAGGAGTCTTTAGTTCTGCAGAGCGTGCAGTCCTAGTCAGGATTTTCAATGGATCAACTTCTAAACTATTTTGTGGTGTCTTGAGGAGGTAGAGTAGAAACTTCCAGCCTTGTCCAGCAGCAGATTAGGGCTTTCTTTGTGTTGATGAATCGCAGGCGAGAGATAGTATATAGCCATATTAAGTAGGAAATTCTGAATCTTTGTTGAATTTCCATTGAATTCCAGGAGGGCGAGGAGGACCATTTGCATTCAACTGCTTGGACTGCTGCTGACAGTACCTGGCGTCATGGCCCCTAAAAGCCCCCGTAGTGAAGCCCTCAGAGCCGCCAAGCTCTGCCAATCCTCACTTCCCCAGGTCTGTCGCACTCTGAGACTGCCCTGGTGATCACTCGTCCACATATTTTTCGAGTTGAACCCGAGAGTTCTGATTGAGTGTCTTCATAATTCTCAGTTCTCTATTGCCATGGCAGGCTCAGTGGTAGCTGTTTGTCGTGACCTTGATCTCTCCAGCCTCCAACCCCCGGTCCCCAACCCCGGTCGATGACAGCATGGGTAACAGACCATCCAACCAGGCACTGTCCCTCAAATCAGCGAGGCGCGGACAGCGCAGAAAATGCAGAAACAGGAAACGCTTAGACCAAGCAGCAACGAGTGCTGTTTGGTCAGATAACGCTTTCTCCCAACTAATGGAAACACAGCCACAGGCCATCACAGTCGAAGCCCAGGTTTTAGCCCCTTCTTCACATAAGCAGCTTCAAGGCACACACCGTTCCAGCCAGATACTGTGAAGAGAGTGATTTCTGATCTGGTGCCTGCGCCACGATTGGATGTACCTCTGTACATCGCCAATCACAGCTCCCTATGGCGTCGAGTGACTGGAAAATTCTGTCAGGACCATGTCCTCCCTCACAAGGCACCCAGGTAAAGTCATCATGAACCTATGGCTCTGAAAGAACAGACCCGAGCAGAATAAATAAGCTTGTCACGCCCATCATTTCCCCGCAATCTCGCAGTCCATTTCATCCTCTCGCCTTCTACATGAGACACTATGTGCCTTTGAGATCTACCGCTACTGCGACGCACGATCTATCAAATGACGAACCATCTTGAGCATGATGGCTTGGCTGAGTTTGCCAACGACTCGGAGATGATCCAGTGGGATCCAAGCCTCGATTTCTTCCATTTTGTCGGGGATCAGTTCTCTTCGCTGGATGATGATCCCTCCTATGGAGCTTTCCAACAAGTCCCATCACCTTCGATGTCGCCGCTTCCCCTTCCCCTCGCATACGTACCTCAAGCCATGACGGCCCCCGCGACCCCGGCTCCACCAACTCCTGCCTCGTTCAAACCTTTGCCGAAGGTGTCGGGAGATCCATACGAGAATCTCTCCACTGTGGATGACGGTGCTTCCGAAGCTCCATTGTCCGAGCATACTGGAGCTCCGTGCGGAAGCACTCAATCCGTGATGTCATCCACAGGAGATGAGCGTGAAACCGTCAACAGCCACGAAGACAACGAACGGCACGCATCCCACGGGAGGGTTTCCATGGGCGTAAAGTAAGTCATCTTTGCTCTGTGCCCACCTTTTCATTTTTCATGTGGCGGAATACCCCTCTAACGGCATACACACACAGGTCGCGTGCCAGCTCGAACGCGTTCAAATGCCGATGGGAGCGCTGCGAGTACTCCGGTGGATTCTCGGGTGCAGCAGCTCTCCTTCGGCACGTCAAGACAAAGCACATCTGTCCGAATACCTTTGAATGCCCTGATGAGCAGTGCTTTAGATCTTTCAATAGAAAGGACAACTTGGTTGCTCATATGCGGAATGTGCACCGGGGAGGTGCTTGAGAAGCTGTCATATATTATTTTTGTCTACATACTAAAAGTTGGTTTTCATTGGTTAGAGCTCGTCGGCGTGGGAGAAATCTCAAAAGTTATTTTGCTACTTAGGTATAATAAAAGTTATTGGAGGTTATAACTCATCTCTGGATCTTGTGGTGTGTCTGTTGTTCTTTCACAACCTTGGAGACATATATTTTGTAGGCTTAGTCGATGCAGGTGAGATCTTCTGCCAGTACCTGGAAACCTTGGAAGATCACCCCGTTCGAAGTCTCATTTTCAAGATCTACTTGAGTGCCTTTACACCTATTCTCAAAGATAGGAACAAATCATTTGCATCGTTCGGTTAAATATTTACCAAGAAAGACAAAATACGCACAAGAATTATTCGGGACTCGGAAGCAGCCCAATCAGTTCTGAGCAGGTGTCAGGGAAACCATCGTTCCATTCGCACTCGACAGGGTCAACTTGAGTTCCTCAACCCAAGGATTCGGGTCCCGACTCTCGATCTTCTCAAACTCCTGCATAAGTCTCACGGTCGTATAACCAGCCTCGGTCAATGCAAATTGCTGTCCAATGCAGATTCTCGGCCCGCCGTTGAAGGGCAGGTAAGCCCAGCTAGGTCTGATCTTCTCCCATCGCTCGGGTCGGAATTCATGGGCGTCGGCACCAAATATTTCAGGATCGCGGTGCATTGTGTATAGACTAAACATGACTTGTTCTCCCTTTGCGACGAAGACTGGGGACTTTCCATCTGGGCCACCGCCCACTGGCAGGTAGGTATCCTTGATGGCCTCTCGTTGATTGAATGGCACAATAGGGTAGAGTCGCAGAGCTATGACATGGTCAGTTGATAAGGGAAAGTGGGATGAGAATCACGTACCCTCGTTAAAGGTCCAAGACATGTAGGTCAAGGACTTCATTTCTTCAAATGATGGTTTCCGTCCGTTCAAGGTGATGATCTCGGCTCGCAGCTTGTTCCAGATATCCGGTCGTCTAGCCAGGATGAAGAAGGTGATACTCAGTAGATTGGCGGTGGTGTCACGACCAGCAATGAGAATACTCAAGAGCTGATCAGTAATCTCCGTCCGGTCGAGTGTTTGTTTTGACAACTCATAGGAAAACACGTATTGGTTATCTGTTAGCTCCTTGATCTTCGGATCGACTTTCTGACCGCTGTTCACTGCAACCCGGTAGTCGATGGCCTTTTGCACGAATCTGTTGATGTAGTTTCGCAGACTCTTTCCTGCCTCTGAGTAATTTCGGTTTCGGTAGAACATTCCCAACGCTCCAAGTCTAAATCGAGTCGCGGTTCCTTCTGTGGCGGTGTTGAACCAATCTGCGAACAATGCGGCCTCTCCAGCGTTGTCGTTCCGCAGGGAGTGGACGGATTCTCCAAATAAAAATTCACTAGCGGTATCGAGGGTCTTTTCATCATGAGTGTGGTTCAAAAATTGTAGGGACCGAGCTCTTACCTGACGCAAAAACAGATCTTGTAACTCAACCGTCGACCCATCACGAGGTATCTTCTTCAGGACATCCGAGACATGACTCTCATACATTTGAGTATTGGTAATTTGAACACGCGAGAAGTTGGGACGAAGGAGTGCCCTTGAATGCTCCCACTTCTTCCCATCGACTGTGAAAATTCCCTCGCCAAATACTGGACGTAAGGAGCTCTTTCGATAAGTCCCAATAGAGAAATCTTTGAATTTCAACGCGAGGATTGCTTGGACGTTTTTAGCCTCGACTGTGAATGTTGTCGTGCTGCCAGCCAGTCGAGCTTTGAATGTAGGTCCGTAGTTTCCATGCCAGCTGCGAAGAAGTTCTACGAAGTGATTATTCTTCGCTGCGTTGACCATCTCCATGATCATGCCGATACCGAACAGACCATGACACACCGAGTGCGTGGGCTCCTGGCAGCCGTTCTGGCGAGCGAAGTTCCATCCTGTTTCGAGGTTATCATCTCTCTCTTTAAATAAACCAAGGAGGTTCACATACTTTGAATGCTTTGAGTGACCTTGAATGCACAGAAGATGAACACAGCAGCCCCGGCCGCAAGCCCGTAGAACGGAACATGGGTGATATTCCACGGTACGGGCGCCATGATTTAGTAAAATATAATGTAGTTATTCTCCGAAATTGTGGCTCGACCGTAGACAGGTGGGCGATTTTCGTCGATATTTGTACTCTGGGTGTCACGTACTTTGACCATCCAATGGCAAAGACACAGTTGCACATCACTACACATTGTGTCCGCGGGGTAGATCTATGAATGGCCCATTCTCAGAACAACTGCGCCCCGATGCAGTCCTATGCAATCAAGATGCATGGATTGACCATCGAGACAGGCATCCAAGTGTGACCGGAGCTGGGTTGCCACGTTGGGATTAGATCACAGTGCACGACATCTCGCTAAGAAGGATATCTCAAAAGCAGAGGATTTGACTGGCTTGACGTCAGTGGATGAGACGAGCCTTGCAGAGGAGATGGGGTTAGTATGTGGGACTTGGCCCGCTTTGATGCATTAGCTACACGGGAGCGCACCATTCGGCCTACTTGGGCAGTGATTGTCGCGGAGAATTTCTTGTGACCTGGGAATGAATGCGTCACTGAATTGACTAAGTCTAGCAGGCTGCATGCTACATTATTCATGTATGAGCGTTTATGAAGGCGTATGCAACAATGACATTATTCGGGCGATGTACAGACAAGGGTATGAGGTTAGGCTATGCATGTTATGCATAACCGTTGGCAAGAAGCAGGAATTGCAAAGTCGAGACCATCTAAGAATTAGACTAGCGTGTGGAGCTGCCCCATCTTTTGAACAATGTCCGGAGCACGGTAAGACTTGTTGGTGGACAGGGAATATTCCAATTCATTCGGCCATATTTGGCCAGAGACGAGATGGAACGCCTTAGCGAGCACGGTTCCTGGACTTTGGAAAATTGTAAATTCGCTGCGCGTGATGGATGGTCTGAGGACGGGTGAAGAGCAGGGTTTATATCAAATCTAACTGCAGACTAGTGCACCCCAACCCCATCGGGTGGTGAAGGCATAAGCCTGACGCCGGCCCTGCGACTTATGCAGCCACTGGCGGAACGTGTGTTTCACTGATAGCATCCACCTCCACCATTTGCTTTTCATTGACCCCACCCGAGATCTTGGAGCTCTTGGAACTTTTGACACTTTGGAAACTTGCAGAACTCTTGGAACTCCTAGCACTCTCGGGCCTAGTGGCGGGGTAGAAGTCCACTGCCCCATCTCCCTTGATGACCCCAGTCCGGTCGAGAATAGTACGGGCCCGCACGTAAGGATCAAGATCCCAGTAATTTCTCCGGAGATCCTCAATGACCTCGTTTCTGGTGTGCAAAGAGTTCGGCTCCGAACCCGCCATCCACTCGACAGTCAGGCTGAACAGCTCATCGCCAAGCTTTTCTCGCTCGGCGAGAATGACGTCTCGAGCGGCGGTGTCTTTCAATTTCTCATTCTCATCGGGACTGGGGCCGATGTACTCATAGTCCCAGTCCTCTTCGCCACCGAGCTCTTTCAGGATGCGCTCCCGGGGGATGATCTCCTCAAGGGCAGTGGCGCCGGTCATGAAGTGGACCTTGGCGGCAACTACCGGATCGAGGATCCCTTGGATGATCTTCCACATACCCGCGAAGATCCACGGGGCGTTGTAATAGATCATCGCTCCAAGAGACTCCGGGTAATTCTTCTGGAAACAGTCGATGATAAACTTGATTGGGGGGAATTCCCAATTGCTGACGGTATAGGAAGTCATATCAAATACAATCACAAGACTGTCTACAGGCGCGACCTGGAGAAGACGCACAGTCTCAATACAATGCACCACGTAGTCGTTGAGTGCCTTTTGAGATTGAGCGCCTGGTTCGTGGAGTCGCACTCGGACTATACAGATAGGTCGATTCCATCGATCACACCCATGGAAGAAATGTTTCCCACTGGTGAGCTGAAGTGTGAAATCATCTCTATATTCCTTCTCCGTCGGGGTTGCAGAGCTTTGGGATTTCTCCGCTGCATACCCCTCGCCTTTCAGCAACACCTCTTTGTCCACCTGGTATTCATTGACGCGCCAGTTGAGAGCCGCGACGAATTTGATCCAGGCCTTGGGTACGTTCCACTTCTCGGCTCGGAGGAATCGCAGAAGGAGGGCGTCGGGGTGATCCTGTTTGAGAGAGGCTAAAAATGCAAATCGAAGCCTGCGGCCGGGAAACTTCAGAAGCAGCGATTGGACGGTTTTGATCTCGGCTGGGCCCGCATCTAATGCCTTCAGGCTGGTAAGCAGATTGATGGGAATGGCGGATGTTTCTTCTTCCGACGGCTGGGCTGGCGACCGGGCGAGGGAAAAGAGTCTTCGATGTCCTTTCGCTTTGCTGTTGGACTTTGCTTTCTCGGCGGCGCCTTTAGGGGCTGGTAGGGTCGCGTCCCAGGACTGGATCAAGATTCTCCAGAACTCGCGAAGCTTTTCCTCCTCGGGCGCTGTGAGCTTTCCTAAATAACCGCTCTTGGGATCAAGGGTGGATGTCATGATGGACACTGTATTCCGTACTCCGTATGGTGGGAAATGAAGAACTAAATTCACCGTAGACACAATATTTATAAAAACTTTTCTTTGTTTGCTTTTCAGGGGCAAGGTTAAGCATTTCGCATCTTTCTTCACAGGACCGAAATGCCGAGTAGCATATGAGCTCGCGTCAATGGACTGTCATTCCAACATTATGCAGGTCCATGTGATAGTTCCCTACGCTAACGCATTCATCCCGTCCCCGAGGGCTGAGCTGAAAGAAGAGGGGTAGCCTGTGCACTTCCCCTCTCGACTCGCATTCAAAGATCCGAATGAACTTTCAGGGTGAGGTTTGGGCTCTCGTGATTATAGATTTGAAGATCCATATCGAAGTACGCAGTACGGAGGATACCGCCCTTCATTCAATACCTTCGCAGATCGGCGCTAGGACCGGGCGGGGAAACCAATGTATAGGTTCGATATGCAAATGCGATGCAACGCAAGGGGAGAATCTGTCGAGTGCGAAGGTGTATAGCGCCCAAGGAGTCAAAACTGGGTTGGACACCTGATGCTGCCTGAAGCTGCTGTCCTTCCAGAGGCAAAAATACGATACGTGAAATACGATGACACCCTGGTGATAAACACTGTGCACCTCCGTATTCTTTTTCTTGGAGACCCAAAGTGAGAATATCTCTCATAGATATCGCAGTAACCAACCTCTCCTTTTGCTCTTCTTCCTGACAGAGTACTCTCGTGGGGGTTGGTCCTATTTCCATCGCTGTCCTGATCAGTGTAGCATTGGGAGCCGCGGTCGCGTTGTTGACGTGGTCCGAATGAGGAAGGGCAGTTGGAGAACGGAGTAGATGGTCTTCTCGCGCTCTCACTTCTCTCTCTTTTTCGCTCTCCTGCTACTCTTTCCTGGGCTTGTGATCTCTGCAAATCGATAATGCCCGGGCGCTGATGATTTTGAACTTTTCTCACAGCCAGACACGAGCAATGAACATTGATTGGGCGCCTCGTGCGGTGTCGGCTTTGACAAAATTAAGAAGCCGCCCAGCTCATGGTTTCTATTCACATTTTTCGGCTCTCGTTCCAGCGCCATTTTTGTCATCACCAACCTCTGTTACCCTTCCTTTCCGCGGTGTTCGCACAATCACAAGTCCCTCGGGGCAAAACACAAAACCGAATCCTGATCATGAGCATTTCTTTCGTTACACGAGTGGACGATGGCTATGGAATGAAAAACAGCAGTGAGCTTCAAAGCCTTGCGGCGAAAGCTGTTGGTTCAGACCGCTGCATCTCCATGACGAAGCTGGCCGAGGGCGGATATAACAGAGTCTTCCGATTGACCATGAATGATAAAAAGAAAGTGCTGGCTCGTATACCAAACCCAAATGCCGGTCCAGCATTTAAATTCGACCGCTTCCGAAGTCGCTACTATGGAGCTTGTAAGTTGATCTCAAAACTAATCAGTGAAACGACCGGTTAGCTCAAGTTCAATACAGGCTCGAGATTTCCTTCAAATTCCCGTGCCTCGAGTATTAGATTGGGGTGCCACGTCGGACAACGCCGTTGGCTCTAAATATATTATTATGGAAGAAGCATCTGGATCACAGCTTGAACTTGTATGGGACCAGCCGAGTCCAGACAAAAAGCTTTCCATCATGAGGGAGATAGTGACTATCGAGTCGAAGATGCTTGCAGTATCGTTTTCTCAGTGTGTTCATTTGCTCATTCCCGGATGCGTGCGAAATTTGATAGTCTCGTCAGCTTTGGCAGCATATATTTTGCGAGTGATGCAGTGGAAAGCGCAGTTCCAGCCTTCCTGACCAGTGAAGCTTCCTCCGAGCTCAAAAACCAAGTCAACAAGAAGTTCAGTATTGGGCCTACTGTGGACCGGGGATTTTGGAACAAGGAACGCTCGTCGATGCAGATCTCGCAGGGTCCATGTAAGTAGTTCCATGCGCCTCTCTGTGATTGTTTTGCTAATTCTTTTAAGGGTGAACGCCTCAAGAATATGCGCTGTGTGTTGGCTGGCGTGAATTAGAGTGGATCAAAAACTTTGCGGTTTCGAAACCACCCAGCGAAGTCACTCTGATTTCTTCAGCCTAGAACAGTCCACAGGCGCATTTGCAACTGTTGGAAAGGTATCTTCAAGTGGCTGCGGCTCTTGTGGATATTGATCCCGTCCTTACCCGCCCTACATTGTGGCACGGTGATCTTCATTCATCTAATATTTTTTGTGGATGATGGCCACGTAACAGCCATCATTGATTGGCAAGGCTCGTGGGCAGGTCCCCTCTTTCTTCAATCCCAACCCTCTCCGCTCGTGGACTACCAAGGCGGCATTTTACTTCAACGACCAGACAATTTTGACGCTCTGGGGCCTGAGCAGCAAGCTGATATCAAGCAAAAGATATTCAAACCGACCCTATATCAGCTCTATCTACTGGAGACCAAAGAACGCAACCCCCTTCTTGCCAAAGCTTTCCACCTCGCTCATGGGAAGACAAGGCGTCTTCCCATGGAATTTGCCGGAAACACATGGGATGATGATATAGTCCCTTTCCGTGAGGCACTTATCAATGTTGAAAGGTATTTATGTCACTTGTTATCTTTTTCTATTTTCAGACAGTATCGAATTGATTATTTTAGACATTGGCAAGAACTTGGCATCGGAGGGCAATGTCCCTATCACTTCACACAGGATGAACTAAATTCCCACTCCATTGATTCCGAAGGTTGGAATGAGGTCGAGGACTTTTTTCAAAGTATAGATGGTCTTGTCAAACGAGATGGGTGGACGCATCAAGATACGTTCGAGGCTGCTTTTAACTTCTTTTCAGAACTTCGAGAACAAGGCCTAAAGCACATGAGAGGTGAAGAACAGAGAGCTTTGGACAGGCAGACTGATTGGGCCAGAAAGAAAAGCTGATTCTGGTCCTGCGGGAAGTCACAAACGTCACGTGTCATTGAAGGGAGTTTTTATTACGCTTCATACTAACATACTTTGACTCTGTATCGAAAATCACGCTCAGATCATGAATAATCTCGTAAAAACTTCAATCTTGTGCTTCGGATCTCAAGCTTGTATCAAAGCTGGGCGTAACGATAAAATGATAAGTAACTGGCACTAACGCCCTCATACTCGTCTACATCCAGTCGAGAATGGAGAGTTAGTAAGAAAATGATAAATCCTGTGTTTTTCATTGACAGGAAACATATGCCATTCATGCTAGAGAGAAAGGAATCATCCGGCGAGGTATGATCAATCTCGTTCTCAGACAATCTCCCCAAAGCAACATCACACATGCTTTATCACTGTCGTATCTGTTTGGCCTAGAGCTCTTGGCGTAACCTGCTCTCGACGACGTGGCCATGAAGCAGTTTGATCAAACTGCATGTTTTAGCGCCATTTTAGCGGCTTCATAAACTGATGAGCTTCGAGGGCCAAATTGCTTCCTGAGCATATAAATTAAGAAGTTCCCCGCGCTACGGAGTGGCTTGGAACAAATCATGGCCCATGAAGTATCAGGTTCCAAGGTTTTCAACATACCTTCCTTTCTTATATCTCATTTGAAGTTATATAAGGTATAATCCCATAGATCTTATAAGCGCCGCACCCGGGCTTGTGATATGACATGTTTTAGTGCTGATATCTTGCGATTATCCCCAATGTTGATGTGGACGTGGCCTACATCCATTGGAGCGGATGAGCCGCAGTCTAGACAGGTGAATTGCCCCGCTCTGTTACGACGACAGGGAACTGGAGGGGGCCAACACCTTGGCAAGACACACGAGTTATAATTGTTCCTCAATTCCCGACACATAGCCTCTGACGAGTTGTGGGTGTGCGATAGTATGATTTGTTTTTCGACGTTTTCATACATAGCTCATAACGCAGTGCCAAGACGATACATAGCCACGTTTCGCTGGGCTTTACCCAATGAGGAGCCGTATGCCACCTGATTTAGCTGGCGGCTCGGTCGGTTGAGCCAGTTCAGGCAAAATTGATGCTGACTGTTATATACAAAAGATCTGGTTCCGCTATCATGGGACTAGCACGGAGTGGTTGCTCTGGACCCTTGTTCCCACCATCAAGTCAGCCTTGTCACTTGTGCTGATGCGGGGTCGGAGCTGAGGTGCTCTTATGGAAGAACCCAAAGGAGAATACCTACGGAGTATAAGTAAGAGCGTTGCTCTCGCGGGAAACTTACTACCGAGCTTCATGTTATACCAACTCCATTGATATTTTATCAACACCGAAATTCCATCATGAGTCGCGAGCAAATTTTCCCCAGCACCCAGCCTCGGGAGAGCGCCCTTCAATATGTGACCAACAATGGGCAATACACTCTTCGAGTCAACGAATTCCTTCCTGCCGCCAGACCAAGTGGCCAGGAGGCGTACAGCTCCTTCGTGACTAATCACCGAGCACCTGATGTACGCATCCACATTTTCGCCAGAGAAATTCTTACTCGCATTCTGATGACTCGTGACTAGGGAACTCTTCAGTTCGCACCTGCCATCAAAGGTATCAGAGGTCAGGTTATCCAGACGGGTCAGTCGTTTACCATACGGGATGACTTCGACTTTGCCAACCCATCTGCAAACGGAAAGGGTTATCATGTCAATGTACAGCTGGGAATGGCGACTCGGGCATATACCTCCGGACAATATAGCCCAGCGCAGTATTATGACCGGGTGAGCATGACAGGAGAGAGACTGCATATCGATGGGCCTCGGGATGCTGCCTCGTGGTATACGCAGGGGTATTCCCAAGCATCATGATGGGCCTCAAAATGCTGGCTTGTGGCATACACAGCGGAATTTGGGATGAGTGGTCCGCATGGGAGGTTGGTGCTGTGGCTGAACTCTTTGTAGACTGTGTCTATCTCAAATGGTCGTGCAACTGGAATGAATCGGAGCATTATGTGTCGCAGCTCATTCATCTTGTGAAAAGTGCGAGAGTGTCTGGTCATCGACCAGTAAATCCATAAGAAGCACACTCGTGCAAATGTATCCAAGAAAAACTGTGAAGACTGGCAACACATTGCGAAAGGGAAAAACTACCATATGCGTCACTACAGGCCATTCTTGCCACGCGGCCGATCATCTAGTAGAGTGTTTCCATTATCTCCTGTTTGTGAAAGGATGTCTTTTGGCCAACTTCATGCCACAGGGATGATTATTTCATACATAGCTGTTCTAGGGTGCTACATGTGAGTAACACACTACTTCTTCCGAAGTTCATATCTCTCCAGGATGCGAGGCCTACGTAGCATTTGTCACCCGACACCTTTGATTCAACGAGAGTGGCAAGTGAAGCGAAGTTGACGGCCTAGGAGAGTTCTAGCAAATTGACTGTTCTGCGGATTTAGAGTCGCTTGAATAGGTGAAAATCTTTAGGTGTCGTGCTCAGGAGTCGTGCCCAACCACTCTACGAAGAGGCACTCAAGCATCGTCGAGCAAAGCCAGGGACAGAGGAAAGAATAGTCTCGGTATTTACCAAGAGTACCTATGTCTCAAACTCGGAGGTCCAGCACTCGGACAATGTATCTCCATGCCTCCGCATCAATCGTCGCAGCGTCACCCCACACGTCTGCGAGCCACCAATAGTGACGTCCAAAGACATGAGACCTTTCATCAAGATATCGATTTGACGATCCCAGATACCATCAGGCACAAGAACTTCCCGATGAGATTCTGCTAAGCCACTGTGTGCTGTCAGGGTGGATTGGGAATCTATGACGCTTTCAATGGCTTTTTCAAGCGCGGTCACAGCTAAACTTGGTGTGACGTGGTAAACCGTGATTGGGACCTCGGCACCCAGGCCGTTTCGCAGATTGAACATCTCTTCAGCGGGCAATTTCTGCACAGATTCAACTACCTTGGCCACGACAGACGCTGCATGGTCTTGGTACTTGCGAATGACGGGGCTAATACGCTGTGTGGTCATTTCATTGAGGTTGGTAGCAGTGGCACTTTGGAAAACATCGACCAGGAGGAAGATCCCGAGGCTCCAAAACATCGTATGAGATACTAACCCACCGCTCATTAGTATGCTGAAAAGGTTGATTGGCAATGTATCATATAGATGAACATAGAACTAACCGATGGAGATTCTGGGGCAAGTAGAGAGGTGTTCAAAGTTTCTCACACAATGAGAGATGAAGGATTGGTACGTTTCGTTGAATTCGTCAATTGTACTTATCCCCATGTTGATAGCATCGATGGTGGACTGGGATGGGTCGGAGACAATACCAAGCGACAGGGTAATGCTTTCTTTGATATTGATTATCTTCCTCCAGATATAAAATGTCTCGGCGCTCACTTTCCGGAAGATGGATTGAATGTTCGCGTCCAGCTCGAGAATGTTGCGGCAAGTAGCCCAGTCTGCTATAGACTCCTTATTAGGAGGAGCTATTCGCTTTTAGCATTTCAATGAGATATATACAAGGTCAGAAGAAACTTCGATGGTTTCACTTACTCCTTGTAGGACCCCATTGATCGGGAAGTATTGATTTGTGGTCCAGCGACAATGCCGCACCTGTATCACGAATATACCCAGCCCACCGAATAATGCTCAAGCTTGCCTCGGCGAGAGAACCATAAGTTGAAGATGGACCAAGCTCAATGCAATAATTTGTAACGAGTTGATCCAAACAACACAATTGATTCAAACCATCGTGGAGAAAATTGTTCGACACGAGGCCTTCAGTATCAATAATCTTCGTTGGCGTCACAATCCCGACGAAAGTGAGGGTTGCAAGGATCATTCGAAATGAGCGAGTTTTGTGTGCATGTGCATCCAGGAGGAGGGATCTTGCGCGAACCCATGCATCGACGAATGAATCCAACGCATTCTCTTCTGCCCGCCGTTCGTCGTTGTTGCCCTCCTCAAACAAAGGATTCGAACTAGGGAGCCACTGCATCGAGAATGCTCGAAGCACCGCCTTCAAAGTTTCGTCGGACCTCTTTCGAGCAGCTGTGCTGAGTCGGTTGCCATAAAAGTCACCGAAATGATCAAGGAAGCGAACACTCCCAAGTAAAGATATTTGTTGCGCCGTTTCATCCTGTAACGGTGTTGAATCGACATGACCCAATGGGCTTGCGTTTGACTCTGTACTCGGAAGAGCAAGGGCAGATCCATTCAAGCTACTCGATGTGCTCTCTCCTATCCGGTAGCGATTTTTCGAAGGATAGAGGTTGCAATCATACTCAAGAAACCTCGACGCAGAGGATGTTGCAATTGCCTCGTAGATTCGCGTCAAGCGGTCGCCAAGGATCTTAGCATCTATGCCGCTATTCAACAAGTAGATCGGGCTGTTGAAGGAAACCCCGAACTTAGGAATGGACTGAAATGACCGACAATTCTCAATCTTCGGAAAGCTGGTTGAATGAAGACTGAGCTCATTGTCGATGCTGCCAGACGTCGGTGTGTGTCGGGGAGACATATCCGTTGCCGAAGTGAATGAGTGGAGGCCATTGGTGGAACATGTATTATCGCCCTCGAGATGATTGTCAAAATCAAGAGTCAGCCAGGTTGAAAGTATGTCCTGGTCAATCACCAAAGTGGGGTCAAATTGATCGGCTGGAATGGTGATACCTGCTGGGGGCGAAGTCACCAGGGTACAACCATCTTCTGGAATTGTTCTGCCTGTAGCATTGTGTTGATGTTTTCTTCTTTTATTTGAGTTTGGAGTCAAGTTAGACTTGGAGTCGGCAAATTCAAATGTACATTGGTGTCCTAGGCGTGTGCAATTCTCGCATGCAGAAACGCCATCTGTACTCGGTGACACGACGCAACGTCGCTTTGACCGCCTGCATGGGTCGCAACTCGCATTTTGGCGTCGTGGGGGTTTGTTTGTTTGATGTAACGCCTTAAGAGATCTGAAATCCCCCGGCATTCCGCACTTACATGATGGTCAAGTAGGTTGAGGTTGGGAAGAAAGGTCCCTTATGGTGGTGGATTGGTTTATCCGATCCGACCCGAAATTGAAACCTGCAATATCAGGCCGAACATGCACCTGAAAAAAAGCGGTTACTCCGTACGTTCCTGTTGCATCTACCTTACTCTATTCGTGAATTTACAGATGATCGGACTTTCTCATAGAAAATGTCTTCCTAAGGTCTTTTTAATTTGTCCTAGCCAATTTCTCTATCTAGACCTTCTCTCCAGATGCCCTTCTAACACAGTCAACAATGAATTGCGGCTTGCTCATCCAAGGAGAGTGGCCTTCATCACACTCTTCCACGTCGAAACAACCTTCGCCCTGTGCAATCATTCGTCGCTGATACGGGAGGCGTAGTGCGAAGTCGTTCTTGCACACAATGTAGGTGCTCGGAATCTCACGGTACGCGGTATACGTCACAGGGACAGAGAGCGGACCAGCTGGGAAAGTCCCTAGAAGCTCCACGGCTCTCTCGATATCTTTCGGGTCGCACCTGTTGTACAGGATCATGTGGACATTGTCTTTGGGTAGCTTCAGAGCCCCTTCCTGGTAATTGTCAGCTAGATATACATGCTAAAAGCGCGCCTTGCATACCGCGGTGATTTCCATCCCTCCAAATTTGGCTTCCAGCTCCTGGCGTTGTTTCTCAAGTTCTTCCTCCTCTGGGGTCTGAGGAGTCAATTGTCCAATGTGGCTCTGGCCTTTGGGCAATGCCATTGAGCACATGTAGATCAGCCTGATGATTCCTCCCTGCAAGCCTTGTGCGGCTCGTTCCTTCTTTCCCAGACCTTTGGCAGCTTCGGACATGGCAATGCCACCAAATGAGTGGGCTAGGACGACAACATCCTTGCCAGAATCCAGCCTTTCCATGATCACCTGTCGCACAGCTTGCGCGTCCTGATCCCAGCTTGGCAGGGGAGGGCTGGAGTCCACTGAAGGCATCGTCACACCAACTGCTTCATAATTAACCTTTGCGAGATCATCGATAAGGCCTTGAAAATGGGCAGGTCTGTGCCATGCGCCTGGCACAATCACGATTGACGGATTCGACATCGTTGAATTGGTAGGTGGGCTGTGCTTTTGATAAATTGAAGTAATGTATTAGACAATACACCAGATCTCCATTCAAATCCAGCGGTTAAATAGCAGCGCTGCGGTTCCTGGCCATCGGAGCCGCGCCAAAGTGGGTCTGCATCGGAGCCGCAGTGCGTGACGATGTTTAATTGGTGGGTCCGTCCCGGCCATCCCATAGCTAAAATGTCATCTGCCGAAGTTTCTACTTGCTAGAATTCTCCATTGTATAGAAACATACAGCCCAATCAAATACTCCGATCTGTAGATAGAGCCCTGTAAACCTTCCAGGGGTTTCTTGGGTATCGTTGACTGCTGCGATGGCGTGCCGCAGTTCCACGGTCTTTAAGAGGCCTTTCGGCATAGGTAATCCAAAAAAACTCTTTGCGTGCGAGATCCCGCAGTTCTGGCTGTTGGTCTTCTATTCGTGACAATGCATCGCTGTAGGTTTCGTCGTACCCTGAAGTTTGTGGTTTGCTGGTTTACGATCTTGCTGATATTTTCCCCAATGTGGGAGTGAGTGAAAGAGCTGAGAAAGCGACGGTGGAAAGAGGCGTGGAGGGTTTCAGGACCTTTTTAATCCCACGACTGAGCTTGTGATAACGGGCTGCTCTACGGAGGAGAAGCACAAATCGCTTCAAAACAGTGGATTCTGTCGGTCGAAGCACAAGGACCGATCGGGGAAAAGAAGGGGGAGAGCGAGAGAGCTATCTAGCGAAAGGGGTTCATCTGACCTCCCTACATCCCCACCCCAATAGATCTCACATCGTCGAACCTCTCTCTATCAGAAAAACCCATGAAATGATGATGTTGAAACATTTGACTTCCTTCGGGTAATTGCGTGTATGGTGCACTGATATTGGCTTCTTGCATCTGGATTTGTCATAAATGTCGTGTTGAGTTTGGTGGAATTTGATATCATTTTGACACCACCGAGTGACGATATTAGTGCCCCTCGCGCATAGCGATCTGTCGTGAGGCCTACCTACCGGCTTTGCCGCGGGGTGGGGGTACGCGGGTCGGTGAAGCTCGGGGCTGATTGTGGGGCCCTGAAGCCGGAGCGCGTACATGTGTGCTTAGAATGTAAAAGGAGGAACAGAAGAAGGCCCATAACATGATAACAGGCTGATCTACGACCGTTTCGAAGTCGGATTTGCCCGACATGTCGAAGCTAAGCAAAGCACTCTGGAATATGTGAATATTTGAAGTGTCTTCTACCCAAGTGGAGTGCGACGAATAGAAATGATTGCGCGGCAAGAAAATGCTTTTGCACAGCCAAGTGGGCACAGGTCTCTGATTTAAATGATATTATCATCAACCGAAATTTCAAATCATCCACAGTACACTCCCTCAAAGGGAAAATCATCAATGCGGCAAAATGACATCCTCATCTCATCACTATCTCCCATCATCGACCAGAGATCGAAAAGGACATATGGCCAACATTTCATCCACCCCGGAAATGTATCATACTTATCCACAATTGGGAATGCCTCGAGAACCTTTACATATCGAAGCTCTTTATCGGCGCCGTCTAGGGTTCCATCTTCAAGGGCCTCGATTGGTGCGCCTTTCAAAGTTTGCAGAGATTCTTCATCGATAATCATACACATTCGCCATTTGGTCCAATAGTCACGCAGGCCTTGAGCTTCCACCCAGGCCTCGAAATGAGCGCGAATTGTCTCGAGAGAGGCCCCGTCAAATTGCGCGGGATCTTGCACAATGGTCGATCGGTGTTTAGCCCAGATTTCAGTAGGCTCATTGGGTGGAAATTGTTTGGTTTCTTCGAAAAATTCTTCCTTGATACAGCCCTCAATAAACCGAATAGCGTCTGGGAATAGAGTATCTGACTCAACGGAGTAGGTAGTGCGATAGATAACAAATCCCCAGTCTGGGTAGGTTGCAAGACTATGTCGGAGTTCGTCCATGTTGCGTCAATTGTGTTGTTTCGTGATTGTGTGGAAGTTGAGTTGGGTTGCGGGCTCTGTGGGCTATGAAGAGGCCTAGTCAGGTGACCCTCTGGATGGGCTTGTATGGGTGCCCACAGCCCACCCCAGTCTCAAGAAGAGCTCTAGCGGCTAGCCTTCTCGTTCTTCATTCTTTTCCCACAGCCCAACCAAAACAAGTCTCCGGGTCAAATCCAAACAAGAGCATCAGAAATGTCATCTGTAAGTCATCAGTTTTAACCTTGTCAGGATTCTGACTAATTTGGGTAGATTCATCGAGACCCACAGGGTTTGACCAGCTGTCCGAGAGACATCTTATACTCGATATTCGAGTTCTTGTCACCGACTGAATTTTATGCACTATGTCTCGTTCATACCAACGTTCGCGTGGTAGCCACAAAACTTCTCTACGGGAATATTCAAATAATCTGGGAGCAAGAGAATCATTATGATCCTCCCCCAGTCACTAAACTTTTGCGAACTCTGGTGGCCAGGCCTCATTTGGCTACTCACGTTAGAAAGCTTCAGCTCACCGGCCAATCAACCAAACATCCCGCCCTCGTGAGAACCATCCGTCTCGTGCCCATCTCTCCTATTGAGCTGAGCGAGTCTGTATCCTTCATTCAGAAAACTGGAGTCCCGTATAGCGACCTTTGGATTCAAGAATTACAGCTAGGCAGACTTGATGCGGTTGTAGCACTCCTCCTAGCACAAATGCCGAATCTCCAGTGTCTGCGCCTAGGGCCTGCTTTCACACAGCGAAGTGAAATCATCGGGATGGTTCTTCGTTCCGCCATCTTCAAGCCCGTAGACTATGGGCTACCGGACTTTCAACATCTCCAACATGTGACATACCTCCTCAAAATAGGACGTGACTACGCGCGCGACCACGAGGTCAAAAACACCGCTGACCTTCTGCCCTTCTTCTATCTATCAAATGTCAAAAGTCTCTCGCTAGCCGTCGACAGTCCTCTCGCGGTAACGTGGCCAAAGCCAAAATTGCCGATCTCATCGAGCCTTACATCGCTTGTTTTGAACACCGTTCGGGAAAGCTATCTCAGGGAGCTATTTTCAATCACGCCGCATTTGAAATCATTGCAGTGGAAGTTCTGGTACGACAGCGGTCTTCTCGATGCAGTCAATTCACCAATCGTTGACCTTGATCGGATTGGTGATGCGGTATCTTGTCTCAAGGACACTTTGAGTGACCTGAAGATATTAGGCGAAGTTTATTTGGGAGGAGACGGCGATATCAATCTCCCTGCTATCAAGACACAGGGCTCATTGAGTGCAATGGTCGTGATGGACAATCTGGAGACACTTCAAGTCCCATGGGCATTCCTGGTGGGATTTGCACTAGACACGACGAAACGCCTGCAGGATGTACTTCCAAAATACCTTGAGCATCTCACCATTACCTGGGATTTGTGTCTACAAAATGATGAGGACGTGGAACCAGATTGGCCTCAATTCGAGTGGGAGGATCACCACATTCTAGAGGTGTTAAAATCATGGCTCGAAAACCGAGAAACGTTCACGCCGAAGCTTCGCAGAATTACTTTGGGACTAGTTAGATACGAGACTGACGAGTATGACTGGGAACCTTCAATGAGGCAACGGCTCGCAGAGCTGGGTGCTCATGCTGGAATTGTGTTCGACATAATATTCACAGACGAACTGACTCTCCTAGATGAAATGTGACAAATACCTAGATATTAATTGATTGTATATATCAGGCTCAGGTAAGGCAAGTGATATATGGTTCAATTCTTTTCCCATTTGTAGGTCTTCGGCGTGTTCGCTCCCACCAAGGGTCGTTTTGCGAATCTTGGCTCGCCTGAACTTTTAGAGCCAATGCTTCTTTTTGTCTACATGATTGGGCTATTTCGCTACCATTCGCTGCGTGTTTCACTGCTCAATCGTCGCAGGTTGGCGCAGTTTCCCCATTACAGCAGGTGATTATTCTAGGATTGATCAGAGTTCAAGCCTCATCGTGATCCGAGGTTTCGCTCCGCTGCCAAATTCTTAGGCGGAACATGAAATGCTTCTTTAGTGATGAACTACTCAAGAGAGGGTGTACCATGTGTTATATGTACGCAAGTCAATTCAGCTAAGCGTGAGAGAAAAAGATGCCAAACAGCAGCCCAAAGTAGGAAGGGCCAGCCCTGGAAGAACCTTTGGAATTCGAGCTCGACCTGAGCGGGAGGAGTGCTTCATTCTTGAACGTAGGGGCAGACTGCATACTTAAGGCAAAAAGAAGCTGACCACACTTTCCTTGATCCGCAATTCAGCTGAGTCGGTCGCTTCATCTAGACCTCGGGACATCGGGAGTGCATCAATATATACCACTTCACTCAGCAATTCTATATAATCCAATGGCTGTCCTGTCACTACCCGTCGATGGTGATACATGACACAGGAGCATCCCTCGAACAACACTCATAATTACACGAAAGGTCCCCCGAGGTCCTGCCGAGCGATGTGGGCGTGCTCTGTGAGAGTCACGCAACCCTATCAACTCTTCCAAGGCTAACTCCGAGCAAGTTTCCAGGGTTCCAAGGTTGGAATGTCCATGGGTTACAGAGTTCAAAATTTCTCTTCTCTCAACTTGTGCAACTTTGGTCGATGGACATACTTAAAGCGCCGCTGCCTCTATCTACTCTAGATCTGAATTCTACTAATAATCTTTGCTCGACCTTGGAACATCCAAAAATATTTTTTTATCAAAGGCAAATGAGATTCGCTCTTGTAACTCTCGGCCTCTTTGGCTTAGCCATTGTATCTGCTGCCCCTGGGTCGCCTTTGAACATCACTAGCGTTAATGGTGATAGTGGTTGTCACTGGTGAATTTTTCTCAAGCCCCCATATGCACCGAGGCCTTCTAACAAGTGTGTTGTCTTTAGCCTGATACGTGGGGTGTGGTGTGAATGCGCCGACCGTGAATATTAACCCTTTCTACCTTGACAAATGTCAATTTTAAAATAGAAACTTATTCTTTTACAGATAAACGATACTGGTGGAACCGAGATCTGGACAACTGCAATCCTCCTTGGGGAATTGTAGCGGGTCAATCCGTTTATGAAGGACCCCTCCAGGAAACCTGTGAAGGATTTGACTAATTCCAGTATCTACTGGGGGTTCGATATTTGTCAAGCAAGAATCCGACATAGTAGGAGAGATGAGGATTTGGGGTTCTTTGTTTAAGCTTCACGGCGGCTTCTTTGTTGCAACATACAAAGCCGCGAATGTCACTCCATAATTATCCGCATTCTCTTTGACTTAGTTTCAATGTCTTTTCAAACATGTTGGGTTCTGGATTCTCTTTGTGATTTGTAAAAAGTGTCAAAGATGTCACTAGGGAGGGTTTCGTGTTGAGATGGAATTTGAGGTGCTCGCATGACCGCGTAGCGGGTTGCGGCCCATTCAACTCGATTGAGACTCAGTATTTTGATATTTTCACAAAGCAAGGCAGAAAGGAAAAATTCTTCTTTTCAATGCGCATCAACTCCGGAGCATTGCCAGTCGTAATTCTTCTGCAAGCATCAGAGTCATGGCATCGGACCAAGTCCGCATCACGACACGGCACACTCTCCACTGCGCCACTGCGGCGACGGTGGCTGCCCTCGAGTGCCCCTTCAACTTGGGTCCAATGGACTATTTGGTATCTCCGACAGTACCCATTGAAGCCGTCTTCATTTACCGCAAGCCCACGTCGTCACCAACCAATCACTTTCTTGATAAGCGTCGCTTGAGGCGAGCCGTCTCTCATCTTCTCGACTATTATCCACATTTGACAGGCCGACTCCAGCTACACCCAACCAGCCATGCTCCACAAATTGGGTCCCTGGGCTCTGGGGTGGACTTTTGGGAGGCGCACTGCAGCACGACCCTCCGAAGAATTGCCTCATCCAGTCTGTCAGGGCGCATAATTACTCCGAAGCTCCCGGGTTTTGGTGCTGGACTGCTCCCAATATTCCACCCCACAGTGGGGTCATATTCACACAACCCTATTCTTGCGATTCAACACACGCGATTTGCCTGCGGGGGAGTGAGCCTTGGAATCCGAATCCATCACCAGGTTTGCGATGCCCAGGGCTTCTTTCAAGTCGTGCGAGATCTAGCTGAGATCTACAGGCAATTACGCGACTCTTGTCCACCATCTCTCGTCTCACCACCTGAGATCCGCTCTCACTTTAGAATCCATGGCGAGCTGTCACCCAGCTCGGCACGTGAAGCTCGGAACTTCGTCCAATCGTCTTTCCGTCTTGGAACAGAAAGCGGCAATGGCGTCGATAAGAACGCAGAAAAACAAAACACCGTGCCGGCATCAGCCCGTGTACTTCGCTTTTCCAGTCAGGATCTCGCAGGGTTCAAACAAGCCGCAACCAGCCCTGATCCCCAAAGTGGCACATGGGTCTCCACGTTCGAGGCCCTTTCAGCATACTTATTCCAACGGGTATACAAAGCCAAAATACAGTTGATCGAGAAGCTTGGTATCTCACCCCAAGATGAGCGATGTCAGGAACTTCGCCGATTCTTCACCACAATGGATATGCGGGACCGAGATCGGCTAAATTTACCTCCACGATACTTGGCAAATGCTGTTCACACCCTTTCAGCTTACTCCTCACATGAGAATTTAATGAATGGTCCCTTCCGATCCATTGCAGACACCATTCATCGCGCCATTCGCTCGGTGGACCCGGTGCAGGTCAAGCGGGAGTTTCAATGGATTGCTGCGCAGCCTGACCACAGTCTGGTGGAGCCCACGGAGAAATTCCACGAGGGAAATCTTGCTGTGGTTCAATGGACCCGGGACCACACATATGTCGGGGTTGACTTTGAGGTTCGCGAGAGTGGTAGACCTGTTCTTCCTTCTTTAGTCTCTCCGCCTCTCAGTGGGTCTTATTTGACGAATGGCCTAGCAATGGTCATTACCACTGTAGAGAAGTCAGCGCCCCGGGAAAGGAAGACGAATATTTCGGATGAACCAGATCCTCCGCGTGGCGTCTATGTCAACTTGGTCTTGGAGGACCAGATATGGCCATTTCTCGAGCGGGACATTGACTTCCTGAGATACATTTGCTGATGGGGGTTTGGGATAAGGACACAATTTGTCGCTTGTTCCTTTTAAACATAACAATGGATAGAAACTTCTATGAATTTACGACCAATAGTTCAAAAAGATAAAATCGCCCATGATGCCTTGAGCTGTATAGATACAGTGCAAACAGTGCAAACCCCCGTGTACACTCCGTCATCTGCCATCGTCATGGCCCCTCCACCTCGACCGTTTGTGATTGGCTGTGTATCACGTGCTACAGCTATCGGACCCATAATGCCCCGGAGAAATGACGAAGCTACCATGGTCTCCGTTTGTTTGGGAGCTTCAAATATCACATTGATTGAGCTTCAACATATCTCCCGTGCCTTGAACTCAATACACATGACTACCACGGCACTTGGCATATCGACATCTTCATTCGTCTGCAACCCAACCCGCCCTGTGATGTCATAGAGCTTCAGTGCAGCTACAATGGAACCACCACAACGCCGCAGTTCTACGATGCCGGGCGAATATCCGACCAACGATGGAACCGAAGTGAAAGGTCTATCTCACCTGATGTTTTACTGAGAATGTATGCTTTTGCGCAATGTACTAACTTTGAAAAGATGATGGCCGAATCGAAATCGACCTGGATTCAAAAGTCGGCAGAGAAGTGTCCAAGTTGATTCCATTTTTGCACTCGGAAGAGAAGTTCGAGTCACCAGAAGGACCTCCTGCCGAGACACGCTGTGACCTCGAGCTCAACATCGTGATTCAAGTGGTTGGCAGTAGGGGTGACGTCCAGCCTTTTGTTGCATTGGGCAATGAACTCCAGCGTCATGGTCACCGCGTCCGACTCGCTACACACGGCACTTTCGAATCCTTTGTCCGGGATTCAGGCTTGGAGTTCTACTCCATTGGCGGTGACCCCTCAGAGCTGATGGCTCACATGGTGAAGAATCCAGGATTGATACCACAGATGAAGTCCATCCAAGATGGCGACATTAAACGCAAACGTGTTATGGTTGCGGAAATTCTGCAAGGCTGTTGGAAGTCTTGTATTGAGGATGACTCCGTGACAAAAACACCCTTTGTTGCCGATGCTATTATTGCGAACCCGCCAAGTTTTGCGCATATTCACTGTGCTCAGGCGCTTGGAATTCCACTACACTTGATGTTCACTATGCCATGGACCAGCACTAGATCCTTCCCACACCCACTGGCAAATCTCAAATACTCCACCACAGAGCCTAAAATGGCCAATTATCTATCCTACGGAATCGTCGAATGGCTGACTTGGCAAGGGTAATGACCTCCACGAGCTCCTCATGGATCATGCTGACTCTCCTTCAGACTAGGTGACGTTATCAATGATTGGAGAAGGTCTATTGACCTAGAACAAATATCGGCCACGGAAGGCCCTCGGCTAGCAGAAACATTGAAGGTACCATTCACATATTGTTGGTCACCTACCTTGATGCCCAAGCCAGCGGACTGGCCAGGTCATCTCGATGTTTGCGGTTTCTTCTTCCGATCTCCACCCGACTTTACACCTCCTGCGGACCTCGATGCATTCCTGAAAGATGGGGCGCCGCCGGTGTATATTGGCTTTGGAAGTATCGTCATTGAAGACCCTCCAGCAATGACTGCGACTCTGGTCAATGCCGTGAAGGCCTGGGGAGGCCGAGCGATCATCTCGCGTGGATGGAGCAATCTCGGCGAAGCAGAATCAACCGACCAGATCTTTTACCTAGGAGATTGCCCCCACGAATGGTTATTCCAGAAAGTCTCGGCAGTCGTGCATCACGGAGGAGCCGGAACTACAGCATGTGGACTTCGATTTGGTCGACCCTCCCTCGTCGTTCCGTTCTTTGGAGAGTAAGCTGTTCCATGTCCTGTTTTCGTCACTTCCCGCTGATATCATGCAGCCAGCTATTCTGGGGCAACATGGTTGCCTCTCGTGGCATTGGACCAATGCCAATTCCCCATCGATCTTTGAACGCTGAAAATCTAGCAGAAGCCATTCGCTTTTGCCTACATCCTGACACATTATCAGCAGCCGGAGAACTTGCTCGTCAAATGAGCGAAGAAGCTGGCGTATCTGCGGCTGTCGCATCGTTCCATCGAAACCTACCGATGGCAGACATGAAATGCCAATTTATGGAGTCTGAACCTGCTGTTTGGAGACTGAAGCAAGACTCGAAGAGCACCATGAATATGTCAAAGATAGCTGCTGGGATATTGATTGAGAACTCGCTCATTGACGCAAATGAGCTCAAATCGTGTGTTATCAATGCAGTCCCAAACGTCAACTAACGCCAGCCGAGCTAACATTTCTCCCTTGACAGATACGAAAGCAAGCCTATCTTCATACAGACACGACGATGGGACCCCATAACTGGTGGAACATCCTCATTGCTAGGCATGTACAAAGACATCCTCACGGCCTCAAGTGATATTGTGATCCGCCCATACAAGGAGTTCAGTCGCGCCCGTCAACAAAGCGAGCCCGAACTGGTGGTCATCGAGACCGCGAACGGCGAATCCTCTGGCGAACGGCGTCCTTCTGAAGGGTTATCTCAACGATCTGGTTCCAACATGCAAGATGCGGACTGGAGAGTCGCCGGTAACGCTGTCGGAGGCTCTGCCAAAAGCGTGGGTAGGATCATCGCATACTACTACAAAGGCGTGTTGGTCGACATCCCCGGTGCTGTCAACGAAGGGTTAAGGGCGGTTCCACGACTCTACGGCGAGGATGTCAAGCAATATGATGACATCAAAGACTTCAAGTCTGGGGTTGCTGCTGCGAGCGATAATTTCACTAATGCATTCGGAAACGGCCTCACTGATGTTTTCAGGCAGCCTTACCAGGGCAGTCAGAAAGATGGCATTAGAGGTGCCATCAAGGGCTTTGTCAAGGGTCCAATCGGCATGGGCACGAAAGCTGCGTCAGGTTTGTCACTATCACTCTTGCTTTTCGCATCCTTGACATAGGCTGACTGGATTACACGCAGGCGCTCTGGGCTTGGTAGCTTACCCTGGCCAGGGACTGGCAAAAAGCTTGCATTCGGCGATTCATTCCAAAACACGGAAGGAAATTGTCAAGGCACGGCTGAATGAATCACAGTATCTGGCCAGACAGTCTTCAAAGGCACAGTCGATGTGCTCATATGTTCTTGACGCATTCGAAGTTCAAAGGCAGCTGGGGTCTCAGGGCCAACAGGCGTAATGGCAGGGTTTTGAAGCAGTTTAGTCAAACTGAGGGGGGCATAGATTCCAAGATCGTTCATTCATCGTGCCAATCAGATACTTGTACATAGCGAATTCTTAGATAACAAATGTCGTGACCGCGCATTGCCGGACTCCGAGCTCAACGGATAAGTGGGTATAAGATGCCTTCCCCTCTTTGAATCTCACGACGACCATCAACACCACAACAAGTCACAATCAAGCCACTATATTGTCATGTCATCCCCTCCGGTTCAAAGGCCATTCCCTCAGCCAGAACAGGGATCTACTGTGCCATTCTGGCGCACCGAGCTTGACCCTCTTGATGACCACCAGACAACCCCATTCCCCACTGAAACCGATATTCTGATCATCGGAGGTGGTTACGTAGGCGCATCGGCTGCCTATCGCCTCCTTGTCGAAAACAAGCAAGATCCTCCTCCTCGAGTAACTCTCGTGGAAGCCCGAGGTCTTTGCTCTGGCGCCACCGGGCGCAACGGTAAGTGACCCCGCCACGACACCCGACAATCTGATAAGAAACAACCCAAGTGAACTCACCCGTAAATTATTCGTGCATGCAGGGGGACATCTCAGACCCGATATTTACTCTGCAACTGCATTGTTCAATGAGCGTTATGGCCTTGAAGCTGCGGCGGAGGTGGTGAGATTTGAAATATCCCACCTCAAGTTGATAGAAGAGCTGGTTCGCAAAGAGAACATCGATTGCGAACTCACTTTCACGCGCTCCTATGATATGTATTATGACGAAGAGCAGCTGAAGAAAGCCAAGGTCTTCTATGACTTCCTAGTCAACGAGGGCCTGGACTTCATGGATGATGTCGAGTACATGACCGAGTCCGATACTCGTGAAGTACGTTGACATTCATATATCTCTGGTGTAGTCCTACTGATGATGATCGCATTTAGCAAGCTCACGTCCGAGGTGCCAAGGGAGGCTTCAGCTTTTCCACTGGACATCTCTGGCCTTATAAACTCATCACACAACTTGTTCGAATTGCCTTGACTCACGGGCTCAATCTTCAAACACACACTTTAGTGTCTGAAGTCGGAGAATCGCCCTCTGCAGATGGGTTATGGCCCGTCACAACCAGCCGTGGAGTCATTCATGCCCGCAAGATCATATTCGCTACCAACGCGTTCACTAGCGCGTTGGCGCCGCAGTACGCGAAGGCTATCGTTCCATGCAAGGGCATTTGCACCCATATAACAGCTGCTCCCGGTGCGCCGTATCGTCATCTTCCTGGGACTTATGCTGTTCGGCTTGGTCCTGGTGCATTCATATATCAGATCACACGCAAGGATGGGTCGCTTATTGTTGGTGGTGCATCACATACTTTCAAAGATGATGAAGAGCAGTGGCACAACAACCCTGATGACGGTAAATTAATCGATGTTGGTGTGAATTTCCTTAAGGGGTACATGCAACGTACATTCCTGGGTTGGGAGGATAGCGGAGCCGAGGCAAGACATGTCTGGAGTGGAGGTACGTATAGCCTTGACTGCTGATACATTGAACATTGAGCTGATCTTTCTTTAGTCATGGCCTATAGCGCGGATTCACTGCCTCATGTTGGAGGCGTTCCTGGGAAGCCGGGACAATTCATCGCCGCTGGGTTCAACGGCCATGGCATGCCTGTTGCATTCCTCTCTGGTAAAGCCGCTGCCGATATGGCGCAGAACTCGATCTCGTTTGAAGAGACCGGGCTTCCTAGATTGTTCAAAACAACCGAGGCTCGATTGGATCCGATTTACGATGACACCAGATAAGATTTTGAACCTCGGAAGGTCGAGGAATTTGAGGATCGTATGCATGAGCGATGTGGTATGATGGAGATGCCGAGATGGTTGGTGAAGACTTGGGTATATAAGTTTAACAGCCCTCCAATATTATATACAAGAGATCGACGGCAATGAGCGTGTAGAGCCAGACAAAACCGATCGCGGACCCTCAAGGTAAGTCCGTCGGAATGGGTAGGTACCAAAGTGGCCCAGCGGCCTATGTCGTAGAGGGTGCATCCGCAGCCTTCTCCGCTAGCGCTTTCAATGATCTCTTCTCCTTTTCAATTCCATTCCGCAATTGCGCGGTATCACACAAATCCAAATTTCCACATTCGCAATCCCCATCTCTGAGCCATCGATACGTGAGACTCCATCGCTTCTCACGGGGTCTCACCGTACCATCCGCAAGAGTATCATTCTTGCGCTTCCTAATACCATGCGTCCAATGCAATCTTGAATCTCCACTCATCTGCATCATGCTCCGCGGTGTCAAATCAACCTCCAGACGCACATCACCTCGTCGAAACACCATCATGGCTGGTGCGCCGAGAGACAGCGCATAAAGCTGATCATATGGCTTGTGTGCGTCTACATGAGGAGGTATGCCCGCTCCTGGAGGATAGTACTGCAGACAGACTTGGTCTGGGGGGCGGTTCTCCGTTGTTGGAATGAGAGGCTGCAGCCAGGGTGGAAATTCCTTGTATGGAATTTCAGGGTCTATGTCAAATGTTTTGTAGTCGAAGGTGTAGCCGTAGTGGAGTGATAGACGGCCATTGCGATCGGGCCATTCTAGCTCGTTGAGGAAGATTGAGATGAGTTTTGCCTCATGTTCTGCATCGATGAAGTTATCTTGCCAGATAATTCCATGTGGCTCGATGGGCAACTCTTTGAATTCGCTTGCCATAGCCCTGGTGTCCAGGATTGTCCAGGACGTGGGTGGTTTGGCATCGAATTTTGATTTTGATGTGTATTGTTTACCGGTATTATTACCCGTGTACGGCAGCAGCTCACTTTCTACATAGCCGATTCTGCCACTTTGTGCATTCGACTATGTAAAATTTGGTATCATCTCTCCTATTGCTGACCTAATCTAGTAAATTGCTTGTCTTTCTTCCGTACGTCTTTCTTTTTTACTCTCTGTTATTTTCATGGTTTACTTTTTCCGGCACAACGGTAATTGACAGTAAATCGGCTGCCATAAATGGCTACCTTGGACGCCGGTTTAAGCTCCCTTTCTACCAAAATCTTCATCATCATAACGTCACGTGCGCATAATATACTTTTAATCGCTATGTTGAAGATTCAATGCTTCCTGCATCATAACTAAAGTGCTCAGGCTCATGATCTTAATCCGAAACCAGGACATGGTATCATGCAGTAGCTACCGATTTTAACTTCCCGATTCTCAGACAAATCAACCCAAGGCCTGCACTTCTGGAGGGCGAGCATAATACATATCCCAATCATGCATATCACGCATTGCCAACCCTCCGGCTCCGATCGACTGCACCTCATCGTACGGTATTTTCATCCAACCGACATCTTCCTGCGTGCAACCCTCTATGGGTTCGAGATCCTCATTTTCGCCATCTTCATGAGCCTCGGGTTCCCAGTCTCCATACACCAGACGAACGAATCCAGTTGTAATCATAGCCTCCGGGTCCGAATTCAAGACAGACTCGAGCGCCTCTTGGTCGACCATAACAAAAAATATGTAACGACCCGACGTGTAAAGAGTATCAATGCCCTGTTCCTGCCGCTTGGCAGTCTCAACCCACTTCCTGAAATGGGTGCGGAGATGCGCGGTGGTCGCGCCATCAAATGAAGGGTCTTCAAAGACTCTCGGGCAGAAACTCTCTAGCATATCCAGACCCTTGTGGAATTCAAAATAATCTGTGACGGTGTAGAGGAACATGTCCATGAATTTGTCCCAGTCTTCTTGACTTTGATATGTGCAGCGGTAGATCACGAAGCCCCACTTGGTGAAACCAATCTTTTGGAGCTCCCGTTCGAGATTGTCTGCGGCGTTCAATGATGTTTCCCTAGTGGGATCCCGTTTCGAGGGTACATCGATTTCATAATGGAGGCGTGAGGAACTTATTGCTTTAGGGAATGATTTGGTGAAATGTGAAGGGCCTCTTTTGATACGGATAGGACGAGTGAAAAGGCGGGTCCCCCTGAATAATTGTTTCCGAGCAAGTCTTGTAAACATTGAAAAGGAAACAAAGAGAAGAGATCTTGGAAGAAATGAGTTGGGCCCAGGGCAATGTTAGCTGCAGGAGTAGACCAAGTCGGAAGATCCCATCGAATTCTGCCAGGTTTGTGTTCGTTAGTTTATCATTGACCTGGAGGAGGTGCAATCAGCATACAAAAGGTCCGTGCGTTCTTTACTAGATCAATTGAGCTCAAATAGATCACCAGAAAGCCGCCTTTTGAGACCAGTGTTATAGCGAGGAACATTCATCCATTATCAGGTATTAATTTAGATCCCAGTAATTACATGTATCTTCCGCTTCCAGAGTATCCCGTCCAAGATTTTCCACAGCCATTCACTGGCCCAGGGTTCAAACACTTATACATGGCTGTTCTAAAGAAACATAGTTCTCAAACACGTCAACACAGTCAACATGATACATGTAAATGGATGACATCAGATCTCTGCATATCTTGCCAGTTCCTAATGCCCCCGAGAGCTTGGCTGGGGCTTTATGTCGTACTGCTTTTTTTGCCCCGTGAGTCGGTTGCGAAACCCTTGCGAAACCCAGATCGGAGAGGTGAGCGAGTGACTATTGCTAATAATCCTAGGTCTAGTTAGTCAAGGTGTGAGCTCTTAGCCGAGATTTTTAGCCAAGAAACGGAGCTTTCTGGGCGCCTTGGTATTAGAGGATAGTCGTGCAGTTTGCTCTATTCATCATTCGTTCACCCCTGAATAGGTGATGTCAAGCCAAGCCGATCAGCGATGGAGGCAGTTGTGAAATTCTGGGCATGACATAAAGAAACAGGCTCATTTGGTAACAAGGTATATAGGATTTCGCCGAAAGAGAGAGGGAGGGAGGGAGGGGGTGTGTGTGTGTGTGGAGGAATTGAAGATATCCAAGAGAGAGAGGTGTATATAGATAGCTTTAGCAGAGGGAGAAGAAATTTTGACAGCCCTGGAGATGGCCGCCATCCTCGAAAAATATGGAGCATCTAGATGATCCCTCCTTAATATGGAAACTGGGGTCATAGCGATCACATACTTTTGCTAAAGGATTTGACAAGAATTACGTTTTTTATAATTAAATTTCCGATGTCGAGCTTGGCAGTTAGCATAAATAGCTCATTTTATGAGACCCTCAAGACGGTCTAGATAGAAGATATCATAAACACAGCAAGCACGTTTTAGGCCTATCTTTGAACTTTCGAAATCTCAAGATATGGCTTTTTCCAGTGGACAATTTCCTATATACATTCTGACACTCTTTTGTTGGATATCCGTCATATCTGACCAGATCTTGACCAAGGCGACAAACTCCTCAATCACCGTATTGGCTTCCTCTCGTGCTGTCATCTCAGGCCAGGTGACCCCTGCTACCATTGTAATATCTCTTGCGACTGGAAAGATCACCACCGTGTTTGATTATGTTCTCCCCGCTCACGACTTCCCTGAGGGGACTCCTTATATCGATCATTCCCCTAATGTCCTCCTTCCGGGGTTGATCGATACTCATGTCCACCTCAATCAACCAGGCCGTACAGAATGGGAGGGATTTTACACCGGCACCCAAGCCGCCGCTTTTGGTGGAGTCACCACCGTCGTGGATATGCCCTTGAATGCCATCCCACCCACCACGACGGTTGCGAACCTGAAGGAAAAAGTTGCAGCAGCCGAGGGCCAATGCTGGGTGGACGTCGGCTTTTTTGGTGGTGTCATCCCTGGGAATTCTCATGAACTTAAAGCCCTTGTTCATGAAGGTGTCCGTGGCTTTAAGGGATTCCTAATTGATAGCGGAGTAAATACTATCCTACGTGTTCTCATTTGATTCTGCAGCGCTTATCTCCCTCTAGGTTGACGAATTCCCCGCTATCAATACGGAAGATATCAAAAAGGCCATGGCTGAATTGGCCGACGAACCCACGACGCTCATGTTTCACGCAGAAAAGGAACCTCACGAGGAATCTCCTCTGCCCATCGGACCTGTGGACAACTATTCGACCTACCTAGAATCCCGCCCATCGACCTACGAGACTGACGCCATTGCAGAAGTCTTGTCCCTTTCCCATCTCGCGCCCAAACTCGCTCTGCATATCGTCCACCTTTCCGCCATGGAGGCCATCCCGATGTTGCGCGAAGCCCGCGCACAGGGCGTTCCCATCACTGCAGAGACTTGCTTCCATTATCTCTCTTTGGCAGCCGAACAGATCTGTGATGGCGACACCCGCTACAAATGTAGCCCGCCCATCCGCTCCCAAGATAACCAGGATGCTCTATGGGCTGAACTAGCGCGATACCAAGATGACGGCGTGATCCAGACCGTCGTCTCGGATCATTCACCCTGCACGCCGGATCTCAAGCTCCTTCCGTCGCACATCCCTCCCTACACATATGCACAATCGCACAACGGCAGCTTCCTTACCGCCTGGGGAGGTGTCTCTTCCGTCGGTATGGGACTCCCAATCTTGTGGACCGAGTTCAGCCGCAGGAATGGCCTGTCCTTTGCACCGGAGGATGAAAATACGGACCGTGCCCTCCAGGATATCGTCCGGCTCTGCTGCATGAATACTGCCGCCCAGGTGGGTTTAGAGAAGCAGAAGGGTGATCTGGCCGTTGGAATGGACGCGGATATTTGCGTCTTCGACGACACCGCTGAGTGGGTTGTCGAGCCATCGACTATGCTATTCCGAAATAAGGTCTCGCCTTATCAAGGCCAGAAACTGAGGGGTGTTGTTCGGGAGACCTGGCTCCGGGGTAAGCGAATATTCACCCGTGCTGCTTGATTCAGCAATGACAGGCCGTCAGGGAGTCTGCTGCTGGATAAACGGGCAAAGCAGACTTGAAATTCCTCACCTCTTTTGTTGACAAATTCTATGGATTCTCATGCATTCATACGGAGTACACTCTCGGTTTAATGCAGAAGCCGTCAGCTTCCATGATGCCGATCAATTTCCGAAACATTCTGATATTCCTCCGCATATCTGTCAGAACGATTGTGCTCACAAAGTTCTCGCCAATATGCCCCAATTCTATGGTATTACACAGATTCTCTGTGCGAAAACATGGAACAATAAACCTACCCTTTTTCCATGTTGTGATGGATAGACAAATCAACAGTTTTAGGTTGCATTAAATTATTCATACCTTCAGCGACAGCTTGTTTCTAGAATTACTATAGTTTTACTGTAATGTTGATTGATGACCTTTTGATGACGTACCATGGCTGTCTGAAGGCAGGTGATCTAATCACTGCTACTCCATCATGTGACCGGAGAATAAATTGCTTCTAGACCTCGCCAAACGCGGGTTTGGGTTGGGTTTTCAATTTCCTTACCCGCCCATGGGCAACCCACCGCGGGTTTTGGCCTTGATGAACCCGCCCATGGGTTCTTGGCGGGTACCCGCGGGTTGCCCAAAATACCCAAAAACATGCATAAATCGTGGATAACCCTGATTAGTCATCTAGTGTAATTTTGGTCATTTATTTCTGTCACGCTTTTGAGTGGATATTACATTGAAACAATGAACGCCATCGACCTGGAAATATATATTCTCTACATGTAGAACACTGCTCCCATCGCCCTGCTTTACACAACTGAAGGGATTACAGGCCACATTGATGATTTTATGTAAATTTATCAATTGAGAATCTTTCGAGTGAGCTCAAAAATATCATCTTTAGTTCGATCATTTAAAATCAGTGATTTGGACCTTCTCAGTGTCCTCCCAAAGTCGTATTCATCTCCGGGCGGGTTGGGTTGGGTTGGGTTGGGTTTTGGGTACCCGCGGCTTTTACGCAACTCAGGAATAGATAGATCCAAACGCACGACGCGACTGAAACAAAATCCACAATCAAGTACTCAAGATGAAAAAAATCTCCCCTTCTTCCAATATCAGTGGCCTTTTACTTCAGTATGGCGTCTTCTTCCTCATCATCGCGATCAATACATCGGCCTTTCAGTCCACTGCTCTCTATTGAGCCGTCATCTGACGGCTTCTTGGATTCTGAAATTCAATCCTCCGTAAGAAAATGGTCCCTTCCACTAGCCTCTGAGTGTTGCGGCGTTATCTACATGTATACTAAGATGGACCGCAGCCTTTGACAGGACCCCGCAAAACCTACGACATAACTACTCGAAGACCTCCAGCGACACTCCGACGTGTGGGACCTCAGCACAGAAAGAAATGGATTGCGTACGAGTCGCATCTAGAGACAGAGTTTCTTGAATGGTGGAAGGAAACAGAGTACGGCCAAAAGCTGAATGGAGAAGGCCAATCCCAGATCAAATGGTCCACCGGATCGCGTCACGCTGATGTGTGGAAACACTTTGACCAGGTTGCTGATATTGATTCTGGGCGTCCTCGAGTCATCTGCCAGGCTTGTCTCACTGTGCTTGATCATCCACAGTATAAAGGGAATGGGACAAGCGCCATGAGTAGACACAAAAAGTCTAACACTTGTCGTAAAGGGAAGAAAAAGGGATTTAATCAGTCATTGATTTCGGATTCTTTGCAGAACCATTCCATGAGAGACTCACCCAGTGTCCACAGAGTGACAACATTTCAAATCGAGGAGCAGATATTGAAGACAATTACGTGTCTTCGTTTGCCTTTCCAGACGGTGGAGAACCCGGTGTTTCAGAGGCTACTCAGCCTTTTATATTCTGGTCCCAAAGAATTGGAACTCCCGTCAGCGAAGACCCTGCGAAGACGGCTCCGGGATGCAGTCAATTGCCAGCAAGAGTTACAGTTACAAGATCTGCCTGAAGATGCCAAGGTTTCCCTCGCTTTAGATTGTTGGACCAGTCCATTTCAGCAGGCATTCATGGCAATCACGGTTTATTTCATCGACAAAGATTGGAACTATAGGGAAATGCTCCTCGGCTTTGAGCCGTTGCACGGTCCTCATACAGGAAACAACCTTAGTGATGTTTTGCACCGGTTACTGGAGGAACGAAAACTTCTCGATCGTATTTTTAGCGTTACTACAGATAACGCTACCAACAACGACACCATGATACGCGCCTTGCAAGAGAGACTGCTCTCTATTGGAGCTATTAGCTCCAGGGAATCAATAGTCCGGGTTCCCTGCATGGCTCATGTGATCCAGCTTTGCCTGAAACAGCTACTGGGACATATCAGGGCAGCACCTAAGAATAAAGAAGTCAGAGCCTTTTGGTCCGACACCCAAGCGCACGGGTTGAAGGATTCGATCAATTATGGAGACGTGGCTCATACACTGACAAAGGTGAGCCAAGATATTCACCTTTTCAATATACTCAGAGCACTGACAGCATTAGATTCGATCCTTTGCGATCTTTGTCAACGCAAGCCCACAACGGCGTGATGCTTTTTTATGCCTCCAATCAGGTGGTACTCGGCTTTTTCCGTTACATGACGTTCAGACACGCTGGAATTCAACTTTTTTGATGCTTCGCCGAGCACGCCGGCTGAGAAATGTAATCGACAAATACTGCTGCGATCATGAATACTCGCAGCTCAAGGTTACCGACGTTGAATGGAGGCAAATTGACTACCTCGTTCATTTGACCAAACCGTTTTTTCAGTTCACCATGGCTCTGATGAAGACCAGAGACGTCACAATCCATAGTGTGTTCCTTGTGTATAGGAAACTACTGGAGCATATCGAACGGTCGAATCGAAGATTGAAGAGAAAGACAACACCCTGGAAGAAAGACATGTATGGCGCGTTGCTTGTGGCGAGGCAGAAGCTGAAAGAGTACTACGAAAAAACCTACCGCGACCACGGTTTTCTCTATGGCACTGGAACATTACTTGCCCCTCAGTATAAACTGAGTGCTTTTGATGATCGAGAGTACTCAACTTGCCATGAAGATACGTCAAAAAGGTACTGTGAATATTTGAGAGCATCTTTCACACAGTATCAGCAGCAGAACCCCGAGTTGCTATTCCGTACAGTCCAGCGATCTTCCAATTCGCATAGCACAGAGCTTGATCGGCTACTCGAGCCACCTGGTGCATCGATTTTCCATGAAGGAGTAGAGTATGACGAAGTGGACCAGTATCTTCGCGAAGGCACGAGCAATCAGTACAACACACTGGAACAACTGACTGACCTTGAATAGCCAATGTCCCTGTGTCGCCGCGACTTTATTGGAAAGAACACGAGCGCGAATTCCCAGTGCTGTCTCGGCTCGCACGAGACTTGCTTTCGGTCCCTGCCACCGGCGCGGGTGTAGAAAGGCTCTTCAATAGCGCACGAGACATTTGTCATTATCGCCGAGGGTCTCTTCACGAAGGGACCATTCAAGACTTGATGATGTACATGTGCTCAGAAAAGCTCACACTAGAGGGACAGCAATTGATTCGTCTGGAGAAACCGTTGGAGAGCGAGAGCCAAGAGGCACTTGAAGAGGATGAAGCGTTGAAGGCAATCGAAGAGGATGCAGAGCCGATCAGCGACAATGAGGAGATTGAAGAGAGCGAGAATCTCGAGGGTAACTCTGAGCCAGAGGAGACATACCAAGTGGAGTGTACGGTGGTAGAGACCGGCCGGAGCTCTATACACAGACATATTCACGAACCTGAACAAGAAGAAGAGAGTATGGAGGAAGACGTGGTTGATTACGACGAAGCAGATTTACTTCCGCCTCCAATCATGCAATTGAGTGATAGAAGCCAGAAGAGATCTTCTGGTCGGGTAACAATGCCCTCCAGCAGACTGCGAGGTTACGAGGTATACTAGTCTTTATAATTAGCCAATTTGATTTTTTCAAGCCCTTCATGTTCCTTTCCAAATATTCACAGCCAGAAGCTAGTAGTTACGCCATCGAAACAATTAGATAATCGAAAATTACTGCATAACTTAGTGTAAAATGATCAGTCAGCTTTGTTTGCTTTTTTGGGTAATCGCGGGTACCCATTTGGGTCTTGGGTTGGGTTTCCCGGATGACAACCCGCCCACGGGTTTGCTGACTAAGACCCAACCCGGCCCATGGGCTGGGTTTTCGCGGGCGGGTTTGGGCGGTGGGCGGGTTTTGGCGAGGCCTAATTGCTTCCAGTTCTGTAGATTAGGTTCTGCTTTCTTCGTGCCAACTTAATCTATCAATTCTAATCAGTTTCTTCTTATATCTCATGGATTTCTAGTGATCGAATCACTCTCAAAGTATTTCGGTTTCCTCGCTCCCGAGAACCAGGTGAATCGCGAGGTTGATTCAGTGATGTATGCAGATTGGTGGATTGCGATCGCCAATCGTATTGCCAGAACCGGACCCTCCCTTTTCACTGTCCTGCCTTACCCTAAAAGCAGTCTGCCTCTAGCGCTCCTCTAGGCTGAATGCTGAATAATTGTTTCGGGAAACCCCTTCCCTTCCCTTAACTTTCGAGGCAGCATGACACCTTGACTATTCTCATGTCACAAGAGCCAGCTGCTCCGCCACCGCCAGGTGTTATACCGGATTTCAGTAACCCGTCGGGGGGCCTTCACTTATGGTTGATCATGACACAATGTATTTGCATCCCGGTTGTCGCATGCTTTGTTATCACGAGGATGTATGCCAAGCTATTCATACAGCAAGTGTTGTATGTTGAGGACTGTATGCAAACACCGAGACTGTCTGACATTTGTGTATACTAATGGGATTAGGGATGTGTTTAATATCTTGGGTACGAGGACTTGACTCGTATAAGTAGTGAGTTATTGAGGTTATCACGCTGACTGCCATGATTTAGATCCTAGCAACGACCTGGTTCTCACTTCATATAGTCTGTGCGTTCCCAACATATGTCTCGGTGCAATGAAAATTGACCTTTGTCTCTTCAGCCGCATATGCAGGTGGAGGATACCATCAATGGGATATCCCGAAGAATGACATGCTTCTTTTTTTTAAGGTATGTGAAAATACCCAAGTATGCAGACAGTTTGCATCTACTTACATCCTTGCAAAGACCAATTATATAGTGAATATCCTATACGGCCCAGTTATTTTGACGGTCAAATTGTCGATTCTATTTATGATCGCGCGATTATTCGCACCGTACCGGAAATGGGTTGCTTTTATACACATATTCAGTGTGGTACTAGGAGCATATACTATCGCAACATTAGTTGTGAAAATCCGCATCTGCAACCCTGTTGATACCTATTGGCTCGGTCCCGAAGCTACTAATGGGACGTGTCTCAATGTGCTGCAGGTCTTCCTTGCCGACACCACTTTCAGTGTAATCACTGATTTGGTTATATTCGCTCTGCCGATGACACTGATTCCATTGCTTCACCTCTCCGTTATAAAAAAGCTGAGAATTATTATTCTTCTGGCGGCAGGGGGTCTTGTGTGTATTGTGACCATTGTCCGGCTGGTATGGGTGATTTTATATGAAAACTCGGTTGATACCACATGGACAACCACCCGCACTGATCTTGTTACCTGTGCGGAAATTACAGTTGGGATTATCTGTGCCTGCGTTCCAACTGTTTACTTCCCTTGTGAACCAGCGAGGGTAGAACGTGACCCTCGAGAGCCTGCAAATCCAGGTTCGAATTATCTTCAATATTTGGCGACATGGTGAGGTTAAAGTTCTCAGTGGATCAGCTTGATCTTCTATGTCAATGAATGATTTTCACTTTGTAAGGTGAATAGTTGCATCTACTTCCAATGTTGGAAGGGTAGTGGGCCAAGCGACCTGCCTCCCATCTAGTTCGCTCGCTCAACAGCTTCCTCTCTCTCTATCTCTCTATCTCTCTCTTTATTCCTCGCCCAATCAAGAACCTGAATAAACTATCCTGTTTCCGACCCAGCAGACATTCCACATAAATATACTAGGCTTCGGGGTCTCAAGTTTAAACTACAAAAACAATTTAGAAAGAACTCTTTGACTATAACATTTTTCAAATGACCGAGGGTCTCGACATGATGCTAATCCTGAGCAACATGGCCGTTTTCAACTGTCTTTCGAAATGATATCTTGCAAGGCTTCAAGATGCGTATATACTTTCCAGCCAGCTAGGTAGCTGCTAGCAGTTCCAAAATATGGACGTGCCCAAACATGGCGTGGGTGACGTGATGTTGGCACTGGGGAGTGCCCCGAGGGATCTATTCATGACCTTGGAGCTGATTCTTCTGTCCACTTATATTACGGTGATCATCTTGGATTTTCGGCTCAAATTTGGAAACACAAGCCGCGTCTTCTGATACTCCGAACATCCGTGTTGTTGTAAATAACGTCACGTGTACGGGTAGATTCGCCTAAGGGAAGGCAACCAAAATAAGGGACTTGAACCAATCCAACTTGAGGATTTCATACATATCCATACCATCCCTCAAGAGCATACTTGAGCAGCTGCAGATTTGATATATATGGATGAATATGAGAAGCTACGGCCTGTTGGTGAGCTGCCCTGGACAAGACACCCGGGAAACTGTTCCGGAGACTAGCTGACAACGCCAGGTCGATTGGAACAATATTCAACATCTCGTCACCAAGTTGGGTTTTACTTGAATGTTGCTGTATCGGCAACATATCACTTACCGGACACCTATGTTCTCCCAGTGAAAGACTATGTCTATCAAGCCTGCGAAGCGGCAATCGCTGAACATCCGGCTCTATCCGCAATTGTGGCAGACGATCACACGCAGGAGCCGTACTTCGTACGCTTGCCACAGGTGGACCTCGATCGAATCGTCTCAATTCAAGATCGGAAACCCGGTCTGTTGGCGACTGAAGCTAATGGCGAGCCCGCTCCAGATCTCGATCTACAGACCCTTTTGGCAACAGAGCACAACACGCCCTTCAAAGCCCCTGATGCTTTCTGGAGGATCCGTCTTCTGTTAGATGTCGAAGATGAATGTCAATTCACTGTGGTGTTCGTGTTCCACCACGCCATTGGAGATGGAACTTCTGGAAAGGCATTCCATCAAACGTTCCTACGAGCCTTAGATTCAATAGGTGACTCGGAGAAGACCAAATCAATCATCCAATCGCCTTCAAACCCACTATTGCCCAACATTGAACGAATCTCCTCAATGTCTCTTTCCTTCCTATATCTCGCCAAGAAACTCTTCCAGGTCAAGGTTTACTCCCGCCGCCCACCAGGCTTGTGGTCTGGCTCGAAGATCCTCGGCCCTTCACAGACCCGCGTGCGATTAGTGCCATTCTCTAAGCTGCTCGTCTCAGCCGTGAGAGACATCTGCCGAGCCCAGAAAACAACCATCACTGCTCTGCTTCAGACGGTCGTTGCTCGCGCCCTGTTCGCTAATATCCCGGATTCATTTACCCGGCTGGTCTGCACAGGGGCCCTTTCATGCCGCCGTTGGCTGCCGGAGATTACCGATGACATGATTGGCGTCTGGGTTCAGGGCTTCGAAGAGACATACCGCAGAGACAGCGTTTCGGCCCTGTGGGAGGAAGCGCGACGGTCTCGGAGGACGATCGAGTCTGTCATCAAGATGAAGGGCAAGGATTCCAGTACTAATCTGCTACAATTCGTCGATGACTATCAGGAGGAACTGTGTTTGTCCAAGATTGGCAAGGACCGTGAGACCAGCTTTGAGGTCTCTAATATCGGCGTCATTCCTCCCCAGATGAATTCGGACAAGCCTGCTATTCACGGCATGGTGTTCTCGCAGTCTGCCAGTGTTATGGGTAATGCTGTTGAATTTTCGGCCGCCACTGGGGGTGATGGTTGCTTGGTGCTGTCCGTTACATGGCAGCAGAATGTTGTGGAGCCAGAGCTCATCCACGAGGTTGTGGAATCTATCAAGCAGGACCTGTATGCACTTGCAGAGGTTTCATGAGTTGTTGGCGTAGATAGATCCGAATTAGTTTGTAATGTTTAATCACCTCGGAGGTTATCAGGCGGTGAGCGATAACATCGGAGGCAGAATCGAGGGGAAATCAACAGATTCTCGACTCGAATTCCATATATTCTTGATCATCTTTCACAGAAATCATTCAATATGGCTCGCGCTCCCTTCGTTGTCCCCGCGCTCAAGAAGCACACCGCTACCGTCATTATGGCGCACGGATTGGGAGACAGGTGAGCCCAATCTCCCGAGGACGAGAACATCATCGACTAACGATATGGAATTATAGTGGACAGGGATGGTACGTCGTGATCAAGAGCTGGAAACCATGAGCAGTCAATGTTAATATCATACCAGGATGGCCCTCGCCCAGAACTGGCGCCGTCGCGGCAAGTTCGAAGAGGTGGCCTTCATCTTCCCCAATGCGCCCTCAATCCCCATCACAGTCGTACGTGCGCATCCAGACCCATCCCGCTTGCTCACTCGTCACTAACACATTCAGAACTTTGGCATGAGCATGCCAGGATGGTACGACATTGCCAAGCTCGGCCGCGACGTAAGCATCCCCGCCCAGCGTGATCCGATCAGAATTAACCTCCTACAGTTGAACTTCGAGGAAAGCGTCCGCTCACAAGATGAGCCGGGTATTCTCCGCTCCCGCGAGTACTTCGATACACTTATCAAGGAGGAAATGGACAAGGGCATTAAGGCGTCGCGCATCATCATCGGTGGATTCTCTCAGGGCGGTGCGATGTCTGTGTTCTCCGGATTGACTAGCAAGGAGAAGCTCGGTGGTGTCTTTGGTCTCTCTTGCTACCTGCTGCTGAGTGATCGCATCAAGAACTACCTGCCCGAGGAGTGGGCCAACAAGAAGACTCCCTTCTTCCTCGCTCATGGAGAGGATGATGAGGTTGTGCCCCTCGCATTCGGCCAGAAGTCCGCGGATCTGGTTAAGGAGATTGGATTGGAGAATGTTTCATTCAACAAATACCCGTATGTGACTCTGCGGTGTCTGGCTGTCGGACTGGATGGGTTTCTAATTTGTTTTGCAGTGATCTCGGCCACTCCGCCGATCCCCAGGAGATTGACGATTTGGAGAAGTTCCTGGAGAAGTCTCTTGCTGATAACGCTACTGCTGGCCTATGACTTGGAGACGAATCAAAGGGGCAATGGGAATACAGCTGGGCTCTCGGCCTGGTGATTTTCCTTGTTGCAATTGTTTGGTTTAGATACTACAATCCCAAACGCACCGAGAAGTCGGATTAAAGGCTGTGCACAAAACTCGATAGATGCAATATCAATGATACCAAGATTGCTTATGTACTTTCGCCTATCCCCAGTCTTAGGCCTTGGCAGCCGCCTCGTTGATCACCCGAGCCATCTCCACGGTATTCTTCACATCAAACGCTACCATATGCTTCATGCCATGATCGTGGAAAGACATTTTAGAGGGCTCGCAGAGATCCGCCAGCTTCATGCTCTCGGGGTACAGCGAGTCCAACTTACCGACGATATTCGCCGTGGGAATCCCAATGGGGTAGGCGTCCTTCCGCTCTAGATGCTGTAATCCCGTAGGATCCCAGGGTGTCGCTCCGCAAATAAAGACAGCGGCGCGGAACAGCGGTGGTTCCGCCGGGCGGGTCCTGCTGTGGTGAATGATCATAGATGCGGCCAGCGCAGCACCCTGCGAGAAGCCCAGCACTCCATCAAAGGGCCTTCCGGTAGCCTTTTGAGCATTAATAATGCGCCTGGTGTGGTCAAAGGCTTCTAGGACGGTCGATCCTGGCGAATCACCGCGGGAATAGTGGTTGTAGAAGGGGCCGTCAACAAGGCCCTCCAGTTCTGGCGGGGTCAGAGGGGCTCTGAGTAGATGAGTCTGATGGACTCGGTAGGGCGTTCTTCACACACCATCTTCAACTTTGGCTGTCTGGCTTCCGTTCACATAGGTGAATTGATGGCCACTTTCTTCGAGTTTGCTGCATAGTCCTCCGGTTTGGAGTTCGAGGATCTGGACTTGGTCTTAGCTGGATCCGCTTGACTGCTCCGTCTGTCACTTACATCGCGGTTTGTACCCGCACCGTGTAGACAGAGGAAATGCATGGCTGAAATTGCAGTGAATGTGTTTGCTAGAAATACTAGAAAGATGAGGTGGAAAGTGAAGAGAATGGGGGCCGGGAAATACGTTCGATGCAGTAGTTCGGACTCTGCAGCATCTTGGCATCAGCTGAAGAAGCCACTATGCACGCTTTTCAGTGGTTCATAAGGAGTACTTCGGAGTTCATTTGTGGCTTACGGAGTACGGAGTAGTGGTGGCTTCATCGAGTCGTCGACTTTCTCTATATGAATATTGTACCATGGTGTGCAGAAGAGACCATGCAGTATAGCACAGCTTACAGCAGAGAACAGGCCGGTTGGAAAGCTCTCAGGTCCAAATGGCACATTTAACTACCTTTTCCTCCGAATCCCCATTCCTCCTCATCCTCGCCTTCAATTCCACAGCTGGGAAGCTCCTGCCAAGGTTGATGATGTTTCTCTCCAATATGGCTGTACTCGACCTCGGCCGACCTCCCCTCACCAACCTCACCCAACCTGACCACCCATGGATTTCCGCGACATCGTGGCCGTCCGCGGCTTTGCAACCTACAGCTTACGCCATCCTCGCGAAGCGCTCTCAAGCTTCGGTCCGACCCTCAATGAAACTACATTTGGCGCCCTAGGGGCCTCCTTCCAACCGGACCGCGACATCCGCAGTTTACGGGACAAAGTCGTCCTTGTCACAGGAGGTAGGTCTTCCAGTCCAATTCCAATCCAATCGCTCGGATAATCACTCACACCTTTCCCAGGAAATGCCGGAATCGGCAAAGAGACCATCCTCCAACTCGCCAAACACCGCCCCTCGCGCATCTACATGGCCGCCCGCACGGAGAGCAAAGCGCGCGAATCAATCGCCTCGTTGCAAAGCCAACTCCCCTCCGCCGACATTCGCTTCCTCTCCCTCGACCTTTCGTCCTTTAAATCCATTCGCGCCGCCGCACACAGCTTCCAGACCGATAGTGATCGGTTGGATCTACTGATCCTCAATGCGGGGACGATGGGGAACCCGCCTACGCGCACGACAGAGGGATTTGAGATCCAGCTCGGGACAAACCATATTGGACACTTCCTATTTACCAAGCTACTTCTGCCGACCTTGCTGAAAACCGTTGATATGCAACGCGCCAAGGAGGAGGAACCAGATGTCCGCGTGGTGACTGTTGCGTCGGCAGCCCACGCCGTTGGTCCTTCGTCCTTCGAGGAGATGACATCTACTCCTTCCTTGCTGAAGGCCAGTACTTGGACCCGCTATGGCGCTTCCAAGTCGGCTAATATTTTCTTCGCTGCGGAGCTTGCCCGTCGTTATCCGGAGATTACCTCAGTGGCTGTTCACCCTGGCGCTGTTGACAGCGGTCTCTATGAGCACACCAAGCAGCTGAGCTCTGTGATGAAGTACAGTATAACCACTATGGGGTCTATGTTTTTCCGAACTGTGAGGAGCGGTGCACTCAATTCTCTCTGGGCGGCTGGATCGCCGAAAGATTCTCTCGAGAACGGAGCCTATTATACCCCCGTTGGATACCGCAGTGGCGGTACTTCCTTTGTCCAGAACTCGGAGATTGCGAAACAGCTGTGGGAGTGGACTGACAAACAGGTTGCGGGAAGTTGCTAATTGCTCATTGAGACCTGAGATTAGCCCCATTTATAATCCATGGCATTTCAGAATGAAACACCTTTTGTTTATCTGCTGATTCAGTCAATCTTCTCGTTCATCCCTGGTCGCATCAAATACCGAGCAACGGAGGCAAATGGCATCATGATGATTTCGATCTCGGTCATCTCGCCCCAATCCCAGCAGCTATGGCAGATCCATTCCTCAGCCCTTGATCTTATAAAATCCCCAAAACATCATCTGCAAATCAAATGAAATGGGTCGCATCGTTGTCACCGGTGGCTCCGGCAAAGCTGGCCAATTCGTTATCTCCGAGCTCCTCAAAAGTGGCCATATCATCCTGAACCTCGACCTCAGCCCCATGGACCATCCCGAAGTCTACACGTTGAAAACTGACCTCGCCGACAGCGGCCAGGTCTTCAACGCCCTGTCCGGCCAATGGTCCCTCCGCGAACCCTTCCCGGAAGGTCTCCCGCCCCGCCCCGACGCCGTCGTCCACCTCGCCGGCTACGCGCGCAACATGCTCGTCCCAGATAACGAGACCTTCCGCTCCAACACCCAAGGCACCTACAACGTCATCGAAGCCGCATGCAAATTAGGGATTCGCAAGATCGTCATCGCATCCAGCGTCACCGTCTACGGCGTCTCTTTCGCGCAAGGCGATGCCAATTTCCCTTCTTTTCCCATTCATGAAGATCTGGATGTTAATCCGACTGATACTTATGCCATTGCGAAACTCTGTAACGAGCGCATTGCGCGCGGCTTCGCTTCCCGCTTCGATGCGGATATCTACAGTCTCCGCATTGCTCGCGTCATCGAGCCGGAAGAGTACGATGGGGAGATCTTCTACAGCTATGTTCATGAGCCACTGCTGTGGAAGGTGCATGGGTGGTCTTATATCGATGCGAGGGACTTGGGGAGTATGTGTGAGGCTGCGTTGCGGACGGATGGGTTGGGGTTTCAGGTGTTCAACGCTACCAATGATCATATTACCAATCTGAGTCCGACAAGGGAGTTTCTGAGTTCGCAGTTTCCACATATTCCCATCACTCGGGATCTGGAGGAGTTCGAAGCGCCTTTCTCTAATGCGAAGATCAAGTCTTTGCTTGGGTTTCAGGAGAAACATCCTTGCAAGAAGTACTTTAGTAAGTGGGAGAAGAAGCAGCAGGAGGAAGAACAGCAGATGGAAGTATAGGGAATATAGGGAAATGCACTGTTGTCTCTCTGTGCTATACACGTAGTTATTGAATGAAATAATTGAAGCAGATACTATGAATGTTGTAGATGTCCGTATAGTCTCGCGGGTAGACGAACGTCAGTCCCGATTAGGGTTTAGCCGAGCATCATCCCACAAACGCTGGAAACCGCAGTGGAAATTCCTCGCAGCGCAGAAAATAGAACATAACGAAATAGAATTAAATCAAAGCAAAGAGAGAGCAATGAAGTTGTAAATGTAAACATTCAATAAGCCCGTCCGTATTAGCGAAATCGATTTTGCACCCCCACACAAAACTCTCGTGCATCATCATTCCCACTTCACGATCTTCCCTCTCCATCTCCCTCCCAAAAACAACCACCAACCGGTACGCGCTGATTCCACCGTCGAAATCAATTGCCGAAGAATTTCTCGTTCAATACACGTGAACTTCTTCGCCATTTTCTCGACCCTCGACTCTCGAACCCGGCTAACGAGTCCACAGCACTTCCCACCTTCATCATGGATCAGGCAAAGTTGGCTAAGCTCCAGGCCATGTCCGCCAATGCCCGCATTGGTACGTGAATTATTCGGAAAGCTGGGATGCGGGAGATATCAAGGATCAAGCGAAGAACAAATACAACTCGAATTGCTGTTGGATTGGTTCTTTGCATTGCGTCTTGGGTAGCTCCGTGGCAATCTCACTTTACCCCCCCTCCTCCCCATTCCCCATCTCCTAATGGAATCCAACTTTTTGTTTACTAACTGGTTTTGCAGGGTACGTATTCTTTCGATCTCATTTGTCTCGTCCCGGTTCTTTGGATTGCTCGATCGCGATCGCGATCGCAACTCGCACTCGCACTCGCATTTCGACTTCTGATCCGCGCTGGGCCGACAAACTCCCCTCCTCTATCGATATGTACTAACCTCTTCCAGTGGCAAGGGTACTCCCCGCCGTAAGGTCAAGAAGGTCGTCCGCAACTCCGGTGCCGACGACAAGAAGCTCCAGGCCGCTCTTAAGAAGCTGAACGTTCAGCCCCTCCAGGGCATCGAGGAGGTCAACATGTTCAAGGAGGACGGCAACGTCATCCACTTCGCCAACCCCCGTGGTGAGTCATGAATCCCGAATCCTTGCTCTCTAGCTCGGTGCGTAGAGACGCTGATGCTAATTGCGTTCAGTCCACGCCGCCGCCCCCTCCAACACCTTCGCTCTCTACGGTAACGGTGAGGAGAAGGAGCTCACCGAGCTCGTCCCCAACATCCTCAACCAGCTCGGCCCCGACAGCCTGGCTTCCCTCCGCAAGCTCGCTGAGAGCTACCAGAACATGCAGAAGCAGCAGGGTGATAAGAAGGACGATGAGGAGGATGATATCCCCGATCTCGTCGAGGGCGAGAACTTCGAGTCCAAGGAATAAATATTTAAAAATTCGTTCCCATGATCAATGAAATTGCAGCTCGCAGAGAGCTTGGTTTTTTTTGTTGACCTCCGTTCCGTTTACCTCCGTTTCGGCCTATGTGCTATATGCAGGATCAAGATTTCAATTGCGCATTTGAACCTATCGGCGTTCTTGTGTTCTAGCATTGACTTGGACTTCTGGTTTTGCTTCTGACTTTCTTCTTGCTTCTTGCTCCTTTCTCCCCTTGGCTTGTGGCTATCGTACATTTTCCATCTCGGGACTTGATACCGTGGCTATTCTTTCAATTTACTTCCCCCGTAATCCAACTCAATTATCTTCCTTCAATCCACACATATCCGTGGACAGGAGACAGTCAAATGTGTACCAGAATCTCCAGTACATACTCGACGAATCCCAATCAAACAGCCCGTCTTCACGAATTATAGGCCCCTCCCCAACGATGTCGCCCGTGAACCAGCTGAGAATGGGAATCGAGCGCAACACCCGTTCTGTCATGGTAGGCTGTGGCGGGAGAGCTTCGGCGAGTGGGCGCAGCTTCGTCCGACGCATGGTGGGGATATGCGTCATGAATTCACTGTCCGGTGCTGCCCGGGTAGTGTCGTCGGCCATGGAGCTTGGACGGCGGTGCACGGCGCCTTGATCGGTGTTGGCGCCCGATGTCCACGTTGAGGAGGATGTGAACGAGTCTTGCTGGAAGGAGGGTGTGGCGGTTGCGGTTGCGGAGGTTGCGGTGGATGTGACGGTCCCTTCGTCGATGGTGGAGGAGTCGTTGGATTGGCCTTCGTATTCTGGGATGTCGGGGACGCTGGCGAGGTTGTTCATGGCGAAGGATCGGGGCAGGGTCATGCGCTCCTGATCCCTGCTGGAGCTGGACAGGAATGCGGTTGAGTGGGAGGATGTGAGGGTGCGCGCGGTGCGCTGGGACCGAGTGTTGGTGGAGTTTGCAGGGATGGGAGCATCCTCAGCCGGGCCGTGGCCATGGTATAATTCACAGTAGACGTCGTGACCGTCGATGACCTGTGGGGAAAAGAAGCGCGCGCGATCGGCAGCCTCAGTTGAGTCGTAGGTGACTTTGATCCAGTGGAAGCCACCGGCGTAGCGCTTGGACTTGCGGTTCGCATCGGCGGACAGGTTTCGGATCACGACGTCCCCGCCGCTCAGTAGTTGGGTGTAGTGGCTGGCTGCGTTGGGGTCGGTGCGAGGGTAATCTTCGCAAATCATGCCCTGTGAAATGCGCTCGTACTTATCAATGACCTTCCACTCGTGGTCCTTGTCTCGATATCCATAGAGTATGCATTCGGTCGCGACAAGCTCCTTCTGCTTGCGTGGGTTATCTAGGCTGGAGGAGGATGTTGACTTGGGCAGTCCGTGTGTCTTTTCCTCGTCCTGTTGTTGCATTGAGAAGAGTCGCCCGAACTCGGCAACATTGGGGTTTTCTCGCTTGGCTGGCGTTCCAGTTCGTGTTCGTGAGCGGGCATTATCATATCGAGCATTTCGTCGTTTGCCAAAGGGGCCTGACTCTTCTGCTGGTCGTCGAGGATTGCGAGCTTCACTTGGGGGAGGGGTTAGCATCAGGTAGGAAGCTGGTCAGCGACAATTGACCTACTCTTTGTAGACATATCCCCAAGGGAGAAGGTTGCCCTTCTCATCTCGGGCGCGCTCCTCAGGTGGGACAGCGTGGTACTCCATCGCAAAAATGGACGGTGTGGGGAGAAAGAAAGATGAAAGGGAGTGAACCAAAAGCTGGCGCAGATCCAAAACTTTTGGTAAACACTTGGTTCGCCGGGATACGGTCACGTGCATCCCTTCTTGACTTCCTCTTGACTTCCAAGGTTGATGCCTTTTGGTTTCTTTATATTTCTGATTCATGTCTTCAAGTGAGATATAAAGCTCTATCTGTTGTATAGAGCAGGTGAAAGGCAAATGATTTTTTCACAAATGAGCTCTCAACTTCATTCAAGACGAGGAACTATATATTCGACACGTTTAAAACCTAGCAGCATTCAACTTTTCTTACCAAACTATTTTGGATGATTCATGGACTTTTTGGTAGCAGTTGTATATGCTCTCTCCTCTCGATGTTATTTATTCTATCCTATCCTCATAAATGAACTATTTTCACGGGCACAAAGTTAGGAGAGGATATATGAGCACATTGAAGATATTGCAAACACAGCACTTTGACAGCCACCTGAGCAAGAAAGATATCAGCAATGGCCTTTTGATGACTTCCCAGGCTGTGATTCCCAAAAAAGTGCCCAGGTGCAAGCCAGAGTGCAGTTTAGCAGCACTTCTATGTTACACTGCCACCTGCCAAGTCCCATGGTATGCATGATATGCCTTTTCACCCGGGTGTTCATATGTCCCCCCATCAGTTCAACCACGGCTCAGACAAACCGGACTCAGCCTTGTGGAAAATGGGTTTGGAAGTTGTGATATTTTCAACATCTATTTGGCAGACCAGTTACATCCCCAGGAGAAAACAGCAGCCCCTCCAGCCCTGGAGGCTCTACCTGGATCTTGCTAGCAAAACCTAGGCGCATCTATGGATCATATCTGCTGACTCTGAACTATTATGGCGAGGCTGTGATGCATATGGCCCACATCGTGTTCCGGGGTTGATTGGGGCCACGCGAGTTGAATTTGTTTGAGGTAAGCGCCAGCCCCCAAATCAAGCGCTAGATCCGGGCTGTGAGATTGAGTTGTCTATGGCTGTGCTTGTGTCGGTCGGTGTGTTCCAAGGTTGGATCTGCACTGCAAGCAACCACCTGTGCACCTTGTTTCCCAACTTGAAAATCATTTCGATCCCGCAACTACCGACCAAGTCACTCTGGGCCCAGAAGAAACACAAGAACCGAGCTCGTCATGGGTGATCCATTCTCGATTGCAAGTGGCACGGTCGGTATCATCTCACTGGGCATCCAACTATGCAAAGAAATCACAACCTATGTCGACTCATGGCGGGGTTATGATGCAGACCTCGAAAGTATCGGCTGGAAAGCCGAATCACTCAAAGAACCGCTGAAGCAGCTACGCGATTTCGTCGAAGACACTCAAGTGACGGACCCTAACACTGCAAATGACATAACGGACAAGGCATCAGAGCTCAAGCGACATTTAACGAGGCTCGAGAAGAGGCTCACCGAAGCCAAGCCTGTCATTTCCAGCAGCCTGACGGATAAATTCCGGAACAAACTGAAGAAAGCGGCTTATCCAGTTCGTGCGCGAGATGCTTTACGAGATATCAAGGATGATCTGGAGAGTGTACAATCAATCATCGAATTTGCATTGACAATGTGAGTGCCACAAAATCTAACCTACTTCTTCTGAATGACTAAAACTGTCTAGATTCACTGCAAAACGGACACAGAAGGCATCCCAGTCAACAGAAAGAACACTGAAACTTGTTGAAGAAATCGTAAGACTTTGACCGAGATAACAAGCTTCCTACGCTAATTGAAGCATCCTGGTAGCACGTTACTCTGTCGACTATCCCACAGAATATCATGCTACCACCTAGCGTTCTGAAATCATTGTGCGATCGCTGTGAGGAACACGCCAATCTCGCTGACCTGAATTCACAATCCAATCCCACCACCCAAGGTGATGATTTCGACCTGAATATCGACGCTCGTCTGTCATCAATGACACTATCCACCAAGCGCGCTCGCCGTGAAGACTCAGCCAAGAAGTTGTTCCGATATTACAGTGGTTGGCTTGCTCGACAGATCACTTTCTCATTCTCGCTTTCATATTCAGCGGGAGCGTTTTCCATTGCACCGGTCTTGGAGGTGCAGGCCTATCGGGGTCCAGGCAGTTGGGTAGAAAACGCAGTTTCACTTGAACGCCTGCGTCGGATTTGGATGATGCAGGATCCTAACTCACTCCGAGAGTCTGAGAATGAAATAATCGGTGATTTTCAACAAGCCATTTCAAAAGGCAAATTTGAACCTGGCGATATACATGAAGACGGAGGGTCGATTGTAGAGGTAAGTAGAACCACGTAATACTTTGACCAATTAAGTGACTCCTTCAGCGGACCGTGTCTATTGTGAATTCCATTGGTTATCGCACTGGAAAGCTTGAACCCAGAGTCAGATTGACCAAATTCCTCCGGTTCATGATTGAGTGCGGTTACAACTTGAAACTCGACGACCCTCAATACATGATGTTTAATGTCCTAAATGCTAAATGGGGAGCAAATGATGAAATGTTTGCTTTGTACCTCATCAATCATGGTGCTATTGTGAAACACCTGCCCCGGACGCGACATGGAAAAGAAAATATTCGGCGCCTTCTCTGTAGGGACACTGAACGTAAGTTCCAAGTTCTCCGTGTTGCTTGATGAAACATTACTTTCGTGCCGTCCTTGACCAATAACTTGCAAAGTGGCGGATCTACCTGAACTTGCCAAAAAGATTTTGCTGGAGTCGGAGCTGAAACTGCGAAAAGCATTGCAATCCGGGAATACAAACTTGACCAATGGCAATGTAGGGCATCCATCATTTCTTGAATTGGCAGTAGGATGGCCTGGTGGTGTCCGTGTCCTCTTGGAGTTCGGGGCTGAGGCATCTGAGGTGACCCTGCGAATGTGTCCATATAGGACCATTGATACCGATGATTCCGACTGTGATGATTACTGTGACTCAATTATGCCTCTCTTACAAGGTGGATGCAATTTTGAAGCCTACGATATATGCATGTGCAAGTCAAAGAAGGCCCGGTTGCTCTTGATCAAGGAATACGCCAATCGACGCAAAATCCTACTTGGTTTGGCCCGGTCACGCTTGCCACCAGAAAGTTTTGCTGAAATCCTTGGAGATTCCAGTTCTGAGTCAATTTTTGATGTTCATGTGCCTCAAATATGCACTGAGCTGATCAACAATGGGCAGCCGCTTCATCGCTCTATGCGATATGAGTCGAAGAATTATCAGCCCTTGTACCATTCATGTTTGTGTGATTTGGATGCCTGGGATGATTTATACCGGGCTGGATTTCGAGACATTGATATACCGGGTTATCGTGAGTTGACGCCCCTGATGAGCTGTGCTCTGGATTACGAGTTTCAGAGAAATCTTCTGGCCTGGCTTGTTGATAAAGGGGCATCCATGTTAAAAAGACTCCCCTTTTCGGACACAACAATCGCTCATCGCGTGAGCTCTCGTTTTGCCGACCACCTCCTATCGGCCATTATTTCTGACAAATCTTTCAGCAAAATACCTCACAGAACTCAAGTCTCACTAGAGTGGGCCAAAAAGAGAAAAGGCAGCATTGTGCTCATTCCATCTGTCCAAGACTGCTGTGTCTGCGCATGTTGCCATGGTGGCTGTACCACACTTTCAGTCGCTCTCCGGAGTTGTAACAAAAGTCTTGGGTATCAATCCTCTCGCGGCAATCCGAGGGCCGAATATCTCTGGCTTTTGAATTCTCTCATTGATTTGACAGAAACGACGTTAGAACGGGACCACAGTATTATCCGATTTCTGACATTCGAAGCACTTGGATTGAGACATACATGCTGCGTCACAATTGATCATGCGTTTGCCAGGGATTATAGAGATTTTGTCATTGACAAAGAGGAGGTACAAAACATTCAGGATGAGGACAAACATCGATATAAGCAGCTTGATCAGCTTGTTGGAAAATTCGATACTTGGTTTGACGAGCTCGAGTTACCAATCGTGGAATTCCTGAGCGGTCCATGGCATAGCCACATGGTTGAAGTTCTCTCAACCCGTGACTCTTACGACGAAGAACATGTTCGGCAGACTAGAGATCTCGGCATATTTTTGGAGCCAGTTGACTTTGACGAGATTCCTCAATTTGTCTATTATCTTGGTCATCAGGTTGAAGAACTGGAGTCTGAGGTTGCTGTTTGATGATGCGGATGGCGATGGAGATGATTCAGATCACGATTCAGTTCGATGATGAAGCAAATAATGGCTCGCCAAACTGTTCGGGGGTCACCTGGACATCTGTTTCCACGCACATGCTTCTGCATGTTGTTTCTTGCATCTTCTCTTCCATTTCTTATCATCGGTTTTTTTGTTAAATCACATTTTCTTTGTGAAACATTGCTTGCCTCAAAATGTTCCCCGAGTAGAGAATTGGGGCTGTCTAGATGACTGCCGGGAGCCCGACAAACCAGGTAGCCACGGATCACAGGCTCCAACAAGAGAACTATTTCTAAATACCAGAAAGCTAAATTGACCGATCTCGATAAGTAGTAGTTCATTTCATTTCAGAGTGGTAATCACAGCGGTATCATTTGCGGATGAGCAGTGCAGCAAGAATAAGGACATTCTCAGCATGAGAGCGCCTGTCGGAAAGTGCGATTTGGGAAACACACCACTCTTGCAAATAACTCAGTATCATATTTTGAATAGCAACTTGAAGGATACGAGTTGACGTTTGGCGTCTTTTTTACCACCGAGTTGTGTGCCCAAAAAATCACCTCACGCTTCACCAAGAGCAACTAGAGATATTCAAAGACGACTGATAGATCATAAGATTTCATACCAGTACGAGAACCGATAGAACCGACAAATGAAAATTTTCTTCCCATGGACAGGTGCTTTCCCAACGATACTTGCTCTTGCATATAGATGCTGAGTTGGGGACACTCGGATCCATCCGAATCAACGGAAGTATCCGATGACAGCATAGGACGAAAGCTAAGACTAATAATGACCGCAACAGAACTTGGAGTACTGGCACAAATCAACTTCTTTTCATTTCGAATCAGAGTCAATGCTGCTTCGACTGTGTACACGCCCCCCTCAAGGCCCGGCTAGGCTTGCCAGAGCCTACGCATCTCTTGCCACGTCAAAAGCCCAGCTGAGTCGACTTGAACCAAACCATGTCGTTGACTTGAGTCGATTTCAAAAGAAGGTGGCAGAGGTTCGCAGAAGGTATTTTATTGAGCTTTCAAACCTTTCGGTCTTTGCTGACATCCACAGGTTAAATCGGCCTCTGGCATATTCTGAGAAAGTTTTGTACAGCCACCTCGACGATGACTTCGACGGACCAATCACTCGTGGGAAATCACAGTTGAAACTTCGACCAATTCGCATCGCTTGTCAAGACGCAACTGCCCAAATGGCTCTCATCCAGTTCATGTCCGCGTGTCTCGAATCTTCTGCCGTTCCGACCACCGTGCATTGTGACCATCTGATCGTCAGTCGAGATGGCGAAGCCCAGGATTTACCGCGCGCAATTGAGGCCCATCGAGAAGTCTACGACTTTATGGAGAGTGCTTGCCAGAAGTACAACATGGGTTTCTGGAAGCCAGGCGCCGGTATCATTCATCAGATCGTACTGGAAAACTATGCGTTCCCCGGTGGAATGATGGTTGGTACAGACTCACATACGCCCAATGCTGGCGGTATGGGTATGATTGCTATTGGTGTCGGCGGCGCTGATGCAGTTGACGTGATGGCCGGATTGCCGCTTGAGTTGACCGCGCCTAAAGTGTTGGGTGTGCGCCTCACTGGTCAGCTATCCCCGTGGGCGGCGCCCAAAGATATCATTAGTACCGTTGCCGGAATGATCTCCGTGAAAGGTGGAACTGGTTCAATTATTGAATACTTTGGACCTGGTGTGCAGAGACTATCTGCTACTGGTATGGCGACGGTCTGCAACATGGGAGCTGAAACAGGCGCAACCACTTCTATATTCCCCTACACTCCTCAGATGTCATTATATCTGCATGCGAACCGTCGCGCGGATATGGCCAGGGCTGTGGAAAGCGTGTCCTCGGAACTCTGTGCGGACGAAGGGGTGAAATATGACAATGTCATGGAGATCGACCTGTCTGCCCTTGAGCCTCGCATCAATGGCCCATTCACGCCCGATTTCTCTACGCCTGTTTCAGAATTCAAGTCAGCTGTCGAGAGCAATGAGTGGCCACCTGAATTAACTGCAGGTCTGATCGGATCCTGCACGAATTCTTCCTTCGAAGATATGGGACGTGCTGCCAGTTTGGCGCAACAAGCTCTTGACGCAGGGCTGAAGCCACAGATGCCATTGCTCATCTCTCCCGGCAGTTTACAAACTCGTGACACACTTAAGGAAGCCGGTATTCTCCAAGTCTTCGAGAAGTTGGGAGCTACCATGTTGCCCAATGCGTGTGGACCATGCTGCGGCTCCTGGGATAGAGCTGACGTACCAAAGGTTGGACCTCCTTTGCACCAATAAACATGGCTTTGATTGACGCAGAAATACAGGGAACTCCAAACTCGATTATCACATCATACAACCGCAACTTCTCCGGTCGTCTGGATTCCAATCCTGCCACAAATATCTTCCTCACTTCCCCAGAGATGGTGATGAGTAAGATCTTCTCCCCAGATCTCTCATTCAATCCTACTGTTGATTCCCTCACAACTCCCTCCGGTGAAAAGTTCACATTCTCGCCACCAACCGCCCAATTTCTTCCAAGCAAGGGCTATCTGGATTCTGATACCGGGTACACCGCGCCACCGAACGGAGATCGCAGCGAGCTTGAAATTCAGATTGATCCATCATCGCTGCGCTTACAGCGATTGGAGCCTTTTGACCCATGGGCAGGTGAGGACTTCAACGATTGTCTGATCCTGATCAAGACCAAGGGCAAATGTACCACGGACCATATCACTCCTGCCGGTCCATGGTTCCGCTACCGCGGCCATCTCGAGAATATCTCCAACAACACATTGATCGGAGCGGTCAATGCCGAGACGGACGCTGTGAATAATGTGCAGAACCAACTCACAAATGAGAACGGCGACGTACCAGGCACAGCCCGCGACTACAAGTCCAAGGGCCGCCCGTGGGTAGTGATTGCCGACCACAACTATGGCGAGGGCTCTTCCCGAGAGCACGCTGCTTTGCAACCTCGATACCTAGGAGGAGTTGCCATCATTGCTAAGAGCTTTGCTCGTATCCACGAAGCGAATCTCAAGAAACAGGGCATGCTCGCTTTGACTTTTGCAAACGAGGCTGACTATGATCGAATTCATGCATCGGATCGCATCAGCATCGTCGAACTCGCAAGCCTGGCTCCTGGAAAATCAGTATCTTTGGAGATCAAGCCCTCGACGGGGGAGAGCTGGCGCACTGAGCTTCTGCACACATTCACAGCGGAGCAGATTGAATACTTCAGGGAGGGAAGTGCGTTGAATTTGATGGCTAAGAAACGCTATTAATAGTGCGCTTACTGTGTCTTGTTGTTCTTCTATTGCTTCTGCTCTACTTGTAAACTTAACTGCACATTTGGTTGTTCTTCGCTTCTTCTTTCTCTTCTTCTTGTCTTCTTCGTCGACTTGACAAGGTTTAGTATCCCTCGCTCGCCTGAATGTCTCTTAACGATGATCAAACAGCGACCTGTTATATAGAGACCACTTGCAGTGTCCATATTTCCCAATTGCTGAGAAATCCATCTAAAATGATTTTGCATAACCCTGATGTCAAATGCCGGCAGCGGCAATTCAGTAGCACACCCACCTTAGTACCCACATGGGCATATTGAATTCAACATGCGCCCCAGGGCTGAATTCCCCGCACTCTGGCGGCTGGGTATTACTTTGTATGCAGAGCTAGTAGGGAAGGTGCAGGAAAAGCATGTTTGCCAGTTCTAGATACCGGCGTAGATAATCGACCTCCAGTTTTGTTCCATACCACTGGCTCTTTCCACCTTGTCGCTCAGCCCAGACACCTTCTAAAACACTCTCCAAGAGTTCAAGAGACTGAGGCTGCATTTGCAGGCTGTCTGTCTCTGGGATGTCGGGGCCCCGGGGCCCCGGGGGGCAACCTTGCTTTGTCAGCTGGATCTGGCGCCCAGCCGCCCGCGCCAGGACCTGCACTCTCCAATCTACTCGCCGCTTGGCTTTGACCTTGTCCGTGCTGACATCGTCAGAGTATGATCTATGCTACGTCAAATAATAAGTGGAAATGACTGAGCGGTCTGCGAGCCCGGAGTCAACTCCTCGTCGGCATCGCCGGGGTTTGACGCGTAGTGCCGCTGCCTGTGAGAGATGCCGACGTCGGAAACAGAAGGTACCTGCTCTTCCCTAGCTCAACAAGACTGCACACGCCTAACAAAAAAAAATCAGTGTGATGGAAGAGTTCCATGTGGAGCTTGTGCTGCCACGAGGACCACCTGTGTTCCGTCAACTCGGCTCGCGCAATCTCACGAATGCGAGTGTGAATCGCTTCGTTCGAGGCTGAAAATTGCCGAGCAACAGTATGCTGCATTGTTGCGTGATCATGAAAATCTACAAATATCAGCTCAGAGAGTAGCACATGCGGAGAGTTTGCCACAGTCGGTTCCAGCTACCGGCTCACAGAGTGTCCCTTGCGACATGGGGATCACACAAATCCCACAGGCCAATTTGAACCTCCATTCTTTGCATAGGATTCTTCGACCAAGCTTCCCATGCCGTACTAGTAACGGGAAGTCTCATTCAAGTGCAATGAGTAGCGCATGGAAGCTATGGGGAGACGACCCTGATACGGCTGCATCCTGTGATATGGAAAGCTTCACTGAGCCAGACGAGAACACTTACCTCAGCCTAATCAATACGTTCTTTGATCGAAGATGGACCTATCTACCAGTACTCCATCGACCGAGCTTTGTGAGCGAACATTTGACACCGTTCCTCGCGCGCTCGCCCACAAAAGTGACCTCGAATTTCCTCGTCAACATCGTGTGTGCGATTGCCGCTACAGACAAGGCATGGGCTCAGCAATGGGATATACAACGCCACAAGCAATTTTTCAGACGGGCTATTCAAGACGTCTACGTGCTCAGTAGCGTTGAAGATTTCGAGTGCATGCAGTGCTTTCTACTTCTCTGCATGTATGGCCATAACGAACCGCAATCCGTCAATATGTGGTACACTTCTGGGATCACCCTGCAGATGGCTATAGACCTGGATCTACACAGGAAAGAAAGCATCTCGGGCCAAAGTCTTCTTCGCGCCGAACTGTTTAAAAGGGTCTTCTGGAGTGCCTACGTGACTCATTGCAGCATGGCAATCAACATGGGAAGACCTCTTGCGATACAGGAGTCTGATATAACTGTACCGCTGCCGCTGCAGTTGAGAGATGATCAATTGACAGATTCATTTGACGTTTCCGACGTGAACGAACTCGCGGTCCCTCAGCTGATGGACACCTCCACATTCAATCATATTATCAAGCTGCGACTCACGAACGCCGCAGTCTACAAAACTTTCCATTCCATACGATGCGGTCCAATGGGCTCGGTGGAGCTGGACACCACCCGCCAAGCGTATTATCTTAGCCTGAATCAATGGCTCATCAGTGCACCACGCTACATCGGCGCAGTTTCAACATACCAATCAACAGAGTGGTTCCAAATCGCTTTCCACCATGCCGTTCTCTCTCTATACCGTCCGTCTCGCGCGGCACCGATGCCATCCTCTGACGACCTTCGGATTTGCACCGATTCTGCCATTGGACTGATCACATCTTATAGCTCTCTCTACGCAAGAAACCGTATCAAATACACCTTTGTGGCGATCCACTCACTTTTCTTGGCTGCTGTGACGATGCTCTACGCTTTGCGTGCATCCCAGCAATTACGTCAAGAATTGACCAAACCAGTTGTCGAAACCAACATCCTCACTTTCCTGACCCTATTTCGAGGCATCTCCGACGGTCGCACAATTGGCGAAAAGTGCTCTGGCATCGTCGAGCGATTGGCTAACTCACTCTTGACACTCTTCGATGTTGGCCCAATCCCGGACGCCGATGTCGATGTGGAATTTCAGTCATGGTTTGGTCTGCAGACTCATGCAGTTGTCACGCCAGCCAGGAATGAAGAGCTCGCTGGCGAATTTCCCGACGTCAGAGTCGATCTACCCTGGGCGGACCTTTTTACAGAAGGATTCGACATGGGGGCTGCTGATCTTTGGAGTTATTCATTCTTGGAATGACAATGTTTGTCCCAGCCCTTGTGCCGGCTAAGAGTATGCCCACCAACCAGGCTCAAAACGAGTATTTGATTATCTGTCTAAAGGAGGTGGCGGAGGAAAAAACACGACAATCTCGTTGAGCTTGTATAATATGTACTACTATCTAAAGAAAAAGGCGCTTTGGGTTTTGTCTCAGCATCTTGTCCCAGACTTCATCGTCGATCCAATCTTGCAGGTTCGCCAATATCCCACGATCATCAATCAATCTAAATGGCTCCTTGACGAGAACGGAGCTGGCCGTTCGATTGTGGCCGTCTCCGGTATGCGGCCAGTCACTACCCCAGATAAGCTGGTTGGGAACCTCATGGGCGAAGTGCTCGATAATTGGCCGCGTGTCTGCGAAGTTTGTGGAATTGTCATTGGATATCCTGTAAAGTCCAGACACTTTGATCACCACGCGGGAAGCCTGAGCAAGAGAAACGAGAGACTTCAGTCCCGGCTGCTCTAATGGTGTTGATTTGAGTGCTTCTGGCAGTTTTGATGATGCGGACATGCCTCCTAAATGATCAGCGATCACGGGAATTGGAAGAGCAAGAATAGGCTCATGCAATGCTATAGAGGTTCAGCACGGTCGTCAAGAAGATAGCAGTGTATACTAACCGTCCCATGTCCAACCAGGTACAAACATCTGGATTTTCCAGCCAGGTAGATGCCGAATGCGTCGTGCCGACTCGTTCAGAATCGCAATCAGGCTCGGTATATGGATGCCTTTATCATCCGCCTGGAAATTCAGTCTGATTCCTCTGACGCCGAGGCCATGCATCTCTTCCAGCATCTGGTCAGTCACAGTGTTGACGTCGATGACGGCAATTCCCCGAGCCATTTTCCCGTGCTTGGCTAGGTCACCCAGAGACTTCAGCATCACCGTACAATCTGCCTTGTAGGGAGAAGGCTGGACCAGAATAAGCGTGCTAGAGTCGTTGTCGGCGGACAGACTCCTGCTGAAGGAAAGAAGTTCACTCAAGGGAGCATCGCCGGGGGTGTATGCTCGATGCGCTGCGTACGGACCCAGTCTTGGGTCAAAGACATGTACGTGGGTGTCGAAGGTGCCCTTGGGTAGAAGGCCAACATCAGGCAAATCCTCAGGATTCGTGGTGGCCATTATGCCACAGCTTGGAGCAACAGGGTTCATTGCAGCGATCGCTAGGAGTTTATCTGGGTGAGTTCGATTCTTGTATCTAAACCAGCACGCTGGGAAATACCACACACCGAATTGAATATGAACGGAAGCTAGAAGAGATCTGGCCCAGCGCATTTTAGAATTTCAGGTTAGGACAAGTCCATCACCCGGGGATCTCTGCTGTGGGCCATCTCATCTTCTCATACCTACTTCGTCGCTGTGGGGTCATCGGATTGGCCGACCCCACAGCTCTTTTGTCGGATATATCCGGTCCCTTGGCCATTGCCATTCCCCGGTCAAATGATTAAATGATCAGATAACGGTAAGTTGCTCAAAACAGTTCATTTTCTAGGCATGATTCTCGACCAAGGCCACCTCCTAATAGCTTCTGTCTCTGATGCGAAGCCCAACTGATAGATTTCATGCGACAAGTGCTTCCCAGCTGAAACACCAGCTGGCCTGACCGGAATATGAGTGTGTACGAATACGGTGAATCACATGATGGCGGGGCTGAGTTGACGACTGAGGGGTGCACGTCGGGGCACAAGAGAATATAATGACTTTATCCTTTTCTCTTTGCAAGGTATATGTCATATTGAGGTCGACCTTTTTGAAGATTTCTTTGCCATATCCATGGATAGTACTTGATACTGACCAACCCTCTACGAGCCCACAAACATATCATCATGGCACAAGAAGTAGCATTCAATGGGTCAAATTATGGATCGCAGACAGGAATCAACTATGGTTCAATAACAAATGAGTTTCAACTTCTATCAGGTATCATATGGGGCTTACTCCGTACTTCGTGCTCGATCGTACATACTCATCCTTATATAGACCCGAATGACAAGTTGCCCATTGTTCATGCGGCTATGTTTAATTCGCTAGCGGATCAGCATGAACAAGAATGCCTGCCAGGCACAAGGACGGAGCTGCTCGATCAGATCAAAGAATGGGCGTTCTCGACACATGGCCGGTGTATATTCTGGCTGAATGGAATGGCAGGGACAGGAAAATCGAGTATCTCTCGAACAGTGGCAAAGTTCTGCAGCCAAAATGACACGTTGGGTGCGAGCTTTTTCTTCAAGAGGGGCGAAAATGACCGTGGAAGCTCGGCAAAACTGTTCTCAACGATCGCAAGACAACTAGGGACCAACTTTCGGTGGTTGCAGCCTGCTATTCAACAAGCAGTTCACGATGACCCCTCTATCGCAATGAAGGGAATGGGAGAACAATTCTCCAATTTGATACTTCAACCACTGTTGAACTCCGAAAATCCATCTGATTCGCTATCTGAACCCTCAGTACAGACTGTCATGATAGTAATGGATGCATTGGATGAATGTGATTCAGAGAAAGATGTGCGGCTTGTTTTGCAGCTTTTGCCGCAGTTGCAGAAGCTAAAGCATATACAACTGCGAGTTTTCCTAACTAGCAGGCCAGAACTACCGACTCGACTAGGATTTGAGAAGATCGCATCCCATTATTACGAGCAGTTTGTTCTCCATGAAATCTCTGACAACGTGATCGAGCATGACATAAATTTTTACCTACAACACAGACTCTCAGCGATTAGGGATGAACGGAAATCTATTCTTCCTCCAGAATGGCCTGGACTTGTGAATCTTCGAAAGTTAGTCTTCTTGTCCGTTCCATTGTTCATCTTTGCCGCCACGATGTGTAGGATTCTTGAGGATCCATATTGGGATCCACTGGAAAGTCTTGCCGAGATCCTAGCATATCGAAATCATGGTTCTAAGCTGGATGGAACATATCTCCCTGTGCTTGGGAGACTTCTTCACGGGCAGGATGCGCGACAGAAAGAGCTATTGGTCCAAGAATTTCGGCAAATAGTCGGTGCGATTGTCACTCTACAAAGCCCACTATCAGTTACCTCGCTTTCAAGACTAATAGGCCTCCCCGAGAGACTTATACAACTCAGACTAGACCCACTTCACTCAGTTCTGGTTATACCAAGTGACAATTCTGCACCAATACGCCTATTTCACTTATCATTTCGGGATTATCTTCTCCATTCTGAGACTCGCCAAAAATCCCCATTGTGGGTAAACGAGACAGCAACACACCATGTGTTGACGACAAAATGTCTCCAGGCATGTCAGAAACTACGGAGAAATATATGTCGCCTTAAAAGTGACGGATCCAGCCGCGCAGAGTTGGATCGCCAAACAATCCAGCATTTTCTTCCCGCAGAGCTACAGTACGCTTTTCGCTATTGGCCACATCACATGGCACAATGCGTAGACCTGGATCATGTCATAGAAGATGGTTTGGCCTTTCTTCGGAGATCTTTCCTGCAATGGGTGGAAGCAATGAGTCTGATGGGTCTTGCATCAGAATTGGCGGGATTGTTGGATCACCTTCAGGTGGTTATACCAGTGAGTTTCGAGTGAAATGTCATTCCATGTATACTAATATCTTGATACCTGTAGCACAGCGATAATTCTGGAATGCGAGAGTTTTTGTATGATGGGACACGATTTCTTTTGAAAAATTGCCAAATATTTGAGGATGCACCGCTCCAAGTCTATTCGGCAGGACTTTTATTTGCACCTCGAGCTTCGATCATTCGCTGTTGCTTTGGAAATGAGTTTCCTGATTGGTTGTACCGGCCACCAAAAGTCAAAGAGAACTGGAGCGCAGAGTTACAAACACTCGAAGGTCACACAAGTTCAATCAACTCGATAGCGTTCTCTTCCGATGGACTACTGGCATCCGCCTCCAGTGATCACACGGTCAGGATTTGGGACAGCAGGACGAGGACAGCACAGCACACCCTCAAGGCTCATGAGGGCTCCGTCAATTCAACGGCTTTTTCCCCGAACGGACAGCTGTTAGCCTCTGGCTCTGGTGATAAAACAGTGCATCTCTGGGACACTGCGACAGGAGATCTACTCCATACCCTCAAAGGCCATACGAGCTCGGTAAGCTCAGTGGCCTTCTCTTCCGATGGCGGGCTTTTGGCATCCGGATCTTACGACGAGACGGTTCGAGTCTACAAAGCTGGTACGGGTGATTTACTACGGGTTATCAAGGGCCATACATCGTTGATTTACTCGGTCGCTTTCTCCTCTAAGGGACAGATGCTAGCCTCTGGTTCTTCCGACAAAATCATTAGAATCTGGAACCCCGTGACAGGAGTTCTTTTACAGGCTCTTGCAGGCCATCAAAGTTCCGTTTATTCTGTTATGTTCTCTCCCAATGGCCGGCTACTGGCATCTGGCTCTGCGGATAAGACCGTCCGACTGTGGAGTATCATGACTGGAGTTATGGAGCTATGTATCGAGGATCATACCACCCAAGTGAATTCAGTAGCCTTCTCCTCTGATGGGCGTCTTCTTGCATCTGGCTGCTCTGATCAAATAGTTCGCCATTGGGGAAATAAAGCGAGCAACTTGCTTCAATCCTTTGAAGGTCATACAAAATCTGTCACATCTGTCGCATTCTCTCCGAATAACCGGTTCCTTGCATCAGGATCTGGTGATCACACAGTGAAGTTATGGGATACGAAGGTGTTCAGCGTACAAGAAGGGCCTAAGCAAAATTCCTGTTCGGTTGAGTGGATGGCATTTTCCCCAGATGGCCGGCTGCTGGTATCTGGGTCGTTTGATGGGACTGTTCGGCTTTGGGACACAGCATCAGAAGGCCGCCTTCATACCATCAAGCCATCAATCTCTATTGAGTGGATTTCCTTCTCGCCCGACAGTCGGTTCCTAGTTTGTGGCTCTGGTAGTGGGAATGCCGAGCTGCGGGATACTACGACAGGGTCTTGTTTGCGGTCTACAGATGAGATCGATACAAGCTTCAATCAAATAGCCATTTCTCACGACAACAGGTGGGTGGCTTGTATCTCTACAAGAGTCACAGTCCAACTTTGGGATATTAGGATGGGCGCCCTTCACCAGACTCTCGGTGGTCACTCGGGCCGGATTTACTCAATTGCGTTTTGCCCAGACAGCCAGGTACTAGCGTCCGGATCTCGTGGTGGAAGAATACGGCTTTGGGATCCCGCAACAGGAACTCTACTGCGGACTCTCGAGGGCCATTCAGACGATGTTTTCTCGGTCACATTTTCCCCCAACGGTCGGCTATTGGCATCCAGCTCCAGAGACGCACTAGTTCGAGTATGGAATGTCTCGGCAGGCACTTTGATGCATGTTTTCGATGATGATCTACCCGGCTTTCCACGTCCATTTATATCCTTCTCTCCTGATGGCCGATGCCTGCTATCCAGGTGTGATGGCAAAGTCCGGTTTTTGGAAAGCTCAACAGGTGTCTTACAGCTTATCCTTAAAGGCATTGAGATTCTGGGTCCAAATTCTTATTACCCTAAAGATGATCAAGTGCTTGCCTCTAGCTCAATCGAGGACCTGATACTTTGGGTGACTGCTGTAAACACTCTATTCGCAAGTCTTCATGTTGATTCTGAAGTCCGCCTAAAGAATGTTGCCTTTTCTCCCGATGGAAAGCTAGTAGCAATAAGTTCTGAGGGTAGGCCGATACAGCTCTGGAATCCCTGGACAGCTATCCTTTGCCAGACTTTGGATGAATATTCAGGCTGGGACTCTCCACTTACCTTTTCACCGAATTGTCGCTTGCTAGCATACTGCCCTGATAACGAAACAGTGCGGCTTTGGGATACCTCGACGGGTGCTTTAATGCAAACCCTCAATACTCATCCAAGCTCGGTTGACCGGGTGTTCTTCTCTCAAGACAGCAGGCTGCTGGTGTCTCTTTCCACTGATAACACGATACGGCTCTGGCACACGGATACAGGCGTCCTGCGGCATATTTGGTTTATAACCATTCCACTTCTCAGACCCAATCTAACCCAAGACAGCTCATGTCTCAACTTCAACTCCAGCTCCAGGCACCAAGACCATACCCGCAACCCATTGCAGTTGGGCTTGATAGATAAGGGCCACTGGGTAACATTGAAGAAGCAAAAGATCCTCTGGCTTCCTCCCGAGTCCAGGGCTGCTTCTTTCGCGATTCATGAAACTCTGCTTGCCCTTGGACATGACTCTGGTCGCATTTCATTCATGGATTTCCGAGTATAGAATGCAATTTTCGATTATGTTATTTCCTTGCCATTTCACGATTGAAGTCATATCAACAATTTATCTCGCTCTACTCATTTTATTTACTTAGATCTCATAGAATCTTTTTGTCGGGCCTTGTCTCATCTTTTCAGACTTCGTCGCTGTGGGGTCATCGGATGAGCCGGCCCCATAAATCATCTGTCGGATGTATCCGATTGGATCATCCCGATTCAGAAACAAGATAGTAGTATATTTCTCAGACTGGGCAACTTGTCTCAAGTCATTCTTGCGGCAATCTTCAACAATGGAATCGAAACCTCTCATGCCAAGTCCTTCTCAAACGACACAAGATGTCCATGAGCAGAGGAGATCTATTCCATTTAGAAATCTGGCAGTTGGATCTGTGATGAACATATTTCAAGGTATGCATGAGTGAGCCAGACAATATTGACATTCAGATCTTGGGTGCTGACCTATGACAAGTGACAACATTGGGTCAGCCCATGGAAGTTCTCAAGACCCACGTGAGTCAAGTATTCTCCTGTATGGGGAAGGACTGGTCCTAAATGACGATATCCATGAATTTAGTTAGCGGCCAACAGACAAGACTATCTTCGTAATGCAGTGCAGAAAACATGGGCTCGTGGAAAGGTCACTGCCTTCTACCAAGGTCTGATCCCCTGGGTAAGATTCAATTTTCACTTGCTGGGAACAAGACAAATCACTAATGGAAAAGACAGGCTTGGTTAGAAGCAACCACCAAAGGTGCAATTCTAGTCCTCACCTCTGGTGAGATTGAATATCACGCCAAAACCAAGCTCGGGGCCTCTCCGACGGTTTGCGGTGTTCTCGGTGGTATTGGAGGAGGTGTCGCCCAGTCTTACTTGACAATGGGCATGACGACATGTATGAAGACGGTTGAGGTCACTAGAACCAAAATTAGTTCCGATGGTGGTCGAGTCCCCGGCCCCATGGAGACATTTGTCAATATTTGCCGCGAAAAGGGCATTCGTGGTGTCAACAAGGGTGTCAACGCCGTGGCCCTTCGGCAGGTGACCGGATGGTCTTCTCGAATTGGAATCTCGAGGTTCGCGGAAGACAGCATCCGAAAGATCAGCGGCAAGCCCAGCGATGAAAAGTTGAAAGTTGGAGAGAAAATCTTGGCTTCAACGATTGGTGGAGCTCTTTCATGCTGGAATCAACCCTTCGAGGTATGATATTGTGCTGCTTTCCTGGTTATGGAACTTGGAATAGACTGACAGACTGGAATAGGTACTTCGCGTTGAGATGCAATCGATGAAAGCCAACCCAGACCGTCCGGCCTCTGTAACGATGGCGTCGACATTCATGTACATTGTTCGTACATCTGGTGTTCGAGGTTTGTTCCGTGGTGTGGTTCCTCGTATTGGTGTTGCAGCTTGGGCAACTATCTGCATGGTCGGATTTGGTGACATGGTTAGAGAGAAAATCACCAGCTCCTAGGCTGTGAGTGGCTGGCAGACTGAGAAACAAAACCCCCAAAATTTTCCGAGGTTTTACTTTAGGGACATTAAGCTAGCGAATGACAGAAAAAGTGGGAAGTGAAAGAGACAGGTATATACTAGGCTCTGCCTTCCAGCTCTTCACATACTCATACTCTTGCTCCTGCTCTTGTTCCAATCCACATCGACCGATATCAATAACTCATTCTTTTAATTTCTGTTATTTTTATTCATGTCCCATTCACTGCCATTCACATGTACGAAGCTTGGTAGTGGTTTGGTGTATCGGGTTAGTGTACACCAAGAGCTCTTTGGGAGGTGGTAGCTGATATTTGAAAAGAAGAAAGATTACTGTGGATAAAATGATAGCTGAATCAGAAATCCAAGTGTGTTCATTAATTGATTATTGGCCACATCTACTGTGAGCCTGCATATTCAACAAGTTGACGTTGGAATGCTTGGAAATGCCCAGCAGAGCCGAGCTAGCCCGAGCACATGACATCATCCAGGAACTCCCCCAAATCTCCCCGTCAACCTCAACCTCCTCCCATCCACACACCTCAATCCAACCACAATGTTCCGCTTCGTACGTAACCCAATCCCCAATCTCCTCCAAAAACACCCCACTAACAAACCCCAGAGCAAAACACTCGACCCAATCACCCTCTTCCACTCGCCCTCGCTGGCGGCGTCGACACGCACCCTCAACATCCTCAAGCAGGCCTCCGCAACAGCCGGCGAAGTCGCAACCGAAGACCAGGCCAGTGACCACTCCCGACACGCCAAGCAGCAGCGTGGCGACTTCGAGCTCGAGGTCACTACCAGCCCGCCGACTCTGGACCAGCTGCGCAGTATCTTGGACTATGTCTCGCCTGTCAGTGGTATTGGCGGTCCTGGCGAGAAGGTGACGTATGGTGTTGCGGAGCTTGTGAAGGGGGCTCGTGATGCGGAGGATGCTTTGAAGAAGTTTAAGGAGGATAATGAGAACTTTGTTAGACCTGTGGTATGTTGGGCTGGAATTGGAAGTGGAAGTGGAGTTGCCGTTTGCTAATTGGTTTCTTTTTTAGACTGTTGACTGGACCAACGGCCGTGCCGTCATTGGAGATCATGAGTCGGAGATTCTGCGCATGGTGCGTCAGCTTCCTGCGAACTAAGCTAGGGAATCCATGGATGTGTAATTTATACCTCTACTTTTGTTCTCGATCAATTCATACACCATTGATATTCATCAATACCCGCAGACAACGATCTAGGCCTGTATCATACAAAAAGGGAGCAGTCCACCAGATAGGAATAAAAATAAAAACGTATTGTGTTGTGAAAGATATCATTTAACAGGAAAAGAAGCGAAGATAGAAAGGATGCGCCATTAAACCCGGGGGACACAGAGACCAAGATCCAGCTCGGAGTCTTGCGTAGAAGTGAAAGAAAAACTCGAAGGGGGATCTCAGAACATCGTTCCGAATGTGCCGTCGGTGGCGATGGGCTTTCGGGGGGAGCTGCTGCGGCCATTGCTGTCAACTGCAGGTTTGCGGTGTCTAAAGAAAGAAAGTCAGTGGGTGTGAATATGTCGGAGCAAGTAATTGCACGTACCGGAAGGTAAAGCCAACAAATAGGCCCTTGCCCATCTTGTCGTCTCGATCGGCCATATCCTCCAACGCACGCTGCTTATCGTGAACCTCCTTATATTTCGCCATGTCGGCCTCGCTGCTGAAGTCGTCAAAGTATCCAGCATCCGTCTCCGAGTCGAGTTCGGGCACAAAGGGAGCGCGCTGTTCCCGGAGGCCGTTAAAGTCCACTTCGGCAAAGTAGTCGTGTGCGTGGATCTCCTTGATATTCTTGAACCGGGTATCCTTGCCAGCGACCAATTTGGTAATGAGGTCCCATGTCCGCCGTGAAAGGAAGTAGTTGGGATCTTCATAAACAGGCTTGCGCAGAACCTTCTGCCAGCGCTTCAAATTCTGCCATGTCTCTTCGACGGTGGCTCCTGCAAACGGTGGGTATCCAGCCAAGGCCTCGAACAGCATGCATCCCAAACTCCAGTAATCCACGGTGAAATCGTATTGGTCGCCCTTGAGGACTTCGGGGGCCATGTAATCCGGCGAGCCGACGATTGACTTGGCATAATTGACCTCGCGTTGGCGCAAGGACTGATATCCCTGTCGACGCTCGGCCATTGTTCGTTGCTCCATGGGCCGACCGAAGGGCACAGGCGTATTTCCGACTTCCTCGAGCTTGACACGCATGGACTCGATCTTGCCGGGACTGAGCATGCCAGCCGCGAGACCAAAGTCGGTCAGCTTGACATGACCGGTTGAGTCGATAAGGAAATTCTCTGGCTTTAAGTCACGGTGAATGTAGCCCAGAACGTGCAGAGCATCGATGCAGCTGAACATCTCCGCAATGTAGAAACGGGCGTGTCGGTTGTGCAGGACACCGGTGTTATTCAACAGGGTGCGGAAATCACCTCCCGGGACGTATTCCATGGCAAGGTAGATCTGAGAGTCATCCTGGAACGCGTAGAGCAACTTCACGAGCCATTCACTCTTCGCCGCCGTCAGGATATCACGCTCGGTGAGAATATGGCGGATTTCATCGAGTTTGAATAGCAGCTTCTTGCTCATCACCTTCAATGCGCAAACTTCACGGGTGTCCTTCTTCTGTGCCAGATACACCTGCCCATATCCTCCCTGGCCGACTTGGGTCAGAATCTGGAAGTCGCCCTGGCGAAGACGGGTGCGACGTTTGCGGAGATGCGCCCGCTCGCGCCCGAGGTATTTCAGGAGGGCGGGCTCGTGCTCTTCTTCCGGGGTCACTGGGGGGTCGGGGTAGGCGGCTTTGAATTGGGTGTGGCGGGTTTGGCGGTTGTGAACGTAGCTGAGGAGGTCGAAGTAGTGGTCGAGGAAGTCTGTAATTGTTAGAATTGGGAAGGGGAGAGTACGGTGGGACTCGAAAGCGGAACCAACTTACAGAGTTGAGTGACGTTGACCAGGCGCTTGACCTTGGGCTGTGCGAGCTTCTCAATCTCTTCGGGGGTCAGTCCCCGCATCTGCACCTGGCGTTTGGTGGTCTCATCGCGCGGTTGGTATGGCTCCTGGCGCGATAAGGCGGCCGCGGTGGGCGTGGAGCCCAATTCCTTGGTTAGGCGCGCGGGGTTGGGTGGCGTGTTCTCCTTGTTGGATCGGCGTGTTGGGCTCGACGGGGTCTGGTGGATGACGCTCTCGTTGAAGTTCTCGCTCTTCTCCGCGGAGAACATGGGATGGTTGTAGTGATTGTAGGTGGATTTGGACGGAGAGGTCGGGGTCAGTTTCATCGCCTTGTCGAAGACATTGGGCAGATCGAGTGCGCCAGGTGGTGGTCGAGACTTGCTGGGACTCCCTTGCGGGGTCTGTGGTGGACTGGTGAAGGCATCTGGCGTACCGGGGCGATCGAATTGACCGCGAGTATGCAACAGTGGAGGGGGATTGGGCAGACGGAGGCCGTGACGGTCATCTGAAACGATAGCCATGGTTGATGATGAGGGGTGGTCGAGAACACACTAGGGGAGTTAAAGGAGTTAAGCTGCCTCGCTGCCTAAGTGCCTGAACAAAGGCTCAGTTGACAACGTCAGGGGGGTTTTCTTTTGTTTTCTTTCTTTTCTTCTCTTAATTTCCACAAAGAACAATGAACAATAATCTTGTCCAAGAACCTTGGAAGGAGTCAAGGTTTATGTTTATTATTTCGCCAGTCGATCCCTCTCCAGTCCACCCGATCGACTCTGATCTTGATTCCGACAATCCCTGGGAAATAATCGAATTCACTCGTTGCCGCAGCAACTCCTCCCCCACGTCGTACAGATGGAGGTTTTTCGCTCGATCGAAGCGAGCTGAGCGCGATCCACTTGGGCCTTGATTGAGTTCCTGGACTAGCGGGACTAAACAGATTAACTCAATTCCTCCTGGGCTCATTGGACTGAACGAATCTGTCTGGACAGCCCCTCCTCCCCTCCTGCGAGAGGGAGCTGACGTGAAACAGTGGGCCTCGGACGTCGGAAATTGAGATGTTTTGCATGGTGTCGCACATATTTCACTGCACTTGCAACTGCAGAAGCAATTATTGTCCGAGAGCAGGTGGCCTGGGATATTCATGCACCTCATATGCTATTACGCTAAGGTGCTAAGATACTCTGCAAGGGTGAACAACAACACACTACCGAATTGAGCCCACCCATCCATGGTTGCCAGTTGCAAGGCACGGGAAATATAATTGGATCGGAGCAAGCAACCAAGGAACAGTCAAGGGAGAATCTTGGAAAGGTGGTAAAATAATAGGGTCCATCTGCATTTCAATTGGACAATTGACATCGACACTATAGCAGTAGTCTGTCCAGGGTTAGGTCTAGCACTATATATTATTCACGCAGCGCCCTGCTTTCGTTGGCCCGTCTACTCGTCATTCATTAGCGTAGTTCAGCCTCAGCCGCAGCGGAATACGAAGGGAATACCCACGTAGAATGCTAGTCCATAATCCTCCGTCGTGAAAGTGATGGTCGCGCCCTTGGGGAAATAAAACACATCGCCCGGAGTCCCCGTCACCTTCTGGCCCGTCTCGTCGGAGATTTCAAATTTCCCCTCCAAAATGATCTTCATTTCGTCATAGGTGTAGGTGTACACCAGTGGGGTGCCTTTCTCCAGTCGATAGAAGCCCGCCGACATGGGCTTGTCGGGGTTCTCCTTTTCACTAGATGGACATTTGGTGAGTGGGAGAACATTTTGAGAAAGCGAGGAGAGACAAAACAGAGGGAACCCACCTGGTCTCGATGTCGCCGAGGAAAGCATTCTCGTTGGCAATAAGTGGCGGCTTAAAAGTGGATTGCGCCTTAGCGTGGTAGGTGAAGGGGACCGACATGTTGGATAAAATTGATTGTTTGATTGAACACACAAAATAAATGTCAGATATAATTCCAATTTCTTTCTCTCTCGTCGAGCGCACCCGTTACTTATACCTCTGCCCTCGTGTACGAAGTACACTTTGTCGCGATCGAAAGAGGGGATATCTCGAGCAACCAACCCCCTGGGATCTGGGCAACTTGATGCGAAAGAAGACCATGCTCGGATCCGATGTCCAGACTAGGCAGCTCGCAAGAGATCTGATTGATATCGACAGGCACAGTGAGGGGTTTGATGAGGGGAACAGCGAAGTTGTCAGATGGAATCGTGAATGGCGAGCGGGCAGCTGCAGCTGCAGCTTTCCCAGGCCTTGCGAGACCGAGCTGGATAGCTTGACGTGGAATACAATCCGCCCTGGAGTTTGTGAGGCCTCATTATGTCGTGAACAAGATGATGTTGGTTCGAGAATCTCCCACCAGGGGGAACTTTTTGCTAGTTTGGGTTAGACTGTGTCAACCAGCCATGTACGAACACTGCCAACGATACTCCGTACATCCATTTTCTCCCTATTAATAAATCGCTACGCATCATCGAGGGTTTGATTTTCTTTCTCATGATCAACCTGGACCATCGAGATACCATGCAATGGACAAATCAAGCCCCGAGCTGGTTGAACTCCTGCAAAGGAGTATGCATTCAACCTGCGTCGACAACTTCGGTCAAACTCCTCCTCCGAGATCCGGGATAAACAACTAAACGCTTCAAGGTATTAGTCTCGCGTCGACGACATCACTCGAGAGGATGAAATAACATGATCTCCTTGGTCGAACTTGTTGGGCTCAAATGACCCCCCTCATACGGCGATGAGTCAAGTATTGTCCTTGACCCGTTGGTGGTTGCGCCCGCATCATGTATGCTCCCCAGCAATTGCTCCTGTCTTTCGAAAGGGGCATCTGTCACTGCTGCGTCATAGTCAACCTCGCTGCGCGTTGACTCTCACCGCGTCCAGATTAACGGAGACCAACGATGATATCAGCACGCGTCTCCTCTACGAGCCTCTGGAGGAAGTCGAAAGACTTGAGTACTATGAACCAGGGGGTTATCACCCCGTTCAAATCAACGATCACTTTCACGGTCGGTACCGAGTTGTTCACAAGCTGGGGCATGGGTCCTTTTCAACTGCGTGGCTGGCACGTGATGAACAACTTAATAAATACGTTGCAGTGAAAGTTTGCACAGCGAACACAAATCCAACGGAAGTGGACATTATTTCTCGACTCACTCCCCCTCGTTGTTCTGCAGTCAATCATCCAGGAAAGATGATGATCCCTTCGATTCTGGATCAATTCACCATCCACGGCCCCAATGGTACCCATACTTGCTACATCACAGCACCAGCGAGTACTAGTCTCTCCGGGGCAAAAGATGGCTCATGGATTCGCTTATTCCAGCTCGATGTAGCCCGGTCACTGGCCGCACAACTCGTTTTGGCTGTGGACTATATACACGCGCAGGGAATTGTTCACGGAGACCTTCACCTCGGCAACATTCTTCTCAAACTTCCTCCCAGTTTTGACCAGCTCTCACTTGACCAATTATATGAGAAATACGGAGCACCGGAGCTAGACCCAGTTGTTCGTCTAAATGACAATCCGCTTCCGCTTCCACCTGGTGTCCCATCTCATGGCATCATACCGATATGGCTGGGGAAAGCGAGTGAAAATATCTCACTTCCAGAGACCAGGATCTTACTTACAGACTTTGGTGAAGCCTTTGACCCCTCTAAAGAAAGGAAATGCGAATCTCGCACCCCCCTTGTCATCCGTCCTCCCGAGGCGCGGTTCGAGCCAAATACTTTGTCTTTTCCATCAGACATTTGGACTCTCGCCTGTACCATATGGTGTATCATAGCCCAACGGCCACTATTTGAAGGGTGGTTCGCGACCGAGGACGATATGACCTGCGAGCACGTCGATGTTCTTGGTATTCTACCACCGGAATGGTGGAAGAGGTGGGAGGCGCGAGGACTCAAGTTTACGGAGGATGGTAAGCCAATCAACCGCAGATATCTCCAATCTTGGAACGATCGGTTTGAAGATAGTGTGCAAGAACCTAGACAAAAGGAGGGCTTGCCGTCACTAGATGCAAAGGAGAGTCAAGCTTTCTTCGACATGCTACGGCCGATGCTCTCATTCAGACCTGAGAATCGCCCTACTACCAAGCAAATTCTCGATTCGGAATGGATGCGGAAATGGGCTCTGCCTGAATATGAGAAGATCCGAGATAATGTATGAGCTACTGTTAAGTACCTTGCGCATTGATCAGTCTGGTAATTGAGCTTGGCTGGTCACAGCGGTATGTAATGCATCTTGATACATCGGCATTTGCGCTCAACAGGGTAGAGTGAAATGAGATGAGGCATCCTCAAAGAAGTAGGAGAGAAATTCTGACCGGTATCAAACGAGAAAAGATCGAGAATTGATCACTCACGTACTTCATTGCATGAACGCGTTGCCAATGGTTATATGGGGTGTGGGCAAGAATCTCTCTCCAGTTGACTCTCTACTTGATTGAACTGGCCATTGACGTTGTTGAATGTGCAACACAAATCCATTTCTCATGGATTAGTCAATAGCGCTTCATCTCAATAATTACTCGAGTTACATTGTCTTTTCATTTACTCTCGACATAACTCGCATGACAATACCATAAGTTATAGCATACCTAATATACGATCTATTCAATGTCTAGATGAAGCTTCTCGCTCACTTCCAATATAGCAATAAGCTTAGATCCCATTAGAAGTCAGACACAATAGCCTCAATACAGAGTAGTTAGATATATAAGTCTCAGTGAGGATGCCCTCACTTTTTCCTCACTTTCTCTTCAAGCAAACATCACTTCCACTGCTGCGGCCATCGCATCCTGCCTTTCAGCTTTCGTCTTTTTTTTTAGAAAATGACCAACATGGTGCTGGACGCCACTGCCACCGGGGTTCCCTTCTCTTTGAATGACCTCCAGGTACTTGCTGGCGAGTACCTGGGTGGTCCTTCTCAGGGTTGGGACCCCCAAAACGCCTTCGGTCATTTGTTCGGTTCGGGTCTCGACCCGAAGATGTTTGTTCTGCGCGCTCACCTCACCGCGCTGTTGGGCGAGATCATTCTCGTCCTCAACCCCGGCACGCCGGATGCGTGCATCCTCCGTCTGAATGTGGCCCCCGAATACCTCTGGGTCGGAATTCACTGGGCTGGGCCCGAAATCGGTATGTGCTCATTCTCACTTCTCCTCTGCTCAGTTCAGTTCTGTCTTTAAAGAGCCCTCACTAAATGCTTCAGCCCCCCCTCTCCGCCTACGTCGACGGCCTCCTCTTCCTCTGCACGAGCCGGCCTCTCATGGCATGGTCGGTCATGCACCACTCTCGCCCTGTCCAGCAGTGGCAGTCCCTCATGGGCGCCCTGCAACGATACCTGGACTCGGCATCCTCAGTCGGTCCGGCACCCACCGACGTCAACAGGGCGCACCCTGGCGTCGAGCGTTCTCCGCCCCGCCCTGTTGACACCATGATTCGGGATTTGGCCCCCGACATGGACCTCTGCGAAGTCCCCGTCACTGGCTTCGCCGCTGCGGCTCCCGCTCCCGCTTTTCCTCCTGCCGCCACCGCCGCTCCTCCTCTCACGGCGCCTGCCATCAGCTCTCGCTCGGCGGCCGCGATGTTCCTCAATCGCCGGCCTCGGTGTTCGCCCAGCCCCGACTACGAGGCTGCCTCGAGGGCCCGCAAGGCTTACCGTGCCCGTTGCTAGGGCGGTAGGGGAGATGGTTCGTTTGGATTTTTTTTTTTTGTTTTTTTCTTTTGTTTTTTTCTTTTGTTTTTTTTCTTTTGTTTTTTTCTTTTGTTTTTTTCTTTTGTTTCTTTTTCTTTTTCTTTCTTGTGCGACCTGGTGTCGTCTGAGTTTTGTTAGTGCGGCCAATGAAGAAACTTTGCGGTCGTCTCTTGTTCCTTTTGCCTTGTAGTCTGCTTCAGTAGCGTAGCCTTGAGAACATGGAGAGTTCCAGTAGAACATTGTCCGGGTCAGGGGCAATGGCTGTATGCTCAACTTCGAGTGTGGGGTAAACGGAGGTCAGTGTACCGTGGATGCAAGGCGGGGGACCCGGTTCCCCGGTCCAGAATCCGGGGTACCGTGCTGCTTATGTGATGTTCTTGAGCCCTGGGCATAGTATTCTTGGGAGTGACGAAGCATTGCATCGCGTGTGCAGATCACCGCGGGGTCAACGTTGTCTTCCATGCGTACATCAGTGTGTTGGCATATTGTCCGTAGACCGCTGCATGTCCGACTTGAGAAGTCCGAGGTCGGACATTCATTTTTCTTACATCCCTTACTTCTTTCTCGGATCACCTTTGTCCTCGGGTCATATTCGCAGATAACTCTGCATCTATAGATCCCATGGATGGCCTCGGGGGCTGTTTATACAGCGAACAAGATTCCAGAAATACCTGCCCTAGGAAGTATACAATGCCCCTGGGCGTACCTTACCACCATTTGCCCTCAGATTGATCTCACCGAGATCAGCTCAGTGCCCAGGCCCACTAATGGCCATCACTCAACTAGCTTCCAGCAGCTATCGACCAATTACATCCCAGCAAAAACCAAGGGCGGGAGACAGGTGACCGGGTGCAGAAGCCTTGATTCTTGACCAGACTGACCACACAAACAACTCACAGCCCAGGGCCATTAGGTAACAATAAACGATAGGTGAAAATAATGCGCCGACATGGAAGTGCATATATCACCCTGGTCCCACCGGAGTATCGGGCATCAATGATAACAATTCACATGGAACATCTCGAGCGGCTCGAAGCCCACTGTACCAGATTGAAGAACGATAGCATATCACACTGCCAATCTCTTGATGACATTATCGGATGTCGGGTCTACATCCGTGTGCCGAAGACCAGTGGCGTTGGAGAAGATTGGAGGTCTCCGCACTGGGTTGTTTACTATGGAGATTAGCAGGAGAGCGCAACTATACAACTATACACTTGAAGGAATATATTTCACATAACATTGGAAGCCAATGTATTCTAATTAAAAAGATAACTCCCTAAGTCCTTCTCAATGTACAGTACTTTGTCGAAAAGAAAAAAAGAGGAGAGACGGAGGGATGCCGGACGAGATCGGCATCCCCGCATGGGCTTATCATCTCCTCTCGCCTCCGCTGCATTCCCTATCAACTCGCTACTATTGGGTCTTCATCCTCCTATTATCACTTCATTCTTCTCTGCCTTCTTTTTTGTGCTGTGAATGTGAATGGGTTCGTCCTTCGACTGGGTATGGAAAGCATCAAAATTCCGTCTCCGTCTACAATCTTGACCGATCACCCACCGCGGGGGAATCCAACAAGGACACAGAAGCCAAAACAAACAAAAAGCCGAAATGGTAAGTGTGTGAAACTTCCGAAATTACAAGCACAAGCACTCGTGGAATAGCAGAGACTCCAGTAGCCATCGGGTTCCTCAGTGTGAAGTGTGGAGTGTTGAGCGTGGAGTATCAGTATTAACCCCATCTTAACAGGCTGTGTCACTTGCAAAGCCAAACGGCTGAAATGCGATGAAATCAAACCAACCTGTCAACAGTGCGAGAGGCGAAAAGTGAAATGTGGAGGATACAAAAAAGACTTCAAATGGCGACCGTTCGAGGAGACCAACTTGGCTCCTGGCCGACCTACCGTGAAAGCCAAGAAAGGTACTATTTGACTATTTTCGCTCTTCAACGCGGGAAGTGAAGGCCGGAAGTTGACACGAACTGCAGCTGCCTCGGATCAGCCGCCCACGACAGACAGCTTTCCCACGCCTCCGAACACCGAGCAATCGGCCTCGCCGGTGCGCATATCGCACAAGCCTCTTGCGCTTCATTCGCCGCCCGGTTCCCCGATGCAGAGTTCCCCGATTAGTATCACCAGTTTCCCGTCAGAAGTACCCTCGACCGATGATCTCTCGGCAAATCGAGATGAATCCTCCATGGTCGATGGCAGCGTGCCGCTGAATGTGAATGTTTCTTTGTCGGCCGACTCGCCTCCTTTCAACTTCCTTTCCTTCTTAGAACCCTTTCAAGACTCGCTATCGCTGGCAAATTCGTTAGTCTCGGATGCCGACACAGGCCCGAGCAAGCCAGTACATTTTGGACCCGAACAGATAAGCCTCACTGCCTCCGGGCTGAGTTTCTCCCAGCTGCTGGAAGACGAAGACGACGATATCGAAGAAATCATCCGTCGGTCGGATCCCGGTCTGGGACCGTGGAATTTGAACTTGCCGGATATAGACGCTTTTAATTTCGAAACCTGCAGTGTCCCCGGGAGTCCCTCTTTGCCTGCAGGGAGCCCCGAAATGCTGGTCTTGCGATTTGACAAGCTCACCTGTGGAATCCTCTCCGTCAAGGATGGGGCTTCGGAGAACCCATGGCGCACGCTGGTCTGGCCACTAGCGAAGAGCACGCCTGCCCTCCGCCATGCGATCTTCGCCCTGGCGGCTTTCCACTCGGGAAAGGAAAACCAGTATCTCCGAGTCCAGGGCGTGAAGCACATGAGACAAAGTATGGCGTTCCTGGTGGAGAATATTCAGAACATGCGAGCCGACACCGCACTGGCAACCAGTCTGGCGCTAGCGTTCGCAGACACTTGGGATCAACATACGCGAACCTGTATCCAGCACCTGCGTGGAGCAAAGGCTTTGATGTCCCAGGTCATCACAACCGGTATGCAAGGAACGGCCAGTGACGAGGAACTCGACCGTATCCGCTTTCTGTATAACACCTGGTCCTATATGGATGTGATAGCGCGCTTGACCTCGCTGGATGACTGCGGTCCCCAAAATTGGGATTCATCTATCTTCGACGTACCCAATAACACAGTGCACGATATTGATCCTTTAATGGGCTGTGCGACGACGTTATATCCCTTGATGAGTCGAGTTGCGAAGTTGATCCAACACGTCCGCAAGAGCGTGTCGAATACCGTATCGGTTGTGGCGCAAGCAATGGAGCTCAAGGCTCTGCTCGAGCAGTGGGAGCCTCCGCGCTGGTTTGAGCCGCCGGAGGACCCCCAATCTGAGGTTCAGCATAGTATCCAGGTAGCGCATGCTTATCGCTGGGCTACACTGCTATATCTGCACCAGGCCGTTCCGGAGATTCCCTCTGAGCCCGCAGATGAGCTAGCCAAACGCGTGCTCATCTTGCTGGCCACTGTTCCATACACATCTCGCACGACCATCATTCAAATGTTCCCTCTGGTAGCAGCGGGCGCGGAGGTTGACGCCGATGATGATCGCAAATGGGTTCTGGACCGATGGACCACAATCCAGGCTCGATTGATGCTCGGCGGGGTCGACCGGTGCTTGGAGGTCTTGAAGGAAGTCTGGGGTCGTCGTGATGCCATGAATGCAAGGAGGGAGCACGAGATGGGCTCGCGACGAGCTGGGTCGGCTTCTTCGGACAGAGAGCGCACGAGCTCTTCCTTGCCGAATGATTTCAACAACTACGGACTCAACGGGTTCCGTAAGAATTCGATGGCTGGTCGGGGCCAGGTCAGACATGCGCGTCGAGGCTCAGCTTTGGCTTCATTGGAGAACATTGAGTTCGAGAGAACTGTTCGTGGCAAGTTGCACTGGGTGAATGTGATGGCTGAATGGGGATGGGACGGTTGGTTTTGCAATCCCTTTTTGATCAAGTCTCCCAACTGATTCAAGGTTTACAGTCTTCGTTGGTTAGTATCATGCCAACGATCATTTCGCCTTTCTTTTCGCCTTTTCTGGAAATGGGCACGAGAGTCCAGCATTCCGGCCGTGCTGTCTCGCACTGTACTAATCTGCCTCACAAAACTAGCTTGGTTGTACTGGGTGTCTTCTATTATAATCCATTGTGCTGCGATATTCTGTTGGGATTTGCTTTACCAGCGCGGCGTTGTGAGAACATACTCACTGTGATGATTTATGACAACAATTTCTTGAGACTCTGAAACTGTGAAACTGTGATTTTACTCTGACTACCAATCGTGTTCGATCTAGGTAATCTTCCCCTGGTGTACTTGTGGCTCCGGTCGCCATCCATTCGCCCATTGCAACTTTCCAACCGCGACCATCCCTTCCATTGGATTGAAATCCCAAGCAACTGATCTCTATCTCTTCGTCACCAGCCCGCTACCTTCTCGACCTTCCAATTGGAAATGTAACATTGATAGCATGACTCAATGCCTACCGATTATGGGCTCTTGTCCCCTGACAGTCTACGCTGGTCATGTTCATCGCACTCGTGTCGATGAATCTCACTCTTCCATTCCTTGAACTGGGATCAGAGTCCAATCAACCAGCCGTACGGAGTAAGCCCGGAGCCAATCACTGTGGCGGTGACCCACCTATGGTAATCGGCGTCTCACCATTTTCGTAGATGAATCTTCAGTCTTCGCACCTCAAGAGCCTGCTTAACGAGCGATTACAATGTGGCTCCACAAGCCTAATGTAAGTCTGAATCGGTGAGAGACTTTAACATCTAAGCAGGCCAATTGCAAGAATCTTGTTCGGTGTAGAATCAAATTTGAGCTCTGGAGCAGCTCCTACTCGTCTCATTGCACATAGAGTCGGTGTCGGAATTATCTATGCATAGATGCTTCGTACATACTGACCCTTGTTCTTTGTAAGCCCTGATTTTCCACTCGAATATCCACGATGCTCGGGGAGGAACCGAGTTGATATTTCAAAGATTCTCAGGTTATTACCAATGCTTTGATTTGTTGGGGCCAGAATGCTTAGTGATTATGGTAGACCTTCTCACGACTCTCATTGCCCGATATAAACAAAGCAGATGAAATTATAATATAGTACAATCCTTATATCCAGTACTAGTAGTTTCGATCAGCCTGGCGTCAGCGCAAGTCGCATATGCGTGGTCTGCCAGGAAGGATCGCTCTCAACATCGACAATGTTGAATTCCTGGCGCTCCCAGAAGCGGATCGCCCCAGGCAGAAAAGGATGGGTGTGTAGGTATAAGCATTCAACACCTGCTTCAATCGCATGCTTACGCAGGGCCGCGAACATTTCCGCCGCCAGGCCGAAGCGACGGTATTTGGGGGTGACGAATAAGCGTACGATCTCCACAGTTTTACGATCGTCTAGACCAAGATGAGGGAAGCGATGGTCGTACGGCAAGTATCCGAGACCAGCGATCAATTGGCCTTGGTCATGGGCGACTAGAAAATGGCCCTCGCCTGTGATGTAGGCTTCGGTGAAATGCGTTAGGTCCCATGGCGGGGATCCGATGAGTGATGGGAAGAGCTCGCGGCGTGCGCATTGGATAAAATTGGATGTTTCTGTTGCGGCAGCTCGGCTGACAGGTGTGATGGTCCAGGTGGGTATTGGTTCAGGTTGCAGGTAGAGGTGTTCGCCCGTGTGGGTGCACGTCAGGCCTCCCGGTGTCGGGTTATTAGTGCACATAATTGGGATTTGGGTTGGACTTCATAAACCTGGGCTCATTGAGACAGTTCTACCCTTGGATTGTCAAGCTGAGCTGTTCAAATTGTAGAGAATTCATTCTTCACCAGCCACATCTTGGCATAGCCACGTCTTGGCACGGCTCGTGCAATCTACATCTCATCAGTTACCCACCAGAGCTTCATCTCCTTCATCTCTCAGTGAGCCGCATCGCCTTTACAACTAAGTCTTCCAATTCTGAACAATGCCCGTCGGTGGTTGTTTCTGCGGCAAAGTCCGACTCAGTCTGAACGGCCAACCGGTGACGTCAGTCAGTCCCCCAATTCACCTCGACCCCTTCACCCCTCTCATTCTATATACTCCCTCCTAGGGCCTATGCTACTGCGATGACTGTCGCAAGCTCACTGGAGCACCATCCACCTACAACTTCATCGCCAAATCCTCAGACGTGACCATCACAGGCACTCCCAAAGAAGTAGCCAAGTCCGCGGATAGCGGAAACTATATCAAAAATTACTTTTGTCCTGACTGTGGTTTGTATCGCGATTGTCGATCTTGGAGGCTACCAGTGATTAACGAATGCGATAGGTACGCCACTTTATGGGCATAAGATCAATCCCGACGGAGAGGCGGATGGGACCACTATCATCCGGGCGGGGATCTTCGATGATGGGCGCATTGTGAGGGATCGGAAGCCTGATGCTGAGATCTTTACTGAGAGGAGGCCGACGTGGATCAATCCGGTAGAGGGGGCTGCTCAATTTTGTGGTATGCTCTGACGCGGTTGCGCTGAGTGAGCGAGCTGACTCCATGTATAGCTCCTTCGCCTTGAATGGCTTTGGGAGCTTGGTGAAGGGACGGTTGATGGGACGATGAATGGGATTCAGTGGTCTGTTTTTCCATTTGGTTGATATATGGCGTTCTGTTGGTGGGGTGGCTAGGGGTGCAAACCTTGGAAGTAGAATATCTCCGGGGCTTGGGAATGGATATCGCACCTACATCAATCTACTCCGTAGATATATCAAGAATAGCCCAAAAGAGTCGAGTATAAGAAGCTTCGAGCGGGATCCACCTGCCCCCCCGCTTGGACCCCAGACTCGGTCTTCTGTCCGATCGAGTGTGAAGTATACATATACTAAAGAGTATAGCATTATAGTTAGAGTATGGAGTACTCCGTATACCATTCTCAATTCCCCCACCCCACGCTCCCAACCCTAATTCCCCTCTCCCACTCGCCTCCAAGCTCCTAACTGGACCAGCTCCTCAAGTTATGCATCTTCCCCACGCAGATCCTACCCCAAGCACTCAAACTCCCGCCGATCCCGACGATCAGATCCAAATTATTGCAACCCCTGCACGCAGTCATGCAGGACACCACAATGATTGGCTCAGCTCTGCAGCATTCAATGAATGTCTGGCAATACCACCAGCCGAATTTATAAACGTAGCTCCTCACCCCTCTTTCCAGTCGGCTGGACATGACCGATCTCTCTTTCGCAACGCATCATGGCTACCGTATACGATGACAAGCCAGCTGCATCGCGGTTGTCGGACGCAGAGCGAGACCCTGATCTCAAGGGTTCGGTCGTTGCGGGATTCGAGGATCCGGATGAAGGTCTAAGTGATGAAGAGCGGGCTGCGATTGTACGTGATTTGTATCCTATCCGCTCATCTCATCCCTTGCTAGCCAGATCGTGGCCCGGCGTGAGCGCGATAATGCGCAAAAGGAAAATGTTAATTCAACGACAATGGCTGACTGGAAACTGCATAGGATCGGAAATTGTTGTGGAAACTCGACATCCGTCTCGTCCCCTGGCTGAGTCTACTCTATCTGGTTTCGTTCTTGGATCGGTAGGAGGATTTCATATGATTGCGCCGGTGCATCTGCTCACCCGTTCATTTTGTAGGACGAATATTGGAAATGCGAAGCTCGTCGGCCTTCAAACGGATCTGGGCATGACGAATGCACAGTACAATGCTTCGCTGACCATCTTCTTTGTCTCGTACTCGGTTTTTGAGCCTGCGACTAATGTCCTCCTCAAGCGATTGCGCCCTAGTATCTTTATTCCATCAATTATGATGGCATGGGTATGTAAATCATCTTCCCTCTCTGCATATATCTTATCTTGTTCCCATCTTTCTCTGAATGCTCGCTAACAACGCTAGGGTATCTGCATGACATGCATGGGCGTAGTCCACAACTACGCCGGCCTCATGGCCGTCCGCTGGTTCCTAGGTCTCTCCGAAGCCGGACTATTTCCCGGCGTAGGATATTTCCTCTCATGCTGGTACAAACGATCGGAGTTCGGCGTGCGAATGGCGATCTTCTTCTCCGCCGCTGCGTTGGCCGGCTCGTTTGGAGGCCTCTTGGCCGCTGCAATTGCGAAAATGGATGGCGTGGGTGGCTTGGCGGGATGGTCATGGATCTTCATTCTCGAGGGTCTGGCTACCTTCGTGATTGGCGTGGCTTCGTTCTGGTGTGTCTATGATTTCCCAGATCAGGCGCGGTTCTTGTCTGCGGATGACCGGAAACGGGTGTTGAGACGCCTGGCGCTGGATCAGCAGTCCAGTGCTGAGCATGAGGAGTTCAAGATGGATTACTTCTGGGCTAGTGTGAAGGACTGGAAGACGTATACTGGTGCGGTTATCTATATGGGGGCTGATGGAGCGCTTTATGCGTTCTCGCTCTTCGTGCCGACGATTATCAGCGAATTAGTGAGTTGCATGGACAGATTGGTTGGAGGAATTGTGCTAATATCTCTCAGGGTAATGATCTTTCTATCTTTCTCAGCGATGAGGAGTTGTGTTTGTGTATTGACTCTACTCAGGCTACAGTTCTATCCGCGCTCAGCTGCTGAGCGTTCCGCCCTATGCAGCGGCGGCAGTCTTGACCGTGACGATCGGCTTCATTGCAGATCGCACCCGCCAGCGAGGCCTCTGCAATATCGGCGTTTCGTTTCTGGGCATGATTGGATTCTCCATGCTCCTAGGCTGCGAATCTCCCGGGGCACGTTACGCGGGAGTGTTCTTCGGCGCGATGGGCATCTACCCGGCCATCGCGAACACGATCTCTTGGACGAGCAACAATACCGAGGGTTAGTTCCCACACTGCCAATCTGGACGAATTTCCGACTAACTCGTTGCTAGGCGTGTACAAACGAGGTGTCTCTCTCGGCTTCATTATTGGCTGGGGAAACCTCAACGGGATCGTCTCCTCCAATATCTACCGCGACGACGACAAGCCTCGATACTACCCTGGCCATGGAGTGGTTCTGGCGTACCTCGTTCTGTTCCTCTTTGGCGGGTCGGTGGTGCAGTATCTCCTGCTGCGGCGGGAGAATGGCAAGCGTCGACGCGGTGAGCGCGACGCCTGGGTAGAAGGGCTGGAACCTAGTCAAATTGATCTGCTGGGGGATCAGAGACCGGATTTTATTTATACGCTGTAATGCTCAGCCGCGATCGAGCCGAGGTTTGCATGCGATGTGCAAGGTTCTGGTCAGCCCTTTGACTCGGCGTATTTCCTGGCTGCGTTCGGGTCGATAGATGACGTATGTCTCACCCCCAGACTTCCACCCGTTTGACATTTGACTGCTGTGGAGCGAAAGTGGCTGAGAGAAGTGTGGGGGAAGAAGTGGAGTTGTGTCGAGGCAACGGATCTCATGGCCCCCACTAGCCTTGAAGACGCTAGGACATTGTCTGTCAACTAAGGTGAAATTCTACAGGATAGTCATGCCGAGGCCATGGGTCGTCTTGAGCAATTAGCGCATACGCAATACGCAGACCAAGTGCGGACAGTGCGGAGTGCCGATTCAATACTGGACAATCTAAGCGAGATGAAGGCGAAAATGGCTGCGTAGTAGCACAAAGTACTCCGGATAATTTGCGCGTAATACGAGGTGCCACGCCTGTCAGGTACAGTCTCAGGCACCGATGCATTTTGCAGATCCAGAAGTTCCAGAATTCCACGCATTCCCATCTCTGCCGATCGCGGTGGACCCTGTCTGGGGTTGATGAACGGAAATGAAGTACGGAGTGGGAAGGGAAAGAAGAGAGAGAATAGAGAAACTAGCGTACTGAAATACTATAGTCAGAATAGAGTTGCTTAATTGCATTGTATAGCATCTCACAAAGTCATTGAGTCAGGTGAAAAGTGCGATCGTCTCTATACGTCGCGGGTGGCAGCTGTCAGGCCGGTTGCGGAAGAATGTGATGTAACTGGAAGTGTAGTATTCGAGTATAGTAGTATAGTAGTATAGTAGTATATTACTATATTACTTTACTATACAGAGTTTTAGTTTATTGGTCTATTGGTCTATTGGTCTATTAGTTTATTGAAGAAGAGAAGAAGAAAAAAGAAACTAGTGTCTTCGGCTCTTCCACGCGGAAAAAGAAAACCCGCCCTGAAACCGGCCAATTTCCTGGGCCGACTCTCTCTCTTTCTTCCTCCCACGAACACACTCTTTACCTCTCCCTCGTTCATATCAAGGGCTCACAGGGCTCAGGACTCACAGGACTCACAAGACATGCCTCACCCTCGCACCATGTCGCGCATCCTCCTCGTCCTGACCTTCGCCCTCACGGCCTGGTCCGCCAGCATCCTCCCCACCTCCGCCTCCAGCACATTTCCACAATGCGGTCTGTCCTGCACCGCCTTAACCAACGCCCAAACCTCCTGTGAATCAGGCGCCGCCGCCTCCTGGACCTCCTGCTTCTGCCAATCCTCCCTCCTGACCGGCCTCAAATCCTCCGGCAGTGTCTGTTCCTCCTGCAGTACCGAGGACCAAGCGACTCTGTCCACCTGGTACAACAATTACTGCAACGGCGGGAGTACCGCGACCACCACCAGCGCAAGTGCGGCGACTGGCTCTTCGACCTCTACTGCGACTTCCACCGGGACCGCGTCCAAATCAAATGCGAACACTTCGACTACTGAGGAGAACAAGTCATGGTTCGTTTGGACTCTCTCTCTCTCTCTCTCTCTCTTTTACAATCTACTCTGTGGCCGGAAATGAATGTGCTAACAAAAACAGGTGGAGCACCCACTACAGATGGATCATCATGCTGATCGTCCTGGTCATCGGCTTCTCAGCCATTGGCGCAGCCGGCGTCTGGTACAAACGCCGATACGACGCCAAACGACCAAATCTCTACCACGGCGGAAGCAGCGGCGCCTTGAGTACCGCCTCACCCCCTCGTGAAGCCGCATGGGGTCCGGCCCCCAACATGCCCGGTCTGCCAGCGGGGTCCGTGGCGAGTTCGCGGTCAACGGTGGCCAAGTCGAGCACGCCTGTTCCGCCCCGCTCTAAATTGTCCAAGATTGATCAGCGCGGGGATTTTGAGACGAGGCAGGTTTGAGGGAGATATTCCAGTTGCAATTCTTATGCATTTATCGGTGTTGGGTTGGAAATTTGGGTTGAGAGATTTTTGGTTTGCGCGTTATACGGGGTTTGGTGCTTTGATTTGATTCCGTGGGCGTTTGCCCGAAACCTGAGCTGGGTTCTTTTTTTATTTTGTTTATTTTTTTTTCTCTCTTTCATTTGGTTTTCCTTGTTCGCTTGTCATATATGGTTGTTTTAATCATTCGGATCTCTTTTTATATCTTTTTGTCCTCGGGCTGGCGATCCCCGAGGATGTACATAGTGCAATGCGTGCGCGCTTTCATGGTTCCATATTACTACATATAACCCTGTAATCCCCATCCAATCCAGGTGGGAAAACGGTGCAATCATGAGATACTAATGCTCACAATCTTGATGTCAACTTCCGGCTTCTCCTTGTGCGTCCGGCAATTCTCGATTTTGTGTACAATGTCCATGCCCTGCACTGCACGGCCGAAGACCGTGTGCTTGTTATCCAGCCACGGCGTCTTCTCCGTAGTGATGAAGAATTGACTGCCATTGGTGTTGGGTCCTGCGTTCGCCATCGACAGCGTATAGGGTCGATCGTGCTTGAGCACCGAGAACTCGTCTGCGAACTCTCCGCCCCAGATGGACTCGCCGCCCGTTCCGTCCCCTTGGGGATCACCGCCTTGGATCATGAACTTGCGAATCACACGGTGGAAGATCGTGTTGTTGTAATAGCCCTGGCGGGAGTGGGTGACGAAGTTCTCCACGGCACGCGGTGCAGCGGACGGGTACAGGCGCAGGTGGATGTCGCCATAGGTGGTGTGGAGAATCGCCGCGGTACCGGTCTCGGCGGCTTTGGTGGGTGCGGCGCCTTGGTCGGATGCCGATTGAGTGGGCTTCTCGTTCTGCACGTCGCGTGACTTGGAAATGTCCGTCACATTGTTGAACATGTAGAAACGGACCTTGGCGAAACCGGTCGCGAACAAGATTGGATCGCGTTCTTCCGCTTCCTGTAGGAGAGGGTTGCTACTGGCGGCCATGGAGACGGTCACCACGCCCTTGCGCTGTGGCTGGCCCTGGTAGAGGGCAAGATTGAGGGCGCGGAAAGGATCCTCGCGGCCGTAGACGCGGACCACCCGGTTCGTGTATGTGTTGATGCATTTCACGCCGTAAAGCGAGCCGTAGAGGATGAAGTGACCTGATTCGTCAAAGGAGACGTTCACTTTGCTGCGGGTTGCTTCGCCTTCGATTTCACGCTCCACGCCCAGACGGCGTCCGAATTCCACTTCGTCAAGTGCGTAGGGCGCGGTTCCAGCCTGCTGCATTTCTGTAATGGTGGTTATTGACTCGTCGTATGTGCGATAAAGCTTGCCCGAGGCGAAGTCGAAGACGCGGACCTGCCGGTCGGGGAAAGAGACTGTCGCAAAGTGTTCGCCGGATGGGGAGATCGTGATCGCCGTCGGTACCGACTTGGCCTTCTTGAATGCGAATAGATTGGTGGACGACTTCAACTCGAACACGTTGTCTGGCTTCTCGAACGAGCCGTCTCCGGCCCTCCAGTATTCAATCATTCCCGTCTCATCGGCCGAGACCACACAGTCGAAGATGTTATTGAACGCGAGGGACACCACGGGGCTGCGGTGGATGGTTTTCAGAGTATGCAAAGGCTGGGGGTTCTCGCCACGTCCATCGAAGATCTGAATTGTACTGCTTGCCTCGTCTGTCACGCTGAGGAGTGGTAGCGATGCTCCGCGCGGGTGAACCCAGCAGACACACCGAGGAACGAAATCCAGGGTATACATCGACAAGAGGTCTATCTTCGTCAATAAGAGCCCTGTGCAAGCCACCACTCCAAGAGATCCACTCACCGAAGGTTATGACATCAAAGATCTTCACCGTCTTGTCTGCTCCAGCCGTCGCAAAGCTGCGGCCATCGGCGCTGACGGTTGCGCTCCGAATCTCACCGGGGTGAGCGCGGAATTCCTTCACGAACTCAATGCCCTCGGCCATTTTCTTCCAGAACTTGACAAATCCATCCACAGAGCTGGTGATGACGAAGTCGGTAAAGGGCGCGACCGTCACAAAGGCCAATTGGTCCTTGTGCATGAGAGACTTGGAGTACTTCGCGGAGACCGGGAGCGCATTGACGAATACTTTCTCGAAGGGCAGCTTGCGCCGCTTCTTCTGAGGCGCGACCTCTGAGGGGAGCGCGGGGCCGAAGTCATCGTCAGACTCGTCATCGCCTGGAGTTTTTAAACAATTAGGGTCCAATTCGAGGGTCGGAGGAAGCGGTCTGGGGTGGATTGGAGCATGCTTAGGACTCACTGTTCTCGCCCTCGACTGCGGAATGAGGCCGCTTCGTCACTGGAGGGGTTGCGACTTCTTCGGAGCCGGCCATGGTCGGAACGTAGGGTAATATGGTCACTCGCAGCAAAAAAGCAGTTGACGTAGAGTGCCGACAGGATAGAAACGTCCAGAGTTACTGCAGGCGGTGAGGCTCTGCGGCCAATCAGAAGCTCGGGCCAATCGTGCGGCGGATTTTCTCCTTTCCCCCACTGTTGACAGGAGAAGTTGCTTCAACCTTTTCCAGCAAGACACTTGATCTTTGGTCGATTGCCTTATTACGCTGGTCATCATGGTGCGTTTGACTGGGCTGGGCGCTCTTGCGATCGGAAATTAAATTGGACCTGCTTGCTAACCTCGACCCCTCTCAGGCAACTTTCGGCAATCCCACACAGATCTTTGGTGACGATGTCATTGAGGAGAAGGGCGAGAACGCTCGTCTCTCCGCCTTCGTCGGTGCTATCGCCGTCGGAGATCTTGTTAAGAGCACACTCGGTCCCAAGGGAATGGATAAGATTCTCCAGTCTGCGTACGTGGGGAGCCCACCGATATGGATTGATACCTGTTGCATATGACATCGGCATTACTAACATAACCTATCTCCTTTTTGCAGATCTACAGGAGAGATTCTCGTGACGAACGACGGTGCTACGATCCTCAAGTCCATCGCCCTGGACAACGCCGCAGCCAAGGTGCTGGTCAACATTTCCAAGGTGCAGGATGACGAAGTTGGTGATGGAACCACATCGGTCACCGTCTTGGCCGCTGAGTTGCTGCGCGAGGCCGAGCAGCTCGTTGCGAAGAAGATCCACCCCCAGACCATTATCGAAGGATACCGGATAGCGAGCAAGGCCGCTCTTGCCGCTCTCGAGGCTACGGCAGTTGACCGCAGCCAAGACCCAGAGGCCTTCCGCAAGGACCTGCACTCCATCGCCCGCACAACCCTCAGCTCCAAAGTGCTGGCACAAGACCGCGACCACTTCGCCCAGTTGGCCTGTGAGGCCGTGCTGCGTCTCAAGGGCTCCACCGACCTGTCCCACATCCAGATCATCAAGAAGGCCGGTGGCAAGTTGAACGACTCTTACCTCGATGAGGGTTTCATTATGGATAAGAAGATTGGTGTGAACCAGCCCAAGCGGTTGGAGAATGCGAAGATCCTGGTCGCCAACACGGCCATGGACACAGACAAGGTCAAGATCTTCGGTGCACGAGTCAAGGTCGAGTCGACTGGTAAGTTGGCCGAGTTGGAGAAGGCAGAGCGCGAGAAGATGCGCCAAAAGGTCGAGCGCATCAAGTCCCACGGCATCAACTGCTTCGTCAACCGTCAGCTCATCTACAACTGGCCCGAGCAGCTGTTCACCGAGGCCGGTATCATGACCATCGAGCACGCCGACTTCGACGGTATCGAGCGTCTGGCTCTCGTCACCGGCGGAGAGATTGCCTCCACCTTCGATCACCCCGACCAGGTCAAGCTCGGTGGGTGTGACACCATCGAGGAGGTGATCATTGGTGAGGACACCCTGATCAAGTTCTCCGGTGTGGCCGCTGGTCAGGCCTGCACCATTGTGCTGCGCGGTGCCACCGAGCAGCTTCTCGACGAGGCGGAGCGCTCCCTCCACGACGCTCTGGCCGTTCTCTCGCAGACCGTCAAGGACCCCCGCGTCACCCTGGGTGGTGGATCCGCCGAGATGGTGATGTCCAAGGCCGTCGAACAGGCTGCCCAGAACACCACTGGCAAGAAGCAACTTGCCGTTGACTCTTTCGCCCACGCTCTGAAGCAGCTCCCCACCATTCTGGCCGACAACGCCGGTCTGGACTCCAGTGATCTGGTCACTCGTCTCCGCCAGGCGGTGAACAACGGTATGACCAGCTCCGGTCTGGATCTGTTGACGCCCGGTGGTGGCATTGCGGATATGCGCGAGCTCGGTGTTGTGGAGGCTTATAAATTGAAGAAGGCGGTTGTTTCATCTGCCTCAGAGGCCGCTGAGGTATGTCATTCTCATTCTCTTTTCCTTGTATTCAGGATCCGTACTAACATATCACTTTCAGCTTCTCTTGCGAGTGGACAACATTATTCGCTCCGCTCCCCGCCAGCGCACCCGGATGTAATGGACATGATTGTGATGCCCCGGTTGACGATTCATCTCTGTACCCTTTGGATGGAACTAAAAAATATGTGCCATAGAAGTTCAACTCAGTACATGATATCCAAATGATCTCTGTCCAGATGTAGACCATGTAATCCATAGTAGACCCCAATGTGTGATTTTCTAGATAACTTTGGAGGTTATGCTGCTGATGTGCTTGCTGAATAGTGCCCACCAATTCAGATGAATGGCCAGGTGATACCTTTTATTTTGGTGACTAGTTTATGGGGCTGAGGGCTGGAGAGTGCTGCTGTAATTTCAGCTCACATTGTGAGCAGTCGATATATTTCCCGGGGTCACAGCCAGCGTAGCATATGAAAAGCCTCTGGCAAACTACAAGCCCCCTTCTTATCTTTACTGTTATCTTGAAACACACAAGCTATGCAAATAAACGTAAGCAATAACCTTGGAACCTTGGAAGTGTGGAGTGATCAAGACCCTGAACGTTGAACCAGTATAGATACCGAAAGGGGTTAGCGCGGACCAAAGCGGAAGATGAAACGCGACAATTCGCTTCTTTTCTCACTTGGCTTCTTCTCTCTTGGCAAACAGGCAACAAAGATCTTAGCACTCGAGCATCGCCCGTTGATTCGCTCTTCCAAGTCTTGTCCAATGCTTCGAAGGCTTCGCTCCTCGTGTTCGTATATTCGACAATGACGATCACATTCCCACGTATGGGTCACTCTTCGGCAGCGATCCAGATCGGCACCGAATCCCATTGTCGAATTGGCTGATCGTCTGCCTACCCAGTTTTTTTTCCAACAATGATCTGACAGTGTTTTTGTGCCTGGAGTATAGAGGAACACAAGCGACACACAAAGTCAAGGGATGTCTCAGCGCGTAGGTCAATGTTTCATCCGCTTCTGCAGGTGTATTAATTACGTCTAAAAGGGGGTTCTGGCCAGGGTGAGGGGACTTTTTTTTCTTTAATTATGCGAATAGAACCAATAGAACCAATAGTGCCGAGCTCATGAACAGAAAATACAAAATAACATCCAGCTGTACTCTTAACTCCGTACTTGACATTAACAACCCGAGACGGACATTCCCGTTCTTTTAGGCCTTTGCCCCCCCGCTGCAACGGTACTGTTACCGGTTACCCCGAGACCCTTTCTCACTTCTGCACTTCCTCTCTCTTATGCCACTCCACTTCTCCAATTTTCAATGATTCTGTCCAAGTGGCTGGCCACACTCCTGGGCGGCACTCTCGCCGCTCAGGGTGCGCTGGCGATCGATCTGACCATCAATGATGAAGGTATGGCCCTCACGGTGCTTACTCGCGCGCTTCCCCGGCTAACAGGTCCGTACAGCGTCCCTCAAGAGCGCCGCCAAAACCGTCGCCACCACGATGATGGATTACTACAACGCCCGAGACTCCGCCAATATCCCCGGTAAAATGGACGGAACGTGGTGGGAGGGTGGCTCCATGTTCATGACCTTGATCCTGTACTGGTGGGTGACCGGAGATACCCAATTCAATGCCGCCGTGCAAGAAGGCATGTACTTCCAGAAAGGCGACGACGACTTCTTCCCCTCCAACTACAGTCAATACCTCGGAAACGACGATCAGGTCTTCTGGGGCCTCGCCGCCATCACCGCCGCCGAATTCAATTACCCGGAGTTGGACGGTCAGCCCTCGTGGGTCTCCCTTGCACAGGGTGTGTTCAATACTCAATATCCCCGCTGGGACACCAGCAGCTGTCACGGTGGTATGCGCTGGCAGATTTGGCCATATCAGAACGGTTATTTGACCAAGAACGCGATCTCCAACGGAGGTTTGTTCCAACTTTCTGCTCGTCTCGCACTTTACACCGGAAACAAGACATATGCCGAATGGGCCGAGCGCATTTGGGATTGGAGTGCGACCACTCCCCTGCTCAAGCAGAAGAACTGGAATATTGCCGATTCTACGACCTGTGGGACTCAGTGCACAGATCACGGTGATTTCCAGTGGACATACAACTACGCCACTTACATTAGCGGTGCTGCCTACATGCACAACTATGTATGTTTTCCCCTCCCAAGATTACTCTATCCCAGATCCAGTACTGACGTTTTCCCTAGACCAATGGCACTGAGACCAAGTGGAAGGAGGGTGTTGAGGGTCTGTACAAGACCTCTCAGCAGTTCTTCCCGACCAGCGGAGGCAACCTCATTCTCTCGGACATCACCTGCGAACCCCTCGGCAATTGCGACCGAAACCAAATCACCTTCAAATCCTACTTCACCAACTGGATCGGAGTGATGACTACCATCGTGCCCGACACCTACGACATGGTCTTCCCTCAGTTGCAGGCTTCCGCAGAAGCAGCGGCCAAGCAATGTTCGGGCGGTGACTCCGGGAACAAGTGCGGTATTCGCTGGACCAAGCAGGCCGAGTGGGACAAGACTTCCGGACTCGAACAACAAATGGCGGTGCTGGGAGTGCTCTCTGCCAACTTGGTTCCATTCAAGAATTCGGCACCCTACACCTCAGACTCCGGTGGAACCTCAAAGAGTAACCCGAACGCCGGCACTAACTCCTCGGCCAATAAGGTCCCTGTCCTGAATACCATTGGCACGGGTGACAAGGCTGGTGCGGGTGTTTTGACCGTCATCTTCGTGACGGGCTGGGCCGTCGCTGTCACTTGGATGGTCCGCGGTGGTTAATTCTTTCTTGTTCTCTTGGGATCATACGTGATCCTTTTTGTGCTATAGTTTCTTTCTTCTATGCCTGCGCATCCTTTCCCCCTGTATCTATCTTGACCTTCTTGTGTCTTTTTTTTCCTTTTCATTCATAATTTTCGATTTTACCTCAGCACTTGGGATGCACGAGGATTGGGTTTGCGGCGTTGGATGCCCTCTGATTTGAACTACCTCACCATTCTCTTTTTTTTATTATCTCCGGTTAAATGAACCTCGATTCTCGGTGTTTCTCTGCCCCTCTGCCCCCTTGATTGATTGGTAACCCTGGCATTGGACAGGGCGTTCACTCCAACGAGGAAGCCTTTGATTACTGCAGCCTATGATCAAAGAACCCCCGAGAGATGAACTGTCTCACTGTCTCGTCTGTTAGATGTAGTGTCTCACGTCGAGGGGGTTATTTCCCAGTCAAAGGATCTGAATACAAAAGTAGTTCTCTCCACCGAGTCCTTGGAGGCTTTGTCATTGTAGCTTAGCCAGCATGGGGATTTTACCTTGCAGGTTTCCCACATTGATTCAATGTGTAGCCAATTGAATGGGATGATTCAAAGTGTTATTGCATGATGAAACACCAGGATCTACAGACGCGCTTGAAATCAGTTTCATCTCTATACTCTCTTTACTTCTTTGCTGAACTTTGTTTTGCATGACGCTATAACTTTTACGGTTAGATTACCCCTGACCCACACTTTCGTCGGTATTCTAGTACGGTAATGAATAATGGCATAAAAATAGCTATCGTATCATGGTTGTATGGGCTATGCGTGTCTAGAACCATGCGCTTGCAAACGAGCCAAACAGACTAGCTGACAGGAGATTCGGTCGGTTGTCTGGCCACTACACCTCTCACCTCCTTCCTCTTCAGTCAACCACGTTCACTCTACTACTCTACTAACACAGTGGACGAGCGAAAACACATATAGACACAATACTGGTGGGATGAATTATTTCTTTACAACCGACTGATCTGCCCTACAAACAGCCGGATCCCTTGGGTCTAACCTTCTGTTGAAACCCGGATAACAAAAATGTGCTGAAGTTCAATTTTATTAGGAAGTTGAGGACGATGGTTAATCACTTATATCTTAACGGTGATGAATCTCAAGCTCAAAGCCCCAATCACTTGGACTAGGATTCGTAATACGCCCCTACTCCAGGATTTTACGGATATACACCACCCTCAGAATATAGAATGAGCCCTTCACCGGACCGTTGCTTTCAAGATGATTTCGAGCACTTACTTTTTACCTAACCAGAAATTAACAAGCTGCTTCAGCTCTTCGAATAGGAGATAAATAGACTAGACGACAAGCTTTTTATAAACTTCATTTGATATACTATCGAGTGGAAAGTTAAGGTGAATAACTGGTCTATGTCAGAAGATACGAAATAGGATATAGCCTTGACCCTAAGTGCTTACTAGTTTTTACTTCTTAGAGAAAAGTTATATAAGGTAATCGAGGAGAAGGTTGCTTGCAAACAAAGGGTTAGGTCGGATAACATATCTATTGTTATGTCTATCAACGATTGCAAACAACGGGACCTGAAAAAGCAGTTTAATGGCCTTAGTATTAACTAGACTACTATGGAAAAACAATTACTCGCGTGGGGGAAGTTTTATGTTGGCGATAAGAAATTGCGGCTAGTGATTATCTTTAATTATATAGAGGACGACTATTTTATAAGGGTTGCAACAGGTAGCAACGAGAAAAGAGGGAGGTTATTGGTTATAAAAAGGATACTCAATAAGTGGGATTAACAACTTGATATTGAATAGCATATATCTAGGGAACAATTGATTTGGTGGGCTATCTACAACTTGATGTATTGTCTTTTACCATCTTGCTATCTTAGTCTGTATTTCTAGTAGGATCTATATAGGAAAAAATATTATTAGCTATGGATATATTATCTCAAACGCCTGATCGCTTATGTTAAAGGCGGTGATATTCTGGAGTGTTAAGACGATGTCTCTAATACTATTTATAAGGAATTCTTCTTGAAAGAATAGTAGAAACTAGAAATTCACTAGTCTAAGAGTAATAAAATACTTACTCCAGGAAACTATCCGCCTATTAGTATCAACTTTATTGAAGGACAATCTCACTTGTAGTTATTAGCAGCCTACTTAACTGTAGTATCGGATATATCTCTTGCTCAAAATGGATAGATAGTAGATCAACTTATAATTGACGGGTCTTGAGATGTTACTATGAGAGAATACAGCGTATAGCAAGAAACAAATGTTGTTGACGACAACTTGAAGGCTTAATTTCAACAGGTATGCAATGCAACGCTAGCTAACAGTCTGGATCTTGAATAAATCTATAAGGACTATGACCTAGGATTTTTTATTGAAAAAGAAGTTGCGATAGAGATTGTCCGCTACTTTATAAGCGATATTGTTAGATAGGCGAGGTATGTAAGAAACTAACAGTATAAACTAGTAGTTAAAGTTACTGGCAAGACGTGACTAAATAAAATTGCTTGTTTATCTGATTTTGATATAATGTATTTTCTATAATATACTACTAGGTATAATAAATACGTATTATATAGATGGTCTAGTTAAATTTGATGCTAATGAAACATTCTTGTACAGAACTACTGTTGATTTATTATCAATATTGAGCCTCAATGGTAATTTTAAACAACAATGTCAGCGTGTTGGAAATGGCCTTTTGCACTTTTTTCTCGCGATCCGATAATATCGATACACTACTTAAGGAAGCATTTAAATCTTTGGTCTGGGCTTTGTTTATATTGCCGTTAATTTCGCTTGATAAACGCCTTTAACTCGGAGAAAAACTTTTTAATAGGATTCAAATCGGGCGAGTAAGGAAATAAGTAAACTAATTTTATTCTTATATTAATATATATTTCTTTAATTCGTTTAGAATGATGAAAAGATATATTATCTATGACTATCACGGACTTTGCCACTTTGGTTTAGGTTATTTTCCGTAATATTTGAGAAGGCGCTTAATAAAGTCTTCAAATACGGCTATATCGGTCGAGCTTTAAAATACTTGAGAAAAAACAACACTATTTTAGGCGTATGTAAGAAGAATCTGATAATATTGATCACGATGGAATTTGGATATCTATAAAGACGTCGCGCCCATTGGAGACTAGTCGGTCCGTTTAAAACCAATTCGTTTGTTGTATCTAGACTTGTCTATATAGACTAGATGATGGGATCGAAATTCTGATAAGTTATATAGAAGTCTCGTAAATTGGCGTTTTGTTTCTTTGCTCTTTGTCGAGTCACCTTTTTCGACTAGCCGATAGATATAAGAGCTCGCTTAAGACTAGAATTCGTTATCCGAATATAGAATTCATCCTATAAAAAGAGCGCTATCTTATCTATATAGAGCCTAGGTTTCTCAAGAAGATGATTATATATAGCCTCTAGCATTGGAGGGGTGATACTTCGTCGTCGTCCGACATGTGTAGGAGGCGCTTGGATATTCCCAAATAGGTGGAGATTATTGCGGAGGTTGATGATTGAACGCTTACTACATTTAGCTGCTTTAGCTATCTGTGATGTGTTTAAGGATTTACTAAGTATTATGTCGCGGATTATCTCGAGCTTGGAAGGAGGGAGTCTTGGCGCCATTTTGCGTAATGATGGTGGAAGATTTAGGGTGTTGGCGGTGGAAACTTCCTTATGAGGCATCGTTGGTCCAAAACGGGGAAGTTCATTCCTCTATGCTCATCTCTGCTCACCCTCCTGCTCAGTGAGCGGACGAAATAGTTTTGACTGAAGGGCTGGGAACGACGGAGTAATGGGAAATGCACGTGACCTACCACCATCGTAGGTCTTGGAAACGTGGTTGTCATGGCGACAGATCTGAAAACTGCGGCAATTCTTCAGTGCCAACCACGTTAGATAGAACGGCATGCACGATGTCACGGATGGCAGACTACGTGTCTGGTCTCCCAGACGGCTGTATCCTGCTCAGGGAGCGGATGAATGGATTTTTGATTGACGGTCGGGGGGATGCTGGGGTATAGGGAAAATGCACGTGACCTTGGGTCATTCAGTTCCCAGGAGCTTGGTTGTTTCTAGAACAGCGATTTGAAAACTGCGGGCCCTCAACTATTGCTAGCTAGGGGCAAATTGATAGGACGTACCTAAGAAGTCATGGATGCTTGATTGTGTGCTTAGTTTCCTCCAGGTGGTTAACTACTGGCTGCCCTAACGTTTTGATGTATTGACCTGCTCAATTGGATCACGCAGGTAGTCACGATTCGGGATTATACAGTCTCACAGCCGTTTTTATTTTAGGTATTCCTGGGCATCAGCGCGTAGGCTATTCAAATGAGACGTGTGTAGGAAGGCACAGGGATCTGACGCAATATAAACAATGATCACAGGCCAGATATGGGACACTGCTCTGCAAGCACGAGAAATATAACACCTGACGAACAGGCGATAGCCAAATTAGATCCAGACATAGCAAAGTGAAATGAACTAGCTGGTCGATATTCGGCAGGTAACCAAAGGAGGTTGACTCCATTATAAGTTATCCAGGAATAGTCATCATTCAAGCCATACCCATATTGTTCTGAAGTCGAAAACTTCGGGGCGAGCGTAGCGGCAGCACTGCATCCTATATCAAATGTACCAGTTGAAGTGTGTAGATGATTGAACATGACTTTATCAAATTGAACGAAATCGGGGGAGTTGACAAGGATTGTTGATAGGCAGTGGCCGGTGGCCGAATCCCAGATCCTGACTGTATTATCATAAGACCCTGATGCGAGTCGGCTCCCATCCTGAGACCAAGCAACCGAGTCAACCGTACCGCTATGTCCCTCGAGGATTAACACGCACTGGCCAGTGGCTGGATCCCAGACCCTAACTGTGTTGTCACGTGACGCCGACGCAACTCGGTTGCCATCCTGAGACCAGGCAACCGGAACAACCTCCTCGCCATGCCCCTCGAGGATTGATACGCACTGGCCAGTGGCCGGATCCCAGATCCTAACCGTGCTATCAAAAGACCCTGACGCGAGTCGGCTTCCATCTTGCGACCAGGCAATCGAGGAGACCCAATTGCTATGCCCCTCGAGGGTTAGCGCGCACTGGCCAGTGGCTGGATCCCAGACCCTAACCGTGTTGTCATAAGACCCTGATGCGAGTTGTCTTCCATCTTGCGACCAGGTAATCGAGGGGGCCCAATTGCTAAGCCCGTCTAGGATTGACGCACATTGGCCAGTGGCCAGATCCCAAATCCTAATTGTGTTGTCATATGACCCTGATGCCAGTCGGCTTCCATCTTGCGACCAAGCAATCGAGGGGACCCAATTGTTATGCCCTTCGAGCGTTGACACGCACTGGCCAGTAGCCGGATCCCAGATCCTAACCATGTTATCATAAGACCCTGACGCGAGTCGGCTTCCATCTTGCGACCAAGCAACCGAGGAGATACAATCGCGATGCCCTTCGAGTGTTGACACACACTGGCCAGTAGCCGGATCCCAGATCCTAACCGTGTTATCATAAGACCCTGACGCGAGTCGGCTTCCATCTTGCGACCAAGCAACCGAGGGGATGCAATCGCGATGCCCTTCGAGCGTTGATACGCACTGGCCAGTAGCCGGATCCCAGATCCTAACCGTGCTATCAAAAGACCCTGACGCGAGTTGGCTTCCATCTTGCGACCAGGCAATCGCTTCGACAGGACCACCATGCCCCTCGAGGATCAACGAGCATTGACCAGTGACCGAGTCCCAGATCCTGACCGTATTATCAGTGGACGCCGAGGCTAGAAGGTAGCCAATTTGCGACCAGGCAATCGCTTCGACGGGTCCGCCATGCCCTTCGAGGGTCAACGCGCATTTACCAGTGGCTGGATCCCAGATCCTAACCGTATGATCACGTGACGCCGACGCGAGTTGGTTGCCATCTCGAGACCAAGCAACCGAGACAACGGTATTGCTATGCCCCTCGAGGGTTGACACGCAATGGCAAGTATCCGGATCCCAGATCCTAACGGTCTTATCAAATGACGTTGATGCGAGTCGGCTTCCATCTTGCGACCAGGCAATCGAGATGACTGGACCACTATGCCCATTGAGGAATATCGTGAACTGGCCAGTGGCCGTATCCCGGATCCTAACGGTATAATCGGAGGATACTGATGCGAGTCGGTTGCCATCATGCGACCAGGCAATCGAAGGGACCCAACCGCTACGCCGGTCCAGGGTTGACACGGGTTGGCCAGTAGTCGGATCCCAGATCCTGACCGTGTTATCACGTGATGCCGACGCGAGTCGATTTCCATCTTGCGACCAGGCAATTGATTTGACCGGACCGCTATGCCCCTCAAGGATCAACGCGCATTTACCAGTGGCCGGATCCCAGATCCTAACCGAATGGTCACGTGACGCCGACGCCAGTCGACTTCCATCTTGCGACCAGGTAATCGAGACAACCGACTGTCCCTCGAGATTGGTCGCGTAATGGCCAGTGTCCGTATCCCAGATCCTAATAGTCCTATCAAATGAAGCTGATGCGAGTCGGCTTTCATCTTGCGACCAAGCAATCGACATGACAAAATCGTTATGCCCCTCGAGGGTTGACGTGCACTGGCCAGTAGCTGGATCCCAGATCCTGACAGTGTTAGCTGATGCTGATGCGAGTCGGCTTCCATCCTGAGACCAGACAACCGAGACAACGGTATCGCTATGCCCCTTGAGGGTTAACGCGCAATGGCAAGTATCCGGATCCCAGATCTTAACAGTCTTATCAAATGATGTTGAGGCGAGCCGGCTTCCATCTTGCGACCAGGCAATCGAGACGACTGGACCGCTATGTCCCTTGAGAGCTAATATACACTGGCCAAGGGCTGCATCCCAGATCCTGACAGTGTTATCACGTGACGCAGATGCGACTCGGCTTCCATCTTGCGACCAGGCAATCGAGGGGACCCAATCGCTATGCCCCTCGAGCGTTGATATGCACTGGCCAGTGACCGGATCCCAGATCCTAACCGTGTTGTCATAAGACCCTGACGCGAGTCGGCTTCCATCTTGCGACCAGGCAATCGAGGGAACCCAATTGCTGTGCCCCTCGAGGGTTAACGCGCATTGGCTAGTGGCTGGATCCCAGATCCTAACCGTGTTGTCATAAGACCCTGATGCAAGTCGGCTTCCATCTTGCGACCAAGCAACCGAGTTAACCGTACCGCTATGTCCCTCGAGGATTGACACGCACTGGCCAGTAGCCGATTCCCAGATCCTGACTGTGTTATCATAAGACCCTGATGCGAGTCGGCTCCCATCCTGAGACCAAGCAACCGAGTCAACCGTACCGCTATGTCCCTCGAGGATTGACACGCACTGGCCAGTGGCCGGATCCCAGAGCCTGACCGTGTTATCATAAGACCCTGACGCGAGTCGGTTGCCATCTTGCGACCAGGCAGTCAAGATGACCGGACCGCTATGTCCCTCCAGGGTATGAAGACATGAACTCCAATCTTTGTCCACCGATGGCTCGTTCAATACCCAATCCGGTCTCTCCTCTTGATAGCATATTCTGGTCAGACTTAACATAGGGCTAAATATCAGGGTCGAACTGTATACTTGAAGAGGACTACGTTCAATTGCTAGCCTGTGATATCGAATAAATCGTGAGGCGTCAAGAACTCGATTTAAAAGGGCTGGTGGTTCTCCTTTTTCCTATTGCAGGGGTTTTTAGGTCAGGATCGGAGATATTTCCACTATATTAGAAATTACTCACTTGAAGTAAGCTTTCTAGCTTTAGCATAGCTGCTATGCCTTGTGATAGGCTTCCTAGAATGCTCAGTGCTTCAAGCCAGTGAAGGTATTTCTTTTGCAGAAAGCCATCCACACGCCCTCTGTCATCAACGCCGTCATCGTATTTTGACTGGCATCCGCTATGGTGCAGATGGTCAACCCAATAGACACATGCATATTGTGCAGCTGCTAATGGATTTGGATTAGGTGGTACGACTTTTTCGATCGAAAATCCAGGGTTCTTAAGCTGAAAGATGTCGTGCCGAAGTGTCTTGAACATGGCTTGTAGACAGCGAGAGAAAAGTCTGCGGTGTTCAGCTTCTATATCTCCAGAAGAAACCCCGTTTGGCGTCTCTTTAAGCAGAAATTCTTTTGCAGACTGATGGACGAAAATGATAGTGTCTTCGCGCACAGTCAGAAACGAGCCACAAGCCGCGATAACCTCTGATAGGACTTCAGAGTCGTCAGAGAGGTCATCAGATAGGTCAACAAGAGAGGCTAGCTCGCCAAACGCGATAGGCCGATACACTATAGACATGACAGCCAGTATTTGTTTGCAGGCCTCGGCATCTTCCGAGTTGCGAACCTGATCGAACATCCGACTGTACAACGCATCCAGTCCAGAGGGAAACATCTCCAGCTTCTTAAGAGCGTGCCTCCGGGGTGTTCTATCAAGTTCTTGACAGACTAACGCTACCCAAAGGAAAGTGCCTTGTGAATTAGATGACAAGTAACGGTAGATCGTATCACGAGTTCCATCGCTATACTTCTTAGCTTTCGCTAGGTAGTGAACCTTGTGTTGAATAAATCTGTTCACAGCTTCAGACACAGACTCCTCATTTAGCTCCAATGAGATCGGAGCAGTCTGGGTAGTATCAAGACGCTCTTCGATATCCGGCCAGTTGCGGCTTGAGACAATCCACTTTACCTGTGGGTAAGCAGATGATATCTGAGAAATCAAGCCGAGAAGGGAAGGTAGGCCCGACGTGCATTCATCCAGCGCATCGATAATCAAATAGGTGCTTTGGAGGACCGGGTCTTTTATAATTTCCGTGAAAATCTTCGAGAGAGCATTCCATGCGTTTATATCCTCGAACAATGCTTTTCCCGCGTGGTCATACTGACCTTTCACATGGGAGAGAAGAGACGCCTGCTTCTCTACAAGCGAGTATATCAAGCCACGGAGAACAGCTGTGGCATTATTGATCCGTACGTCGGTAGCTTGGCAAAAAAGAACGAGATATTCGCAGTGTCCCCAAACAACCGCGTTAATTCATCGATGATACCGCACAGCAGCATTGTCTTTCCTTTGCCCGGATCACCTCTGATCCAGAGGAGGCAGTTGTTCCGGTTGTCTCGCCATTGTTGAAACTCCTCGTTGTCTAGAATCCAGCAGTATGAATGCTTAAGCAGTCCTCCGTTGGTGTTCTGAATACGGTCTTTGTCATGGTGAGGACTAGTCGTCCGCAGATCCCGCAGACACGCTTGATTCAATGCTTCCGATTGTACTTGAGAAGTCGCACTGGTTAGGTACGTTCTTTTAGACTCATGCGCCCCACTCACGGAACTGATTAGTGATATGACCAAGGTTCTGTCCAATTTGGAATCCAGAGTTTGAACCGTCATATGATGTCGTGTATGCCATTATTGCAGCCAAATGATCCTTGGAAGGGTAAGTGCGAGCATATGGCTACGTCGTCGAAGTACCCCGCAATCAGGTGATTTATCAAGCGACGCTAGGAAGCAAAGATTGATCGTTTTTATTCGGGCTCCCCAATTCGTCGAAAACGCAATAGGTATAATCTTTTCCATGGAGAATTTTAGTCACATGGGCTAATATTTATTCATACGCCTTGCACGAGATTGGATGCTGTCAATATTGGAGTGGTGACCCGTGCGGAGTATCGAGATATAGGGTATCAATCGTATGTTTATTACCATTATATTACAAAGTACCTCATCATTGATTTGAAGTTACAATACGTTTCGATAGTCTGAAATCGCCTAAACCGAACACAGACTAGCGTGTTTCAGGAGAAAAAATCAAAGAGAGTCAAATAGTGAAACTGATTTCGAGCGCGTCTGTAACCGAAAAGCACAAGTCGACAGCCAAAAGCCTAGGCTGCAATGACCAAAGTACCGGTACTTCCTGATACCGCATGTGGAGGCGGAGGAGGCTGGTCACTGTACAGTACACGCGTAATACACACAAGTGCAGCTCTCCCCTTTCATCTTCTGCGCCTCTTCCCTCTCCGTACACTCCGCACATCTCTCTCCGGGGGCTTCATTTTCCTCGGTCTTTATTCTTTCTTTGCGTTTTCTTTCTCGCAATATTTTCGCATTTTTCACATTTTCCAAAATCCACTGTGGGGGATGATCCGCTACCCGGATAGTCAATTCGATCCACATTCTGGAATCCATTGAACCTACCTTTTGGCTGTCACTTCTCTCCTATCGCTAATCCAACTCCGACACCCTTCAACTCACCCTTTGATCCTCCGTCAGTCTTTGTGCTGATAGCTCCACGATGCGGTGGCGGCTGCCAGGCGCCCGTTCGACTCTCCCCGCCAGTGTCGCCCTCCTCCTCCTCCCGTCCCTGGTCGCTCCGCAGCAGCAGCCAGATGATGCCTCCCGACTCTCGGTGCCCCTAGCACCCGAGTCCATCCACAATGCAGCCCATGTGGCTACACCACCCATCGTGAAACCCAACGATGCGAGCGCCCTTGCTACTCTGGCTCTGGCAGGCTCCGGCCGTGCCGTTCGAGCCCCTCCTGTCCAGGCCAGCACCAGTGCCGGTCTGGCTTCGCAGCTTCACGCGCGGTCCCTACAGGACTGGGAGGTTGAGGATTTTGTCCTGCTGGCGACCGTCGACGGAACCATTCACGCCCGTGATCGCAAGACCGGCACCGCTCGCTGGGCCCTCGAGGTCCCCAGCAGCCCTGTCGTGGAAAGCATCTACCACCGAGCGAATCGTTCCAGCTTTGACGACACCGAGCCCGAAGACGACTTCTTGTGGATCGTCGAGCCAAGCCAGGATGGCAGTCTTTACATCTACAGCCCCGGTCCGGATTCCGGCTTGCAGAAACTCGGTTTGACCGTCAAGCAGCTCGTCGACGAGACCCCTTACTCTGGAATTGACCCCGCCGTGACCTACACCGCGAGAAAAGAAACGACTCTGTACACCATCGACGCCCGCACGGGAAGCATTCTGCGGGTTTTCAGCTCGCGTGGGCCGATCACCACAGGTCCGGAATGTCGGAAGGTGGACGGGGAGGATTTGGATCCTGAACAATGCGAGACCACCTCGGGAACTTTGGTACTTGGTCGGGTCGAATACGCCGTCGCCATTCAGAACACCGAGACTGGAGATCCGATCTGCACATTGAAATACGCCGAGTGGGCACCGAACAACCGCGACATCGATCTCCAGAGCCAATACTACCGAACCATGGACCAGAGCCACATCTACAGTATGCATGATGGAGTCGTACTGGGCTTTGATCACTCCCGCATGGACCGACCTCGTTACACCCAGCGCTTCGCATCTCCCGTTGCCCGAGTCTTCGATGTCGTTCGCCCTACCGATAAGGATGCGCCTCATACCTCAACCCCACTGGTGCTATTATCTCAGCCTCTTCAGCCACCCGATCCAGACTACGGGTCTCTTGGCGACGAACGAGACAAGCGTGTGTACATTGATTGCACCGAGGCAGGCGGCTGGTACGCATTTTCAGAAGAAACATACCCACTTACAACAGGTCGTGCTCCAATGGCTCAATGCTACGAAAAGGATTTCCTGCGCCGTGGCCAGGCTTTGATGAGTCTGACTCCCGTTCAGCAGCGCAACGCTCTTGCAGGTGTGCATTCTCTTACTCGTCCTCGCCTCGTGCGTCCTCCTATCGCTAGGATCGCTGGTTCGTCGACTTCTGAGCTCTCCAACGATACACCCCGAGACCTTCTCCGCAGTCCTTCCGAACTGGCTTTGCCTCCAGCACTGCGAAACAGCGCCATCATCCGCAAGAGTTGGGACAACGCCTTGGATATCGTCGTGACTTTGATTCTGCTGTTCATCTGCACTTTCATCTACTTCAACTCGCACCACCTCCGCGACTTGGCGAAGCAGAAGCTCGACATCAAGAACATCATCAACTCCAATGACAAGTCATCACTGTCCACCCCCTCTACCCCTGTCATTGGAAGTGCACCAGACATCAAACGCTCAACATCAGACCAGCAAGTTCCGAATGTCACAGTGGATGTCGATTTGAACGAATCCATCGCAGACAACGAGTCGACCCCTCGCCCCTCCCGTGAGCAAACTTTAGCACCGGGCTCTACTCCCCGGGTGCAGATTCGCGAGCCATCTCGTGGTCCCGATGACGAGGACGGCGATGAACTCGACAAGCCCAAGAAAAAGCCACGCGCTCGTGGATCGCGAGGTGGCAAGTCTCACCGTCGTCGCAAGAAGCCCGGCAGCGAAGGCGATAGCCCGGATGCGGAACAAGTCATTGAGCAGGTCAAAAACATGGCACCCCAGCCTCGACTCGAGCCCGATGTTCAGATGATGCGCACAGTCTCCAACGAAATCCAGGAACTGGATGGTGTCGTTCGCATCGGTCGGCTTCAGGTTTTCACCAATATCGTTCTCGGACACGGCAGCCACGGCACCGTTGTTTACCAAGGATCCTTCGACGGCAGAGACGTGGCGGTCAAGCGCATGCTCATGGAGTTTTACGACATCGCGTCCCATGAAGTTGGTCTATTGCAAGAAAGCGATGACCACCACAATGTCATCCGGTACTTCTGCCGCGAGCAAGCCACCGGCTTCTTGTACATCGGTCTTGAGCTGTGCCCTGCCTCTTTGCAAGATGTGATCGAGCGTCCACTGAGTTATCCAGAGCTCATCCAGAGTGGCTTGGACCTGCCAGATGTTCTGCGTCAGATCACGCAGGGTGTTCGTTACTTGCACTCTCTGAAGATTGTGCACCGTGACTTGAAGCCGCAGAATATCCTGGTTGCTATGCCCCGTGGCCGATCAATTTCCAAATCACTGCGACTCCTCATTTCTGATTTCGGTCTGTGCAAAAAGCTGGACGACAATCAAAGCTCCTTCCGAGCCACCACGGCTCACGCGGCGGGCACTTCTGGCTGGCGAGCACCTGAACTCCTTGTCGACGACGACAACGGTCCCTTGTCCCTGGCCTCTCAGCACACGGAAACCTCGGAGCCCGCAGTGGTGGATCCGCAGACAAACCGTCGAGCCACCCGGGCCATTGACATCTTCTCGCTGGGATGTGTCTTCTACTACGTCTTGACCCATGGCAGCCACCCATTCGACAAGAATGGCAAGTTCATGCGCGAGGCCAACATCGTCAAAGGCCAATTCGATCTCCAAGAGCTCAACCGTCTCGGTGACTACGCCTTCGAGGCCAAAGATCTCATCCGCTCCATGCTCTCCCTCAATCCCCGCCAACGACCCGACGCCAGCGCTGTCCTGATGCATCCCTTCTTCTGGACCCCGTCCGACCGCCTCAACTTCCTCTGCGATGTCTCCGATCACTTCGAGTTCGAATGCCGTGACCCGCCATCTGAACACCTGTTGTGTCTTGAGGACGTCGCCCGCGACGTTATGGGACCGGAAATGGACTTCCTGCGCGCTCTACCGCGCGACTTCAAAGACAACCTCGGCAAACAGCGCAAGTACACTGGCTCTCGCATGCTGGATCTGCTCCGTGCCCTTCGCAACAAACGCAATCATTACAATGATATGCCGGAGCATCTCAAGACTCATATTGGGGGTTTGCCTGAGGGTTATCTGATCTTTTGGACGGTCAAGTTCCCCAGCTTGCTGATGAGCTGTCATGAGGTCATTGTTGAGTTGGGATTGACTCGTATTGATCGGTTCCAGAGGTACTTTGTACCACCGGAATAGATAGTCATTGCATCTCTTCTCTTGTCAACATTGCAAATTCCTCTTATAAAGAGGTTGTACATACTACCTATCAGATCTAACTATGGAACGGGGACTTTACTTTTCATCCATGTCTTTCCAGTCGTCTTTCCAGTTGTCTTTGTATTTGTCTTCTAATCATCTTTCCAGTTATCTTGTAGTAATCTTTCTAGCAGTCTGTTTATTCCTTTTTCGAGTAGTCTTCGCAATAATTTTTTCCAGTAGTCATTCCAGTAGTCTTCCTAACAGTCTTTCCTACTTTGTTTTCATTATTCTGAGCTTCCAGGCTTCCTGAGTGGTTCCTCAAACAGAGCTTTTCAAAGTTACAAGTAGTACGGAGTATACATCGTGACAGTAGAAGTGTCCAGGTGTAGTTGATAGCTGTTATCGGAAAAGTGGGGAGCTTATCTTTTTTTTTCTTTTCCGCCGACTTCAACTTCCCTTCAACTTCACTCCTTCTCGCATTGCGCTCTTGCACATTTTGTTTTCCTGTCTTGTTTTGGCGCAGCGTTTGCTTTTCCCCTTTCATCCTTCCTTTCTCTCTCTTCCCATTTCCCCCTCTCGCATAACTCGCATCCCCCCATTTGTACTCCCATTTGAGCTCCATGCGCATGCGGTGTAACTTTCAACAGTACAAGCCATGGTGTTCATTCGTCTCACGGTGAAGATCTTTCCCCAAGATCCAATCAACCCACGCTTGGGTGCGATCCGGTCTTCGGCGAAGGCAAAGAAGCCGGGTGTCTTCCTACTCCCGATTGAGAACCCCGATGTGGTTGACCTGCGCACTCTGGCAGGTCTCATTCGAGACAGGTGGACATACCTGCACCCAGATCTAGAGTGAGTGGTACAATTTCCTTCATCTCTGAATTTTAAACACTGACTTCTATCTCTAGACCTCTCGCGATCAAACAAATCTTCGACGACGCGAACGATGACGTCGATCTCTACCCCGAATTGACAGTCGCCGATGTCTGGATGGACCATGGAAAAGCGCGCACTGATGGTCTCGACCAGTCAGGCACTGTGCGCATCATTCAAAAGCCCGCAGCTGCAGCTCCAGAACGTTTCCCTTCCGTTGCGCCAGATTGGGATGCACCTCTTGTTGCTGTCAATCGCAACCGTGAGTCCAAGCTCAAGCGAAACACAACCGAGACCCGGATCTCCCCGATCCAAGAGGACGGGGACGAGGACAAGGTTGAGGATGAGAGTGAGGGCGAGGAAGACGAGCCCCCGCGCAAAAACTTCTGGACCCATCTTGATCATCAGCCTCAAACCAACCAGGTCTTGAAAAGCAAATCTCCTTCTGCAAATGACCTGACTCGCCACCAGCACAATTTCCCACTCACCTCAGTTGAATCTGACCAACGGGAGACCTCCCAGTCTGCTGCCGACAGCTCCATGACCACCGGAACACCTGCGTTCAGAGGTACGACCGAAGAGATCAGAGAGACACCTCCTTTTGAACTTCCTCCCTGGGCCACCTCACTGTCCCAACCTCAGCCAGAGCGCCCCGATGCGGCCAAGCTTTCGCTCTCCAAAAGACGCGCTGCCACGCCTGGCATTCGAGCCCTCTCGTATGCGCATGACGATCATCATTCGCCGACTCCCGGCCATTCCCCCGACATCGCCCCCAAGCACCCGCCGTCGCAGCGATCCCGTGGCTATGACTTTGGAGAACCCAGGACGGATGAAACAGAAAGTGTTGGTCAAAGCGCGGACACTTTCCTCAGCAGTTTCGGCGAGTTTGGTCAGCATGCGCCTGATGCCGACGGTGATACTTTCATGGGTGAATCTCAGTCCGGTTCCCTGAAGCGCAAACAGAGCACCGGGGAGTCCGCCCCGATCAAGGAAGCTCGCGTGGAACAAGCCCACCCAACGGCGAGACAGCATTCGAAAACCAAGTCCCCTGAGCCTGAGCATAATTCTGACGATGAAATAATCCTGGTGTCAGCGTCACCCATCACGAAGTCTCCAGCCGCTACAACTGGGCAGCAACAGTCTCCAAAAGACCCACGCCTCCCGCGCCCCCCGTCATTTTGCAGCCCAAGCCGCCGAGAAAACTGGGCCAAGGAGATGGAGCGAGATTCGCCCGGCCAACGGAGGGGACGAGGGCTCGGTCTGGGGTTCAAAACACTGCTTCCTGGTAGCCCTACCTCTCAAGATGCATCGCGAACCTCCGCCCCTGAAGCATCCACAAAGGACTCCTTGGATACCCACGAAGTTGCACCGACAATCCACGAAGCTGAACCGAACCCTCACGAAGTTGAAACGACAACCCACGAGGTTCAGCCAACAGCCCACGAGGTTCAACCGACAGCCCACGAGGTTCAACCGACAGCCCACGAGGTTCAACCGACAGCCCACGAGGTTCAACCGACAGCCCACGAGGTTCAACCGACAGCCCACGAGGTTCAGCCGACAGCTCACGAAGATGAACCGAAATCCTCGCAAACAACCGAAGCTGCCACCAGAGCCCAGGAAAAGCGCGAAGCAGCTGAGCTACAGGCTATGCTCAAACATCAGGTTCTTCCTGGTGACGTCAAGGGGATTGTAGAGAGTATGCTTCATCATCTCTTTCAAATTAGGAAAGTTGGGTTTCAAAAGGGACAGATGCCTCGCGCCAAGCTTGTTGAGTTGCGTCGGAAATTGAAAGCACTTCAAGAGAAGGCAGAGACTTCAACGTCGACTCCGGCTTTGTCGACCCCGAAAACACGGGAATCGGTCGAACACAATCCGGTCAAGTCGACTCCTGCAAAGCAGACTCGGGCATCAGTTGCACCCACTCCAACTGAAAACATTCCTCTCAAGCAGACCCAGGCAAAGCGGACTCGGGCATCACGGGAATCGGTTGCACCCACTCCAACTGAAAACACTCCTCTCCAGCCGACTCCTGCAAAGCCAACTCGGGAAAGACAGGCATCAGTTGCTCACACTCCAACCGAAAACACCCCGGCAAAGCAAACCCAGGAAAAGCCAACTCCTGCAAAGCGGACTCGGGCAACACGGGCATCGGTTGCACCCACTCCAATTGAAAACACCCCGGTAAAGCCAACTCCTGCAAAGCCAACTCGTGCAAAGTCTACTCCTGCAAAGCCGACTCCAGTCAAGCCAAGTCCCGCAAAGCCAAGTGCTGCAAGCCAGAGTCCAGCGAGGCACCCTCCAGCAAAATTCCAATCCAAGCAAGCAACCCACGAACATCGTACCTATCTTAAAGACTTGTTCGCGTCCCAGAAGGAGGATCTTGCAACCCGAGCTAGATCTCAAGTGCCAGAATCAGTGGAACCGGTCCCGCCTCCCCAACCCACTCAATTTGCTGTTCCCAGCAGCAGTGAATCCGAATCATCGGATTCAGACTCCTGATGAGCTGGAATGTGGGAGATGTCTTGTCGGGTGGCTTTTCGTTCCGTCCCTAGGTGCCCAATCACGATTAATGAGAATGTACAATAATCGCTTTGCATGGTTCCTGTATCATACTAGCTATCCTGATTGTAATATCAAGTTTCCTTTTCAATTGATGTAACAATGTTCCACATAAATCTGAACGTCTCATCAATCCTGGTAAACGATGTATTGCAATATAAGACCCTTCAATGATTGGGATTCTTCATAAACTTGGAACTGGCTTTCAATATTGTACTTCCAGGTCTTTTCAAGTGTCTTTTCAAGTGCCTCTCTATACCCCTATCAGTCTACAATGAGACAGGCATTCCTCAGACTAGAACGAACGGTAGCTGAAATACTAAAATTAACGCTGGCCGCTACAGACCTGCGTACACTGCTCAACGACTTGATTAAATTGGATACTGATTCTTTGGAGAAATTTGTTTAGGGCTCGTGTTCAGCACCAAACAAATAACAATCCATCAGGGGAGATTAGCACCCTGCTGCTCGACTTCGTGTACCTCTGCAAATGCAAATCCTTTAGGTGGCGCTTGAACCTCATAGTTCCACCCAAAGGAATCCTCAACGTCGCCTGACTGAATACCACGGAGAGTCTGTAACAGCTTCACACAGACTTCTCCGCCTTGGTTCTGCGATCCACGACTGTATTCGAACTTGTCGCCTGTCGACCGCATCGTGATACTACCCACAGGGACCAGTGCCGCCGCCGTACCTGCAGCAATAACCTCTTCGAACTCCGGTAGTTCCTCATAAGCAACTCGTCTCTTCTCCACTCGATATCCAAGGAAGCGAGCAATTTCCAAGACCGACGCCGCAGTCACCGAATCAATCGCATTGCGACTGTCCGGCTGAATAACCGTCACGAGTCCGTCCTCGCGCTTAACCCCAATAAAGGCCGAAGTCGAAAACTCATCCACCTCACTGCGGGTGGCACTGTCCAGGTGAAGCGTGATGCCGAATCCTTCACGACGCGCCCGATCACTGTGTCTCAAGACAGGAGCATAGTTGCCTCCAACCTTGGCATTACCCGTACCGAATGGCGCACAGCGATCAAAGTCTTCTAGGATCAAGGCATCGACTGCACTCGCTCCGTGATACACTCCTGTTGGCATCGCAAAGACCGCGAGCGTATACCCATCTGGAGGACTCAGTCCCAGCTGCGCGGACGAGCCAAACAGCACAGGCCGAATATACATGGCCGCTCCAGAGCTATGCGGTGGCACGTACTCGGCATTGAGACCGACCGCCAGTCGTACGCACTCGATGAAGACGTCCTCCGGAACGAGCGGCATGGAGACCACCTCCGCGGAATGCTGCATACGCAGTGCATTGCGGTCGGGTCGGAAGATAGTGATCTTGGTGTTGTCGCGGTTTCGGAAGGCCTTCAACCCTTCGTAGACTTGTTGGCCGTAGTTGAGCCCCGGGGCCATTCCGTGAATGGGGAGGAAGGGAGAGCGGACGAATTCGGGGGTGGACCATTTGGCGCCCTCGCTGTGGGAGAAGTGCGCTTCGACATGGCCATTGCCTGATACTGTCAGACCAAGGCGTAGATATAAGACGGAGAATATCAAAGTGCTTACCGTCACGGACCTTGAAGCCTAGATTGGCCCAATCGATGTCAATGGGGGGTGGTGGGAACATTGTGGGGATGTCGATCCGGGAACCCCGCGTTGCTTATTTTTTATATTCACCTTGCTGACTACTCCTGGCATTTTGGGTAGCATTCCATTCATCACAACAACTTCGGACTTATATGCCCAACGAGCAATTGCATCATTTGCCCCCGAAAATGCTTTCCAAGGCTACAAATTCAACAAGATGCCTCGAGATACCTGGGTGGAAAAAATCGAGTTTACAGGCACACAATACCTAGACAAACACACGGGTCTTCCAATATTGAAATGATGGGTGAAGATCAGATAGGTGTCATCTCTCACACTCCAGGCTCTACCCTCAAATTTGCGCTAGCAAATCGAAAAGTCCAGGAGGCAATGCTTCACGGGGAACGCCTTCCAGTCCCAATCCAGAAGGGAAACCATAATCATCCTCGCCATCATTGTAATAGTCATCATCAGTGTACCAGCCATCTTCATCCTCGTCATAATCATCATCAGAATCTGCGTATGGGAATTTGTACGGGCAGATCTGAAAGTTAACTTGGGTGCCTTTGAACATGTCCTGGAGACTGCGGAAACATTGTTCAGGGGTCTTGCCGGGTGGAATGCGTTGGCTGTGAAGTTTGATCGGTGCTGTGACATCAAGTGTCAGGACCTTAAGTTCGGCAAGCGCCGGGTAGTGCCGATTTTGAGCATCTTTTGCGATGTTCTGGACCATGTTTCGGATAGAAGAGTTGCAATCTGTGATATCCAATCGTTTGAGCGAGCTAGGAAATACAGGGTGTGCCGGAAGCACGGCATGCTGCAGGAAGATCGTCTCGAGCTGGTGGAAATCTCTCAGTGGGCCAATTTTCGCTCGGCTGTTGATGTAGTTTTGAATATTTTCAAGGTGCTGGGGATCCCGAAAGTACTCGGTTTGTAGGTGCTCGAGTGTATTCTTTTGCGAAAGGAGGGCTTTGCGAGCCTGTGCAGCATTGAATTCGTTTCCAATGCGAGGACTCGGAATACGTCCAGGCTTATCTTTCAATTCGAAGTTCCTGTAGATGAACGACCGCTAGCCTTTGCAAGCTTTGATAAGCTTTGAAAGAGCGTTTGCCTCGATGTGACACCTCGAGAAGGCCAGCTCCTCTGCATTCAATGACTTGGTTTTCCAGGTAGACGGGAACGAGACACTGGAGAGATTTCCGCGCTCGAAAGTCGGGAATTTGAGACTCGGGAGCGTGAGGAACCGTTCGAATTCGCTGATTTCGTATGCGCGAGAGTCTTTCTCGCACTCGATCCACAAAACTTCCAAGTTGGACAGGTATGATGGGTCCCGTCCAAGAAGGAGGTTGAACGGGCTATATGAAAAGCAGCCACCTGGCAGACGCAGAGCCCGAAGATTAGGTGTCATGCTAAGTAGCAGCGCCACAATCACGCCAACGTCAACTTCATGGATAGAGCTGCACCAGCGTTGCTCTTCCACGTCGCCCAATTGAAGGCTTTTGACGACGAGTTTGAGCTGAGCGATCGTTTGGGAGGCCTTGTCCCCAGCCTAGAGCCTGAGATTACCAGGTACAATGTCGTTTGGGGCGATGTAGATGTCTTGGACGCATTTTGCAAGGTCTGGACGACGAGAAAGGGTCGCGGCGAAATTCAAGGTCTTGAGTAGGCCAGTGATGGCTAGGTCATCAAACTTGCGAAATAGGAAAGGTTGGGCTAGATCACGGAATCTGCGGGAGACGAGACATATTTGGACAAGATCTGAGTAATCCTCGACCAAGTCATCGTCTTCAGCAGAAACCTTCGGCAGTTCATCATATTCGGCTATAGAGCCTATGATATCATTCAATAGTGTACTTCTGTTGGGAGGTCTTGAATGTTCATGATTGATGAGGAAGGACGAGAAAGGAGAGCCCCGCAATATTCGATCGCGTCGAGACGCGTGACCCGAAGAGGAAATTAGGGCTTTGAACGAGGAACTCCCCCGACGACAATTGATCCACCAACCCATCATACCATTTGGCTTGGGCATTTGACGTGTTAAGTCTGATTCTGTACACACAACGCCGAAGAAAGAATCCATGTTAGCCAACGCCTACTCCGTTTATTGCTGACCTGGACAGATCCATCCTGGTTAGGTAATCGAGTTTGGCCACCTGGGCAACCTCCAGGGCTGGCCAGCGCTCTGAAGGCTATAAATGGCCGAGATCTGAACCCACCCGTGGCACGATGTGGGCTGAAATGCCCCCAGTGGAGTCATCGGCATCACGGAGTCCGCTCGTCCTTGGAAGGCTCTGCATGCTCACTCCGGCCTGCGTCAGCATACTCCGTATTCACCGCGGATCCACTACTCTTCATGCGGAACAGAGAATTGACACAGAATGAGAAACTTGCAAAACTATCAGGGCGGGAAAGATCCCTGTTGTGTGAGGATCAGAAATCGAGAGCTGAGTGAGCGGAGTTAGGGGAAATGAGATCGGCACAACAGATGATACTAGTTGGATTTATGCATCCACTTGAAGGTGCTCTCAACTTCGATGACTGACACAAGTATCAGTCGGACAAACGAAAAACTAATAAAAGAACGCAGTGAACAGTCAGGCCGAGAGCGAGGGCTTATCACCGACGTGGAAATGGGCTTTAAAGGCTTAAATCCGCCTCGGTGGAACGGAGTCCGCTTTGCCGATCTATACATCGGGTCTTGTTAGTCCCGATGTTCATATCCTGAACTCCCCACATGGTGCTCCGTTTCCGAGAGATCTCAATTAAAACAGTTCATCTCGCACATTTTATGGACTCTCACCAATTCATGTTCGTCGGCTTCTCAATATGGAGAAGGACTATGATGAACCTGTGTTTGCGCCCATCGTGGAGCGGACAGCTACCGTTCTAGAAGAACGAGAACAACAAACCCTCACACGAATCGCCACCAGCAAGCTTGGCCAGCAGATCTCAAAGTCGGCAAGTCACAAAGATGGTGTGCCCCCGCATCTCGATCCCACCAACCCGCAGTTCGATCATCGCCAATGGGCACAGGTGGTGTTGGACCAAGTCAATGATGCAGGTATTGATATCCCACACCAAGGAGTTGTCTTTTCCAACCTCTGTGTCAGCGGATCTGGCTCTGCATTGCAATATCAAGAAACCCTTACTTCTAGCTTGAGCGTTCCCTTCCGAGCTGCAGCAAGAGCCTTGACTGGCCGTTCAGCACCACCGAGACAAATCCTTCATAGCTTCGATGGACTTCTGGAGGGTGGAGAGCTTCTTCTGGTATTGGGTCGACCTGGCAGTGGCTGCACAACCTTCCTGAAAACCATCACCGGTCACCTCGGAGGCCTGACCCTGGAGCCTGAAAGTACACTTCATTACGAAGGTGTCGGCTTCGACCACATGATTAAGCACCACCGCGGAGAAGTTGCATACAACAAAGAAGTCGACCTACATTTCCCTCATTTGACCGTCGGCCAAACCCTCGAATTTGCCGCTCATGCTCGTGCACCCCATCAACGCCTGGAAGGAGTCACGCGTTCAGAGTACGTTGAGACCATCACGCAGGTCGTGCTTTCAATATTTGGATTATCTCACACCTACAACACCAAGGTAGGCAGTGAATTCGTACGCGGTGTCAGTGGTGGCGAGAGGAAGCGAGTCAGCATTGCTGAGATGTTCTTGGCCCGCTGCCGCATCGGAGCGTGGGACAACAGCACCCGTGGGCTTGATGCTGCATCCGCCTTGAAGTTTGTCAAATCTCTTCGCCTGTCTGCTGATATGGGCTCGTCCTGTCATGCTATTGCTGCCTATCAGGCCTCGCAATCCATGTACGACCTTTTTGACAAGGTCGTCCTCCTGTATGAAGGGTACCAGATCTACTACGGACCCCGAGACCGAGCTGTGCAGTACTTCCAAGACATGGGATGGGAGCGACCCGAGCGTCAAGTCAGTGGTGACTTTTTGACTGCTATCACCAACCCAGCAGAGCGCAGAGCTTTACCCGGTATGGAGGGTAAGGTGCCTCGCACCGCCAAAGAGTTTGCCGACCAGTGGAAGCAAAGCCCCGAGTATCAAATGCTGACCAAGGGGATCTCTGACTTTGAGAGCCATCATCCGCCCAACGGCGGCGACGCAAAGAGACTCCAGGACAGCCATCAAGAGCAGCAGGCTCGTCACACTCGTGCTCGCAGTCCTTACCTTCTCTCAGTCCCCATGCAGGTCCGGCTCTGCATGCACAGAGCTTACCAGCGAATGCTCCAGGATCTCCCAACCGCCCTTTCACCTGTGATTGTCCAAATCGTCCTCTCTCTGATCATCGGTTCAATCTTCTACCAAACCCCTGACACTTCCAGCTACTTCTTCCAAAAAGGTGCAGTGATGTACTTCGCTGTGCTGATGAACGCCCTTCTCACGATCAACGAAATCCTCATGCTCTATGCCCAACGCCCCGTTGTTGAGAAACAAGCAGGGTATGCATTTGTCCATCCTTTCACCGAGGCCCTAGCCAGTCTAGTGGTCGATCTACCGATCAAACTTGTACGCATATCAGTATTCACAATCGTTTTGTACTTCATGGCAAACTTACGACGCGAGCCCGGGGCCTTCTTCATCCACTACCTGTTTTTGCTCACTGCAGTCCTCTCGATGTCTGGTCTCTTCCGCAGCGTTGGTGCATTGACAAAAAGCATTGGACAAGCCATGGCCATTGCAGGTGTTCTCGTGCTGTGTATTGTTGTATACACTGGGTTCACTCTTCCACAGCCATACATGCATCCGTGGCTCTCCTGGATCCGGTGGATCAATCCAATCTACTATACCTTTGAAGCGCTCGTTGCCAACGAGTTCCACGGTCGGACGTTCGATTGCTCCGCATTCATTCCGAGCTACGGAACCGGCACCTCGTTCATTTGCTCTACGGTCGGCGCAGTTGCGGGCCAGCGGACTGTTTCTGGTGACGACTTCATGGAACAGAATTATCAATACCATTACTCGCATCTGTGGCGCAACTTTGGAATTCTCATCGCCTTCTTCGTTGCGCTCAACGCCCTCTATCTTGTCGCTACCGAATACATCACCAATGACAAGTCAAAGGCCGAGGCACTGGTTTTCAGGCCGGGACATGCACCTCAGTATCTTCAGAAGGGCCATACTATTGAGCTCGGAGAAGAGGAAGTCAACAAACTTGAGGTGCAGGCTACTAACGACACGACAAGCGAGACCATCCGTCTTCCGGAACAAAATGACATTCTCTCGTGGAAAGCGCTGAACTATGATATTCCTGTGAAAGAGGGTACTCGACGTCTGTTGGACAACGTCAACGGATGGGTCAAGCCCGGCAGCCTGACTGCATTGATGGGAGTCTCAGGAGCTGGAAAGACGACACTTCTTGATGTACTTGCGCAGAGAGTCTCGATCGGTGTGGTGTCCGGTGATATTTTCGTGAATGGCAAGGATCTTGCACCCAACTTCCCCCGACGCACGGGATATGTGCAGCAACAAGACTTGCACTTGGATACCACGACCGTCAGGGAGGCCTTGCGCTTCAGTGCAATGCTTCGCCAGCCTGCAAAGGTACCACAACAGGAGAAGTATGACTACGTGGAACAGGTAATTGAAGTGCTGGGCATGGAGGACTTTGCTGAGGCCGTCGTCGGAAGTCTTGGGGAAGGATTGAACGTTGAGCAAAGGAAATTGCTCAGTATCGGCGTTGAGCTTGCAGCCAAACCCACCTTGCTGATTTTCCTCGACGAGCCAACCAGTGGTTTGGATTCCCAGAGTTCCTGGACAATCTGCCAGTTCCTCCGAAGGCTGGCAGATCATGGACAGGCTGTTCTAGCAACGATTCATCAGCCAAGTGCACAGCTATTCCAGACTTTCGACCGCTTGCTCTTCCTTGCAAAGGGCGGGAAAACGGTCTACTTTGGTGACGTGGGAGCCGGCTCATCCAAGCTGCTTGACTACTTCGAGCACAATGGCGCTCGTCCCTGTGAACCGCTCGAAAACCCCGCCGAGTACATGCTCGAGATGGTCGCTGGTGATTCCTCCTCCATCGACTGGGTGGACGCCTGGAAGAAGAGTCCTGAATGCCAAGAAGTCGAGGCTGAGGTGCAACGACTTCATTCTCGCAAGGAATCTGTGCACCAGTCTGCCCTTGAGGAGCTTGACGATGACAACGCGGAGTTTGCCATGCCACTCTACAGCCAACTGTACTATGTACTCGCTCGCGTGTTCCAGCAATATTACCGCCAGCCAGAATACATCTTCTCCAAGTTCATTCTCGGTATCGTCTCTGGTCTCTTCATCGGATTCTCTTTCTGGAAGTCAGACAACACCCAGCAAGGCTTCCAAAACGTCCTCTTCAGTGTGTTCCTTCTGTGTACTATCTTCAATACCCTGGTCAACCAGATCATGCCAAAATTCGTCGTTCAGCGCTCTCTGTATGAAGTGCGTGAGCGCCCGTCTCGAATCTACTCCTGGAAAGTCTTCATCCTTTCTCAGATGCTCGTCGAGATCCCCTTCCAGATTATTCTTGGAGTCTGCGCCTGGGCCTGCTTCTACTGGTCTGTGATTGGCCCTGAACAGGACAGCGAGCGTCGCGCCCTGATCATGCTCTTCATTGTTCAATTCTATATCTATGCCGCCAGTATGGCGCAGCTCGTTGTTTGCGCCATCCCAGAGCCCACTGTCGCAGCCATGCTTGCCACCCTTATGTTCGGTCTTTCCTTCATCTTCAATGGTGTGATGCAACCTCCCGATGACCTCCCTCGCTTCTGGATCTTCATGTACCGTGTTTCACCTTTCACCTACTACATTGGTGGAATCGGTGCAACAGCTCTTCACAATCGCAACGTTGAATGCAACGCTGCTGAGATGAGCATCTTTGATCCTCCTTCTGGTCAAACCTGCGGTCAGTACATGGCCAAATATCTGGAGACAGCCTCGGGCAAGCTTTCAAACTGGAATGCCACTTCCAATTGCGAGTACTGCTCGATTAGCTCGGCGGATCAGTACCTCGCTGCCCGCCAGATTCACTGGGACGATCGCTGGAGAAACTATGGTATCTTCTGGTGCTACTTTGTCTTCAACATTTTCGCTGCGATAACACTATACTACCTCTTCCGTGTCAGAGGCTCCAAGGCCAAAACCAAGAGGGCCTGAGTTCGTTGAAACAAAGGGGTGTCTCAGTATTCTCTCCTGTTCCCTTTTGACTCTCAATCCCCCACTCTTTGACTATATTCTTTTAACTTTGTATATTATCAAGAATTGAACTTGTATGCTCTTTTATCCTAAACATAGTTTTGTCTCGCTTCTCGCCAGTAATTTGATCTCCGCAGGCTAAGACCATCTTGCATCGATGAGTTTTCTGGGATGATGATACACCACAAAGACATTCACAGCATTTAGCCAAGCCAATCAACATGCTACCTTCTGAACCATCTCACCACAGCCATGCAGAAGATGTTGTATATTCTCTTTCCCCGGGGGCCACACATGTATAACTGAGACAAAGCCCTGTCTTCTTCGCCACGCGAAATCCAAGTAGCCATCCATTGTTTGAAGGTTTGAATTCCGACAATTCATTCATGAATGGCGCAGGACTCTTGTCTAGGACAACTGCTGTGTCGCCCAAATGTCTCTTCCAACCTTGGAAACTCTGGAGGTTCCAAAGTTACTTCCTACTAGTTCCAGAACCATCAGGTATGTCTTGATTTTGATTCTTTGTGAAATCCTCCCGCCTAGGCACGCGCCTTGGAAAAGTTCAACATGTCAAGGTTGGAAGCTCAGCATGGCTCATCCATCCATGGATGATGTATAAATACTTGGAACCTCTCTGCCCAGCATGCTTCCAAAATTCGTCTTCCACCAACGCAGGTTACTTGAATCCAAAATATCTAGATCGTCAATCTTACCACCAATCACCTCTTCCAAGGTACAAATCCCAACACTGACTACTGAAAATGGAGCATTACGCCCTCCCCCGAACTTCGCTCCCACGACGTCTCTACCGTGTGCAGTATGAAAACTCTCACACACAAGAGAGTGAGTTTGGCCTTACAGCAGGTGACCCAACGAAGTTTGACTACAACAGTAGCGATTTTGGAGACACCATTGAAGCCCACATCTTCGGCGAGGAGATTGACAGTCCACTAATTTCGTGCTTCACGTCGAAGGACCAAGCGGAAGATTGGATGTGTCGAAACTGGCGTGATTTAGGACAGTGGGCACAGATTTTGGAGATCAGAACGAGATCTCTTGGTCATGGATATGTCTATCGTGCAGCTCATATTTTCCTCGACATGGGACGGGATCCTTGGCCAACCGAGAACCATGACGATATAAGTGGTGAGATCCTGGTCTTGCACCACATCAAATCTCGTGCCATTGTCGCCCGACGCGCGAAGATCACAGTTCCCCCTGCAGCCGACGTCGAAACAGCAGCAGAAGGATCTCAAACATCCGCGCAGGCCAATCTGTTCAACAGCGGGCAGAGCAGCCCCCGCGAGGCATGGCTTGATCCAACGCCGTGTTCGTCGCGAGCGATGTCCATCGCTCAATCTTCCGCGTTTGAGAGCTCGATCTTCGATGAATCAGAGTACGGAACACCGGGCTCTGGAAGATACGCTTCGAGAGAACCCTCATCCCCTGGATCGCTGCCACGCTTGACTGCACCTGGGCGTGTAAACATGATTAGTTCGCCTTCCGTGAGATCATCCAGAGCCTCGACTGCTTCCTCATGGGGTGGATCTTCTCTGTACTCCAGTCAACGCACCTCTATCTCGGAACTTTCAGATACCTTCAGTACGACGACTGTCGGAGGCGCGAGCCCCAGCATCCAGAGCTCACCGTTTTGGGAGAGCGAGGTATACTCGGACGAAGAGGGTCCACGAAGATAAATTGAGGTTCTAGATGGTACCTCGAGGCTTTTTGGGTGCCAGTCTTAGCTAGATGTTTATCTCACTCACTATGGGTTCCAAGGTTCAAGTTTGCAAGGTTCTTATTGGAAAGCTGTGGAAGATTCAAAGTTGCTAGACCCTTGCTTTCTTCTTTTCTTTCTCTCTTTCAAACTATGCAGTCATTTCTAAGCACGAATAGATTTTGGGAATTCATCCAGTAAATTATTAGAATTGCTCAAACATGCAACTCCCAGATACCTCCACCTAAACCTGTAGCCGAGCCATTCGATAGCTTGACACGCTCGCCACTTCTCGATATCAAAACGCCCTGAGTACCAGACAAAACCACCTTTCCAGTAGTGTTAAAAGGGGTCTCGAAGGAAAACTGACTGAATTTGCCACCAGTATGGCGGAACGTTGTCGAGAACTTTCCCAGTGAAGTTGTGAAGCCCGCATCTACAGAGGAGAGATTTCCAGGCTGTGGTGCAATGGTCCAACTTGAGCCACTAGCCCCAGTGAGCTGAATACCTGCCGCGTATGCAGAAAGGGCATATGTAGGGCCTGTGGACCATCCATGTGCATGCGATACGCGAGGATCATTGGAGTAGGGTGCGTAATGAAGAGACCCATCTGTGGAATACCCTTCAATGAAAGTCGACTGAGTCATGCGTGGATCGTTTAGCATGAAGCCCCATTGTAGACGCATCAAGTCCAGAGCAGAGTCTGGCTTGTTGGCAAGGTAATGAGCTTGTAGTTCAAAGCCGCCGATGAAAGGAGATATGGTTTGACCGGCCTCGGGAGCAGGTGCTCCGTAGATGCCCCATCGTGCTTTGAGGGCGTTGGATACAGTGTTGCGCTGTTTTACTGACTGTGTCAAATTGGCTTTGATAGCCCATGCGTTTCCATCTTGCGGATGAAGGGTGGTTGTCTGGTTATCAATGTAAAGTCCATTCTTGTCGTCCCAGAGTTTCTGATTAGCGACGACTTTGATCTTTTCTGCGATGCGCTTCCATTCCGCGGCGGAAGACGTATCTCGAAACTCTTTCGCAAGTTGTTGAGCGTCCTGAAGAACGTAGTAAAGAATGGAGTTTGCTTCGATGTTCTGCATGGTGTATTAGAACTTGAATACTTCACGTTATTCGAGTAACTCACATGGCCTCCCATTCCGAAACGTAGCCAGTCACTTGTGCTGGTGATATTTGCTAGGCCAGAGCTGTCAATGCTTGAAACAGCCCACTGGACACCCCGCTTGTACTGGGACCAGTGCTGTGAAAGCCATCGCTTATCACCCGAAAAGCGGTACAAATATGAAGCACCAATCAAACTGTGCAGATGATAGGTGTAGCTGACAGCATCAAAGAAGGGCTTTCCAGCATAAGGTAGCTGTCCGTTGGACTTTTGCAGAACAAAGAGGGCCTCCAAGGCAGTGCGGACGCTGTACAAGTCACCGGTACTGACAGCAATGGACTCGAGGGCAATGGACATGTCACCGGGCCACACAAGGCGATCACGCTTTGCGCCATCTGTGATCGTGCTACTCCCATTGGTGATGGTATAATTGTTCCACCAGGTGGCAGGCTCTGTGAGTTGGGATTCATCGGAGCTAGTTTCATCAAACAAGTGCACAAGTGAATTACCCTGCTTAGGGTTGATGGTGCAAAGTTGATTAGTATACGCGCCGGCATACCAGATCTTGTTGATCAACTCGTCATCTGAGTGGAAATAGCCAGTGTAGGCCCGCAGATCCTGGTCTGGAGCAGCGGTGTAGTTGACATGAAGACCCCGAAGTTGGACAGTGGCTGTCGTATTGCTCACTACTGTCAGATAGCGGAATCCACCACGAAGATGTTTCTCTTCGGGCGTGTACTCCCCTGCGCCTTTACCAACTTGGAACCAAAGTGAAACATCCAAGGCATCGTCCCCAGTGGCATCGCTGGCTTTGTCACTGACCCACAAACTAGACTCGGAGAAAGTGACACCCAGAAATGCAGATGGTGACGAGGACTCCCCAACATCCAAGGTGACTAGGCCGGCTACATTCAGACCAAAATCATACGTGACAGATGAAACACCGTGGAATGTTGCATGACCGGGGGGCTAGTCAGAGACTGAGCGTTTGTGACCGTGCCATTGACGTTATGCACAGAAGATGGAACCAAGTCTCTCGATTTTGGGGCCAAGATGTATCGCTGGTATGGCACATCAGACGAGGCGGCCGCCACAAGTGACCCGAAGAGTATGGTCGCGAGATACATCCGAGCGTGGATATCTTCACTGTGCGTACACAACCTTAAGAGTGGGACAGGATCCAAATACTTATAGTTTGGTCAAGACCTGCTTCATGTTCTTGGCATAACGAGCCCGCTCGAATGCTCGAATCACAGATCCGAAGAACACCCGGATCTTCTGAGTACTCTCGGGCCAGAAATGACCGAGAAGAGACGAATCGAGGGTTCAGAGTATGCAGGACTCCGCATTTCATGTCGGTCGATCAACCTGCCGAGATGCCGATTGTGACGAAAAGTGTGGAGTTGGGCCGCCGATTTGCGGGGAAGTGAGCTGCTTGGGTCCTCTCGGCAAAACTTCGCATAATTCATTTCGGTCCATGTGGGTGTGTTTCAGGACAGACTTTGCGAAATGAGAAAATAAATTGAACTGCTATACACAATGACGTTGAGTGATGTCAGTATTCTGATCAGCCAACTTGCATCCTGCAAGGGAACACAGCGTGTGTCAAATTGTGGCAGGGAAGACTGGTGGCTGAGAATGAGGGATTTTCATGTGCATAGCATACTATCAGACAGGTCTAGTATTGGTTCTATGTCGGAACTGTTGCCCGCATTAGCATACATGACTATGGACGAAATCAATCCAATGCGTGCATCATCACTCCATGCACTTCAGTGGCGAGGCGAAACCGCCAGGGTTAGCCCAAGAACTGTCCATTGGCCAGGGCAATCCAAGGTAGCCTCTTCTCCCAGCAATGCTGCATTAGTTGACGTGCATTCTGTATCTACTCATGGTCAGGATCATGAATGTAAGAGATAATCGGACTGGGTAACGCACCTGCTTCATTCCCGAACTTTCCAACACAAGGAACCGTTCCAAAAGCTTCGATCTTTGGTTTGAAACCCTGGACTCACAGCCGGCAGTGAATAAGGGAAACAGAGAACATACTTCGGTAGCCGCCCCAGGGCGCATGCGCCCAAGGGCATCGACGAGTTTGCGCAATACCTCCTTAACTGGGAAAGAATCTGGTGGGGAGCCCAGCACACGTCGATGAAGATGCAATAAGCCAGCAAAGCGGAATGCTTCCTCGATAGCCATCATATCAGAGGATTCAATGCCCCGATGATGCTCGGGGTTAGCATGGGCACGTTCACTGATCCCGTCTATTTCACCAAGCACTGATTGAGCTTCGAGGACCATGTCAGCAGAGGGATGCCATCCATCTTGAAAGTTCCCCATCTCGTCGAAACGTTCATTGTCGCACTCTTGGACCAAGCGAGCAAGACGGATCAAGAACACTCCGGTGCGGGGCGAAAAGCCCGTGAAGCAATCAACAGCGTACTCATCATGACCATCGGAAGAGGAGCAGGCAGCCAAGACAGAACTGTAAACCATCGAGGGCGGGCCAGCTTGGCGACATGACAAGGATCCCATAGTGTCTAGATAGCCAAGCCAGCGGGAGAAGAAGGCGCCGATTCTGTTTCCTGGCTGTGCCATGGCGTCACTCCGGGCAAGGAAAAGGTCACGGGCAAGCTTAAGGTGACTTTTCCAGGTAATCGGGGCCTCGAACGTACCGGGCGAAACGATTTTCAGAGAAAGAAGCATGATCGCGGTGGCCAGATGGCTATCGGTGATGTTTTCGTGGGACGACTCCAATGCTATACGCAAGGTCGGAAAGACCTGGCTGACCCAATGGGCAATTCGATTGGCCGGTTCTGGATGGCCTAAATACCGAGCGCGATGACTAGCGGAGTACGCAAGGAGTAGATTCAAGAGATTGGAATCACCAATGGCCACTTTACGGTCAGTATAAGAGAGATCTCCCGATTTCGCAAGGACACAACTTACTTGACGGCAAGACTGAGACAAATGGATTGTTGTCGCAGTTATGGGGGACTAACATTCGCGCAGTGTGATTTAGGAAATGATGGAAATACATCAAATTGATGGGGTTTTCCAAGAGTGCAGAAGGAAGCGGAGATAGGTATCTTGGGATATTGATGGGCACTGGAGAGGCATAGTAGCCACTGCAAAATTGGGCCTGAGCCTCCGGTGCAAGTTGCGGAGTGGACTGTGAGACATCCTGAGTGTTTCCCCGCGAGCTGATGAAATCCAAGGCGTAATTGATGTCTATGGCTGCGTGGTCGTTGGTGAATGTCAAGTCTTGGTCTGGACGTCCAGAATCCAGGCCATAATTGTCAGTGACGTTGTTGAGGTAAGTCTGCCACTTGTTCTCTGCAAGGGAAAATTCTTGAGCCGGCGGAGTGTTGTCGTGCATACTGTCAGGTAACATTTGATGGTCACGAGGCAGTCCAACAGAATATTCGTCTGCAGAATGTGTGGTAGCGGGTGTCTCACCCAGCCTTGAGGGTGGGCTTGTGTCATTTCCTCCCAATGACACTCCATGGGTATCAAAGAGTGAATGCAGTGCATCTGTATCCTGTATGCTATGAGAAGTACCTTCTTCCTTTGATGCCGAATTGGAATTGAAACATGACTCATCCTCCTCGTGCAGCACATCGGTCGAACTTCCTTTTTCTTGGGAGTGAAGGATGGAGGGGTCCGAATGGCCATGAGATCCATCTACTGAATGACGCATAAAGGAGACAGGCTGAGAAACCGGGTTCGAGTGAAACGCAAATGCCGACAGTGATCGGAGGCCAAGTCCCTGCTCTATGGAAGTGGGGAATGGCGTGCTGTCGAAAGCGTGTTGTCCGAATTGAAAGTTTGCCAGGGGCCCAGAAACAGCGGAAGCCAAGGATGGAGTTTGCTCGGCCCAACTTGTTGAGAATTGAAGATCAAGCTGTCTTGGCGAAGGTAGCTCCTCAGGACCAGGCCTCGGGGAGTCAAAGAGGACTGGTGTACTTGGCGATATCGCTCCTGGAGATGCCAAATCACCAGAGCGCGTGCTCATAACTCCATCTGCCGGATTGCTTGTCGGTGTTGGAAATGAGCTCGGGCTTGTTGTGTTGATGGAGAAAGAGCTGGAGAACCCGACGACAGCTCCTCCGCTTCCACCCCCATAGCCGCTAGACTGCGAACTCGGTGAGTCAACAGACGCACGCTTCGTTCTCCCTCCCCAGTTCAAGCGAACACTATAGTCGCAGAGCTCACCTTGTCTTTGGCAATTCAGACAAGCTGGTTTCTCTTCCCCGCTAGAATTCAAGATCAGCTCATGTTGAGAGTGCAGAGAGCAATGCATCGTACCATTTCACCTTTCGTGCTTTACACGGCCTGTAAAAGTCAATGCTATTCAAAGATGGGATTGCGAGAGCCTGACTCACCAACATCCCTTTCGACTTCGGCGCTTTGGTTCTGGCGCGCCAGGTCTTCTGGGGCGTGGCATTGCACGTCAAAGCAAGTCTTTTCGCGTTCCAATGTCTGACCTTGGAAACCCGCGAATATTCAAAAAGGCTGGGGCCAGCCAACAGACACAATTCGATCACCTTTCATGTGATCCCTGAACTCCAATACACTCGCCGTTCTGGACTCACACCCAACACACGTCACAATTGGCACGCTTTCTGCGTTTTGAGCCTCTTTGACCCCACGTAGCAACAAAGCGATAATCGACCAAACACCCACACCTAGTATACAAGCACATCGAGGTGTGGGAGGGAGATGTGCCAGGGATTGTATCAATTCCACTGCTTTGCAGCAATGGGCCGAAGAAGGAAAGCAATGTAGAGTTGACAGTAGATAACAATCTGGCCGATCGGACTAGGATCACTGCAAATCACTCACTAGTGAATGGGGGTGACCTCACCATGCAGAGAGCAAGTAGCAGAGAAGGACAGGAGTCAACAATTTCCAGCCACGAGGAATGTTTCTGGAAGGCGGACCAAAAAGTGTGGGGAAGCATATCGCCCAGGCGAGAGATAAGGAAGATGTGTCAGCCGCATTATCAATAGTCCGCTACCCCAGACCGGCATGCCGCGGATTGCCGGGATTTCCCGCGGTAAGCCGAATTCGCCCGATGGGTCACGTTTCTTCCTCGCGACGTCATCACTCGCTCGGAGGCCGCGGATGGACTTCATTGGCCCTCCAAGCCGCGCTTTGACAACGAGCACCGTCCACGTCTGAACTTTGGATTCACACAGTCAAATTATTGGAGCGCTTCTGTCACTCTCAATATGGCTGTACCTCTGATCAATAGGCACCCGCTCCAGCGACTGCCGAGTCCCTCTCGAGGGATCTCCGCACTGGTGCATGTAAGTACCGTGGTTTCTCTTGGAATTTCCCATTCCAGGCACTGACGGGTCGCGTTCCAGTTGGCTGGTCTCTCCAGCTTTTTTTGGGCTTTCAAATAGTATGGTTTTTCTCTCCCGTTTTGCCCAAAGTGGCTACTGACATGTCTGAAGCATGCATGAGAACCCCAACCAAGCGTAAGACTTGCTTTTATGACCATAGACATAAGTTGCATTGGAAAGGACTTTTGCTCATTAGGTACACAGGAATCAAGCGTACGGTTGGCATTTCCAATATCTAACGGTCATTGGCTTGACGCTGTCTACTCTTACTTTCACGGTTGGGCTCCTGGCGGATATCACATTATCCCGCCGACTGTTCTTGGTCAAGAATCTTCTGTCAATATGCAGTGCGCCGCTTGAAGTTCTCATCAGTGTCCTGTATTGGGGTCTTCGCTCGGTATCATTTGATGTTCAAACGATTATGCTCCACGCTGACCTTGTAACAGGTCGATGAGCGATTGGTGATTCCCGAATGGGTTGTCATTCCGCTTCATGCCGGTACGTCTAGACTGGACATGCTTTGACTTGTGCTGATTTCCTGCTAGATCTCAGCTTCCATGCCACTCCATCAGTGGTGATGCTTATCGATCTGCTATTCCTTTCCCCGCCATGGACAATCACTGTCTTCCCGGCTCTGGTGGTGTCAAGCACGATTGCATTCGGGTACTGGTTTTGGATTGAACAATGCTTCGCTGTGAATGGATGGTACGCACACATCCTCTCCGTTCGTCGACATCACTGACTTTTCCAGGTACCCCTATCCCATCTTTGAAGCTCTTCCCACGGAAGGCCGCATCGGTCTCTTCACTCTCAGTGCAGCAGTCATGGCACTTAGCACCATAACCCTCAAATGGCTCCATGGGCGTGTGAATGGATTCGGGAACCAAGCTAAACCAGAATCTCGCCCAGGGGACATCAGGCGTATGAATGGTCTTTAGATGACAGCTTTGCATAGGACCACGTGGATATGCATTCGCTCTATCTTCACAGCTGTCATCCAACGGTCTTTCGCTGCTTTGCTTTGGTTCAGTGTTCTATGAGCTTCTTGGTCGCATAAAGGTGTCCGTCGGTGGACATTATCACATGAACATTCTCAACTCACCCAGGTGTGACATTACACCTGGGCAGTGCATGGATTTCACGCGAGCACCCCAGCATGTGTTTATTATTTCCGTCGATATAGACTACAGCATTTGAAACTGTAACCTTGGAACCTGGAATGCATACTCAGCCAGGTAAACTCGATCTTTCAACTCTTGAAATTATCGTGATTGTCCTGAACCTGGCTGTCAAGTCAAATTGAACACCGAGAATGCCTAGGTACATGCAGACTATAGATAGTAGCTCTGGTCCTGCCGGATTTTGAAGTACATCGCAGCTTGTGATCATACACCGCTTAGCCAAGACCTCGTACTCAAATCACTGTCCTTCACATCGAATAGATGTTGTAGGTATTCGTCACTTTCCAAGGTTGTAGATATATAGCCGACGTGCAGGCCAACCAAACTTGGACACAGTCAATTCCAACGCCTAGATAAGCTCTACAGAAGATCACAAGCCTTGAATATCAACATGAAGCAGTGATGCTATGCCTCAAAAGTTTCATCATGGGATGCCCACCTGGGCAGCACTTGGCCGAAATTTGCGTTCTCCGCAGACTGTGTACGCTGACGTCATGTCGTGAAGCCATTCTACAATACATACCAACCTTGGAACCAGTTTTACCACCGGTAAAATATCTGGGCTGCTTGTCAAGAAAGAGATAGACAGATTCAATGTTCTTTCAAGGGTTGCATGCACTCCGAACATTGGAAGTCTTGGGAAGTGCTCAGGTGCCCCATGCGCATCACGTAATCATCGAGACACTCCAAATCCGACCTCACTTCCATCCCTCAATTGAATCCAGCTCATCTTCCCCAAAATGCATGCTCAGTCACTGAACATGTCGGCTCGCACAGCTCTGTCCTCCGGACTATTCAAGTCCATTGCGCCATCGCCCGTCGGTGCTCTCCGTCCCATTCAGCAGACCACTCCCCGGACGACATCCAAGCAGCTCATGCGCCTCAGCTCCACGGCAGCTCGATCATCTAGCCCTGCTACTCTGGATACAACCTCCCGTCCTCACGCCCAAAATGCCTCCATCTCTTCTGGACTGCGATCACAAAGCACTGCTGCGACTGCGAACGAAGTCAAGCTCGACTGGAACTCGTTCTTCAAACTTCGCGCTTCGCGCCGCCGCTACTCTCTCGCTTCCTCGGTCGCCACTTCCCTTGTCAGTACCACCGCTGGAGTACAAATCCTCTCTGGTCAGGATCTTGAAGCCTTGGGCGGTGCTGTGATGGGCCTCGACCCCTTCGTGGTTCTTGGATTGGCCACAGCTGCATGCGGTGCCGCTGGATGGTTAGTTGGTCCCGTTGTTGGCAACGGAATTTGGGGATTGGTCTACAGAAAGTTCAAGCCTTCCGTCAATACGGTATGTATCGCCCTACAATAGAGCTTCGGCCTCGGTCTTCTCAATACTAATCGCTTGCCGCTACAGAAAGAGAAGGAGTTCTTCGATCGCATCCGTCGCTTCCGCGTTGACCCGTCCACCAACTCGATCGCTAACCCCGTCCCCGATTACTACGGCGAAAAGATTGGCAGTGTGCAAGGATACCGACAGTGGCTGAAGGATCAGCGTGCCTACAACCGCAAGCGCCGTAACTTCATCGCTTAAAAACCCTCCGCCTGTGGTGCTGAGGTGATTTTCTTTCATTTGTGTCAATATAGTTGAGTCCGAGGACTCATGGTCAACCAATCTGGTACCATTTCCCTCTCTCTTGTCGGGGTCGGTGTTTATTTTGTTACATTATCATTAGCGGTTTTGGTAGCAGGGGCATTGCAATACATTCGGAATGACCTTTCATCATCCCAACAGGCTTGGCTATCTTCTGAAGTTTATCAATTAGACACAATTTCGAGTGCAAGAACCCCGGGAATCGATGAAAAGTGACAATGTCAGACTTCCAATGAACAGCCCGGAGCAATCGAGCCACACACCTCGCACGCTCACAGCTTGGAAGTGCCCTTTCGTTTCGGACTTCGACCAGTGTCAATCTCGGTCCACCATGGCACAACTGGCGGCGGGTTATCGTCCAGGTCAGCACTGAAGTTCGGTTTCCGCTTCTCAAAGAATGCTGCCACCCCCTCTTTCTGGTCCCTGAGACAGTTAGCCTCAATGAATCCATCGAATGCGATCTTGACTTACGATGCCCCAAACATATGATAAATTACATGCGATTCCACCAAATGCGCTGCTTCTGCAGACCCGGTATCACGCCACATCAGTGCTCGGTTCAAATACGACGAAGTCGGACTGACATTCTCCGAAATATCAGTGGCCAGCTCGAGCGCGCGTGGCAACACCTGGGTCGGTTCTGGGAGAATCTCATTGAACAGGTCGCCGAAATGTTTCGAGGCCGGCGGGAAGACACCCCCAGTGCTGACAAGATAACTGGCGTTCGAGTGGCCGACCAATCGTGGAAGAAAGTATGAGGAGCACGATTCCATTGTGATCCCGCGGCGGCCAAAGACGAATCCATATTTGCCCTTTTCGTAGGCGATTCTATCGAACGTTCAACTTGAGCCCTGCTTGGATTTGAAGGTATGGATGATTTCTTCATGTTCAATACTACTCACCGAATGATAGCCGGCAATGTCATAGTCATACCAACACCAACCGCCGATCCTTGCATAGCTGCAATGGTTGGTTTGCGGCATCTATGGATAGCCAGGGCGACTCGTCCGCCACTAAACCCATCAGTTGAGAGAAAGCCAAGCTCCGACCTCTTTGACTTACCCGTCACGATGGTCCATCATTCTCTCGTTGCCAGCACGGAATCCAATATCAAGGTCTGCGCCCGCACAAAATGTCTTACCAGCGCCTGTCAAAACAACCACCTTCACTCGGCTGTCCACGTCGAACATTGGAAAAAGCTTCTCAAAATCCTGGACCATCTGCCCAGTGAAAGCATTTTGATGTTTTGGGCGGTTCAGCGTGACCACAACCACTGGAGTAACTGCTGGTGCGCCTGGCGGATGATGGGCGACGGTTACATGGCCGGTCGTTTGAACTTCTTCATACGATGCAGGCAGTTCGATAGAATTTGGATCGAATATCATGGCTTTCTGTTTACTGACCGCAAGGTGTATCCCAAAAGATTATCCCCGCAGCATACATATACTTTGCTCGGTTATTGAAACACCGTTGAGCCGCGGTTCGGTTTGAAGTGTGGGGAAGCTGGGGTCGATCGTGCGGAGTCACGATGAACGTGTATTCAATCTCGCACCTGGGCGAGTGATGACTGATGAAACTACGTTTGAGCACTCTGAACACTCCGAAGTGTGACCCCAAAACTTCCGAACAGTTTCTTTGCGGACATTTAGGATTAGAAAATAAACCGAGGTCGGTCCGTTGCCCTCAGCCGATGGACGTGAACACTTTGTGTATGCAGCACTTCCTGGGTTTCAAGCTTCACAAACAGCATCTTGCTCGCGTACTGCCTTAGTTTGATGCTTTTATGGCTGTTGTGGTTCCACTGTATTCAAATCGTCATCCAACAATAAGTCGACGCACTAGTCTGGAGCGCATCGTGAGCGAACCCGGCGGACTGGGATTAATTCTGTCACCGAGCAATTCCAAGGGCCGAGCATCAGTCAGTTGCATATGAATGTTTTGTACAAGATGAGTGAACTCTCGAATCTTGGTGGCCTGGTACCTCTAGCGGAGTGGCGTCGTCCTCGGAGGGTATTTTCGTCATTGATTGCGCTCGAACACATCACCATCGACATTCTGCTCGTAGGATTCATGCATCACCGTGTTCAATCTTCGAGGATCATGATTTGTATGTAGCCCAACCTTGGAAGGTAACCAGATCAGAACCCTCGGTCGGAGTGATGGGGTTTTTCTTTCAGGGCCCGCAACAGTTATTTGTTCTTCGCGAACATTGATTTATGCTAGATCCTCGACCCCTTGTTGATCGTTCACATTCTAGGACCCGGCTCAGTCCTTGAAGATATCACACTATTCAACAGATCAAGATCCCCATCTTACAGCAAGGCCCAGGAGGAAGCATTGTGGCAGGATGTATGGAAGTTGGAATACATGATAGCGCACATCCGGTCAGCCATCTTCACTGCCCCAGATCATACACATCTGTCCACGTGCCCTAAAGTCCACGGATCCAAACCAGCGGTCTGCATCGCGCCCCCGAGGTCCGCCTCGCTGTCATCAAGCATCGACAGCGGTCGAGCCAATGTGATGAAACGAGCTTGCTAGTCTTTTCCTGCAGGGCTCTTGGCACATGATGTCCTGGGAAACCTGCTCTTCGTAATATCAACACCCATTCAGCTGATTCCCTCGCCAATTTTCGTGTCGGATATCCTCAGACCTTAAGGGTCGAATAGTGGCTGTGGACACCCAGGTCAAGATTGCATCTACATCGGGGTAGGCCTAAAGTTTGAATAACTAGAGGTGGATAAGCCCAAAGAGCCTTGGAACCTTTCGTACACACTTCTTTTGGATAAAGGTCGGACTGTCAGGGATCACAGTGGCGTTTCAAGGTTGTTTAGAAACCTCAATCCATGGATTCTGTGCCCTATCTTGTTGGCTAGAGGATGATGCGAGTACACACACGGAGGGGAACCAAATGCAAGCCATTCATTTGGACGATCGTATGTCTTCAGTCGACTGAGCCTTCGAGCAAACACCTGGACACCAATCTATGAAGCCAAGAAATATAAAAGCCCGGGATCCACCCATCCGATGGCCATTCGCTGGAGATTGCGCAAAAACCGAACACCCACCGCTCCAAAACCCGAGTCACCCAACTCGCTCTGATTGCATTGAGTCCCCAACTCCGATCACGTCATGTATCTCACGGGTTGATTATCTCCTTGCGTTCTAAAGGTGCGCTGTCTTGTGAGGCCATCTGCAGACTGGACACAAATCAGTTTGCAGAGAGCATTCACTGCAAGGCCAATGAGGGACAAATCCGGGATCTTGGCGTGGGGCAGCTCTAGGCTCAGATCCCAATGTAGAATGCAAACAATGCCCGGGTAAAAACATAAGCTCGATCTGCCCGGATGAGGCACAAGTAGGGCATCGGTACGTCACGGGAGCCATGCAGCACTAGTCCTGATTGGGTAAACGCATGGCTTCGGCTGGGGACTTTTCGGGGATCTTCTCCTTTTGGCATGACGCGATGGACTGGATGGACTGGATGGACTCGACTTGACGGTCCCACTTCGCAAGGGGTCCAGTTCTTCAAACAAGCTTGTACGAGAGTGTCCCTGTTGTACGACCTGTTTTGCCTGCGAATCCACCAACTCAGATGGGATACCTCGAACCAGCAGGGAATACGAGGTCAGAGTCAGCAATGGACCCCTTCGCATGGACCGTGTCAGATGTTCGAGTCATTGCCAGGCCGAAAGTAGGCAATTCACAGCGAAGTCCCGAAGAGACGAGAGAAGAACGAAAGACACGACGGCAAGTGGGACGTCATCAGCACGAGCCACCTGTGCATTTACCACATTCGGACAAGAACGCCTCTTCGCGCTGGCCCTTTCGGCTGCCACAACTTCGGGTGAAGTGAAAAAGGGGGGTTTGATTGGATCTGCATACTTCCTGATCGGCTTGGGAACAATAACCATAATTGGAAGACCCGCTTTGTTCTTTTACCGTTCCTGATGCTCCCTGTCGGGACTGACTCGGCCGCTCATTCAAATTGACCTGCAACCCCGATCTTCTGATTGATACGGAGTACTTCCATGGGTTCAACGCGACGCCAAGGCGACATGCAAACAGGCCGAAGAATGAAAGTATGACTGACTCCGAATCCTTGTGACTGCAACGCCTGCAAACTCATTATCGCCGTCTCGCCGATGGGACGACCTCTCACGGTCGGCTTTTGTTCTCTACACATGTACTAACGACGCGCCATCGGTAGTTTCAGCAGGACTCGGCTTGCATCCATTGCATAGACCGCAAAATGCTCGGCCAACAGACATCGCGACCCCGACTGACCCGGCTGGAGAAGAAGCACCGTTCGTCAAGGTCAAGCGCTTCCTCCATCTCCTCCATGGCGTTACCTCCGACCTATCAAACCGACCTCCTCGAAGCAACCCACCTGCAAGACCTCGAATTGATGATGCAGTGGTGCACCTCAACCTACAAAACGATGGCCCGCAATCCAGCCTCGGAAACTCTCTGGCAAACCACCGTCCCGACTCTCTCTCTCCGTCACCCATCCCTTCGTCAAGGCCTCCTGGCTCTCTCCGCCCTGCACCTCGCCTCCAAAACCTCCTCCTCCCGGCGATGGCAATACCTTGAAACAGCCCGCGCCCACCAATCCCAGGCTCTTGCGGCGCTCTCCAGCACACAACTCGACCTCGAAGCAGACCCCAACGCCACCTTCACATTATGCTGCCTCATGATTGCATTCGCGTTCGGCTACTGTCTCATTGATGACGATGACAACGACAAACCTGACGTCCTCCATGAATTCTTTGAAGTGCTCCATTTGACCCGCTGGCTGGTCAGCATCATCATGCCCCTCCTGGACCGTGTCGCCGCTGGTGATCTCAACTCGCTCATTCAGCCCGAGGATCCTCGCCCGACCATGCCCGACATGTCTCGGCTCGTGGTGTTGGCGCTGCGTCGTCAGAACGCCCTGGAAACCTTGCGAGATCCCGCGCACGAGGAACCACTGTATGAATCAGCGATCGAACACCTGAGCACTGCGCTCGAGCAGCTCATGAAAGGTGGCGAGCCGAAGATGTTTGCGTTCTGCTGGTGTTTTCGGATCCCCACAGGATTTCTGGAGCTACTGGAAGCGCGACGGCCGTTTGCGCTGGTGATTCTGGCACATTACGCGGTGGTTCTGCATCATCTGAGGGACTCGTGGTGGATGGGAGATTGGGGCGCGCAGGTATTGTCGCGTATTGGGGACTCGTTGGAGCCGGAGTGGCGGGCGCTTGTTGGGTGGCCGGTCGACGCGACGGGATGTTTCCTTTCTCCCTGAGGTTGCTTTGGGGGGTTTTTCTATTTCAGCGCTGCATCTAATGAGACATGAAGAAGCGTAATTAGCATAGACGAACTGTATATTGAATTGTGAGATGTGTACGGAGTACTCCGTGTGTCCGCCGATCGGAAAAGAAAGCAAAGTGCAGTGACAGACCAGAACTGTCCATAGCCAACGCCGTTCGCCACGTCTGGACGTTGATAGGACGCAGATAACAGCGGGCGAAGAAAAAGAACAAAATACCAAAAACCAATTAAGTCGTAAGAAACCCCGCAGTTGACCACTGCCTGCAGTGATTTCTGTCCCTCTCTTCCTCTTCCGTTCTCTCTCTCTCTTCATTCCTGGCCGACACCACTAAGAGGCAGGCGAATCTCTCCGCAACTCCTGGCGCTCGTGTTCAATCTCCTTGACCCGCTCCTTGGACAGTGTGCGCACCCGCATCAGCTCGGCCTCGTGCTCCTGGATCTTCTTCTCGTGTTCCTCTTCTTCGGCGGTGGGGATGTAGGCATTGGCAGCACCGCCTATCTAACCGTTAGCTCTTCATCTGCAAGGGCAGGATTGTTCCGTAGATGGTTACCTCGGCCAGTATGGTGGGGGATCTGCTGCGCACGCAAGGGGGGTGACTCGACGTCTTGACTCTCGCGCGCAAGGTCCGGTCGGTCGGGATCGTTGTGAACCATGTTTCCAGAGCCGCCGCGGCCGGTGGTGTACACCTCCTGTTTGATGGTGGGCGTGACGAGGTCCTTGGGGGTCGGTGCGCTTTGTTGGCGGGTAATGTTGCCTGGAGAGATGAGTGGAAGTGCGACCTATCGAGTGAAGAAGCTCTTACCTGCGCCTCCACGGCCATATGAGATATTGCGGGACATTGTGGGAGTTGTGAAGGAGATCGGAGAAGGCGAGAGCGCTGTGGGGTGGAAATCCGATCAAAATGACGACAGACTTTTTTTTCGGTCTTGGCCCTTGGCTCTTCTCAACAGACTGTGCTGACACCTTTTATATTCGTCCACCTGTGGATGTTGTTTTTAGTGATCTGTCCCTGTTGGTCTCATGGGGATCTTGGGCATCTGACGAGGTTTCACTTGGCTGGACTCTCGCCGGAAACGGAATCCGCCAAAAAAAAGTCATCAGCCCTGGGTTAAGTATAAGCGCTCACTGCGAAGCCGACTGTACAGTCACCACATGAAGTCCCCTTTGGAAGCAACAATTGTAAGCTGCAACTGACATGAACTATCTGCTCTTTGCGATCATCCTACTCTTAAAGATGAAAAGAAAACTCCGACACGCGCCAGCGTCTGTCTATACTGCGAAATTGGCCATTCTTGCCCTTGCGCCTGGTCTGACTGTATCAGGGTCTAACATCCACCCAGGCAGATTCAACAAGCAAGCTAAATCCCGGCGCTTGGGTTCAATATATCTTCTTGTAAAGCCTGTGAAAGTACGACAGATATCCATTGATTATAATTTCCTGGACACTGTTCTTTTCAAGATATTCCTTGCTGTCTTCGACATAATTCACCCTGGCCTCCGAGAGTTGACCTTAGAATCATGACCTTGGAATCATGACTGAGATGTGTAATATCATCATACACATTCGCTGCTTAACGGTTGCCCTTGTCAATTTCCTCGGTATTTTGTACATATTCCTTCAGAGATGAATTGTTCGTGATCATTGAAGCCTGTACAAAACTTGATACATGATGGGGAATGCTGGCAAGTAAAAATCTTCAAAGGGCAATGAGGACATGGTATCCATACGAGACAATTCTTGCGGGACTGGTTCAAGGGCTTTGGCTCAGATACGACATGATCAAGATTGCAGCAGAGCTTTCGATGGCATAGATGGGATGCATCACATCCCTCTTTGACCTCTTGACCATTCGCCCAAATCACAACTTCTTCCAGCACAGCAAATTTGTTGAAACCATTGGCCGAAATCTGGACGTATCCATGCCTTTTGGAGGGGACAAGCTCAAGAATTTCACACCAACCATCTTGCCAGTAATACTTATTGTTGGTTCTGTACTTTTCCAGTATTGCTTGACATAGTTCTTTGTCCTGTCTACACTTGTCGCGGAATTGTTGCTTCGACACAGTAGATAGCACCACGGCTTCAGGGAACATCAATTCCATGTGAGGACAACATTGGGATTATATATAGCAATGTTAATAAAGCAAATGAAATTTGGGAACACAAAACGTACTTGTCATCTACTCTCTGAGCCCCTACCTACACAGAAGCCTAAGAAGTAATGCTGGGCACGGCCTATATGTTTTCCAAAATCATCACAAGTTTTATCAGCACCCTTTGTCCCTTTGACAAATTCCTTTGATAGCACTGGACTTCTGTAAAGCCCGGTCTTGGAAGGTAGAACCAAGGGGCAAGCATGTGAAGCATCCAGCTCACTTTACGGTTCAGCTTATTCTTTGGGTTTTATAAACATCAATTTTCATGCAAATCTATCTGACACAGGCCTTGTGCTTTTGGTCTACACTGTCAACGTGTTCAAATTGAAATAGAACCAGCGTTCAAGACAATGCTGAGGTCAACGGAAGACCAGTGCGAGTAAGTGAAAGAGAGAAGTCTGAAAGGGACAAACACAGAGCTCAGTCGCGCGAGACAAAATTGTGGCAACAAACCATCTAAGCCACGAAATTTCCGGCAGCGCCAAGCAATGGATGAGGGTTCTTTATACCTATGAACAGTGTATGTTGTCATTAGCATTTATTTTTCATAGATGCCATGTAGTACATGTAGTAATGACCATTGCCAGCCCCGTTCCACAGTTGTTCACCAAAGTGCCCGTCATGATCTATTGAAGAAAGACCCAGTCTACGTTAAGACCTCATCTTGAGATGTTTTCAACTGGAAGACGCGAGTTCGGTTATGAGTGTCTCGATACGGCGACGAATCTCGTCACGGATGATCCGCACAGCATCCAGGTCTTCCCCGGCAGGATCGTCAAGTTGCCAGTCGAGGTAGCGTTTGCCAGCGAAGAAAGGGCAAACATCGCCACAGCCCATGGTGATCACAGCATCACTGCTCTGAACCGCATCGGTCGTAAGGATCTTGGGAATCTGGTTGCTGAGGTCGATGCCCTCTTCGCGCATAGCTTCAACAACCATAGGATTGATGGAGCCAGCCGGGGCCGATCCGGCAGAACGGACCTCAATAGTGTCGCCCGAAAGGTGCATGAGGTAGCCAGCAGCCATTTGGGAGCGACCAGCGTTGTGCACGCAGACAAACAAGACGCTGGGCTTAGCCATGGCATGCGTTTCTGGTGAATCTTTGGGCGATCGTCGTGGTGTGGCTCGTTCAATGCCAAGGAGGAGGCTGTCGAGATGGCAGTACTTGGAGGATACAATTGGCAAATATCTTTTGGGAAGATGATGAGATGAGAATTGAATGATGATGAGTTTGACTTTTCGTTCCGGCGTCAGAGACTGCTCAGGTGAAGAGGCAATGCTCGGGTTTATATACTATGGGATAGTTTGTAAGAGACCTCGGGAGGGAACCCAACAAACAATTGACCTAGAATATTCTCTTTTCTCTAGTGAAAATGGCCATCTCTCTTGTTGTCCATCTCCTGTACAAAAGACTATTACCCCACCCTTCAGCACGAGAACCTGGATCAACCATGTCTACAGGTCAGTTCCAGGCACTGTGTACATTGAATTCTGTGCCGAAATGGGCGATTTTCTGGCCCAGTTGCATGTCACTCGAATACTTTGATTGGTCGGGATTTTGGAAAGGAACGAAAGCATGCATTTTCATTGATAATTGATCTGGGATTGAGATCGAATGGCATCATTGTCTCGTTTTCATTGGCTTGGTAATCATCGACCACTTTGCTCACGACTGCCCAAGTGGCCACTTTGACTGTCAGCAGTATTCTCGACCCTTCTAAATAACCTCGCAAAGTTGAGCAAACTCTGTATGGGCAACCTCTTGGAATTCCAGATCGGAACGTCCAGGCCCCAGGCCTCCGGGGCTCACTTGCCCAATGACAAAGCAAGAACGTTGGCCCTGCCACCTGGGCAAGGCCCGGGGATGTCACTGCTGAGTGGTGATTGGTTGAATGTAACCCTATGTCACTCCTCTGCATTGATTGGTTGCAGACATGCCGTTTCAAAATACATTGGCCTTGAGGCAATGACTATATAATTCTGAAGACGACACCAGCGAGTTAGGAGATTGTTAAAACAACTGTGGGTATTTTCTTTCCGTGCAGTATTTACTGAAATTTTCTGTGAGGAAAACGATTCATCCTTGGTTGATTGATGCTATCAAGGATGGCCACCCAAACTCCGCGGCGCACGTCGGGAGAATTGCAATGTCACAATACAGCATTGGACAATCGTCCGCAATGTCCAGACTCCGACGATGTTGAGAAGCAAATATCAGAAACAAACACGCCCAAGCAATCGGCTTTCAAAGGCCTTGGCTGGTTGGATCGATTTCTAGCCCTGTGGATCTTCCTTGCCATGGCTGTTGGAATTATTCTCGGCAACTTTGTCGAGAACACGGGACCTGCCTTGCAAAAGGGCAAATTCGTCGGGGTGTCTATTCCAATCGGTAAGTACATACGAAACTGTGAATCATCAGGCCTCGGCTAAACAGCGCAAGCGATCGGCCTCTTGGTCATGATGTATCCTATTCTTTGCAAAGTGCGGTATGAGTCCTTGCATCATGTCTTTCGAGAGCGTGGAATTTGGATTCAAATTGCGTTCAGCATCTTTGTCAATTGGATTCTTGCTCCTTTCCTCATGGTGAGACTGATCTAGCTCGTCATGGTGATACGTGCTGACGTTTCATGACCTAGCTTGCACTAGCATGGGCTTTCCTGCCAGACGAGCCAGAGCTACGAGAGGGCTTGATTCTTGTCGGATTAGCCAGATGTATCGCCATGGTAAGCTACAGCCTTTCTGCATTGTACTGAAATCAATCTCACATATTCTTCCTAGGTTCTCATCTGGACCGGTCTTGCTGGCGGAGACAATGAATATTGCGCTATCCTCGTTGCGGTTAACTCACTGCTTCAGATGGTGCTCTTTGCACCCTTGGCAATCTTCTTCATCAAGGTCATTGGCCATTCGGGTAGTCAAGTTACACTCTCATACGCTACAGCTGCCAAAAGCGTGGCAGTGTTCCTTGGTATCCCTTTAGGTGCCGCAATCATCACCCGCATCACGCTTCGAAAGATAGCGAGTCCAGATTGGTACGACCGGGTGTTTCTCAAATGGGCTGGCCCGTGGTCTCTTCTTGGACTTCTCTTTACGATTCTGGTGTTGTTCGCATCTCAGGGCCGCCAGGTGGTTCATCAGATTGTCTCAGTGGTCCGGGTCGCCGCTCCGCTCTTGGTTTATTTTATAATTGTCTTCTTCGTCACCATTTGTGTGACTTACAAGCTTGGGTTTGGTTACAAGTTGGCTGCTACTCAAAGTTTCATCGCAGCCAGCAACAACTTCGAGCTTGCTATCGCTGTCGCGGTCGCAACATTTGGTGCTAACAGCAATCAAGCGCTGGCCGCGACTGTCGGGCCACTGATTGAGGTTCCGGTACTGCTTGGGCTTGTCTATGTTGCAAAGCTTATAGGGAAGAGATTTGGCTGGAAAGACTGAAGCGAATATTGGGTGAATTGACTCTCGTCCTGCGCATTCCTGATCAATTATGGAAGCCAATGCCGACGTGAAGGAACTAATATAGAAGGTACCAGTGATACGGGAACCGTTGTAGGTAATGCAGAATGGAATCATCACTTGTCACAAGTCCCGAAGTTTCAGTAAGACTTCACTTAAGCCACATGGCGTTCTAGACGTAGCGGACTGAGCTCTGGGAGCTCTGGGCTTTGTAACGCCAGTGATATAGCCATGCATTGTATCATCGTTCCATTGTTTAAATTGGGTAAAACAAGCCTCTTTTGTACTAATAAATGAATCTCTTTGCAATCCAAGGTATTAGCATTTTGGCTTGGCAGTGACATACCAGGCAGCGCGACTGTCCAATCAGCGAAAGGACTGACAAATACTCATCGATCTTGACCTCCATGATGCTGCAGATGACATCGCCACCTGCGGGCAGTATGTATAGGTGGACGGTCCTTGGTAGTGAAAAGATAGATATATATATATATATATATATAGCTTTGGTCTCTGACTCGAGGCATCAAATTGCTGGTTTGAAATCTCACAGAGCAGCACCTGGGGAACCTTGAAACTGTGTTTCGACGATATCTAACACTAACCTCACGGCGCAGTCCTTAGCCCCCTTCCGTGGACGCTGTCGAAACCGAACTTTTGAACTTCCAAGCTTGTGAAAATGAGCTCAAAAGACACCTATCATTCTGTACAAGACCGTTACGCGAGCGTTGCAAGACAGGCTGGCCCTGGTAGCCAAAGAGCTCATGAACAAGAGGTCGCAGCCGCGTTCGGATACGATCTCGAGGATTTGCGCTCCATTCCAGACGATGCGAATCTAGGCGTCAGCTGCGGGAACCCAATCGCAACTGCAAACATCAGAGTAGTACGGAATATCCACCAATCCTTTCTTATCACTGAAACTAACGTGCACATAGGGCGAGACTGTAGTTGATCTGGGCAGTGGTGGAGGCATCGATGTTTTGCTAGCTGCAAAGAAGGTTGGAGTGGAAGGGAAGGCTATTGGTATCGATAGGACAAAAGTGCGCCAACCATTCCCCGCCGACAAACCTGTGCGGTTTTTAACTCGTGGTAGGACATGCTGGAACTTGCACGGAGAAATGCGAGAAATGCTGGCGCCTCGAATGCAACTTTCATCGAGGCTTTCATTACTTCTATCCCCGTGCCATCATCCAGTGTTGATTGCATAATCAGCAACTGTGTGGTGAATCTGGTGCCAGAAACCGAGAAACCGCTTGCTTTCCAGGAGATGTTCCGCCTGCTAAAGCCGGGGGGCAGAGTTGCAATTAGCGACATTCTGGCAAAGCGGGAGCTTCCAACGGAGATCAAGAAAGACCTTTCTTTGTATGTTGGTTGTATCGCGGGGGCCAGTCAGGTCGCCGACTATGAGAGATATCTGAAAGAAGCAGGTTTCGAAGGTACTGGTTCTTCATTTCTTTCTTCTCTCCCCTTGCCGTATGACTTGACCCAGCACTGATACCCGGCTTGTAGATATATTGATAATCAGCACCAAAAGCGATTTGAACATTTACAAGGAAGCGAGCAAAGGTGAAAATGCCAACGGGTCGGGCCCTGCCAGCTCATGTTGTGATGCAACAAAATCCAGCACAGCCGAAGGGGTGAAGACAGGTTCGGATGTGGATTTCAACCTCTGGACTGGTGAGTTCACATACAGAGTAAGCCTTTGAAAGGGCCTCGCTGATCGGATCCCCCTTCCCATCTCTATCTAGGCTCTTTCAAGATCCTCGCAGTCAAGCCCGATGTCCACGACTGATGACTGCATTGCATATGATTCTTCCAGCACCATGCGTAGAACTATTCAACATAGTTCAAGAAGACGAAGTATTTCCTAGCTACTTTTGATGAAAGGCACAGATAAATTCAATGTTCGATGCCCAGGACGGATCATTGTTCTTTGCACAAAGAGTTCAGTAATTTGGTTATTTTTGTAAACTCGGAGCATGAGCGCGCGCCCCGGGCGCGTCTTCCACATAGTCCGGAGGGTATTATGTCAAAACCAATGTTCTGATATGCTTAATTGAATGAATGTTGACAGAGCCTGGGTCAAGGCTTCAAAGGCGAGAAGTGACAGACCTGGGCACAATATTCGGGAGGGTTGGTAAGGGCAGATAGGTCCTTGCTTTGCCCTTATTCCTCCATTTTCCTGCTCTCCAAGGCTCTTCTCAGCTTGACATTCCAGCGGCAAGGTAATCAAGCTTTGTTTCCAAGGCCTCTTTTTCTTTTGCCATCAGCTAAGATGCCCAGGCCTGCTCTGTAGATCAACTCACTGTCAAAGTCCATTGGCCCTGTTACAACTAGAAGGTCAATGAAGGAGTTGCTAGTGGGTGATGGGAAGCCACGGGGGTTGTGGGCAGCTGGCAGATGTAACCTTGGAAAATTGTCAACGACACAGTAATCACCATGGAGCAATGGGGACTGGGATAGGATAGAGCTCATGGGTTGCATTTGCGATCCCAAGTATTCTTCAATTTGTACAGAGTACTCCGTATATTGTTGACACCGAGAATCATCAGCAGCGGCTGAAAGAAAGGACTTTTTGGCGCCTATTTCTTCTTGCTTTCTAAACATCCTGTATCGCAGCTACACCGTGCTTTTCAAATGACTTTGATCCTTGTTCAAGTTGCTGGGTATACTACTGTACTCCTTGCACTGCGTGCGACAATGTGGTTGATTTTGACAATTCCGATAAGATGATGTGTCACACACACCTTTAGTATTTACAAGGTCTTTTTAATTCTCACTCGTGCTACAGCACGAACGCGCAAGTGGTGGAGATGCCGGTACCTGGCGGGGAGTGGGGATTTGCCGTCTTACATCTACAGTACAACTCTGGAGTCTCAAGGGATGCTCAGACTGAAACGTAACTTTGTGGCGAGATGGAAAAATAAATCCTCTGGCTGTCCAATCATCACAACAGCCATCCATGTGGGGCAGCCTCATCCTGTCCCAGGCCCGAGGCTGAGTTCCGACGTCCGAACCAATCATGTTTCGCTGGTGACATGCTCCCCTGAAAGCCACCCAGAAGTTGTAGTTAAATTTCAAGTCTTTTGTTTTGTTTTCACCGTGTTGATTTATCTTCTTGGTCATAACCTATGCTTTCTTACATTGCACAACGGGCGCCCTCGAAGTCTCGGTCGGCATCCTTGTCATTTATGCTGCACCCCAAATCTTCAGCAACGATGTCCTCCACTGTTACTCCACCAGTTGTTGCGAACACTCGCCAAATCGATGGCTCGTATCGAACTATGGCATTACGCCCAGGTGAAGATTGCGCAGATATCCGCCAGAAGTATCGGCCATTCATCCTTGACGATAATTCCACTGAGGACTGGGTCAACAGCTTGGACTTGACCACAGCAGTGGACATGGCTGAACTCAACTTAAGATCTACAAACGAGAGGTTAAAAGTTCTCGTACTGTATGGCAGTCTTCGGAAAAGATCATATTCACGTCTCGTGGCAATGGAAGCTTCCCGCATTCTATTCCGGCTCGGCTGCGATGTACGCGTTTTCAACCCAGAAGATCTTCCGGTGAAGAACGATACAGATATCGATCATCCTAAGGTGCAGGAGCTCCGAGGGCTTAGCTCGTGGAGTGATGGACATGTCTGGGTCTCACCCGAACAACACGGCAATCTAGTGAGTGGCTTTCAAGAGAATGTCGATGCTTGGTGCCGCAATTACTTACTCGTGCTCCTCTCGGAACTTTAGACCGCTGTGTTCAAGAATCAGATCGATTGGATTCCTCTAACCACAGGAAGTGTCCGTCCCACCCAAGGCCGAACGCTGGCCATTGCCCAGGTCTGCGGTGGGTCCCAATCGTTCAATGCGGTTAACTCTTTACGTCTCCTGGGCCGGTGGATGCGCATGTTTACTATCCCAAATCAATCCTCGATACCCAAGGCATATACGCAATTTCCGGATGAAGGTCAACCAGGAGATCAAAGACTCATGCCTAGTGATAATCGGGATCGTCTTGTGGATTGTATGGAGGAGTTTGTCAAATACACGATCTTGATGCGACCTCACGTCGGTCTTTTTGCTGATCGCTTTAGCGAACGGGAGCAGAGGAGATCAAAAGAGGCAAAAGCAAGCGCTGCTATGGCAGCATGAAAGATGTACAACAACTTAGACAATGCTAGAGAGACAATTCCTCATAGAGCATTCATTCATCATACTTCCTGGCATCAGCTGACGGCCCAAGAGATCAGCATCAGGTCTATTAATGCCAACCGCTCTTCCAAAGCCATTCGATTGGTAGTATGAGCCATACCCTAGTCAGGAAGTCTAACCAGATTAGACCAATGAGGGTAAATCTTGAATTGTCGGGTATAAGACCTGGCAACTCACTAAGATACAGATGCGATAACAGAGCGATAGAAACAATGAGGATGTAGGAATGTTCGTATGGACAAGAAAATATTTTGCGGGAACCTTCTGGCCCTAGAAAATGTTCACATGATCGATAATTCAGGGTTATTTGACATCTCGAGCGACGCTTAGGCATTTTGGCACCGTTCCCCTGCATTTCCTTCATGGAAAAACTCCATTACATTGACTGTCTACCCTTCGATCATTGCTCACTCAAACATGACATAGGAAGCTGAACCCGAGGTTAGCCAACTGAACTTTGAAATAAGTGACTTTGAAAGTGCTCCCGAGGTCCATAAAGTTTCCTTCAGTGTATCTGGCCTATTGACCTGACGTACTTGTCGATTCTGGTGAAGTGTCACTATTTTCAGGCTTGAATCACAGCTAGACCTCGACACAACCCGCGGGTTACCCGTTACGGGTTACCCAAAACCCGCCAAGAAACGGGTTTACGGGTCACCAACCCGACCCGCGGGTTGGGTCACGGTTCCAGTTTTGAAACCCGCTGGGTTATGCGGGTAAAACGGGTTGGTCAAACAAGACAAACAGGAAATACATAAATTATGTATAATTTAACTATATTTTTGTGTATTTTGTTTATATATCGAATAAAAGATGTTAGGATTATTTGATGATTGGAAATTTGGAATTAGATTGAGGTTTTAACAAAGCACTGCTAATTCTGAATATTAACTAATACTCTATGAAATTATCTCTTCTAATTTGTTTATAGGTTCTTTCTATCTGTTATTGGGATTATAGAGGAAGAGGTAGTTTAATAATCTCTTTATTTTCTTCTCTATACGTAGAGCTCTGTTTAATAATAACAGTTAGATATCTCTCTAGAAGCTCTGTAGATTCATTCTCTCTCTTTTTATCTTTATTAATAAACTCTATTAACTTTTAAAAAAGTTAATTTTTCTCCTTTTGTCTTATTTGTATATCCTATTTAGTTAAATATGTATTATAGAGTACAAGTTTAATAGACTTAACTTTGAATTTAATAGTATACGTTGTATCTCTATACCCTGGGCAGTGAAAAAAAAAGTCTAAGTAAATATCTGGACTATTATCTTATGATTTTTAGAGCTTGTCGTGTAGAGATATCATCAAGGTGGATTTTTCTGAACCTAGCTTGCCCTTAATCTAGAGCAGATCATGGGATTGGCTCCTTTAAGACTAATACTCTTTTAGCTCTAAGATCTATTTGTAGGTATTCATATGGTAAGGCTTAATATTATCTCTTCTATCTAGCATTTGCGGGAATGCCAGTAACTCCAGTACTGCTATCATAGTTGTAAGTAGAAAGTCTATTTAACTGGTAAGGAGCGACACGAACTATTGTCTGTATTTTGCTCCGAGGTCTTTACTCAGCCTGGGCCGTAAAATTGGCTGTTAGTCAATTTTTCCAGGTTTGAAGAAGGCTTTAGGTCTTACTAGATGAGAAATAGTTTTGAGTTATTAGACCATGGTTGGTCCCTATCTGAGTCCCCAAGTTCTCGCTATCGAACGATATGGAATTTATACTCAATAGCCAGTGTGTAGTGATACTTTCACAGTCAAAGAGAAGGCTCGCAAGTTGAGAAAGGGGAGCTCAGCCCCACGATCAGGTGATTGTTAGGCGCTGAATCTTGGCGGCTACTTCTCCTATCAGATTAGCTGTGGGCATCTTATAAATGAGAGGGGATTGTGGGTCTAAAACGAGAGATCCACTTGAAAGTAGATCGAAGTGTGTATTTTTTGGAGAGGGAATATTTTTATAAAGTCATCAGGCCACGTTCCGACCACTGATCACACGTTTTATATCTCAGGTAACTTTGCACGTATTTTATCTGCTAATGACCTACGTCTAAAGGAATCTAGACTTGACTATCTAGAATCCCAATGTATTCCAATTTAGAGTATTTCCCTAGTAGCTATTTAACTAAAAATCAGATATTATTCAATCGATTTGTATATATTTACTAGCTATAATACGCCGAGATGAGGATCTATCATATTTTTATCGCAAGTGTTACAACTATTACGTATCGTATCTCCACTCGTCGAGAGGTAAGCTCCGTTACGTGCTTTAATAGCAATTAGATATCGAAATGCTGCCAGCTTCTGGTTTCTATTAAAATCATAGGAAAAGCTATTAATATTGGAGGTGGATGTAGAAACTTTACGCAATTTTGTCACATTCCTGCATCAAACCTTTTATTTCAGTGTTGCTGACCGACTCTAAAGTAGGAAGTTTATACAAGGGCCAAACTTTGTACTGTGATAACGAGAATGTGAGTTGGGAATATTGCGTCGGCAAGTTGAAGCTAAGTAACGTATCGGACATTAGCTTTTGATTGAAATACTTAACTTGTACACTAAGCCTAGTTGAGGAAACGGGAGTGGTGGAAATAGCGGCGGTGCTTGACTATTGACTCTCTAACCACATTTTGTCCCAAAAAGGCACATGGATCTACTGGATTGTTTGTTTGGGCAAGGGATCTCAAGGAAACAAAAGTGAGGCTAAGAATTACAAACGATCAAATCTAAAAAAGTTTGTCACAATAGGAATTTCAACTCAGGATCGCGTTATAACATATGACGTACTGATTTATTCTAATTTCATCTTTTAAAAACGCCTTGATACCCTAATCCCAATGTTTCTAAATTAAAGTAGTTCATAAATAGGGATTGCCTTCTTCACGTTTTTGGCCCAGTCCTTAATGTCCTTCACAAAACAGCGGGTAATATCTTGCTTGATTTCCTTGCTAATGAAGAATTCTAGGTCTTGGTCTTTGTAGACCTGCTCTAGATCAAGGCCATCTTTAAATATCATATCATATGCTTATTGAAATATAGCTTTAGAGGTATCATTAGTGACATTTGACTCCTACCATTTATTATATTCCTTAACAGCCACGTCTCTTGGCCCGGGAATCTCTAGCGTGCCTATAATCTTCAAGTCCATAGCTACGTTGGCATCTAAAACGTCTAATCCTAAAGTAGGAGACTGCGAGGGTAGAATATTAATGTTGATAGGGGGATAAGGTACTCCTGATATAAAGGAGCTGCCTCTCTTGCGCTTATCTCTTTCAAGTCTCTGTTACTCTTTTATATATAATTCTTCACGGATCGCTTCGGGTATGTCCTTGTGCGACTCAAGAAGACCACCCTTTTCCACGTGGATTATCAGGCGCCTTATATAATATGTTTTGAGTTGATAGTGCTTCTTTCCCATTAGATCTAGCCAACAGTAAGGACCTAGATAACACGAAGACAAATCACATTGTATTAAATTATAGACGCTACGCTAGACTAGTCTCTGACTAGAGACATCCTGTTTAGCATCTAGTTGTGCGTCTCGCTTGTCTAATATCCTCCTTATAACGAAAGATTTGCCTGTTTTCTCCTCTTTCCGTCCGGCGTTTAGAGATTGGTGGTCCTTTATATAGCTGAAGTAAATACTAAGTCTTAGTTCCTTGTCTTGTTAGAATAGATTCGACCACCTTTAAAGCTATTTGTCGATGACTTTCCAGTCAACAGCGGTCTTGTCGAATCGTTTGATCAGATTACGCTGCGATCAATCATTTACGAACACAACAATCGTAGTGTTATCAGCTCTTACCCTTCGATTTCGTGACATCTTACACCGAAGGATATCCTGCAGTTTGTTTTCTAGAAGTAGTTGCTAGTGGTCGCTAGGAACTAGAACAAGATCTTCCTTCGTATCTTTTGCTACAATCCTGTTGTTAACTTTCACGCGCTACTCTATGTGGTAGTGGACACAGGTTGGCGGGTCCTCGTCATAAATCCTTCCCTCTTCCCACTCAGATGACCGAAGGAGTGTGAGATTATCTGGCTGTGATTGGCTTGCGATCTTATTACCATTCCCGCCCATATAGGAAGGGGAGGGGCTGCTGGGGGATTCCGGGCTGTAAGGGCAGCCAAAATATCCGGGGGTCGGGGTATACTACAAATTCTGTTCCCATGTTCCAAGCTCTACGGGCTGAGAGATGTGGTCGACATAATATGGACTTTGAGTCATCTTTATCCAAATATTGACGCTTGAAAGGCTCATGTCAGCTTATGTGGGGGCGCTAGTTTTCGATGGATACTGGTAACGAATGAAAATCGCAAACGGAAAGGAAATGTGTGGGAATAAAAAAGCTTAGTCTCCTACCAGTGTTAGTACCGCGTTCTAGTAATCAACGGGGCCTTCCAAATGTGTATGAAATGAGCGTGGTTTGTATTTAACGAGTGTGGACGGAGGCTGCGTACGTGGTGGGGGAGGACAGGTGGCAGCGATCTTGCCATTGCCAGACCTCTTTCTATATTTGGGCTGTTTGCAGAGAACATTCTACGATGGTCCATAAAGTCTTACTGTATCAAAACAATGAGTCATCCATTACTGTTCAAATGTGACGATACAGCTTAACATGGGTTTTAGGAGAAGTAACTAGATTTGGACTAGCGTGTTTCAGAATAGGGTTTAGGAAACGATCTGTGAGTGTATGCGGGGGAATCTGTTTTCGAATATGGCAGTATATAAAAGAAACACTGATCCCTCCTAGAGTCAACATATTCAAGTTTGAAGCATTTCTTCTCAAGGTCTCATGAAAACTGCTCGTAAGTTCAAGCAACCGTCCGCATTCCGGGTCTGTCTCTTTCCAGCCTCTCAGCCAGAGCAAAAGCCTAACTATTATGCAGATTTCCTGATGCTACAAATCAAACGGACAACCTGGTCGATATCCAAATAATTCATCCGGTGAGAGTTGCGAGATCGTGTCCTGCATATTCCCGAGTTCTGAGCCTTTCACAAACTTGGTGTATGTGAATAAGTAATACAAGAGGTTTATATGGTACAATAGTACTCCTTCAGAAACTCAGAAGCTTCAGGTGGAGTACCACACTTGAACGGGAAATTTGATGATGACACGAGTACGCTTGGAAATGAGCCCTCGCCCCTTCCATTACTAATGAGCACGTGTCCAATATGATTATATATAAGCGATCATGCCATGATAATCGAGAGCCTCGCTTGGCAGTCTTCAGGTTGTGTCATTCCAACCTGACTGATAGGCATCATTTTGCCCCCTGGCCCTAGCTTGTCTGACCATGTTTCTTCCTGTCGTAGGACTTGAAAGCCTTCCATCGACTCATGATATTCAAAAAAACAAGAAGAGCTCATCTCTTGGAGCGAAGACGTAGCATACTGGTTTGTTAACCTATCCAGACTTGATGAGACAACCAAAAGGCCGTATTCTACCCGCTACCCCTCGGAGTTCCAGGTTCACATGGCAGACCTGGATAAAAGTCGCTTGAACTGTCAAGATGCCCACTGGTGAGATACGGATGTCTCTCAGCGAACTGTGAAAAAACGTAAGTTTCCATGACCTTCCACATTATCTCCAGCAACAAAACACCAATTGTCAGTAGTTGTTCAATGGCTGGGCTCTACCGGACGCCATCTGCCCCGCAAATTGTTTCTTAATTGACGGCCCTTTCTTATCGAAGCGAACAGATCATTGAAGGCATCACTTCCGGTAGTTCGGGAAAGACGAGTTTTAAAAGTGTGCGATTGCTTACGCATTGTTTATATCTTCTCATGATTAATTAAATCTTGTAATATTTAGCTAGAAAAAGCTAGTTATAACTTGAAAGTTCAATTGCATGGAGCAATTAGTTGAGGGAATTGAACTTTAGTCATGAACAGGCAATTAAGTGATGGCAGGGGGAGTGGGGTGTAAATTCGATGAACTGAGCAATCTGCTTAGCCAAGGTTTGAAGTAAACAAGTTGTTAGTAGTTACTCGTGACTAAGCAACACCGATGGTCGTCCCCTCCCATCGGTGAGCCAAAGCCTAAACCCGAACCAATGCCTAAACCCAAAATTTCCATTCCATCAATTTGAACCTCCATTTTTACCAACCAAAAATGCCTATTTCTGCCCAAAAAGAAGAGGAAGTACTCTCCAAGGCCCTAAATGCTATTTACACTAAAGAATTTCCCGGTATCGACTCTGCAGCTGCCCATTTTGGGGTGTCAAAATATAAGCTGCGCAATCGCAAAAATGGTATCTCTTCCAAAAATGGGCGTAATTCAACCAACAGTGCATTAAATCCATTGCAAGAAAAATCTCTGCTTCGCTGGATTGAGCTCCTTATTTCGGTCTATACACCCCCCTACCGCAATTGAGATTGGTGATGCTGCAAATCGCATTTTAATGCATAGTGGTTCCGACCGGAAGGTTAGCAAAATGTACGGATACAATTTTATTCGTCGTCTACCTTCCCATTTATCACTTCAACCCCAAAAAACCAATGGAAAAGGCAAGAATTGAAGCTGAGTCTTATGGTCCATTGCTTTTTTGGTACGAAATTTATGGGGAATTCCTAAAAATCACAATATCCAGCCCAATGAGCTATACAATTGGGATGAAACTGGCTTCCAACTTGGTATTGGAACCTCCCAAAATGTTGTTTCCACTCGTGAAAATGAGACTATTGGAACTTGGGGAATTGGCCAAAATGTCACTGGAATTGAATGCATTTCAGCGGATGGATGGGTAATGCATCCTTGGTTCTTATTACGTGGATCTGATCAGATAGATGATTGGTACGATGGAGATGATCATCCAGATCACTTCAAAGTTATTAAACCAACTACAAAAGGATGGTCTGATGATATGACTGCGATTCAATGGTCATTGGACTTCCATTATGCTACAAGAAAACGTGTTACTCGAGGAAGACCAAGGGTTTTATTGATGGATAAGCATGGATCTCATGGTACTCCAGAATTTGAACATCTTTGTCAATGTTTCAACATCATCCCTTATTGGTTTTTACCAAAAATGACCCATCGATGTCAACCTCTTGATGGAAAACTATTTTCAATCTTGAAATTGAAATTCCGATTGGCGAATAATGAGTATGAACGTTGGGGTGGAGAATCAAGCGACAAACGAGGATTTCTACAATTGATCAAAAACGTACGCAAAGAAACCTTTAAAAGTGCGACAATTAGGTCTTCATTCAAAAAAACTGGACTTTGGCCATTAAACGGTACCCTTGTTCCTGATCAAATTGATCCAAAATGGGAGAATGAACCAACAATCCAGATCTATGGTCATAGTTCAGCTACACCTGAGACCGAGATTTCAACCTCTGCAACCAACTCGCCTCCAAATACACGACAAAGATTCACAAAAATCGAGGATGAAATGACATCTCTTTTTGAGAGCGAAGAGCCAGATTTTCCTAAAATCCAAAAACATATCAATCGAGCTATTGAAGGTGGAAAGCAAGCTATCGCAGATCTCAACCTTGCAAATCAAACGATTAAAAAACTACAAAAACACCGAATGCCGAATCCAAAATCCCGTCGGATAATAAAGGGGGCATCAAAATCCCCCTTGTCATCAATTTCTGGTAATTCGAGAGCTCATCGCCGTTCTCTGGCCAATTCGCGCGTGGATGTTCGGTTCGAGGATGGCAGTGCACGAAGAAGAGACTATTGGCGTCGCGCTAATATTGCACTAAAAGAGGCAAAATTGGCAAGGGGGGGAACTGATTACATGGATGAAAATGATGAGCTATTCCCTATTATTGATAAAGATGGTATGGTGGGAGATAAATAGAGATTAAATCGATTCAATTGAAATTTTGGGTTTAGGCATTGGTTTTTACTTTACCAGCCCCCGCATTTTCCTACCAAAAAAATATCAATTTTTGGACTTCCCAGCCGCATTCTTGACCAGGGCAGCAGCTGGCCACGATCTTGTGTTTTTGTTTATCTGAATTTATCTCTGTGTATTTCACCAATTTGACTCTTTTACCAAACCAGATTAGTCACTCTGCTCGTGCAATTTACCCTTCCCTTGGGCATATGAAAAAAACAAAATTTTTTCCCCAGAATAGTAAAAGGCAGGAGCAAGAGTAGTCAATAAACTACAGTCCAGTGCAATTTTTCGGGTGGTAGATTGACGGTGATCAACTGGCCCGCTTATGGCAAGGTAGGGACCAGTCTTTCCAGTTTCATTGAGAATCGTGTTAGTGCTGATTGGACGAGGGCGTGAAAGCTCGTGACTAAAGTCAGCACCAAGTCACGTGGGGTAACATGTGAGCACGTGAGCGACGCGTAGGTAAACACTGCCATCCGCAACTCAGAAATCACCTGAAGACTTGAAATTCAAAATGTCCGCTGAAATTGACAAGCTACGGCGCCTTCTTGCAAAAGAGCAAAGTCTTCGTGAAGAAGAGCAGCGCCTCCGGAGAGAGGATAGGGAGAATCTCGCAGAGGAACAACGTCTTCGAAGGGAGGACCAGGAGAAGACATCTAAAACCAGCCTTCCCACATTTCTCGACGGTCTCCATCATCATCTCTTTCTTGGTCTTGAAGTTCAGCAGGATAAGACTCAATCCACGCGTGGAGATCCCGCAAATGCGACCAACAAACTTCGCCCCAGAAAACTTAAAGCCTGGGACTCCTTCGCGAAGAAACAACAGGAGATTTAGCGATTGCTGATGGATTCTTCGCTTATCGAAAAAAGACTGTTTACTTCTCTCCACACTTTGAAAGAAACAGGAGAGAGCATTCGGCGGCAGTTTGTTAACTCGGAACTTGACCTTAACCATTTCCTTCACCAAACTGTTGAGAAACATATCTCGAAAATAATCGAAAAACTCTATAGTGATCCAACACTGTGACAAACGTTTAGATTGAAAGGGTTAATACGATTTAAGAATCATTCTAATACTTTAAGCCTCGAGTAAGAACTCGAGGAGGGAATACAAAATATTGATCTTCGTGGTCGACCACAACGACGTTCCCCACATTTAGCTGCCCAGGAGCAAAGTGCATCGAGTGCCATAGCGACGCGTAGCCCACGAACTCCACCTCTAACGCGAAACAACAGACCTCGTGCCGATCAGTTCTACATCTACAATATTCCCAATCAATCGTCCGAATCGATCTATCGCGTTATAACTTATATCAAAGAGTATAAATCCTCGCACAAGGTAACACTAGACCACATTTATAAAGGGTTAGAGGATATAGACATCGATGAAATAATTAAGTAAAAAGAAGACAAGCCTTCAAAAGCTCAATTCCATCGTATGATCGCTAAGCTTCTCGTGCAGTCATATGACTACATAGTTCGTACTAGGACGGAAATAGAAGTACTAAATACTAGCAAAGCTAATATCTACCTGCGAATTAAAGAAGAACCTAGAACGCTTTTATACCACCTCTCTGTTTCAAAAGGAGATGTTGGGAAGTTCACTAGCTAGGATCCCTATCTGGGCGGCCCTAATCATCTACATTTAACCTCCGTGGGACAATCTCTCATTTTCACTCTCCAGACGCTCAAGTTGCGACCTCGAAACCAGACTTAGAGATAACACACAATCAACTCATTACTAAAGTAGGAAGTAGTAGTTGTGGATATCTTAGACAATATCTTGGATAAAGAGATACCAAGTTCCAAATATCGCCCTCTATGGACGAATAGCTTTCTTCGAATATCGCCAATACAATTACGTCGCAGGCGAAACAATTCCAGTCTTGATACTTGCCAATCAAGCGACACAAAACACGATGCGGACAACGATCATCCTAACCCCAATACGCCAAGCCGAGATCCACAGAACTATCAGGATATCGGACAAAGAAAGCCATCAGCGACTCATTTAGCACCCACAACAACTACAGATCAATCCTCGAGAGAGAACCATCGCTATTACTGCACGTTAAAATGCCTACATAAAATAATAAATAGGGGCAAGCTAGATCAGACTTACCCCAATATCCTCGATCATAGAAAAACGCGCCATATTATTAATACAAAAGTTTTCGTCAAACAGTTACAACGTCAATTATCTGAGACAGTTAATGCAGATTACGAAGTACTAGGTATACACAGTTCCCGAGGTGCTCTTTTGAAAGTCACACTATCATCGCACGAATATACCATGCCTGCAAAATGTACCGTACCAGAATTTGTAAAACAATTTCGACACGAAGCTGCTATATACACCAGACTTCGTTTAATCTAGAGCATATACATTCCTCTCTACCTCGGAAGCATCGACTTGGCTTATCCATACAGCTACGATGGTATCGCATATCTCAAGCACATGATGCTTTTGAGTCTGGGTGGGTAGCCTCTCGATCTGACACTCAGAGAAATAAAACAAGACTCCTTAATAGCCAAGATAAAAAAGTCGCTTTTACAGATGCATCGCCTTGATATTGTCCACAAAGACCCGGCGCCGCGGAATTGACTCTACAATCCAGAAAGCAACAAGGTTGTCTTTTTTAACTTTAAAAGGACTAAAATCCTTAATCTACGACCAATTCTAGAAGCAATCTCACCAAATCGCAAACGAAAATATATATCCTGTGATGGGTTTGATAAAGCGCTGTCCGAGATAAGGTTTATGAGAGAAATAAACAGGGCAGTGCAAAAGTTGCGAGGTTAGAAACATTGAGTGATAGTCTAGTGAATGTAGCTGCTATGTGTCTAGCCATTATGTATTGTATAGCTACATTACATATCACATAGAGTATCTAGGGTATATATACATACACACACAATTCATTAATGCCTGGCGGCTGAGCCGAGAGGGCAACTATCACTAAACTACCAGTACATGCATGTTTGGGTATACGCCGTGTCTCCTTGGAGCCCATACAGTAATTCCTTCCGTATTTCCCGTTTCAGATTTCAATCTCATAAACGGTCCCTGTGGTTAGTATTGGTTAGTAGACTGGCTTGAAGGCGCTTCTTCAAGTGTTCAACATTCTATCTTCGGCAGTTGAAGCGCGTCTACCGTCGATCACAAGGTGTTGGGGTTGGTAAGGTGAGGTGTTCTATCAGCTCGTCGGCAGGTCTAGGTGGCCTCCAGTCGGCCCATAGCGATGGCGAATCGTATTAACACTCGCACTGCTTCCACATTCGGCTTCCACTTTTGATCATTGGAGGGTAACTTCCCTCCCAGGAAGAAGGATAGGTTCCCTCGGTGTGTATCGGTACATTGTAACATATCCGTCCAATGCGCGGTCCACTTCCAACATCGAAAGAGGAAATGTTCCACAGTCTCCTTAGCTTGTCCGCACACACACTGATCTATATCGGCCGCATTGATTCAATAGAAATATTCATTCAATCTCACCATACCAGTCCAAAGTTAGGCTAGCACAGTCGCTTCTTTCCACGATAAACGATCATACAACAGTCACATGTGTTTTCCTGAAAGTACGACATCTACTCGTTTAGCATACTTTCCGACCTCCACCAATAAGGTATTCCAGGGAACTGCTTGAGACCGTGCGAGATTCAGTATAGTCAATTTCGTCCTCGAGGCGTGTTCTTGTACAAGGGCATCTTCTTATATCAAGATTCTTACCTATTCTTTAACCAAACCTAATAGCTTGTTGTCTTCACTGACAAGAACCCAGCGAACTTGCACATAGTTTCCATTTCCCTGCAACCTTTTAATCAACTTGTATATCCAACAAACAAATTCCTAGCCAGATTATTATCGAGGGTTCCTAAGCGTAAGAACCGCCGCTTTATTGCTTATAAGTAGCGTGATCATACAGTCTTTCAGTCCTATCGCCATGTTCAATACATATGCCATGGCTGCCAGTTCCGCAAAAAATAGATTCTGCTCTGCTCTTGCAGCCAAGGTGATAGATAGCACTTTGTTTTTAGGCTTCCAATTCCAAGGTGGTCACTTCTCAATCGCCACTCCAAACCCCACCAGCTCGTTCCATGCCAAGCTACTAACCACGACCAACATACACCCGCCCGCTTCAGCCAAGGACCCATACTACCCATCAATATCGGTCTATACGCGTTCCGCCCACAAGAGTAGCATAAAAGGGTTAATCGTTTCTAATGTCTCCATATCGATATGCTTGAGCACATCGGCCACGTGATATAATGATAAGCAGTGGTATCGTCTAAACTTTCTAATCTAATCTATACACCAGCGAAGAGGATTAGTTTCCGGCAAAATGTGGATGTCTATCCACAATTTCACAGCTCATTTCCAAAATCGACGTTATACAGTAGCCATATAAGCCTCCACCTCTGCAACACTAGTCGCGACCGTAAGAAATATCCCCACGATAGCTTGCGCACCTACTCTTTGGACTCAATTAATCGGTCCCATAACTTTGTCCTTGCACGCGTGCATCCAGACATTGGAGACATAATCCACGACTGGTGCTACCGTCAATGCGAATAGTTGTCGCGCGGTTACTAGGGAGAGGCCTCGGAGTCGCCAAAACCCCATCGCTACTTCGAAACCCTTAGATACTACTCTCGCGATATACTCTTTATACTTGAGCCTCGTATCCATCAAGACACCCAGAATCTTAACGTGATCTTTAAATACCACCGTCTACCCCTTAATAGTGAATAGCGAATAGTCCAATTTACACATCTTAGGAGCAAAGTGTATAATGGCCGTCTTATCGGCTTCGAATATCGCTCCACTTCTCTTTTCCCAATTAAGCACCTCGTTGACAATGGTTTCAATTCCTTCCCAATTACTCTACGCGGTGAGCCCAGTCACCCATACGATAAAATCATCCACAAAGGCAACTACCCCTCCTTGGCTGTCGATCTGTCTTTACACGAAGTCTACGTTAAAAAACAGAAATAGAATCAGAGACAGAGGCGAGCCCTACAGCAGTCCAACTTGCGGCAGGCTTTAAATCTCAGATAATTGCCCGTTGACCAACATATTCGCCATCCGTTCCGAGCAGAAGGCCTCGACCCAACGAAGAAACACCTCCAGTATACCTCGCGCTTTCATCCTCTGGATCAGTCGTTCTTTGTATACTCCGTTGTAGGCTCCCTTGACGTCAAAGCTGATCAGGCTCAACACTCGCCGGCCGCGCCACGCCGCATAGATTTGTTCCTGCAGGAACAGCAGGGCTTGCTCCGCGGAACGCTGCTTCCAGGCCCCAAAATGGCTCGTCGGGAGCAGCCCATGCGTCTCCACCGCGTGGAAAAACCCGTCGGCCAAGAGCCTTTGCGCGTCGATGCGTTTGGTCAGGTAAACCACCATTGAACCGTAGGCCTTCTCGTTCTCTTTTCTACTCAGCCATGAAATCTTGGCTACAGTGGCCTCATTCTCCTCACTAAACGCTGCTGCAGCGTCGGTTCGGACCTCACCGTTCTCGTCTAGTACGGAAGTCTTATTGACGCTGTCGACCTTGATCGGGTAGAGCTCGTCACGGAGGACCCGAGCTCCCTCCCCGATGTTCTGTTCTGCAACCTTCTTGACCAGCTGCTGTTCATCCTCATCGCGGCAGGCGATCCTGATCCGGTTGGCGTTTTTCGGGTCAACGGTAACAGCGCGACAGCGCCAGTGCGCAAGGTCCTCTGCTGACCGCATTCCTGCCTCAACCGCCGCTCTGACTGAGCCCGCGGAGATCAATCCTGTCCCTTTATCTGCCATCTTCGAGGTGTCTATAGTGCAATATAGTGTGTCCGTAAGGGTGGTAGGTGTCGTGTTCAGCGTTGAGAGGGTCCGTATGTTGCTTGGGTAACTGGACGGCGGAGTGCGCGCGACATCTGCGTAGGATGGAGAGCCCGCAGCAGCGGGCACACTGAACCCCTCGCGCAAGGACTGGATTTCGCGCAGGATCGCATCGTGGTTGCTTTGAGAGCAGGTCTCAGAGTGGCATTGCGGTATCGTGTTTCTATCCGTCAGGGACTGTAGCTCGTGTCGGATCTCCGCGAGGCCGGCACCGAACTCTTCTCTGGTTCTTTGAAGTTCTTCCTTGTGCATTTCGTCACGGAGTCTGATCTCTCGCCTGAGTTTGGCGATCTCTCTCACCAAACCGCTGACGTCGAGTTCTTCGCGCTCGGTCGCGGCGTCGTCCGAAGTTGCCTCATCACGCCGGTCTCCTAGCTCAATTCTCACCTTTTGCTGGGAACGCGTCTTCCGCCGATCTGTATCAATTTCCTGCTCGCGAGCGTAGTTGTTCGGTGGTCGAGTGGTGCGTTTCGGTCTCGCCAGTCGCGGTGGCGAATCTCCGCGTTCGTCACGGTCGGGCGGTTCAGGGGTTCGCATCGCGGCCCGTCCCGCCATTGGTCACAGTACAAGAAGTCGGTGGGCTTCTCCCAATTAGATCAGGCGCGGGTACAGACGCGCTCGAAATCACTCCGAGATCGATACGATACAGGCGTGCTCACGCCACTGTACAGTCGATAGCCAATGCCTAATACAGACGCGCTCCGTCAACCTGTTGATGACAATACAGTCATTAGCGAAATCTGCTTCTGCCCTGCACTGTCGTAAGTTTTAATGAGAGCCCCACTGCCAAGACAGTAGTGGATTATCCAACCCACCCGCCATCTATAAGTGAGTAGCTTTGTAATTTGGGACAATACGAAACACGTTGTGACAATGTAACTGTACAGATTACTCAGATGATCTAGAAGATTCTATCGGGTTGAGTGAAGGAAGTGGATCAGCGTCTCTAGCTCCTTGGTAAAGAAGGCGGTACATAATCCAAGATAGACTATGAACTAGACGGGAGGCATGTCTGGATCCTTTGCAGGGCTTATTGAGACTTGTTTATACCGGAGAGCTTTGCTCTAAATTTTTTCCATATTGTCCCCCGCTTCTTTGTTCCCATTCGCACAGAGTTATCGTCAGAAATGTCACCCTTGTCACGCTGTAAAGAGCTCAATCTGTTGGAAAGCCAGGTATACCGTTCGCCATCCTGGCCCCAAACAGCCTCAGCGCCTGCCAGCGCCTGCTGATAATACAGCACAGCGGTATCCACTTTCCCATTGTTCTCACATAGAAGACCATAGTTCGTAAGAGTGTTCAAGGCAGGGATGTAGGTAAAAGTTGAGGTCGCACCAAAAGCTATGTCATAGCCTTCCAGTGCTCGTTCGTACATCGCCTCTGCCTCTTGGAGCTGGCCTAGATCCGTGTAGAGGGTACCGAGGTTGTTGACGGTATCTAGCGTCGACGTGTGTTCTCGTCTCCACGTCTTCTCCTTGCCTTCTAGCGCTTGTGCGTATATCGCCTTTGCCTCTTGGAGCTGGTTTTGATCTGTATAGAGGGTATTGAGGTTGTTGATGGTATCTAGTGTCGACGTGTGTTCTCGTCCCCACGTTTTCTTCTTGCCTTCCAGCACTTGTTTGAACATCGCCTCTGCCTCTTAGAGCTGGTCTAGATCCGTATAGAGGGTACTGAGGTTGTTGACGATATCCAGTGTCGACGTATATTCTCGTCTCCACGTCTTCTTCTTGCCTTCTAGTGCTTGTGTGTACATTGCCTCTACCTTTTGGAGCCGGTTTTGATTCTTGTAGAGAGTGCCGAGGTTGTTAACGGTATCTAGTGTTGACGTGTGTTCTCGTCCCTACGTTTTCTTCTTGCCTTCTAGCGCTCGTTTGTATATTGCTTCTACCTCTTGGAGCTGGCTTTGATCTGTGTAGAGATTGTCGAGGTTATTGACGGTATTTAGTGTTGTCGTGTGTTCTCGTTCTCACGTCTTCTCAAAGTCTTCTAGCGTTGTTTCGAATATCGCCTTTGTCTCTTGGAGCTGGTCTAGATCCGTGTAGAGGGCACTGAGGTTATTGACGGTATCCAGCGTCGATGTGTGTTCTCGTCCCCACGCCTTCTCCTTGCCTTCTAGAGCTCGTACGTACATCGCCTCTGCCTCTTGGAGCCGGCCTTGATTCTTGTAGAGAATGCCGAGGTTGTTGACGGTATCCAGTGTTGACGTGTGTTCTCGTCCCCACGCCTTCTCCTTGCCTTCTAGCGCTCGTGTGTATATCGCTTCTGTCTCTTGGAGTTGGTCTTGATTTTTGTAGAGAATGCTGAGGTTGTTGATGGTATCCAGCGTCGACGTGTGTTCTCGTTCTTATGTCTTCTTCTTGCTTTCTAGCGCTTGTGCGTACATCGCTTTTGTCTCTTGGAGTTGGTCTTGATTCTTGTAGAGACTATCGAGGTTGTTGACGGTATCCAGCGTCAACGTGTGTTCTCGTCTCCATGTTTTCTTCTTGTCTTCTAGCGCTTGTATGTACATTGTCTCTGCCTTTTGGAGTTGGTCTTGATTCTTGTAGAGAATGCTGAGGTTGTTGACGGTATCTAGCGTCGATGTGTGTTCTCGTCTCTACGTTTTCTCCTTGCCTTCTAGCGCTCGTTTGTACATTGCTTCTGTCTCTTGGAGCCGGCCTTGATCCGCGTAGAGATTGTCGAGGTTGTTGACGGTATCTAGTGTCTCCGTGTGTTCTCGTCCTCACGCTTTCTTCTTGCTTTCCAGCGCTTGTTCGAATATTGCCTTTGCCTCTTGGAGTCGGTCTTGATCCGTGTAGATGGTATCGAGGTTATTGACGATATCCAGCGTCTCCGTGTGTTCTTGTCCCCACGCCTTCTCCTTGCCTTCCAGCGCTCGTATGTATATTGTCTCTGTCTCTTGGAGTCGGCCCTGATCTGCCTAGAGATAACCTAAAGAATATAGAGCCTCCATATCCCTATCTTTAACTTCTTGATTTCTTATTATCTCCAGACATCTGTCTGCATGTGCAATCAGCCGTCGTTGTAGAAGCCAGAATTCGCTTTTGTTGTGCCTAGGCACACGCCGCGATACACATTGGACTGCTGTCCAGGCCATCTTCTTATTCAGCCCCTGGTTTAACACATGCATCATCCACGAATGAACGCAGCCGTGCACGCTATACCCTCGTGACTCCACTCGCTGTAACGTGGTAGTCGGATCAGCTTCAACGAGCCCATGGCTGCACAGAACTCGTAAGCTTTTGTGAAATATGAGCTTGTTCTCTGTCAGTGCCCCCAGCCATTCCGGCTTCTCCGGGCCGCTATCTTCCAGCAGCTCATACCACAAGTCTTCACTGGCGAAATACGCCCATTGTTGGAGAAGCATAGCCGCAATTGGACTCTGCTGCTGAATGTATCGGTACGAGATATTCCAAGTTGAGTACAGCGTTTGATGGTATGCCCCTAGCTGTGGCGTCTCTTCATGGAGTCGCTGCCATGATTCTCGGTATAGCTGGAGGTACTCGGCGTAGCTGATCGACACCTGCTCTAGATATGCGCCAGCCGTTGCCAGGGCCAAAGGCAGTCCATCGAGCTGTCTTGCAAGATCAGCGGCGACAGGATCTGCTTGATATTAGTACTTGACATCGGACCATAAGTTCGACAATTACCTTGTCTTAGATCTTCACGGCCAGAGACGGAAGCTAGGACCTCGAGACTATCATCAATATCCTCTAGCTTGCGTAACTGAAGCGTCTGGCCTAGCTTGACCATGGAGGACCGCGTGGTCACAACAATGGCACCATGGTCAGTCTCGGGCAGGAATTTCTGCAGATCAAAAGCCTTTGCGAGATCTTCCTCGTCATCGCTGTTGGTACTAGCTTCCATAAAGGAAGTAGAGGCTAGGCTTTTCACCGTCTGGTTGCCCAATAGGGGATCATCATAGTTATCATAGACGACTAACCAGCGATCGTTCATCGGCTCATCCAACCATCTCTTGACTGCTTTCACCGTCTCGTCCAGGTCCCGGCTCTCCAAAGCACTTTCAATATATGTCAGAGATGGATAGTGGCGTGCAATCCACTCAGCTGCGCGTGCAAAGCTTTGTTTCAGCGCTGTTTCATCTTTTGCATTTAGCCATAGAGCCGCCGAATAATAAGACCGGTTCCGTTTGATATATGCGATCGCTAGCTGCGTCTTGCCGATGCCACCCAGCCCATGCACCACGGCAGTACGGCGTCCAGTAGGTGTTTCGAGGATCTCTTGCATTCTCTTTAGCTGATCTTCTCGTGCGACGAAATGGGTCACTTCGGATATTCCGGACAGATTAAGCGGGAGCTCGAAAGAAGTAGGCGTTTGATTCGAATTCCTGAAATACATTGATCAGCTATAAAGATATATTTATGGCCTTTTCATGCTGCGATTGCGACAAATTACCGTTGCACCTCTTCAATGGACATGTGGAAGAATAGCTGCCGCGCATAGGCGGCCGCTACCGCCGCTGCGTAGCCATGCCACTGGTCGTTCTTATGCGAGTCGCAATAGTCGGAGATGCCTCGAATCACCATACATGGGAAATCGGTAAGGGCTCCTGCGGCCTCCATTTCGAAGCATAGCACCCCATGCTCCTGCGCTAGATCATCCCTCCTCTGAGCATCCTTTATCACCAGCTCCCCAGATGCTATTGTGCCTCGGTGTACAACAATAAAGGAGTCGTCTTCCTCATCTATTGGTCGCGCGATACGCTGCCTCGGGTCACACCCACTCTCTTCACATGACGTTCCTTGCTGACCATGGGTGTAACCGGACGGGTAGAGATGGTCATTCGCGGCGCCGGGGAACGTGAAGCGACGAAGTGTTGGACGGCCAGTGTGGATTCGCTCCAGATTCTTCCAAATTGGATCATAATCCAGCCGTTGGCGCCGGACAGCCACTTCCCGCGTAGCGTTAAGAAGGGCTGTTGGGGGAGGTGCGAGGAATCCTTTGCGTTCAAAGTGGCCCACCTTCGCTTTTCCGTGGTCATACTGCACTGCCCCAGAGTGAATACCAGTTGGCTGACTGACGACCACATGTCCGAGACGGACCATTCCACACTCGGTCTTTGTCGGCACGCCGCCCCCAATCCCGACCAGCAGGCCGTATTTGAGGTTTGGGAAGGTCATCCTCATTTGGGTGACGACAGTGGCCGCGGAGCAGTTCCCCGCGCGCGGAAGACCCGCGATGACCACGTTATGGTTGTTGATGCTGCCGAGATTGTAGATGTTTGTGTCCCCGCTGGGTTGCGGAAGAGGTTGGTGCTCCTCGTCTAGCATCTCCATTGCCGCGATCTGTTCCACCTCTAACGGGCAGATCCATCCCACCCGGTAGGCATCGCGGCTCAAACATTTCAGCGTCATTTTCGGCTGCACGGTCGGCGTACTTCGCCAGGGAGATTAGGCGAAAAGGCTTCAGAACAGTCGTCGAGTGGAAACTATTCAAGGTAAGTGAGGCCCTCAGCCATAAGACTGAATGCGGGCGGGTAGTGGCCTCGCAATTACCCCCAACTATCCGGGCTGAAGGAGCGCAACACCGAAGCGCCAGCCTAGTGCGTTCTGGGAACGATCAGCCAACCAGACACGAACACGAGTCATTCTCATAGATAAATATGCATGTTGCTCCCAAGTCAGAAGACCAGACTAAATCGATTGGGCCGAAAGCCAGGAATATGATGAAACAAGACACAATACATTATAGATCGATATTCACATGCCGATGCTATTTCACAATGAACCATTCAAGGATGGGTACCTCAACAATCAGTAAGTAATTTGGGGTCTTCGAAAGCCAATCGTCCGCTCCGGCGCCGGAATCATGTGCATCATCCAATACCTCCCCACACCCTCACCAAAAAACTAGTTTCACAATGCGATTCTGCGGGCTTTACCGCCTTCTGTGTGCTATGGGAAAAGCTATTCCTCCGAGACTGGTTTTTGGTTGGGGTGTGCGGGGATATTGGATGATGCACGTCGTTGCAGTCAGAGGGCGATTGGCTATTGAAGATCCGTCGAAATTTATCGCCCTCAATTTACTGACTGATCGTTGAAAAACCGTCCATGAATAACTCACTGTAAAATAGCATCAACACGCAAATATCGATGTGCATTATTATGTTTCGTTTAATTAGGTTCCTGGCATTGGCTCAATTTAATTTGTTCTGATCCCCTAGGCTAGAAATAAGACGCAGATTTGTTTATGAGGGCCCTCAAGATTAGATGCTGACGTTTACTCCAATCGGGACTAGTGTTCAATCATCAATGGCATACCATGGAATAGTGAAGATCTAGATGCAAACAAGGCAATCACCATGTGGCCGACTGACTTTCCCACAGCGATCTTCGATTCCTCGTTTCCAGCTGTCCCAACCCGCAACCGTACTGCACTCGCGAGGACGTTATCATTGCTCAAATCCAAGCAAAACTGCATAACCAGCACTGTCACCGTCCACGTTATTCATCTCGCAATACTTGCTGTTTGCTTGTGCTCTGTTCTCTGCGGTCGCTTTCTCCTAGTAAGGATGAACGACATTTGTTCAAAGCGAACTAACACCTAGGCAGTCTGTTTATCGATGAAAATGATGTTGACATGATTCCTTCGCTAGTCCCAGAAATATGAGCTGTAGCCCATTCAGTACTCAACATGACCCACCGCTATTTGACTCGTATGACCAAACCGATCAATCCTCACTCTTTGCCCCGACTCCGGGATATGGCTTTGTTCAAACCCCATCTGTGATGCTTTCCATGAGCCCCGAAAACCACCCAGAGGCCAGTTTTCCTTCCCAGCATCAATCTCCACAACTGAGCCAGATTCCACTGCTTCAACTGGGTGAGTGGGAGGAAGGAAAGTTGTATGATGAGCATCCACCCTCTTGTCTCCACTATTCGATTGTATGGAAGGTTACCCTCAACAACAAAACAATCCGGAAAAATACAGAACAAGACCTGGTTTTGGCTCCACAGTTTCATTGGCGTCTTTTCTTGGAGCCCAAGTTAAGGGAACTTGTAGGCAAGAAATTTTCGCAAAAACAAGCTGAACTAGATGATACAACTACAGGAGTGTGTTTCATTTACCCTGACCTCTCGCAATGAAAAGCGATATGCAGGCTACCACAACGATATATATCTCTGTATGTACATGTGGAGTGATCCACTTCCTAAAAACGAACTTAGAGCCTCGTCAAGGCCTCTCGTGGTCTAGTTGCCGTTTCTATTGTTAGGCTGCCCCCGTGGCGCGCGACTATGAAACCAGTGTGACGCCTCAGCGAAGTCCAGCACGGCCTGGACCGTCCTGGCTCGCGAGACGGTGTCTGGTTTACCTTTCTCACCTTGTTTTGAGCCTTCTAGCAGACTCGATACGCTATTAAACGCGTCCCCCACTTCTCTCCTCAGATTTCTTCGCAGCTCCACCAGCATTGGGTAGTCCACAAGCACGTAAGTGACTATTTCTTGCGCGCCGCAGCCGTAGCGGTCGTCATCGCTGTAACCAATCTTCTTACGATAGGTGGATAGCCAGTTGTGGCCCGTGCGCAGTTGCGTCAGCAGGTACGCCTGGCCCCTAGGTAGACTTCCGTACAGCTTCCTGATATACGTTGTCGATAGAGTGTCGTCAATCTTCCGCAGATGACCACCTTTACTAGATATTCTCCATTCATGCTCCCACTAAACGGCAATATTGCCACAGATTAAAGCCTTCTCCCTTGTAAGTAGTGGGCGAAAGGGGTGGGACTTACCGAGGCTCGCGGCGTACTTTGCCATTCGGTCCACAGCGTCGTTGCTGGGATTGTCATAATATCCTAGCACCCACTGGAGGCGCAGTGCGATACCTACTATTTTAACCTCGATCGCGACTTAGTGGATCGCGTGAACGATCCGTTGTCCCAACTTATTTCTTGCACTCTTGATTGCTTATAAGACAGACCTACTGTCACAGAGAATTGTCGCGGTTTGTCGACCTTCCAGTGTTGGTTGCTAGTGGGCCATCTTAAACACGATGCCGACCGCATAATAGATGCCTATTAGCTCCACTACATACACCGACCAGCAGTCCATCAGTCCAACCTAGATATATTAGGACTCAACCATCTCCATATCCACGTTTATTACTATTACAGCAACCCCTAAATGGCCATCGCGTCCTGAGGTATCCAAGTAGACAACAATATCTAATATTAAGTGGACAGCCTTAGCTTGCTCTCCTGCTACTTCTCAGTCTGAACCGACTTCGATCTCCACAAAGAGATCGAGACGCCATGATAATAGTGGCCATAAGTCAATTATCTCTAGCTCGTTAAGCCTTTAGAGGTCCATAGTCTTCAACGCTTCCACCAGCGGGAAACAAGCGTACAACCCAATATTGTTTCTACATTTTTAGACTCACGAGAGAGTATCCCAGATCGGATATTCCCGCGACAGCGTATAAAGATTTGCAATAGTACATTATACTCAGTGACGGAGACAAAGATAAGTGGGAAGAATATGCGCTTCTACTTCTAGGGTTACTATAGCCACAATTCTAAACACTAACAAGATACGGACCAGTAAAGTTCTCTACACTATATTGAGATATCAAAGATAAGTTTTGTCCCTCAATAAATCATGCTAGACGATTAATACATAATCCAACACTAGCGTAACATATGATTAATAGAGCTATCGTATTTATTCTAAACATAAATATCGTAACCCGCCAAAAGCAATAATAACTTTCATTACACACTTAATCACTTACTACACGTCTTCTTTCTATCACATTTCCTAGTTAAAGATAACATCTAGTAACTTAACTACAAAAAAGAGTGAGACTATTATACCATTCACGACTATTTGACCCTATAAATACTTAGCTTTCTTTCTAATCAAGTAGATAAGCTCGGTCTTCTAGACTACAAAACAGGACCCAGTTTTCCGTGCCCATATTTTAATACGAGGGATGTCTTTAGACTATATCTTGGCCAAATTCTCCTCCACTAAACAGCCCACTCTCTAGCGGAAATAGTCATCAATATATACCGAGACACCACTATACAAAGTAACAAATTAATTCACTAGATCAACGTTGAAGAACACAACGAGAATAGAAGAGAGAGGAGACCCTTATACTAATCTCGCATTTTCTAACAATACTATCTCTATACAATAATCATCAAATCCTATACTAGCGTACCAGTCACTTATAAAGCTCGCTATCCATTTTCTAGCTATAGCTAGGATTCTCTTAACTCGCAAGCTTATATTAAGACTTACCTATTAAACTTCATTAAAAGCTTCTTTTAGATTAAAAGAAATAAGAGTCACTACTTTATGTTTATACCATACTCGATTAATTACATTTAACAGCACTAATAGAGCCTACTCGATAATTCTTTTTAGCTATCCACCAAATTAAATATCTAGTAGTAGTCTATATTTCTTTACGAGGTATAAGAACCTTTAGGCTATCATAACTTCAAAAAGCTTTCCTAGCATATTGAAAAATAAGATTAGATGATAGGCTCCAGGAACCAAGTAATCTAGCTTTCTAGGTTTTCGCAGTATCACAATTTTTATATTTCGCTATTATTTTAGATGATACCCTAGATTTAATAATACATTGAAAATCCTAGTAATATTATTTTTTAGATAGACCTATAAGTACTTCCATAAAAGTATTAACAACTTATCTTTATTTGATACGATAGTCTCTTTTATTACTTGAAGTAATTATTTAATATCTAAAGTAATAAAAGGCTATTACAGGAGCCCCAATAGTGCTAATATTATCGAGTTAGCCTTGAGGATATCTATTAGAGAAAAGAAGGAATCTAAGAAAGCTTATACCTTGTCTTCGTTCTTGATAAGCTCTTAGTTGTCTACCTTTAGTGTTAAAACATAACCTTACGTCTTTCTTAGTTTTATATAAATAGTTACTTTCTAAAGTTTTCCCTCTCCAGCTTTATCTAGAAATTGCTTTTAATATAATATTTTAGCTTTTTTAATAGTCTAAGTCTATGTTTGTTAGCTTTATTATATCTCTTAGAAAGTAGTTATAAAGTAAGGATAATTTTATCTAAGTATTTTACAATTTTCTTGCCATCTTTAATATAGTTAGTTAACTTTGATTTATTAGACTTTTAGATCTAATATAAACCACTATTTAAAATATAATATTAGATATATATCAGATATAAACTTATTAACACTTGCCGTTATAGCCTCTATAAGGTTTTAGATAACCTCATCAAATACTAGTCAAGTTTTAATTTCTTTCTATAAGCTAATACACCATATTACTTCTTTACTAATCTTATTCCACTTCACACGTTTGTAAGCTTTCCTTGTCTACAGGGTTTGCTTGCTATAAACTTAAAAATACAATTTAGAGTATATGACACGATGATTAGATCCATAGTTTTTATGATAAAGGTGACATTTAATTAGTAACTCTAACTAATCTATTACTATTTAGTCGATAGTAGAATTCCTCCCTAAATCACTAAACAACTAGTAGATTACAATTACCCAAGGCAAGTAGCTATAAAGACTATTCGCTTGAAAAAAGGCGATCAGATCACTAGCGTCTTCAATAAATCGTGATTAGATACAGTTACCACCCCACATTAGATGATAGCGATTAAAGTCTTCTCCCAAAACGATGCTCGTTGATTAGTAGTTATCTCGTAGAGTCATTATAATTATATTTTAAATTGCGATGAGTACAGATTCTGCTAAAGCCTCACTGTCCGTACACAAGGGAATAAAAAGGATATAAACGGAGATGAAAAATATTTAAGAGTCGGAAATCCAGATCTGTGAGGGTTATACGTTGTCAGGTGTAATGCCTGTCAACCTGGTAAAAGGAAGGATAAGAACAGACGTCAATACGGTTACGAATCAATGGTAAGTAGGAGGGGATTCAATAGTATTGTCTTTATTGAATACAAGACTGATTCTTAATCAGAATCAGAGAAGAGCCTCATCTCTCCCTCTTAAATACCCAATCCATCGAGAGAGCTATTAAGTCCTATAAGCTATAGGAAGTCTGCGTCAACTCGTCATCGATTTATATAACGTTTTGATCCTTTTCGATAGTCTCCCGATCCATAAGCTCCGAACCCCTGAGACATGAATTCTTATTGCCTGAGATATCAGGCATCCATTGTCACAGGGAAGTATGGAGGAGAACCCCGTTACAAGATCTTAATAGTAACGACATCTAGGTGGTCATATAGGATTTGTCAATATACCGAAGTAGAGATATTACAATTCATATAGATCAGACTACAAAATTAGGCTACATCAGTCTTAATCGTCAGACAGTAAAAGCGTTAGGAATTGTGGTTAATGTAGATACGATAGTATAACAGGGTTCTTCTCCATACTTCCCTGTGACAATGGATGCCTGATATTCCAGGCAATGAGAACTCATGCCTCAGGGGTTCGGAGCTCATGGATCAGGAGACTACCGAAAAGGATCAAAACATCATACAAATCGATGACGAATCGACGTAGACTTCTTATAGCTTACAGGACTTAATGGCTCTCTCGATGGATTGGGTATTTAGGAGGGGGAAAGGAGGCTCCTCTCTGATTCTGATCAAGAATCAATCTTGTATTCAATAAGACAATACTATTGAATTCCCTCCTTTTACTATCGATTCGTAACCGTATCGACGTCTATTCTTATCCTTCCTTTTACCGAGTTGACAGGCATTACACCTGACAACGTATAACCTTCACATCAATGATATATATTCTCCAAAATCAACGTTTACTATCTAAGATTACAGCGACATAGTATACCTAGTTGCTTTAACATTGTGACTATAAGTAAGTACACACGTTATAAAAAACAAGGCGTTTTTTAATTGACTCAACTTATGGACTCATGTGGCCTTGAGACGCATATTCAGGCTCCTAGCGGACGCCTATGAAGACAAATACAGCAAACAGAAATGTAATGTCCTGTGGTCTTTCTTTCTCATAAACAAACGAAGGGAAAGCAAGACGGTTCATAGCTACTGGTTGTACCTGAAAAGGTCATTTTGAGCTGTTTAAATCGCGAAACGTCCATCCGTGAAAGGCATCAAAGCATTCAATGCCGAATCCATGGCATTCTAAGCATATATCAAAGTCATCACAAGAGTTGCAACGGTACCAAGGGCAGAGCGAAGATATGGCACGGGTGCAAACATCACACCATCGAGAAAGTCGTCGCGACGGAGCCACTGCGTTTTGCGAAGCGAGATCATTTTCATGAATCTTAATATTCATCTTTTGAGCCCACTGATCCACAATCTCGATAATGTTGACATTTCCGGTCTTGTTCGCCCACCAGACGAGGTTTTTACCCAAAGCATCCTCAAATCCAGCTGCTGTCTTTGCGAATGGAAGTAGTAGACGGACGACATCCTCGTGTCCGTTCCGGATTGCGGAACAGAGAGGAGTAGACATGTAACGGTCTTGCATATTCATAAGCGCATCTTGTGAAATGAGCAAGTGTACAAGGTCGGAATGTCCTCTTGCAGCGGCAAGAAAGAGAGGAGTACGACCACAGTCATCGCACGTGTCGATTTTCGTACCTGATGAACGAAGAAGTCGCTTGACTACCTTGAGGTGGCCATTCGCTGAGGCTACATGGAGAGGCATGGATAACCGAACATCGTGATCGTGCGATTTGGCGCCATTCTCAAGAAGAAGATTGACGACCTCCAAATGGCCGTTCGCCGAGGCTGAATAAATTGGCGTTCGTCCGTTTTTACTTCTCGTCATAATGTCAGTCCCTCTCTCGAGGAGAAGCTTGACCACCTCTAGATGACCGTTCTGTGACGCAATATTCACTAGTGTCCATCCATCATTGCTCGCAGTTTTAGGATCCGCCCCCTTCTCGAGGAGAAGCTTGATTATCTTGTGATGACCATGCTCTGATGCTGAGTTCACTAGAGTCCATCCGACATTATTCGCAGTTTTAGGATCCGCCCCCTTCTCGAGGAGAAGCTTGACTACCTCGAGATGGCCATTCCATGAGGCTGAATTTAGTGATATCCATCCGTTATCGTTCACGACTGTGGCATCCGCCCCTTCCTCGAGAAGTAGTTTGACCACTTCGAGATGACCGTTGTCTGATGCGGTATACAAAGGTGTGCATCCACCTTTATGTCTAGTCATAAAACTTGCTTTGTGCACCAAGAGTAGTTTCAATATCTCAAGAGATCCATTTTGTGCGGTAGTATAGAGGGGCGTGTATCCATCATTATCAGTGACTCTGCTATCCGCTTCGTGGTTTAGGAGAAGGTTGACTACCTCAAGATGTCCATCAACTGAGGCTGAATACAGAGGTACTAATCCATCAATGTCAGGGATACCGATATTGACCCCCTCCTCCAGAAGCAATTGAACCAATTTGAAATGATCGTTCAATGAGGCTGTATGGACTGGTGTCGTACCGTTATTGCTCGCGACTGTAGGATCCGCCCCGTTCTCAAGAAGTAGCTTGACCACCTCTAGATGACCATTCTGCGACGCGATATTCACTGGAGTCCATCTGGTATTGTTCGCAGTTTTAGGATCCGCCTCTCTCTCGAGGAGAAACTTGACCACCTTGAGATGGCCGTTTAATAAGGTAATGTTCACTGGTGTCCATCTATTATTGCTCGCAATCGCAAGGTCTGTCTCTTTCTTAAGGATGAGCTTGACCACCTCTAGATGACCGTTCTGTGACGTAGTATTCACTGGTGTCCATTCATCATTATTCGCGATTGTCAAGTCCACCCTCTTCTCGAGGAGAAGCTTGATTATCTCGTGATGACCATGCTCTGATGTTGAGTTTACTGGAGTCCATTCGGCATTGTTCGTAGTTTTAGGATCCGCCCCCTTCTCGAGGAGAAGCTTGACCACCTCGAGATGGCCGTTTGATGAGGCAATGTTCACTGGTGTCCATCCATTATTGCTCGCAGTTTTAGCATCCGCCCTCTTCTCGAGGAGAAGCTTGATTATCTTGTGATGACCATGCTCTGATGCTGAGTTCACTGGAGTCCATCCGGCATTGTTCGCAGTTTTAGGATCCGCCCCCTTCTCGAGGAGAAGCTTGACCACCTCGAGATGGCCGTTTGATGAGGCAATGTTCACTGGTGTCCATCTATCATTGTTCACTATTGTAAGGTCTGCCCCCTTCTCAAGGAGAATTCTGGCCACCTCTAAATGGTCCTTCTCACTGGCCGCTACTAAAGCTGTTCCTCACAGAGGACCTGTCTCATCGGCGGAATGCTTTCGTTCATTCATCAAAAAGCTCAGTGTGTCGACTAGACCGAGTAATGCCGCATAATACACCGGCCCCGCTGGGTTGTGTTCGATTCCTGACTGTTTCCTTCCACCTTCTGTATAGTCTCGATCAAGCCATTCCCTCATCGCAGTCCAGCTTGGCCCCTTTATGTCAAATAGACGATTTGTGTACGATATTAGCTCGCCGTCCTTTGCCTCACCGATACAGGCATGCTGTTGCCATGAGCCTGCGGCGTAATCCAAGAAAAATCCACGAAATCGATCATGCTCTATCCGAGGACCTTTTCGTCGTGTTGCTAAAAAGTTCACATAGCGCAGGCACATCTTGGCTAGCAAAGTGTTCTCAGTCGATTCTGCAAAATAACCCAGGGCACCGTTCAGATGTAAAAGCCTGGCTCTTGAAGCTTTGTGGAGCAAGTATTGTTTCACCGAGAAATGTGCTAAATGCACTGTCTTGACCCCATCTTCGCTTTCCTCCTGGGGGCCTCTAATCTCGAGAAGTGATCCGCAGTAGTATGATATCCCGTTTTCAATGTAGTCCATGTCAATGACCTCTGGCAGCTCGTCTATTCTCACTTCATCGCGGGTCTCGCAAATAAGAAGGGCTTCGGTTATTTCATTGACAGTCAGTGGCCGCTGGGAAAATGCCGTCCAGCGCAGCAAGGAAAGTGATCGACCGCGATCTTCCTCCGGAAGTTCCAAAATTTTGATCCAGTTCTGTTCGTAGACCCTTTCGAGGCCTTTTGGCGTGGTGTTGATTGTTCGCTCTATCTCCTTCTGACTTCTCCAACTGTTGCGGCGCAAGGATTCCTGCTGCATTGTCACCCAAAGGAACTGACCGCTACATCGTTCAGCCAATTTCTGAGTGAGAGTGTTCTTGGCAGCCTCCGTGCTCTTTTTCAGCTCCTGGTAGACAATCTTTCGTGAATACGATGCGACATCAATTTGAACATCTTCAGAGGTAATTTTATGCTCGGTCATTAAGCAGTGGTGCGCATGGACGCTTAATAGATTTCGTATTTCCGGTTCATCGCGGCTTGTGATCATCAGGCGAGTAGTTGCGCCTTCAGTAATTTTCCTCAAGGCCTCCATAAAGCCAGAGATTGTTTCGTTTCCTCCAGTCTGCTGATGTTCTTTCTGCCAAGTACATTCATCTAACCCATCCACGACGAATGTACACCCGGGAACGGCAGTCACAATCGCTCGCAAGAGTTTCATGAGATCGGTGCGCGTTGCATTTGGCCCTTGCTGAATAGCCCACATTTCACGAGCCAGTTTGAATGCTATTGGATGAGATACCACTTGGGATACCCACAATCTGATCACCGTAAAGGGGTCATGTCTTTCGAAGTCTGCAGAGAAAAAGAAATGGCCAAGAGGGCCTTTTGCAATAGAGGACATATGATCGATAATTTTTGTGCATAGCACAGTCTTTCCAAATCCCGCAGGGCCATTGATCCAAAGAATCTTAGCAGATCCTTTTGGGAAATCAGGAGAAGACCAGTCACGAAACCATGGTTGAGATATGATCCATTCACAAGTACCATCCAACCGCTTCTCTTTGTACGTCTCGTAGCGGTCGTTCGGAAGATAGTTTCCCAGTAGCCATTTTTGTAAATCGCGTCGTGTCTCGACTTTTCTTTGTTAGTAAAGATATTGTAATTTATCGTATAGAAACCGACCTTCAATCTCGCTCTCTATATTACTCAAAATGCGTTTCATATCCGTTACCCAATCTCCGTGACTCTGGAAGGCATCTGATGGAATGGTCAAATCATCCTCAAAAGCAACATATTTTAAGACGTACTATTCATGTGTCTTGATGAGTTAGCCCTCTGAAATGAGTCGTCGTATCTTGAGACCCCGTCTTTTTCGATGGGAACCAAGCTATGGAGGATCTCCACGATCGAGGCGAATTGTTCAACTTGCGTGGTTCGTTTCTTCTTGGCTCGTAGAGTCCAATTCAGCTTTTGTCTTTTTGAGTCCAGTGGAATGTGTGGCGGTTCGTCAGGGCCACAGATGTAGACGATCGCTGAAAGGAGATCCTGGACTGTCCTCAATGTGCGCGAATCATCAAGAAGCTTATCATGCTTAGCTGACATGATTCCATTTTCTATCCCAACAGCCTGGCCCCATCGTTCCAGCTGAAGCTTGTGGGCTTTGAATCGAGCTATCAATGCTTGGGACTCGTCTTCGCAGTCTCGCCACGAGTCAAATTTGTCGAGAATGTCCAAGGATGTATTGAAGAGACTGACAAGTCCTACAAGCCCGATCGCAAAACTCGCTGGCTCCATTATTGTCGCTCAATTATCAGAATGACGATATGACAAATGCTAGTGGTAAATAAATGGGTGGCTGTCGTTTTTGCTTTTCTGTCATCAAAAAGCAAGTTGCGGTGAACCAGGAGGATCTGAAACTTGCGGGGAGAGGGGGTTGAGATCATTCGTCACATGACTTGTTAATCAGGAGGCGGTGGGCCTCTTGGTTTTCCTGCCTTGCTCAGTCTCTTTTGAGTCTATTATCTCAGGTCGTGATTATATCATACTGTAAAAGCGTCTTTGCAAATAATAAGTATATAGCATAGTGATACAATTCAAGAATGATATTCAATTGAACATGTCAAGAAGCGTTAGCGTCCACTACTATTCATTTCTATTCATGGACACCTGGGTGAAATATGACGAAGCCAGCCTCGACCTTCACGTTTCATCGAGATGGACACCGAAATGGTTCCAGATAAGCAAATCTTTTTACTTCAACTATCAAAGAGCCACGAAGTAGTCCCGTAAGATTGAACCACCAATGAAACTCCATCAGTGGCCAGTAACATTGCATTGCTAAATGTTATCTGGTCCTTTCTGTTCCGTGAATTCCGGGGTTCGTCTGCACTTATTATGTAGATGGCCAGCCATAAGCAGTCTCTCGAGAGTTGGAGCTATGTCTCTTGGAAAGGTACATGTTGGAAGCTGTCTAGGCGCTTGAAATATTGACAAGCAAAGCAGCAGACCAGACCACAGCTTGTACCCAGTGGCATCATACATCGCGTAAATAATTCAAACACAGCAATCTTGCATGACAATAATGTGAGCTACTTGAACCGAGAAAGACACAAATACGCCTGAACCGAAACGAATACACAACATGCTGTTAGTCAATCCTTTGTGGAACCAGCCCACATGGAATACCTAAATATAACAGCTATTGATTCTACCCAGCAACGTCAAGAATCTCCCCAGAGGTCTGTTCATGCGTATTGTTCCGGCTCATAACTGTAGCCCATTCGATGATGTCGCGCAAAAAAGGACGAGCAGTTCCAATTTGAATTCCTCGCTGAACGAAGAAGCCAGCATCAGGCTCGTCGAGGATCAATTCAAGATCTAGGCGATTTTCCAAAGTCACCTGGCATATTTTTCGGAAATCGGCCTTGTAATCTTTGTCATTGGCGCGTGATTCCAGCCAGTTACAGTATTCCCTCACAGCCTGCTCTCGAGATCCAGGGATCACAAGACTTTCACGAGAAAGTGGCCTGGAAGGTAACAAAGCAGTTGTCGAAGCATGCGCGGATTGAGCTGGGAGAACATTGATGCTAATCGGAGGATATGACAATCCAGTAGTCACATCGCTCCCCCTTTTTAGATTTCTTGCCGGTCTGGCATTCTAAAATGAGGTCTCGACGGATATCACTTGGGACATCATCATGGTCATTTAGACTAGCACCTTCGTCAACATGATCGATGAGTCGTTCAAGGTGCGGGGCCCTGAGCTTATAATGTTTCTTGTCCTTTGGGTCCTCCCAGCACCAATCAGACATGAGTGGACATGAGCGAATGACACATCGCATACGATCGTACACGAGACTCCAGGTTGAAGGCCACCCGGTGGCATCTTCTTCCGCATCAATACGTGCTTCACGCTCAGCCAGCATCCTACTAGTTGCTGACACACGGCCTCTCTTCTCAGCCCTCCGAGATGCAGGCATTGCCTGCTCGTCATCATCGTGGCCGTAAATGAAGGCAATGAGAACCCTAATCTTTTTGCCCATACGGAGCAAATTGCTCCACTTACGTAGCTGTTTTTCCACTGGCTTCCAATCGATGTTAGTAGAGCTATAGAATTTCTCAAAATCCTTCAAAGACTTGTCGTTGACCGACACAGTAACAGCTGTGCCTTCCGAGCGAACGCGTTGGCTACGCTTCTTCTTCATTTGCAACATGTCTTCAACATTTGCCTTCAATGTTCCGTCCCAGTAATCACTAGGGGCTACGATCAAGTCGTCTTCGGTTACTTTACCCACCGTCTTGCGGTTGAGAACAATTTTCCAGGCGATTGTGTAGCAAACATAATGAGGAGGATACTCATCGTATTCATCACCTTTTTCCCACTCGGCGAAGGGAAGGAAATTTAGCTGGCTTGACTGTAGTCGATCCGTGGTACAATCCCGGGTAGGGCTAGGAGAGGAGAGGAGAGAGGGTGTCCGACCAAGGTAACCGGGAGTGGGGGCATATAGCGAGTCTTCGTCCCATGGATCATCTATCTGAGGCTGATAGGCATCGCCACCGGAATGACTATTGGTCATCATATACGTCGTGTCAGAATGAGGGGTCGCCTAAAGTAGAACCGGAAGTGGTTAGCCGCAGTCCATCATCTCCAATAAGACACAAAGCTAGAATAACAGGGGAGATCATAGCAGAAACCTTACTGACGAGCTTTGGTTATCAAAGCTGAGATCAACAACACCAGGGTATCTGTTGTACAACGTTGGGAAGAAGCGAAGAGGAGTGAGGACAGATTGCAGGACCCAAGTTTGCTCCATTTGCATCGAACATTCCAGTCTGCCAAGCCCCTCAGTTCGAGACTTGTGTAACTTTCATACAGGTATCAGGCGAAGACTCGGTACTGTTACGGTGTACTTTCAGAACGGTATCTCTACGCAGTAATATTCTTCAGCTTTCAGGTCATGTGATTAGGGCTCGAAATAACATCGCATGTACCTCCGCTATGGAAGGCAATAACGGACGTCACTGTATCAGCGCATTCTCCCCTCGCAGCTGCTTTTCATTTCTACAGCTCTTTATACCCTAATAGTTTGATGCGGTCTTAAAATACTTCTGGACTTATTTTCCTCAAAGCTGGCCATCTCCTCGAGGAAAGGGTTATAGGGCATCTTTTCATCTATTCCGCTTCGCCGCGGCGGTATTTTTTATACATGAAGTTTACATGATGGTTCCCTTCGTGTATTTTCCTTTTATTCTATGTACCTTGCTGCTGCCAAGAATTCCACCAAGATTGGTATATCCTCACATAAAATGATTATGGTAATATGAAAAATCAATATATACGAGAGAAGGTGCTTGGACGAGAGCATTCCAAACCATTGGCTAGTCTCAACATTCTTTAGACTTCCTAGATCAACACGTAAATCGTCAAGAGGCTTCAGAAGCTCACATGGAGACATAAGTTTATACTGGTAATATCCCATGAAGCACTGTAAAAACACATAGTTTGCAGCGGGCTGCGGTCTGGAAGTACTTCTAGCATTATCTTTCCTTCAAGCAGGCCATCTCTTACGTGCGGACAGGGTTGTGGGGCGGCTGTTCCGTTTAGCGGCGCTAGTATTTCTCATACATCAAGTTACATGATTGTTTCCTTTCCGTGTATTCGCTATGTCGGTAATCTTGTCTTATGTACCTTTCTACTGCCAAGAGTTCCACCAAAACTGGTATATTCTCAGGTAACATAATTTTGATGATATAAAAAGTCAATATAGGTCGCTAGGTAGGCGAATCAATCCAACGTCGCCTTTCCTATTCATTTCAGACGCTTTTGTGGATGATCTTGGCGTCATAGTAGTAAACAGTACATTTTCTAGTAGCGCGCGCCGTCCTGTAATCCGCCACTTTAACAGTTTGTAATCTTTGTTAAAAGAAAAAAGATCGAATAAGAAATCACATAATCATTGTTTCTACTGCTCTCGGGCAATCTTCAAACTATGGATTGAGAATGACGGCGCTCGAATGTGGAGGTACCTGGTGGGCGTTTCATCACACAGGGCATTTCATGTCACCGGGATGGGGGTTACCATTTAAGTCACCATGTTTATACAGTATACCTTGCTTTTGACATCTCTCAATGAATCATCGTCTTGGCGGGACGCGAAGGTTACATTTTAAGCAAAGTTCTCTGGGCCGCGGTGATCCCGAACTTGGTGTTACGGGATTTTAGTGGATTAGAAGACTCTAAAGAGCCCTACTATATAACGTATTGAAAATGGCTCAACGATTTGACGATCACCGATCATTTTCTCTGAAAGCCTATAAAATCTTATTGCCTTATATCAACTAGACGATTATTCGACTAGTCTCTACATAAATCTTTAATTCAAAAAGGTCATTATTTATCATGGACTATGATGAGTAAAATGTCTTAAAACAATTATAAGAAAAAGTTCTTTATTGGATCAATTTATTCATGCTCGAGAATGGCAGGTAAGCTTCAGATAACCTCAAAGCTTTCACTGTACTGATTAGTCGGTTGAAGGGAAGTTTACAACACCTCGTAAGGCGAGAAATATAAAAGTATAATCGATAAGCTATTTAGAAAACATAAAAAATTGAAACCTCTAGGTAATAAAATGCCCAAGTTTGGAGAATAATATTATTAGGTGATGATAGTATAATTATGCCCTCTTCCAGTTGTATTTACTAATTATGTATGTATATCTCTGGACGTTATAGTAAGACTAGGGTAAGAGGGTATAACTATGTTTATCTTGGAATTGTTGTCGGGTTCTAGTAAGACTATCTTGTGTTGTAGTATGGCTGAATGTTGAATCTAGATATCTCTTTGAGGATCTATTGGATGAAATCTATAAATCACAGCTGGAGTACTAGATACTTTACACTATTATAGGAGATAAAGAAATCACTATTTAAGGAGATGTTTTTAGTGTCGCTATTTTATTTTCATTTTCAATATTGATATATGAAATGCTAGTTCTATTCCTTCTATCTCTAAATTACCTAAAATATAGTCTTCAAATTATTCTTCCTAGCTATGGAGATATGAGGAAGCCGCCATAAGAGGGTAAGAGGGGTCTATTGCAAAAAGTACAAAGTTTATTCAATAGTGCTGTGATATAGAGGTCACTTTATAGGCTACTTTATTGCTGAATGAAAAAAGTTTAGCCTCGCAACGGATCCTCTTTTTCCCCTAATTGAGGCCTTCTAATGTCTCTATGACAAGAAAGGACGATTGAAGGTAGGGGGATGATTATTTGGGCTAGGTGAGGCCGAGAGTAGTGAGAATCTTTTCGAGATTATTGCCGTTTTTGGTGGAATTATAGAAAACTGTGCTAATTATGGCTTCTATGGTGGTAGGTATGGTCTTCTTTTCGGCTGTTTTGTCTTATTGGCCCGGGTTTTTCACGATGAAAGGGTCAAGTCTAATGGTAATGTCTTGGTTATATAGATTGTCATTGGAGGCCACCTTGATAATAACGTTCTGAATCTCCTCTGCTGATGATACTATGTTAAGTATACGTGCAAAATATTTATTGTTAAGGGAGGGGGTCTTACCCAGAGTTTTGTTCCTCTCTTGGCCTTGATCAACGAGAAACTAGCAAAGTATCGCATTGCCAACTAATGTGAGGGTCTTTTGACTGTGGTGGTTGAAGATATTGGGGTCTTGAAGAGCCTTGTGAATTAAAGCTTGGTTGGTAAAATGATAGGTTTGTCCGAGAACAGAAGTCTCGAAAACCTTGATTTTTTTGTTCGAGGGGAGATGTATGAAAATTACTATGGTGAAGATTTAAAGTATATTAATAATGATGAAATGGTGGATTATCGTGTCAGAAGTAATGGGTTGTATAAGAAGTAAGAGAGACGAGGAGTACAGTAAAAGAGAGTATCTTATAGAAATTGAAGAGGGGTATAGGAAGGTAATCTAGGTGAGGGCAGCTTGATAAAATGGCTAGGAATAGTGATGTTGGGCTAATGTGGTGTTCGGCCTTAAGTCTTTGTTGGCTGTAACTAGTTTATAGGGTATCCATGTATATTATTCTTTGTCTGTAGCAGCTTTTAGGTGTATGGAAACGTGATCTAGTATCCAGCTTGTGGCAGATTATTATTGTAAGGGGTCAGGGTAAATGAAAATACACATACTTATATTTTTGTAATGTAATCTTTATGTATGGAATTAAAATATTGCTATGTTTATAATATCTAAAAAGGGAAAGCCAATCTGAATCTAGGTTGTCTGATAGTTCGCAATATTCACTCTCTTGAGTAAGTCTTACTGTATGTTCCGAATCGAGTGTCGCTTGTCGCGCTGCGTCGGGCTTTTATGTATGTTGGCGTATGTATCTTTATATGTATTTTATTGGTATGGTGTAAGTTTTAAGCTATTGTTTTCACTATATTAAATGAGCGGTCACGATCTAAGTTTTAGTAAGAGATAGTTATGTTGACTAAATTTGATAGCTAGGTTTATCTGCAATCATCTTGAAAAGTCTATTGATAGTAATGATGTATATATATATATCTAGTTTACTTGGTGCTAGCGTCCAAGTAATGTGTAGGTTTGATTGCTGTATTTGTGATTTCGTGCGACGTATGGTACATGGTACTAAAGCGCCAATTACTACTCATATCTTGTAACTACTTTTTCTATTGCTGTATTTACGTCTCTTATATACTTTGCTAATTCTTCTTCTATTATTATTCGATTGTGGTTCTTTTTATCTCTTGGAGCAACTATCAAAAATGGCGCGAAAATCTAAAAAGTGGATTGAGGTTCTTCTTAGGAAGGCGATTGGTGACTTTATCTATAGTCGTTATTTATAAAACTAGCTAATTGATTGGGAAGCTATCAAGACAAAATATTTGAATAAGAACCTGAATTAAGTAGATTTTATTAGAGTATTTGTGGACAGGTAAGTATATTACTTTAACTTATATGTCTAGTTTTTAAAGATAGTTTAAGCTATGCGAGTTAATTTGAGTTAATGTTGAGAAGCGACAATCGAATTGAAATCGAAGGATTAGCTTAAGTCTAAAGTATATTGTTGTTCATTTCTACTCTCTTATAGCGGTCTTAAGGTCAGGTCTAGTATCTTGTATTATCTGGTATGTCTCGGAAAATATTAGAGGGGTGGTATAATATAACTGGCTTTGGTTAATGCGCTTTATGTAGATAGAGGTTAACAATCTTATGGTTGTCTCGACGCAGTCTTTGATAACTTTGAGGTAGCGAACTTGGTTATTGATAGTGATATTGGCCGCATAGTTAATAGCTGTCTACAAAGTAGAGTTTCTTTTTCTATTCTCTTTTTGTCTGAATTTGCGGTATTCTAAATATCTGGCAGAATTTAAAGATCACCTTGCTGGCAATTTCTATAGGAGGGAAATGGGGATTTCTTAGTCCTTCTCCTCCTTGGAGGTATAGTAGTAATTTTTGAGCTTTATTGAAGACTAAAGAGAAGAGGTAATGAATGATGTACTTAATGAATATGTTATCTTAGTATCTTCTTTGCTAGAAGGGCTTGGATATTCTTTGCCTTCTTAATGTATGCTGTTTGGAAATATTGTTAGTGGGAATGAATTATTAGATTGTAGAATAATGTTGAATGTGAATATTCTATTTTCTGTCTTTGTTTGCGGCGTGTAAGGGAGTGGCAAGTCGTATATTATGGCTTGCATGATCGGTATGTTTTCTATCCTACCCATAGACCACCAGTTATTGATATTACCTTAGAGAATTGCTCTATGAGTCTGTTGGAATTGGGAATCCTGAACCAGTCTATATCGACTTTTGTGCTGTAGTTTGACGAGTATATATTAACAACGAGCTCACAGCCTAGCGAAGTTGTCTTTCTAGCTAGTGCTCTATTGTAATATGCTTATGAATAGTTGGTCCTATTGTGTGTCTTTGTCTCTCTAATAAATCTTTCTAATTTTAGGGGTATGTATTTCTAGATTTCTAATATCGAGATTTAATTGTTTAAGTTTTACTCTAAACACCTCAATATAAGTATGATGTTGTTGTTTATGTCTGTTTCTTAATTTGGCGGTATCCCTTTTTATATGGTATAGGTTATTCGGATCCTTTGGGAAATGGCGATGGAAAGCGGTGGTTACTTTGATTATTTTGACTTTAGGGGCCGTTTGAATAAACTTAAGCTTAGTCATTCTCAGACATCTTTTCTATATTAAAGATTAGATCTATTTGACTTTTATCTCGACCTTACTAACACAGATATAAGTGACTACTTTATTAACGACGATGTCACTATCTTGGACTTGTCATACCCTTTCGTCAATCAAAATACTACTTATATTCTATTCCATATCGCTATTGACTTGTTCCTCTACACTCACCTTTCCCGAGGAAAGATGATTGTAGCTGATGAGGCACACAAGATGAATTCTTCTTATTAAGATATCCTAATTATTTATTAATATTAGCGGGTAGTATATAATCGATATATTCACTACAAAAATATTTACCAAGACTTTCCTAACTATTATCCGCCAGCAACAACACTTAAGAGTACGTATAATCATTTCCACACAAGAGCCAACGATCTCACCCTAATTAATTGACCTCTACTCGTTGACTATAATCCACCAATTTACAAGCTCTAAATAGTACAAGACAATCAAAAAACATGTTTCGATAGGTGGTGAACTAGCTCCACATTAGACCAATAGTACTAGAAAAGGTCTCTCTCAAGTTGCTAGGCTTCAAACTAATAAAACGATTATATTCGCTTCATCGGCGCATCTCGTTGAAGAGGATAACAACATTATAAATACACAGTATAAAATATTCAAAGTAATAATTAGGAAAAGAATTATATGGGATGGTGGACAGAGTATTATTTGCATTTACTAGACAAGTTACTTTTTTTACTTAGAAATTATGATTTCAATAGTTATTATAAATATATAGCTACGACTAACATAGAATTATACAAGTCTCCAGAGATTCTATATTCGTATTTACAGGTTAATATAGAATTTGATATAAAGGCTAAAAAGGTCTAGTTATATATTTATATCTTTTTAAAACGTACTATTTATACTTTATTTAGAATTCTATAAGATAGGATTTATAATCAGATCTCAACTATACGCTCTGATCTATATAACATATCTTGATAGGTAATAGGGTGAGTATATCTATAGATAGCCGTCGATGATCGAATTTTGGGGTAAACTTTCCTATCTTTAAAAACGCATATTAGATGGTTGGTATTGATGCTGAACGACTTAACTTGTATGAGATAATCTTATAAAACTCACATATTAGAATCTCTAATGACTTTAAATTTGAAGACCGCCTTTTCTCTAGATAACCTATCTAGTACTACAATTACAATAATAAGCATAAGCTCAATCGCATACCATATCAATACACTACTAGCTTTAATTATCCCACCCACTTGATATACTATATCTAAATTTCTTATATACTCTCAATTAACGGGCAAATTCATTATACACATTATAAATTATACTATAGAGAGAAGTGGTAACCAGATATATCTCACATAAGGGGGTAGTCTTTGTTGCTAGTAATAAAGAAAGAATATTTGCTACTTAACACTTAATTAGTAGCCTCCTTAAAAACTGGCTATTAGCAGCGTCTCGATATACCCTTTTCCTTTTATGGCATTATAAACAAAGTGCTAATTCAATTCAATACACATAACAAAATAGATTAATAGATTTACTATCATGTACGAGCTCCTTCCTCCTTATCATATCCTGAAAACAGCAATACAAATTTCATTTACCCTTTCAAAAGAAATATAACTATTGGAAAAGATTTCTAAACTTCTACAAGCCTTTTAACAACTTCAAGATCTCTTCCGATACCAATATTTCTAAAACAAAAAGATTATTCCTCCTCGTATTCTCGTAAAAAATATAATTAAAAACTTGCTTTGCTATCTTACTAATCTCCCAAAGAAGACTTCCTTACAATTCTTCAAAAACCTTCACAAAACTTTCAAATACCTCATCCACCAGACCAAAAATACTTATATAATTAGTTTACATTTTATCACAATTCTATAGTAATATCAACTCACATTTTTTCGATAATTATAGAGCTCACCACGTCACCGGATTGATCAAAATAAAGTAAGCTTAGAACAACATCCTCAAAACAGTCTACTAGAATATATAAACGTTATCCAAATTTTCGAAATCCCAACATTTTTCAACACCTGCTCTTGTAAATAACTAAGTTATACTCTAGGTCTAGAAAAAAATCTCTTATTATTTTATTAACTGTTGTAGCCGCTTCAATCTTCCTCAGGTTGTCTCTTACTCTTGGTTAGCCAATAACCTCATTGTTGGACATTAACTTAATAGCGAATCTTGAGGTTCGCCCTATTGGACTACAGGTGCATTAGTAGAAATGCAGGATATAGTTATATCATAAGATCTAGAGAAATATCATATTATCTTGAATTTCACTAATAATTTCGAAGCATTCATAAATGGTTAACTTATATGATATCCATCTTCGCCTTTGAATACTAGATCCTTAGTCCACCAGCTTTCTCATATATTTTAAAGTCGCCCAAAGAGCAACAAATAATTAAAAGCTACCTACTAGAGCTAAGAAGATACTTAAACTAGAAAACATCTCTAAATCTAGATTGAGTAGCTTGTCCTCGATTTGGGGTCTAAAATAAGTGTCTCCGAGTAGCAGCAAACCTAGAGCCCGAGCTATTTCAGCTTCTCGATATAGTAATAATCTGAATCTAATATTAATATATCTAGACTTTCTCTTTTCTACTTCTATATCTCTAGATTTTTCTCGTTTGTGTGGGAAACGCTGATATAAAGATTATTGGTTTGTAGGTTGAGCTAAGAAGCTATATGGCTAGTACAAGTCAATACTAACCAAGAAATAATCGTTTACCCTACAAGGAAGAGTATACTATTCAACTTACTCAGATAGGATCTCTATCTCATAGAGTTTTTTATAGTGTATTCCCTAATGCGCAAAAGGATAATAAATCTCAAGGACTTACCTCTCTAACACCTGTTGACTTGAGTCTTCGGTTAAAGGAGACTGCGAACTTGAGTTGGCAAAAAAAAGCCCACCTAGAATAGTATCTTTCAATAATCTATTATTATTATAAAGGCTTTTAAAGTTAGACAAATCCTCTAGATCCAAAGTAGTCAAAAAATCTAATAAAGAGAGAATCTCTTAACTCTAAACATCAATTTTATTAGTCTAGACGAGGTCACTATCTACCAAAAAAGGTAAAAACAGCTAATTACTCTACTCGTCTTTAAATATTTCTATCAAGTTAAATTAATCAAGCTATTCATCTAAGACGCTGTGTACAATTAGAGATCTATTTAACACATTCCTAAGATTACTAGAGACGACCTACTCTAGAGAGTAAAGTCCCTTGGCCACGGATATAAAGCATTTTTTCCTGAGATATATAGCTTCGATAAAGACACTTATTACTATCACAAAAACGCTAGACAAGTGAGCGCCAGGCCGAGAATCAAATTTCAAATACTTGTTAATACTAGTACGCTTTATAATTTCTGTATAATGTTGGATACCGTTAACACAAGATTTAAGCTTTAATATAAAATCTCGAGAGTATTAGTTTGAAAAGACTCGAACAGATTACTAATAGATACCTTGAGATAATATAACAAAGGCAATACTAGAATTAATTAAAAACCCAGTCGCCATCAAGCCTACTTAGGCTAATATTCTATTTCTATCCAATAAAAGTTCTTCTACTCTAGCAGCAATAAGTACAACGTCTATATCCAAATTAGTTAATTCTAAATATACGACTAGCTTTTAAATAAATTTCACAAAATCTTTATTTATTTTAAGTATACGAAAAATAAGATAAAGAAAATAATTATTAAAAAGTTCTAGATACAGCGGTTATGAAATTAGACAAAAGCAAGTTTTAATATTAGTCGTTTATTATATATAGAAATATAGCTATATTAGCAAAAGGAAAATGTGTCATTCCTGGCAAACCATATATCTAGCTGACTGGATACTCTTGTATAAAATAGCACATATCCACATCATAAAACTTAATTGGTTATCCTTGGAGGAAGTTTGACACCAGGATTGTAAATTCGACGTATTATATACATAAATTAATAATAAAAAGACAAAAGATAGACGTCTATTTTAAATTATATATAAAGAGATAAAAGAAAGGAAAATAATATCTACTTTACAAATTATGTATAAAGAGAATATAAAAGTTTTTTTGTTTTATATTGTTTTGGGGGTAGGGATAGAAGCGATGTTGGGAAGGGTAGATAACTAGGTCTACCAACTCTAAATGGTATAATCCTCTTACTCTGGCTAATCTTAACTTATTGGTTTATATTGTAAGTAGATTTGCAAGGATAGAGTTAGGTAGTTGTTGGTTTATAAATAGAGGATGGAGATAAGGCTTGAGAGCTATTTAAATATAGCTCTAGGTTCTTTATTTTTTTAGATATATGAAGTAAACTGGGCCTGGAATTGTTAATATAGGAACTAATGTTAGTTGAGTCTAGGCTATTTATTTCTATTGAGCTAGTGATTAAAATGTTGTGGTATCTGCAGGCGGACTTAACTATTTGAAGATTACGGTACTTTGTTAGTCTCTCTATATTTATATTCTTTGATAAGATTTGTATTTGAGAAGCTGTGAACGCTAAAGATCTCTACTATAGTACTATTGCTGATATTAAATAACACTACTTTCTAATATGATAGATTGTGACTATGAAAGCCCTGTTATGATGGAGAGCACATTTAATTCTATACTTTGGTAGTGTAAATAAATAATTGAGTAAGAAAAATCTTGTATTTACAATAACTAAAGTCTATTTCTTCTGCAGTGATTGTAAGCTCGTAGTATGTATTGATGATAATTAAATATATATTCTTATAGATAATAAGAATATTTTTTATATTGATGAGACCCTCATATAAATTTCCATTGATTATGCTAGTACTTATGATTGTCTCGAAGCTTCTGAACTGTTTTTGCGATTAAAATATTACGAAGATTCTATACAAAAGATAGTACTAAAACAACTAAAAGTAGCTTTTTTTGTGTCCCTTGAATATGAGCTTCATTAATATCTGGCGAAATCTGTTCTTCTAATTGATATTTATGGATATTTGGTAGGGGAGGGGCAGCCTGTAGATGATCTTCTTTTTTATTTATAATTTGGTATGTACGTGTAAGGAGGCGATGTTTGTTTTATTGTTTATATTTATAATGTTTTTATTGCTTTTTATAATTATAATAGAATTGGGTATTATAGTGGCAGCTATTATTATTTACTGTTAGAAAGTAGGGTAGTGAGGGTAGGATAGGGGCATAGATGTTATATGATTTCAATTGTGATCTAGTTCTACTAGTTGCTAGTAGGAATAATAGCGTTGCTATTTATTTTCTTGTGTTGCTAGTAATAGCTGTTATATAGCAGAGTCATTTAAATAGTTGCTTGTATGTGCTTGCTCTTTGTAAGTTATATAAGTTATATATTAGTACTCTAGATATGTGGCTACTTTATTATCGATATGGGTTTGCTTAATAAAGATAGAATATATAGTAGAGTAGTAGTATACTCTGTTTGGTGTTTTAAGTTTAATCTTTTTTTTTCTCGTATAGCTGGGCAAGATTAGAATTGAGAAATATACGAGCCGTGCTTAAATGAATAGACTAGTTGTAGTATTTTGGAGGGAATAGCGATTCGTCTGTTATTGAGGCTTTGAAAAGAGCTTTTAAATAAGAGCGATAATATTTATGTTGACAAGGGGCCCACGCTATGTTGAAGAACTCTATATTATCTCCACAGGCAACATATTGAATTATTTGTAAA